GTTGCCGTCTCGTTCCATAGTGTCTTCACTCTGGCCCTGAGATCATCTGTCCAGAAAAACCTCCTCAATACCCTGTCGGGGATGTCGGTGTCAGCTATTGCGTGTGGAAAGCGCGCTTTGAACCGTGCAAATAATCCTTTGCCGATAGGATGCAGCATTTTGGCGCCTGGTGGCTTCCAAGAGTCTAGAGTTACCATCCAAACCCATAACATGCAATCTTCGTCGTCAGCCGCTTCCGCAAGATGTGTGCGCAGATTCGCAGGAGGCTCTAGGATGACGGGCGCTCGTAGGAGTCGCATCGTTAGAGCACGGAGAACGCCGGTGTAGACAACTGTAGAGGCGCGGATTGCAGAGTATGCATTGCAGCACCAGAGAAGCAGAGCAAGAGTCAGAGGTTTGAGCAAGGGGTGCACATTGTCCTCAGGCGCGAGGAGCCAAGGGCAAGCGTCGCTAAATGAGTCGTACTTGCGTCGCTCTGAGTGAAAAGGGTTTGCGGTTGCGGAGAAAGGTACGTAGACCGTGCTGCCGAAACAGCGGCGAACGGTAGCAGCGATGCGAGACAGTAACTCGATCATCTCGAGGGGCAGTAGGCGGTGGCGGGCTAGGCACTGGAAGCCGTCCGGGAAAACGCTAATGATTGTAAAAAACCGTGGGGAAAGTGGGAACGGTGGGTATTTTGGACGGTAGCGTCGTGGAGGCACAAGGGTGCTCGGGCCTCGCTCAAGAGAATAGATGTTGTCAAATCTGACAGACGAACGGGTTAGTCCTTGTTGATGAAAGACAGGTCACAACTGACTGCATAAATGTCGCCTTTTCGAATCCATCATGGCCCAGAGCGTCCAGTCCTCCTCGGGCCCTTACCAACCGAGCAAGGTTAATTCGGTGCATGTTTGCTGACGACTGTTGGCCGATTGCTATCTGCGTGGCACTTAGCACAGTCACGTCAAAGCAAAACGAAGGACATACGTCGATAGCAATGAGAAACAGAATGGTAGCGAGCATCATATTGGTCGGTTGTGTCGTTTTCTCGATCTCATGCCGCAGATGGGTAATTGCCTTTGCTTGATGTAATAGGACTGAGAAGGTGGGCTTTCTTCCAGAACTCCTTAACAAGTCTGCGGTAACGCACAGTCTGGCAATGCCCGCATGGTAAAAGCTTTCGCTCTCGGTAATGCACTCGAGGAATAGGGAAGTGTAGACACTGGTAATGTTGAATATTTCGTAGACTGGACGGAGGGCGGGTGCTGCAATATTGGCGACTTGGAAAGTCCGACACTGTTAGTCCGTTGTGTGCGAACATGGTGTGAGGACATGGAAGCGCTTACAGTAATCCACCGCCTGGTATGCGTTTTCGTCTTTGTCATACGGAAGCCAGTAGAGGGGATCGACGCTCATAGCTGGAGGATATGGTCTTGCAGCCCTGGAATTATGTCTTCTGTCTTGAGGTATACTGCCCGCTCGACTCGAAATGAGTACATGTCTAGATTTAGACTGAGCTTGTGTGGTTCGGGATGCGCTGCGTTGAAAGGAAGCTCGCGCTGTAGAAGCTGCGGAGCCACCTGGCTCTTCTCTCGAGATAGAAGCTTCTGCGAGATGCTGTTGATTCTGCTCAGGACTGCTGGATGGGAATGGATATACGAGTGGGCCCTTTAGAGGGTGGATACGGTGCCCTGATGGTCCTTGTCCTAGAACGAGTGGTGCTCGTGCCCTTGTGGATGCGTGAGAGATTTTAGCGGCGTGAGCTCTGGCCGCGGTCTGATTCTTCTCCAAGGAGCCTCGTTCGAGCTGGTGGGGGGTTGAGATCACAAACAGGAATCTAGAATTGTCTTCCTCGTCCATGACTGGGATGGTTGTGTCAATTGCCGTTTTGGAGTGGAATTGCTGGCCCCGGGCATGGGACGGTTACCTTTATATTATTTTTGATAGAGGTAACCACGCACTGTGATCGACAAGAGCGGAGGATGGATGGGCCAAAATTCCCGAGAGCTTCCCGGCCCGTATGTTCAAGCAGGGGGGTTGATTGACTCGGTGGCTGGGTGTCACGTTGTAAGAGTCGAGCAATATACCACAGCAGCACTATACCAGTCCCTTTTGCCAGGACAGTAATGAGAGAGACTGGGCGTATTGCGCACATGCTGATCTGCGATAGTACAAATGCAATAGAATCAAGAGAAGTGCAAGCACAGTGAATCAGGTACCTACCTATGTACCTTAGCACTCGGTACTGCGATTCTTCTGGGGATAGGGCTTGGAGGACAAGAAAGAGTAGTAGGTGAGTAGGCTGGATGAGAAGGGAGCTGACTAAGGGGCACATCGCAGGACTGCACAGCCCTTCACATACCGACCCAGCTCGCCAGGAACCAGCTTTTACATACCTAGAAAGAGACACTGACTGGCCTCGGCTATTAACAGGAAATGGTTTCCAACACGTTGCGCCGAACTCGATAGATATAAACGAAGCAGCTAGTCACTCACTCACTCACGCACTCACCCACCCACCCGTTCGGTCACTCGTTCTCTTCTCGTCAAGGTCAAGGCGGCGTGGGTTCTGCGCCCAATGGCCTTGAGGAGTGACGAATCGTGCTGACAAATAGGTTCGTTCCTGCGAGCTCCAGGATTCCCTTTAGGGTTGTCTATCGCGTGTCATTTGGGGGCGCGGAGAGATTCCATGCGATTACGAGTTGGTTGTGGGTTGGATGTAGTGGGAAACAACAAGCGACAGGAGTACGAACAAAGAAAAAAGACGTCTCGAAGGATGAGGAGGGGGGACTGGAGGGGGAGACGAGAGGGTGGAAGGTTGCACCCCGCCGGTGCCCCTTACTTTTTTTTTTTATTTTTTTTAATTGTTTTCCTTTGCTGGTCGCTTGCATGCAGCTAGAGCGGCCACTAATCGGCAGTTCCCAGAGCTCGCAGGCACCCGGGCGCCCATAAGATAAGTAAGTACGGTAACAAGTCGGTTTGGCGTCCGGGTCAGTGGACACTGGACAGTGCAGATAAGTAGTCACAGCGGGTGGCTTGCCTGGCGCTCAAATGGAGACCTGGGGATCACGGTGAAAGAATTGAGCACTACCCAAGTACCTAGGGTAAGTAAGTACTTATTGGGTATGTAGGTAGGTAGACCCTGACGCCTAGCGGCCCCTCTTGGCCCGATGGTCCCTGCTGTCCCTGCTGTCCCTGCTGTCCCTGCTGTCCCTGCTGTCCCTGCTGTCCCTGCTGTCCCTGCTGCCCCTGTTAGCTCTGCTGGTGGTTCCGTTGACCCTGCTTGCCCTGCTCACTCCCTGCTGGCCTCTCGTTTTTGTCCCTCCCCGTTGGCTTTCCTCGGGCAGACGGATCCACCGTTGTACCCATGCAGATCACAGCCTAGGGAGCCTAGCTCCTCTCCTCGTAGGCTGTCGCGGCCCAAGCTCCAAAATTTCTCTCCTCCTGCTGCAGATGGCGCTCAGATGGCACTCAGATGGTAGATCCAAAAGTGACCCAGTGTCTTCCTTGCTCCCCCCCCGAAAATGCCACATAAAAATCCACTCCATCTCGGCTTCAGGCACAAACCAACGTCATCAAAGAGGCAGACGAACAGAATGCCACGAGGGAATCTGTTTAGCACTGTCGCTTCAATCCGCTCATTCTTTTTTCAGCTGCTACCCTAGCTACTCCTTTGTACCTCCTACTTGGTAAGGGTCCTGCTCCCGACAACAGCCAAACTGCGCACTGCGACTGCTGTAAACGCCTGTCGCTACAGGACTGCCCACACAATTTCAATCTCAATCTCGACCGCACCTTCACCTCAAGGCTCCTACCACCTCAACCTCATCAGACACACACACTCTCTCTCTCATATCCGCTCCCGCTCGACTCCCTCTCTTCTTCCCCATGAACTTATCGTCGACATCATCATCACCATCATCGTCATCATCATCATCATCATCACCACCACGACGTTCGCATCTACAACCTCCTCTATATATCTGACTGCATTTGCCTGTCATCTCCCTTGCACGTCTCGGCACTCGTCCGTCTCAGACGTCATCCTCAGGTCTCGCCTTGTCCAGTCACGACGCCAATTTTACTCTCTTTGGGCACACGTCGAAGGTGTTGAGACGGCATTATCTTGAGGATTTACTCCTTCCACCACACACGGTTTCTTATTTGACTTACCTTGAACCATACTGTCCCAGCCCACAGATGGCTCCCCGATCTCCGACGCACGCATTCGATCCCACTCCGGCCCTCGAGCATGACCCAGACAACTTTTCTCCTCTCAACCACCCCCGGACAATAAGCTCGTCCCTTGATCCCCGAGCCGTTCGTTTCTCAGACCCTCCCTCAATGCCGATCAAAGGCCGTCACTCTATAGCCACCACCAATGTGCCTCTACTTCCCCCGGTATCTTCTGCCAGTCAACTACCCAAGCATGGCTTTCAGATGACAAATCCCACCCCCGAGGTGGACATCACTGCCTATATGGAGCAATGCCGGTTGTGGAATACTCAGCTGAGACAGTCTCATGAAAGCGAGCGAAAAGCCTGGGCCATTGAACGGACGGCGCTCAAGGCTCGCATAAGCGAATTAGAACAGACACTCAACAAGAGCAGAGATCCTAAGAGGAGATCGAGTAATGACTCGACTGCCACAAGTCTTCGTTCTTTCAAGTCAGATTTTCAGCCGTTTGGGATCAATGGCAAACACCGTCCTCGGATCTCTCCTGAACCAACCATTACAGAATCGCCCGTCTGGAAAGGTCCTGAATCCACTCCGCCCGTAACCAGAGTCTTCGCCAGTGATGACGAAGTGTGTCATCTGCCAAGCATTTCGGAAGATGAGGCCATGCCCGCTCTGTCCAAGGAGGTCTCGCCGACCTCTGGCGGCCAAGAGAATATTCCGATACCTATCGAGAAGGTTGACAACACCCTTGATGGGATTACCCTCAAATCGGCTGCCTTGACCTCCTCGTTCGATAAGGAAATAACCAGTCCACAGTTCGCTAGCCCTGCTTTGTCGCCTGTACCACAGCCCAACAAAGAGGAGCCTTGGAGACTCGATGTGAGCACTCTCATATCGCCGCTGGATGAGAAGTTGAAAAGACATGCTGGCCATACACCCATGGCGTTCGATGGCAATCTATCCTCGGACGTCGCGAGCAACGCATTGACACCGAAGCAAGAGAATCCTCTTGCTCCCGCCCCGACACAACGTCCACCACTTCGTCCTTCGGAGAACTCTGACTCCTACTTTTCGTTATCTTCAGCCCCCGAGGAAAAGGCAAAAGAGCCTCAAGAGCCAGAACCAGCCCACGAGACGCTTCATGATCCTCCGCTGAAAGGGCCACTCATGCTTGATCCCAACGCTAAGACCGTTGAGTCGGTTGAGTTTTTAAACATCCTCGATGGTAGGCTCATCGAAGAGAAAGAACAGCAGGACAGGGCCGAGTCCAATTTGTCAGGCGGCAGCAGCGAGGAGCGGAAAGCAAGTAAGCAACAACCAGGAGAGCCTTCTGCTAACGACGATGACATGCCAAGGTTAAGAATGAAAAACAGTATGAACTTTGGTAGCGCATGGGGTCGGATATAGTCGTCGCCAAAGGGTCAAGGTCAACTTTTTCGTGTTCTTAGCGATCATTGGGCAGGAATGGCATTTAACCTAATCATTGTGTTGGGAAGCATGGCGGAGCGTGTTGGATGGCTGGACACATCACCTTCCATCAGGCTGATTCGGGAAAATTTGGACATTTCCTAGAGCCGGGCCTGGACGGCACGTCTTTCGTGTAACATCGAGAAGAGGCCGGGTCTATCGCACTCTGCTGGAACGGTGGGGGTCAATCCAGGGTCATGCACGGACACTGCGAACCCGTTGGAGCTTTGAGGCGAAGAGATTGAAATTAATCTCTCATTTGTCAAGGCATGTATACACCAGACGTGGATAGTTACATGTCAGAATCATACACTCATTCCAAGTCTCGCTTGACGATCTTTCACCCGACTTGTGCATTCGTGTCTGTGGGACGTTGTCGAGTCAACCTTGTCTTAGTCATCGACTGTGCTCCCCCCGAACCTTCATTGGTATATCCACTGTGCTCAAGATGATTCAACCGAGGACCAAGAGGGTCGTGCCGTATGGAGTTATCCGGGGCATATACGTAGACGTTGGAGTCTGCAAGCGAGCTGGGGATGCGGGGAGGAGACGTACTCTCAGGGTTGGTTTTATATATGCTTGAGATCAGGTCGTGTTGTCAGAAGTCATCAAAAGTCTGCCGGTCGAAACTACGAATTCAACTTGACAACAGTTTGCACACGTTCGGTCGAGATTTGACTCAGAGCCTGGATAGATCCTTGGATTCTTTGGATCGTCTGTTTGGTCTCTCTTTGGGGCGACTTCGCCTCGGACACGTGCGGCCAGGGTGGACGAGGACGTGGAGCGGGAGAACAGCATAGCAAGGCAGGATCAAGGCGAGATCGACAGTAGTCACTGTTAGCGTCTCTCCAGCAAGATGGGCTCCATCGACACGGGCCCCAACACCAACACCTCACCTGACATCCGATTCGCCTCCCGCACGCCCGAGTCCACCATCATCTCGGCGCAAAAGCACCTCCAGGACCATGGCTGGGCCGTCATCCCGGACGTGCTCTCGCCAGAAGAAAACTCGCTCGTGCTGTCGCACCTGTGGGAGGCGGCCGAGAAATTCCGCAAGCAGGGAGACGACACGTTCATGCCAACGCTGGACCCAAACGCGTCCAACATCCGCGTCTTCTACCTGATGGCCCTGGACAAGATCTTCCGCGATCTGATCCAGCATCCGGTGGCCGTGAAGATGGTGGAGATGGTGCTGGGCGAGAACTGGCTGATTAGCAATTTCACCGCCAACATCGCGAGGCCGGGCTCCAAGAGCATGGCGCTGCACAGCGATCAGTCGCTGGTGATGCCCGAGCCCTGGATGTCAACGTGGGCGTTGAACGTGATCTGGTGTCTGGACGACGTGTACCTGGAGAACGGGGCCACGTTGTTCATCCCGGGCAGTGACAAGTGGACGACCCGCAACGACATTGCCAAAAATGCACGCTCGCTTCTGCGGCCCTTTGAGGCCAAAGCCGGGAGCATCGTGCTCATGAACGGACGCGTGTGGCATACTTCGGGCTCCAACGTGACCAAGGACAAGGACCGGGCGTTGCTGTTCGGGTACTACACCGTGCCGTTCTTGAGGCAGCAGGTCAATTGGACGGCCAAGATGCCCGATGAGGTCAAGAAGGAGCTGTCGCAGGAGCTGACGGAGAAGCTGGGCATGCAAGTGCACGCGAACATGGCGCAAGTGAGTCTGTTGAAGTACTTGGACGAGGTGTTTCCGCCTGAAGATGAGCGGGCTGGGGAGAAGTTGAGTTATTGATAATTGATGGGTAGGGGCACTTTCTTTGCCTCCTCCGCTGAACTTTTTACTCCCAATCAATCCAATTCACTTTCACTTTCACTTTCACTTTCACTTTGCGGACGCATCTCGTCGTCCATCCAAAGAGTGTTAGTAGTTGCTCCTTTCTCAATCGGGCTCGAGGAGGAACGCGGTTTGATCGTCATTAGTTAGCAAACTCAATCCAAGCAGCGGTGCTGATTAAGCCAAGTCAAGCTTTCGCAACGCCAATCAAGCAATGAGTTTCAGGCACTGGATGTTTCCGTGTGGGCAGCGAGGCAGCTCGGGATCTTTTCAGGGATAGACGACCTGGCGACCTGGGCAGAAACGGATGGAGATGCCACCAGGCCTCATTACATAGGCTAATAAGGCCTGACACCTGGTGCGATCGCTGGTGGAATGGGGGCCGCAGATCGCAGGAGTCCATCGTCCCCTGCGCTGCCCCTCAATTCCCTCTCCTTATCACTTGCTCTTCCTTGGTTTGCAGAGACTCCCAAACCATTCTACCCTTTCAGGGATGGAGGCGCGAAACATGGCAGCCTCTCGACCCCATCTCGCACTTTCATAACACCAAAGCACGCGGTGTCCTCAAGCAGCAGCCCAGAGACCGTCACTCGAGAAGATGGCGTCCGACGTGCAACAACCGGCGGTCGACGCAGCAGGCACTCGTGACGAGCAACAGAACGGACTCACCACGCAAACCAAAGTTGGAGGTCAGCCGGTCCGGTCTCTAGGGTTATGAAATATGAAATGGGCTCGAGTTGACAGATCTCCAGACGATGGCCGCGTCAACCTCACCATCCATGAAATCAGTGAACTCCTCGCAACCCAGATCGAGCAACTCCAGCTCTCGCGCGTCCAAGAGGGCCTCGCTGCGCCTCCACAGACGGCACATGCCCTCTTAGAGTCGAGTCGAAGACCTTCCAAAATCCCTCCGTCTCTCAATGTCGTCGTCCAGGTCGTCGGGTCGCGAGGCGACGTTCAACCCTTCGTCGCACTGGGGCTGGTGCTGAAGAACCAGTACGGCCACCGCGTCCGTCTCGCGACGCACGGGACGTTCGAGAAATTCGTTGAGGAAAACGGTCTCGAGTTCTTCGATATCGGCGGGGACCCGGCGGAACTCATGGCCTTCATGGTCAAGAACCCCGGCTTGATCCCGGGGATGAAATCCCTCAAGGCGGGCGACGTGGGGAAGAGACGCAGAGGCATGGCTGAGATTCTGGAAGGATGCTGGAGGTCGTGCGCCGATTTCGACGAGGTGAAAGACGAGGGAAATGCAGCGGGAGCAGCGGCGCCGAAAAAGAAACCGTTCGTCGCGCACGCCATCATCGCGAACCCCCCTAGTTTTGCACATATCCATTGCGCCGAGAAGTTGGGCATCCCGTTACATTTGATGTTCACGTAAGTGGATGTCCTCGGTTCTTTGTCTTGAGATATTTATGCTGAGCGAGGATGATCTCAGGATGCCCTGGTCGCCGACTCGCGAGTTTCCCCAACCTATCGCGAACATCAAGTCGTCAAAGGCGAGCGGAAGCATGACCAATGAAATGAGCTATACGCTGGTCGACATGATGACCTGGGAAGGCCTGGGCGACATCACAAACAAATTCAGAAAGGAGACGCTGGGTCTGCACATCCTCTCCCAGGCGGCGGCAACGGATATGCTTCATCGTCTACGAATCCCTTATACCTATTGCTGGTGAGTCTGTCAACCTTGAGCCACCAGGAACCAATGGGACTCTCAATTGATAAGGCGATGATTAGGTCTCCGACACTTATTCCAAAGCCCAAGGACTGGGGCCCTCACATTACCATTGCAGGCTTTTACTTTCTCTCGCTGGCGTCAAACTACCATCCAGATCCCACTCTTGCCGAGTTCCTTGCAGCAGGTCCACCGCCTGTTTACATTGGCTTCGGCTCCATCGTCGTAGACGATCCCAACGCAATGACGAAACTCATCTTCGATGCGGTCAAAAAGACCGGGCAACGCGCTTTGGTGTCCAAGGGATGGGGTGGTCTCGGAGGAGACGATCTGGGAAAACCTGACAACGTGTATATGCTGGGCAATGTACCACATGATTGGCTGTTCCGACACGTTTCCTGTGTGGTGCATCACGGTGGTGCTGGTACAACTGCTGCTGGAATCGCCCTGGGTCGCCCAACGGTCATCGTCCCCTTCTTTGGCGACCAGCCATTCTGGGGAGCCATGGTTGCCAGAGCCGGGGCGGGACCAACGCCGGTTCCGTCCAAAGAACTGACGGCAGATCGACTGGCGAATGCCATCCTCGAGGCGCTGAAACCCGAAACTCTAGAGCGGGCACGCGAACTGGGCGAGCGCATCAAAGAAGAAAAGGGCACCGAAGTCGGCGCAGCGAGTTTCCATACCCAAATGGGTGTCAACCACCTTCGGTGTCAGATGGCCCCGTCACGGCCGGCCGTTTGGTCCGTCAAGACCAAAGGGTCCAACACGGAAGATATCAGATTAAGCGCTTTTGCAGCCACGGTGCTAGGCAATGAAGGTTTACTGGACGTGAACCAGCTCACGATCTACCGCCCTTGCGAATACCCCGTCGAATTCGGCACCATCAGTTCTCATGTCGTCGGACCCAATCCGGTGCTGAGTACCATGGGCTCCATCACGTCGTCAATTGTGCATATTCCCATCAACATTGCGAAGGCTTGGGCAGGCGTGGTCTACGAACCCTACAAGGGCGCCAGATCCGACGGCTGGAAAGGGTTTGGAAAAGGCCTAGGACGGGGCATTGGGCATTTGATTTTCCGTCAGCGGGGACTGGTGATTGGTCACGCTGCTTACGGAGTCAGGGCCTTGTACGACCTGATCAAGAAGAAATTAGACGGAGATCCAACCTTGAGTTACATCCTCGCCACGAGGTATATCGAGGGGTTTGAGGAGGTGAACAAGGCGACGAAGGAGGAGAAGCTCGAGGTGGTCACGAGGTGGAACGAGATGAAGCCCGAGCTGAAGATGATCGACTCGAGGACCAGTATTGGTAGCGGTCACTCGGACAAGGCGGAGAGCGAGTCAATCTTGTCCAGGCTAACGAGCCATGGAAGTACAAAGAGTGGGAAGAGCGGGACAAGTGGAAAGAGTCAGAAAAACGACAAGAGTTTCGTGACTGAGACGATCAGCGAGGCAAGCAGCACTCTGGATTCGAGTGTGCCTGCTATGACCAAGTGCGGCGCGAATGAAGCACGGGCCAGTGCTTGACGGAACGGGCTCTGTGATGGATCTTGGAAAGGATGTGCGAATAGGAGGAGACTCTGGGACTTGCCTTTGGACAAGCTGCTGCAATACAGCCTAATGAATTATGATATCTGTGCCACCGAGCCCCATTCCCGGGTCCAGTCTCTCTGCTCGAAGGAGAGAGCGAAAGCTGCGAGAATGTCTGGTGATTTTCCATCTTGACCACGGACTGTCCAGACTTGGACGAACTGAGCAAACATATCAGCGTTTTCATCGAGTTCATGGATAAACAGAACGAGAATGGCTTTCTTTGCCATGCCTCTGGCCCTTCGCAAAAGCAAGCTCCACGGGCGGATGGTTCTAAGCATGAACATCACCACACACTCTTCGTGTCCCTCCTTCCCAAAACATGTGAGTGAGTGACCGTCTGTTTTTACCGTCTGAGACAACAGCTGGTTCACCATCAGCAGCGGATTGAGTCATGGCAGCAGCTCGTGAAGGTGTCTGTCGGTTCTTTACAGCGCCTTGCCCGCCAGAATCGGATCCATCGCGGTGAAGAGCTTCACTCCAGGGGAATCAATGTGCGAGCTGTGTGCAGACGATGTTTTCACGCCTCCCGCGAGGACCAGCCGTGACCCATCATGAAACCTGCTTAGTGAAAGGCCGAATACCCTTGACGACAGAGGATCCTCGCGATCTCTGCTTCCCCGGGGTATAAATACCTGCTGTCCCTCCCCCCCACTCAAGTCAAATCTGGTTTTGGTCGTGCTCCAACAAAGATCCAAGAATATATATAATATATATCAATCAATCAACTCGACCATTCCTTGGTGTGGTCAATGGAAGTCCACACTAGCTTTTTCAAGCACAACCTCGAAGCGGATGCCTTAGAAGCATTCGCAGCAGATCGAAACCAAACGAAAGGATTGTCGTCTTCGCCCAAACAAGCTTCTCGACATTCTCGATGAATGCTTCAGAACAAACCGTCGGTGTAAGCGATCCGCCCCGCCGCTACGATGGGCCAGTCAGAAGAGGAGAATCCAAGGGAGGCACGAGAAATATATACTTATTACTACGTCGCTAGGAATGGCGAAGGTGTATCACGTATTCATGAGTAGACTTGCAAATAAATTCCGAGGCCATGTACTGTAACCTCGTATGTACTCCGTATCTGTCGGACATGCACTGGCTGCCGTCGACTGAATGTCCATTGCATAGCGCGGCATTGATGAATGTTCAAGGGCAAAACGAGAACAGTACAGAGTAATAATAAAGTGTGGTTTGATTCGTGTCTTCATATGTCTTTGTATATATGTGCTCGTCATCAGGGCCACTCCATTCAATCATGAAGCGGAGAACTACTCACCGAGTCTAGTACGGTCTGCTCTTTGGGTGGGGGGGTGGATGCATAACGAGCGAAACACACAATCCTCTTCGTCGACGAGCAGACGCTATAGATTCCCAAACGCGGTCGTAGTGGTCTCTAATAATAATAATAATAAAAAATGGTCCACCTGGTCGGTGTTTTATTGTCTCTCGGCCCATCGAACCCACCGTCTCACCACCTCGTCCACGCCCCTCAGGCCTTCGCGCGTCGCCTCGATCTCGAACCACTCTTTGTGTTCGCGCCCGCACTGCTCGCACTCACTCGTGACGGCTTTTTTCTCCAAGAGCTCGAGGTGGATCAGTCTTTCGACTTTGTGCACGTGCGAGACCTTGTTGCTGTGTCGGCTTGGAGAAGGCGCGCTCGCTGAGCCACGAGCAGGAGGAGTAGAAGTGGGAGTGTTGATGGCGGCGCGGTTGTGGTGCGGATAGTATCGTATCAGCGTGATGTTTTGCCCGCATTGCTTGGTCCATTGACTCATGCGCCGGTGGACGTTGGCTGCGCGGCCGATCTTGAGCGTGATGGTGCGTTTCGCCTGCACTTGGTTCGGCGGCCGCTGGACGGACGCGTACCGGGCAAGGGCTTGATTTGTCCTCTGCAATCTGCGGCTGTACAGTACGTCACCATCATTGTCGTCATCGCCATCATCATCGTCATCGTCCAGAAGAGAGGAAGCCGTCTCGTCGTCAGGTTTCGATACTTCGGATTCGGGCGTGAGCCAGAAAATGTAAATGTATCCAGCCTCATCCGCGGCGGAGATGGGGCGGGACAGCTCTGCGAGCAGTTGCGACGTGGTGTGCGGCGAGAGATTGGATGGGATTAGCGAGAGGAGTGTCTGTGTCTGAGAAAGTGCTGGACTTGGTTTCGGTCGGGCGGGCGTGGTAGGTGACTGCCGCATTTCGGGTTTCACAGAGGATGAAGGCCTTGTCGCTGTGTGATGTTGTCGACGTCTGTCCCTGTCCTCCTTCCGGACTCTTGCTGGAGGTAAATCATCGTCACCATCCGCTTGAATGCAGCAGGCCCAAGAGAGTTTCACGTTCGATTGTGGCGGTGGGGGAGGACGTCGTTTCGGCCGTCGGTGATGCACCACTTCCTCTGGCACCGTCATGAGCGGACTCTCCAGCTGGTTCCAGCCCGATGGCAACGTGTCTCGTCGTTTCACACTCTGCGGATCATGTCGCCGATGGTGCCGCTTCGGCACGTCTTCGTCCAATTCGAGGATCCCCACTTGCTCAATCAATGTGTCAATACTCGATCTCTCTTTCAACGGGTGTAGACTGGTCCGGCCGGCCTGAGCAGCCAATTGCTCGGCCTGGTCCTTGTGTTTCCAGCAATAGAAAGCCGCGGCATTGTGCTCATCCAACACGGCAAGGACCCCGTTGCCTCGACTCGGCGAGGGGGTAGGAGAGTTCTTCGGAGATGCAGCCAGAGGTCTGCGACATGGTCTTCCGGTGGTGGTGATGCCTCTGCAGGTAGTGGCGGGGTTTCTCGAGTCTGAACGAGGGAGCAGAGATTCTGGCGTCTTCCCGCTGAAGGACATATCGTGGGGCCTGCTCAATTAGTACGAAGTGCAGCAACGAGAGAGCGGTGGAAAAGACACAGAAGCAGAAAGAGGGAGGCGTGCGAAGCACCCAAAGTTAGTCGGTCTGCTCTTCAGAGGAGCGGCATGTCACCTTCATCACTGGCATTGAGTGACAACCTCGGAGATCCAAACCGCATGGTCGCGTCCGTCGGGCGAAATGTCCACAGTTCAGATGAAGCTGAAAGTCGAGGACTGGAGCGAGTGGATTGGATGTTGTTCCAGGCATCAAGTGGCTGGCGAGGTGGTTTCGTTGGCTGGGGAATCTTGGGAATCCGAATGGGCGGTGCAAGGTCAGCAAGGTCCAGCCTCGTCACTGGATGACACACACAGACTCAGCCTCATCAGGGCATGTGCTCGATTGCCCCCAGATTGGTGTCACACACACGAGCTTAGCGTTGTACTCAGTACTGCATATATTGTACTCCGTAATTGGCTGGGGTCTCTAATCATACAAAGACGATTCGCATATACACAATAATTCTGTGCAAGCTATACAATGACCACCTGTAACGCCGGGGGGGTATCTTTACGACTCATAAATCGCCAGATAGCTGGTCACGATGACAACTTCAGTCCGCTGAGAAAATCCAGAGCATCGTCCTGTGCACTCTCTAATTCGGCGATGCGAATTTTGAGAGCCGCGGACTCCATCTTCATCATGCTGACCACGTCCCATGCATCTGAAGATCTCAATCCATGACACCGTGGACAATCGTCTCTCGCCATGCTTGCAGACTTCAGCACCGGACTGGCGATGGATGTGTTCTGAGAAGGCGCCGCCGACAATGCCTCAGAGAAGACGCTGACCACGGAGCTCACTTCAGACCCTGCCTCTGATTCTCCGGATGTTGACACGTCGGATGAGCGATAGCGGCGATACTTTGGACGAGGTTTGGAATCAATGTCCTGGGGGACCATACGGATACTCTGCTGTTGGGATTCCAGAGATAGTTGTGCCGATAACTGTGCCCTGAGATCGGCGATCGATTTCTCCTGCTCTGCAGCTCGTTCTGCCATCTCTTGTAATTGCAATTTTAAATGCTCATTCCTCGTCTGGGCAGCCTCGAGTTCGTCTGCCTGCACATTCTTGATTGAGGTGATGGATCTCAGAGACTGTCGCTGCTCTTTGTATGCCTGTTGGAAGCGGCGTATTGTGCCTTCGGCGTTGAGCTGGAGGTTTTTGAAGACGGCCGGCGAAAATTCGTCGGGATGTCCGTGTGGAAAGAGAGCATCGTCAATGTCCAACTGCGCCAATTCATCCCAATTCTCCGGAGCGTTTTGTGTTGTTGTACTCCTCCTGAAGATGTTGAACTTCGACATGGCTGAGACCGGGGGGGCCGGTAAACTGGGCTTTCTGGGGGGTCGTCGTGTCAGAGTATTGTCTATGGAATCTGAACTCATGGAGAAAGCCTCTGCGGTGGTAGCAGCCTCATAGACAGGATCCAACTTTTCCTTGCGAGCGGAAGGCACCAGGGTTATATTGACAGGATCCGAAGATCCCTCAAACCAGCTCGCCAATCCACTCGATTTTCTCTTTGCCGGTGATTCTGCTGAAACAGGGTCCTCCGCAGCCTCTGCGGCTGAGAGTCTCTCCGGCGACAAAGAACGGGTACTTTGAGGCCGCAGAAAGGAAAATGCAGAGGATCTGGTAGGGGAGGAAGACTGGGTGCGGGTGAACAGCGGAGGGAGGTCGACGGTGGTTCTCGATCGTTGGTGGCCTCTAGCCGGTGGCGGAAGGGGAGGAAGGGATGAGGGAGGCTCGTTGTCGTTGAAATCAAAGGGCAATCTGTGTGGATTTGGCGGTGCAAGGGCACCGAAGCCGTGATTAAACGTGTCTTGGGACATGGGGCGGCGGTGATGCAATAGGAGTCACTGTGGTGTGAGAAGAAGCTGGATCGCAGGCTACCCAAGATGACCAGGGTCCGGCCCGCACGGGGAAATCGTGGCAGCCGATCAATTGGAAAACGGAGACAGCGCAGAGGCGCAGCAGCCAATATTGCGACGCCCAAGTCAGAAGAACTCCTCTTCAGACCTGTTTTGCATCAGCACAACTGGTCACTACCTTCTCGACGCCGTCGACTTGTTCTCAACTGAGGCCAGAGTCTGATCAAGAGTCCCGAGTGCCCCGCCTTCCACTGGGCTGCACCAAACGAACCGCCTGAGACCTGGGCGCACAATGGGTAGAGGACAACAACGCAGGAATAGAATCAAAAGAGAGCGAGAGATGCAGAAGAAGTCGTTGGGCGAGCAAGCGAACAGATGTTGGGTCTGGCCTGCCTTTCTATTTTCTCACGGCCATGATGAAAACAACGAGGTTGGAATGGGTGTGAGTGGGTGTGAGTGGGGGACCTCGTAGAGAGGGTCACTCGCCTATCTCAAGCCACAGCCACACGGGGCTGGACGAACTCTCGCCTCACTAGCCTCGTCACCCGTGTTTCATTATCGATACGAGGCAAGACTCGGAGGCCTTCTAGCCTCTTGGCATAGGGGAGTTTAGGGTGGCTGGCTGTGCTGGGTACCCGGTACAAACCACTGTTTCCCCCCCCCCCCGCAGCCTTGGACATCACACAACCAAAGGCGTAAAGGGTGGATGGACTTCGATGCCGATGGTGACATTCCGGTACGTGCAGCCATGGGTGGCGTACCTGGAGGAGAAGACTTTCTCGCCTGCCAAAGCACTCTCTAAGAATCGCCAGGCTGAAGCATCGCCATTGACCTCTTCGTCTTGATGGTTGCCAACTGTATTGACTTCATACAGAACATTGGCCCCGGAAGCGCAGAACTCATCCACGAGCTCTTCGGCTCCTGCAATGGGTACAAACTCGTCGTTGATCGTCTTGTATCCGTAAATGGGCATGTTCCAGGCCCCACGGGTTTCCAAGACCCATTCTTTCGCGAAGATCTTCTTGACCACCGGATCCAGGAGAAACTGTCGGCCAGTGACGAAGTAGTCTTCAAGGACAGTTTGGCCGGCATATCCGAGCAGAGCTGAGACTGCGGACAGGTTCCGAGCAGCAAGGAAGCCTGTTGAGTTGGAAGGTCCCGATGTCTTGAGGCCGCTGAGGAGATAGCTGTAGCCGTCGGGATATTGCTGTAGAGTACCGATGATGCTGCCCGGAACCACTCCCACTCCCGGAGTGCCGTCGAGATACTCAAGAATATATGTCACGTTGCGGCCGAAGCCGCCGATAGCTATGCCGGCGAATTGAAGTTCAGGCGCATACGTGTTCTGTAACTCGGCGGTGAACATGCTCGCTAAGGACCCGCCAGAGTATCCCCACAGGACATATCGAGCTGCAGAATTGTTGATGTAGCCCAGAGACGCACGAACATTGTCAAGGGTCACGTGGCCATACAGTATACCGGCGCTGAAGGCGGCATGCGGACCCTCGTGGTCGGGGACCGTCACGTAGAAACCATTGTCGAGCGCTCGTTGAATATCGGTGAATATAATCCCTTGAGCAAGTCATTAATAAGACCTCACCGAAAATGAAGAGGCAAACTCACCCAGATCGGAGGCTTCGGCGTACAGCAAAACGCTGATGCTAGCATCGACGTCGGCAGTGTTATAGGGGACCTGGTATGACAACAATCCCGGGTGAGTAGTGTTGGGGGTCTTGGGCACGAATAGCGTATTCAAGGCCCACAGAGGCTGGCCGAGACTGTTGGTGGTGCGGAAGACGAATTGGTATGCTGCGGAGCTGGCATTGAAAGTTGAGGATAATGTTGTATTCCTCATACGAAGAATGTCTCCAGGGCGAGCGTTTTCATAGCCTTCAGGTGGTGTGCTGTAGAAAGGATCCTGACTAGGAACCAGTGGAGCTGACTGGCGGCCCTGGAGCGCCTCCATATGTGTTGTTGAACTCGCGATGGCCGCGGCATGTATAGCCGTAATCACCAGTGTGAAAAGAGAGCCCTTCATGTTTTCGTTTGTAACTGTAGAGTATAGAGATTCTCGCCAGACAGCCTTTCCCGGTTACGAACCACAATAGAATATATGGTGAAAAGAGCATTTTGAACCTCTCACTGTAAATATACGTCCTCCTGGAGCGGGCTGAAGGACGCCCCGACACCGACGGTCTTCATTTTCCTATTGATGGCCCGAGAAGTCGGTGCAGAGAGATCACCTATCTCCATGTCCAATAAACATCACATATATACGAAGACAAGTTAGATTGGGACCGGAGGCCGCGTAGTTTATGAGTAAGATAGCCATCTAAGGCTGGGCTGACTAGTAGATCCGAAACGAAACTATAGGCCCTGAATTTCTGTCGTTAACCATGCCGAGTTCCATGGCTATACTAGTATAAAAGGAGCCGAATTTTGGGTTAGTGTTCAATCTCTACGTGTACTGTTAGGTACTCGACGTCCTCGTGGCGTGACCCATAAGCACTTGGGCAGGATGAACTGCTTCCCTTGCTTCACCTTCCAACAGTCTTTTAGGCTGTTCTATCATTGTAGTTTGACCTTGTTGCTCGCCTTTATAACGTTACGGCCTTGCCAAAGTTAATCAAGGTCAGGCTCTCCAGGGCAAAGACGGAGCAAATATAGCTAGAGAGCTCTCCAGTTGATCACATTGATATATGCTACCTCTCTTTGATCTCTTTGTCGGAGTCTTCAGTTTTTAAGAAGAAATTCTTTGGCTGCGAATCACAGTTTGGCCCTGAAGGTAGAGCTGACTTCATCCATGCTGTCGAGACTCTTTATATCTTGCATTGGTGGTCCTCCAAATCCAACGTCTTTGGCAGCCTCTTCTCGCAAGACACCTTTCAAGAGTTTGCCGCCCGCATTCCTTGGTAGAGCGTCGATGAATCTCACACCCCCAGTCAAAGCCTTGTACTTAGTCAGGTGTTGGCCACACCACGCTTTCACGTCCTCTTCAGTTGTAGACCTGCCTTGTCCTAACACCACATAGGCGCGAGGGTGTTCGCCGTCCTTCCCACTGTCAACGAGACTGCCGGAAGATGGAGAAGAGGTGGTGGCATCATGGTACACCTTGACACCAATGACCGCCGCGTCCACAATGGCCGGGTGCTGTAGGAGGACCTTTTCCAACTCCGCAGGGGAAACCTGGAATCCCCTCACCTTAATGAGTTCTTTCTTTCGATCGAGGATGTACCACTTCGCTGTGGCTGCGGTCTCGTTTATAGTTTCGTCAACACTTCGACCATCTGCTTGAATTGTGGTGTTGTCGTCTAGCATCCTTCCGCAAGACACAATGTCGCCTGTCCTGAAATGTCCCTCTTCGTCAAAGGCCTCTCTGTTGGCAGCGGGATTTTTATAGTAGCCTCTTATGATGGTAGGACCTCTAACTAAAAGCTCACCCTTTGCCCCGACAGCCGTGATGTCGTTGTCTTGTTCATCCACGATTCTGTAAGAGAGAGCCCAAGTTAGTCGCAAAGCCTTGGCTTATCCTCTAGATTATTCCCTCCACATGCCGGCTCAAACGAAGCAAGACCAGGAGGAAATGGGGGATGGCACTCACTTGGCGTCTAAATTCGGGATGAATCGTCCAATGCTACCTGTCGAGTCATTTTCCGGATACCAAAACCGGGAAGCCACACAGGTTGTCTCCGTCATCCCCCAGACTTGATTGAAGACGCCATCCGGGGCCAGATGCTTTTCAAATTCGCGCTGATGCACCTTGCCCAATGGCGCAGATCCGGACCTGCACCATTTAACCGAAGTAAGGTCATACCGATTTAGCAGTGGACTGGCCAAAGCCATGACCACAACCGGTGGACTGATGGAGAGGTCGGTTATTTTAAATGCCTGTATTGACTGCAGGAACTCCTGCATCTCGAAACGTCGCATCACGTAGGTCTTGTGGCCCGCTTTGAAAGGGGTGGTGTGACCAACAGGTACGATGGCTGCGTGGAACATGGGCATGTACAAAAGACGTCGGACCTGGCTCAGAGGTTAGCAAGAGATTCCCGAAGCTCGAATGTCTTGCTGTAGTCCTTGTGATTCAATCTCACGGAAGGAACCCGGTCTAAAACACCCAGCTTGACAGGGTCTACGAGGGACAGCAGCAAGGTCCTACCTCCCAAGGTGCCGTATCGGGTACAATTGCCAGAGTATGTTGGGCTATCAGGTTATGATGGGATATCACCGCTGCCTTTGGAAGTCCTGTGGTTCCTGAACTGAACAAAAATGCGGCCGGTGTTGCGCCGCAGATCTCTTCATTGTCGAATCGATCCCAGTCTCGCTCTCCGTGATGCAGAAGTTCGGACCATGTCTGAAATCCCTTTGGCACCTCTTGGCCTTTGACGTTGAATATGCGGACATTGGAGTCGGAAATACCGCAGTCTCCCGACACAGCCTTGATTGCATCCAACAATTCGGGCTCAGTGATGACGAACTTTGCACCGGCAGTCATGAGATGGTGTTTCAGCTCGAAGGGTGTATAGGAGGGATTCGTTCCCACAAAAATGGCCCCAGCGGCGAGTATCTCTAGGAAAAGGACCGAATAATAAATCTAAGGAATTCAATAGTCAACATGGAAACAATTTCGGGTCTCGAGGCCAGAGAGCAGGGATCAAGGATCGCGCTCAGAGAAGAGAAGACCAAGAGAGGCCTTACATCGTTGAAAGAGTGGACGCAGACACATTCACCCTTCTTCAGTCCTGCTGCCCGGAAACCAGCTGCGAGCTTGCGAACCATGGAACGTCCCTGGTTGAGGCACAGTGTCCGTGATGGGTTTGAAGTGTCGATGTATATCTGTCAGAGTGTTAGGTTCAGATGTCCGCCTCCTTCTCCTTTTCCAAAAGATAGCATCTGCGTTTCTTCGGTGATCCTTGATTGCTTACGGGCTTGTCTGGATCATAGTCTGGCCGGTCGAAAATCCATGACAGGAGATCTTGAGTCGGGACCGCCAACTTCCTCTGAGCAAGGAGCGGCATTTTGTCGACAGGCGATGGACGAATTGTGACATTTTCCGTTCCGAAGGCGATATCAGATCAACTGATAAAGGGCCGATTCCACTGTCACTAGAAAGGCTGTGCCGTGACAAATACTTCCTCGAGTTTAGACTAGACAAACCTGACTCCTGCCACCAGCCAACACCAAGTGCCGACCTCAGATGCTTTCGGATGGCTCAACCCTTGCGGGTTGCTTTTCCTATTGTGGGTGCCGTTGAGTGCGGTTGACTCAGCAAAAGGCAGGATATCCTAGTATAACCATCTGCAGAAACCCCGAGGCTGGAGGAGAACAATGAAACATCGGCTTCGGACCCTATCGGCAGTAATGTCGATACCGTGCAGAATCTGATGGAGGGTTTTTTGTTGACCAGCCTGTCGTGTAGATATATAGTCCACGGCAGTACTAGCATAGCCGCAACTCCGAATCCGTTTTTATGCCACACATTGTGAGCGCCGATTGGCCCAGACACGGTATCCACTGTCTCCATTCTATAGACCCACCTCTGTGCTGAAAGTGGCTACCTCCCTACAGAAGATATACAAGTAAGCTGGGGGAGCATTCTTTGGGGCCCCAAATTTCAATAGCAGTCGTTCCTCGCCCCTGTTCCACAAGTCTAGAGATTCTCTATCGACCCAAGTGACGATTAACCATCATCATTCCCCAGAGCGAGAAAGCAAGATCATGAACAAGGACGTGGAGAAGACCACGGGACTTGATCAGTGGCAAGAAACGACCCAACATTATGAAGATGAGACCAGTAAGCCTCGCGGCGCAGAAGAGGCCGAATTTGCAGGCGTCGGCGATGAGAAACCACACATTGTGAAAGGGGATGATTCGGACGGTCATGTGAATTGGAGCAAGCGGCAGATCCTGGCCACGCTTTCTCTTTCTGGCCTCTATGTCGGTACGTGATCTTTCTCCCTGTCTCCGTGAAGAGGGGGAAGGGTAGCCTCTAACCTCTTCAAAAGGCTGACATGTGTGGTGATAACAGGTTCACAGTTGCCCCTCTTGCTCGGCGCAGGAAGTCTTCCGTTTATTATCAAAGACATTGGAGGGTCGACTGTCGATTCTTGGTTTCCCGTGGCGTACTCGCTGACTCTGGCTTCTGTATCGCCCTTCAGCGGATACCTGCAAGACGTTTTCGGGCGTCGGAACATCTCTCTCGTAGGGGGTTGCACTCTGTGCGTCGGAATCATTGTGGTTGCCACATCCCACACTATGGCTCAGGCTATTGTGGGAATGGCTCTGTCGGGTCTGGGAGCTGCGATTGGGGAATTAACGGCCCTGGCTGGAACATCTGAACTGGTGCCGGTGAAGAAAAGAGGCCTCTATCTCGGCGCTGTCACTGGTTGTGTCTTGCCCTTCTCTCCTTACGCTATTTACACTACTCTGTTGGGCACACATTCAACTTGGAGATGGGGATTTTGGATTCCGCTGTAAGTTCATCCGACTCTCGGATTGCTGGACTCGCTGACATATGACTGCACAGCATTTGGAATGGTTTGGCCGTGATTGGGATTGCCCTAACTTATTGGCCTCACTCGCAGCTTCGCGCCGAACGAAAGACATTTTGGGAAATCCTGCCTCAAATCGACTTCATCGGCGGGCTGCTTTCCACTGGAGGATTGACTCTTTTGTAAGTAACCCCTTACCCTGAACACAAGCGCTGGATTTGACGAGTTAAAAGTTTGGTAGGGGTAACAGCAGGCGGCACCCTCGCTCCTTGGGCCAGCGCCAGAGTCTTGTGCCCCCTCCTTTTCGGTATCGGTCTTATTGTCGTATTCGCAGTATGGGAATGGAAGTTTGCCACTTTCCCTATGCTCCCCCACGAGCTTTTTGCTGGTCAACGTGTTGTCGCCATGAGTTTCCTGGTGGCATTCATCTCGGGTATCTACTTCTACGCCCTTCTCAACTTCGGTCCGATTATATACCTGGATCTCTACAATCCTGATCCGGTTAAAGCAGGAATTAAAGGAGTGATTATCAGCCTGGGCGTGACAGCTGGTGCGGTCCTGCCTAACATGCTTCTCTCCTACTACAGGACTCGAAATCGCGAGATCCTTGCAGCCTGTGCCGTCCTCACCACGGCCTTCGGCACCGCGCTCGTGACGGCGACACCAGATAATCCGATTCGAACCGTCGCGTTTTGCACGATCAGCGGATTTGGTGTCGGGGCTATCGTGGCCTGTGCACTGACGACTGCTGTAACCGCGGCACCTGACAACATCATTGCTACTTGTGTCGCACTCTCTCTTTCCATCCGCACCGTTGGCGGCTCAGTGGGCACGGCAGTCAATTCAAACATCTTTGACACCAAGTTGAAGAAGTTCCTCCCAACCTATATTGCGAAGTACGCCATGGCATCTGGTCTCCCAGCATCTTCGGCGACCGCGTTTGTGCAGCTCTACCTCACAGCTCCAGGAGAACTAACCGACGCAGCAGTTCCGGGACTTACTGCAGCTGTCATGGAAGGAGCAGCGATCGGAGCTCGTTGGGCATATGCCGAGAGTCTAAAGTATGTCTGGTACACCATGTTGCCGTTTGGTATTCTGAGCTGTGCTGCGTGCTTGGGACTTGGTAATGTTGGCAAATTCATGACGAACCGTATTGCGGCAAACATTCGTCACTAAGCCTGAGGATCTGGAACGTTCAACAAGGACAATCACACAAGAAGGCTCACCAGGGACTTGTGGATATCTGTCTGAGAAATTGCCCGCATACTACAAGGATGATGTTCGAAGTTGATCAAAGTGTGGAAGCGCCTCTTTACCCATATATTTCTGGGGATGCTAGGTACCGTTCGTACATGGATTTCAAGCTCCAAAGCTCCATTTCGCTCCCATATCAGGCAATCCAATCCACACCGGTGCCGTCCCAAGGTATCATGCCGTCCACGTTTTCGCCAAACCCATCGATGCCGAGACTACCAAAGTTCCATTGTCCCAGGGAATCACTGTTCTCAGGACTGAATATTGAATACCACGGGCTCTCGTCTGTGCTGGAACCAAACATCTGAGCACTGGTTGGACTGATTAGGTCTTGCCAGCTGCCGTCCCCATCGTTGGCACATCCATTCATGTCAGGGCCACGCAGGTCTGCCGATAGAGTGAGACCTGGCTGCAAGCCCTGGCTTTGCCCTGCAAGTGTATTGATGGTAACAGGGGTTGGCTTATTCCTCTCCGCTGTCGTTTTGCAAGACTGTATTGATACATTTTGAACGTCCAATTCGAATGCTCGGTGTCTCGTCTCATTCTCTGCATCAAGTCGCAAGCCATCGGGCTGCGGCACCACGATCTTTATCTTCGCACGGTTGAGCATGGCCTCGACCAACAGCGCCACCCAATCTGCGGCCACATATACCCTCTGAAGAGTCTTGAGAGACACTAATAAGCTATTAACATTGTCTCTCGCCCTGACCATCTCGCCGTTACGACTGGAACTTCCTTGGCCAGGACGAGGCGCCTGACTGATCGACTTGACGAGAAGAGCATTCGTGATGATGCTTGGTACCAACATCGTGATAGCAGTGACAGGGAGGTAGCGCACGAGACCTCTGTCGTTTAAGAATGCTGAGATCCTGGCGATATTGCAGGCAGAATCTGAGACTTGGTTTTGAGAGTGGCGAGACCTTCTCTTGCAACGATGTAATGCTGAGACGGCGGTATAGTAGCACATGTGCAAGATGGCGCGCTGGATCACCACGCTCGGCGGCCTGGGGTTGTCTGTATTTAACGTGTCGCAATCTCTTGCACGATGAATATCTTCTGGGGTGGTATCGGTCCACTGCGGCGGCCGCGATTCTGGCTGTGGTCGCCATAAGTAAGCTGAAGGAGGTAGAGAATTGTACCACTCTCTCAAGGTGGACTCGAGAGGTGAGACGACAGACTCTGTTGGCATTGTAACAGTCTGCTCCGAGCCCGGACTGTGGACGGGGAAGAGCAATGCTGAAAAACCCGACCTTGAAGCTCTGTTTGGAGACCCTGAAGGTCGTCTCAAGGGGGAGTACTGGGCAGACAGTATGGTTCCTATCACAATGCAAAGCTTGAGAAACGAGATAAAGATCTCAGCCAACTCAATTTGTGCAGTCCGGTCGTAGATAGACAAATGGACGAGACAAGACGAGCGTGCATCCAAGTCTAGAGAAACAGAGGGGCTGTCGATCTCAATGTCCTCCAGCGTCGGCAATGGGACATCAAAATCCTCCCTTCGAATCCGCATTGGACGGCTCATGTAGAGGGAGATTACTCGGTCTCGCATGAAACAGCACCACCATAGACGTTTTCGAAGACTTTTCTTCCTCTGTGGGAGTGGCAAAGACTCAGGGTCCTGGTTCAGTCCCACCGTTTGGGCAAGGGAGATTGCGATGTTGACCCAATGCCAGGTTTGTTTGTGAGCGTCTTGTGTTTGCCTGTCAGACCAAAAACTCATGAGCAACACAGATTGAATGATAGTAATACTGTCACATTCAAAGTCGACATCGTATAGAAGCTATATGCGTGAGCTAGACATCGAGCGCGAAAGGGCCAATGGGGATATACTTTGCTTTTTTCAAAAAACGCCTTTCGGGCAGTCTTCAAGTTGGCGTATCCCGCCTCCCTGACCAAGGGCTCGTCCACAAACGGGACCGCAGCAAACATGACGCTGTGAAACAGCAACAGGCTGAGTTGTGGCCCAGAATGGTGGCTCCGGCTTCCATCAACCGCGACGAGGAGCTCCAAAGGATCGAGTAAAGGCAAATAAGGATGAATATATTCAAAGTAACATCGAATAGTCTCATTTCGAAGTGGTTTGTGAGGTATATTCAGGGCACCTTTGCTTCGGAGATATGATATATCTGCGTCCGTGAAGTGCTTGGGAAAGGACTGAAAATATGCTGGCAGTTCTCTTGAAGGGATGTCTTCTGGAGGTTGATTCAATGGAGTGGGTAATATCTGAAGCCTATCCAGACTCGGCGGTACGTCCCCTAACGAAGTCATTGAATTCAGGACGGCCATAGCATCGGTAGATATGTTAGTGGGGAGTGGAACGCCATTTCGGACGTTATCACCATGGACGATACAGAATGAGAGATTCTCCTGTTCCGGACTGTAGTTGAAGGGCCCTTCAAGCGCATGGTCATGGAAAGGTCTGCCTAGTCCAATATACCACTCTTTGTGCTTCCTGGAGGGATGCTTAGTATGGTACGTGCCTTCAATTAGTTACTTACCTGCCACGGCGGCATTGAGCCATGAGACAAGGTGTCTCGTCAAGTTCACAATTGCGGCATGGAGACCCACGAATAGTGACATCGCACCGGACCTTGCGCGCACGACAATTCTCACATGCTTTTCCTGCTCGACGTTGACGAACGGGCTTGAGGTGCCCCGCGACGTTCAACGCTCTCTGCGCAGGTGGAGTCATCGGAGAGAACAAAAGCAGACGTATCTTGTTTTTCTAGATCTCTGCAGGTTTCAGGGACGCCGCAACATACAAAGAAGGGATTTGGGACCAAGGGGTGAAGAGACACAAAGTTGAGGATGGTGGACAGGCGTGCTCCGTATGCAGTTCCACTTCACTGCAAGGTATTGGCAATGCAGGAACCTCACAAGTCCGAACTTAATTCGTCCGAGTCGGCTCCGTCCCCGCACTCTCCATCCTTTGAGTTTTTTTGTATAGCCGATAACCGAAAGGGTGGCTCTGGGGTACGAAACCATCCTCGAACGGATATGGTCCGCGCCAAATAGATGGCAGCCAAGCCAGCCTTGCCAAATCGAGCATCGCTATTGAAGGTGGTATTGGACAAGGGCTATGGGCCACCCTGGACTATATATCTCGTGCTGGGAGGCAAGTCGGGTCTCGAAAGTGGTGGCATCAGACTCGCACCCGCCATGGCCGACTTTTCGCATTATGGAGGCGTATCGTCGGATTGGGAACGAGTTATAGCTTCGATACCTCCAGAGCAGCTTGCAGGTGCAATACCTGTCGCGATGACTCTCGATGAATCGTTCCTGCTCAAGATACAGGAAAAGACAAATCGTGAAAGGGCTTCTCGTGCGCGAAGTGCTCTGAAAGATCTGGGTAAGTTGCTGGGCCCTTCGTCGGATCATGCTTCCAAATTGACTTCCTTGCCATTATCAAGAGACGGTCGCAGTGAATGATTACACCTGCGCCACAATTGACAATGGAAATGTGCCAATCCGTGTCTATCGACCTGCCTTGGATCAGAAGAACAGGGCATTGCCCGTTTATATCTGGTTCCACGGAGGTGGCTTTCTCTTTGGCTCACTCGACGGAGAGGACGCCCACTGTACTCAGATTGTACTTGATCATGCTGTTATTGTTGTCAACATCTGTTACAGACATACTCCACAGTGGAAATGGCCCACTCAGCATCACGATGCAATGAAGGCCGTCGACTGGGTCTTTGAAAACATGCCAATGCTTGGTGGAGAAGCGACCAAGGTCATTGTTGCGGGCCGATCCGCCGGTGCTCTTGTAGCCGCTAGCACGGTGCTTGGTGACTTGACGGCTGTAAGTCTTGTTGCATGGCACCAGCGGTGAGATTTTGCGCCTAACACGACCGAGTAGCACGGGAGGTCCAGATTCTGTGGACAAATCCTTGACATCCCCTGGCTGTGCCACTCAGCTGCTTTTCCCTACGAACTGATTGCCCAAGGGAAAGACTCGTATTCTGAAAACCTCACAGCACCAATCCTGCCAAAGGGCCTTCTTCACCGGTTTGAGACGCTGATAGCTCCGAACCCGCTAGATTCGACGTTCAGTATCCTTCTCGCTGGAGAGAAAGAAGTTACAGGCTTGCCCTCCACCCATTTTCATGTCGCAGGGCGAGACATGCTAAGGGATCAAGGCATTCTTTATCAGCAAAAATTACAGCAATGCGGGTAGGGGAGGCCTAGGAGATTTGAAAGATGTGCACTAACTGTTTGACTTCAGGGTTTCAACAACGATCAATATATACCCTGGAGTGCCGCACGGGTTCATGTATTTCACTAATCTGGAAGCAAGCCAGCAGTGGGCCAGAGACCATCGCGAGGCTGTACGTCGGTTGCTCAATGAGTAAAACAGGCGGTCCTTGAGCGCGCCATTAGGACCCAGGACCTGCCGTTCGACGTAGTACCTGATACATACACCAAAGCCAAAGCCGGTCGCTCTCTGGTAGTATTTGAATTTCAAATTCCGAGGGACGACAACTTCAATTCACATTCCCATTTAGTCGGAATATGTGATGTTGAGGATAAAGGCTGATGTGCTGGGTATATGTGGAGATTCTGTGGCTTGACGTGATGGAATCAGGATACATTCGGCGAGCCATCTGTTGACCTGAGATGGGGGTCAGGAATAGGTCGATTGGTTGAGAAATTCAGGCGAGCCTAAATGAAAAATCGATGGCACAGTCTGCACGGTACTCGACGAGTCGGTAAAGGAGTCAGACTTTGAAACGTTTACCGCAGTGCCAAGACTGGCTTGCCTAACCTAATTAGGCCAGTCCCTAAATGGCAAAAAGATCCCACGGCATACCGAGTTCTACGGAAGCCAGCTCGCCAGTTCGCAACGGCAAAGGAGACCACCGCGCCATTGGGATGACGTTTCCTGAGCAAGCTGATTAAGCACAGAATGGGTTCTGGGGTTGATTCCTTAGCTGATTGCACGCTAACTTAAAAAAAGCATGAATCAGGACTAGGACAACAAGGAAACAAGGAAACAAAAAAATGAAACTGTGGAGAAGCTGGGAATCGAACCCAGAACCTTTTCCATGCTTAGATAGCATGCTAAGGAAACGTCATACCACTAGACCACTGTGATGTTGTTAGAAGGATGATTGTGATAGTGGAAGATGTGGTAACTCACCATCCCCTGAACTCGTAATTGTTGACGAGATTTCGCAGAAATAATTATTAAACTTTCCATTTTCTTGGCGTCACCGGTGTACTCGGGAATAATCTAGTACTCAGTACTCCGTACAAAGTAACTTAGCCGAGACATTCTCGGCCCTTGGAGATTCCCCAGTGGTCGTCTCATTTCTCAGACACATCGGCTCAGTTGCCTTAAGAGGGCCGACCCCCACTGTTTTGCTCCGCACGCAACATTCTTAGAATTTTATGAGTGGCCAGCGCTCTAGTCAGTCTAGCCAATCAGGGCGGAGCCCCGATATCGGGTCTGAGGACTGAGACAATGGAGATAGAGCTGGATCACCTCGTAGACTTCCATGCTTACACCGGTCGAGCAAGTATACTTGTGCAGTACGACCAAACACCCTAACCCAGGTGTTCTCAACGCACTCCGGCATTGGCCCACCTCTTCGTGGTGCAGGGGGTGAGTAGCCAGGCGACTGGTGAAACCATCGGGCCCTCTCTCAACTCTGAGCCTTCAGTTTGTCCTGTTTCTCTTGTCGATTCCCATGAGATGTTTGATAAATACCTAGGTATCTGAGGAGGATGTTTGACCTGCTAAAGGCGTGTCAAACGACCGTTTTAGTGCGGGCTGGCCTTCGAGCCTAGCAATAAACTCAACCCGATCATATACTCTCGGCAAGCATTTGAAAGCGACCCTCAACACCGCACAGTCGTCTACCGGTCAAAAACCTCTCTCCCGATTATTCCTACAGGCTGTGTGATACCCCTTCGGCGTGTTAAGATCTTCCTGAGTGTGACCAGGCCTTTGAGCCAGCACTAAACTGAGCAAAACTTACTACGATAGCCAAAGTATCACCCGCGCTTGCACTCCATAAAGCGTGTCCCTTACCTCACTTTCCTCGCAATCGCCGCTCGTGGCCAGACGCGGTGGTCAACCAATTCACGGTGCTGAACTCTTCGGGCGTTCATGCAACAATCATCTTGACTTCAACTGGCCCTCATCCCGTTGTCAGGTATGGAAATAGCGAGGTCTCCAGACTGCTTAAGAGCGTTGCCAGTGTCTCGAAAATTCAGCGCGGGCGAATTTCTGGCCAAAATTCTCCCGTTCTAGTGTCCTGCGGTGATTTGGTCATCTCTTTGGCCTCGAGAACCCGACTCTTCCAAGGAGACCCCTTAATTCAGGCAGCTGCTCGAACTCCATTGCTCTTCAGACCAGCCCCGACCAGGTAACTTGACTTCAATTTTCGAGATCTAGGCCGCTTTCTCCTCATCAAGTCAAACCCGATCGGCAAATCTACAACCCACCCTTGGTAGCATTTTCGGTCCAAGGCAAGATATTTTGGAGATTCGAAACTCGTTTACGGTTCTTCAAAAACTACCTGCATGCTGATCGCCGTCGCCGTCTCCGACTTGGAGACATTCCTGAAGGTTCTGCTAGGTTGAGAGTGTCGTTCTCCAGCTGGGACGAATATCTTGCTACGCTCGGGGCTGGTACGGTCACAGAGTCGGCTTTGACCGACAGGGAGAAGAATCGAGAATTTCAAACGCGCATGTCACTCCTAGAGCACGAAGAAGGAATCGCGCAAAATTTATCTGTCTGCTCAAAGTCCCGAGAAGATGTCAGGAAAGTTTCAGCGAGGGAGACCAGGCATCAGCCTATCTGACGATGAGCCCCTCTCCACTGCCTTCGCAAAGCGTTTCTTCAGACAGGAGTTTAGACTACTCATCTGCCGACGGCAAACTATGGGATAGCGCTCGTCAACAGTGCACGCGGACCTTGGGATATCCACATCATCGCACCTGTTCCGACTAGTCCATCAAAAGTAGCATGGGCTACCATTGAACGACAAATGGGGCGCCAGAACCGAGGAGCATCTTGACGGAAAGGATTATCCTGTCACTTCTTTTTCTGAATGCGGCAACATACAGCGGGGTCGTGTAACGAAAGACGCGATATGGTCACTGTTTGACTATGCGACTGTCTCTGCTACACTCCTACAGGACGGTCGACACAGCATATCTGTCTACGTTTTCAAAGCCCTGTCTGAAATTGATGAGAAAACCAAGTCAATCGCTGGATGGCGGGATTGTGAAAGTTACACTTGGAACTCATCTAGACGAGGCAACCCCACTTAGCATCTACCGATCTCTCCGCGACCCTTCTCTTGCAGATGAGCAGGGAATGTATCTCAATGACAGTCAGAAGGAAGCGATTCGTTTCGGCCACCATGCTCCAGCGAGAGTTGTCCTCCGACACGGAGGGCCTGGGACTAGCAAAACACATTTCGCCATCTAGGCTGTTCGACCTTCTCTCCAAGGTACAGCCAAGCAACACCACGTCCTACTCATAGCAGCTTCGACACAAGTGTGGATTCGATGGCAATAGCACTCGACTAAGAGCTCTAGCAAATTATTACTAGAAGAGGAGGCTCAAATAGGCTATGCGTGGTGCGCCTTCACAGCATAAAGACAGAGAATTCAGCAGCTCTTCGGGAAGCAAATCTTGCAAGACAAGCGAAACTGGCTGTCCAAAAAATCAAACCTAAGGCAAATGAGGCCCCACCCACATCGCCCAATATCTGGTGAGGCTGCTACGATCCTCGCGCACCGCCAAGTCTTTAGGGAACGCAAGTACGAAGGTGTCAAGGACGAGAGGGTGAATAATATTGAGCTGTCTGCTGGGGAGGGGATGCTTGAAATCGCTGGAATACACTGCGACAGGCTGTTGAACGCTGCAGACGAGTTCACGCAATTTTCAGACTAGTATAAGCAGTTCGTCAACGGGGAGAGTTCAATGGTTCTGATTGGGAAGCTTTCGACGAGGCGCTTGATGAGCTCTTCGGCCATACTATCAATAACGCTTCAACCATTTGCGCAACCATTGGCGGAGCTGCGGACGACTTCTGCAGTAAGCACTACGCTCATGCTGAATTAATCGTCGTTGATGAACCTGCTCGAATTCCTGAATACCAAATCTGGCCTTTACTTGCCTACTATAAGAACGCTATTGGCAAAGTTTTTAGTTGGTGATCCTACCCAATTATGTCCTATGATCGAAGGCGACGATATGAAGGGCGAGGCAAAGAGGATTTTAACTCCCTTCCAATGACAGCTAGAAATATCTTTGCAAGGGCGTCTTCAGTCCGCAGGTTCCAAGTCCGACTTCTTCAATGGGCTACATCGCGCTGTGGAGAAAATTGCTACCGTTCACAGTAATATCTGCTACAACGACCTGTTGCAGCACGGTCGTACCTCGGAACTGGAAGACGATCAACTCCCTAAAGACATCATCGATTATACCCGACAGACATATGACATTGCCGAACCCGTTGTGTTTTTTTGACATACCAGACGCCACAGAAGGAAGAAATTACCAGCGGTCAAGATTTTGCAAGGAGTACGCCATATTGGTGCTCAAAATCTTGCAAAGCCTTCTCGGCGCCGGTTTCGGCACTCCCCAAAAGCCATGCGCGACCACGATCTTGACGCTGTATATAGAACAGCGGCGACTCCCCAAGATGTCAAAAGCACAAATGGAGGAAGACTATCCGGCTGCCAAGGACGTCGCCTTGCAGCCCGGCGACATTGTGCAGAGTCTGGAGTATGATCCTCCCATAGTGGATCCTACCGTCGTGCGCAGCCCCGGGTTTCTTGACGTGAACCGACTCAACGTGATGTTCTCCCGTGCCAGATACGGCCTTTACGTGGTCGGCAATTACAACTCGTGTATTGCCATGTGGCGAGAAGATTCGCGTACCTTGAGGCAATTCGCCAAGGAGTTCAAGCGAGACTCTCGGGCGACTGGGGCAAGCGAAAGTAATGAAATCTTGTCCTCACCGTTCTTTGACGATGATATGATTCAAACCTATGACTCGGGATAGTTCCGTATTTTGATCATTTGGAAGAATGCAATGATTAATGTACCGGACTTGCTTCGAGTCGCTCGATATGTGGAAATGAGACAGCATGGAGGACATGAAACTGGTTATGAGGGCAGGTTCGGATCCAAACCCAACAGGTGAATTACGGATATTGAGGTCAAGGCCTTGGTGGAATCAGGCTAATATCGAGAAGGTAATTAGGTATCCTCGGATAAGCTCAACTTGGATTACTCTGTCACAGAGCTGAAATGTAATTCTCCTTGCAGAGCGTATGGCAAGAGCTGCTGTATGATTCAGCCCCTTGCACGCATCTCAAAAAGGGCCGTACACCGGGCATGGCGGAGGTTCCATCAAGCTCACCATGTTTTCACTGCTTACTCAACGAGAGGCACACAGCCATTCGTCAGAGGACCGCAGCATCTCATTGCCAGGAGTCGAAGTGTCGCTGCGAGGCTCGCGTCTCCTATCACTTGGGGGTCCTGAGAACGAGTAACGGGAGTATATGCTTTTCGACCGATTAGCATTTGGCTTTTCAAATTTTGTCGCGGAGTTCCTGGGGAATGATGGAGGAGGTGGATTGGAGGAACTACATTGAAGGGATGTTGTCGGCCTCAGCCTCGTCCCCAGTGCAGCCTTGCACGTGGTTCAGAGTACTTCCAGGTAGATGACGGTGACAGCAACATTCTGTCAGACATTTCATTTTCCTCTTGGCTGACTCGCCATGCTGGACGCCTAAATTTCGGTTTCGGAGCGTTGTTCTCCTTCAATCTTGCAACCAATTGCTCCTTCACCCATCGGAGCAAAGCAACCAGACCGGACGCATAGTTTTACAGACAACTCGGAGCCTTCGAACGTTTGGATCGTGCTCGCAAATGGCGCATCAGGCTTGTCCTTGAAATGGCTTCCTCGAGAGCCAGTCAGCATGCAGCCGTCTCACCAACCTCACGATGGTAAAGGCAACGGCCGTTCCGCCTGCGATCGCTGTAGGCGTCACAAGCTCCGGTGCGAGCGCTCTTCGGACTCAGCACAGTGCCGTCGGTGTTCGAAAGCCAACGTTGCATGTGTAACCGGAACGGCTCTCAAGTCAGGACGTCCACCGCAGAGGCGACAACCTTCTGATGCTCCAGAGATTTGGTCTCTACATCAGACGCTTCAAACACCCACTGCTATCCCGGACACTGATCCTGGCATTGGCCGAGAAATGCAATTGCCGCTGTCGTCGGTAAACATTGCCGGGTTCGAAAACGGTTGGCCAGGCAGCATGCAACAGGACATCGGTGCACCCCAAGCATTTCAACCTCTAGTCAATACCTACCAGCCACTATACTCGCATGTTATCCATCACAATGACTGCCTGAAAAGGCTAGGGGACCTGCAGACGGAAATCCTTGCTGATCTAGAGCTTGCAAAGGCATGCAAAACAGCGACTGACTGCCCTCAATTGGCTCTAACTACCGACCTGGAGTACAATTCTTCTTTCCTCGTCGGTCGAATGCTTGAACACTCGAAGACTCTACTCGGCATCTTGGATTCTTTTGGGTCAATGCCCGCGGCGCCAACTTGTTTCTCGGACGCCGACTGCCTTGCCGCTGGAGGGACTCCTACTGGCAGCCTACATTGCGACGTCCCGACAACGTTCTCTCTTTTTTCGAGCTATATCTGTCTCATCCGCATCTACCGCGTAATTTTCTCTTGCATTCACGACTCGATGCCTGCTCTGTTAGGGCTGCAACAACCGCTGCCTCAGCTATTTCCCGGCATTAACTTGGCAGGTTTCTCCCTCGAGACGCGCCTCGATCTGCAAGTTCAGATCCTCGTCCAAGTCAGTGAAGATATGCTCGCGAAGCTAGAAGCCAGATTTGGTATTGGCGAGGGTACCGCCCCCAACCAAGGAATTTTCGAGCCGACGAGAGCCGGTAAGATGCTCAGCATGATGCTGGAGGAAGAAGCCAATGAGCAGCCTCCGTTATATGAACCTCGAAGCCCCTGCGAGCCTCTGAAAAATATCCTTGCCAATCTGAAGCGAATGATCAACGCTGAAACTTCAAAAAGCAAAGACTTTTGAATGCTGAGTTTCGGGGGATTTACGTATCCTCTGGGTGGATCCAGGCCCCTGGCATGAGAAAAGTTCCGATTCCACTTCACGCTCGACCCGAGAAGCAATAAAAACAGTTGCGAGGCCCATGCTGTCTGCCTTGAAGCCAAACATCATCCACGTCCTTCCGGAAGTCCAACCATTACACTACCACCATGGCAACCTCTCCTCCGGAGCACCAAGGCATGTCTGCTTTGTGGTGGAGCGCGCGGGCAAGATTCCCCTTAACACCCCAACCTCGCGCAGCAAATGGCAACCAAACGACTGACTGGCTCTAGAATCCACCAGAGAACCCTCACACTTCCTTTTCAGACAAGATTGTCCTCATCACTGGTGCCAATGCCGGTCTCGGTCTCGAAGCCGCAGCCAAGTTCGCGGCTCTGGGTGCCTCGCGTCTCATTCTCGGCGTCCGATCGATACGACGTGGGAAAGAAGCGAGAGAACACATCTGCCGACGATCTGGTTACAATGGTGCAAACATACAACTGTATCGGCTCGACATGAGCACCTTCGAATCAGTCAAATCGTTCGCCGAGAAAGTCTGCGCGAACGAGTCTCGACTCGACGTTGCGGTTCTCAACGCGGGCATGGCGGCGCCTTCTTACCAGCTGTCTCCTGAGGGGTTTGAGATGTCGCTGAACGTCAACGCTCTATCGACCGCTCTCCTGGCGATTCTGTTGTATCCCGAGCTCCGGAAATCGGCGGAGATGTCTGGCGAACCATCACATCTCGAGTTTGTTGGCAGTGTCGGCCATCGCATGGTCAATCCTGACGCACTCGATGCCGGCCTTCAGGATGGATCGAGCGTGCTGGATATCGTTAACGACAAGAAATTCTTCGACGCCGAACGGCAGTACTGCACCACCAAGCTCTTGCTGATGTATGTCATGGATGGACTCGTCGCAGCAGCAGCACGCGCAGCAGCGTCTTCCTCGTCAACAGATCACAAGGATCCAGAAGTCATCATCACGACTTGCTGCCCGAATCTGTGCCGCACGAACCTCGGCCGCGACTTTTCCCTCCTGCTCAAACTGCCGACTTACTTGTTCCAGCTCGTCTTCGCCCGCTCAGCCGAGGAAGGGAGCAGGATTCTCGTCAGTGGGACAGCCTTGGGGAAGGAGGCGCATGGAGAGTTCTGGAGTCACGATGTCTTTGACAAGTAAGTTTAACATCTTTACCTACCTCCACCACTGCGCCTGAGGGAGAGTCCGTCCTGACTCTAGTCACACAGGAAGGGCGAGCTCGTTACGAGTCCGAAGGGCAAGATGTTGCAGAAGAAAGCCTGGAGCGAAATGGTCGAGGTTCTGAGGAAGCATGTTCCGCGTAGCGAAGAATACCTCCTACAGGATTGATTCTAAGCATAAAGGATACCCGCACAAGGCCGAAAGAAACGTCAAAGCTCCTCAACAAAGCAAGCTGGTATTGATCGGAACATAGAATTCCGCGGCACCATTTAACCTGAGTTATACTTCCCATCTACGGCAGCCTTTTCGATCCTCGATTGGTGCCTGCTCGGCCCTACATCCTACACACAATTAGCCTATGTTGTGTTCCATTGCGCTTAATACCGGTTGACGTTGTCTTGGATCACCTGATACATCGGGTCTTCACTTTTCAGGTGACATTTTAGGAAAGACGTCCATATTGAATTCCGAGCCAGGCTTTATATTGTAGAAATGGGAGTGTTCTCCTTTCCGCGAGTCACTCAACATCGAAAAGACTCCCTCGCAGCATGTCTCATCTTGGGAATATACTGCTGGAAGGTGACCACGAGATTGGGCAGGGAAGAGACATCCGAAGGTGAGGGAAGGGCGGACACCATCCGACCGGCGATTTGGTTCCCGAGTTTCGGAGTCTCATTCGCCGGCCCGGCGGAAAGCTAGTTCTCCTTCGTTCCACCTCCGTTCATGTCGGCTTTGGTGATTCATTGATTGATCGATTAATGTACTTTGCTTGTCATCTCTCCGGAGAGACTGGATAGAATGGCAGCGACTGCTAGCTTGCAACGGCTACGTGCCTTCACAACATGCGACGTGAGTTCGAATCGGAGCCTGGGAAAGGGGGCCTTTGACCGCTAAACACAGCTCGTTTCAGATCGGCGACGCACTGGTCAAGCTGAAATACCCATTCGGGGGCTTTCTGGACGGGATCAGGATGTATTCGCCAGATGCTGCAGCTGCAACAACGACAACCTTTGGCCCAGCAGTGACGGTGAGGATGGTTGAGATGAGTGATCGGCACGCCCCGAGCCCTCCAAGGCACTTTGCCGACTGCAACGAGCCGGGCAAGATCATGTACATCCAGCAGCCAAAGGGGCTCTACTCGGCCTGCTGGGGCGGACTGATGTCGACGCGGGCCAAGCACATGGGCGCCGAAGGCGTCATTATCGACGGCCGAATGCGCGATGTCAGAGAACACCGCGAGATGGGGTTCCCGGTAAGCATGAAACCCCCCCCCCCTTCCCCCCCCTTTCGAGCCCCGTCGTTTCTCCGCTGCTGTGAGCTAACTAACACACAACCTCCAAGGTCTTTGCCCGGGACACGTCCATACTGGGTTCCAACACCTTTACAAGAGCGTCCGAAGTCAACATCCCTTTGCAGTTTTGTGGGGACTTGTGGATTCATCCCGGCGACATCCTCGCGGGTGACTGTGACGGAGTTGTCGTTGTGCCTCCTTCGTTGATAGACCAAGTCGTCGCCCTGTGCCAGGAACGGGCGGAGATCGACGAGAAGACCTTTGCGGCCCTACGAGCGGGAGAGGAAATGGGTCCAACCATCAAACGGCTTAGAAAAGAGTGAGAGATGCCCAACGTCGTCCTTGTAGATTTTAGCGGTTATTGAATCAGCTTGCTTCTGTTCGTTGGAGGCTCAGGGTCTTGTCGTTCGAAGTCTGTGAACAGTGCGTAGAGCATCGAGACTCTGTAGCCGTTGACAAAGGACGGTGTAAATGCTCTGCGGGAGGTTCGGGATATCCTCTACGGGTATCCGCCTCCGACCTGCCCTGTCGTCCTCCATCTTTATCTAGGAAAGGGTGCAAGTGTCATGTTCTCAGCCCTAAGGGAAGCCGAAAACAAGACAGCGATCAGAGAGTACCTAGGATTGAGTACATCTACAGTTCCGTCTTCCCACCCCTCCAACTCGCATGACCCGTTGGGTCCCTCGCAATGCTCTCCCACTCTCTAGCCTTCTCCAACCCTACACCATCAAACCCGTACTTTAACCAAGTTGCCTCGACGGCCAACTTGGCATACTTCTTGGCCCCTCTCGCACTGCCTACCCTATTATATGCGAGTGCGGCGTATCCGTACGCTGAGTCTAGAAACCCGTCCAGTCCCTCGGCTTTGTACAGGTTGATGAGCATTTCGGCTTGCGTGACGCCAGCGGTCGAGTTAGGTTGAGAGAGCTCCCATTGCAGTGTGACAATATCGTGGGTGGCTCTGTCGGAGTCTCCTATAGTGCGTTTTTTGTTGTAGGAGCTAGGTGAGCAGCGTTGACAAGTGCATGTAAATTGGAATATAGATTGGAAGTATTGCTGTCGATCGGCGTGTAGGCGAAGAGGTGGCGCATAGGAGATTGTGATTTCCTCATCCTTTTTGATGGGGCGCACGGCATGAATGTATTGTGTTAATAAGTCGATGGAGAGGAAGTATTGTGCGCTATAAAGGTCAGTTCCAGGTCAACATAGCGGATGTAAAGAGAAAAAAAAAGAGGGGATAGCGAAGAAGACATACTTTGGCGCGCAGGCATGATTAATCCTCGAGGCCTCTGGGAACACAGCCGGATGCATCAAGCCGCCAATCTTCATGTTAAATGCATTCGCTTTAAGTACATCCTGAACCACGACGTCTGGCTCATTGTAAATCTTGGCCAAGGCGAGATATGCATCTCGACTTGCCGATGGGAGTTGGTCAACAGCCAGCCTGAGCAATTTCTCCCGATCCTCTGCGAAGGTGAGGTCGTCTATATGTGCAAGAAGATAAGGCGTATAAGCCGTAATTAGATCGCCACGTTCGAGAGGCCGAGAGGCAAACATGCCCATGCCCTTGCCGGGAACAGAGGCTACGTACCACGGCCGATGTTTGGTATCTGTATCAAGGTTGATGCCCTTTGAGGACAGTGCTGTAGGATCTTGAAAGGGTGGTAGAGATGCGAACTCCGGCGCGAGTCCAGGTCTGGTGAAGATAGAGATCCCTCGTCCGTTGCTGAAGGACGCATTTGTGTAGACGCAGAATTGATCTTTCTCATCGAGATGCGCCGTGCAGATTGGCTTGTGCGTCCAAGGGAAATATGAGCTCAGGCTCTCCTGCTTTCCGGACGCAGCCGGCTTGATCAGGTCGTCGTGCTCAGGGTCGACGACTATCTCGCTCGGTGTTGTTGACGATTCGTCCTGCGAAGGAGGCGCGGTCTGCTCGCTCGAAGCAACCAGTGAAACAAACTGAGAAAGAACACCTAATGAGATTACATTGAGCATCATCTTGGCCAGATATCGAGACAATGATATCAAAAGCACCATATTACGGCGAGAAAGGGGGACCGCAGCAACGACCGAAGGTGGTGCAAGATACCTGATGGTTGAAGTCCATTTTAGATCTTGAAACACTCGGGCACCGATCTGAGTGTTTCACATTCGACGTCCCCTTGTCTCGTGTTTAAAGGGGCCACATAAGAATGCTGACTTTACAGCATGCCATCGTCGAGACTTCTTTTTATGTACAAAGCCAACTTCCCAAGTATATGTATATCCTTGCCTGGGATACAGGAACAGCGAGACTGAAAGAGGTTGAAGTTGCACAGCCTTGTCTTGGCAAGATCACTCACGTGTCAACGCCGGACGGCTATATCACTTTCATCACTTTGCCGAGGCAATTCGATGCTTTGCCAATCAAGTATTACCCGGTGAGATTGCACATAACTAATCATAATCCGCGCAGTTAAAAAGGTGGCCAAGTAAGTTACATATATATCTGGGAGGTGACCAGAACATCCTCGAGCTACGGTAAGGGACACCCATATCGTCTCTTCTTATCCTCCTCAGATCTGGGCTATCTTTATATCTTGCGACCTTTAGGGGAGGCTCTGTTTCTTGGTAATTTCGAGGACTTCTCGGGCCTAGTCACCACGGACGTGACTGTCTGAAGAAAGAGACGACAAGACTACGGAGAGGCCCTGCGGGAGAAAGCTGCGAAGAGACACAAAAGGAAGAAGAAAGAAACTTCAACTCAACTCAAGATGGCGACCGAGGGCAAGCCACTTGCCTTGGTGGTCCTGGTCCATCCAAAGACAACCGAGAACCGGGATAAGGTGGGATTGACATTCATCTCTTTTCCCCCTCTCCCACGTCGTCGTTTTGGTTTGGGCATATCGCGAGTTCCCTTCTTTAGGGCTTTCGAGTTCGATCGAGCTCTGACTCAGACTTGATTCATGTCTTCTTTGCGAGGTCATTCGGAGAGGCAGCGTGAGAAAGAGATGTGATCGATCTGGCCCAGGAGTCGGGTGGCCTGCACGCAGGACCCTCCATATTCCAAGAGGAAAAGGAGGGGGAGATAATACTCCATTCTCACTCTGATTCTAACGCACACTAACTGACATTCCCTCTCTCCAGGCCCTCCACCTCAACGCCTCCGTGACGCCCTTCTTCCGGCGTCCCAGCACACAATGCACGACACGCAGCATCTTCACGCCGGCGACGCGCCCGAAGGCGAATCTGGGGATGGTGCCGGCGGCGGAGAAGGGCAGCATGTTCGGGGTGGTCGAGATCTGGACGTCGCCGGCCGCGCTGGCCACGCTAAAGACCACGGCTCCACCCGAGTACAGGCAGTACCACTCGACCGTGGCGCGGGAGGGGCTGTACAGCGCCGAAAGGGACATGGATATCTCCGAGTGGACGCCCTGTGCAGGGTTCGTGGCGCGCAAGGGCGAGAAGGAGACGCCCAAGGCCGGCATCGTCATGCTGGCCAAGTTCGTCTGCAAGGACGGCGAAGGCATGAAGGACGGGTTGGTCAGTGTTATTGGGTATGTCCCCATCACAGCGCGCGATTTCGCCGTAAATCACTACCCCCCTTCCTCCTCCTGCATTTATTTACCCCTCTACCCCCATTTCCTCTCTTTCTCGCCCTCACCCTCTCGGATGAGGTCATCCTCGACCCGACTGACACTATTCAACTAACGCGACCAACCTCCCCGCCAGGAAATTCTGCGACTGGGTCGAAGCCAATGAATTCGGGACCTTGACGTACAGCGTGATGACCAGCGCCACAGCGCCCAACGAGGTCCTCCTGTTCGAGCGGTACAAGGACCTCGCGGCGCTGGGCGTGCACGGCAAGACGGCCGAGTTTAGAGCCATGTTGTAAGTACACACTCCATCCGTTTGCAGTACTCCTACACGGGTGCTGGCCTGCTAGCCTCACCAATCTATATCTATCTATGCAGCCCAAGCGCCCAACTGACGCATGTTTGCTGCCACAGCAAAGGAACAGGCCGCTTCATCCAGGTGAAGAAGACGGTGCTGAGCGAGTGGGAGGAGCTCGAGGGCTCGTTCGTCTCGAACCAACCCGGCGGCGCTGGGGTCGGCGGACAGGCGAAGCTGTAAGCCCTGCATAAGCTGGGCGGAGTAGCCGGGGACGTAGAGAATATAGCTCGCTGCTCGCGGTGTGGAATGGAATAGAACAAAACAAAATGAACCTGCTAACGCACGGAATCGCAATGACGCTGGGACTGGTACCGGTTCTAGTAGAGTATAGTGGCCAGGACAGATCTTAGTTGTTTGGGGTGGTCGCTACAAGGCTGGACAAGGCTAGATAACAATAGAGACGGACTGTGCGCAAACATATTACCGGCGGAGCACAAACACATTCAGCGATCTTACACGTGTAACTGTTGGACAGGATCATTCAATGCAGTTCAACGTCGACTTCTAAGCCTTACGCTTCGAATCTCATGATTGCGATGTATTCACAAGCGAAGGATTGCATATGGAATACATCCTACTCGGTACAGCACTCATAGCTATGCTTAAATGCTCATTTCCTTCCTCTGGGGCAATATTCTCGATAGCTCCAGCCACCCATAGTTCCAGCGCCTCTCTTTCAATATTATACCTTCATTATGGTGTGTGATATAGGCTGCACGTCCGCCTGTTGTGCACCTGCCATAACCCAAATCCCTCCAAACAATCCAAAGATCGTTTCCGATTCGTTCGAACATTCCAACAACCCGCATTTGGGGCAAAAAGTCCCCCCTTCCTTCATATTTCGAGAACGCCATGACGGCCCATTATCCGTGTCGCCGTGTATGTCTATGCTGGAGGTTCAAACTTCTCCGTTGTATGTACAAGTTTTAGGCCGAGTTGCTTCCATGGAAGTGCCTGATGGATAGGTTTAGCCCCGCTCCATTAATCCAGTCTTGAACTGTCACAAATTGAAACTGACAGTCGTCGACATGCTCGTTGCATCATTAATTTTGGTGTTTCTTCCGTCTCAATAAAAGAATGCCGCGACAAATACTAACGCGGTGAAGGCAGTGGTGATGGAGTATTCCAATTCGAAGAGGACCGTTTGTGGAGCAAACGCGATTTTCTTCGCCTCTGGGGTCGGGTGTGCGACATTAGTCTTCGGGTCGCGTATCAAAAGCTCCTCGCGATCCGGGCAGTTGGGAGGGTCGCAGGCATAGGTAAAGGGGATCCAAAAGGATGAGCACACAATTAACCACGCCAATGGAGGCTGCGTGTCCAAAGTCAGTATGTGCAAGGTAATCAGAGTTCTGAAATGTACTTACCCAGAATGCGTGCGTCAGGAGACCGACAAGCTTCCCCCTCAGAGAATGCTGGGTTAGGAACGTTCGATATGATGACAGCGTGACGGCAACGAGGACAAAATAGACATAAGCCACGTGAAAGCCAGCTAGATAATTGACGCAAATCGTCCAGATGCGCCGCCACATAGGTGCTCGCCTTTTGGGATCTCGCTCATTCAGGGCAGACTTGATCGACCCGGTCGCTTTGAAAGCTTGTCTTTGTCCACCCAGCCAAGTCGGAAGAACAAACGATCTGATGATGGTGAGGGAGATGTACGGGGCCATCCAGAGCTGATACCGGCTTCCTCTTTGCCCAGTGGCGTATCCGGCTGGTATGAAGAGGACAAACTCGCACAACCTGTTAAACACCATATTGGCAAAACACACACGAATCAACCACCGAAGTTGCGTATCGTTTGCATATGCAACGAGTGGCTTGTTGGCGATCAGGACAATCGGCATGGCGAAGATGGAGAGGGTGAGGAAGATGTTGAACAAGCTGAGAAAGGCGTAGATGAAGCTGGACGACCGCTGCGCAAAGGTCATATGCTTGACCTTGTCACCCCACAGGCAGAATCGAAGCTTGAAGGCAGTGTCAACTGTGCCAATGGCCCATCGTGTACGCTGCTTGAGATGACCACCGTAATCTTCGGGCACGGTGCCAAACTGCAGAGCCTCATGGACAAAGGCCGTCTTCCAGCCAGAACCAAGCAGCAGGGTACTTGTCGCCACATCTTCTGCCAGTGATCCGCAGGGAAAGTTGCCAATCTGCGCTAGAGCGGTAGTTCGAGCCACATATCCAGAACCTGTGCACCATGCCACCCCCAAAGCGTCTTTGACCGGTTCAGAAACGTGGACGAAGAAATCCAGACTTTGGCAGAGAGGATCGTCTCTTGGAACGTTGTAAAAGAGTTGAGGTGGACAAGCGAGACCCATTTTGTCATCGATCAGCAAATGGGGGAGAACAGCTCTCAGCCATTGTTGTTCGGGTATCATATCGGCATCCAAAGCGGCCATAAACTCCGAGGCGCCGCCCGGCAAGCTGTGAACGGCGTCCAGTCCGTAGTTCAGATTGCCAGCCTTGAAATGGTGAGGGACGTTGGGGAATTTCGGGCGGCGCATGTAGTAAACATTCGGAAACGTCTCGCGCATCTCTTCCAGCACGTTCTTGAGGGGGTCTGACTTGCCATCGTCGAGCAGGATGACGCGAAATCGATCTTGAGGGTAATCCAAGTCACAAGCTGCGCGAACCGTGTCGAGAATGAGATCGTCGTCCTCGCCACAGCACGTGATAAAGACGTCGACAGTAGGCACGTCATTCCCGACGAGTCTCAGCTTTGGTCTATGCCGTTTCTTGATGATAAACAGGGACCACAACGTCTGCATGAATATCGGTATGGCAATAGAGATTTCAATGGCCACAAAGACCCACGCCAATGGAAATGGGGCCTTGTAATGGCGTTGGGCGTCGACAATGAAGGTAATGCGCAGGCCAAAGTAGAACCAGTATAACGAGAGGGAAATCAAGCACAGGAGCGGGGCTACCCAGCGGAAAAGCCATCTCTTCCTGCCCGACAGGAACTCTTTGTCGTCTCTCGAATGTAGTTGGGCGATTGAGCCTTCTTTGACCCAGTCTCGTTTGAAGTAAGTCGAGGGAGCGTCGGGAACAAGGGGCTTTAATGTTTCTTGACTTCGCTGTGGACTGGTCAGTGGCCATGCTCTCGAGAGAACGGGCTCGACTTACGAAAGGAGACGGTACCGGATAGGGAGACGAGCTTCGCGTCTGCGACTCGGAATAGGTAGAACCTGCTCCAGGAGCAAACAGGGGGAATCCTCCACTAGGCGGTTCCAACGCACTGTCGGGTATGCTCTCTGTCATGAGATCTGAGAGGGTTCTGTTATGAAGGTCTGATAAACCTGGTCTCCGCGAAAGCCTGGGCTGATCGAGGGACACGCTTTCTCTATAGCTCCCATAGACCGGGTGGACTGTCATGGGCTTTTCAACGAACGACTCTTGACTTTCCCGTAGCGTCGAGGGTGCCGATACGGTTGACATCTCGGTCATGGGCGACTGTTCGGATCTCCTTCGATCCGCTTTGCGAAGAGGAGGCATGGTGGGAAGAACGAGGCCGTGTACAGGGTAGGGTGGGATGCAAGGGTGAAGCTTTGAGCAGGCTCTGGCCGGGAATGCGTCTGTCGTGTCACTGAACGAGCGTCTTCATCGTCCGTTTCTCAAGATCGATCTCGTGTGCTAGCTGATCTCCTCTGTCGTTCCAGCGTGGTTGATTAAACAATTAACGAATGTCTGAGCGAGTGTGTTAAGCAGGAGCCGAGGCCTCTCGACGACGTTGAGCCTGGTGAATATACAAAACGAGGGATAAGATAGATAGAGCGAGGGAGGAATGGCAAATTGCACGGGGAAAAGTGAAGAGTGATGGTGGGAGAGTTTGACAGGGTGACAGCCTGGGCTTTGTCCGAGAGGAGGCGTGCCTGTCCTGCGCTCCAAGGACTTTGTTAGGTGCGCATTGAACGACCTTATCATGTCATAGTGGAGTGGTTGGGGCTAGTGGGCTTGCAAGTGGGAAAAAGTCCCAGCCCGTACCAAGTAGATCACCAGCGTCACCACCGCGACATGGCGGATGGCCGAGAGGAGCGCGTCAACCCGGGAAGGCTGGGGGGGGGGGAGGAGGCAAGCCAAGGGGGGAAGAAGAATAGGTGCTAGTCGGCTGGGGAAGACTGGGTTACGAGGTCTTTGGGCGATAACGTGGTGACGGGGGCAGCATGGGCAGTTCCTGAGGGCCCTCACCAGCCTATCTTGACAACCTTGGTCCCGGAGCTGGGCGAACAAGGCAATTTTGGAAAAATGCAAATTGGCAAACGCGGGCGCAAGTGATGAGGCTAGCAGCAGGGCAGCAACCAAGCGAAGCCAAGGGGGGACCTTCAAAATTGAAAAACAAGCCCAACCATAAGCAGTTTAGGCACTCACGCCTAAGGCAAGCGAGAGTGGGCTGGGATCCATTAGGCCCTTGATATAGGTTAGGGGTGCTGCATCAGAGGGCCATTGACGCCACTGGCGCGCCAAGGGCTGCAAATCTCAGGCTGACAGGGGGGGTGACAGGCACTCGCAGGCACCTCACAGGCAAAGATTGCTGAAACGGGGCTCCAACCTGCCAGGGCCAATGCTGGGCTCGGGTTCAATGGCCGGATGGATACGCGGCCAACGCCAACGCGGCCCACGGGCATGTCGACCACTTCTTTTTTAAAATCTTGCCCGAGACTGAAACAAAATAATCACTCTGCACTTGCCACATTGCATTGTTGGTCGCTCTACTGGGTACTGGGTACTCGGTATTCAACCACTGCAACCTGCTCCTGCGCCTCTTCCAGTTCTTTCCAGCCGGGAAGGAAGCACGCGTCTCCCGTCCCCCCTCGCCCCCAGCTGCCCACCTCTTTCTTCACCCACCCGTCATAGTCACGGTTATCATCTATTTTTTTCCCATTCTCAAATCAAGACCGCTTCGTCCAAGGGCATCCATTCATTTTCCAGCATCGACTCCCACTGTCGCTCACCACCCGCCCTATATAATCAATCTACCCAGTACATATTCCATCTATTAATCCATCTGGTCCTCTAAAGCAATTCATCAACACCAACACCCCCCCTTTTCCTCCCCGGCAATATGGGTCTCAGATCTCTCGTCTCGTTCGGCTTTGTGCTCATCCCTATAGCTGTCACCATCAGCGTGCTGCTCGGAATACAAGCATATCGCGAATCCAAAGGACTACCTTCAAACCCCTTTGTGGACAACTCGATCAAATCATCATTATATTGTCAAAAGGCTTTCGGTGTCACTCCGTATACAAACGGCCAGCAGTACACATTGTGAGTGTCTAATGTTGCCTCCCCCCCCCCCCAAAAAAAAACCAATGGGCACGATTGCCTCGTCTCCTTCTGCACAATTATCAGTACCCCTGTCATGTTTGACAACTTTAAGTTGTCAAGGTTTTTCGTGTTCCTGAACCATCTCCCAGTTGGGCATGGCTTTGGGCTCCCTGGCAAGGATCCGCTATCTGCAGGGATTTTGTCCGGTTCTCCCAACCTGGATATGCCTTCCGACCTCCGACATTGATCGGCCAAAATGACACCGGCACCAATCATTGTTCGTCGAATGTTAAGTCTGACGTGGCCATTCTTTATAGGAACCCGAATCAGTGGGCTCTTCCAGATGGCTATACTGGACCAGGAGGGTTGTGTATGAATGTAAGCCAACAACACTGACTATATCGAGAGACTGTCACTGACGATATGCATAGGTTACGACATTCGATGTAAGTCTCCTGAAGACAGACTGCAGGGGCTTCGTCACGAAGGCTCGGTCGTTGTCTGTCCTCTGATGTGATACTGATGATAAGCAGAACGGGAGCTATCCGACAAAGACCTCGGCCGCAGAGTGGTCGATCACTGTATGTCATTTCTCTGTTTGATCAGGTTCATTTTGGACGTGCCATCTTCATTCGAGATCGGCATCTTGTCGACCAGAGACTGACAATGATTTGCAGTGGCAGTTTCCTCGTGGGCCCCCGACCCAGCCCGTTCACGCATTCCCCAACATCAAACTGGACTCGACCGTTTTCCCGATTGAAATCTCGCAGGTCTCAGCCATCAACTTCGAGACTGAATGGTACTATGGAGTCGGCGATGACAGGCCCAATGTCCTGAATGTCGCCGACCTAACTGCTGCTCAACTTGACGCCAATGTCGCCGTCGACATGTTTTTGGACTCGGATCCCAAGAAGGCCACCGACACCGTGCAGGCCAAGTATGAAGTCATGATCTGGCTTGGGCAATTTGGAGCGTCGACCCAGCAAATTGGTCTACCACAAGGAGCAATCGCAACACAGGTTGTCAACGGAACGACTTTCTCCTTATATTCCGGCGTGAATGGTCTGGGCCAAAGCGTTCTCACGTGGGTTGCAAGCAATGCTGCGGGTGGAGTTCAGACCTTCAACGCGGATATAGGTCCATTACTTCAAGGTCTGACCGGGTTGGGAGGCCCTACTGTGAATGGTAAGCATCGTCGAAATCCTGGTGCAAGGTTCTGGAGTTTGATCTCCTCATGTGAATACTCCACTGTGCAAACACTCATTGCTAACAAAATATATCTTAGACTATCTCGGCTATATTGCGTTCGGCTCTGAAGCCCTTGATTCGGCGTCCAATGTCACTTTCTACAATAAGGTCCTATCCATGGATGTGGTCTCGTGATAATGGCCGTGGGCGACCGTCGAAAGAAGCAATTAAGAGTGAAATATGGTACCATGACCACGACAACATCAATCAATGTCGACCGTATCTTACAGAACTCACGTGGTCCAAGCCCGGAAGAGGACAACCTAGCACAAACATGGTCGATGATTCGGCCAGCGAAATCAGAAAACGACTGCCACCACGACACGGATAGCTGCGATCTGCCCGACAGGAAATTGCAACTTTCGGAATAATAAGACGCGCTCCTGTTCACGGTTTATGTCCAAAAAGTTTTGCGATCACCATGCGCACAGCCTCTTCACGTCCTTTCAAAATTTTAACCCCTAGAAAGGCAACTCTACAAAGCCTCATCGCATGGACGGGGGTCGACAAGCTAATTTGGGAGAGGTGAAGACCACGAGGCGCGTTGTGGCCGTGGTGGTGATATTGGGATAATTATTTCATTGTCATCCTGTCTCTTGGTCATGATGCAACCATTGCGAATGCCACACGCCGACGTCACGGTGAGACATGCAGAATCAAAATCTCACCCAAGCGACAGGGGAGGGGTGATGTGGGCCAGTCAAAGCTACGAGGATGTTTCCCAGGCACAGGAGCCCAACTGAACTTGGCCGTGCTCGGTGGAACGCATCCGACTCTCCACCGGAGAAGCGAGCCGGGTCTGAGAGTGATGAATGACGTGGCTGGCATTCCAATCAACAAATGTGTTTAGGTATTCGATGGCGCCATTGTGAAATACTATCGCGCCTCGACACTGGCGACGGACCGCCCTCAACTTGGAACAGGGGCGCAGGCTGCTGTCAACTCCATCAAAACCCCCAATGAGCAGGGCGGCTCCGATTGCATGCAGTAGAGCTCGCCCGGCAGCCTTGGATATGTATGTACTTGATATCAATAACAAGCTTATCTGAAGGTCCTTGTCAATTTTTCATGCAGCTAGGGTGAATCTAGGCGAAGATGCCTGGGCACCCAGTATCAGGCGTGCCTTTTCTTATCGAGGAGCCGTTTGTTCCTGCTGTACGAGGTACTGTTTGTATGTACTTGTAAGCACTTTAAAGTTGCTCCAGCCTCCCCAGATTTGTTAGCCTTATCGCTTCCCGTACGGAGGATATCACGCGACCTCACCACCAGCGACTAGGAATTAGGACTGCTGCATTTCCATTCCTCATGCAAGAGGTCGGAAAGCTCAGTCAAAGCTTCGTCCTCTACCGGATCCAGTAGATTAGGGCTGTTATGCTAATGGTGAGTAAGACGGACTACGGAATTCCGATGGCGGGGTCTCCGGGCTTGTTGGCTGGGCGGTCAAAGTTAGTACATAAATCCACAGGTCTATTACAGTAGATACAAACGGAGGATCTCCAAACACTAACTGCTGTCCACAAGTATACATATGATAGGGCTAGACCACGCTGAGCTGACTCCTGGCAAATGGGGTCCATGATTCCCAGACTCTCCCGTTGCTATCGCTGAGCAAGCACTCGTCTAGCCCAACAACAGTCGAGTCAAGTCGGCGCGAAACGATTCGCAGTCGTACCGTCTCCGCGCGGAAGACTCGACCTGAGTCCTCATGCACTTGTACTCCGTACTGGTAGGTCGGTCAGTCGGTCAATCGGGCAGTCGGACATGAATTCTCCTCTCCATCCATCGGAGGATGCACCAAAGGTAGAGGCAAGCCGCACAAGAGTCTTGACATCTCATCGTCGGGACCTGCACGGCGGGAGACGGGGCTGGACCTCCTCCATGTACCGAGTTACTACGCACCATGTGCTCGTTACAGAGTACCCAGTATCTCGTAACCCAAACAACTGCCCGAGGTATATACGGCTAGGTGGGGAGGCTGCTGGAGTACAACACGGGTGTGAAGACGGAGCGGCTTTGGGCTAAGCAAGCAAGCAAGCAGGCAGGCAGGCAGGCAGGCAGGCAGGCAGGCAGGCAGGCAGGCAAGTAGGGAAGACTTCTTGAAGCTTGTATTGACATTTGCACCTTCATCTGGCTTGACCTATGTACTCCGTATTAGTAAGGCTCGAAACGGGCTGGACCGGAGTTAGGTGGATGGTATGGGTGGGAAGGGAAGGGATACAGCTGTGGACTACGAAGTACTACATATCTCTCCCTACTCTCCTGATACTCAGTTCATCTTCGCACGCACCAATCTCCCCTCCGTCCTCCCGTCGATCCTAACGTCGAACCTCACCGTGCCGTCCTCCCCAGCAACTTCTTCTTTACCCATCAAGCTGTACTTCTGCCGGGGTTGGCACTGCTTGAAGCCCAAGCTGAACACCCCCGGTTCCCGTCCATTGTACAGCACGAGATCTACACTCTCGCCGTCGCGACTATAGCACTTCGCAACTAGGACATCCGGGAACGGCACGTCGTCCAGGATCGGAGCCTTGAGGACCTGCGCGGGCGGGCCGCGCTGGATCATCTTGGTCCAGTCCTGGAACCTGCCCAGCCTCGCGCGCAGCGTGGTCCCCTGCCACAGCGTGCTGACACCTTTGTTCTTCAGCGCCCCGGTCTTGGTCTGGAAAACCGGGTGGTACTCCTCGTCGATCTGGCGGAGGAGTTCCTGGCGGAGCGTCTCGTCGCCGTACTCAGCGGCCGCGGTCGCACAGATACAGCGGATCGCCCCCTCGCCGGACTTGTAGTTGCCCGCGTCGAGCATGTCGGCACCCAGGAGGTTACAGACCTCCAGGCGGCCCTTTTCGTTGTACTGGAGTGTTTCTCTCTTGGCGAATGCTAACCCACCCAACGTTATTGACTGCTTTTGTCTGATGTTGTATTGGTGACGAGATGACTTACCCCAGTTTCGGTGTGCGATGTGAGGGAGGTACGAGGCGCAGAGAAGCGAGTTCACCATGTCAGACATGGCGCCTGCGAGGCCAGGGATCTTGGACACGCTCTTTGTCAGTTTACGTTGTGCTGGGAACGTGAGGTGATAGCCGTACCGTGAAACCCGTCAGTTCGCTGCGAATGGGCAAAATGGTCCCATCGGGTTCACTGAATTCAGTCTCGAGAGCGTGCTCAAATCGGCCTCGTAATTCCTCGCCGTACTTGTTCCCCAATATGCGGTCGGTGAGGAGAATACCCCCGATACCCACAAGGCTAGATTAGGTGCAATGTCAGTCATGAGTGGCCAGCTCGAAGGAAAAAGGTTGGCTGACTTGCAGGGCGTATATAGCCAGTTTGGCTCGCAAGGGTAGAGGCAGTACGCCGCCTCGTTCATGTTTCTGTAGACGGCATCGGCGACGCCCTTGACATCGTAAGGAAATTTGAGCGAATCTGTGATCTCGAAAGTCATGCTACCGGGTTTGGTGTATCGGTCGTCTCCCGTGTTGGATTGGTAGATGCCGACGGCTTGAAGGATGTATCCCGTTACCATGATATTGTCTTTCTTACACGGGTCCCAATCATGTGCGTTGAATTTGCCGGCCATGGACTCCCACTTCCAGAATCTGCGAGGGTGAGAGGTGTGTCAACAGGAGCCAACAACATGGTCTGGATGATCCACACTTACTCCATCACCTTCTTTGTGAAGCTGTGGATGAGTAGTTAGCACTGGTAACGTCAGATTGCTGGGCAAAAGCCCACCTCTTTTCAATGGCATTGCGTTGCGCTCGGGACAGATAGCCGTGGAAATTGGGACAGTACACGTTCTGATAGAGGCCAAGGCAATTGACAGCCTCGTATAGCTGATATCGAATGGCCGACGTTTGAAACTGGTCGATGACGTCGTGGTAGGAGAAATCGTCTTTGGGCGTCAGGCCGAGTTCCAAGTACCATTGTACGAAGCGAAGGGTCTGCTCGTCGACCTCGCGCGTTCCTGGCTCGGGCGCCGCGACTGCTTGAGTTTGATTCTTCTGGACTTCCTCAACCAGATAGTTGTTGCGAGTCGCTCGCTTCTTCCGTGCCTCGGCGTTTGCTCGCTGGCACGAGTACGCGATGTAGATTATGCCCCCTATGCACACTGCGGACATCAAGGGGCCGGCGAGTTCCAGCACGGAGTCTTGGGCAAGCGCCGCTGAGAGGGCGGCGGTACCGACCCAAAGCACAATCGGAAAGATCAAGCCGCCCATCCCAAACCAGGCAAAGAGAACCAACGGGATCAACGCACAGGAGACCACAAACGACAGGATTGAAGGTATAGTACAGACGGCGACGAGACCAGCCCCGGGGAAGAGAAGTCCAAGCCCAGCTGCGCGGAGAGCAGGGGAATGGAATTTGTAAAAAGACGTCAGTCCTGCTGCGAACAAGCATGCGTATTGCATAAGGGTCCGACGTTGATAATGCCATTTGGTGACACCGGCTCCCGCGTTTTCGGGTACAAGGACATCTGAAAGGCAAAGTGAGCACACCATGATCGCGAAACGGAGATCTTTTCAGTCGCGACCGTACCATGCCAGTTGAAGTCGCCTACAAGTGATTTCTCAGAAGCCTTGCCGGGACCAGATTTAGCCTGCACTTTGGCAGGGGCCGTGGTTGTCTGCGTGAATATGAATAAGTGAACACTTCTCTGTGGTAGTGCCACCCTTACCATAGTTGCCATTGCGACAAGATCAAGGCGCCCGCAACTTGCAACAGTATTCCTAGATTTTGATAAACAGCGAATGGCGAAAAAGAGGGATGACTATCGTAGACGGACGAAACCCATAGAGCCTGGAGTCCTTTATGTCTCGGGCTCACCTGTAGACTCGACCTTACCTAGGTATCTACCAAGAGAGACACTCACTGTATGCCCCTGGCTTCATTCTTGTAGCATCGCCGCTTTCTAGACTCTGGCTGCCTCGACTAACCCCGCAGAGTTGAACTCGAGATGCAGATTTGCGGGGGCCCTAGGTGTTCTGTTGCAATGGTCGGCTATGCAAATCCACGAATCATTGCAACTGACTCGAAGAACATGGGGAAAATTTGTAATAAAAGTCGCAGTCACCCCGAGTCTGAGAGTTTGCGAGGGAGGGGAGTAATCAAATTGAGATCTCTCCTGCGGACGAGGTGGTCCGGGTCGAAAGGGTCCAGCTTCTGTGCTAGATTGATGCATCTCTGGCGCCTCGGATTGCTGACCTACCTTCTTCTGGCCAGGTCTCGATGCTGTCGATTCGACCAAGGGCTTGCGAAAGGCACGAGTCGTAGTCTCTGACTCGGACCAGAGAGGGAAGTCGTGAAAGTTGAAGGCGACATGCCCTCTCCATGCCCTCTCCATTGAACCGTTGCCGATGCGTTCTGGAAGGAGTCAGAAAAGCTCTCTCAAGATTGTTTCATTGGCTGATGCTGGCCTTGCTCAGGCACGCAGCTAACCTCGGTCAGTAAGGTTCCTGCTGTTGATCGATGAACTGCCATCCGAGGTCCAGTAGCCCCGTGGGACTCTAGCGGTTGTAGATCGCAGATGAAGAAATGTGCACAAACGGATAATAGCGATGCCGTCGATGGATGCCTCTAGAAACCCTTTTGTGCATCCCGAGGTGGTTGACCGGTCTCGACCCGCCCCGCGCTTCAATTGCCCCTCGTCTTGGGATATCGGCGTTGGCTTCATAAAAGAAATTGTTGCTTTGGTTTTGTATTGTCGATAGATCCTCTACCACCCCTTGACTTCTTGAGTACAGCGAGTCTTTCAACCCGGGCAACTGTTCATAACGCAAGTCACTCTCCAAGATGGGCTCGATCTCAGGACCAGGCTTTGACGTTTTCAACGGATTTTATAACACCATCAATGGAAAATTGACCGGCACGGAACAAACCAGACACGGCATCAATCCGGCGACAGGCAAGCCCAACCCAGAAGTCCCTGTCTCTACTCCAAAGGACGTCGACGATGCCGTTGCAGCTGCCAAGGAAGCATTCAAGTCATGGTCGCAAACTCCTTACGAGAAGCGCCGGGAGTGTGTCCTGGCCTTCGCTGATGCTCTCGAAAAATATGCCACGGATTTTGGAAGGCTCCTAACCCAGGAGCAAGGAAAACCGGTAAGAGCGTCCTCAAGACGATGGAGTTGTTCTCGGTACTAAACGCTGTGGCGACAGGTGCAATTCGGCGTCGGCGAGGCCCACACAGGCGTCCAATGGATGCGAGCTCTGGCCAAGCTAGAACTAAAGGAAGAGGTCGTGGAAGAGAACGATGAGAAACAAGTCATTGTCCGGTATACACCTCTCGGAGTCTGCGTAGGCATCGTACCTTGGAATTTCCCTGTTCACCTAGCTTGCGGCAAGATCGCTCCCTCAGTCCTGACTGGCAACCCAATCATCATCAAGCCATCACCCTTTACACCGTACTGCGACTTGAAGCTCGGTGAACTTGCTCAACAATTTTTTCCTCCTGGTGTTATTCAGGTTCTGAGTGGTGATGATAACCTGGGTCCCTGGCTTACCGCGCATCCTGGCCCTGATAAAATCAGCTTTACTGGTTCGACAGTTACAGGAAAGAAGGTTATGGAGAGTGCGGCTAAAACATTGAAGAGAGTGACTTTGGAGCTGTGAGTGTGGTCTTCGATCATCCACTTCTCTTTACACTGACTTACATGTCCAGGGGTGGCAAAGATCCCGCTATTATCTGCAAGAATGTTGACATCAACGCCGTTGCTGCAAAGGTATGAGTTATTTCTGATCTCAGCTCGTCTGACGGCGGTCACTAATGGCGATGGCAGATTGCCACGCTTGCCTTCCTCAACTCAGGCCAGATTTGCTTGGCAATCAAGCGTATCTATGTTCACGAGTCGATTCACGACAAGTTCCGAGACGCCATGGTCGAGTTCACCAAGACGCTAAAGGTTGGCGACGGTACTGAGGAGGGAGTCTTCCTTGGACCTATCCAAAATAAGATGCAATACGAGAAAGTTAAGGTATGTCTGGCACTCGCCGTGCGCAATAGATCTGGTCTTGTTCTCTGCCACTAACATTGCTCTAGACCTTCTTCAATGATATCGAAAAGGAGAAGTGGACCGTTGCAGTTGGCGGTAAGAATGAGGACAAGCCCGGCTACTTCATCACACCTACCATCATCGATAAGCCTGCAGATGATTCCAGAATCGCCACCGAGGAACCGTTTGGGCCCATTGTCCCTCTCATGACATGGACTGACGAAGCCGATGTCGTTGCTCGTGCCAACAACACCAAGATGGGTCTCGGTGCCTCCGTATGGTCTGATGATCTGGATGAAGCAGCACGCATCGCCCGACAACTTGATGCTGGCAGCGTCTGGGTTAACACCCATCTCGAAGTTGACCCTAACGCGCCTTTCGGTGGACACAAGGAGAGTGGTATTGGCTTCGAATGGGGCATTGGTGGCCTCAAGTCGTTCTGCAATGTCCAGAGCTTGTTCTTGAAGAAGAAGACTTCGGCTTAGTTTGCGGCTAGAACGAATAACTGTACCTTGTTCACATCACAATGCCGCTTCTCAGCAAATTGCCTTCGAGATATCGGATGATAGCCTTGCGTAGAACGGAATAGCAGCCGGGCGCACAGGTACCATTGCTGAAAGTGTGCCAGCCGTCAAACTCCAGGACGGCTGAAGCCCCTTTTACTTTCACAACCCTTAACTAGTACTCCGCAGTATTAGGATTGCCAAGCATACGGTGGGTAATTAGAGGCAGCTAGCGCAGCAGAATAATTGCGCGACGGAATTGGCAAAGGAGATGATTGAGGACAGACATGCACCTTGCAGGCTGAAGTTGCGAAACACGGTCAACGGAGGGTTGAGCCTTTTGTTGTGCCTTGCATATATGACTTTGCACGCACATAGCAGCGTTCGTCCATCACGGACGTTCGCCTCTTTCTCGCCCTCGACAAATGGCAACATCTTCTCCCGCTCCCGCTCCGCAATCTGCGCCTGCGGCCAACGGCACATCAACTCTTGAACTCGACGTATCCAAGTTGCACGTGTTACCAACCGAGCAGCAAGACCTGTACCTGTTGACATTTGTCTCCGATTTCCAGCGCTATGTCGAACAGTTGTCGGCAGAGTCTTTGCCTTCGTATCAGGCCTCGATTAAGAAGGAAGTCATCAAGATTGTTGGACTCGGCGCCCCGGTCCCATCTCGCGTCATTCGAAACGGTCTTGGAAGGATTCTTGCAGATGCGTTTGGCCGTGGCAGCCGGAGCCTCCTCTACGAAACCATCAACGACCTCTTAGCCATCTTAAACGCGGGAAAAACAGACAAAGAGTTGGATTCAAAACATGCGGCGGTGGTTTGTCTAGGCGCCCTTTTTCGCGCGGCGGGGGACAGTGCTATTAGTCTCTCTGGGCTCACGGTTGCAACAATTTTGAAACTCCTGAAGTCTTCCCATGCTGGAGTCAGAGGGTGCGTATTCCGAGCGCTCGGCGGACTGATCATTGGAATAAAAAGGAGCCTGGATGAGCATGTGGCCCGGGATATCTGGAAACAAGCCCGACATGCTGCAACAAGTGAAAAGTCAACCTTTGTTCAAAGATGCGCATGTTCATGTCTCCGCAGCCTTGCCAGTGAGACCGGCTATTTCAACAACTCGAATGACTTTGACAACCTGAAAACAACCGTTTGGAAAGCATTCGACAGCTCAACTCCGTCTGTCAGGCATGCTGCTGCCGCTGCTATGGCGGCTGCACTGAACCAAGCATATTCTGCAAATGGTCATGCAGAGGTGCCGGTATTGCGGAAACCAAAAAAGTCCAAGAAGGCTGGAGACGATCTTGATGAGGAAGTCGAGGCTGAACGGCCTGACTCACCTTCACCAGGACAGGTAAAGGCGTCTATGCGATTGACGTTTTCTCTGTACGAAGTTCTCCGGGTCCTATCGCAACAGTATTGCCGGGCGTCCACAACGAACAGATCTCGTGCAGGTATAGCAACCTGCTACAAGTATCTCCTTCACCTACTGCCTCGGAAATCCTTGGAGGAAAGCTATGCCTCGATAGCAGTGCATACATACACCGAGTTGCTGAACCACCCAACAATATCCTTTAATCGATATCGATTGCTCCTTACCCGGAAACTTGTCCAGTGGATCCTCGCCGATGTGACGGTCCTCTTGACGGAAAATGCTCAAGTCCATGCAGCACGCTATCTGATCAACGACGTTATCAAGAACTACCCCCAGGTCTTGCCAGAAAGACGGGAACCGTCAAAGCGGATCCTTGCTGGAGCCCTGACGACTCTGACAGACTTGCTGTTGAGGCTGGGGCCAGCTGCTAGCGTATTCCAAGATTCATGCAGAGAAGCATTATTCCAAGTCATCCAGCACCCAAGTCATACGGTGCAAAGCCACGCCGCTCAATGCTTCAGGGCTTTCATACTCGCTTGTCCGAGTCAACTCATGCGCACCATCGAGCATGCCATGTCGCAGTTGCAAAAGGAGTTTCAACCGTCTGAGGCCAAGCAACCGCACCGAAAGTCAATCGGGTTTGCCGCGGCCATCGCAGTTGCTGTAAGTTGTGCAGGCCAAAGACCGCTATACGGCTCAGTCCAGACCTATTCTGCCATTTTCACCTTTGCAACGGACTTGCTGAAGTCAAGTGCGGCCGCCGAACTACGACTTTCAGCAATCCAAGTGCAGGTGGCTTGGACCTTGATAGGGGGTTTGATGAGTTTAGGACCAAGCTTTGTAAAAGTGCACCTAAATCAGCTCATGTTACTCTGGCGAAATGCACTCCCACCTCCGCTAACTCACGAAAATGCCGTCAAGAGAGGCCATCTGGAGCTAAGCTTTTTGTCACACGTCCGCGAATGCGCCCTCAGCGCGCTGCTCATGTTTCTCTCCTCTTGCAGTGGTTTGGTCACCACTGATGGATCGAAGCGAATCTCAACCATGCTGCATAACACTATTCTGTTCCTCGACAGCTTACCACCTGCTCGGGAGGCAGAGGATGTCTCTCACCGATTACTGCCTGCTCTCCAGCTACAAGATTTTGCGATTTTACTCCGGCGGCGCGTGCTTCAGTGCTTCATTTCTTTGGTTAGCCTGAAGCATCTCGAGCAAAGCGATGTTGTGTCTCACTCGGATCTAATAGGCCTTACAATGAGGACGTTCACAGATCCTGAACGTCCGGTTTTAAAAAGCTTGGAAGCATCTCTGGCAAATACTGCGAGCAACTTTGAGGGATTGTGGGCCACTGAAGACAACTGGAGTTTTGGCGTCAGTAATCTGGCAGACAGCTTCGACACCTATCTCCCTTTTGAGAATCACATTGAGCCGAGCACCGACATGTACACTGAGCAGGAAGTCTCCATACCAGATATTCTGGTCCGGTGCCCTGCTCTGCCGGCAATTGAACACGATCCCGCGTTGCTGTCAAGACCAGATAATCGCTTGGATGAGGCGGAGATTAGTTCACCTGCAACGTCTTGTGTGAATCTAGCGATCAAACTCTTCGCCATATCGTTGCCTCTCCAATCTCCCCGGATTCAAGAGAGCACGGTGGAGCAGCTCATTACTGCTGTCTCCCAGCCTCTTCAACGCGAACCGGGCAGAAAGGCAGCAATGCAGATCAATACGGCCCTTGCTTTTCTATGTGCGTTTGCTATTGCGAACAACGAAACCCCCTACAATTCTGGGAAGATGCATGTCGGCGCGGTGGGACAGGTCATCACTGAACTCTTGGACAGATACCTGTGCAACTCGGATTCAATCCTGCGTCACATAGCTGGTCGTGCTATAGGCCGCATATGCAACCTTGCCGGAACACAATTCACTAACAGGGAGGTCAAAGTCCTCATCGACACAATAGTGGCTAATCGAGATCCTAGCGCTCGTGCTGGTTGTGCCCTTGCGCTCGGATACATCCACTCAGAAGTAGGAGCCATGGCAGCGAGTCTTCATATCAAGTCCATCGTCGGAGTTCTCCTATCATTGTGTAGTGATAGCCACACTACTGTTCATTACTGGGCTCTCAAAGGATTGCTTCTGGTGGCGGAGTCCGCTGGATTGGCTTTCTCAACTTACGCCACAAGCACTCTGGGTCTCTTAGCTCAACTATATTCCAGTGACACTCATAACGAGGAAGCTGCGTCGCTAGTCACATCTAATCTTGAGCTCGAACTTTTCACACCTTTGGCACTTGCTCAATGTGTTGACAGCATCATTAACGTCTTAGGCCCCGACTTGCAAGATGTCTCCAAAGCTCGCAATTTGATACTGGTATTGATCGGCTATTTGCAGAAAGAGCCTTCGGCACGACTGCGCAGTTCGAGTTATCAGTGCCTTCGTCATCTCTGCATGTACGCACCGGCACATCTTCAATTTGCCAAGTATGTCTTGGATCTGCAGGCGAATCTTTCGTCTGATGAAGATCTACTTCAGTCTGTTGCGATGAAAGGGCTTGGGGAACTGATGAAAAGGAATTCGTCTGAAGTTGCGCGCGTTGCGACCTCTAAACTGAGCGATGATCTGTGGGCACGCCTGGATGATAATCCGGAAAATAAGCCGTTACAGGGGATGCTGCAGAATTGGATGCAGCAAACAATTCTTGTTGATACAGCAGCATGGATTGAAAAATGCCAAAGCATACTTTCCAGGACGAGAACAAAGGCTTCGGCACCCCCTCGTGTCACCACAGCCAAGACGGCCATGCCAGACTTAGCAGATGAAGAAGTTGCAGGCTTTGCTGCTGCGGCTGCGGCTGCACAAGGCGAAGCCCACGATGCCGCTCCAGAAGGACAAGAGTTTCTCCGCTGGCAGACACGAGACTTTGCCATGCGGTTGCTCAGCGAATCAATGGATATCATACAAGCAGCTATGTCGCCAGATCGAGTGATTCCCGCCGAAGAAGTGCTACAAAGCAAGGTTGCGGACGTGGTTCGCGTTGCCTTTTCAGCCTCGACCGCTAACGTAGTTGAGCTCCGCATATGGGGTCTTCGGATAATTGACCAGATCCTGAAATTATTTGGCAAGACCCCGGATCCCGATTTCTTGGAAGCGTCCCTTCTCGAGCAATATCAGGCTCAAATCAGCTCAGCTCTGACGCCGGCCTTCGCTGCCGACTCGTCACCAGAACTAGCGGCTGAAGCCATTGGTGTATGCGCTACCTTTGTGGCTACAGGAATAGTGACCAACGCGGAACGCATGGGTCGTATTTTCAAGGTTCTTGCCGTGGGAGTGGAAAATCTTACCCAACCTACGCCAGAGGCAGCAATTGGTGATCTGAAAAATCTCAGCCCAAATGCACAGGCTATGCTTAAGATGGGCATCCTCTCTGGCTGGGCTCAGCTGCAGCTTGCAAGTTCTGAGCAGCCATTTCTGGAAGAAATTCTGCAACCATTCATTCCCAAACTCGCGCCACTTTGGCTTACATCGCTACAAGAGTTTGCCTCCTTGCGGTTTGAACCAGAAATTTCAGATACACTAGGAGGCGAGATTGCGGGCGGTAACTTGGACGAGCGATATGCTTCCTTCAACCGAGAAGTTCGTCTTAAATTCTATCAGAAGAACTGGCTCAGCATAGTGGATGCCATTGCCGTACTTGTGGAAAAGGACAGCGAGTCGGTGTTTGACGCACTCGATAACAAACGCCTCTCTACCGTTGATGGCGCTGCAGACGAAGGTGTTGCACCTGGAAAAGACATGAGCTTCCGTGAGGAACCCGTTGCGTTCTTTTTCATCCTTTTCGGACTGGCCTTTGAGGCATTAGTGACACAAGCCAGGGAAGACCCTTCGCAAGCGCTATCAATTCTGCAAGCTCTAAGAAAGATTCTGACCCCCGAGGTCTGTGGCAATGCGATCTACGAAGAGGCAGTATTCAATGAAACAACGGATACCTTAGATCGGCTCGCACTCACCAGCACCAGAGAGACGCAGAGCGTTCTAGTTGAAATCGCTCGGAATTTGTCACTGGATCACGTAGCAGCGAAAAATCAAGATCGTGATGAGAAGCTCTCAGATGATATTGAGCAGCTCTTTGAGTTGACGAGAATTATCATTTTGGTCTTGACGGGTCTCATACCGACACTCGAAGACCCTCCAGGTCCTGCTTTTCGGAGGCTTGGAGAGGACGGTATTGCCCTTGTACGACTCTGCTTCCAAGCGCTCGTGGATGTTGCCTCGATATTTCCAGCTATCATCCGAGCGGATTTGCATGCCTGTATCATTCACACCTACTGTACCCTTCTTGCAACTGGCATCTGTCAAGACGAAGTGCTGCCACAGGTCATGCCAATATTCAAAGCGTTCCTACAGGATGTTGTTCAATCCGGATCCGGTGAAGTCACTTCAAGGCTAGTCCGCGGGTGCTTGTACCGCATGTTGTTGATACTGGCTGTTGCTCAGCGCCGAGAAAACGAACATGCGATTACCTGTGCAAAGAACACTTTGCTGTCCATGACGATCTTGCTCACCACAGCCAGCTCGGTCATTCCAGCCAACGACGAGCTTATCATGAAGTCCCTCTCGGAGTTACTCGACTGCCTTCAGGACGTGGGCCTTGCAAAAATTGCAGCTGGCTGTATGCGGTCGTTACTTGTTACCAACCCCAAAACACCTTGCGATGAAGCGGTTGGGAGAATCCTATGGGCACGACTTGTTCCATACGTGAGCGACCCAGAAGCCGAGGATCCAGAGAACGTGAAGACAGCGTTGACCCAAGCTCTCGCGGCGGCTGTGGTATCTATCAAAGCCGTCGGTCGCTTTGCTGCTATGTCGATATTGGTGCCGTTACTCCTGCTTCGTGCTAAACAAATCCCCAGAGGAAGCAGCCTGGATGCTATGCGGAAGGAGAGCGCAGCCAGACTGCTCGAGCTTGTGGCGACCGATCAAATAGCGTTCAAAGTGACGGTCGGTTTGTTGGGCGAGGAACAGCGCTCGGACTTGGAAAGCTTGCTGCGCGCCGCTGGAGTTGGCAAGAAGCAGGAGGCCACTTCGGCAGAAAGTGTTCAAGCAAGGCCAGCAATAGAACTGCGCATGGATTTTGGATGAGAGTGGAATAACATACCGTATATATAGAGAGAGAAAACAAATAAATGGTGAAAACGACAGGGAACATTTCACACTCTGTTGTTATTCAAACGTATCGAGTCCTCGCGTGTTTTGAGCGATGAAACCTCAGCCTTGTCCACTCGGACATATTAGGTGATTCCTTTCTCTCATTGGTGCTTGGTATGATCTAATACGGCAATTTTGGACGAGGCTCGCTCAACCAAAACTTTAATCTTCGCGTGGCCTTTTCATCAATCTCATACATATATCACTCGCAAACTCTCCTCCGGGTTGCTTGCATAGAACAGAGACGGAAGAAAGCATTACGCTTAGGCACTTACAGCGCTCTCCGGTGACAAGGTAGAATGGAGTACGATCCCAAAGTGCCGACGTACCAGACGTCCGACCCTACATCCTTTGCACACAAGTCTGCCCGGGAGCGCTGGCCGGCCATAATCACAGGCGCCATCGACGACGTTCACCGGACCGTCGCCAAGCTTCCAGACTCGGACAAGGATGTCGTGGCAGAGGGCAAATCCATCATCTCGTCGCTGGGGTCACTGAAGTACGAGCTACAACACAATCGGACATTATCCCCGATTCCGGACGACGGGTTCCCGGACATCGAGGGGTACAATCTGGAGCTGGCGGCGCGGGGGCCTCCGACGTGGCACAACGTCGAGTGGCTGTTCGCCGAGTGCTACCTGTACCGCAGACTGGCGACGCTGTTCTCGACGGCCAAGACCCCGTTCTGGCGCGACTACGACCCGTTCTACCGGCAGAAGATGGAGACGTTCAAGTCGTCGCGCCCCGCGGTGCTGGAGCTCGCGGCCGAGTACCGCGGCATCATCACGCAGATCCGCGCGTCCAAGGCCCATGCGCCGGTCGCGCAGGACGTGACGGACGAGAAGGCGATCGAGGAGGCCGAGAAGCTGCTGTTCGTTGAGATGGCGGAGATCTGCCTCTGGGGCAACGCCACCGACCTCAGTCTCCTGACGAGTCTGACGTACGAGGACATCCAGAAGCTGCAGGGCAGCAGCGCGCGCAAGCAGTCGGAGAAGAACATCCTGGTCAACGACCTTGAGCGGGCGTTCCAGGTGTTGAACGCCGCGCACCGGGAAGGCAAGGAATGTAGGAGGGTGGACATCGTGCTGGACAACGCGGGCTTCGAGTTGTTCGTCGACCTGGTGCTCGCGGGCTACTTGCTGGCCACCGGCCTGGCGACCGAGGTCGTCATGCATCCCAAGGACATTCCGTGGTTTGTGAGCGACGTCATCCCCAAGGACTTCCAGGCCTTGCTCCAGGCCATGGCGGACCCGAGGGCCTTCTACGAGAACCAGGACCACGCGGCCGACGAACAGGGGGCCAACAACAACAACGACGACACAACAGCCAAGACGACGCCGCCGGCACCGCTGTCGGACGACGAGGCAGCGGCCATCAAATTCCTCTTCGACGACTGGAGTCATCTGCACAGCGAGGGCAAGCTGATCCTCCGACCGAACCGGTTCTGGACGCACGCGGGCGGCTTTTGGCGCATGCCGCACGTCGCATCGGGGCTGGTGGAGGACTTGAAGGAGAGCGAACTGGTGGTTTTCAAGGGAGATTTGAATTATAGGAAGTTGACGGGGGATGTATGTCTTTTTTTTTTTTTTTCCCTTTCCCCCTGCACCACTCGTCGCGCCCTTCTTTATTGCTTTGTACTTGAAACTGATTATCCCTCTTTCCGGTGCATCACGATGTCAAAAGGGAGTCGGCTAACGCAGAAATTCTCAATGCCAGGCTACGTGGCCCGCCACCACGCCCTTCACGGAGGCAATCGGCCCGCTCGGTCCATCTTCAGGCATCAGAGTGCTGGCGCTGCGGACCTGCAAGGCAGACGTCGTGGTTGGGTTGCCCGAAGGTAAAGACGAAGAGATACGGGCGATGAAAGGCGGTGGCGGTGATTCGGGAGCCAGGATGTGGGCGTGGAGCGGGAAGTGGGCTGTCGTGCAGTTCTCTGATGGCAAGGCTTGAGTACGAAGGACAAATAGAGCTCTCTCCTTTATGGTTGTCTCAGTGTGAGTGGACTTGAGCGCTGGAGTAGCAGGTAGACCAGAGCCTGAGCGGTACTTTTTAGAAAATAGAGGGAGCGCAGAGCATGCGTAACAAGTTATGGGTGCATAGGCAATAGCCACCCCAAGTCCATTTCGATAGCTTTCGCTGTCACCCGAGTTTTTGTTTGAGACCGCAATGCACACGACACTGCCGTACCTGCGAATGACTCAGTTGTGCTTCGCAAGAGGTTTAAAACCGACTGTCTTCTCCTAGAGGAAAGAAACACGCATTGTTCTCGAACGGCTGATCTTCTTCTTGTCATTGTTCGAATGGTGGAATGATCCATATAGGACCATCCCTTCCCGCCTGGCCTCATGCAAATAAAATGACGCACCGAAATAGCGGGAAGGTCGACAGCGCCATTTTTCATGCTTGTCGTCTGTTGAAACTAGCATGAAGAGGACAACAGAGTAGCCAGTCAGGCCCCGGATCAATTCTGGGACCCGGCGAGACGGAGTGTTCGCTTTTTTTTCCCCAACCTGGCGTGCTCGAGACACGTGGAAAAGAAAGAGCATCGCCTCGAGCTGCCAACCTTGAATACATTCCCTTCCGTTTTCCTGGTCTTTAGTTGAGTCTTGATCTTAATCGAGTCGGAAACTCGCGGAACTCGGGTGTTGATAGTCCGTGGTATCTCTGGAAGGTTATGAGCCCCATTCAGCCTTGCTCGGCTGAAGCTTGAACTTTGATATAAGGCTGTGAATGATGTCGGGGTTCCGGCGAACACAAGTTTATTAGCCACCACTAAGAATGGTTAGCAGAGCAGTCTTGCGTGGCCTGCGCTTTCAACCGTCAGTGCTTCCATGAAGCGTCAACTTGGCTTTTGGTTCCACTCAATCAACTCTTTCTTGCGCATCCAGTCCACAAACTGGCCAGCTAGCTGTTGCCAGGAGTCCACAGCCGCTGCAGATGAAACTCTCGCTGGGCCTGCGGGTTTCTCGATACCCATCAGCTCCCATGCCGAAATCCTTACCGAATTCAATAGTGTGATTCGGGATACGCTCCTCCCAAGATGCCCAATGAGAGATCAAGGCCCGGACGCAGCCGGATAGTTCTTAGACAGGGTGGATCAAGTCAGCGAGGCAGTGCAAGACGGACACTCCTTGCATGAAAATATTTGTTCAGGTAAGCCAGCGAGTAGAGGATCATGGAAAAGCTGAGGCCCGAAGCTAAGAAAACGACGAGATGGCATGATGATGAGTCCCGTTCCGAGCCGCATGGCACATTTTTTGCACAAGATACCCAGCGTCGGCATCGGTTCGGAGCCCTCATCGTGTGTAAAATGAGGTAACCGGAGGTGCTCTGATGAATCATCTCCGTTCCGAGATGCGATCTTGACCAGATATACTTACGAAAAAGAAAGAAAAAATAAGCTTGAGCTTGAATGAAGGGCTGTGAGGAGCCGTTTAGCGGACCGAGAAGCGCACAAGGGCGGGCCATGCAGATCCCATATCATATCTGTGGTGCACCCTGGATGGAGTGGATGAGATTATCTCGGTCAGCGGTAGCTTTGTCGTGGAAGAGGTGAAGTGAGGTGTGATGTGGTACAGGATGGTGTGGTGTTGTGATTAAAGTATGCAGCAATAGAGATCTGCTCAAGCGGTGGTGGTTAGTAGTTGATTACATACTCACATATGCACATAGTCAAAGAGCTGCACCAATATAGGCGAAAGGGGATGGGATTGTCATTGTACCACCAGGAAGCTACTGCCGTACTAGCTAGGCGGACCTAAGTCCTTGTATCAAGGACTTGTTAGGTACAATGTTCGTAGGGAGTACCCGGGAGTACCCCCCCTCAAGCACCAGCCCTAAGGGGACCCTCCAATCTACCCCAATCTACCCAAGTAACTACCAGTAGTGCCTATGAGTAGTGCTCTTACTTAAAGTGCCCCTAACAAGTACACTAGCCTGGATCGTGGCCCACTTGACCATGGATCCACGCCCACGCTCACACTCACGCCACGGAGGGAGCCCAGGGAGCCCGGGGAGCCCAGCTATGAGTGTGTAGCTCTAGCTAACAGCTAACGGCATCGAGTTCCTCCTTGCTCCGTACTGGTGCCACTCATTGACTCGTGTCTTCGCCTTCCCCTCTACAGAGTATTACTGGTGCCTGTAATTAACTGCACCCTTCCCCCCCCCTTTCTTCGCCTGCTTTTACGCGTTGTTGCCTGCAGCCGCCTAAACAAAGGCGCGATCCCCAAATCATCCCAAAATCATCCCAGTCCGTTGGCGTCACTCGCCAATTCAGAATCTTCAATCTACGGGCTCCTCGCTCCTTCAGCTCGCAACACCGAGCACCTCCTTTCAGCTTTCTTGTAAACTAATCCTTGTCGCTCGCTGGCTTTGCGATATCAAAACCCCGACCATTTGACTTGTCCCCGACACCTCCTTCAGCCTAGCCCTTTTCTCACTCAGCGCCATGCGTTGCTGAGTTTTTTGGCTGAGCCTCCTTTTTCTGCCCACTGCCAATTTCGTCCTCACCCTGGCCGTCTTCCTCGTTCTATTCGCCGCGCTCCTTCCTAATCACCTACTACGACAATTTTCACAAGAAGAAACAAAAAGAGACCCGTGTCCTCATTGGATTACTTCTGCCTCCGCTCGGGATCTCCATAGTCCGCTCCAGAACCGCCTGAAGAGAAGCACTCAGAACACGATATATCCTCGAAGACCGCAGACCGCAGACCGCAGACCGCAGACCGCAGACCGCAGACCGCGTTTTCAGTCTCTCGTGGCTGTCCACGTCGAACCCCATGCCGATGCCTATTCTTACCGTCGCTATGCCCGTGCCCGACTATGCCAAAGTCGCCAAGGAGGGGAAAGGCTCACACCTGTCGTCCTTCGTTCGCTGGGTGCAACTGAAAAAATACCAATATGAAGTCACTTTCTCCCTCTATATGCTCACGCCGACCGAGAAGTTCATCTTCAGTACGCTCCCTTCTGCTCTCTCACCCCTTCTATCTCGCCAGATAACTGATTCCGTCCTGTCTAGATTTGATCCTTTTCCTGCTGGTCTCCATGCTGGTCACTGCTGCGACGCTCTACCTTCCCAATCACGTCGTCGTCATTTACCACCGCATCTGTTATTATATTTCTGGTGAATTCGCCTACAAGACGTCGACAAACCTCTCGGGGGAAGCGTTAACTCTCGCCGCAGATGGGCTACGCATTACTGCAGACGCAGTAGATTCGGTGGTGACTCCAACGTTGCGCGTGGTTGAATCAGCCAGGGAAACGTTAAAAGAGCTTTGATACTTTGATGATACCCCCCCTATGTGGTTTATTGAAGCCGGCTTTTGCACGGCCATGGCGTTCGGGAATGAGCATTCGGAGTGGGAGAATGTTTAATGTACACAGCTTATTGCTGCCCAATATGCTCACGATGAAGATTCAATCAAGATTCAATCTCCATACGGCGTTCAAGCGCCGATTCTTTAATACATCCAACCACAGGGTTGCTGGAGCTTGGAGGATGGAACTTGTGGTGAAGGGTGTTTTGGATTGAGTGGATTGCTTTCTTTGCATTGACACCGACCTCAGCACTCGGCCGCGACACATTGCTTGCACAGCTGGTCCTGTCACTGCTCCGCCTGGGTCGCCAGAGTTTCTGTCGCCCATTTGTCAATGTGCCCTCACCCCCCCAAATATACGGGCCCAAATTGGTATAATGTACAGTAATTCTTCCGCCCGGGGATGTCTAGTGATGTGATGTAATGTAATGTAATTTTTTCCACATGTCGTTGCATGATGTCCTCTCAAATGCTTTCCATTGCGCCGTCGCCATGCAAATGCCAACCCAGGTTGCCAGTATGCGCGCAACAACTCCAGCATGATCTGTCTGTTGCCCCACATATGTTCAAACCGTCTCTTTCTGCTCGTCCACCACTTCGCTCTCGCTCTCGCCCCTCGCCCTCTGGGCGGCAAAGGCGACCTTGGCCTGTTCCAGCGCCTCTCTCCTCTCTTTCTGCCTTTGCTCGCTCTGCTCCCTCATGAGGCGCTGGTGGCGCTCGATCTCGGCCTTGATCTCCTCCTTCTCGTAGGGGATCTTGTGCGACTGTTCGGGCGTGGGCCAGAAGCCCGGCACGGCGAAGCGGTTCTCCAGGTTCGTCCCAAAGTAGTACATGTAGCCGATCGGGAAGGAGAGGTAGAGTCCGAACTGTTTCGCAGAGCGGAGCGGAGGGGAGTCAGTAAAGAGTAAAAGGTGGAAAAAATATGGTAGAGAAAAGGAAGGAATTAAGAGGTGGAAAAGACGGATTGGTCATGTAGACGCGAAATACCCCACCGGTTGGCAGGAACGGGAGGGAGTGGGTTTATTGTAGTGTAGGTATGTATACCTTGAAGATCTCGAGGTTCGTGCCGCGCAGCGTGCGCTCGATGAATTTACGAACCACCATTATCACCGCCATCGCCTCGCGGGCAACCGTTGCCCCCCAAGAAAACTAAGGGAGGGGGAGAGACTTCTGTACTCCGTACTCCCGCAGATGGGGATGTCGATATCCCTTTCACGAGAAGAGAGGATGCTGGAGGGAGCTAGAGGGCGTATGTATGCGTACGAACGGGCGTCGGTAAGTGTGTGGATGATTCGGAGCGGAGTGCAGGAGAGGAGGGAGCGTTCAATGCACTCGCAGAGAAAAAGAAGGAGCAGGAGACGTTGCCGATGGTACTGCGCTAAGTAGTCCCTTGCACGACGTGCGTAGATATTTTCGGGAGCTTTGAGGAAATTGTCGATGCAGAGCAGAGGATTTGTAGAGGCGGAGGAGCAGCAGCAGCAGTGGGAGAAGTGGCATGACCATCTGCTCCGTACCTTCTTGGTCCCCAATTTTTTTGGTTGGCGAAGCTTGTCCGCAGCCTCGCCCACATCCAGGTGAGCTGGAAGACGCCAGCCTCGCGCTGCCTGATTGGGCGCTTGGCATTCTGGCCTTGCTTGCAGCGATTCATTGCTTCTATTGGTACGAGATGAGGTGCATTCTCTGTTCTCTAGGTGTACCCATGTAGGTCAAGGGAGGTGTATATGGTCTATACATATGGCTATGTCCAGTTCATACCTCTTGCTGCCTTTCTTTTTCTTCATTTCTCCTTATCTTTCTCTCTTCCTCTTCCCGCTTCTTCGCCCTCCATTTCATCCCGACTTTGATCATCACCACCAACAGCGGCAGTGTAGCCAACTCGACCAACCCAACCAGCGTGAGAGTCCAGCCGTTTCCCATCGCCTCAATCATTGGATTCGCCACTGCGCTGGCGCCCGCACCCAAGAGGCACCGGACAAGATTCGATGCTGCGCTGGCCGTCGCGGCCCTTTTCCGGTGCAGGTCAATGATCAGGACGCTGAGGGTGTTAAACCCGACCATCGTGGTGTACCCTATCGCACCAAGCATGATGATTGGCCCTGCTATGCTGACTCGCCGTTCCAAAAGCCATCCATAGACGATGGTGAAAATGCCCCCGAAGGCGAAGAAGGGCATTCCGATCCCCAATCTGGCTCGCTCGATCGGCATCTTGGTCAAATCGCCTTGTTTCCTGCGGTCAACTTCCAATCCAGCTTTGAGTGCATGTCTCTTGAAATTTCTATCGAGAAGCCTCGTATTAGTTACCGTTGCTAAGACGGTCCCTACAACCTGAGGGATGAAGAGCAATCCTTGCAGCGTACTGCTCAGGCCGTAGATACTGTGGAATTGTACCGTGAGACTGGTGGAGATGACGTAGAAGCCTGCGTATATGATACTCGTGTACAAGAGCAAGATTGCCGTCTCTGGATCACTGACAATGGTTAGGGAGGCAAGGACGTCCCATTTGCGCTTTCGGATATTAGCCTTCTCCTTCTCTGTCTCGTCTTTTGGAGTGGCGTCTTGCTCAAACGTATCTTCTTGGCCTGTTTTCTTCTTCTGCTGTTTCGACAAATTCGTTAGGCATCTGTTCCACTTCGGCGGTTCGATCGAGCCATCTCCAACTACCGATCTGCAGGTCTCGGGAAAGAAGAGCGCCAATGGCACGAAATACACCCCACCTAGGATCAGCAAGAACCAGAATACCGAATGCCATCCCAAATTCTGGGCCAGGACACCGCCTATAATAGGCGCCAAACTCGGCGCTAAGATGCCCGCGAGGCTGGTAATAGCAATATACTTGCCTCTTTCGGCGCTGGTGACAATGTCTGCGATGGTGCCTTGCATCAGGGTCACTAGCCCAGAACTTCCAGCACTTTGAAGGCATCTCAGTACCAGGAGGCCAGCGTAGGATTTGTTGAGCGCTAGGCCAAGGTTGGCAGCTAGGTAAACGGTAAACCCCATCATGTATGCTGGTCGGCGGCCATAGTCGTCCGCAATGGCCGAGGTAAGGGACGGCGAGATGCCTTGGAAGATCATGTACGTAGTAATGGTCAAATTGACATCAGAGACGGTCACACCCAGGGCATGGCTGATGGTGTCAATGGCAGGGAAGTAGATGAAAGTGCTGAACGGGCTGAAGCTCCCTCCGAGTGTGGCAACCAGGACAATGATGGCCTTTTGTCGAGGTGTGAATGATGAATATGGTCGGTCATTTGTTGGGGTCCGTTCGATGGTCGTGGTGATCTCACTTCGGGCCTTCGATTGTTTGTCTAATATCTCAATATCTGCCCGAGCATGGACCATGTCATTGTCTTCGTCTGCTCGCGTCGTTGCGTCTGAGGTCATTTCGTTCTTGTGCGCGTTGCCGTCAGACGCTTCACGGGGAGCCATCCTGTGAGCGGGCTTGTCTTCCATCTCCCTAATTCACTTCGGCGCAAATATAACGTTCAAGACACAGGCTGCGATTGTTCGAGCAGGGGCAGCCTCGTATTGTTTAAGGTTTCGTTCTATTCGAGTACCAACACATAAATATATGAGCCCATGGGAAGGAAAGGCGGTTGGGACTCAATTGTTCAATTAAATCAACTTCGTTGTCGACAGTGATCGTCTCTTGTTATTGGTTGTATCAAGCCAGTGGAGCTGTTCTTCAGGACCGGTAACGGCCCGGTTGTCCGGCCCTTTTGGGCGGCAGCAATGATGACGAAACCCTACTGTGGCCCTCTTGAATAAAACCGGCAATGTCTTGTTTCCAGTGAAGCTTCAATGCCACTATCGGCATCAGGTCTCAGAAAAGACATCTCTCATGTGGATGATGAACATGCTGGGGTCGATTTTGGATTCCAAACAAGACACCGCTTCAGGGCGGGCTCTCGTCTTAGCACTATGATTTTGGTGCGAATCTCGCGACAATCCAGTTCAAATCGTTGTCGTGGGGACGCGGCCATTTCGCATAGTAAAGCCACTTCTGCTCGTCCCTATCCCACTTACGGTGTGGCACAAAGGCGCCGACGGTGTAATAATTGTCGCGCATATACAGCGGCTGGTAGCTGGGCGGTCCCTTGCGATCCAAGAATTCATCAATTCCGGCCGCGGCTTCTGCATCGGTAAGCTGATACTGGCGTGGTTCTAGTTTTGTGATCTTCGCTCCTTTCTTTTCCCATTTTCCAAAACGGATGATGGTGCGAATGGTTGTGTCAAGATGTATTTGCAGAATCCGTGCATAGGTGAGGGGACTCTTGGTCGCTTGCGTAACGATCGCGGCATGTCGATCCAGCAACTTGACATTCCAGTCCGGGTTCCGTCCAGGAGGGATTACTGGCAATGGTTCGCGGCTTTCCAGGTTTTCCTGCCATTGCGCAAGGTCTAGAATGACGTTGAGATTGTTCCACGAAAGAACGCAGCTCATACACGTACACACATTCAGCGGGTCGATCTGCTTGATGTGTTGATATGGGATCTTGTGGATTCGACCCCTGCCCTGCCGTTGCTCGCTCATAAGCGCTGGTCGAGCCACCAAAGGAACTTGGTCGAGTGATACAGGCGGAGGAAAGCACTGCCTGAGGATCCAATAGCGACGGTTCAGGATCTCCTCGGCGATGGATCGCTCGTTATTCAGAATAAACGCGCGCATTGACTGGTTGAGTCGAAGCAAGTTGAAAATGTCACTAGGTTGTAGGAAGCCCAGTATTATGGACAGCAGCTCCTGTGGAAGATCTAGGAATGATTGGACGTCGGAATGCACTTTTCGAGCCTGCCTCTTTTGCTGTCGTCTTTGAAGGCGGGCTGTCTTCTTCGAATGCGATGCCAGGGCGGCTGTGGTGTCGACCAGCGGTTCATTTTCCGCAACAGTTTTATGTCGCCTCCAGGCCACGTTGTTGACATAGTGAATGGGCACCTCATCCGACTGATTGTCTGTCTGTGCCCCGGGTGGATTGGCTGGAAGGGCGACACCATTGACGGCCGACGAGTCATTCTTCGGACCATCCACGGCGTCAAATGCCTCAGACACATGCGATGCAGCATGGGTCTGGTTGGAGGGCGGTTCAATAACATGGCCTGGTCGTTGCGGCATCATCGCTCCTCCACCTTGGAGAGCTGTGCCAGCCCAGTACTTTGTCTTAGAAGGAGATGGCGAAAGTATCCACAGAGAAAGCACATTGAAATAAGGGTGTTTGATTGTAATAAGAAAAATGCAGATACACCGAAGCGAGGCTGAGCAGGCTGAGGCTCGCGGTGTCGACTGTACAGCCATTGCCAAGAAATGACGTCACTGACATCAAACTGCTCTGGTGCTTCTACCAAGTCCTTGCGAGTACCACAGGGTCGAGATGGGTATTACACCAACCGCATCGGCGAACAGTGTCCTGAGTGTCTTCATCTTCCGCTGCTCGCCTCTTTCGACTGGGGCAAATAGACAATCCCTCACTTCTGGCCACTGCATGTCTCATCGACGCGATGATCAGAGCGTGCATAGAGGGATGCCTCATGGCCATCAGGTGTGAAATGATCGAGGCCCGCGACGAGACTGCATGCCCCTTTCTGTAATTGTGATTCTCTCCGGCACAAAGACAACTCCAAGGGCATGTTGATGATGAAGCCCGAACCTGATCCAAGGGTGCGGCATTGGCTTGACATTAAATGAAAGTGAAGGGAAGGGAAGCGAAGTGTTGCTTGAAAACCCCCAGCCTTATATTTGTTTTCCTGCTTCTCTCACTTTCGCTCTCCCTCGAGACCTTCCTGCTCTCATTCCCTCTCTAATTTCGCCTCAAAACCTGTGTCTTTCAGTCTGGCTCACACCGAAGAAGTGTCAGCACAGGCTGAGGTGATAGCCCCGTCATATCTTTCAAGTCTAAGAACTGCGACGTACACCGCAGGGGTTTTTTTTTTTTTTTTTTCGACGGACACAACTAACAGGTTGTCAAGGAGTGATGGGATCTGCTTCACCGTCTCTCAATATGGACGCCAGACCGCTAGCCCTCGAGGACGCTTGTATCATGTGTCCACGTCGAGGTTCTAAAGTGTGCCCCAATTGCAAGGACGCCCGTTATTGTTCCAAGGGTACGGGAATCGTTGCCGCCATTGATGTTGCTTTACGCTAATTATTCTTTGAGACTGTCAAAAGCTGGACTGGAAGAACCACAAGATCATTTGCCCATCCTTTCAAGAACCAAAGCCTAATGTGACCGACCCAAATGGGCGCATAGATGGCATCATCATCGAATGTCTTCCTGAATTTGGCTTGGTGAACTTTCGGCGTGCTCTCTTCTTCCCTGGGGGTGACCAACCGCCCAAGTTTGTCTGGTTCCAAACTTGGATCCCATTTGGAGGATATGAGACATGGGATAAAGAAGAATTCTTCGAGGGGGTTCAGCGGATCTTTTTTTCACTGCACACAACACAATTCAAGCACGAGATGCCGGCCGCGATGCAAGAGATACACTTGACTTGTTCTGCAAGGCCGATGCGACCCAGGAGACACCGAACCTAGCAGTTCGAGCTTTCACCCGCTCAGGAACCTGCTCACGATACTTCAGGGGCCCAATCCTGGTCGTGCGCGGCTTTATCGACCAAGTCGGGAACGACCACATACAAGATGCCGACATGCGCGACTCACGAACCGCCGCAGACTTCTTCAGCTCAGCGCACCGTGAAGGACTCAGTGATCCAATTCTCGAAAAGAAACGCTTTCAGGCGATATTTATTGGTAGTCGCGAAGATGTTGCCCGTTATCGGCTACCGACAAAATACTTCGAGGCTGTATCAATGGCTGCGATTCCGTCTTCCAATCAGAGGGCAGCGGCATTGTCAACCTCTTGGGAATTCCAATTCTGATCCGACCCGATGATCCGCCCAAACCAAAACGCAACCAGTATGGCCTTTGGATCGCCGAGGATGAAGAGGATCGTAGCCAGCAAGTCATCATTGCCGGCCATGACAACACTGATGAACTGATGCGATGTTTCTCTTGCGAGACATTACCTCGACAACAACGGGTTCGCAGGGTACAACTGCTAATATGGCGCGGTTTGGGACCAACGATAGAGACTATGCCGGGGAGAACGGCTTCGGATCTTCACCGAAGTTTTGGAAGATCATGGGAGCTGTTTGGGCGGTTCGCACTGATAATGTGCCCCTGCTGCACTATCATGTCGAAGCGCTTGTCGGTTATATTCGTGACGAAGTTGAGCCCCGCTTGCGCAAGGCATTGGCAGGAGTTCCTTCTGGAGGTGTTGTCGTTGGTCGAGAACACGTCCTCGATTCCATTACCCGCGCCGACTTTTCCAAATATTTCGACACTTTCAAGGCTGCCAAATCGTTCCAGGACATTGGCTGGGCGGCGGTGCCGTCTCCGTACGAGATGCCGAAACATGCCATCCAAAGCCGGATGAAGTTGATGGAGGAAAAATGGGAGAGGCAGAAGGCAGCAGGCTGGAAACAACAGAGTGACGTTGAACCTGTTCGAAGACCTGGAGAAATTGTGCTCAGCAAAATAGGGCTTTTAGCTAGTGATGGACATGATGACGGGCGCGGTGAAGACGCACAACACAATTCGAAATGTGATGCATGGAAGGAAGCTCTCAATGGGGTAAATTTCTGAGCTATTAATAAAGGGCTGTTACTCACGGCCGAATGTGTTATCCATATATTCTTCTACTTGTAGATCATAGAAAGAAAAATCCTCGTCTGCTTTTGTTCAATGATTTAAGTCGCCGCGAAGGCCTTTAATTTACATGGCTGTACAAAATTGTCCACAGGGAGGGACAAATTATGCATCAGTCTTTCGAATGAGCATCTTGCGAAAACCCCTTCCCAAGAACATCTCGCTTGCTGAAAAACCGCACTCAAAAGCCCCTGTCATAGTCGTACATTAGATAGTGTTACAAAGTTCCTCCCCTGACCACCACTCCCTGATTTAGAAGTGTAGCTTGGACTTCAGCCCTTCAAAGGCCATCCCGGGATGCCAGCTCTCCCTTCTCGATTCTGTGGTGGCGGCGGAACTCCTTCTACGCTCGCTCACAACGCTGTTGTTGCGGCTGGCGGAGACACTGTATTCGTTACCCGGCCGGGCCTTGTGAAACAGTTCTCTGCGGAGCGGGACGTCGTAGATGCGGCCGGGTTGTTGGGGTTCGTCGGTGGGGAGGAGGAATGATGGAACGTATTTCTTGAGCGCAGACATTTTTTTTTTTTTCGAGGTTGAGTTTAGATGTTTGTCGGGTTTGTTTGGGCTTGGCTGATGTGTTCTGTTTTGTTTGAGTCTTTGTGACTTTGGCGCGAGCTTGAGATTTTCGGTTCTTTAAAGACAGATTGCGGTTGGGCTTGGAGTTGGATATACTCGGTATAGGCCCTGGTTGTTAGGATTGCAATGTATTGAATGATGCAGATGGAAAACCCGTGCTAAAGACGACTGGTAAAGGGATCATATATACATTCGCACCTGATGCTCATCTAAACAATAATCTCGCAAAACAGACGAGCTGGCGCGTATGAGCGGAGGGAGGCTTGCGTCATGGCAAGGTCTTCTTTTGCTCCAGCCAAAAACCGCGCAACTCTGACAAGCTTCTCCGAGGTTTACAAAGATGCAGCGTATCCAGTTCGAGTAAAGTGCACATCTTGAAATGGGACGATGACCAGTGGGTGGGAACGACATCAACCGGTAAACGGAGCTGACAAAGCGAGCGATTTCTTTTGCGAGCTGAAGAGAGGAAAAGAATAGAGAAGAGAAGCGAAGGTTGAAGTCCGAGGAGCCGGATGTGCCAAGCCATGACGTCACGCTGATGTTGCATCCTGCGCCGCTCAGCCTCGTTCAAGCCTCGTCCTGTGAAAAGACACTTCCAACGTGAGCCAATTCCCGCCTAAGATGATGTTGGATCTTTTGTGGATTATCTGGTCTTTGCTGATGGTGGAGTTTGTGTGTGTGTGGCATCCCTTCTTTCTGATGCGACCCGTACTGCCCGTACTGAGGGTGGTGCTACGCCCAGCCTTGTTCCGAAGCAAGGCTGAGAATCCAACTGCGACAAGCATCCATGGCCCACAAGAGCTAAATTTAGCCTGCCAAAAGCCTCCCGTTGGTGGTAGTAGGCTGGTGTTTCTGCTACAGGGAACTCACAGCAGCTCACAGGAAAACGTGATTGACATTCTTGGAAAAGCAAGCAGAGATTCGAATGCACGCCTATTTGGTATATGTGAAGGCACGCACGTCGTATCCAAACGAGATATCCGCACCCTCAGAATGGTCTTTCGCTTAGAAATGCTTCAAGTATCCGTTTCTTGCGTGCGTCCAGTGCCTTCTTGTCCCTGCCTTTGAGCCGCGCTTCATTCTCAGCCCTAAAGATAACAGGCGCAAATGGTTCAGCATATGCGCTGACAAGTTTCTTTCGTCGCTCTGCGATGGCCGCGTCCGCGTCCGCACCTGTCTCTGAAGTGACCGAAGAGGACGAGATGCTGTTCGTACGGGGTCGACGTAATGCCGGGAAGAGACTTCTCTTGCTAGGTGCTTCTTGTGTCGATGTCGAGAGCCGATGCCCGGAGTCGCTGGAGAGTGTTGATGCTCTCGATCGCCCGAAGGACAGCCGACTTGACGATGTCGGTGTAGTCGGTGTGGCTGATCCAGGAGCTGGAGCTCCGCTGGTTATCATCTCATTGACAATCCTAATTAGCAAGAATGTGATAAAAGTTAGTGACACACTGTGAACTGCAGAAGCAGACATGGCGTCCATGACCAGATCCTGGATCTCTTGGGGTGACAGTTGCGTCTTCCCTTTTTCCAAAGAGCTCAATCGTTTCTCAACCTCAGCCCACGGCCCAGCAGGGACTACACCGTCTCTTAAAGACCGGAGGAAGGACACGAGCGTTTCGGCGAGCACTTCCAGTCGAACGATGCTTGGTACATCCGGGCCAAAGTTTATGTCGAGACGATTTGCCGTGTCCAATGCCTCCCTCACGCCAATCAACAATGCGGACCTTTCTTCACCTTCGTGGAAGGTCCAAGTGTCATGACTGAAAGGCCATGACGCTCCTCCAGTCTCATACTGCCATGGCGGTGTCTCCCCTTCGTGCAACATTCCCCATTCTGCTATCGACCGTTCGATATAAATGGGAAGGATTTCAGTGAGAGTATATAGTTCTTTGGGCGCCGAGTGATGAGCAGCCGAATTCGTGGTCTCCACGTTTTTCGTCAATCCCTTAGTTTTCGAGGGCCGAGAGAACTGTCGCACACCACCTTCAGGTGCCAATACTAACTCGTCAAGCGTACGATAGAACGATGACTGAAGCCATGTCCCTTTGACAGGTATGAAATGATCTCGACCGTTCTCGACCCTGAGTACTAGCACATCTTCGAGTTCTGCGTTTCCGTCGTTCAAGTCGTGTACCAACTCGCCATCAGAAATGTCAATCGTCAGGTCGACAACAGTGGTTTCGCCGGGAGATAGGACAATTTCGTACGTCCCTTTGTGCTCAACATGCTCTGATGGATGGGTAGAGCCAGGCTCAACGCTAAGTTCGAGCCATTTTGGTACAACACGTGCATCTCCGCCCGACCCTGAAGGACGCTCCACGAAAGAAAGTGTGGCGGTTATTTGTCCTGTGTTTGCTATGGTGACCATTCTCGTCTTCTGGACGACGTACCGAACTTCGCCAAAGTGTACAACATTCATGTCTGCCGCACCGTCAGCGTTCGGCATCGGCTCTTCAGAGTGATTGTCCACTACCACTGTTACCGATGGGCGGCCTTCGTTCTCGGCCTTGTCCAGCTGTTTAGCAACATCCTGATGCACCTTCGCCTTCAGTTCCGGTATGACGGCGTCGTATAGGATGGTAAAAACAGCATTCAGTGGCTTGTGGTCGGATGAGAGTACCCGCTGGTGCGAGATGTAGCTGTTTAATTCAATCATGTCTCCATAGTCCTCGTGTGACTGTACGAGTTCTGCATCATGAAGTACATCCTGAGCTTCCTCATATTCGTCGTAGTCATCGCCATACGCAAGTCCATCTGTATCGGGATCATAATCGAATAGTACGTCGTGCTCTGCGCTGGCCTCGTCGATCCCGCGGGCTTTCATTGATTCGTCCTTTTTGCGTGCCTCTTCCCGCTGCCTGGCCCTCTCTTCATATATGTCCTTGTCGCGGCGAGTTCTGTATAGGATTCTGTCACACCAGCTTGGACTCCTCTTCTTGTCTCCCGAATCGAACATCCCAACACTGCCCACGTCATATTTGTAGGTGGGTAAAAAGTTGATGTCTCCTTCCCGCCAGCCGTCGTGAAATGCCTTGCCCAGCCTTTGTTGTGCGCGCAGTTGGTCGTGTGCCAGCAGAGACTGAAGGGTAGTGTGAAGCGAAGCAGGGTCGGATTTCGGGTCTAATACCGGTTCGGCGGTGCTCTCAGTGGCTGGTCTTTCAGCATCTTTGTATTCGTAGTGCGGATTTGGAGCCGGTAGGTGCGGATCACTTGACGAGGCACATACGTAACCCAGTTCACTGTCAATTTTGCGCTTCGACTTGTTTTGGATGTCGTACTCGTTCTGTGTATGAAGCAATAGCAGTCTCCTGACATCCTGGCCGGGGACATCGTTCAGACGGTAGTTGAGGTCGCCAAACCAGAAAGCAAAGTCCTCGTCCCCAATCTTTTCTTCTCCAGTCTCAACGACGTCGCTGTCCGTGACGGGAGAAAACCGAGCTCTGCTTAAAATTTGATTGGTATCCCAAATTCGGCGGGCTAAGGTTGCTTGGTCCGCGCCAGCAGCAAGATGACAATTGATGAAGCAGAGCTTGGTCGCCTCTGCCACCACGAGTCTAGCGGCAACGGCACCTTTATTGCCGAAATATCCCATCAGACCAGTGCCCACGGACGTGGTACTCACCGATTTAATGCTCGGCGCCAACTCAGGAGAGGCAAAGATGAGGAGGAGTAAGCCAAGCAGCTGTTCTTCGGCCACCTTCTTGTAGCCCCTGGGCAGAGCTCGCCTCAAAGACTTCTTCCACTTTTTGGCAGGGTTTGGGTCGGTATAAGGCTTGATGGCTTCAGTCATGGAAGTCACGTCAATGACTTCCTGTAGTCCTAGAACGTACAGGTCGATTTGCTCGTGATGGGCCTCGGCCGGAGCATCATCCAGTGGTGTGGTAACACTCTTCCTCGTCGTCGCTACACGCGCTTCTTGAGACTCGACGGACTCGACGGACTCGACGTTTTTATCGCTGTCAGAATCGTCATCACTGTCCTCGACTGATAGGCCGGATAGATTCTGTGACAGGCCTCTGGCGCCGTGGCCACCGACAAACCAGGCGCCCAAATCCTTCTCGGTGCCACTGATCGCAGCAACATTCCAAGTGCCGACTTTGATTTTCATCGACTTCTTCCGGATGTATTCATCCTTTCGAGCCTTGACAGCAGTCGAGAGGGATTGAGGCTCAGAGCGATCGGCTTCGCGTCCTTGTACTTCGGGGGACGGCGGATAAGCGCCTGGTAGCTTCGTTCCCGATCCCCAGGGATCTCCAGCTTTCCATGGCTTTGGCGAGAGATAGCTCTCCTCACTTGCCCGGGACGACATAGCTACCAACGACGAAGAATCCGTCCGTGATTGTTGATTCCGTTACCTCATTGTGGTTGCATGCCAAGGGCCAGCTTAAATCGAGGTCGAAAGCGACATTACTGTCATGGAAACCACGGGATGTCGTTTGGTGTGATGGACAGCTGTTGCGTTGCTGTTATGATCGCGAGAAGTGATTATAAGGGGGTCTCGTGGCTATTTGATCTTCAGCAATCGAGGTCGCGTGGGCAAGTCATGACATCCTCCCAAAGCTACGGAAGAATGTTGGATGACTTCGGAATGACACAGCCATTCAATCAGCAAGGACACGTCGTTAGGGGCCTGCCGGAGCCTGAGCTTGCCACAAGGGGCGGTAAGCTGGGCAGAGCTGGAGGATATGAAGTCTCTGTTTGGTGCGGCTAACCCATCGGTCCGCCAAGCCTAGCGAGCCTAAACGAGGGTCTGTGAGTGTCTTGGTGCCCCTAAGCTCCTCCCTAAAGCTCACCAGGCTAGTGGCCTAACAAGGACTTGTAGATAGGCACCCATTGTAGGGTTAGTGACACCTGAGTACGCCTCAGGTGCCTGGTGCCCACCTGCGTCATCTCGACAACAACGTCGTCCGGCGCAGCAGCTGCGCAACGTCTTACCAACAAACAACATGGGAATCTTCAAGAATTCCATCCTGGATCTTCTCGCGACCTGATCGGCCCTCCTCCTCTCTCCTCACGATGATCGCTTTGTTGTCAATCCTTGGACTTCAGTTTCATCATGAATACCCGTCCCGTCATCGATGAGTCGGCTGGGCCTATTGCGCTCTCAGCCTCGTTCAACAGCGATGCGAGCTGTTTCGCCGTTGGCCTCGACACGGGCTTCTGTGGTATGTCTAGAGGATACCCTCCCTTCGATCTCGGTAGTGACCTGCTCGAGTGTTGATGTTCTCTCCAGTCTTCAATTCAGATCCCTGCGAACTTAAGGCTTCCAGAGGTACCGCTCCGCCAGTTGAATTCCCTCGGATCGTCACATACTGATACAAGATGCAGACTTAAATGCCGGGGTTGGTACAGCTGAAATGCTTGGACGATACAACTATCTGGCCTTGGTAGGAGGTGGCAAGAATCCTAGATGGCCTCAGACAAAAGTAAGGACTGCGCTGAGTGAATGAAGAGTTGGGAAGCTGATATATATACTGGCAGGTCATGATATGGGACGACGCCAAACAGAAAGTCGCCATCACACTCGAACAAAAGACCGCTGTGCTGCGAGTGCGCCTTACCAAGTCGTGGATTGCCATTGCCATACAGAACAGCATTAACCTCTACAAGTTCTCCTCGCCTCCGGAAAGAACTGCCATCTTTGAAACGGCAGACAACCCTCTTGGATTATGCTGCCTGGGCTCTAGGATCGTTGCTTTCCCCGGTCGCTCGCCAGGGAAAGTACAGCTTGTGGAATTGGGCTCAGGAAACGTGAGCATCATCCCTGCCCACACGTCTGCCCTGCGAGCAATGGACCTGAGTAGGGATGGCCAACTCTTAGCCACAGCAAGTGAGACTGGCACCCTGATCCGTGTCTTCTCGACCGCAAACTGTACTAAAATTGCGGAGCTGCGTCGTGGGGTGGATCCCGCCTATATCTTCAGCATTGCTATCTCCCCCGATTGCAATATGCTCGCTGTCACCTCGGACAAATCGACGTTACACGTCTTCGATTTGCCGCCAAATTCTTCGTCACAGTCACAACCGAACAGCCCCCTCAGTCCTTCTTCCCAACAGCGCCGCTCTCAATCACCACATATCCCTAACATGGCCGAAGAAGAACCGCCAACAAATCAAAAATGGGGCTTTCTTTCGAAGATCCCGCTGCTCCCTCGCGTCTTCTCGGATATCTACTCCTTTGCATCTGCGCATTTCGAGATGGGCGACGAGAGTGTGGGTTTCAATCACTCTACACTATCATATTTGCCCGCGCTCGGCACTTTACCAAATCGGCCGCAAAAAGGAATCCTCGGCTGGATAGATAACTCCACGATCATTTGTATCGGGACAGGAAGAGATGCGCGATGGGAAAGGTTTAGAATTGGTGAGCGGCCAGGAGTGACGGATGAAGGTCATAGAAGTGTTTGGAGGGATGGGTGGAGAAAATATTTGGCAAGCTGAAGGCGACAACTAATTTGGTTCACGGGAAAGCGAATCGAAGTGAACACCGTTAAATCCCTGCTTGGGGATACCCAGACAGCAACGACGGGGCTGTGAATTATTATCGCCATAATCTCGACAAACATCAGACGACAGGAGACGTGCCAGAGTCCCCCGTGGAGATCGCACATCTGTTCAACTGCAGGCGAAGGAAGTCTTTTTGACTTCAAGCAGGGAAGAAGACAATCAACCACGAACCCTATACTACAGGAAATGGCTGCTGGAGGCTGTTGATCCTAATTCTCGGCAGACTGGCGTTGGCTTGGACTGCATTGGAGCTATACTCGCTCAGAAGGGCGAATGGGATACACACGATATGTGATTGTTGGTTTGTTTTTTCCTCCTTGAGTCGATTGATCAAAGGCGTTTTATGACATGTGGCCCAGAAAGTGCGCGTATCATGTTTGGCTGGAAGCAAAAATACCCCTGGCAAAGAAGGATTGACCTCGACAGATGGAAATGATCAATGTTTTAATACATCTTGTGTCTTTTTTCTCCCTTTTTCATCTTGCGAGCCCATCGTGATTTGTGAGCAAAACCTCTGTGTTTTGCACTTCCACAAACGCGGAACACGGAACATGGAACATGGAATACGGCAGCAGGAAGCAGGAACTCGTTCTCTCAAGCGGCAATATGCAATATGCAAAAGGCACAGGATCGATACCTGACAAGCAGAGCTTTTGCAAGACACTGGATTCTACCTATTTAGCATACTAGAGGCCTAGGGTGTGCGGAGGACAGAGGAGGTAGGCCGCGACGGTATGTTACCGCTGCACAAGACTCAAGAAAGACTCAAGACACAAGACATTGAACGGCAATAGAAAACAGTGCAAGCATGCGCATTCACTTTTTTGTTCTGCCCGTTTTTCCTTTTCTTTTTTGCTCTTCGTTTTCCCTCCCTATCCTTCTCTCCGCTTTCTCCCACACTTCCTCAAGTTCCGATTCCGAATCTGAATCCAACTCCACGACCCATTTGCCCCCAGCCACCTAACCCGCCGTACCTACATCCCGAATGTCCAGCAGTACCAAAAGCAAAAAAAAGGAAGGAAAGAAAGAATAGAGGAACACCGACTATCATTTGGTTCGATTTGATTTCCACGTCGCCAGCAGAGAAGGGAAAAGGGTGACCGAGAGCCCCACGAAAGTGAGATAGGGTTGGATAGTAGGTAGGTACACGCAAATCAAAACATCTTCAACTCCAAGGGTTCCAAGGCTCCATCGGCGGAGGAAGTGGTGGAGGATACTGCCAATATTGAGACTGATAAAACTGCAGCTCAAGGGGATGAGGATAATGCGTGGGCAGAAGATGAAATTGCGGCGGCGGGCCGGGCCATTGCCAGTACTCAGTTCCAGGAGCAGGATCCAACAGACTCGGGGACTGAGGAAATAGTTCCGAAGCGGGATGAAGACTGAGACCATGCACCGGGCCAAGATCAGAGTTTGGGCCATGACCAGGACCGTGACCAGTGATCCCCCCCTGTCCTCCTTTAACTCCTTTGCGTCGGCGACGACCTCGAGGAGAGGGCCCCTAACTCAACGCCTTCTGGTACTGGAAATTTCCAAACCCTCCTGGTGTCATGGACCCCATCATTCCGGCACCACCAGTATGTGCAGGGACAGGCGTGTGCGAGGAAGGCCCGCCTCCGCCCTGTCCGCCCGCCATACCAATGTTTCCAGTCTGCGGTGTCGTCGGTGTTCCATTCTGATTGTAGAAGGTCGCTCCATTCATGTTCGGAGTGCTGAAGTCGCGCGTCGTCCCTGGAGCCCCTCCACTTGCGCCACCGGCGGCATTACCACTGGTCGGCATCTGCGCATTGAGTCCCCAGACTTGAGATCGATATTTATCCTCTTCGATTGTGCCGCTAAAGATCTTCTCCTTCATCTTGAAGTACACTTGCCCAGTAAGCAAGGAGTCCGAGCCAGCTTGATGTGCTTGTCCGATCCGCGGAACGGCCAGCTCTTCAGCAATGTCCTGAAGACCTGATTTGGTCATTATGCGCTGAACCATCATCGCCGCTTCCTGGGTAAGAGGTTGTCCGCTATTAACTTGACCCTTTACACCGGCGTGCTTGAGGATGAATTTGATGTCAAACAAGGAAGGGAAGAACTTCTCCAAGTACTTGTGGAACATCACTTCGTCCTCAGGTAAGGGTTTGCAGATCATGAGTTTCATAAGGTAGCCAAAGTCGTAGCCTGAGTGGAAAGAAATCCAATGTACATCGGGGTCCAGCACCAGACCAGAACTGATCAACAGAGCACCAAAATCATTGGGGTCGATTCCATGCTTCGCATGTCGGTCAAAGTCAATGCCAGCTTTTGACAGCATCTGCGTCGATTCTCTCGCGTACATGTCAGTTTCCAGAGAGAACTTAAAGTTGAACTGCCACGTGCATGGTGTAGGTAGGACACTTTGGTGGAACTGAGATTTCTGAGAAGGAGCGGCGTCGGCTGGAGGGAGGGTGCCGTCTGGTTTAAATAGAGTGATCCCCAGCTGAATCATCTTGAGGAGATCGACGTTACACCGTAATGTTTGATAGTGATAGTCTGCCTTTGTGGTAAATTGGCCGATGGGCCGCGCAACAATACCTGGGAATTCGGTGTCCTAGACAATCCATGTGAGCGCAGTCAGGAATGACCACAAACGAAGACACCTACCATTGCAATGTATGGGTAGGTATCCACCAGCTGTCTCAATGTCGCCATCTCTTCCTTGAGATTATGCTTCCACACGTTTCGGATCCTGGCGTCGTCTTTATTCTCCAGCGGACCCCCAAGTCCATCGTATGACTGGTGAGCTTGCACCGGACCTCCTCTTGAGAATCCCATTTGGGCCATTTGACTAGGGAGAAGGCCGCCATCTAGCATGCCGCGCTCAAAGCCATTGTTCAAGTTGCCTGCCAAAGCGAATGGGCTTGCGTTGGAAGACCCAGCGGCACCAAAGGACGGAGTGCCCAGATGAGTGGGAGGCGGAAGGGCACCATGTTGATGTGAGGATGCGTGTGACTGAAGATGATTTTGTTGAATATGATAAGGTCCATTTATGGACTGATTTCCATAGCGAGGAGGCGCCATGATGTAGGTCGAGTAGGTACAGGTAGTCGAAAGTGCGGAGGAGATGTAGCAGACGATGGGAAATCAGATGTGTTCATTGCGGGAGTATGGAAGGTTGTGGTTGAGACGGTTATTGTTGAACCGCCGACTGGTCCATGAGTGCAAGAGTCGAGACCGTCATTCGCGTTACCGGAGAGAAGGATGTCGAGCGTTCATGGTTCAGTGTAGTGATTTGCGCAGACTCGATGTAGATGTGCTAGTGATAGTTCATTCCCAACATGCGGCGGGCAAAGTCTAGCCTCAAAGCCCGTGAGTGCGACACTTAAAGCGGCAAGTGCGCGGCCGTAGTAGGGGGGAGTATTGAACCCCCTAATGACACTACGTGAAGCAGAAACTCACCCGTCTGACAATATTCTTTTTGGCCTCTTGAGGGGTAGTTTAGCTATTATGTGCCATATGTACCCGGCGATGGGTACCCGGTAGTGCCTTTCAGTCTGTCATAATCTTGCTGTCAGACAGTGTGCCACGACAGCAGAGCTGCTTCGGTTGTCACTTGTCAATCGCTTTCAGCGATCAAACCTCTCGTACGAGGTACTCTCCATCAAGCTCCCTCTCTCCCCCTCAAAAGACCAACTCGAGTCTGCCTCTACGCGACTCTCCTGCGAGCTTTAGAGCTTCGACATCAGCCTCCTCCTGGTTCTAACCTGTCAGCGCCGCCAATCATAGCTCCCGGCTCACCATGGCACCTCCGAACAACCCAACGGGGTTCAGCATGAAAGCGTTTACCGATGCAGCAACAAGCAAGCAGTGGCGGGCACGGGATCCATGGGCAAGACAGTAAGCAAGATGAAAGAGCACGGCGAACAATACTGACACAGCTCTAGTGAGGCATGGCGATACACCGGACCTTTCACGAGATGGAATCGATTCAAGAGAGCATTCCCCGGATTTGGAATTGCTGTGGTCGCGTTCACGGGCTATGTTATCTTCGAGCAATTATTCCTGAAAGACTCCCATGGTCATGGTCATGATGAGAGTGCAGGACACCACTAGACAATCCCAGCGCCAATAGGACACTACCTCTACTCACGACCAAGTGCTGGAGTGAGCTGAAGAAAACACCCAACAAGAGAGCACGGCCCGAGTGAATTATTATTGTACATATAAGAGACAACTGGAGTGGCTATGTACAGAAAGCGAAGATGGGAAAATTGGAATAGGCCCTGCAACACTGCCGCACTGCCCTGGGACAGTACAGGCGCGTTCATGATCGTCCAAGACTACCTCCACCAAGGATATGCAGCCTTGCATTCCCTGCAGCGTAGCCTTACGCTCGGAAAAGCTGTAATCAACGACACAGTTTCGTGGAAACAGGAGGACTCGATTTTTCAATTCTACGTGGAAGGAGAATTCTCGGTCAGAAAACTCTTCCCGTTGTCCCTGTGCTCCTTTCTTTGGGCCACCTCAACTTCCTTCGTCGTCTCGGGGACATGTTCGTGTGTAATTCTCGTGACCGCGATGCTGAGAACTCCAGATGTTTCTTGCTCGTGGTCACCTTCTCTTTTGATTCCCCCGAGTGTGGAGTAAGATCTAAACCACAAAGGGCAAATTTTGCCAGGCCAGTCAGAAGTTGAGCATGGATTCTGATGCAGAAAAGAGGAAAGCGACCGCGAAGCCGGCGAGTAGCAAAGATGCTCTTGCAGACCCTTATCTCCTTATCGTCCGTGTTATATGTTATAATGCAGTTGATGGCGAGCTCTGGGTGCTTTGGCCTTGGTGTTGGTGTCGGCTAGGGCAAAGCATTGCCCTTTTCATCGTGAGGAGTTGTCAGTCAGTTCGCCGCCATCAGGCACATAATACATACATATATATCTTGCCTGGACTCTCCGACATTTCCTCTCCTCATCTTCTGCCTTTGTCGCTTCGTTCTGTCTTTTGCTGTCCTTCCAGTCAAGTGGTACTCTCCGCCAGTCAGCCATGGTTCTTGAGCGTGTCAAGCAGTTGGCCCAACAGGTGTCCAACACCGTTGCTCCTCTCCATCCATTTGACCCTCTCTCTTCCCTTGAGATTGAAACAGCTGTTTCTCTGCTTCGATCAGAGTATGGCAAGTTGTATTATAACGCTGTCACGCTGTCCGAGCCCCCAAAGGCTCAGATGCTGAAATGGCTGGCTGATCCCGATCACACACCAAAACCACACCGCGTCGCCGACATTGTGGTTATTACTCCCGAGGGCAAAGTGTTCGACGGCCATGTCGACCTCACAGAGCGCAAGGTCGTCAAATGGGAGCATACTCCCGGCGTGCAGCCATTAATCACCATGGAAGATCTCCAAATTGTCGAACATGTCGTTCGCAAGGACCCCGGTGTCATTGAGCAATGCGGCCTGATTGGCATCCCGCCCGAGGAGATGCACAAGGTCTACTGTGACCCATGGACCATTGGATACGATGAAAGATTCGGCAACTCTGTTAGACTCCAGCAGGCGCTGATGTACTATCGACCTCACGTCGACGACTCTCAATATTCTTACCCCCTCGATTTCTGCCCGATTTACGACGCAAACAAACAGAAGATCATCCACATTGACGTGCCCAAGGTTCGACGACCTCTGAGCAAGGCCCCCCCGAACAACTATCATATGAAATCAATCGAGGAGATCGGTGGCTACCGAACAGACCTTAAGCCGATCAACATCACCCAGCCAGAAGGTGTTAGCTTCAAAGTCCAGGGCCGCATTCTTGAATGGCAAAACTGGTCCATCCATGTGGGCTTCAACTACAGAGAGGGCATCGTCCTCAACAACATTACCTATTTCGACAAGGTAGAGGGCAAGGCCCGTCCTATCTTCTACCGCCTGTCTCTCGCCGAAATGGTAGTCCCCTACGGCAACCCTGAGCACCCGCATCAGCGAAAACACGCGTTCGACCTGGGCGAGTACGGTGGTGGGTACATGACCAACTCACTCAGCTTGGGATGTGACTGCAAGGGCAGCATTCACTACATGGACGCCGAGTTTGTGAACAAGGCTGGCGCCGCACAAACGATCAAAAACGCAATCTGTATCCACGAGGAAGACAACGGTATCCTTTTCAAACACTCGGACTTCAGAGACGACTCTGTCATCGTCACTCGCGCACGCAAACTAATCATTTCCCACATCTTCACCGCCGCAAACTACGAGTACTGCGTCTACTGGACCTTCCACCAGGACGGCACCGTCCAACTCGAGATCAAACTTACAGGCATCCTCAACACCTACGCAATGAACCCTGGCGAAGACACCAAGGGATGGGGTACGGAAGTCTACCCTGGCGTCAACGCCCACAACCACCAACACTTGTTCTGTCTGCGCATTGACCCCAACATCGACGGGCCCAACAACACAGTATTCCAAGTCGACGCCACCCAGGGCGCCGGTGAGCCGGGCTCCGTTGAGAACTACTACGGCAATGCCTTCTATGCCAAGAGGACCAAGTACACGACTCCCGCGGAGGCCATGGCGGATTACAACGGATCCAGCTCACGGAGCTGGGACATGTGCAATGAGAACAAGCTGAACCCTTACTCCAAGAAGCCCGTGTCGTACAAGCTGGTGAGCAGAGAGGTACCGGCACTACTGCCCAAGGAAGGATCTCTAGTGTGGAAGCGGGCCGGTTTCTCGAGGCACGCCGTGCATGTGACAAAGTGTAAGTTCTCTCTCTCTCTCTCTCCGTTCGCGAGATATACAATCTCTAACCGTCGTCATGTATGTAAATAGACTCGGACGACCAAGTTCACCCGGCAGGGCGCCACGTGCCGCAAACCTCGGGCGAACCATCCATGGGCCTGCCGCAGTGGATCGCAGCGAACCCGACGGCCAAGATCGACAACGAGGACGTCGTGCTGTGGCACACCTTTGGCATCACGCACTTCCCGGCCCCCGAGGACTACCCGGTCATGCCCGCCGAGCCGATGATGCTGCTGCTCCGGCCGCGCAACTTCTTCGTGCGCAATCCCGCCCTCGATGTCCCCCCCAGCTACGCGCGCACGCCCAGCGAGGTCGCCGCCGGCAAGAGCGGGTGTGCTTGTTCGAAGGACAAGTTGAGCGTGCAGGTTTGAGCCCGGGGGTGATTTGTTGTGGATATGCATGTGCGAGATGAGTGAGATTGAATTTCTTTATATTTGTCGATATCATGATCTGGGGTGGGGAATGTCCGATGGAAGTCTGTTACTTGATTGCGAGGGCTCAGCATGCAGTATCTGCGGAAAAAAAGGGAATTTTAACTGAACTGGGTACGCAACATCTCATATATTATGTACTGTCCAGATGATGAATCTTGTTCGCAATCTATATTCTTCTCCAGAAATGACATAAACGTCTTTTTCAACAGACCCAACGGACCCAGGAGACCATCATACAGAGCCCAGTATCATAGGTAATCTGTTGCATGATGTAGATGTGCAATAAGCTGTGCTGTGGTCGCCCCAATTACTACCACGTCTCTTGTTTATATCTCCCTTCCTTCTCCAGCCTGGCGAGGTATATCTCGGCGTCCTCTGTACTCTTTATCGACTCTTCGATCTCACCATCTTCCTCGTCGCCATGACCGATTCGTCCCCGGGCCGCAACCTTGTCCTCGTCCTTCGTCCCCGCCCCTTGCTGAATCAACGCATCGACCAAAGCCTGCCTAACAGCCTTGGGCATCTGCCCGGAGGAGCCGCAAACAATGATCGTCGCCGCTCTTTCTCTCAGGAATTCCCAGATCAAGTGGCTCCGCTCACGGATCCGATCTTGCACATAGACTTTGGATCTCTGATCCCGGGAGAACGCCGTGATGATCTCGAGACTGGCATTTGGGGGATTCTGGGCTTGGAGCGCTGTCCACTCGTCGTGGAAGAAATAGTCTGATTTCTCGTTACGGCAGCCGAAGAAGAGTGTTGTCTTGCCTGCGAGCTGACTTTGCATGGCTTTTTCGTGAATGAGTGCTCGGAGAGGTGCGATGCCCGTGCCGGCGCCGATCAGGATGTGGCTCTTACCGATCAAATCAGCGACTCTAGAGAAGCGGCCTTCTGTCTTCAACGAGACTTGGAGCGTTGTTCCGACTGGTAATTTCGCCAGGTATCGTGTGCACACACCCTCTCTGATCCGTTTGATAACCGTCCTGTACTTAACTATTGCGACAAGTAGCTCGAATTTGGTCGATCCATCTTCAGAACTTTTCAAGAGTCCACCGCTTGCAATGCTAAATTGTCTTGGACGTATTGGTGGAAAAATATTGGTGACTTCCTCCCATGGAAGATGCACGGAATCGAACTCTTGCAGGATCTCGAGGATACTCCGTCTAGGACGGGTCGCGTAGTCGTAGTATTCATCGAGATATTGCGGGTCGGTGAACTCGAGCAGTCTTTCCTTGTGCATGCTGTTGCTTGTGTAATTTGCGATGCAGCCCAAGAATGAGCGGCGAGGAATGGCATTAATGTCCAAATACTCGGTGAGAAGAACTCGGAGGTTGAGATCGACACGGCTGAAGATGGGATTGGTTGCGGTGGAGGTTGAAGCCGATCGGGTTGAGACGAGCCGGATGGGGGTACCCGCAATATGTTGCCATTTCATGCGGCTGATCAGGGATTCCACATCCACTGGCATGTTTCGAGGAGAAATGGCAAGCGCATCGCCTGGCATGTAGTCGATTTTCCCCGAGGCTTTAAGGCACATAAATCGAACATCTTGCCAGTGGTCAGGTGGAGTGACTCGTTGGTTAGACTCCAAAGATACGGAGAAAGAATCTGAAGAGATGCTGTGTCCAGCTGAAGAAGGAGGGTGGACACCATTAGTGATTGGAGAGGCAACAGATGAATCGGCGTGTCCAGAGGCCTTTTCCAAGCGCCATTTACTTGGCAGCAGAACGTCATTTGGGATGGGTAATTGACCGTCAGCAAGAGGGAAGATCTTCGTCATAGTCTCTCGAAACAATTGAAGCCAGATCAGAAAGGCGCCATCTGTTCCCTCGTCACCTTGTTCGTCGGCCTCGCAAGGCTCGAGAATTGGCAATGCCCCAAGTTGACGCAACCTCTTATCCAATTTCCTCGCGGCCCAGTTGAATTTGGGGTAGGAGCTGTCACCGAGGCCAACCAGAGCATAGCCCACGCCGGCCAGTGTGGTAGCGGTCAGCTTCTTACGAAGAAGGCTGGTCCAGAATTTGCGAGCATTCTCAGGAAAGTCACCCTGCCCAGTCGTGGCAACGACGAAGACGATGAGGGTATAGTGGTGCAGAAGGCTGTAAGTGACAGCGTCTAGTCCTAAGACATCTGTGTGGAAATGAAGTCTCTCGAGACTGCGACCGATTTCTTCAGCCAGATCTTGCGCTGTGCCGGTTTCTGTTCCATAGAGAAGAAGAGCGGATCTGGCGCGGCCTTGTTCGGTCATCTTTCTCCTGGAGGGTGAGGCTCAAGGCGAGCATTGTGCAGCCTGATGTGACTTGCGATAAGAGCAGACTGTCTCCGGATGAAATGTGATGGGACCATGGGATGAAGTTGGCGTCCAAGGTGTCTCGCCACCATTGTTCGTCCGGGAAAATGTGTCTCCGAAGTCCGACCTTGGCGCAGAAAGTCAAATAGAATCTCAAGCCGCGTTTGGGCTGCTCCTTTACTTGGTATCACTGCAGAAGCTGGCCGAAAAGGTATGTAGCTTGGTATGTAGTACGAGGGCAGAGGCCAGCCAGGTGCTCTATAGCCGCCTTGTCGCAGTGCTCTTTTGTTTCTCGGTTGTTTTATTTCGTTTTGATCCCCGCGCAAGGTCACTCACCCTATCGCTGCGATGCTGGCTGAGACAGTGAGGCCACTACGCTGAACACCTCGCTCAGCCCCAGCCAATTCAGCCTGATCAAGTTATGTCTCGCCTGTTTATCACTCATCGTTTCTTGTCTTTTCCTTCTTTTCTATTCTGCACCGTAAACCCTATCCTCAGATCCCCGCTACTAACATTAGACACGTCACCCATGGCTGGGATTGTTGGCACTGTAGCAGCGGCAGTTGAGTTTGGCAGCGTCATTGGAGAGCTGAAAGAGCTGCGATCCTCAATCAAGCATGCTCGGGAAGGTCTTGGATGACTCTTGGATGAGCTCGATTCTCTTGAGGATGTGCTACAAACACTTGCCGAGCAGGAAGCGGTGACCGCTGTCTATGCCTTACCAAATGCGGTCCGAAACTGTCGACAGCGTTGCGAGAAGGCTGTGCAGAGCATCAGAATTGTCTGCTGGACTCGCAAAGTGCATCAAACGTTCCAGACTGCGTGGCTCCTTGATAGCAGCTCTTAAAAGGGATGTTCTGGAGAAATCCGCGCGGGAGATTGAAAGAGCCAAACCCAACTTGATATTGGCTCAAATGGCCGCGTTGAAGTAAGAGGCCGAGTTCCCAACTGCTTCAGTCCCTCAGGGCTAATTCGATACGGTGCCATGGGCACGTTCAATCTTCAACATCACGCCACCACGCACGCATTGATTGTCTCTTCGTCTGGTAATGTGTCTGCCCTCCTGGAAGACATTCATCAGGCTCCGCAGTCCGCAATCTCGGCCGCTGTTTCAAATCTTACCTGCCAGAGTGACTCCTGCCAACATCCTAGCAATGCTATCACCGCCTTGGAGTCCTCATGATTTCCACACTCGGCTCGACCGAGTGTACAATGTATGCGACGCCCGAGCTCATTCAACCGCCTATTGACACTGTATGTCTCAATCTCAACTCGAATCCTCATGTCTTGTGCTAAAGCTGTCTCGAAATGGGAATAGCTTTGTATATCAGAGTCTTATTTGCGTTTTGGGAACGGGGACAACCTCTGTTTCTATGGATCAAGTTCGGATTCGAGCGCCAAGCGTTTGATGCATAGGCTGCGCCACTGGGGCCAGGAAGTACTTGATGCAGGGCAGGACTTGAGCGAGTATGGACAATGGGAGCATGGCTTCCTGTTCTCGAGAGCACGCGGGCGAGTTTTGGCAAAGTCTAAAAGATCCGGATCCAGAGCCCGAGTTTGATTTACCAGGAGCATGGCCTAGCACGTGGCCCGTTAGTGGTACCAGGTACGATATTTTCATGGGCAGGGGATTCTGGTATTCTCGAAGGAAACATCGCCCCTGGCTGAGATACCTGGGTCTGACCGGAAACGAAGCGGACAAGTTCTTTGGAGGGCGCTGGAGATCGCCTGTCGCAATATTGGCAGGGAGAGGAAAGAAAAAGAAAGCAAGGGCAGAGATCTTCTTCCGGGAGAACGGGATCACTCCGCCATGCTGATGGGGTGGTTTTCTAAGAGGCAATGTCACCAGTGTCGTTGCCAGAAGACGCTAAGGACATCGTATGGGACTGAATGGAGCAATCCACGGCAAGGGGTGGTACTTAGGAAGATCGTATATTGCCTGCTCTGTGGCTTCTTGAGCCAGTTTGCATCTTCAGACAGCCGGCTTTCCTGGACTAACCGTGGGATATGGTGTAATCAAGCGGACACAAGTCCATTCAGGTGAGCATTGGTCGTGGCGAAACGCGTCCTGGCTTGGCCACAATCGATGGGCCCGCTGAAAAGAGGCATTGAATTTTACATCTGGCTATCCCAAAGCCATCCAACCACCTTAGCCTGGCTCTCTTACCCCTTTCGCGTAGACATCTAGCATCTTGTGCAGAGGAGGCGGCATCATTCAGTATTCACCACCTTCGTCACCGCCTCCACCGCCGTACGCGAAGCCATCCTCATCATCCCCTTCTCCGCCATCAAAGTAATTCTCGGCGTTGTAATCGTCGGCCTCGCCATCGTCCGACTCTTCAAACTCGGAGTCTACGGGCTCGCCATCTGTGTCGTCCTCGTCTTCTTCTTCGTCTCCATCAACATCACCATCTTCGCCTTCGTTCTCCTGCGCATCGGGCACGTCGTCGTCATCGTCCTCTTCGTCAGACTCGCTTGTGCGCCTGCCCGTCTCTTGCTGAGGCCGCTTCCTCTCCTTCGCGCGCAGGCTCGCCGGTAGCGGGGAACGGCCATTTTTCTTCTTCGGCCCAAAGTCGTCTTCGGCGTCGAGACCGCGCTTTTCGCGGGACTCGGTCTCGCGGCGTCGGCGCTTCTTCTTCGCCGCTTTGGCCAGCACACGCGCACGGCGGGACGCTGAGAGAAGGGGGTCTGACTCGTCGGTGTCATTTCCTTTATCGTCTTCTGCGACCTCGTCGCCCTCCTCATCGTGGTCTTCGATAACGAGGCTGTCGCGCTTCCGCTTCGACGATTGGCGCCTTGGGATGTTCGTCGCGGCGTCGATGTCGATCTCGGCCGACTTCCAGAGCGGGTTCTTCCTGTCTGGGTCGAGGAGGGGCCAGAGTTCGTGCGGGAAGTATTTCAATGCTGGAAAGTCCGAATAGACGTTTCGCCTTGTCAGCAAGTAGTCTTTTCTACCTCCTTTCTGTTTCTCCCATGCATATGCAGAATTCTCATTGCGTATGCTAACAATTGTCCAGGGGCTACTAGGGTATGCTGTTGTCGTCACGTACCATACTCCCTCCCGCTTCCCTTCAAGTCCGGCAAGCTCCTCTTCTTCTTGTGATACTTCGCCGAGTACTTCTCCTGATCGTTGAACGGATCAAAGCCCGCGCGTTTAAGCGTTTTGCCCGTCTTTTCGTCCGCAATGCTGCTGGGGTCGAGGGTCGCGTAGTAAGGTCCATTGCGCGCACGGGTGCGGAAGGACAGGTAGCGGCTCACGGCCGCAAGCTCGCGGGTCGTAGGTGGCCGAGGAACGGGGAGGTCGATGTCCTGCAAAAAAATTTGAGCGCTTGGTTAGGACGGTCACTGTTTGCCTTTCAAGTTTCGTTCTTTTACGATATTGGAGGCATCGAGAAAAGGGGGGATTAGGAGAAGAGTGCAAGACAGTACTGGAAATAGCGCTTGGGGCTTCTTCTCGGTCGGTGGGATGGAGACGTCGGCGTCATCCTCATAGTCCAGCTCCGGGGGTGCAGGGCCTTTTCGACCACCACCACCACCGCCGCCGCGCCCTCTTCCCCATCCACCTCGCGACATCGTGGAGCACCTGTCAAGGAAAATGTCACCGGACTCTAACTTCCATGCTGCACTGTGCCAGGTGAGAGACTGGTGAAGGCAAGAGTGGTATTTCTTGGACGAACTGAAAATAGTGGTGTTTTCAGCAAATATTGAACCTTTACGCACGAACTTCACGCCAGAAAACCGACTGGCAGAATTTTGGAGAGGTGGGGAATTTAAGTGGGCGGAGAGGCGGGTTTTTCTCACCGCCTTCACGAGGCTGAGCAAGGCTGAGAGCTTCGTCTCATCAAATGCACTTATTGATTGTGATAACGGGGCAAATTATCTTGATGCAAATATAAAACGCAGAGAATCTGGTTAGATGACCCAGTCGCAGTCTCCATGGGTTGATCTGTACATTCTCGGTAAGTTCAGCTCAAATGTCGGGGACAAAGCAAGGCGTTGCGACATTCGAGTAACTTGGTGGCCGTGGTTGGACATACCCCTAGGTCAACAGAGGTATAGACCAAACTGGAGCATTCCTACCCAAATAACAGCGTACCGCGTACAGAGGATCGGCAGTATGTTAGATGCAATGTGGAATCTAGCCTCCATCATTCCAGGCTGTAACCAATGACATTGGCCACTCCATCCATTCCGACCAGTGAGGACCGAGGTGTGAAGATATGGCTTTGATCAGAAAGTGACCAGAATCCCCTACTGCCCAGCAATCCCGGTAAAATCTCATCAAGGCCGCAAAGTATGCGAGGATTATCAGAGCTTCAGGTCTTCGCTGATTGAGTCTTTCCAGATAGGGGGTTTTGAGCTGTACAGGCCAGGCTAGTAGCCAGCGGATGGTTGTATGTCTTTCTTCGGGCACATTGGAAATCGCAAACACCCACTGCAATCGCTCAATCGCCGACTCATATGCGTCCCTAGCTTGGTCCCCCAGGTCCGGGTTGGCGGTCAGCTTCGACAAATCCAGGCACGGCTGAGGGACTTGGTAAGGTTTTGGAGGCTGTTGGACATTGAACATTGGTTTGAGCTCGGTCTCTTTCATATATTCATACCAGTCTTGGATGATCAATTTTGGGACATTGCGCATCAGCATGACACAGCCGATAACGTGGTCCAGATACTGGTGCGAATTAAGGCCCTCGGTGCGAGAAGGATCGGCGAGGATGTGAACCGCTAGAAGCATTGTAAAAATGAGAATAGCAGCGCAGTTCGAGGCGTTGATATCCCTCTCTACGCTGTTAAACTTATTGAGGGCCAGAGTTTGCAGCTCTGTAGCCATGGTGTGGTACCATGTAGAGTGCTCCGGCTTACAGTAGGCGAGATGTAGAGCTGAGATTGCAAGAAGCTCGTGCATGAGGAAAGGAAACGAGAAGGCCATGCGGACCACTGATTCTTTCCATATATGCCGAACAGAATCATCGGTACTAAATGTTCTGTAGGTGGCAAGGAGGAAGTGATGGAAGAGTTCGAGATGCTGCATATTGAGATTTGGATCAAACAATCCCGAGGGAGTAAAGGCCGGCACCACATTGGACTGATCGAGACCTTGAGGCCGCTGGTCTGGCGTTGAGGTCTCAGACGCACTGGCAACCACAGTCTCCGTCTCTGTGGCAGTGGGCGTTGATGAGGATATGCCTGAAGCAAAAATGCAATTCAATCCAGCGGTCTGGCAGTTGACACACCGAGGGCGATGTTCATCACACTGTTGCAAGAGTTTCAGTGAGTCAACCTCACCACGACTTCCTGCTGGAACCTCCGGCATCTTTTACTGACCTTGATGTGTCGCCTTTTGCAGTCGGCACAGCCACTTCGAGACTTTTTGTGCGGTCGTCGTGGCATTGGGATCTTGGTCCTCATACAAGCACAACGGTATCGCGTACTTCCGAGATAGTTGAACCGAGAGACGGTACCTCGCCAAGTAAACGGAACACAGAGGTATATTACAACAGGCTGGCCCAGCCTTTGTGCTCTCGTGAGTTGTGGCAGGATTGAACACCAACCAAGCTAGGCATGGCCGGGGAAAATTGCTGTTGCCTGGATGCCTTATGGATCCAAGCCTGCATGCTGTGTGCCGATAAAGGAGATGATAGGACGACTGTCACAGCAGGAGAATTCTGAAAATTAATCGAGCAGCCTCCCAAGGGCGCCATATACGCAGATTGTCGACAAATGGAGGGTGATTGAAAATTCATTGGGTGAAATGGGGGAGCAGGCAAACCCTACCACTAGCGGAAGTTGGAAATCGCTTCTTCTAAATCCCCTCAGAAATAGAAAATCTAGACATCTGTGTGTATCAGGAAGAGCACAACCCAAAGCGGCCTAAAGCGAGAAGCAATGGAGTTTTGCTTCCAAATTGACAGGTAGGGGTACCGGGGATGGTAGAAGGATGTTGGTATGTTGAGGCTGCAACCGGGGAACCAAGGCACGCCTCTCTCCTCTCGCCTCCCCTTTCCCACGCTCCTACCTACCGTCCATCCGCATATCTCCCATCCCCGAGCCCTTTTTCACCAGTTCTTCTCCTTCCCGTCCTTCATTCAAAACAGTGAAACCACGTCGCCCACGTTCAACGCGAGATGTTTTGGTGAATCTGGTAGCTGCCAGCCAGTCTTTTGCCTCGTTCAGTGCGCTTCTCTAACACTTCTCGGGCATCTCAAGATGGTGTTTTACCTCATACTCCTCTTTTGTGCTTTGCTATTGTCACCTGTGGCCCCCTTTGCAGTCTCTGATCCTTCTGCTCCAGAAGTCGTTCGGCGTGCCGATGTTAGCTTCGACTGTCCCATCATTGATCACTGGTTCAAACACAACCGGCACTGGATTCGAGCATTCTCCACTACCGGTTGCATGTCCTTGGAGACCATTCCCGATAAGATCTATGCTCTCAATGCACTCCTGAAGCCAGACTATATTTCCAACGATTTCCCAAGCCTGATTTGCAGCCTGAACCAAAACAGATGCGGATGGACGTACAGCCCTCTAGACTATCTGGGAGAGATTGTCAATTGCGCATCTCCAACTTCACCCAACAGTGACGTGAACTCGAGACAGGTCACACCTGCATGCGAGAACCTTGACGAGATAGCACCTTTGGACCAGCCCCTTTCCCGCGCTACAGGATACCTTGGATCGGCAATGGCATCATAAAGAGACCTAGGATCGACTCGGCGGCTGGAGACGTCAGGGGCGCACATACTAAGGGAGGCGAAGGCAGCAACGGTGAAACGGGCGTGACGAAATGCGCGAGCTGCGAAGCATCCTAGCGAATGGACGTCCGCCGCATCCTACTGCCTTGAAGACGGCAACGAATAACGACGCATTGAACAACGGCCAACAAATACCTTGAACGAAGTATCGATTGGTCACGAAGCTCTGGCAGCAATCAGCTGTATTTGACGTGGGCTGGACACATTGATGTCGCTCCAATCGTCAATGGCTTGAGGAGGAGGAGGTCAATTCAAGAGGCGTGTGAACTCATACGCTGATCAATTTAATACTTATGCATGCATTCAGTTCTTACGAGAGATGCAACCACAATTCATCTGACCAGCTTATCCAATGGTACGTTTCTCTTGTGGAGGGTAACCCTCAAACCGTGACATATGATTGTCATCGTGCTGTAAGATGAGACATGACGGAGATGAAGATAGCGTTCAAAGCTGATGTGGCCATTGGTGATTTTTCCTACGATGATCAAGACAAAGCAAACCAAGAGCAGAATGGATGACACACGAGGCTTTGCAAGCAGATAATAAAAAGGGACGTTCCTCGTAGTACATATATAGCACCGAGGACGGTCGGTGATACACGGAGCAAGAGCCGATAAATGCCAAGACGGCCTCCGGATAATATCAATTTTCCGCCCACACTAACCCATATCTGGACTGTCGCGCCGTATCCCACAAGCCCATCCTCGGCATTTGCGGTCGAATCTCTTCCAAGGCTCCCACGGTGGCTGGCAGCTCGAGTCGCTTCTCCGCTTTCCACCAAGTTCGTCTCCCAGCCGACTTCATCTTCCCCTCTCTCTCCATGAGGGGCTCCATCTCCACACCTAGCATCAAAGCCAGGAAGACACGAGGCTTCAAGAAGCTATGGACACAACGCAGTCAACTGGCGGCGGTGGCAGAGTCAAAAGAAAGCAGTCGGGCAACAAGACCAAGACGCTGCCCTGCCCGCACTGCCAGCGACTCTTTGCTCGGCTAGTAAGTCATCCAGCCTCTGGTCTTCCATTCCTAGTTCGCATTGAGATCGATGGCCCGGCGACCGCAGACGACTGATGAGAAAAATTTGTCGCAACTAGGAACACCTTCAGCGGCACATCCGTACCCATACCAAAGAGAAACCCTTCGTCTGCGAGATTTGCTCCAAGACATTTGCGCGGAGCGACCTGCTGGTGCGTCACGAGAGACTCGTCCATCCAGACGAGGAAGAGCAGCATACCACACGGAAGTCACACAAGCACCATATCCAAAATGCCATCGCGGCAAAGGAGGCCGCAGCCCGCGCGCTGGCACAATATGGATCTTCGAATCATTCCGAACCAATGGACACCGCGCCACAGCAGAATCAGGCCTTGCTGTCACCTCCTGCTGCGCACGAAGGGAGAGGGATGATGGATATGCTGGATCCGCAGCTCATGCAACCTACCAACGGCATCAGTTCGGTCGATGGAATGTCTACGCACCAGTCATCCGTGATCAACGCGCCATCGCTCGATCCGTCCTGGGGTTACGACTTGAATCTGCTCTCTCACGCCGCCAGCCACGTCGCGTCTAGTGGCCAGGACCACTACATGTCCGGTTTGCCGCAAGTTACGCAAGAACAGCTCCATGAGCCATTGCAACAGATAATGCCGGCAGTGACAGAAGGGCAATACCAGCCTAGAATGCTGACCGAAGGCTACGGCCAGCCGACCCCTATGTTCGAACCTCCTGACCTCGGTGATCCAATGCAAGACTTCACCGTCTTCCTTGATAGTGTCGGCCTTTCATCCGAATGGTACGCGAATATGTTTGGCAACGATCAGGTTGATACTTACAACTCACCCGTCGAGTTGAGAGGCGATCACTTGAACATATCAAGGCCTCAATTGAACGGTGAGCATTCCACCGATAGCAAACTTGGTGTTTCTCAAGAAGAGACAAGTACATTTTCACGATTTGGATCAAGACTGCCGTCCCTTCAACCAGAATCTAGAGATTCTGACTTCACTCGGCCAGAACCTCCACGAAGTACGGTCGAAGAAGCCGAGGCCAAAGTGGTCAGGACAACCTGGGACGTCTCCGATTCAGACCGATCCATATTTGCCTCCAAACTTGCCGCATTCGATAATGTCATGCCCAAAGGGTTTATTCCTCCATCTAGACATTCGCTCTCAAGGTATTTGGCTGGTTATGTCAATGGCTTCCACGAACATCTTCCGTTCATTCACGTACCGACGCTACAAGTCGCAGGCAGTGCTCCTGAGCTTGTCCTGGCACTAGCCGCCGTGGGAGCGCAGTATCGATTTGAGAATAGCCGAGGAATAGAATTATTCTATGCGGCAAAAGCTGTTGTGATGGAACAGATAAGACGCCGCGACGAGTCCTCGACGACCCACTTGTGGAACAGACCTCGAACAGGGTCGATGGCTCAGTCTCCGGGAGGAGGATTCACAAACCAGAGCCATTCAAGCAGCCCGTTCCAACAGATTTCCCCCGAAGACGCACCTCCTGCAGACAACAAAGAGCAGATGGACTCGATACAGGCGCTCCTACTGCTGACAGCCTTTGCCACGTGGGAGAGGCACACCGAGTTGCTCCGTGAGGCTTTGGCGTTCCAAAGCATTCTAGCACGGCTTGTGCGGGAGGCCGGCCTCACCAGTCCCGAGATTATGCAGTCACCAGAGGAGCTGACTTGGGAGGACTGGATCAAGATTGAGGGCGAAAAGCGGACGAAACTGATCGTCTATTGCTTCTTCAATCTGCATTCAATCACCTGGAATATCCCCCCACTCATTCTCAACTCGGAAATCAAGCTCAACTTACCCGACCCTGCCAACGAGTGGAAAGCCACCAGCGCCGAACAATGGAAGAAGCTGCGACAAGCGAACGCAGCACCACAAATGCCCTTTCAAACCGCGTGCTCTCGATTGTTCACGAAACAGAATCAAGCCACAGCCACTCCGATCTCCCCGCTAGGCAACTACATCCTCGTCCACGCACTGATCCAGCAAATCTTCTTTGCACGACAGCTCTCGCTGGCTTGGCCCGGCGTGGCGGGATCAAGTCTGCGCATCGAAGACATTACCGTCCTCGACCGCGGCCTCTCGTCCTGGAAAGCGGGTTGGAAACGCGCGCCTGAGTCGAGTCTAGATCCTCAGAATCCCAATGGACCAGTCGCGTTTACGTCGACCGCTCTCTTGGGACTTGCATATATTCGTCTACATGTCGACATGGGCCCACTCCGCCACCTCGAGACTCGCGACGCCACACAGATTGCCACATCTCTACTCAACACGCCTGACATCCGCCGGGACCCTCGACTGACGCCCGCCCTCTTGCACTCTGCTCACGCACTCTCCATCCCCGTGCGGTTGGGAATTGACTTTGTCGCACGGACACAGACCTTCTTCTGGTCCATTCAACATTCGCTGTGTAGTCTGGAATGCGCCTTCCTCCTCAGCAAATGGCTCTACGTCCTCTCCAATCTGAAAATCTCGGGCGGCGCGCCCGTCACAGAGCACGAAAGGAAACTTCTCCTCTGGGTCCGTTCTCTCCTCGATGAAACAGAAATGACTGTGCCATTGAACGGAGATGCAAATGACCATACTGTGTTGAATGAGTCGAGGGCGTTGTTAGAGGACACGCAGAAGATGCGGCAATTGAGCGTGGCGGTGGTAAGGGTATGGAGTAAGACATTCAAGGGGAACACGAGCTGGGCAATCGTGGACATGATTGGGAGTGCGTTGGAGATTTATGCGGATATGCTGGAGGGTGAAATGGCACGGTAGGGATTCTTATCACTTTTCAGGCCGGGAGTGAATCACGGGGAGGATGGAAACAACATAGGGTATAACAGTGAGAAGGAAGCCAAAGAAACTGGCAGGGACGAAGGTCAGATGTAGGCATTGGGCGCTGGGCACAAAAGAGGGAACGAGGCATCCCTTATTTACCGTGTGTACGAGTCTCGTACCGTCGTTTTAGCCCTTTTTTTTTTCTTCTCATACCATTTACGAGCTCGATTGAGCTGCTGAGCTGTTGAGCTGTTGAGCTGGTGGCTGCTGAACTGTTAGGCCATTGAGCAATATATCTAATGGTGCCTGACTATGAAGCTGTGTGCGCCTACACTTGTAGGGCCGTGGAGGGAAGCAAAGCAAAGCAAAGCAAGGTAAAGAAAAGCAAAAAAGGAAGAAAAGCAGAGCAGAGCAGAATACCTAGGCAAGATAGATTGATCGATTCAAGCTTTCGTTTCGTTCCCAGGCCCAGCCCGGAGGGAGGTAAGAGAAAACGAATGCCGTCTCGCCGTGTACATAGATCGATATGCGAGATTGATACAGATTATGGTACACAGTTGTCCCTTGGCGGTCCCTCCGCAACTATATACACCCTTAGATACATTGCATCGTGCACAATTGGCTTCCGCCTGTCTCAACCTTTCAACTTTTAGCTGAGTCCCTCTTTGAATTTAACTGCCCCCCTTTTCATGCTGCGTGCATGTTCCTGTTCCTGGCAATGGAATGCGCCACGTTGCTGCTGCCGTACTCCCCATATACACCCATCTTGCTATTCGCCAAACTTTGGACTCCCTTTGGCCGTAGACAGTCATCCCCCCCTACCCGCCCACACACACAGAGAGAGAGCGAGAGAGGGAGAGAGAGGGCAATCCCGCCGGTTGTCGAACCATCTTTCCATTGGCCCTTCTCAAATGACAGCATTCCCTTGGATCTCTTCTCACCACGACACATCAACCTAACACCCCGCCACCATCAAATCTGTCTATCCCAGAGCAACAAAAAAGGGGACGCCCAAGATGATATGGAGAAATCATCTGAGCAGTGTGTAAAAAAAAAATGTACCACCAAGAACCATCCGAGGTATTCAGAACCCTGTTTCAGCAAGAACGCTCTGTCTGAACCCTTCGATTGAATGGCCATCTGTGATTCTCATTTGCTGTAATCCTCCATGTGGCTGTCAAAGCCTCGTTGAGCAACAATCAAAATTGAGCACAGAGTGTAGTGTGACAAGGGGAGAAAAGCTATCTAATTTGAGTATGATTTTCTGATTTTCCAAGTTTTTTTGCTGGTTCATGAGCGTCCCCAATTCCCAATTTTTTTTTTTGAGGGGGCAACGACTGTTATAATAGCAAGTGTGCTCGATTGCCAACGAGATCGTCACATACCTGCTCCTGCGCATTCCTCAGCAACTGAACAAACACCAAGCAACCAAAGGCGAGAAGCTTCCAGCGTCCTGGAAAACCTCCGCGACTGAACAGACAGTATCATCAATCAGTGTCAGCCCCACCGAACAAATCAAACCATCTGCAGCCATTGCATGAAATCCCTCAGAGCCCACACAACCTTCAGAGTCAACGGGGGCGGACAGAACCAATGTCTGAAGCCGGTGTGAAATGAACAGACGGGTATATGAAATCTGAGATTTCCAAGCCAGTAAGATGCTCACGTCAAGTTCACAACACTCTTGGAGGCCACTCAAGTCTCAAAAACTCCATAGTTCCGTGGGAGGATGAGAACCTTGCTTGCTGAGAAAGCCTCCTGAATGCTTCAAGTAGTCATGACCTCGGATCTGCTGATCCTTCAGCCAGACTTCAGTAGCCTGCAGCCCTAGCTTCGCACCCACAAGTTCGCGACACCACGACAAATGCCCACAGCTATCACACTCACGACAACGCCACTCAGGGACGATGTGCTTTGGCCAACAACGGGCCGGCGTGATTCTCAACGTCGGGGCAAATGTCACAGTCTTCTTCTGATCCGGGGCAGCGGATGTCACTCCATGGCCGGCAGAAGTCGGTGCAGTCCGCTCTGTCTCCTCAGAGAGATCAAGACGGTGCTTCAGGATCGATTTGACCAGGAGGTCAGCTCGATGGCTCCTGATTGGCTCCGGGTTGATGCAATTCTGGATCGACATCGCTTCTGGTCGTCGAACAAGGGGGTGGAAGCCACCACCCACAGTCCCTCTCTTTTTGAAATTGCCGGCCTCTTTGTCGACGGCGATCTTGGCATGAGCAACAAGGGGCTTGCTAGGTCGTTCCTGCTCTAGAGCAGGCCGGGGCTCAGAAGGCAAAACCTTGATGCGAACCGGGATCCGCGACGCCGAGGCTGCCTCCTTTGTGACGGTAGGAGGCGTAGCGGTTGGCTTGTCCTTTCCCAGATCGCCTTCCTTGTCAAGTGAGATAGATCCACAAAGCCGAGACAACGGGCTATGAAGGACCGGTGTAACCGGTACGGGAATCTTAGATCCCATGGCCTTTGCGTTGGCTTGGGCTTTGACAGAAGTCGCAGCCTTTGCCTCGGCGGTCGTGTTGTCTGACGATTGCTTCTCTGGTTCACACCCGACAGTAGCGGTTGGCGGAGAGTCCGAGACAATTGTCACAGTGGTGGTCGCAGACAATGAGGGGGCGACCTCAATATCCTTGACACCAGCGGCCGTTGACCTTCCACGAAGGACGCTGTTGACCAACCAAGGACGAGCCCTGGCAGTCCTCAGCGACCTCCTGAGGTCGAAACTGCCGGAAGAAGAAGAAGATGGCTTAGAGACGAACTCCTTTGCCATGATGAAATCTGTAAATCTGTAAGCTTTCCTGTACTAATGCACTTGGGTTCCTACCTGGAGAGAAGAAAAGAGAGAAGCTGAGCAAGGTGGGATGCGGAGAGGTTTTTAAACGACTGCCTCGAGCAACCTCCATAACCGCATGGATATTGAGGGTCATAACACATTGAATGTACCAGTGGTTCAGCAGACGGGGACAGTGTAAACCTTCAAACTGTATACTTTCTCTTTCCAATGGAGGTGGGCTAATCTTTGTCGCTGTGGAGCCAACCTGATCCAAGTTTGTACATGAGCGATCTTTCCAGATGACCAACGACGGCTGAGTGGCGTTCATCTTCAAAGGAGTCCACCAAGGAGATGTACGCGGCGAAGTTCATCTCCATTGTAGCTGGTACCCATTGGAAAGGCCCCTCCTCGAGGGCAAGGGAATGTTTTGGTGGCGAACGGGCTCCACTAACTGACTCCATCTTCTTGCTGGGTCCGAATGCAAAGCCCAAGTTCACAAACACAATAAAGGTAAGCTTAAACAGACGAGGATAGCCAAGGAGTCACAATGACTTGAGAAGAGATGGTAGAAATGTAGCTTGTTGGGTTGGTAGGATTGGTTAGAGGGAATCGTTGTCGAATGCGTGCTCTCGCAGGGGGGAGAGAAGCTGTCAGCGAACTCTTTCATGACGTTCCTGAAGAGATCGGAACCGTTAAGCCGTTCGAACAGGTGGAGACTGTACCGAGGGCGCGGTAGGAGGCTTCCAATTACAAAACAAAACAAGGGTGGGGATCAAACAAGAGGGTAGTTGATGGTACAGTGACCAGGTGGGTTCACAGCTGGACCAAAGCTGGCGATAAAGCGTGTTTGACTGCACAAGACTCGATAATGGGCCCAGGGCGCGAGAATAACGTGGCCCAAAGGGACGACAACAGAGGTAAACAAAGGGTGGTTGGTTGAAGACGACGAGTTGGAGGAGTTCAGCCATGTTGAGGCCAGAAAAGGCTGAACTTCCGCACCACATCACGTGCTGTGGCGCTATGGTGCTGTCCCTGTAGCCTTCCACGAAACGGTTTCTTGCCAAATCTAATATCGCAGCATTTGCCAAAGATACAAGGCCTTCTTTCACCCGCCATTCCTGATGTTGGCAGCTTCTCAAGCTCGATTCAATATTGTATCCTATCATGCTGGAATCACTGAAGACTGGGCTGACCCAAAACGCCCCTGGCAGCCTCTAAACAATGCTGGTCTGTCTGGAGCCAACTACTACTCTATGTGCATAGTCTAGATGAATGCCGGGCTTCCCTCGCCCAAACTATGTTCACCTGCACTTGTACTTCTTTCTCCTCTTCGGCTTCTCAGAAAGCTGCTGACCATTCTCTTGCTGCCTAGGAGACCCAACACTTTAGCTGCACTTTTCCCCACCGAGTATGATCGGGACGGTAACGCCGTCTCCCCTTCAGCCACGCCGTCTAGATCAGTCGGCATATCCAGGCCGCCCCCGTCTAACATCGTTCGAGGTGCCACGCTCAACCGGCTGCTCCCAAACGTGTCTGGGTGGCCAGGTGTTCTCTTGCCCAAATACATACTGTCAAATGGACGATTGTGGGGGGGGACATCCATATTAAACGGCCGGCTTAGTCGGGCCTTTAAGAGGTCCTTGGCATTCTCGCTGGGACTTTCATGTGAACGGCTGGGCGTGGTTGAGATAGAACCATGGGGGGTTGAATACAGATTTCGAGAATGAAATCCGCCATCACTAACCTTCTTGCGTAATCGGCCGTTTGTGGTCCCATTGCGGAACTGGAGATGCAGTCTTCCCGGTGTGCTGACTGGCGGAGAGTCTGCTTGAACCGTCGGACTGTTTTCTTTGCCGGCGCTTTGAGGTCTAACTGGTCTCTGGCTCCTCTTCTCTTTGAAGAGCTTGGTGAGGTTTCCGGGACTCAGTTTTCGCAGACTTCCACTTCCCTTGCTGCCATCCTCGGCTTTGTTGGAAATGCTACTTAAGGCGTCGGCGCTGACCCTTTTGAGCAGATCGGTGTGAGGCCTACCGGAAGCAGTGCCGCTCCGCACTTTCGGGGTGCTGGCTCCTGGGACATCACCGAAACTTCCTAGATATCGACGCACCGGGATATGGCGATCTGCTGACTTCGCGAATGTCCCGGAGGCCCCCTCTTCGTCACATCTGTTGTCCTCCTCTTCCGAGTTGATCTGAGCTCTTCCTCGCGTGTGCGAACTTGAATTGCTAGCTGTTGTTTGCTCGCGGCGATTCAGAGTCTCCGACCAAGGATTCCATCGGCTGTTCATGGAAGAAGTAAACGTTGTTGCCAAAATGGTTGCCGTGCCTGCCTGTTCGGACTCTGTGGGTCCAGCTATACGCAGTTCTTCCGAGCTGTCGAATGGCCGGTGGTATTGTTCATTAGATCCGCCATTTGTTGTCCGTGAATAGATGCTGGCACTGCTCAGACCGAATTGAGGGCGGTTCATCACGGAATTGCTCGATTGACGATTGACGATAACGCTGTTGCTGTCCAGATCTGCCTGATCGCCACGACTGCTGCCGCTTCGGCTGCGACGACGCCTCTCGTTCAGGAACCTCTTGAAAGGACTTGGAGTGTTCGGATTCTTTTCACTCGAGAAGGGGAAGAAGGTCGACTGTGACTCCTGTTCCGTCAGCCGCTCTCGTCGCTTATCAGCAATCTCCCTATGTTGCTCATCCGTCCTCCCCCTACCAATAGATTGGTGCCACGAGCCAGAATGGCTGCTGGTTCGCCGGTTCGGATTGTTCCCGGTCATTGTGGACAGCGAAGAATCGCTCTGAACAGCTCTGATGGTGGCTTTCAAGTCCGAGACTTCATGGTTCATCTCCTTGCGCCCTTGGTTGATGGCTTCCAGAGCAATTCTCGTTCTCTCGACTTCGGCTTCTTCCTGGTTGATTCGTTTGATCAATGCTGAATAGATTCGTTGACTATCCACAGCCGGTAACGTCCGGCCGTCGTTCGTGACTGACTGCAATGGCTCATGAAAAACCTCCACCCCGCCAATATGTTTTCCGGCAGATGACGAAGGTTGGTGCGGACCACCATCTTCTTTGATGATTGATAGCCGATTGCGCTCTATAGGACCAGACCGCAGACCGATGGAGCCTGTTATGCTAGAGTTGGTCCAGCTCGTGATTCGAGATCGTGCGTTGGAATGAAGGCTTTCACGACTTGCAGCTGAATGTACAGTGTACGGCACCTTGTCGAAGTCTTCGAGCGGATCATGTTCGAGGATAGGCTGGGAACATCCGCTCTGACGCGGCGTGAGCTCATCGTCGATGATTTGGTATGCGTCGAATCCGCTGACAAGCGTAGATTCCTTGTCAAACTCAGAGAAGTGGTTCCGCCGGCCCTCCAGTTGCTGTGGAGGCAGGTTATCCTTTTTGCTCAGCGATTTCCCCAGGACTTTGCGAACTCGATCGCGAAAGCCCAGCGAGAAGGATCTTGGGACTGCGGTTTCTGCGGGCTGATCAGTCTCGCGGAACCCGCTGGCCCGAACAGTCTTTCTGAATTTGTGCTGCGCCTTCCTCTTCACCTTCCGAGGCGTTTGCTGTTCTGTCTCTTGCCGGGGTTGACAACCAGAGCCATCTAGAAACTGCGCTCGAGCAATCTGCACTGCTTCGTCGTGTCTCCCCCACGCCCCGTCTGCGCCATTGTAGAACGTGGTCGCGCTCTGGCGTCGCAGGAAAGGGAGGGACCGTTGAAGTCGCAGTCGAAGGTTGCCGCTGGGTAACACCACAAGAGATTTCGACTTCCGGACGCGGCGGTACGAGGATGGTAGAGCTCCGTAGTTCTCGGATCCAACTTCAGAAGAGGTCATGGCATGCCTCGCAGCAACCATAGCAAATCCATCCGCCCCGTTTCTATTGCGATAGAGGCAGTCGGTCATACTGGATATATCCAAAATTGCAGGCTGGGAGATATGGTACGAGGATGACAAGGCGACGAAGACGACAGCAGAAGTAGTCGCCGGCCATCTTCAGGAAGGAGCGGCTGCTTGGTGCTGTCGGGACACGGTCTCGGTCGCGAGGAAAGTGCAGCCATTACGCGCAAGATGGTCTACAACATCAACACAACCTTGTTTCAGTCACCGCGGCCGCTCAAGCTGATGATCGTCTGGACGTCGAAGCCGGAGCAGTCCCGCTCGGAGCGGCAGCGCTCGTAGAGTCCGCGACATCAGGACATGGCCTCGAAGAGCGACACGATCCAGACCCTCCCCCAGAAGCTTGGATTGAGCCACAACAGCTAAGAATTAGGGCCGTGATGATAACAACCGCGTTCAAGTCTGGAACTGTAGACATGCGCACCAAGGAGAATCTGAATTGCACAGCATATTCGACATGGCGAAATCAGACTTCTCTCGCGGCGGCGACGACGAAGACGGACGTCGGCAGAAGCAAGTGCACCCACGGCGACGGTTGAAACCTCAGTAGCGGATGTGACGGATTCATTATCCGGACAGCTCGTCGACTTGGCAAGGCTGTTTGTCTGGGAGTGCACGAGAGGTGAGGCAAGTCTGACCAATGTGAATCAGACGCGGGTGGTCAACGCTGGATTGAGCGCTGGAGAAGAGCTACAAAAACGGGCTTCTTAGGCTGGAGAGACGCGGAGCTTGAGGCAGGCTACCAATCATGCCACAAGCTTGAACAGTTAGTTGATGTTGTGTTAGGGAACGTAGAGGGAGAAGGGAGAATGCATGGAATGGATGCCAGCGAGTCGGTCATGCGGAAAAGGCGGACAGAGTCGGGGAGCTTTGGGGAGCTTCAAGCGATGGATTGATTGATTGCTGCAGGTCAGAGAGCAGAAAGCACTGCCTACTTTTGTCTCACCAGCGCCTGGCATTAATTAGGGCATCGGGGCATTAGGAGCCCAAAATTAGAGACGAACTACTCTGTACCGGGTATTCCCTATTTCCTCCTCGAACTACGGCGAGGCGGCCGAAAAAGCAGGGGTCGACCTAGCGACTGCCCCTCGGCCCAGATTACCACATTAGCCATCATCGGCAGTAGCACCATCTTCAATACGCGAGAGAGACAAAGATGACCCGAGGCGTTCCTTTTCCATGCGAGGTGGTATGAAAGACAGCTGAAGAAATCTCCCTCGGAACGGAATGGAAAGTCTTTCTGTCCTTGGTAGGGCCGGCTGGCCTTGTGGGGAAAAGGAAGGGTGAGGCATTTTCCACGAGGACGAGGCGCGCAGGTTGCCCTGTATTCTCCTCGGTAGAAGGAGAAAGTGATGCGAAACATCTGTGAGTGTCCTCGAGCGCTGTCAACTCACCTCAGCGCCAAGTTTGCGCGACCAGTAGTCCGGAGTTCTCTGCAGTAAGTCAGGAGGGTCACTAATACTACTAAGTGCTTGCATTTTGCATTTGCATCTGCATTGTGCAAGGGGCCAAAAAGCTGGTCAGCGGTTCTGTGGTCATGGGTGCAATTGGCACAGGATGGAAAATGAAGCGAAGCTAGACATGAATTGTTCAACTTTTTTTTCTTTCGATTGTTTTGGTCCATTTGCCTAGGTCACTCTCCGTGGGGTTGGAGTTGGACCTGGAATATAGGCTCATTCATCCATGTCTTGTAACGTACAAGCAGCTTGCGAGTGAGACATTGCAGACGCAAACCAATGTTGGTACATGAGCAGGAAAACCAGTTGCTGGTTCACTACCGACTAACGCGGACGACGCCCAGTCTCCCGTTTGCTTTTGTGCTATTCCAACCTCGACTCCAAGCCCATTCCGCTGATGTGCTTTTTGGTGCAGAAAAGGATCGACAAACCCCGCCCCCCAGCTTGTCACAAGGACCCTTCTGGCTTGCAGCTACACGCGGCATGCGGCATGCTGCATGCTGCACGGCCTGTGGTCACTCGTGGCCCAATCCAGCGTCACCGATAATCGCGTTGATACACAGGGCCGACGACCGACAACGACAACAACAACAACGCGGTCTGGCCCCAAATCAAAAGAGTTGATAAAAACGTGGATGGCATGGCATGGTCTTGTTGCTGCCTCGAGATGCAAAGGATATCGCTAAAATTATGCTGATGTCAAGGTGTGCCCCCGTAGACGCCGACGCTGAAACCCAACAAGACAAGAAATGCAGAGTGAATTGGTTGAAAAAGCCGTGGTGGCCGGATAATAGAAGCCAACACCAATCGGAGGCGGCGGTCGTAATGGTCGTAGCTCATGGGGTATCAAGGTTTCAGGAGCGCCCAATCCTGGCGGCGGGTTTCGCAGTGGCCTGGAGTGATGCCGATGGCCAAGCTTGGGCAAAGGCAGGGAATGAGGTGCCGAAGGAGGAATGCGTGGTGAGATTGGTGAGAGGGTGGTGATTGGGTTGACAGTTGCCCAAAGTTGCCCAAAGTTGCCCACTATCTGGCCTCATCTGCAGGGCACAGCGGCATGGTGACATCAGCCTCAAATGACGTAGTCAGCAGACCCGACCGGACGTTGAGCGGCTGTGTGAGGACTGAGCGAAAGGGGCGGCTAGGTCGACTGCGGAAGTTGTACATCTGCACCAAAACACGAGTTAGAAGTGTCCTCTGGATAGACGAGAAGCGAAGAACGTACTCTGCACTCTGCGCACTTGCCGCCAGCAGTGTCACATCGCCCGCGGCATCCCCGAGGCTGATTTGAGCACGAGAACATGGTGTATTTGCTTGTTGCTTGTTGCTGGTTGCTGGTTGCTGGTTGCTGGTTGCTGGTTGCTGGTTTTGTTTTGTGTGTGTGTTTCGAGCGCGGTGCCCCGAGAGAAAGCGTAGGGAGAAGTCAGAAGAGGATCTCGAGCTTGACGGCCGGTGATATGCAAAACGGAAAACGCGAGGGGTGGATTGTTGAGCTGCCAATAGGAGTGATGACGTTGTGTTCGTTTCAGATCGGTGATCGCTTTGCGCAGTTGGTCGTGCAGACTTGGAGTTGTTGAGGGCTGTTGTTGTACAAGACAACTGGTCGTTGTGTATACACGGGAGTCGTCGTGAGGGAGAGAGGGGCTTGGATTTTGGTCAATGGGTGAATGTTGTTCAGAGGAGAAAAGGAAATCGAAGGGTCGAAGAAGGCGGATGGAACGAGAGTGATATAGCCTTGGCCCTTAGGCACACAGTGGCAGGCTGCCCAGTTGGTTACAATGGATGCTGCGACGGCTTAGTGGATCGGTGATCAGCAAATGCTGCATTGCTGAAGATGCAAAAAGATGTCACGCCCCAAGCACGCCCTCCCGAGCTCCGAAACCGTCGGGGCAAAGTCTCATTGGGGGAAGGGCCCAGGTGGTGCGGGTTGGTGCTGGCCTGACATTAAGGGCGACCATCACGCCGCCTGACTGTTCTTCCGCTCCATTGCGGTCTCATCACGTTATTCCCTTATTCCCCACCGCAAGGTGCCTGCACAGTGCGCACCCACCTGGGATGCCCTGCACCTTACGTACGACTTCCTTACCTGGTCTGGTCGGTTGTCACCCATTCTTTGGGCGAGCCGTGCCTGTGCCTGTGCCTGTGCCTGCGCCCGCCCAGCCTGCGCTTTCGGCACCGAGCCCTTTTAGCCCTCCTTTTCTTAGCACACACTCAACGCGCTCTCACGCACTCACAAACAATACGCAAGCACGCCCCCTCTGCCCACGTACTGGGTACTGGGCCCCTCGTACCCAGTACACCGTTCGAGTCCTCGAGTCCTCCGTACCTCCTCCGTACTTCCTCTCGTCGGTCGCACCACGCTCCATGGCCCACGCATCACTTAGCCCCCATTCAGCTCAGCAAGCTCAGCACATCCGCATGCAAAAAATTAGCCAGAGTCCCGGCAAATATTCTACCAGCCATGGCCCATCGGGTCTCTTAGTTGCCCAAGTCAAATCAAGTCGCAGACACGAGGTTTCGTCAACCCGTTACCTTGCATTGTGTCCTCGTTACATTGCGTCCTGTCCAGTGTTCCCGTGTTCCAGCAATTAGCTCCCGGGAATGTGCTTACTACAGTACATACCTCGTCCAACAACCCCCCCATGCAAGGTGCACTTTCCTCAGTAGGTATTCAACTCTCTTCTTAGTCAGGCAGGCATAAGGCTCCCTTACTACATTCGTAGGCGCCTGCCAGCCTTTCCCACCGCCTATCACCGCCTACAACTCTCTGCCTAAGAAAAACTCCTCTTCCTTACACCATCCCTGCAGGCTTATCCCGCATATGCTGTTATGTCCTCCAAGTCTTCACCATTACTACTAATCATCATCAAGTCCGCAACACGCTCAATACGCTTTCCACCTGTGGGCTAAGGTGACCCGAACACACACAACCTCGCTCCATACGGGGTTGGTGGGACGAGGTGCCAGATACTGATGCACTCACGCCACGAACAGTTTTATCTTTGCGCGAAGATAACTTTCTTTCTCTCTCGGAGCATAAAAAGAGAATTCTCGGGCTTGGGAATCAAAACATGGCTCCACATTTCCTTGAGGTGTTCCCCCGTACTTCAACCGTCGGCAGACAGGCATGTCCGTACCGAGTACGCTGCATCTGAAACGTGTCGCCAGAGCTGGTGAATCAGCTGATGCCTTGAGGTCCAGACCGCAATCTCGTCCATGTGGCCTACTGTAGACTGATGGCTTGGTTTGATAGACGCCTGGCAGATGGCATGATTGGAACTCGCCCAGTCGCACAAAGCTCTTCCGCTTCAATCCATCCAAAGGCCCGCCCTGGTTCCCATGGAAATGGATGCGCTACAAGTAATTACTGTCACTTGAACCGGACCACGGTGAACAGCAGTAGTCACACCACTTCTGCCAACCAACCCACTCCACGACTTCTCACGGCGGGTCCGTCGCCCAATCAAGGGCCTTGCGGTTTGGACCCAATGCTTACTTGTTACAAGAGCCCATTGGAACCTGCCCCTCCATCATCGGTTCGCGTCTGGTTATGTCAGCTGCGCTGTCAGACTGTCCAGATGCTCGGGTCTGCTGCCGCTGCCAAGGAAAGAATAATGCACAGAACTTGAAGAAAATACCTAGGACCCTAAATTATAGGATGCATGTCATCGGAATCGTCCTTGATCAGCCTTGATCAGCTTTACAGACAAGTCATGGCTCGTGCGGGCTCTATTTTCAACAAATCCAACTCCTTCGGGATCATGCAGCGACTGTGCCTCCGGGCGGGAGATGGGATGTTGAGCGATTCAGGAAGGCGCCCCGTTTGGTAAACTCTACCCAGTACTTGGGCCAGATTACTGTACTGTCGTCAACCTGATGCAGCGGCTAGAACATGTCGGTTCACGGTAGTCAACGGATTCCCCACGCCTTCCTCCGGCGTTCACTGGCCCAGAGCACAGGTGACAGATCAGCAGGGGAAATGGCCCGACTGAGAATGCTTCGATGAGGGCGCTAGAATGCTGATCGAAGCCTCTCAGTCTTCGAGAAGCACTCGCTTAATCCTTGCTCCTTCTGGTGGTCCTTGATCCGATCCACCCAGCCACAGAAATTCCCCACACGCTCGATGAATCAGCCGGGCAACACCCACCCACCCTCGCTGCCTCCATGAGTCCATACCCTTCTTAGTCATTTTGAATTCCCTCCTTTGGATAAGTCCTGCAATCCTGAACTGTCGGCAATGCGCAACTCTGTCCTTCACTGCCGATCATCCGGCTTTCCTCTCCCTCCTCATTCACCTCTTCACACCAGGAGGAGAGCTCTGATAATCAGCCATCCACCCACCACTCCAATCGTCGTTGCAAGCAACAACCCGTTCCCTTCCCATGTCAGTGCCAGATAAGCCATGATCCCGACAGCCAGCTCCTTCCTGCGTGCCTGCACCCTCCTGCTCCTCCACTCCGGATCGATGCCGAATGGCACTGTCGTCGGGCCCCCTTCGCCCTGTGCCTGCCCTGCATTAGATCCAGTAGCCTTGAGAGGCACCGAGGCTGCCAGTGCTACGGGGCGGTGATCGGAGGTTGCAAAGAGCGGCAGACACGTGTACCGCAGCGGAGTCACCTTGACGTCACCTCTCTGAGAGGTGTTCGAGAAGAAGATTCGGTCGCACCAGCTCGGCCAGCGATGACGTGCCCAGCTCCAGTGCTGTCGGTCTTCTTCATTGACCAGGAGGACAGCCTTGCTTCCGTCGGTGTCGTACTTGTACGTAGGTGGGAAGGTGATGGGGGCCTCTGTCAGCCCGTGTAGAGTCCTCCCAGCCTTGACCTGCTGAGTAAGCTGGTCTTCGGCCAGCAGGTCTTGAAAATGGATCGGTTCGTCTCTGTTCGTGGTAGCCTGAGGGAATTTGTTCTCGACGTCCTGTGGAGACGGTCGGAGCAGTGATGTGCGATAGTTGAGATCACCAGCGAAGAAAAAATATGAAGATGATGATGACGATGATGCAGTCGAGTACATCCCGCTCTCTCCAGCAACAGTCTCATGCCCCTGTGAGTGAACTTCTCCTTGTAGCAGCGGCGCATCTTCCCCTTCTGCGTCCCGAGACAGAGGAGCCTTGACTCTCTGATCCGGCAGGAACACCAGTCTCTGCATAATGTTCTTGTAATCCTCATTTCGCCTCTCGACACCGTCTTCCATCGGAGCCAAATGGGCCGACACGATGGTAAATTCGACCTCCTCGCTCTCGCCATTTGCCTCGCTATCATCTCCTCCTTGATCATCTCGGCTCACTCGGTATCCCAGCCTGACACCTACGGCGCCTTTGTTGCCTATTTCGCCAACCCCGACACCCACTCCAGCCGTGCTCACCCACTTGAGGTTATCGACGACGTCGTCCCTCAGAAAGACCATGATGGCCGTCATGCCCAGGTTTCTGCTCACCACATTCACGTAGCCGTGGCGGTCGTCTTTGGAAGCGAGCCTCACGACTTCGCGGAACGCCCCGAAGTAGGGCGTCAGAAACGACCCGCCCAGAAAGGCATAGCTGATGGGCGCGAGCTCCTGCAGGCAGAGGACGAGAAGTTCTGGAGAGTCGCTGCTTGGCGGGAGGGCGTGGAAGAGATATGGCGCAAACGTCACGGGATCGACGAGGGTCCGCGCGCAGTTGTATGTTAGGATGTAGATGTTGAGGGAATCGCTAGTAGTGCTGGACGGAGTTTGATGGGCCATGTTTCAGACCAATCCAGGTGTTGAACCATGTGTTTTTGATCACGAACGAATTCCTTTGCTCTCGACCGAGATCGCGGCCAAAGCGAGAGTGGAAGCCTATGAACAACCTGCAACTATCATCGAGCCAAAATTCATTGGGAGGATTGATGCATGAGAGAAGGGCCCTGGGAACAGGCGCGGATATCTCATGGAAGAGCGGAATAGTTGAGGTTGCGTTGGGCTGTGCGGCTGTGTGGTGGATGATGTCGTCAGTCGCGCCAACTGTCATCCGGATGTGGTTTAGCTCCAGATCATCTGGTTCTTGGAAAGCTTCATTCAGCCTCGCATCACCAACTCGAAACGACTGTAGAGACCTGCAGTCCAAGGCCGGAAAGTAAAGGCTTGAGCCCTAGCTTTGAAATTGAAGCTCCCGGCGAAAGAAAAGAGCAGTGGTCAAAACACAATCCCTGGAACGGCGGCAAACGACCAATCGCGAAAGAGTCTCCCCAATGAGAGAGAAAGGTATTACGTGGTTTATAACTTTGGCCCAAGACAGGCACCGGAGGAATTTTGTGTAGAATTATTCGGGGTATGTCGGCATCTATCAAGCTCTACCCTCATCAAAAGACATATATTTTGATCCATAGTGAAAACTTTGATTAAAACAACATAGGAACATCTTTGGGCAGAGCAGTGACATGGCAACAAAAATGGCCGCTGAACATGAATCTAGTAACTGTTAATACCTACAATCGAAACAAAGGAAAAATGCTCTCCGAATCCGAAAATGCCGGGTCCCCCCCCCCCCTTTCCCGTCGTGAGTGCCTGCTCTACGGGCCACTAGGGCTAGGTGGTCCGTTCAGCTTGAAATATCCCGGCTGCAGCGTTTGGAACACTCCAGTGGGATCGTACTTGGCGGCAGTGCTCTTCAGCTTGGCTTTGTTGGTCGATCCGTAGCTAGCAATGACGTCCTGGAACTGACTGGCATAGTTCATGTAGATGTAGTCCTCATACAGCCCCATCGACTGAGCTAATGCCACGGTCCGGTCAATGATTCGCTTGTTGGCCTGGAGAATTCTGGTGTCGTCGGCCGCATTGGTCCACATCATGTTCATGTTGAGCAGCAAGAACGGCCCTGCGGAAGCCGAAAGGCCGAGCGGGTTTCCGCCATTTTGGGTCATGGCAGCGAGTTGCCCTTCGGTGATGACTTGCAAAGTCGCGGCGGGCACCAGACCGGCGGCATCCTTGATCGAATCAAGTTCCTCAAAGAAGATATCTCTGACCGAGGCTGTGTGGTTTTTGTTGAGCTTGTATGTAGCCGCCCAGTACGTCTCGCGCAGTCCGTCGGGGTTGCTGGCGTTGAATTCTTGGGTTAGATCTGCCAGTGTGCGGACTTTGGTGGTATCTGAAATGGCTGGGATAGACAAGTACTCGCTGAAGATGGGTGCGTTAGCCACGGGCTGCGCATATTGGAGATCGGCGGCGGCGAGGTTGAGATCGGCGGATTGTGCGTAGGCGAACGAAAGGATTTGGGCAGCATTGGGGTCCTGAGGCGAGTTGACACCGACATTGTAGAAAGCGTCGACAACAGCGTCGAATTGGTCTTCAAGTATCACACGGCCGCCGCCCCACATCAAGCCGCCTGGAAGAGGGATGGCGTTCAACGTGAATTTGGTCACGATTCCGAAGTTATTGCCGCCGCCACGCAGGGCAAAGAAGAGGTCTTTGTTCTGGGTGGCGCTGGCAGTGACAATCACCCCGGACGCGGTAACAACCTCGTAGCTAACGACGTTATCGCAGGCCCAGCCGTAAATATTAGAGAAGAAAGAAATGCCGCCGCCAGTGGTGAGGCCGCCCACCCCAATGGGTGAGACACGGCCGCCGATGACGGTGACACCGGCTGGCTGAAGGGCGGTGTAGACATTGAACCATGTGTTACCAGGGCCAATGTCAGCCGTCTTCTTGTCCGACGAAAGTTTGATGGTGTTGAGCTTCTCGAGGGACATGGTGATACCGCCCTGAATGTTGGAGGCGCCGGCGAAGGCTGCATGGCCACCGGACTTGGCTGCGAACGGACATTGGGTGAGTCGTGAGAGCAAAATTGATATTGACACTTGGGTTGCACTGGTTGGCTTGAAAATACAATAGGGGTCAATATTCTCTTGCTGAACAGACCAGTAGGCGTTGGTGAAGGCTGTGTAGCCTTGATTGCCTTGCTCGATCACATTCGATGATCCGAACAGGATCCTGAGGGTGTCACACTGGACGAGAGAGCAGTCAGTGATTGAACCAGTGAGGCAGTCGGACGAGGTTCGGGGACGTCGATGATGCGTTGTCCCTGGTGAAGACTCACCGCAATCGAACATGCAGAGAGGGAGGATCTCTTGGTCAGCGAGTCCAGCTCGGGCAACGCAGACACATTGACGCCCTGGTCAATGAGGGCTAGGGTGACGTTGAAATCAGGTGGCTCAAAGGTGCTGTCCTGCGCCGCGGCGGACGCGGCAAACCCCAGGCCAAGGGCGGCCACGTGGAGGGAGGAGAACCGCATGATGGGCGGAGAGGAAAGAAGCGAAGGCAGGGGGAACAAAGGCTTCTAGAAGACTTCCACGACCTCTGGACGCAAGCAACAATTGATGCTCACTTTGCACTTGCCGAGACGCAAAAGAAGACACAGCCTGGGCCAACCACGGCGAGCTTGACAACCCACAAAAACCTAAAGATTGAGATGCAGAAGATGAAGCGAGAAAGCTGGGATCGAGGAGAACAGGCCTGCTACTTACGTTGGCCAGGGTCAGTCTTCTGGTGCTGCCCGCATGTCCGAAATGTCAGATCAAATTTCGTCGACCACGCCATACTTCCTCCTTGGATGTATCTCGTTTGCGACAGGGCTCTCCACAGAAGACGTTGTACTCAGAAGGACTGGATCCTTACGATGTGGGCCTGTCGCGTGGCCGAAATGCGCTTTGACAGTTGCTAGACATTCTCATTTCTTGGTGTTGAAGGCAAGACAAGTGGGCTGGACAGAAACAAGTGGGTGTTGCATTTCAATGGTCCAATATAGCTAAGATCCAAACCCTTCCGAGTCTGGAGTTTGGCATCTGCCACATTTGGGGCCACTGGCGCTGCCTAGCATTTTCGGCGGAGAAGTCGGCAATGAGAATAATCCCTCACATCCTGCGTTGAACATGGTAGATGGTTGCTGTCCCTGGGACTAAGCTTGAAGTCGCAGCAAGGTCCTGACTCCTGGATTTCTTGGGCTCGCCGTTGTACAGCCTAATGCAGTCTAGCCAACGTGGGCCAAAACTAGCGACAGTTAGTTGCAATGGACATTTCCCATGCACTGGAGAGCTCGGAATCACCCCGACATCTTGGGCTTATCTTCCATTGCCACGTGCAGCTGGAGAGGCTGGCGGGGACGCGAGAGGCCAAGAGGGAATAGTAATCGAGAGTCCTCGCACCATGCGGCTGGAAATACGAAAGTGCTAGCTATAATCGGGAGGAGTCTATAAGCTACACAGTACACTAGGCATTTCGCTTATGGCTGTGTTGCACTCCTAGACCCAGATATTAGATTGTGCCTTGGGATTGCCGAGGATCAGGCTTCGATGCATACTTGCATACTTACTGGATACTCACCAGATACCCCTGAATCTTGCCTCGGAGCGGGACGTCAAGTCAGCCATGGATACGCTAGCTAAATTTGTCTTAGTCGATCACATGATGAGCCAAGCCACGGCCTTGGCAGGAACTGATTCCAACTCGCCAAGTTCCAACTCCTCCCCATCGCCTGATCCTGCAATCACTGCATACCACAGTAACAAGTACTGTAAGTACTTACAGTACATGATTCGACCCTCAACGCGTGATCCTAGTGCCCTTATTTTCTGGTTCGATGGCCAGCTCCCACAGAATGGGCCCTTCCACCTAGCTCCCCGCTTGCAGAAACGCTAAGCAGGAGGCTCTACTGGGTACTTGTCACTTGTACTTGTAAGTCAAGATGAAGTATTCCGCACCTGTCCCATGAGCACGTGGCAAGTGCAAGCCATCAAGCGTGGCTTGTCCTGCGGCTGCTCTACCCTTTTTCGAGCGCTGGTACTCGTGCAAGTTGTCAATGCACTGTACGGAGTGCTGAATCCCGGGGAGAGCATACCTATAGTAGGTGAAGAAGTAAGTATTGACTCCGAAAAAACTACTCGGAACGAGGCCACCTCGTTAGCCGGGCTTCGCCGGGTTCCCCGGACTTCGGCTCGCCAAACTAGACGATCCAAGCTTTACGCCGACACGTCCAACGCAACATCTGTCTTGCACTAAGTGGATTTTGTTTTCATCTTGTCGACACTCTGGTTGGCAGGCGCCAATAACGGCCATCCAGGAAGCGGGCGACTGTCGATCTTGGAAGATTAAAGGCTAGCCTGGGAAGCGGCATGGAGGGTTGGGACGTGAGTGCCGTGCCCTCGATAAGCCCTCAGCAGTCTCGAGTGGCGTGCTCTTGCTGACAATGCATCGCGCACCAGGAGATGCCTCCTGCTCACGCGGCGAGACGGGTGCCCCGGTGGCCCTTATTCGTTCAGCCCTCTTCAACTTCAGGTTACCTGCCTCAGGGTGTATGGCGTATCCAGTATTTTCTCTTTTGTCGCAGGTGGTCAGAAAGGCAGAGAAGCAAGAAAGAGAAACAGGGGGGGAATAAGGACCTTCTTTTCCTTCCCGTCGATGCTGCACCCGACGGATCGAGAGCAATGGTAACAAGCCGGAGTCCTGCGTCTTTGAGGAGGAGCCGAAGGACCGTACCGGATATCTTTCGTCTTTTAGGATACCCTTAGTACCACATCGCTGTCGGACCCCTGAGATTTCCACGCCGTGAAAGCCCAAACCTGGCACTAGTGGCGTCGACCCAGTATACTCCATCACCGAGTGCATTGTTCCATGCCATTATAGGGATTTTCGCCAGGCCGTGGTAGTGGACGCCAAGCTGCCAGCCAGTCTCGGTCTTCACTCGAGCTCGCTTGTTGCATCCTGCGTCGCACCAAAACCGGTTTGTGGCAAAGAGTTCTTTTTGGACCTTTGCAAAGAAGAGAAAATGTCCTCTATCTCCCTATGCCGAAGGAGGCCGTCTTTCCTCTCAATCCTTCTTCCTAGCCCTCCGTAGGCTATCGCTATCTTCTAGGGCTTGTGGTTTGCGCAGCAAACCAACCGCTTTGCACTCCTCGAACATCACCTTGATTCCCCCAGCATGTCGTCTCAAAACTATGTCTCCCAAAGGGCGCTTCTTGGGGTGGCATACTCCATGCTTGGAGTCACCAGCGTTGTCTTCGTGGCAAGGGCGCTGGTGAGATTCCGTCAACCAAAAAGGTTCCAAGCAGAAGACTTCTTCCTCCTGCTTGCCTACCTCTTCTTTCTATCCCTGACCATCATGTATATCGTCTTAACACCCACCATGTTCCGCGTCACTGATGCATCGACGGGCAAGATACCAATCTACCCCGAGATTCTGGACGACTCCCTCTTTATGATCAAGATCTTCTTCGCCAACACCATGATCTTCTGGTTTACGCTATATTCGGTCAAGTTTGCGTTTCTGTGCCTCTATCGCCGGCTGATGACGGGTATCCCGGTGTACATGAAACTGTGGTGGGCGGCTGCAGGATTCTGTATCTTGGTAAGAACCAACCCTTGAATATTTTGGCATTATTTTTGCTAGAGAGAGGAATCCGGCCTGCTTCCTCATCCACTGACTGTGTCGTCCAGACTTTGATTGGCTGTGTCGTATCAAACTTCACCAGCTGCCACAGTATGCACGCATGGTTCACACCAGGACTATGCGCCGAGAAACGAGACGTGCGTGCTCAGATCGCCTCGTTATATTACGCCTACGCGGTGGATGTCTTGTCAGATCTCTTCAGTAAGCCCAAGTCACCTGTGCCATGCTCTAGCTTGTCCATGTTGCTGACTCGTTTCTCTAAATCCTCAGTCATGTTCCTTCCCCTGCGTCTGATTTGGAACCTACAACGGCCCACGGCACAAAAGGTTGGCATTGGAGCTCTGTTCTGCGTCGGATTGATCTGCATCATCTTCGCCACAATCCGCGTGGTACAGATTGGGGTCAAAACACAGGGTCACTCAACCCCATCCTCCTCATGGCTCGCGTTGTGGGCGATCGTCGAGTCGGCCGTAACTATTATGGTCGGCTGTTGTCCCGGCCTGTATTCCAAGGCCAAAGAAGCTCACTCGACTCGCAAGACGTCGTCCAAAAAGAGCGGAATGCCTCCTCCCTACAACTACGGAAGCCATGCCTACGCAAACCAGGTCACTGGCGCGGGCAACACTACTAACGCGACCAACAATCACATCAGCCGCGTGATTGACAACGACATCGAGATGAAGCACATTCCTGTCAAGGTTACTGGCGGCAAGGAGTCCCGGCGGTGGAAGGACAAAATGAGCAGCGTCACTGACACATTCTTCGCCAACGACAGCTCCAGCCAAGAGGAACTCAACAACAATAAGCAGCAGATCTTCGTCAGCACGAGTATCGAGATCAAGGACGAGGAAGAAGGGGACCGCGCCAGCAATCGAAGAGATGCCGATTATCACTATCCCAAAAGCCCTGTTTGATCCCCCCCAAGGCATCTGCTCCGCCCAAAGGGAGATCCCAGCGTTTGTATGGCTAGGTCTATCCCTATCCCGCACTTCTTTTGCAGCAGAGAAAGAATGGCGATAACAAGGAAAAGAGTCACGATTAGAAGAAGGCCAAGGGGACATTCCTCTACTCGTGGCCGGGCCATCTCGGACCATCTATTTCAGAGATCATCTTCCTGCAACGGTTATCCCCTCCGAGAGTTCGACGTTCTGGAGTTCAAAAGAGGAGGGGCTCTGAAGAAAGAGCGACACTTGTATATATCCATCCAGTCCGCAGGACAGAACAGGATCCTTTCGAAGAGTTTCTTTCACACGGAATTGGCTCAGAGCAAATCCGTACCTTGGGTATCTACATACCAACGTCTCCATGATTTTGTACAACATCTCTCCGGACCTCCATGTACATAGATAGATAGACATGTATGCATATATATATATATATATATCCGATTCCGGCTGTGTTGTGTCCCTACAGTGGCTGCATGTGTACATGCTCCCGTGGTTGGGATCCATGGCCGGTTTGACCGAGACGCTGACGGGTACGGAGGAGTAAGAGTCGAAGGAGGAGTACTGAGTACTGGGTACTACTATTTAGGAACTCGCACTAAACCGCGCCGTGCCGTCAACCCCTTTTATGATCTTCGGCCCGCGCTCCCCTTTTCCCTAGGATGAAAGTAGAACATAAGCCTACAGACTACAGTGGGGTGCAAAAAGTTTGAATACACCTAGCTAACAAAACTCCATATTAGGTGTATTCGAACAAAGAGCACTTACTGTACCTCGTACATGCTCTTTGTTCGAAATAACGACGACGACGACGACGACGATAATGCACAGCCCTCAACGGGCCACAGGAGTCATACATACCATAGGCGCTTCTGGAATCCAGATCGCTGCGACTCCTTCGCACCGAGATACATACTTTCGCAGACTAACGAAGGAGCTGGAGTGGCTGGTAAGATGTTTCAAGGGGAGGAAGAGGCCGAAGCCTACCCGGTACATGTATGCTGTTTGTCTGGGAGCGAAGGTACCCGCGATACCGTGCCCTCCCCTCCCCTCCCGTACGAGCAAGGCCACCAGCAATAGGGCTGAAGACGGCAAGCTCCTTGATTTTGGCGACCCGACGACCCTGCCCGCTGGTTGCTCGACTTACTTGGTTTGCACGATGGCGCGATCCGGTCGTCGGAGTAAAGACACCGAAGATGGCAAACGTACTTGTTTTCTGCGATCCGACAACCTGCGTTCAACTCACCTCGTTCTTCACAACCACCACGAACCTCAACCGTTCTCCTTTACAGACCCGTTAGATTTATTGCAAAGTGCTCCGTACTCCGTACACACACACACCTCGCGTCGGTTAGGAATCCTTCCAAACTGACCTTGCCCTTTACCCAGCTGAAGCCATTTCCTGTCCGGCCCCCTATCACGGGTAGAAAATTGGAGACCTGGTACAGCATACGGTGTACATGACGGGAAAAACCAATTTATTGTCATCAATATCCACAGTGATTGGTCATCTGGTTGCTGTCCCAAGTTTAGAAGATTGTCGTGAAGTGGTGAAATGTAAAATGGCCGACGCCCTCATCCCATTGTCATATCATCATGTATCCCATCACATAGTCCAAACAATGTACTGTTCTGTGGAGCAGACACCAAACGTTCATCAGACCATCATGAATTTCTTCGTGACAGCATCTTGTCAATCATCACATATGTCAAAGTTAGGAACCCGACACCGAAAGACCACAGAGTCCACTTTACCACAACCATGATCATCACTCTCACCCATCCTGAGAACACAGATTCATGTACGGCGGTATAGGGCATTTTGCGTCCTATTTTTTGCTCTTTCTTTCTTTCTCTGCCGTCAAGGAAACTCTCGCTTGCTAAAATGCTATTCCACCAAAACAAAGGAAATTCGTATCAACTTGCTTTATTTCGACGCAGCTTGGACATCATTTCTCCACAAATCCGAATCTAAATGGCTGCTCACATTCAACGTCTCCAACCGGGTGGTGGAGGTGGCCGACCCCCTCGGTAGACGACTTCCCGCTCAATAAAGCGCTCTTCCTCTCGATCCCAGTCCTGGCGATGGCGCGGTGGAGGAGGCTCGATGGCGAGTGGGCGTGGCGCTGGTTCTTCAATGGCGGGAGGGAGGACTCGATTTTCCCATTCAATCTCCTTGATTCGCTTACGACGCTCTTTGCGGATGTCATCGGACAGACCAACTAGACGAGCAATATCTTCCTGGAATATCGTTAGCAATTTGGTTCGAGACAGAGTTGCACAGAGACAAAACTCACGTAGCGCAGATAGGCGATGATATAGTAAAAATCGTCAGTCTCCTCAAACTCATACCCCATCTCCTGAATCGCTTCCTTGACAACGAGATCCTTGGTGACCTCGGTCCATAGGCCTTCCTTGGGATCCCGCTCCTTTCCATAACGACGGCCAATCTCTCCGTTCGACGATGGCAGCGGAGCTGGCGGATGAACAGGGATCGGTGCGGGGAGCGGTGCAGGCAGCACAGGTGCGGGTGCTGGCGCTGGAAGGGGTCTCGCAACTGCACTGTCGTAACGCTCATCAACTCCATCTGGCATGAACTTGCTCCTTCGCACACCGTTGTATCTCTGCCAGGTAATCTCCTGACTCGCCCCTCCAAGCCCATCCATTCGAACGCGACGAGTACCCGGAGGAACATCCACAATTTCCCAGTCGCGGGTAGCTCCATGGTACGCTTCGCCGACGTAAGCTCGATCCATGGCACGAGCATTATAGTACTCTGCTTCTTCTTGCACGTCCCGTTCATAGCCACGATAAACCTCACGACGAGGGGGTGGAGGCTCGTAATAGAGTTCACGTGCCGGCGGGGGAGTATACGGTGCAGCAACGCTTTTCGGGCTGGCTGGACCGTCCCTGCGATCTATCACAATATCCTCATTCTCCGTACGACCATTCCTGGTTTGGGTTCTGCTGATCTCAATACGCTCTTCTGATCGAGCTCGTACTGGTGGAGGGGGAGCCAGGGGCGGGCTTGGCGGCGATGGTGGCCGTGAAATCACCCGTGGCCGAGTTGGGATGGCGACTTCAAAGCCATGGTCGATATGGCGATGATGCGTTATGACCTCTTGATGAATGGTAGGGGCATTGATGATCGGAGGCTCTGGAGGAGGAAGAGGCGCAGGGGGCATCATGGGCGCAGTGCGAGCCGAAGTCACCGAGGTGGCAGGAGACCTGGAGCGAGAGCTCTTGCGAATGATGATTTCCTGTTGGTTGCGAGTGCCGCTGCGTCCCTCGCGCTCCTGTTGCCTGATGATGATTTCATCATTTGAAGCACTACTCGAGCGTCGAGCTCTGGACCTCGCTCGTTCATGAGATTTGGGGCGAGCCAACGCATAGTCCTCGTATCGGCGGGGCTCGAGATTCTGTTCGTCGCGCCGGATGATGATTTCTTGCCTGTCGACGTCGCCTCGGACGGATCTCCGATCGTAATCACCTCCTCGCCTGGAGACTACATCGTCATAGTCGTCATAGCGAGATCGTCGGTCACTCTCATCGCGACGAATGACGATTTCCTCTCTCGAGGAGTTGACTTCTCTAGGCGGCGGTGGCCGCACCTCGCGCTCTCGTTCATCTCGGCGAATAACAATTTCCTCTCGGGAAGAGTTCACTTCCCTGGGCGGTGGCGGCCGCACCTCTCGTTCTCGTTCGTCCCGTCGGATGATGATTTCCTCCCGATCCCGGTCACGTTGAGGAGGTGGAAGTCTGCGCTCGGGCTCTCGCTCGTCTCGGCGGATGATGATCTCGTCACGCTCCACTTCTCGTTCCCGCCGAGGAGGTGGCCTTGATTCTGACTCGTCTTTCCTGATGATGATCTCCTCCTTTTCGATCTTCCTCTCTGGCTGGGGAGAAGGGGATCGCCGACGAACCCGAGCAGCGAACTCGAAGTCTTCTTGTTCTCGCTTCCGCAGGACCACTGGCCCAGCGGAGGTTCGGCCATAACCTTCTTGTAGAAAAGCAGGTGTAGAGCCTGGTCGTTCACGGATTTCTTCTCGCACAATGGTTTCTCTTTCCCGCTCACGCACGGGCACAGGCGTGGGGCGGCGATAGTCTACGTCTTCCTCGACGAAACGGTCATCATAGTATCGTCGACCATTCCGTGAGATGTAACTTTCTCGGCGGTCTTCGTAACGGTCGACAGACACATCATCGGCGTAACGGCGTCCTGCCATGGCAGGGTGTGGTTATGTTTGTTTTTCTTCTTGTTGGTTTTTTTTTTTTGGAACTTGACTCGGAAGGGCACTGGGCAGGTAGGGGGGGTGTTCGGTTCGCTGAGTTGGCAGTCTGGTCCGTGGAGGGGTTCCGGCAAACTCGTTCCAGAATGGATGACAGTTTCAAAGACGTTAGTGGTAAAGTATATTGTTGCAGAAGAGGTCAGTTGCACCAACAGCCCTAAACGAAGAACAAGAAGCACAAATGCGAGCTGCCAACGTTGGAAGAGAAGAGTGAGTGAGAGAGGACGAAGGGGGGAAGTTGAGTTATTACGCAGTTGGGTGAGGTGAGAAGAGCCAGCAAGGCCGCTGGGGGAGATGAGCCTAGTTTTTAGGTGGGACTTGTTGGACTGTGACTGCCAACTGGGAACATGTGCGTGTGCAGCCGCGGGCGCGGGCGCAGGCGCAGGCGCAGGCGCATGCCCACGCGCAGCAGGACCTTTCTGGCTGCCAAAAGCCCACCACCACCATCTCCATCACCATCTCCATCGACATCGATATCAACCCAACCTGTCCAATTGTCCCCTTGTCCCACTGGCGATCCGCCGCCAGCTACAGTCTTGCAGACAGCCAGTAGCAAAACACCCCCAACGTGAAGAAGAAGGGCACCGTAAGGGGTCGCGACGTGATGGAGAGAAAGCAACACCCGCAGCCCGAAGCAGGTGACGTAGTTCCATGCACGCGAGCCCAATGACTTGACCTGCCAGGCTTTGGTGGATGGGATTAGTGAAAAGCTGGAAGGGAAAAAAAAAAACAGAACACCACACCTGACAGACTGGAGGGGCTGGTGGGCGGCAGCGCGGGGGGATCGACTGGTGCCTACTAGCAACGAGCTTGAATGAGCTACGCCTTCCCAGTACTTGGAGGGATGCGGTCTGTCCAGTACGAAGTAACAAGTACAGATGTACCGTTGCATTGCCTACCGGTCAGTGAGCTGCCACTCAGCGAACTCGCCTCAGGTAGCCTTGGGCAGTTATGCCAACCCATCTCGCCGTTTCTCTATCAACCCACAATGGTTGCCTTAAGGCTTTGTTCCTCTCGAATTTTCAGTACCAGAGGGCGTTGATCCCCTCAACAATCGCCGTTGGGCATTCACATTCGCCTTCATGGCCCCGGCACCGCAAGCATTACCGAGCCAACTTTCAAACTCCGGGTTGCGGGCTGGGCCGAAGCCCGATGAGCCAAACTTCAGCCTGAAAAATGCTCGTGTGCACAATCGGGACACAGCAGAGCCTTGTCGATTTTTCTAATGTGGACTTTGGGCATCAAACACCAACATACCGTCAGCCTAGTTACTACCCAACCGGGTGTTTCAGAATGGCACCTACTTGTCTACACTGCTTCATGATGGCGAGAGGGAAAAAAAAAGGGTGCCAACTTTTGTCTTACATCTATATAGACCCATATGCCTTCCTCGGCCCAAACCTACAAGTAGACCTGCCGAAAAAGAACTCAGACCAGGCCCTGTACAGATCGACGTGGTCGCCCAATGTATCCACCCTTGGACAAGATGCAAAATGCTTCGACACTCAGACGGGCGCCCGCGAGCGAAAACCAAGGTCCTCCTCGGTGTGCCCGTTCCCGTACATCGAACGCCCTATTTCAATGCGTACATGTCCTCACTGCGTATCCCATGGCTATGCGCCATCTTATGGTATGTTAAAATGTACAATGCGCCCACAGAACGCCTCCAATTTCGATTCAAGGGTGCGTGTACCAACTGTTGTAAGTCGCGAAAGGCGACATCTCGTCTCATCGTAGAAATCGTTTCCTCAAGGCGCAAATCCTCTCCATTCTTTTTTTCTTCCTGCGCGGATTCTCATTAAAGATTAGTACAAGCTAATCGAATGTCGACCAAGATATTGGGTTTTCAGGGGTCTGGGTTTGCCACCTATGTCATGGTCAGCAGTTGGAACACGACAACCCAAGGACAGACACACTCACCCGTAACTGCCTGGAATAATCCTGGTTATCTTGAAGAGACACATTGCTAAGGCGACTCTCGTCATGGATGTACAATGCATACGGGTTCAGTCGCTGGTCTGTACCTAGGCTCCGGCGATCGAAGGTCGTTGAGCCGGTATCGACGCCTCGCAGGTCATTGCCCAGACTGACTCCAGACGTGTTGATGCGGGGAGTCTTAGTCCCGAGCAAGCCTGACGACGACAACTGACTAACTTGCCGTGACGGAACATTATTGGAAGGTGAACTGTCGCCCGTTCGAGGAAGGTAAGCCGTTTCCGGGCCGCCTTCTGTCGCGACATTCTTGTGACGTCTGCGGAACCAGAGATAGACTGCGGTTCCAATCACAACGCCGATGCCCAGAGCAACACCAAGAACGATGCCAACAACTTTGCCAGTGCTGACGCCACCGCCCCCAGTGACGCTCTGGCCGAGCGTGGCATCCGAGGTGGCGGCTGCAGACGGTGTCACAACCACAGTCCGAACTTCTCCTGTGACGGTTGTGATGCTCGTGTATATTTCACTTGGGGTTGGAGCTGAGCTTGGGCTTGGTGGAGGTGTCGTCGAGGGCTGAGAGGTCTGGGACGATCGTCAGCATCGCACTATAGCGCGCAGGACACGAGTTCAATAATAGGACACGTAATCTTTCATCAGGGGGATTGAGATAGGTCAGCCACAACAGGATGGGTTGTCATACAGTGGAGCTCATCCAGCTCATCGAGGTGTCGCTGGACCAAGTCACAACGGCAGTCTCGTCAGAACTCTGAGACGATCCAATTGTTACCACAGAAGAGGAACGGTGGATGATCCATGTATTAGGAGTAGGGGAAGATGTGGGGGATCCAGTATCCGTAGAGGACGTGGATGCGGACGCGGAACTGGAAGTGATGGAGGTGGAGGTATCAATACTAACCGACGATGGAGCCGAAGAAGGGGAAGATGTTGAGGATGGTGGGATGGCTGTCGAGCCAGAGGTTCCTAAAGGGACTCCTGCACTCAAGAGGTAATATCCATAAAGGCCGTCATCGGTGTTGCCACACCACTCAGAGGTAAAGCCCGGACATTGCTGATTGCAATCATAAGTGCTTTCCTGCGGAGAAGGAATGTAGTTGGAGCACCAGCAGTAGTAGCCTTGGAGGACGGCGAATGCAAAAGAACCTTGACATTGCTGTTGGCAGGCTCCATTCGACTGGAACTCGTTGTAGTCTGGAGGTGGACATCAGTGATTGGCGAACCTGCGCACGGACTTGGGATGGACTACTCACGGCCTTGGTAGCTGCCGGCGTTGTTATCCGGCGAGCAATAGGAAATGTCGAGGCCTTGAGATGGTGCAACCCATAGCGAGAGAAAGGCGGTGCAAAGGAACAGGACGGTCCAGAATGAGCCCAATGGTATTGAAACGGCCATTTTGAGAGATTGGCTTCAGCCTATGGTGACGGGAGGAGGATTCCACCTATTACTGCATCGCAATGCTTGTCTTCAGCCCACGCGCAAGGGGTTCGCACACAATATCGTACGGTGGGTCGTCAAAACGCTTCGATCGGAGGACTTATTGCATCGAGGGTGGGTTGGTAGAGCTCCTTTTCGCGTGTCAAGTATCACACCAGACGGCGACACCACTCAACTCGACGGAGAAGGGCTGACAGGATGACCAGCCGACGTTGTCTCCTTTAACTTAGGATCGACCGTCTCTGCCTAAGGGTAGGGTTCGAGGCAAAAGACAGGGAGCCAGTATGTGTTGGAACAGAGGGACAAGATGACGGGCGCAGGTGCGCGTATGGACATGGACGTGGATCGTGGATCGTGGATCGTGGATCGAAGGGGACAGGTTCTGAATCTCCGGAGCAGGAAGATGCGACGAGGGAGCTTTGGGGAGCTCTAGGGATCTCGAGTATCTATTCGTGCATATGAGAACTATGCGTACAGGCTGCGGACGGCGAGGATGGGACAAGTGTTGCAATGGTTGACCGAGAAGTAGACGCCAAATTAAAACTTGAAAGGAACGGAGTTGCCGTGCAGATGTTGGCAGCAGTTTGGACAAGCGAGGGTGAGGGAGGAGGAGGAGCAGGTGCAGATAGGTAACTAGCGAGTGAATTCCACCATTAAGACGAGATGGGAAAGTGGCCAAAGGCAGGGCAAGGCAGATACAAGGGTACTGCAAAGACTCGCAGCGCGTGCGGGTTGCGGGTGGCAGGTTGCAGGTCGCAGGAAGGGGAGACTGAGGCGGACTGACCAGGAAGTTAGAACGAGTGATAGACGAACGTCTTATTTCCGGGGTGGATCCTCAGCTTGCTCAGGTCGACGTATCTGGCGATGGTCTGGCGTGGTGGAGGTGCGATCCCGTCAACCAACAATGCGTAAGTGGGATTGTAGCTTGAGGCGTGAAGTGAAGCCGATCAAAAGATCAACATGACCAGCAGGGCTGTAACAGTGATGAGAGACGAGGTTGAAAGGACAGCTGGAAGGGAGTCTTTTGTCTCTTTAATTTCACAGCGGAGCCCGCTGTCAATACCTCGTACTTCATACGAGGTACATTACTCCGTACGCGAAGACAAAGACCAAGGCGACTAAACCGGATGACGCTCACATGCTGATTGATCCGGAGCCAGCAACAGAAGGAAAAAGGCCCAAGAAAGTCAGTGATGGCCACAACTTTTGCTTGGCCTGGTTGAACCCACCGCCACCACCATCCGCTTAAAATGTCACTCTTTTGGGTATTTATCAACCGGGAACATTCTCCGTACAGACTCCGTACAAGGGTCATTACCAAGTACGGGGTAGTCTTTCCGATCCAAGACGCCCTCTCCCGCCCCTTGAATCCTTGACCACTATCATCCTCCCGGCGCCTGCACCTCTTGCTGTGTCCCTGGGTACGGAATATTGGTATGTCACCATACCTCTACTCGGGTCTAGGCGTCCGCAGTCAGCGGTTTCGAGACAAAGTGCCCTCCGTACGCTGTACCAGTACTCGGGACTTCTGGTGTGGTTTTGTGATATACGACCAACTTCTTGCCAAGTTCTCTGAGCATATTTCAATCCCCGCGCAAAAGTCATTTAGCTCACATATACATATATATATATCAAATTGCCGCTGCTTGTCATGTGAACCCAAAGCTCACTGTTTCTGTCGCGTTGTACAAGCACCTGTCAAGCTCATGCCTTGGTTGACTCATTGCCACCCAGCCCGAGCATCGCCTTGAATATGGAATGATGCTCTAGCACAGTCCCTTCCTGCTCCTCTCCTCACTATTGCGCTGCAAGGCTTGTCGATCTTCCCTCAGATCTTGCGACCCTGGATACCTCGCCCATACTCGGTATCCTTCGATTCGCTGCTGCTACCTCAAAGTCACTGCAAGTCAAGCATGATGATTGCCACTCTGCAGGCGGTACAATCCCGAGATCCACATGGGCACAGCTTCGGCCTAAAGGTTGTCTCTGACAGGTCGTGCCGACATTTCCGGGCTCTTGGGAAGCTGCTACACACAGTATAACGCCGGCGAAACACAAAGAGAGGATCCTTAGACTGTCAGAAATCTTGGAAACGATATGCTCCTAGTGCAACCCAGCATCAGAACCCGATGGTCGGCCACTGTTCGTCCATTGATTGGCCTGACGTTGCCTTTGGTTGCCGCTGCTGCATGATGCAGTGTTCCTATGCGATGTGGCGCCTGCAGTGTTAGGGCCCGGCTTGAAATCACCTGAAGAAACACAGCATGCCGAGCTCACGTTTTGCCAGACGCTTACCTATCATGATGCGCGGAATGTGTGGGCAGAGGATTGCTATCTGCTTTATCGTTCAGAGCCAAATCTTCACCGCCATGTCCCATGATAGAACTGTATCACAAGGCTCCGGCGTCTTGTTGTCTGGGTTTCTGGGTATCTTTTTCACCGTCTCGTTAGACCCCACATGTTTGCCATCTCCAAGGTGGGTTTCAAGTACAATGCTCCTTTGAAGCTTGTGGCGAAAACATGTGTAAGAACCTTTGACCGATTTGATCGTCGTTTCACTCCCGCGATGCAGACTGGTTCGCTTACTGCCAATCTGCACGAGTAGGCGCATCATCCTGGCTCATGTCTCATCTCCAACTTGCCGCGCGGCGGCAACTCGTATCTACTGTAAGAAGGAGGACGTGCGATTGCTCGATGCAACTAGTGGTCCTCGTCAACTTTACCTTGAACCTTGCAAAATTGAATTACACAATCCTCGAAAGTGCGGGGGCGGGGATCGTTTGCCGTTCGTCCTCGCCCGTGCAAGTCGAATCCAATCGTTCAAGTCAACAAAAAAGCCTCAAACAGCTCTTTTGGACGAGTTCTACCGAGACAGGTGGACAGCTTTGTCTGAAGCTTTGGTGCTTTGCGCCAGTCGGCGCCTTGTTAGCCAGCCACCTCTCGATAACACAACCGAGAAGCTAGGTAGGTTTTTCTGTATTTGAGATATTGCAGGCATGAAGTGGTGCCTTTTGACATGCATGCAGCATATTTTCCCTCTTCCGAGACCCAGATCAAACTTAGACGAAGGTCAGCGGAAGCTTGGATAGCAAGTGATTGGCCTCTGGGGAGTCTAGATTGGATGGCGGATGGTCTAGCTGAGAAAATGCATGTGTCCAGCCTCGGCACACCAGCCTCTCCATTTGTTTTGTTGAGACCTTTTTGCGAGTAGCGAAGAGGGACTGGCAACAAACACAAGCGCGCCCTCGATAATGCCCGGCAGCTGTCCGCGGGTATGGAGTAGTAGAACTGAGCTACTCTGGACAGTATTCGGCACCCTGCATGTCATGCTCAGGCCCCGTGGTGTGATTTGGAGTGTCCAGCTGCAATATCTTACAAAGAGAAGCAGAACACAGAACACCGCAATAACTGAGGCCAAACTGCGAACACGACTGAGACCTCCTTCGCTTGAGTTTCACCACACGCTCGGAAACAAGACTCCGCGACGACCTGTACTGTGTTCCATCAAGCCTCAGGCGATGTATGCACATATCAAGTATGTATGTACCTTGATATGCCAGGTATTCTTGATATGATAACAGTTACCGGGAACCAAGGGTATCCCTGTGAGCATGATCTCACTGGGGCTTCCGATGTATACCGAGTACCCTTCCATATGGCTTGCCTCAGACCATCAGATCAGTCGTACTTGGGGGTGCGCCTTCTGGATACTAGACGGTCATTTCAATGCCAAACGTGGCAATTATTTGTCGCAATGCATGTGAGGCTGCAGGGTTTCACAGCAAGACATTTTTAATTTGCGGGAAACGAGGTTGCGGGAGATCTTGTTTGATCAGCCTCCTCGTACGTCATTTTCTCCCGCTCCTGGCAACACCAGCTCAGGGGGACACCGTCCGAGGCTGCCGCTCAGCCTTTCGAGGTGATTGCTGGTTGCCACACCTCTTCTCTTTGTTCTCCGCAATCACTTGCAAATGGATGAAGATCCGAAGTCGATGATAGCGCGGCTCGACGCTTTACAAGACCCCTATGTGATCGTCGAACAATCCCAAGACGATCCCTTAGAGGTCTATTGAGCTGCGAAGGGCTGGCGGTCATACCGTTTTACTGGGTATGTAGAGTGATTCGACTCGGTCACCCAGACTGGTTGATTGGATGACAATGTGTTATGTCCCCTGTCAACAGACTTGCATGGTTGCACCAATGACGAAATCCGGGGAGTCTAGGAGATGATATTTGAAAGCTCAGCCTTGCCGAGCAGAACAAGGAACCTTAGAGCGCTGGCATGTAAGAATTCTGATAATCACCCATGTTACATATCACCCACTCCCAGAGATTCCCCAACAGATACGACAACATGGCGATTGGTTGCTGATAGTGTTGGCAGCTCCCGGAGTACATAGCACAAGACCAGGGGGATTGGTAACACACGGAAACGCGTTTCCGACCCGTTCAAATGCCGTCGTCCCCTATTGTTTTCTCGTTAGTCGAGGGCATATATGAAAGGGGCAGAACTCGCCAGCTTCTCAACGATGGTTCTCAATACATTATCACGGTGAAAAGTCGCCAGCCACGCAGCACAGCCACAGCTACGCAACCACACAGAAAGCAGGAATTTTATTAGGGAGAACTCGAGGACGCCTGGCTGATTCATTTGCCGACTGCCCCGCACTCGGACGACAGGCAACTTTAGGTTGCGGCTGGTGTCGCTGTGATGCTCTCCGCCGGCATCGCAACAGGGTGTTTCTTGGGGAGAAGAAAGGGACACGGAATAAATCATCATTGAGCATTGGCAGTGTCTTGGGGGGTGGGGGGCCAGACACGGGGTGCCGGGCTTGTCCCACCGGGCTTCCACCGGGCTTCGTGGCACCCGGAACTGACGCCCACAACGCCCACAAATCTCGCCCACTCAATGCTCCCCCAGTGCTCTCAAACTCCCAATGAATGCCCGGCAAAGGTGCGGCAACACCCAAACAGGTCAATGATGGGGTAGCTTTATCACGTCTTTCCTCTGGGGTACTCCGTGCTCCGTACTCCGTGCAAGGGCTTCGCTCGTAGGCGTCTTATGTACCTCGGGTAAAAGGCATCCATGGATGCTATCGCCATTCCATTCCCATGGAGCTTTCTCGGCCGAAGATAATCCCACTGCCCGTCCCTTGATCTCGCGCAAGTGCTTGTGTTTGTTGACCTACGTACCTAGTTTGCTCCTCCGTCGGACTGCCTGTGTACATCTGAGCCCTGCGGCGAAGGAGCGAAAGAGGGCAAAAAGGAAGGAAGAAAGAAAGAAAGAAAGAAAGGCACATTTCAATTGTCTTGTTTCACTCCCTTGAGCGGTGCGGCAGCCGATCGATTTCTTCTTACAAGCCTCTTTCTCTTCATCTCTCTCTTGTCTGCACCCCCCCCCCCCCAAAAACGCAGCCATGGTCTTCTATCCCATGAAATGGATCCCTCCTCTCCCCGAAATCCCCGACACGGTGCCCATATGCGATTTCATGCTGGACGAGAAGCACGGCCGGAGCCCGTACTCCAAGTCCAAGGACGCCTACACCTGCGGCCTGACGGGCAAGAGCGTCTCGGCGCGACAACAGAAGGACGATGTGGACAGCCTGTCACGTGCGCTGGCCAAAGAGTTTGGCTGGGGGGTCAATGAGGGCACCGAATATGACAAGGTCGTGGGCATCTTTGCGCTGAACACGGTAAATATATACATTAATAATACATATACACAGAGGAGTTGTTGCTCGGGCAATTTGTTTTTGTCTATATGTATATGTTACACACGCGGAACAAGGTTCTAACGGATGACCACAGATAGACATCATGACGCTGAACTGGGCTATCCACAGAATCAACGGCGTGTCCGCCCCCGCCAACGCCGCCTTCAACGCCGACGAGCTGAGCTATCAACTCACGAACTCCGGATCCAAGGTGCTGTTCACCGTGATGCCGCTGCTGCAAACCGCCCTGGAAGCCGCGGCCAAGTCGAACATCCCGCGGAAGAACGTCTATATCTGTGAAATGCCAAACGACCCTCCCATCCCCAGCGAATTCAAGACTCTGTCCCAATTGACCAAGGAGGGCCGCTCGCTGCCAGCGCTAGAGCCTATCAAGTGGGAGAAGGGCCAGGGTGCACGGCAGACCGCATTCCTGTGCTACTCCAGTGGCACCTCGGGACTGCCGGTGAGTCTTTCCCTCTTGACAACACATGTAAAACGAGTCCTGACAGGAATCCGCAGAAAGGAGTCATGATTTCCCACCGGAACGTCATCGCCAACACCGTCCAGATCTCTGTCTATGACCAGCCCAGCCGCGACGCAATTGCCCCGGGCTATCGTGATGTGGCTCTCGGCCTGCTCCCTCAGTCGCACATCTACGGGTTGATCGTCATCTGCCACTCTTCGACGTACCGCGGCGATCAAGTCATTATCCTCCCAAAGTTCGACCTGAACAACTATCTCAATGGCATCCAGAATTTCAAAATCAACACCCTCTACATCGTGCCGCCCATCATCATCGCCATGGTCAAGAATCGGGATCTGACCAGCAAATATGACCTGTCGAGCGTGACCTCCATCTTTACGGGGGCTGCGCCGCTGGGCAAAGAGACCGCCGAGGAATTGGCGTCGCAGTTCCCCGCCTGGAAGGTCCGACAAGGCTACGGCCTCACCGAGACGTGTACGGTCGTATGCTCGACGTCTCCAAGCGACATCTGGTTTGGTTCTTCGGGATGTCTGATCCCCGGGTACGAGGCCAAAGTCATGAGCATTGAGGGGCACGAGATCACCGGGTACAATCAACCGGGTGAACTCCTCGTCAAGTCTCCCAGCGTCGTGCTCGGATACTTGAAGAATGAGAAGGCCACAATGGAGACGTTTGTGGACATGCCCGAAGGCAGATTCATGCGGACCGGAGACGAGGTCGAGTTCAGAGTGTCGCCCAACGGCAACGAACACATCTGGGTCGTGGATCGCATCAAGGAGCTGATCAAAGTCAAGGTGAGTAACATTTCCGAGAACAGGGTTCTAGATGTGTGACAGAGCAAGTCTGACAAAGTCAACAGGGCCACCAAGTCGCCCCTGCAGAGCTCGAGGCGTGCCTGCTCAACCATCGCGCGGTGGCCGACTGCGCCGTTATTCCCATCCCAGACGACCGGGCGGGCGAAGTACCCAAGGCGTTTGTCGTGAAGGCCAAGTCGATAGGCATGGAGGAAAGCGAGGCCCTCCTCAAGCGCGACATCATCAAGCACGTCGAGAAGGAGAAGGCTCGGCACAAGTGGCTCGCCGGCGGAGTGGAATTCATCGACGTCATCCCCAAGAGCGCCAGCGGCAAGATTCTCAGGAGGCTGCTGAGGGATCGAGAAAAGGAGGCGAGAAGGAAGGCTGGCGCCAGGTTGTGATGCCCCCTGTTTGGTCGGTCGCGCAAGGGAGCTTCATCGAATTAGAGATCAGGAGTCTGTTCTGTCCATACTGGGCGGCCCGGGGGGGGGGGGGCTGTAGATGTTCAAAGACTGCACAATTACTAGTACTCTTCGAGCTTGACTTGATGACAATACATATATTTCTTTGGGTCTGAAGAGGCTCTAGGTCTTCCTAGACAGTGCATTGGAGGAATGGCGAGGTCCCTGGGTGTCGTTAGTCTCCCGAAACTCAAGGTATCATTCTTCAGATCTTCGAAGAGAAAAAAAAAGACCACAGCCTTGCATCGTCCGTCGACGAAATACAGAAAGTGAGTGATGGAATGGGTGGCTTTCTTTAATACCCACAGTAGCTCGGTAGGTATGTACTTGTGATTATTGATTCCACACGGAAGTCAGAAACGGAAGGTCTTCCGGCTGCCCAGCTTGTCTCACACAGACAAAAAAATACCGAGAAAACGGAAATTCAAATACACCCGTGTACAAAGTAAGGAGGCAAAAAAAACAAAAAGAAAATGTTCTGCACTGGCCGTGAATCGAACACGGGGCTAAAGCCGACGTTAGCGACGGTCGAATCCTTACTGGGAAGTACTGGCTAAACTCACCCCATCGATGGCAACGATGGATTTTACCACTAAACCACCAGTGCCGCCATTGTTGGAATGGATTTGTCATATTTTATTTATATAACATAGTTAGTTAAATGTGAAAAGCGGGAGGGTCTCAGCTTTGAGGAAAATACGGCAAGTTATCATGTGACTTGTGCGCTAGGCAGTTACAGGACTAGCGCGATGCCCCTATCACGTTGTCCCTTTAGTGCCGAGCCTGAATGAACAAAAATGGCTCCACCAGCGGGATGGAGACAAGACAGTCATTGACAGTCTCAGCAAATAGAAAGTTCTTTGTTATTAGATCGAAGGCGACCTTCATTTATAAGTAGTTATTCGTTTACTTTTGGAGATGGTGGCACTCTACTATTCATCCTATACTGTTAGGTATATTTGACACAGCGGCCACCTCGTCGCAATTGAGTACTCTTCGACGATACTAGACATAGCGTCGCCTCTGTGTCAAGACCGTGCCACTTGCTTTCCACTCGGCTCGGTGCTTTCTATTGCAGATTCTCAAATGGCAGAGTTACTGCTCCGGTGCGCATTAGGCTCGTCAAGAGGTCCTCCTCAAAGCCCTCAAGCCTTCTGGTACTGCCGAGTGGGTTTCTGCAAAGAGAATTGACTGCATTTAATGGCGGTTGAACCCCCTAAAATCATAATGGGCACAGTGTTTTTCGTGTACCTTTCTCGCCGTTGCCGGTCGTTGAGTGCCGTCTAACGTCGTACCATTTCCCTCCTTCGATCTGCTCCAGCTGAGCCAGCTGGGTCTCGAGTTTAATCATGACTTGGCAAATTCGACCAACCAACCGGCCAGTTTCTGTACATTCTCCAGCGGGACGGCATTGTAGTTGCTCGCTCTTATTCCACCGACGGATCGATGACCTTTAAGACCAAGAAGCCCTCGCTCTTCCGCGCCGGAAAGGAAAGCCTTCTCCTTGGCCTCATCAGGCACGACTTCTCCGCTGTCTGACTTCGGCCCGGAGATGATCCGGAAGCAAATGTTCATTCTGCTCCGTGCGTCTTTGTGCGGGACGATGTGGTACGTTTCTGAATGAGAGTCAAGGGTCTCATATAATAGTTTGGCCTTTTGATTGGCGACCTCTTCCTGACCAGATACTTTGTTGGGGCCGAATGCGGAGACGAGGCGCTGCAGGACCAAAGTCGCCACGTAAAGGTTGAAGATTGGAAGAGTATTGTAGAGACTGTTGTTGGCAGCGATGGTGGAGAAGGAGAGCATGATGGGCGGTAGACATCCTGAAGTCGGGATGACAGGGGACAGGGCGTGCAGGAATGTGGGAGGTGGGACAAGGCTAAGCAAGGATTTCCGAATGATGACCACGGTAATGCCAGCGATACCAAGGTTCTTTTGAGCGCCGCCCTGAAGAAACATTAGCACACTGCAAAGCGCGTTGGTCGAAAAGCTGGCTCACGAAGATGACGCCGTAATTTCGAACATCAATCTTTCGACTGACGAAGTTGCTGGACATATCAGCAACCACGATTCTGTCGTCTTCTTCATTGCCACTGGTGTTCTCCAAGACTTTGGGGAAACTGGGATATTCGACACCATCCACAGTCTCATTGTCGCACAAGTAAGTCAATGCACTCCCCTTCGGTGTTAGTTTCCACTCGCTTTCGTCTGGAATCTTCCCAAACTTGCCGTTGTTGCTCTTCCTAGCGTCAACGGCAACGTTAACATATTTGGCACCGATCAGTCTCGTTGCTTCCTGACAAGCCTTGAGAGACCAAGATCCCGTTATCACATAGTCAACCTTCAACTCTGCCTCAATCTCCTTCTTGACACGCTCCAGGACTTCGGCTGCGTTGCTTTCACCAAGTTCCGCCACGGCCTTCCTCCGACGGCGCTCGATCCAACACCCCACTAGATTCTGCAGGGCGGCACTAAACTCCCCCGTCCCTCCGGCCTCCATGAACATGATGTCGTATTCGTCCGTCGGAATATCATACAAGGTTGCCAAGGCCTCTTTGGCGTCAGCGAGGACCTTGTTCGCTGTTGAAGAGCGATGCGAGATTTCTGCGAGGGAAAGCCCAGTGTTTTGGAAGTTCACAAATGCTTGAGCGGCTGTCTCAATGACAGGAGTAGGGAGAGGGGCGGGACCAGCGCCAAAATAGGCGACTTCGGAGCGATCAGGCATGATTGACAATAAAGACGTCGGGGCTGGAGAAGTTTCTTTGAGCTGAATTCTCCAGACAACCTGCTTGGCTCCAGCCGCAGCAAGGAATATCAAGCCAACTAGGCAAGGGGGCTTCACTCGAGGATAATGTTTAGCTGCGGTCAGATGTATTGTAGAAAATCGACTTTAATTAGAAAAGTCTCGATAGCTATAGTCACGGACACACTCACAGAATATGAGTCGAAATCGAAAATCTGGGGGAGAAGGCTCCTCAAGAGCTTGGCAGGAGAGAAAACCGTGGGAGCCAATCAACGATAAGCAGGCTGCGAGGCTACATGTGCATCAATGCCGGTAAGTAGATTCTCTATATCGCTAAGCTCTCTATATAGGCTTGGGCTGGTTAGCCGAGCATTTCAAAAAGCCTCTCAATGATAGAGCTTCCTGGCAAGCGGCGCGTCGATTCCGTTGACTAAAACCTTCAGATTATTTTCGCGCTCCAATAGTTGATCTATGGCCTTGTACTCAAAACCGCGGGAAGCGTAACTTGTTGTGCCATGCCACATGGTTGCGTGTCAACACTGCATGAGGACGATGCACGTGTAGGTATCTTGTTGGCTCCGCCGTGTCTTGAATCTTTGCGACGACCCCTGTCGATAGGCTGCATGGTCTCTTGCCCAGATCAGGCTGGATTCACCAAAATGATACACCGAGGTGGAGAAAGTTCGACAGCTTACAACAGCGGAGATGAATTTCCTTCTTCTTTCTCTCTCGTTCTCTTTTGTCTTCTTGACTCTTTCTCTCCCCACACCAATCTCAAGGTTCCGTGCTAGAGGCCTGTACCACCGCTCCCTTGCTATAACTTCTGCGCTTCCGCAATTGCCGCGCACAACAAATGCGATGGGCTTCGGAGCCTTGCCTCTTGGAATTTGTAAGCGTGCTGTCCCAAGCCCAGATCTAGGCGAGCTTCATATGCATGTCTCTGCAAGAAAGTATTGACTTAATGTGGTAGTTAGTGCGTATCGAGAAAACGAGGCCGAAGGTTTTCTTACACGCTTCGCAACCCCGGCAATTAACGAAAATGGACAGACAAGTTTGGTTAGCCGCCTATCTTCCCTTGGCACCTGTTCAACAACTGGCCGATCCCCTTGGAGAGTTCTTCGATCAACTCTACTTGGTGGAGTATATCCAGGACCGAGCAAGTGTTGTAGGGCAGCTCAGACCCGTAGATACATCACATAGAATCCGCTGCCCCTTATCTTGAGCCATTGGCGTCGCTCGGGTGCTCATGGTCGAGGACCTTCCAGGCTTGATGCTGCGGCGATTAGTCGAGAGTATTTGTGAATGCCTGATTGATCTTGAGTGTTCGGAATGGTAACAATAGGGGCGAGTGTAGATAAATATTCTGCCGCCTACATTTCCTGGCCCTGGGAGTATACGGATCCATCCCAAGGGTTTACAGGTTGCCACCAGCATGGCGTTGGTCATTGCTGGCTGGGAGTCCGGTAACGAAGCCCTGTGACAGGACTTCAAACGCCAGTGATGATGAAATCCGTATCGGCTTGAGTTCGCCGCAATGTCTCTTGGGGCTAAGCTTAGCCTACTGACATGCCGGGCAAGACCAGATATACTCCTCGAATTGAGTCTTCAAGTCCGGAATGAATGCAATGTCTATGGTTTTGTCGTATACTCAGGCCACTCCCGCTTACGCTTTGGCATCGTGGACGAGTTCAAAGAAGCGCTTCCCGCATGCCTTCGGGATGCAGATCCGCGTTGGACGACTGGGGCGATTGTGGTAATAGAAGCCTGTCACCCTTATTGCACGATTTGTATCTGTTCCTGTGCCCACATATTGCTCCAGTATCTTCAGGGCGGCCGGCGTCGCGAATTCAAGACCACACTCAATGATACCGTAATCTTCTTCGAACGTAATGGAAAAAGGAATATCGATGGGCGCGCTTCCAGGAGGAGATTTTTGACTGGAGGCATCTGTCAGGGGCAGATTGAATTCAAACTCCAGTGTTTCTTTGACAATGTCGCCGATGATTCAGTGAGTGGCTCTGTCCTCGTAGCCTCCGCGCTCTCCGCTGATCCAATCAGTCTTAGTGAGTGTATCATCGTTCGGCTGTGCCGGCTTAACTGACGAAGCCCTGGCAACTCACTGTTCGCTCTTCAGTGCGTATATATACATTCTCGGTCACAGCTTCCAACTCAGGCGCGATTTGCTGGTCATGAAGACCGACAAGTGGATCCGTATGTAAGCCAGGATAGGGTGGACTGAAGGACCCATGCCTAGAGGGCCATGTTGTCAAGAGGTGCATTGTCCTCGACTGTGAACAGATTCAAAAGGGATACCACGTCTTTCTTTGCTCGTGTAAGTGGAAAATGTCGCGAGCAAAACATGGTGCCTCATTGGCGAGGATGAGGACGCCTTCCAGGGTTGTCAGGGGAGCCCTTCGTCCGGAATGACCAGAGGCGCCCTAGCATACCAGCAGTGATTGATGCAGCATCGACGAGCGACCGAATTTCGTTGTCGTGAAAGAAATTGTGCATGTCGTCTCGATACTCTTGAAACTCTGCTTTCTTCGTCCACCACTCCTTAACCTGGAAGCGCCAACACATGGCAGACTGATTCTGGGCGGTTTCCCTTGCGGAACGGCTGACTCGGTTCATGGTGCGGACATGGACCTTGCAAGAGTCCTTAAGGAGGTTGACCTCGCAAAGTTGCACCAATCGTTATCATCTACCATGCATCGACAATCGTTTTTGCCACTGATTTTGCACGACTACCACCACTGAAATGAATGGCTTATCTGCACTTTGGCATATGTCTGGGGTTCGAGGCGACATTTGGGAAGCACAATTCGTCCCGGTCCCCAAGCAAAGATGAATAGGTGCAAAACGTGTCCGTGTGGCTGATGAGGCATCAACTGAAGGTTTCGGGAATAACTGGGCTGCTTCAGCGCCGAGCCCGAAGCTTCGTCTCATGCCGTCGAGGAAGACAAAGAACATGGTCTGGAGAGTTGTTCACCACCACCAGATTGACTTGCAGCATATAAGTGACTGCTGTCATAGGAGAGGATCACACCAAAAAGCAGAGCGAGGGGGACAAAGAGGAGGGGAGAATGGAGGAGACGCTCAGGATTGATGAAGAAAGGATCCATGATTGGGACCAGAATTTGAGGACCTGGATGAAGGCGGAAGGAGGTATTTATACCCAGAGCTGCGATGGGCTGGCGTTGGGTAATATTAACATGCTCAGGGAGTAAATTCAAAGACCAAAACATGAGACGTTTCGATGGCCTACTTCTTGCACATTTGTGGTTCGATCGAAGCTCTGAAGAAAGTTCGTGAATTTTATACAACACATTCAAGCCAGGTCGATCATGATGTGCAGGGAATCCTGGAATGCTAACTGTACAAAGCATGAGTCTCGAGACTTCAATATGTTCAAGGTGATGATTCCAGGCAGGGGCCTGTGACCTTACCGACGCTATGCTCCACATATTCTGACGGGATCGTGTCACTTCTTTTCCTTCGGTGCAAGCATGAGCTCGGGTCGAACGTATTTGTCAAAGTCCTCCTCCGAGAGAGCCTTCAATTCCATCGCCGATTGTTTTAGAGTTAGGCCCTTTTTGTGGGCATACTTCGCCACCTTTGAGGCCATGTCGTAGCCAATTACGGGATTGAGGCAGGTGACGAGCATGAGACTGGGTAGAGGTCAGTAACTAGACAACTTAGACTTGTAAAGAGGCACTGTGAGTCGTACCTTTCATGAAGAAGCGTGGAGATTCGCTTTTCGTCCGCCTTCAGACCATCGACCAGATGCTCGACAAATCCATTCATTGCATCCGACAAGATCCTGCTGCTATGAAGGAGATTTCGGATCAATAGAGGTTTGAAGACATTGAGTTCGAATTGGCCGTTCATGCCACCAATCGTTGCTGCGGTATGATTTCCCATGACTTGGGCAGCAACCATAGTCATAGCCTCGCATTGAGTAGGATTGACCTTTCCGGGCATGATGCTGCTGCCAGGCTCGTTTTCTGGGAGGACCAACTCTCCAAGACCGCAACGAGGCCCCGAGCCAAGGTATCTTATATCCTGCGCAATCTTGAAGAGACTGCAGGCAAGGGTGTTCAATGTTCCGGAAGCCTCAACGATGCTATCGTGAGCGGCCAAGACCTCGAACTTATTGGGAGCAGTCACGAATTCTGTGCCTGTCATCTTGGTCACCTCTTCAGCAATTCCCTCCGCAAAGCCTTTGAAGGTGTTGAGACCGGTACCGACTGCAGTACCGCCCTGAGCCAACTGTCGTAGATGCGGGAGGCAAGCTTGGACCCTCTCAAGGTTTCGATCAAGCTGAGCCACATATCCACTGAACTCTTGGCCGAGTGTCAAGGGTGTAGCATCCTGCAAATGTGTCCTGCCAATTTTGATGATCTTGTCGAATGCTTCCACCTTCTTCTGCAGGGCCTCCCTCAGGTTCTTGAGAGCAGGGATGAGTCTCTCTTCGAAGTCAAGAACAGCAGCAATGTGCATGACCGTAGGAAAGGAATCATTGGAGCTACCTGACATGTTGACGTGGTCATTAGGATGAACAGGCTTCTTGCTGCCCATTTGTCCGCCCAGAATCTCAATTGCCCGATTTGAGATGACCTCATTTGCGTTCATATTGGACTGCGTGCCGGAACCTGTTTGCCAGACGACGAGAGGGAAATGGTCGACCAACTTCAAGGAAGCAACTTCGGCGGCAGCCTGCTGGATCGCCTCTCCAATTTTAGGGTCTGTTTCTTTGTCAACGATAGGCTTCAGCAGAGGCTTATCCGGAATGCATACCAAGGCCATATCTCATGTTCACAGTTGCAGCGGCCCCTTTCAGGATACCAAATGCGCGCACAACACCTTCTGGCATTCGATCTTGAGGCTGATTGATCTTGAAATTGCCCAGAGATCTTTGCGTCTGTGCACCCCAGTATTTGTCTGAGGGGACATCGATGGGCCCGAAGGCATCCGTTTCGGTTCTCGTGGGTGCAGACATTCTTGCTGTGCTGCTAAACGCTCGGTAACGGTCCGAAGGAGCTCGAGGGGATGTGGGAGTTGTCCTTCGCGAAGTCTGAGAGAGGGAGGAAGAGAAGTTTCGTTGGGCGGGAGCTTTCAAGCAACTACTCCGCACAGTAACGCAGCGAGGGAGCTTGTTTACTGATGCTGAAGGTTTCGCCGCAAAAGAAACCCGCCCCAGCATTTTGTCGTCGTATTCCCACCAGGCAATTGAGGAGAGAATGGCCGCTTCGGCTGACACAGAGGTAATTCCTGGTATGAGATCTATTAAATAAGTAAAACAAGCACCACAACCAAGTGCGCCGCTCGACCTGATGGAAGGAAATGTATTGAGCGATAAGAGGGAGCAATTGGCTGGCAAATCGTCGGCGCGACATTCATTGGTGGATGTCGAAATGCTCGGCGGAAGAATTTCCCAAAGCAGAGCATCGGGAAATTTCGCCATCATCCTTCAGCATCCTAATCCTCCCGATCCGTTGAGGACAATAGATAGCGAGACAGATGATTGTTGTTGTAATTACTACTGTGTGTGTACTTGTATTCTCGCTATCCTCTATGCCAACCCATCCCAACTCAAGCAGACGCCATGTTGCGCAGCCGCTGATAGTAACACCGGGTATCTCTATGAATATCAAATAACGCAAGACAGAATGCCGCAAGGTTCTACCGAAGCCTCTCGCCGATCACGCAGTGCCTTCAACGGTCTTGATAGCATTGCCAATCATGAAGTCCTTGGCCTTGGCCATCCTGACCAGGAAGCTGGGAAGCTTGAACCCGAAGACAACACCAACACCTCCTTGAGAACCAATAGGGACAAATTGCATGTCGCTAGTAATCTTCTTGTAGATTTTGTTGGTGCGAGGGCCACCTTGAGACTTGTTAGCGGGAGTCGACATGGGAGGTAAAATGCAGAGTAACCCACCTTTGCCTTGAAGGTCCAGTTTAATGCTCTCCAAAACAGCTGGTGCTGCGAACTTGACGTCGAGGACGGAGCCGTCTGCATAGCTGGCGACGCTCCCAATGCAGTAGACGCCTGTAACATCGGGGACATCCAGACGGAGAGTATGGGGGTCGGTCTTGACCCTCTGCGCATTGTCTAGCCACTCCTGAGGGACGAATTTGCTGTTTGGCTTGTCCCCAGTAGCCTCAATGTAGATGTCGACGGTCTCGGTCTCGCCATTGCTCAATTTCAACACCTCCTTTCCATCTTGTGTGGTGTGCTCGACCACTCGGACACTGTCGTTGATAACCTTGACTCCCATCTTCTCAAGCCGAGACTGAGCATCCTGGCCCATCTTCTTGTTGTGAAGTCTGGGAAGTAGGGAGGTACTTCCAGACAACAGTGTGATTTCCTTCTTGTTTCCGTACACTTCTCCAAACTCGCCTGCGGTCTCGACACCCGCAGCGCCCCCGCCGGCAATCAGGATGGATTGTGCGTCGGGGATCTTTTTGTGGATCTCGCTGATTGCGGCCTTCAGAGGCTCGGAGCCATCGGAGACGGACCATAGGGGGGTTGCAAAGCTGGTGCCGGAAGCAATGACGAGGGAATCGTAATGAACGGCATCTGCGGTGCTGGTGTGAACAGTTCGGCTTGCAGGGTCAATCGAAGTAGCATAGGCTTTGATGAACTCGTATTGCTCTTTCGAGTAGGCCTTGAAGCCGGGGGCAATGGGGATGAGGGCTTTCTCGAGCGGGAGCGACTGCGGGTTTCCGATCACTCTGGGGGCGCCAATCTTCCAGAAGAACTCGTCGTTGGGGGCAATCTGGACGACCTTGTAGGCTTTTTTCTCTCCATGAGACAGTTGGGGAATGACAGTCTTCAGCAGGTTGTGGGCAACGTTAAGCCCAGCGAACGAAGCGCCGATGATGACGATTGTGTGAGTGGACATGGTGCCGGTCGAGGTGTGTCAATGGAGTGCAAGCCTTTCGAGATCCAGAGAGCGAGAGGGTGCCCGGCCGGTGGTGAGGTGAGGACAGGGTGGATGGGTGTTGATAAATATAAAATATTAGTCGCCGCCCGGAGAAGCGCAGGCGGACGGTGCAATGTGGATGAGATGTTGGTGGAGTCAGGGGTTTATTGGTTTGATGGAGGCTGAATGGTGCAATTGATCTCCGATGTGAGATGAGACGTAAGACAGTACTGGGGTATGTAGGAGGGCGCGGACGCCCTGCCCTGTATATGTAGTCGATGCCCGGCGGGCTGTCGAGCTCGAATGGATGCATAGTCAGCCTCTACCAAGTCGACGCCCCGGAGTCTTTCCTGCCATGGGCTGACAAAAGGTCGGCGCCATCAGGGCCTTGGGTCGACAATTTTGCAATTTTACCCATTTTGCGTTATCACACACAACACACCAAACAAGGCAACGCGTGGCTTGCACAACCACAACGCGATTGCCAGGGCCGATCTTGTGATTGGCGACAGTGTCCGTGATCCACGGTGGCTGATGCTTGATTTGGCCCATTTTGTCTGGCCGCCGCGGCACGTGAAAGTCATCTCTCGGTCGAGTGCGCGGCAGCGAGAAGAGCAAGGGCAGCACGGGGCCGCAAAGTGTCACCCAGTGCCACCCAAGGAATGGTGGGCATGTCATCAACACCAACCACTCGGTGCTAACCACGAGCAATCCACTCTCACAACCCCAAAATCTCGAAAACTTCGTAAGGCTCTCGGTCGAGAGAAGACTTCCTGTCCACCGATGGGACTCGACTAACGTACTTGGTATACTGGTTTGTCGTTCAATTGATAGGCTCCCGCGAATCCCACCCTGTCTATTTGAACTGCCGAAGCTCAAGATGAGTGAATCAGGAACAGAACTAGGCTGTGAGAATGACACACTACCTCTGCTCCCAATTAGCGTGTGAACCGTTGTATGCCGGATCACCGATATTACTAGGGCAAGAGTTCAAGTTACGGAAAGCTGTCCCGGGCCGAGCATCCAAGAAACCACCATTAAATGACCACTCCGCCGAAAGACAAGCGCCAGGTGAAAAGCATCTACGAAGCTTCCTCCGGATGGCCCCGAAACCGAAGTAAAGGAAAGGATAATAGAAACTTTACGGACGCTCCGCGTAACAACTGCTGTTCCATTCAAACGTACATGAACAAATCAATTTGGGTATCAATCGCACATCTGAGGCTCTTGCGTCTTCCCCTTGTAGGCCTCCCTCTTATCCTGCTTCTCCTCCTCCTCCTCCTCCTCCTCCTCCTCCTCCAACAACAACAACAACAACCATATTACTTGTACATCTAGGTTTCCTTCATTTATGGGTGTGGAAGCCAACCAATGCTCCGGCGCAATGAGCCAATTCGATCCTTCTTAGCCACGACCTGAGCGGCAGCCTCGGCGTCCACGCTTTCTCTTGGTTGCTCAACGGGAGCAGGAGTGGCCGAAGTACCCTCAGCTTCGGCGGTGCTGGTGGCAGCAGCCGCCTCAATCTCAGGAACAGCGACCGAGTTTTTCCTGGATTCGAGGCCTTCAGTGACAACGCTGTGGCGCCTGGTGGATTTGCTCTCCCGACGACCGTCACGGGTGAAGTGCTTGCGATAGAACTCGGAGTGCTTGATGAGCCATGGCTCAAGCCACGATTCGGCGGCGTAAGGTCGATTGCCGGTGCCGGCGGGTTGATCCATTAGCACTTGCCCGTTGAATCCTTCGGCCATTGCAATTGCGGGGTTTGTTCTTTTCTTTTGTTTAAAGGTTGGGGTTGTAGGGCTTTGTTTTGTACAAGGTGAGATTGGTTGATTATAGGTCTTTATTGGCTCGTGTGAGGATCGGCTGGATCGAGTTCTGCGTAAGAAGGGAGACGTGAATACTGGAATACTGGAAATGTCAGGCCTCTGGGGCGAACAACGTCCCTGTACTTATGCACTCGTGCTGACTGCCATCAGACGCGAACTCGGGCATCACAAACATCTCAATGACGTCTCCATTCCCTTCGCTGTATAGTCAAATGACTCACTTACTTCAGCCGCGGAGGGCTTTGTAGCCGCGAAACCCCTAGACACGGAGTCTGGGGAAGCGTCAGCACCCGGCGAATTAGCCAGTCACACTACTACGAAGATCGACGTATGAGGCTGAACCGCAAGGCTGCGGCCGTAGGGGCCTTCCTATTGCCTGTTTCATTGGACTGTAGGTGGCCTGGCGCTGGATCCTAAGCGCAGCGGAAGTCGTCGGATGGGTAAACTCTCTCTGGGATTGGCAGCTTATGCTATACGGTGCGATGCGACGCGATACGACGCGATACGACAAAGACCGAAAACCCGCTGCATCTGTCTTGCAAAACTGTCCATCTATTTTTGCCCTGCCATTCGCTGCTATTGTGGATTGTCTGTGCCTTGCAATCAGGTTTTTGCGAAAGTCGACTCAACGTCTCACTGAGTCTCTCCCGCAGGACATTCGGCTTCAACAGAAGATGGTGGCTGTTGTCGTCAGCAAGTCTGGCGTAATCCACGGGGCGGGAACCCCTGGGGATGATGATTAGGCAGCAACAAAAAGTCGCGCAGAGTCGGACATAATATCATCGGCCTGGAACGAGGAAGTTGAACTTGTGCGAGGCTCAAGTTGAAAGCCACGGAAGCTGCCAAGCATCAAGCATAAAAATAATCCCTCGCTCACGTCACTCCTCGTGTATCTAGCGCTATACCTATTTGGGAAATTTCCACTTTCCACTCGACCCAAGATTGCGTCCTCACTCTTTGTCGTCCGTCTTCTCGCCGACTTCAGGCCTCTTTCTGATCCCTTATTGACTTATTGTGTGCTGCGACTAGACATACCAGGCGTCCCGGTGCCTGAGCTTCTGCAGATGTCGGACAGTGGCGCCGTTCTCAATGGAGATCAGCCCCTTTTAAGGACGACAGGTCTCGTCCTGGTCATGAATACACCAAAAGGTAGGTCGCAATAAGGAGTCGCGTTCGCGGTTTTTCCGCTCGTGTAAGTAAAGCCACGAGTCCCTTCCCCAGATCAATCTCCACAACCTGTTTGTCATGCAAGCCGAGGTCTTCAAAGGATATTGCAAGTTCCAACTACCGGAAAGACACTCGACCCTAACCTATCTGTTTCTCGACATTCCTAGGCCGAGGCGTCTTCGCGACTCAGGATATCCCAAGCGGGACCGTGGTGGATGTCAGCCCGGTACTAATATTCACGGAGGATGAAGTTGAGCAACACACGCGACACACATGCCTTCAACACTACACCTAGTAAGCTTTGAACAACTTTTGTGGCAGCCCAAGTCCACTGGCGATGCGCCGACACCTTAAAACTCCCACTCAGCATGCCGCCAAACGCGATACTTACCGTCCTTTCTTTATCACAGCTATTGGCCATCTGAGTCCGGTCGTACCATGACCCAGGCTCTTGCTCTTGGACTTGGATCCATGTTCAACCACTCAACGCGGGATCAAAACGTGGGCTGGAAGCGTAACACCGAGACCGATGTCATCGTCTATACTGCACTGCGGGATATTAAGGCCGGGGAAGAATTATGTATCTCGTATGGGAGTGTGCGGCTCTGGTTCGAGGATGCCGAGGCCAATGCCAATGATGAAGAGATAGGAGATGGTGAGAACGACACTGGAGGACTGACATTGGCCGAGTTGGAATTGAGTGGGTTGGGAAAGATGGATCTCTAAGCCTTGAACGGGTGACGAGCAAAGGGGAAAGTTCCGAGCTACCTAAAACTCCGCCGCAGGCTGCGTTGCGTATGGTGCAGGGCGCTGAGGGTGCAATCCCATTGCACAGCACTGTCACCTCCTACCGTCTCTGGACGACCCGTCCTACCAACTGATCGAGAGGCGACATTCTCCAAGAAATTTCAAGATAGGAGGAGTTTGGAGAACCGTGAACATCATTTCCATTCAGCTCAACCGATGAAGTCGGTCGCAAAGCCGAACTTGGAGCCCACGCAGTACATATGATCTGGCTTCTGCGCTTCTCAAAAGCAAGGCACCTTGGTCCTATGGGGTCAGCCCGATACAGACCCTGTGAATGCACCGGAGTACCTAACGTTATCCCAGCTTACCCGGCGGCCTAACATTCTCTCCGCTGGACCCGCCTTGATGAAATTTACCATATGCGTTCCGGCATTTCATATCTGCCCTTGGTCGTCAAGATCCGCCATAGCAAAACAGGCTCGGAAGTCGGGCGCTATTAAGCTGAAATACCCTCGGAAAATTGACCATAACCAGTACTTGGTACAAAATCGAATGGCCGGAACGAGATATCGGTGCGAGAGAGATTCCTCGGCAATGCCTGATCGGGACGGGACACGGGTATCTTTTCATCCAAGGGTAATCGGCCAACGCAACGGCTTCTCTGCTCACATTTTAATGAGTCCAACAGTCAATACCCTCCAGCAAGCCTCATTCCATCTGCTCTTTACTATGCTATGTTATACTATTACTCTTTGTTTTCCCTTCAAAATTTCTCTCCTCCTCCTGCCTTCCGCAAGCTTGCCAACTATTTCCACCCTCTTTCCGCGGGCTTAGGACTTTTTCAACACGAGTTCGTCGATCCCCACGCTTTTGCCTCGACACGGTCAAGAAAAAGAGAGCATCCTGTTCGGGGTGAAGACGGTTCCCAAGAAACAGTGAATGCTCCCTTTTCTCGACGCAAGGCACTCATTGCCACGTGCCAGTGAATGCGACGAATGAACGACTCCGGCGACTCAATTCCAAGTTGATTACTATTTTCTGCTTCCTCGTTTCAGAGGGAGACCGGCCTACGCGATGCCGCGGTTCAACACATACGTGGACGTCACGGAGCCCACACCCTTGACTACAAGCCAACGCGTGCAAGCAAATCCATTCCAATATCCCTTTACTTGCTTGCTCGCTTGCTCATGCTCTCCTCGAGCTCTCAGTTGAATGGGACGGACGCTACATGCACACAAAACACAAACAAGACATACAACAGAGAGCTCCGCGCTTCCACGTCAAGGAACATGATCAGAAACCGCCCACCATGGACACGAAACTTCTGATTTATGCCACCCGACAACGGACCTCGTCAAGGCATCGCGAAATGCGAATAGGTCCCTTTCCCGGCTCTCTGCCCCTCGGCGCAAGTCAGGTGCAATTTTCAACACCGCGGCCCGAACCAATCACAGCGCGCATGCCTCGGGCCGTCGTTTCCCAAGTCCCCCCCTACACAGGCAGGTCATAAGCCAGCCTGACCCAGTCTATTATCTCAATCGAGCGAGAGAGGGGAAGCGAAACGCGGACTCGGCGGGGAGAGAATTGCGGGATGAATACGAGGTACGAAGCTACCAGCCCCTAGCTCTTGTTTATATCTACCAAGCCTACCAAGCGACCTTCCTCTATGGCGCCAAGGGGCTCGGTTCTCAAACAAGCAGGGAGGCACGTCGCCGAGCGGTCGAGGAGGTAGGCCGTTCAGTCAGTCGTCTTTCTCGTCGCTCGCATTCCCCCCCGCATTCTCTTTTATCCTCCGTTTCCTCCTCCCTTTCAAAGCTGGAAGCTTGGAGCTTATGGAACACACCGACGAAATCAAGGAGAAAGATCTGTTGAGGTGGTTCTTTTTTTTTTTCTCTTTTATATATATATATATATGCCAATCTATGTTTAATGATTGACAGAAGGACCTTCGACGAATCAGACGATGATTGCCAGCCCCGGCGAGAGTGGAAATTGTTGGCGCTGCCACAGCAATGCTAGACGGGAGCATCGACCATTCGCGCTCTCTCTCCTCAAAACCCACCTTCTGCAGGCTTTTCACCGACAGCAGATCTCTGAGCAACATTGATTCCTTGTCAACAAGGCATATTGCACCTCAGTGCATGACCACAGCCACGTGATCATCCATGTACTTGTCAATATTGCCCAAAAAGATACTGGACACAATCGCAATGCCACCAAATGCGATACTCGTCAAATACACGTACTTGTACGACTCGGCATAAGCGATTTGGCCAGCCAAGACAACCATTTCATAGGCCGTGTCGTTGCCCGCTATTCCAGGGATTGTCTTGAGCAGAGGCAGAAGACTGGCAGCCGTATATTCGATGGCTTCGCCAATATATGTCACGTTGGTTATGCCGAGTTCGAGGGCCATGGTTCCACCGATGTACTTTGTGGCGTTGGGGACGAATTTGTTGACAAAGACGTTGTAGTACACGGTGTAGCCGATACAACCGCCAATCACACGGATTGACAGGGTGAGAGCGGCAACTGTGGCGATGATATCGTCGGGGCAGATGATCGTGGTCATGATCGATGCAGGGACAACGATGCCACCGATACCGAGGCCGGCCAGGATCAGTAAGCCCCAGAGCGTATGCAGGTTGTATCGATCGGCGACGGCAAGCGCACCGCAACCGGCTGTCATCAGCACCGAGGAGATGATCATCAACTCACGGTTGTGGCCACGGAAGACGGAAAGCAGCCATAGCACGACGCAGGCGCCAGTGAGAATGCTGAAACCGATCGGGATACCTCGAATTCCAACTCCAACAGGATCATGGCCGTAAACATTGAAGGCCTGAGTGGGCCAGAACATGATGACGGAGAAGAAGTTTGCCCCTGAGATGGCGGTGATGATCAAGGTGAGCGTAAGGATTCTGGCTTCTTTCTTCATTCTCGATGGGAACATCGGGAATTTTGCGAATTTGGTTTCCCAGATGGGGAAGGCAATGAGAAGGAAAAATCCGCCGATGACCAGAGGTGCCAGAACGTGTGCGGAGTGCCATGGGTATTGGTACCCGCCCCATTGCAGACCGCCCAAGAACAGGATCATCCCAGTGATTGAGAGGAAGCCACCCACAAAGTCAATCTCGGAAATGATCTCTTTCTTGTTAAGACCACGGGAGTTCGGTCGAGGTGGTGGGAAATAGAAGAACAAGGTGCCGACGAAGCCGACACATGCCCACAGTCCGCAGAGAAGGGTGCAGTATCGCCAGCCAGCGTGCGACGCGATCAACTGAGCCCAAAGGACGGATGGACAGAAGGGGATGATAGTAAAGACGAGGATGGAAACATATTTCCCTCGTTTCCGTGTTGGGGCGAGCTCAGAGGTAACGGCAAGGGAAGTCAGCTCGCAGATGCCAGCCCCAACCCCAGAGAAAGTCATGCCCACTGTGAGAATTAGATGGTCAGATGTCTGGCGTAAAGGTAGGCAAACAATGGTGCTTACTGATAAACACGCCCATGCTGTGTGCTGTGCCGCAAATGATCATGGCAATGACGAGCAAAGCAGAGCCTCCCAATGCCACCCATCGTCTTCCAATGAGATCGGAAATGGACCCGACGAAGGGGCAGATGGCAGCCAAAGCCAACAGGTACGCCAGGACAAACCAGATCCAGCGGTCGACACCACCAATATCGGCATAAATGTATGGCGGCACGCCACCAAGGATGTACACAGGAATTTGAGAGCCGGTCCACAAGAAAGCCATGGCGACCAAGCTGAGGGCTCTCGAAACGGTCAACTAGAGCAGGCAGCGTCAGTATTGGCGGGGACTCGGCGCGGATCTGGGGACGGGGCTGGACTCACCGGCGGTTCGTGGTCGTGGTCTTCATCGTCACCATACGTCCGTAGACCATCTTTCTCATAGTACCCCGGATGACCCGGTACCCTCTCGTTGGTATGGACCTGCTCGACATGGGAGGAGGAATCCTTGTCGTTGACAGGTGAAGGTACATTGTCGCTTGAGCTGTCTTCTACGGCAGTCATGATGGGCGAGGCAAAAAGGCAGGTATGGGAGAAAGGTACGGGGGGATTGTTCAGGGCGTATCGGTCACCGAGAGAAGTCGGGAAGAGGGGGGAGGTGAAAAGAGGACGAGGTATCAAGGAAAAGAGAAGGGAAAGAGAAGGATTGATGTAGTCCGCGAGGAAAGAGATGGGTCAAGACGATCGACCCGGAACATGTGTTCAGGGCGAGGGCTTTCAAGTCACTGATGCTTCATGCGCTTCTCCGACGACCCATTTTCACTTATCTGGGGGGGGGGGCATGGGCTGCCGTGGGCGAGACCCCTGCGGGAACCGGGGACAGTGGGTGGCCAAAGCATGGAGTATGGAGCGAAAGCATTTGATCAGGTCAAAGTGCAGAGGCTACTGAGGTGAATGACCGGGGCACGTTACCAATCTCGACACTAGAAGCCAGTGGGATGTGGAGGGTTTTTGGAAAGTACCAACTTGGAAGTGGGCCAGTGTGAGGGTGGAGCGATGCGAGAGGCGGAACGAGACCTCATTCATGGCTTGCGGCGGATTCGCGATGGGGCGCAGCGCAAGCAAGATTGGCAGAGGTCGTACATCCCTGGTACAGAGGCGCCAGAAGTTGTACTGTGCAAGAAGGTAGTAGGTACGAGGTATGGTTGGGTTGCCTTGATTTGACTGGACTTTGCCTTTTAACTCGACGGGGGAGAGAAGCCAAACCCTACAAGGTGTTTGCCACCTGTGTGAGTGAATCCAGGGGGTTGAAAAGCGAAGTCGAGTCCAAGCAGCGGAAGAAAGAGGAAAGAGGATCGCTAGTCACAAGCGGTTACTGCAAGACTAGCGGTAGCTTCGATGCAGGATGAATCAGAGAAATGGGGCGACGGGAGCAAAGAGAATCGAGAATCAAGAATCACGAGTGATGGGTGATGAAGCGATGAGCTGAGAAGCTCGAATTGATAGTAATAATAGGGACCCAGTAATGGTGGTGACACTCGGTCCTGGGTACTGGGCAGAGAAGAGTGAGAGAAAAGAAGCCTGCGACCAGCCTGGAACCCTCCAAACGCAGAGCGACCTTCAGGGCAATTTTCACGTTTTTCCCTCCTGCGCCATCATTTCATTCCCAGTCTCGCGAAACTTGCATGTTTGTTATCGCTCAACTCCAAGCCTTGCTCTTCTTTTTCCTTGTCTCTTTCCAGCTGGGCTCGGTTCACCCCGGAATACTGGGTACACTCGATTAGCTCAGCCGACTCGCCGCCTGAGGCACAGCAACGCTCTCCCTGGCCCTGTCGGAGAGATCTTGGAGCTTCTTCCATCGGCTATCGGTGTGGTCCGTTTAGGCTTTTGCTCGAGCCCAAACGCACATCCCATTTCACAGGCACTCGGGCGAGAAGCAAGGTGAGTCCTCGTTCATCGGGGGAAGCAGCCAAGCTGCAAGCATGGGAGCTAACTACATAAGAGAGAGACGCCAAAAGGCAATTGTTTGCGCAGCCAGTCTTGGGGTCGTGTGGGACGCGGGGGTGTGTTAGGCGTGCCAGAGCAAGAGATGGAGGTGGCGCTCGGAGGTTGGGAATGCAACCCCTGGTCTCGGAAATGTCGACCCTTTCGCAACCACCGAATCGAACCAAACCTGCGCCTAACTAGCTCATCCGAGTGTCTTTCGTGGACCGTCTTCTGGGTATCATCGCCTCGGTCGGCCTCCTGCCTCTCACCACCCTCCATATTATCGTGAAATGAATGCTGGGGTACGGAGAAAAGGTAGGCGAGGACACACTCGAAGGATTCACAAGAGTGGGACACTACGGGGCGGCCAGGACGAGCCAGTGGCCCACTTCTCCGCAAAATTGAGTCTGGAGGTGACAGAAGGTGGCGCGCAGTGGCCTGTTCCCCGACGTGTATTGCGGACAAACATCCAAATTGGTTCAAAAGCCGGTAAACCAACACCTTGCAATGCCAGCAGATAGCCGGCGATATACCGAGGCTTCTCTGAGGGAAGACCGACATGGATCTGAATACCCAGTACCTCACAGCAGATGCGATGCTAGCCGAATGCGCCTTGAAAGACCGTCAAGTCATGGTCAAGTTCGACTCATCCTCCCAACATTTCTCTCCGAACCATCGCCTCTGGTTCCTACCTGTCGTCGCTGATCCCGGAAGTTCTCGAGCACCCAAAACTCTTCCTCAGTCAATTGGTAGGCGCAGATCCTGTGTCCCCGGGTTCGACAAGGTCAAACGGTTACCCAGCCGCCAACGCTCAGCGCGCCTCGGTATTCTTCATGCACGTCGATGTTTTTTTGCCCCTTTAGGGGGATAACCGAGACACTCCTCCATCTGATCGCCTAATCTGGGCACCAGCCCGGTCGTTTGCCACGCTTTTTGTACGATCCTAGAGCCCGGTGGTCCTCCTAGCCTAAGTTAAGCCACAGCGAGGAACCATGTTTGAGATGTTGGGCGTATTTGTGGTTACCATCTCGGTCCCTGTTCCGGCTGTACCACGTGTCGACATCATCGAATCGTCTCTGCACCATCGATGCCGCAACTCACAGCCTTATCCGAAAATGAGGAGGGCTTAACCCTTCCCCCCCAATTCTGCGCAAGGGGACCTTGTCATGACTCGTAAACAAGTGCACTGGGAAATAGCGCCCCAAACTTATGCATCCTCGGATCGCAGAACGACCGGCTCTCCGTGAAGGACCTTGTTCGGACATGGATGGCAGTAGTTCCAAATACCTTGAACAGCTTCCGTTCACTTCTGAAAGGGCCGAGAAAATCTGTCTCAACAATAAGCCAGGGTATCGAGTAAGGTGGTCCTCAGACAGCAAGCGCTTACCTGTGTTTCTAGTGTCCAACTCTCGCCGTGACGCTCATGGTGGTTCGTCTAGAAGTAAAGGTGAAAGTCTGGTGTAGAACTTCGACCTGGCAAAAAATGAGGCACCTCGGTCACTTGTACTCAGTCAATCTTCTTGGACGCTACATCCCCCTCGCGCTCCGCCGTGCCCTCTTCATTCTTGAACTGCACCAGTCGAACCTCGACGTTGGCGAGCGCATGCAACTCATCAATGGACGGCAACTCGATTGTGAGCAACTCAGGCGTAATCCTTGGAGGAGCCTCAATTCTCACCACCATAGGCGCCAACTGCAGATGCATCATATTCGGGCCTGGATCCGGCTCCAACTGCGCAGGGGGGATGATGACCGCATATATTTCTCCAGGGCGCATCCTTCTCTTGAAATCAATCGATATCATCTGGTGGTCTCGACTCCCATACTTCTTGTAGAAGTTGTGAATCTGTCGTTGAATGCCTTCCTCAATCAGAGTCACGATCATCCCGCCATGAATTGTGTCCGGCCAACCCTCCAAGCCGAACCCCAGAAAACAGACCATGATGGTGAATTCCTGAGTGGGGTGCTTGAATGTCTTCATCGTCACTCCTTGCGTTCCTTGAAGTTTCTCCGCCACGAGATGTAATCCTTTATTCTCTATTCCGCCCTGAGTCGCGTAGTAGTTCTCCTCTATCCAATTTGCCTGCCGTAGCGAATCGACCAACGGGTGAAGTTCCATCGCGTCGAGGATTTCCTCGTAGAGTTCTTGTTCCGCGGGCGAACCGGGCTCGAAGGGCGGCTGGAGATACTCCCAGGTAATCAACGCTATTCCCGCCGTGACACCCAGAGATGCGAAAAGGGCGGCCCAGAAGACAGAGCGGCTGAAGCTCGTCAAGAGCGAGCCACCACCACCCACTCGCGATGGGGGAGGGACGGTCTGTATCTTGGGGAGGTATGTTTGACCGTGTGTGTAGGGCGTGGAGTCGGGAACCGGCATCTGGCCAGGCGTCTGGAAGTATTCTTTGTGAGGGCCATGGTGGTCGTGCTGAGCTCGCCAGCTGTATACCAAGCCTGAGCGGGCGAGCCGAGTAGTTCTGCGGTCAGGAATTGCTCGCTGTGCTCGACGAAGCAGGATGGGGTGAAGTGCCTGCATTGGGAGGGTATGTGGCGAGCGTGTGCTCGCGAGGAGCCGGGCGAGCAAAGATCCTAAAGCAAGCAAGATAACTAGTTTACTAAACAGTGAGATCGGAACTCGAAACTTGGGATACCAGGCTTAGGGAAGGCTACGGAAAAGTTGCAGGGGAAGTTTGGCGTTGTCCCATTGGCAGACTGCGCCTTCAGCCTTGGCGGCGAGGATGATCGTGCCAGGAATAACGGCGAATTCTCAAAGCTGCCATCCTACTCTGGGTATCTTACAACCGGCTCCAGTTCTCTACTTGTTAGAGAGACAAGGATCTGTATATGTGGACTTTGTGGAGACGATAGACTCGAAGGCTTACTTTCAGCGAATGGAATCACTATGGGCAGAGTTAACAATACCTACAGGTATAGTATCCCGTGCTCGCTTCTACGGATTTCCATGGCGATGTCGCGTCAGAGGAAGCGTCAACGCAGTGAGTGCTCCATCACAGCAGATATGCTTCTTGACAAGATCGGGAAGCGCGAACAGGGAAAGCAGTTCAGGACAAGGATTTTGATAGTTTGTCAAAATGTACCAGCCCATCTCAAAAACGCCTTTTGTCGATTATCAACATGGCCAACTATCCCATCTTCAAGCCAGGGCATTGGTCTTCTCCCGGCTCTAGGGAATCTATGCATTGATTCGTGTGTCATGCAACTCACAACTGCCGAAGGCGACAGTATCCCCATCGTTTGAGCCCTCTCCTCTTAGTTGGCTGACTGTCCAACTGCACCCCCTGTCCAGCATCGCTTCTTCTGCACTTTACATGCCACCATGGTTGGTCCTCATCGTTCGGCAACTGCTTCGACTACTACCACAACGCAGGGAAGATAGTGTTTATGATGTCGGGTTGGGGTTCATCTGTAGAAATCAAGCATCAGCATCTCATTTTCCCCACGCAACCCTTGTTGTGGTGTCCATAGCCTCCATACCTTTCTCTTGCCACCCGTCATCGTCACGTTGACAAACCGTCTGGTGTAGGTAATTCTCTTTTTCGCACGGCCCTTGGGAGTCTTCTTCTTTTCTTGCTTTTCAACCTGTGTAGAGAATCGTAAGTCCACTATTCACTGCTGGCCATAAAACTTGCTGTATGATAGAATTGGCCGAAGATGGCGTTGCGGAAGAAATTGCAGTTCGGCGCTACTCACCTTGGGAGTTTGAGACTTGACTTTGCCAGCACGGGCAAGAGATCCGTGAACTTTACCCATGTTTGTAAATCGATTTCAGTTGAGCTAAGGGGTAGGTTGTTAGAATTCGAGCGCAGGTTGCAAGATCGTCGTTGATGGAATGATGGCAAATTGCAGTTCGGCGATGATGGATTTGAAGTTTGGGACTGGTGGGCGCCAAGACCGGGCCTAAAAAGGCAAGAGGCTAGTCTTGCTAGCACGTGAGTGAGGAATATCGAGGAAAGTTCGCTTTAATTGAAAGAAGATTTATGAATCACAAACTTCAGGTCGTAGTTTACCACTGTCCTGTGGAGAGAAAATCCCAGGGAACCTCTTCCTCAATGCTCCTTGGCGCTGCTCGTCTATGTCTAAATATGCTCCGCTGTCTTTTTCACCCGACACGCTATTGATGCTCATAACCAGAAAAAGTCAGTGTCCATAACCCTCACGATTAGTCCTCAATGTCGGCCTTGGTGGGCAGATCAACAGCTCGGTAGAGCAGAATGAGCGCAGAAGCACTTTCGCCGCCGCCGGAAAGACTCATGATCCTCTCCCCATCGACCTCGCTGACTTTCTCATCGTTGAACCACCACCATTTACCATCCTGCTCTCTCCGCTTGCCACCAGGTGCTTTGGGATCATCTACCAGCTTGCCTTGCTTCTTGACAAAGCTGGTGTAGTGGCCGCTATCAGCACTTGCGCCTTGGTGGGTGATGACACCGCTGAGCTCGTACAAGCCCGACTTGTTCGACCCTTCATCAGCTGCGAGCTCCGGATCAATGAGACCGAAGAGTTCTTTCATGCCTTGTTTCAGGGCGGCAGCTCGTTCGGCCTCGTACTCTGCATCCGTCTTGTACACATCCATTTCGCCACCTTCGTGCTCCTTTTTCTTCCCCTCCTCTTTCTCCTTTTGTTCGCGGAGCTTAGCAATCGGAGCAGCCTCTGCAGCCTTCGTTGCTTCATCATGCTTTCGGTCTTCTTCCTGCCTGTGGGCCAACTTCTGCCGCTTCCTAGCCCTCTCTACATCCTGCTCGAACTTGCGAATGTCGCGAACCTTGTCACGAACTGGTATCAGTCTCTTTTTCATGTCTTCCGTACAGAACTCCACGATGTCGAGTTCTTCTGGAAATGTGACTTTCCGCATGATCTTCGTTTTCTTCTGTATGTCCTTTTTCCAAAAGAATCGAACAAAGTGCACAGTCAGGTACCTAGGAAGCCGGGATATTCGAGAGGTCTTGATGTATTGTGCATCCTGTCCGAGTGTTGGTGAGTTTTTCTCAATCACCTCTGTCAAGGCAGCCCTGATGCCGTCGTGTAGATGATTGATAGATTGGTCAATATGACAGTCGAGTTTCAGGAAAGCTTCGTCAGACTCGACAACAGGCTCGTTGTCTCCCACATCTGAAGGAGGCGCAAGTGAGGAATGGAATGAACCGGCCATGTATCGATCGATGAACGCAACATCTTTCTGATCTTCAGTTCTTTTGTCAGTAATCTTGAGCTTCTGTCTCAGCTGGTGAACAATCTGTGACCAAGCTTCCTCGGCATCTTGCTGGGCATAGCCAACTCCGTTCTTTGCCTTCTGGGCGAACTGAGGATAAACAGTGCGCAGCGCGTTCAAAAACATCATGGGAGGAAATCCTTCTTGCGTTTCGGACATTTGTTTGTAGAGATCTCGTAGCTGAGCAGTTAGGTCGTTGGAGGAGCCGAGGCCACCAAGGCCGAAGCGACTGAGAGCTTCTAGATTCGCAACCGGGGCCGCCTCGGTCTTGTAGATCTTCAACGAGTCTTGCATTTCAGGTATGCTCCGGAGGACTTGTAGTGTAGAGTTCAAATAACAGGTGTTTCCGAGGTTCTGGAGACCAGCCGGAGTAGCACCTTCTTGAGCGGCGGCTTCGGCTTCAGTCATGTCCTCAACGAATTTTGGCTTTCTAGCGGGGGCGGTGACTGCGCTGCTCTCGCCAGAAGCGGTGCCGAGCATAGTGAAGATTTGGCCAGGTTTTGCATTGAGCTTGGATAGCTCAGTATCATCTTTGAGCTTTCCACCTTTGATCAGAACGGACTGTCGCTGGGGTTCGACGCCAGTGAGAGAGAAGAGTTGGAGTTTGAGCATCTCGCCATTTGCCGTTGGGTCAAGGTCGACATCGTACTTCTTGCCCTGGTGCTTGATGACAACTGAAAGTCGTTAGAAGTGCATTCTGTTTGTTCAAAATCCCCTGAAAAACTTACCAGGAATGGTCGCCATGATGTTGTTCTGTTCTGCAAGACACAGACAAGAGTGACAGGGGAGGTCTTAACGCAGGTGAATGTGAGGACAAGTCATGGAAAACCAATGCTTGGAAATCGTTAGAAAGCGGCGAAATATGCAAGGCTCGCAGACACAAGACAGCACGTCACCCGATGAGGGTCCCCCACGACCGCCGCAGCCATCACTGCCAAAGGGGCGCATGCCAAGGCGCCCTCACCACCGCAGTTGCACCTCGTATGCAGGTGGGCGCCAACGCCGAACAAAGCATTGGCTCGCAGCTTGTGTCACAGCCTGATAGATACATAACTATGTATCGAGAGACATCAGGTTCTATCACGATGATAAACAAAATATGCCAAGTATAGGGCTGGTGAGGCAGGCTAACGTCATGGTATAGCATGCCTCGTCAGGGTGCAGGTGAGTCTAGTTCACTCTGGCAGCCCATCAGACTGCCTGCTACTTCTTCAGTGCCGACGATATCGCCCGAGAAGCCTTCTAGGATGCAGTAGCATTCTTTGAGCAAGAGCTCACGCATGACAACAGCAAACACGACTGGATTTGCAGCCTGGAAGATGTGCTCAAGGCCGTGAACACAGCTCGTGCGGTTTACTAGGCTCAGAATGCTACAAAGGTTCGAGGATATGTGGTTGCACTCGCGTTAAGAATCCAATACTATGGGGGCGTGCTGGATATGCTAGCACAGCATCATCCAGAATAGTCGCACAGACATTGGGTGATATCCGTGTACACCTAAACAGTGCGGTACACCCGAACCGACTAAATGCCAATGGGGCAGATAGACATCGGATCAACGGACGAAATGACCACCCCGAATATCCCGCACGGTCATTACGCGTTCCACGCGAAGGGTAGCTGGTGCGCAATGGGACTTACATTTTCTCCAGCGAGGCTTGACCCCATGAAAACTCGCACTGTTAACGACGACATAGTGGTTGGCTATGCCATCTCCGAAGATCGAACTAGAGATTCAAGACATGAGAAACAGCGCTATCTTGCTATGATAGCCAGGCGGCGAGACTGCCTATTACTACATGCGGAGTTTGTTCAAAGTGATGGTTCGGAAAACCCACTCTCCCTGAAGGCTTTTTCTCGCATCCCGCAATCAGGTCGTGAGGATAGGAACAGTCCGGGGGAACCGCCACGGTACTTGCCGAGAACCTCGCAACAACCACAGTCATTCAGTAGCACGGCGCCAGAGGACCCAGTTCTGGAATCCAACATGTCCCGCGGATTGTTCGCAGACGATTATCTGCAAGCACATGGTTTTCCTTTGCCTGAACTATCTCCAAATGACGTTATCAACTTAAGAGCCGTAGACCCCCAGAAAAACATGCCTATGGAAGAGATGTGGAGTATTCTCAACAGGATGAGCACTCAACCGCGACAGAACCTGGCGGAGAAGGCTGTCGATCCCATTGTATACTATTTCCGTATGCTAGCCACCAAAGAGTTCCGCAGACGTTCAAAAATGGAGTTGGGCATGGGCGGCAATACAGGCTAGATGATGAGCGCTAATCTAATGGGACAAACGTAGAAATCGAGCGCGCCAGAAACCAATATCTCGAAGTGTGCCCGCTAAAGGGGGGAGGAATTTGCTGCAGCAGAAGGATGATGCTCAATTGGTTCATGTTGACCATCTCATGCCTTATAGTAACGAGCTGAATTGGTTTCAGTCCACGTTCTCAGGACCTTTGTCTGTGAAGCTGAATCGACGTCGCTTGCGGACCCGGTTGGCTCGCTTTCAGCAGAAGCAAGCAAGGGGCGATACGATGATTACTACAAGCCCGCGGTGGCTAAGTGAGCAAAACCCATTCTTTGAGGTGTCGGAGAGCCTTGGCTTCTGTCCATCCATTTCCCCTCCAAAGGAACCCTCCCAGCCTTACCTGTGAGGTTGAAGCGTAACCTCTCCCGATGTGATAGAGGTAGGGGTCCTCCGCTTGACAGATGTTCCAGTCGGTGTCGCCGTCTGATATGCGACCATCATGCGCTAATCGGACCTGATCCGTTGTTGGCGTGCAAAATAGTCATCAGGACCTCATGTATCGACAAGGTATTTTTCGAACTCCTCAACAACGTCAATGGCACATTCCAAGTGTTGGCTACCGAGCTTCTGCTTCCGGAAAGCAGCGAGTCGCCTGGCAATCTTGATGACATTTCTGATTTGCCGGCCGTTGAGAACCTTGCGAGCCAAACTCTTTACGTTATCACTCAGGTCTTCCAACTCCATACCCACTCCCGCTTCGTGCGGAGCTTTGAAAAAGTTGTCCCATATCTTGAGGCGTTCAGCTTCGTCAAGGGGCGGATAGCGTATTGCTAACCGCATGCGTGACTTGAACGCCATGTCGAAGAGACCGACACGGTTCAGTTCGACGTAAGAATCGGGACGCCGTTGAAGTACTCGAGAACGCGAAGGAAGACTGATACTAGAGCATTGCGAGCTAGATCATCTGCGTGCGTTCCTCTAAGAAGACGTCACCCTCCTCCACAAGCACAACGAAATCCCAGATCGTTCACAGATAGAGTGCCGACTCGAGGTATTTCTCGACGCCTTTAGCCTCAGCGCTAATTCTCGCGCAGGTAGCTCGATCCAGCGGTTTGTTCGCCAGCTCAGCGACAGTCTCTGCAGCGAGAGTTTTGCCGGTACCAGGAGGTCTATGAAGCAACATTATGAGTCCCGCCCCTTTGCCCTCAATAACGTCTGTTGCTTGATTGTTTTCCAGGCGGACGGTGACTAGGGCTTGAATCAACTCCTTTCTACTTGCCTGAAGCACGAGGCGATTGAAAGCATTTTCATTCCATCGTACCGGCCGGATGAAGTTGACTTGCAGACTTCCTGCACAAAATGTCAGCAATCAGTCAAAATGAACTAGGGGGCAAGCATACGCCACTTCTTGTCATGGAAAGAGAAAACTGGAATCTTTGAGGGCATAAGCAGTCGAAATACACCAGCTGGAGGTCCTTCCTTAACATGTCGAGGTCCTCGTACCCATCGGGCCTGTTCTCAAGATCTCTGTCTGGATGCAGAGTTCGATGTGTATCCACGTCCACCATGAATTTGCGCTTCCCTACGACAAGTTAGACAGCGGGCACGCGACTTACCATCACTATCTCGAAATTAAACACCTGAGGTCCTTTGTACGTTACGAGCCTTTTCTGTCTGCACCCCACAACTCGGTGCCTCTTTTTGCCAGGTGGTTGTGCAGGCCGTCTTTGTCTAAACGTAGCGGCCCAGCTGCCATGCTTTTCACGGCAACCGGGCTATCATCCTCGCCGATCCCGTCAACGACTATCCGAATATGCTGACGACGAAATCTCCCGTCAAACACTAGTGTTCAGCAGCTGAGTGTTGATCCGATCCTTGTATCGCCATTCTACCTCGTCAACCATGCATGCGTGGGGAACTCCATCCACATTTCGAATAATTACTTCACCGGGTCGGAATAGCTTGCTGAAGGCCTTGTTCGTGACAAAACCTTGATTGAATAGCCTGTCTGCTTCTGCTAATTACGGTCCACATGCAGCCTGGACATAATCGAGAAGCAGCAAAGCGCTAGCCGAAGTTGCGTTGAGAGGCTCAGTGGAATTCTGTACCGGGTCTCGAATGCGTTGGTGGCAAGGGTAAAAACAATCGTATGGGGCACTTAGATCGCTTTCCTCGTCCCAAGACCCGGGGTTCTCGACATCGTGAGACACAAGATCCTCAAATGCGTCGGTCAGACCGTCTTGAGCGATGGATATCTCCTCGGAAGTTGGAGAGGCAAGGTCAGCATCCTTGGGCAGAACATGGAACCATGGCTTCAATTTCAGGAACGAAGCTCGGTCGATTGTATCAGCCACCGTGTTCACAAATTGATCTCTTATCTGGGCATGATGTTGACGGCAGTGGTACTTCTTGGAGGCCACAAACGCAACAAGACCTTAGTCGTCAATGTACGCGTCCGCATCGGGTATATGGTGTGGCCCGTGTAGCGCTGCGTCCCTAGTGTACTTAACATAGAGCCTAGGTCAGTCCCGGTAATAAGCAGTAAGTGGATGCTGAGAATGATCTTCCTCGCTGTCCGGACGGAGATCGCAGTACACGCGATGTAGCCCAAGAAAACGGTGGGATGACGACCCTTACGATGGCATGCCTTACTGGGATTCTGCACGCGCCGTTTTGATCGCTCTATGGCGGCCGCGATTTAGTCAGGGGCACATTATGACTTTTCTTTGTCCTCTGACCCTTTCTGGGGCGAACCCGCTCTTCGTCTGAGGAGCTTGATGTCTTACGTGCCGAGTTTTTGACTTGAAAAGGTGTTGATGAGGTGCCATCATGCGTAGCCTCGACCTGAAGGCCAGCACTCTGTTAGTCCATATTTCTTGCAGTGACCGAGCTCGGTCGTTTGCGGCCGCCACTTCAATATACAAAGAGGGTAGAGTGATGCACGAGTTGAGACATACTTGTGGTGATAGAATTCTGCCTAACCTACTCCGTACGCGTATCCTGCGAGCCAAGTCTCCCAATGTGAAGGCAGGGGTTGGTTCAAGGCCTGGCAAGTGGATGAAGCGCACGTGAGCTCGGCGGAGTTTCTCCCCATGTTTAATTGCCAAGCCCCGCCGCCACAGGTGAGCGCAGTGACGCCTGCAGATGACGGATCTTGCGGGCAGGTCCCCTCCACAGAGTCTCTTGGATCCTCAATCTGCGTCGAAAGCGACAAGCTCTTGTTCGACAACTGCAAGTCGAAGAACCAGAGGGGCACAGCAAACACCGCTTCCACTTCGAACTCAACTCATTGTCAATGTGTCGGTGAACCTCCTCGATCTCCCCCAATTCCAATTGAGCGAGCGCATTGAAGATGGTGAGCCTCCTCTATCTCAATCTGATGAACGTCTGGATTGTGTGATTTGCTGATTGTTGCGTTCAGTCCCAATCATTACGCCCTTATCTTCAATGTGTCCGCTCCTCCCTGACCGCTGCTCTTTCTCTCTCAAACTTCGCCTCTCAAGCATCAGAAAGACACAATGTCCCTGAAATCGAGGCAGCCAGTTCGCCAGAAGTCCTGCTGAACCCGCTCACAATCGCCCGCAATGAAAATGAGAAGGTTTTATTGGAACCCAGCGTCAATAGCGTGCGAGTGAGCATCAGAATAAAGCAGGCCGATGAAATTGAGAATATCCTGGTCCACAAGTTTACCCGCTTCCTCACCCAGCGTGCTGAGTCGTTCTTCATTCTACGACGGAAGCCAGTCAAAGTGAGTGGCAGCAGCACTACCCGAAGTCGAGTCCTGACAAGCTACAGGGCTATGATATCTCATTCTTGATTACAAACACTCATACGGAAGAAATGCTCAAGCATAAATTGGTGGATTTCATCATTCAATTCATGGAAGAAGTCGACAAGGAAATCTCGGAGATGAAGCTCTTCGTAGGTTATCAACTCCCGGGCACAGTCTGTGTGCTCCTACTGATCCAGTCTGCAGCTAAACGCCAGAGCTCGCTTTGTGGCTGAATCATTCTTGACTCCGGTAAGCCCTTGAAGTCGCTTGGCTGTTGTCATACTTAACAAAATGCAGTTCGACTAGATTTGGAACGGTCGACAAAGTCAAAGTAACGAGAGACACGAATCGTGCTCGCGTGGTGGTGTTGGCGGGGTGCATGACAGGCCCGGCTGTCTTGGATGAGCCCAAACAAGGCTACGGATTAATCACGACCCCTGAGATCATGTGACTTCGAGTTAACGACATGTCGAACCGTGCAGAATACTTGGAGCAGCTCTAGCGTTGACGATGGACCATGGCGAATGATGACGAACGGCGATTATCATCGCTCAGATCATTCTGTTCCCTTCTGCAGATGTTGAATACAAGTCATTGTTCAGAAATCATCTTGTCTCATACGGGGGCTATCAACTAGGGCCATACGAAATGCGTTGTGATCATTAGATCGAGAAGATGATGTGCCAAGTTCAAGACCAGACATGGGGGAAATCCGGAGCGTCCGCCCTCCTCATCGCTACCCTGAAGTTGGAGGGCTGAAACCGACAGCGAACGCACTCTGGCGGCCACCCGAGTCATCGAACCAAATCATATAACGACCTCCAGATTTTCTCTAGGCGGTGTGGCAGTCGCCAAGCTCTCTCTGATTGTATGGCCAGACGTTCAAGTGAGGGAAGATTTCACCGCGTTGCTGCCCTCAATCAATACCTTGGACTCACTGCGTTCAAGCTCTCACTAATCTTTTCGCAGGACAGGAAACAGATCCAGTTGATCTCATTTTTGGAAGCAGGTCTGTCCTCTCACTTTTTCGTTCGACTGGTATTGTCTGCTCAAGGACGCGTCGGCATGCCTTGTCGTCCCTTCTACTGAAACTTTTCTTTCATCTTCATGTTGTTCTTCTTACCTCTCATCCTGTCCTCCTCTCCCTCTGTTTGACGTTACTTTGAAGACTGTCACCATGGAAGGCCCTCCAGGGTTCAATTCTGTGCCGAGTGACGATCATCTCCCCTATCCCTCTGTTCCTCCGATCGCACCAACACTTCCCACCCCTGCAAATTTCCACGCAGGAATCCAGCTTCCTCCGCAGCAGGGTGTTGGCGTGATGAACATGGGCGGTCCGGCTTTGGCTGCGATGAACGCCGCTACGCCACTCTTGACAATGCCGGCACCTTCAGTTCCCAACTTCTACCTTCCAAACAACAATCCGTTCTCATCCGCTGTTGTCCACGGACCTGCCCAAGCTGTTAACGTCATGACAACATCAAATGGCGCAGCGCCATTCGATCCAAATACACCACCACCGTTCGCTGATCGGGCTCAGTTGCAATTCCCCAGACGTCACGGTGTCCTTAAGATCATAAATGTGAGTTTGTTTGTCTCCGGCCTTTCTGAGATTCTCCAAACAATCATTTTCAGCGTCTTTTGAGTCATTCGTCACATGTTCGTCACTCGTCCATCTTGTGCTTAGAGTCGATCTGAGAGAATTTTTCCACTCCAGATCGGCCGAGCATCAATCCTCTGTGGCTTTCAAAGTCGTGGTTGTTCTTCCTGTCCTGTACAAAGTTTCATCCTCATGTTCGACTTGTCTCCGCAGGTGCGCATGCTAAAAATGTCGATCTTCGCCAGATCCCATACACTATCAGCATCCCCGAGATGCAGCAGTTCATCTGCAAGTACATTCCGCAACATCACTTGATCACACCCCATGTGGCTGGCTACCCTATCCACATTATTATGGAACGCTCTACTGGAAAGACGATGGACTGCTATGTTGAGTTGACTAGCCCGCTTACTGCTGCTCAAGACTGGGAACATGCCTTTGGCCTTAAGTGCATGCGAATTCCAAAGATCGGCCAGCGCAATGTGGAAGTCTTCCTCAGCAACCAAGGCGAGCTGATGAAGGACATGTTCCCCCGTGCCAAATGTATTCACTTCGACAGCCAGCAGTTTGGCGCCCCGAAGTTGGTGCCGAACCGCGACATCTTCTCGTCGGGCTACAAGGGATTCATGACCAACGAGGAACTCACTTGCATGGTCCGCCATGCTGAGTATCCCCAGCGGGTAAGGCCATTTCCCCTTTCTCAGCCTAGCTGACAACATTCGAACTGACTTGTTTGCCTTGATCCAGTCCCAGTTTGCCAATCGAAGCATGCAACGTACCTTTGAGAGCATGATCAGCACTTTGTACAAGGCAAGCCATCCCCTCCTTTTCCTCTCTGTTAAAAAAAAAAAAAAAAGGAAAGCAAATAGATCTGACCATGCCTCCAGTTCCCTTGGTTTTCCACCAAACTTTACACCATACGTCAGACTCTGACCATGTTCGACGCTTATAAGAAGCAGCTTGACGTTCTTATTGTCAAAGTCGACTCTTCAAGAGGCATACCCCGTGAAGTGGGCCTGGACAACAAACTCCTGATGGATTTCATCTTCGCGGGTCTTAATGCACCTGGCTTCAATGAGCGTCAGCGTGCAGACATTGTTGCGTCCTCTCAGGGGCTAGCATGTGGCTTCAGCATCAGCAAGCATGCTCCTTACTGGCCGTTTCACACCTTGTCTGCTCATCCTGTCAATTTGTCTGAACAGGACGTCGGAATGTGGCTTGAGATTTTGAGCATCGGCATGGGAGTCATGGAGGGACAAAAACGCAAACACATTGGCATCAAACCGTACCTCGAGGTCTGCCGTGACAGTGAAGGCCATGTCTTGTTCACAGCTACCGAGGCCGGTCTCAACTTGAAGCGCGCACATTTCTGCTTGTGGGAAAAACGATTCATGAATCATATGATGGAGCTTGGTTGGGAGGCCTACCTAGGTCAAATGGGTGTTGAGCCACCAACACCCATGCAGCATCCAGACGTGCATCACTTCAACAACAACTACGTCGTTGGAGCCGCTCATGTCAATCCTGTCAATCCTTTTGATGCCCCAGGAAGCAACAACACCCGTCCCGTTGGTCCACTTAACAACAACGGCCAAGCATCCGGTACCGCCGCCTATGCTGCCAATTCCCAAACCGAAAATGACCATTTCGACGATGAGAGTGACGTCGAGGAAGAAGACAGCGGTGACAATCTCAACGATCCCGAGAAAGCATTGCAGGCCATGCGCGAAGTCCTCAGACAGGTCAGCGAGGCTCCACCGCCCAATGGCAAGCAGCAAGCCACCTCCGGGAAAATCAGCAGCTATGACGCGAAGATTGAGGGATTGGGAGCCGGCCTGCAGAGCATCGAGTTTTCAAGTAACAACAATGGGCCTGGACCTACTATCGTCGGGCAGCTCCCCCAACAGCGCTCTGCTGTCTCTGTCCTTGGTCGTCCATTCAATCCAGAGTCTCCCGTGTTTGAGCCACCTCCAGGTTGGAACCCGCAACACCGCCATACTCCCAGCAGCTCTGGCTCTACAGTGGAGGCTGGAACCGCCTTTGGTGGCTCTGGTTTGGGAAACGGCGACTTCACTTCTCCGCAGAGAATCAGCACCGCTCGTCAAAATAACAAAGGGAAGGGAAAAGAGACTGCGGCTGCTACCAGTACTGCCCCGGCCACCGCTGCTGGCGTTCGTCTTCAGCCTGCAATCTTCGGTCCACCCTTGGGTATGATTTACGGTCGATCTGAAACTGCTCAGCCAAACCCATTCCCAGCGCCGAACCGTGAGCGTCGTGGCATTACCATTGTTTCCCCAGACGACGGGACTACCCTCACAACCCTGCGACCCACTCCCGCTCTTGAGACCAATACTGCTCCTTTCGGTGGTCTCGGTTCGTCTATACTGTCTCCAGGATGGGCGCGCAACGTAAATACCACTGATGGAGTCCACGACCTCATTGACAACCTTTTCGGCGAAACCACAAGCACCGCTGATCGAATGGCCATGGACACTCCTGTGATGACTCCGTTGAGCACCCCGCCCTCTGCGCCGGTCACTCCTCTGCGCCGCACCATCGGTCGCGTCCCTTCCGCTGGCATTGGCCCTATCGAAGACGACTATGACGACCCCGAGGTCATCAGAACGCCGGCTATGGGTCTTTTTTCTCCAGACCACGCCCGCAACTCCTCCGGGTCTTCCGATTCGACTCGTGTGCCCTCTGGCGCTCCCAGTGAGCGTGGCCCCGGCTCTGGCTGGGAAGGTTATGAGATGCTCAGTCAGGACTCTGACGCTCCGACTCGAGTCTATCGCCGTGTCGCCGTTCCTTGCCTTGGAATCAGCAACCTTGCTGGATCTCCATATCCCCAGCGCATGACCATGTTGGAAAGCACTGCTGAGCAGCGCAGTTACCGTCAGGGTATTCAACATCTTCAACGCGAACGCGCGCGAATCCACATCAACGAGACTATTAATGAGGAGACGGAACCTTGAAACTCTGGAAACTGACTGGATCTTGACACCGAGGTGAAATGGAGGTGAGAGCATAGTTGCAGGTTTCCTGAATATCAATGAACGGGAGACAATCATGAACATGGGAAGTTGAGGATCGAAGTGCAATGAGCAATGTGCTGCTGGGCATGCAATGACGGCGACGGATCGTGACGAAGATGATGACGATACACGACTTGCTATGAGAATTACTTGATGCGACGCAACGCGATGCAATGGGGCCTTGCACTGGCAATGACGGACCATGATGAATGAGTGCTCACATCGGGAAACGAACAACCGCCATGCCGTGCGAGCGCAATGTCCGTTCAGTCAGAACTGAAGGGTCGCACCGGAAAAGGAAAAAAAAACCCCCAACGAAACTCGACTGGCGAAAACCAAGTCAACAAGGAGAACAAAAAACGACGGAAAAGGCAGAAGAAAATCGACACGGCAGAGGGGTTGGGGTCCTACGGCGCTTGCGAAAGTGCGGATTGGGAGTTCCTCCAACTGCAAGTGGTAAAGAAAGAAAGAGAGAAAAAAAAACAAATGCGAGAGTACGAGATGCAAGAGCTCAATGAATTCAGCCACAACACACACGAAAAGACCAAAAAAAAAAATAACAGATTCTTTTCATTGAGAGATCTTTCCCATTACGCAGCTCGTTATTGCGGTGATTCGTCCTCGTAAGATACTGATGATGCTGACTGCTATGCAGAGTATGGGCAAGGGGTAATATCGAGGAAGCCCCTCTGTAGATTTCTCAGCCTTGCACCGCGGTTAGCGGGCTCGTGAGCAGCTGAGCTGGCTGGCTGAGTGTATTGTACTTGTAGGACCAAAGTAGGCGCGGTGGGTAAAGCCCTTAAGGTCAGGATGCAGGGGAGGGCGGAGGAAGCCGAGGCCCAACTGAGGTTGGTGCGAGATTTAAACGAGACCTGTTACATCGAAGACGGGCTGACTTTCCTGTCCTCAACCTCACCGTTTATCTAAATCTTCGCTGGAATAGTGTGGGTAGAGGAAACCGATGGAATGTTGATATACCGATCAATTGGTCATAGAGAGAGAGAGAGAGAGAGAGGTAGACGTATTCTAGTGATCGATAGATGTTTAGATACTGGGTAGATGTATGTACATAGACAGCGAGATGGCAGATACATAGCAGTCGAGCGAGGATGCAATAAACGTGGGAAATCGCGCAGGGATGCACGGTAAGTTACCCGAGGCACGTGACCTGGGATTCGACAGACCCCGAACTCGCCATGTACCTCGTACCCAGTACATACTGCGACGCTGCACTCCGCAGGATCAATAGAAAGAGAAATGAATATGAGAGAGGAAAAGTACATACATGTACGTACCGGGAAGACTGGTCAACAGGTCCTCAAGCACACGTGCGGCTCGCCAAGTCAAACGCCAGATCCCGCCGCTGCGGCTTCTGCAGGTTAATATTAATATTGGGACACTATGAGAGGGAGGCACCAGCTCGACAGGGGCTCATTTGACAAGATGTCATTACCAGATGTGTGTACATCGGCAGTACCGAATATACTTTATACCAACTACTCGGGAACCTCTCGTGGCATCACACTGGACTGCACTCGTTGCCTTGACCGACGGGGAGCAGCCTGCGAGGGAGATTTCCGAGTACCTACCTACCTTAGGTATTTTCCACTTTCCCTCTCTTCCTCTTCTCCCTGCTGTTTTTTTCCCTTCTTTTCTTCTTTCTTTCCCTCTTCCTTCTTTTTCTTTTTTGGCTCTATTTCCCCCCTCCCCTGTGAGCAGTTCGCCTTCCTTGGCACGCAGGATAACCGCAGGACCAAGGTCGGTGACCGAGGCGGGGAAGGGGGGAGGAACACCGGGTCCGAATTCTAGCTCGCTAAGTAGTTCGCCAGTTTGCCGGGTCTCGTCCCGCCCCACGCCTGCATATCCTTCCCATCCCTTCCCATCCCTTCGTCCCTCCCTCCCTTCCCGTGCGAACCGTGCTTCGGGACGGAGATGGGAAGATGCGACATGTCGTGCATGCTTGGGAACGGCGCGTCCGTGCTGCTTCGATCGCTTCGTCGCCATGCGGCCTCTCAGGCGGCCATCCAGCATCTGTGTTTCAGATAGCTGGGTGCCGGAGCGAGTCTCGGCTGCGGATTGGCTCCAGGTGATGGTGAAGAAAATAGGCCTGATCAGCGCTGCAGGAAACGCGATTGGGCCGTAGATATAAAATCGAGAACGTAGCTACCATGCGAGGGTGCAAGGATCCAGCGAATTGCTGGCCGACAAAAGACACACCTGACACACAAAGACTACTAAATCAAAGTCATAAGCATTCAGAAACTAGCAAACAAGCTCGAGAATCCTCCATTGATCCACCTGTCTTTCCCAAGGTGCCGACAGAGCCAAACAGGAACCCCGACGAGCTCGAAACGGTGTGCCTTTGAAGTATCAGCTGTTGCGGCCGCTTCGCGTGGGACCCAAGCTCGACGGATCTGTTCTCGCCTCCTTTCTTCACCCATTAACAACTCCAGTATCCCCATAACTCCCATCTCGCGCCTTCAGCCAGTAGATTTGATTTGCCGCCGACTCTTACCACTCTCGTGTGATCTTGTCGAAATCCGTTCAGAAACCCGTCGTGATCAAAGAGTTTGAGATGGACCGGCCACAAACAAAGTCGCTGTCCGAATACCCGAGAAGGCGGTAAAAAGGTACTATGAGTACATCAAATGCAAAACACGTTTGGTTCTCTTTTTCTGCGTGGAAAAACAAAAAGGATTCAGACAGCCTCCCAGGTACAGTAGTGCGTTTTAAAGCCAAACAAGCCAGGAACAAATTCAGATAGCCACCCAGTTGTGCATTTCGTTCAACATTCGCAAAAAGGTGAATCGGGCTCTGATAGCCTAGGACCATCGGGCGAAAACGTCGTAATAGCTTTGCGGTCTTCCGAGAGAGAGAGAGAGAGAACTTGATCAAACAGCCACCCCAATGGTTTATCCATCCCATTTTAGCCCTTTTCGCCCGATTCACTGGCGAAATTCCGGTAGAGACCGATAAGGATAGAAAATAAAGAGATTGGGTCGCCCCGAGTTGTGTATCTTTTTTGAAAAAAAAAAGGGGGGGGGGATTCATGAAATCCATCAATGATGTCGCCGAGAAGCGACAACGCCCCATAAGCCAAGTGCATGCATGCACGTCCAGTCGATAACAGAGATGATAAAGAGCGCTCGACGAGCCAACTCCTTTAGAGGAAACGGGGCTCTGCGTGGTTTTTGTCTGAAAAATGAAGCCCATGTAGGAGGGGTCGAAAGGTATACCACCAAGTTGGCACTATTTCTTGCCGTCGAGCTTGTTCAACATGTCGTTGTCGTTCTTGCCTCGTAAGTCCGGAGCCGATGCCCGAGTATGATCGATCATATCATGCACTTTCATGCCACTTCTACCGTTAGTAGAGGACCCTGCCGAACCAGGTTGATTGGGGGGTGGAGTTCTCCCGTCATCATAGCCAGGACCGTGATGGGGTGAATTGTAACTCTGCGCCGACTGCGGGGTCAGACCTGACGGAGACACGTTGCCCTTCTGAGACTGATTGCCGTTGGGATAGCGAGACTGCTGTGGAGGAAAGGATTGATAGCTCATAGTCGACGTAGCGGGCGAGGTGGGCGCACCGCTGTTAGGATCAGCGTAATCATAGCTGCCACTGCTGTTTTGGCGCGACTCATATGTACTATTGCGCGCACGCGAGTTGGGATGGGGAGACTGGGACGCATGAGAATTCTCGTTGTGGGGGTCATCATCAGGAGGGGGACGTTTGAGACTGACACGTTCATCATGCTGAGCAGCTTGAGCCTGCCCCTGTGCGTCATACGGTGGTCCAGCAGGAGGGTAGGAGTAGGGATAAGGTCCCGGAGGATAACTATGTGGTGGTGGTGGTGGCGGCGGCGGCGGATAGTTGTACTGAGGTTGACCATGAGGTCCTGCGGGTCCTAGAGGTTGACCATGGGCACCATAGAGCATTGGCGGCGGGTCGCCATCCCGGGGGTAATGTTGTCCATTTTGGCCGGCTCGACCATCAGACTGGCCAGCAATGGGAGCCCGAGCAGCATTTGGTCCATATACAGCGTTGGCTGGAACAAAAGCGGCTTGAGATGAGACGGGATGGAACAGGCACTGCTGGTTGAACCGGACGCAGTTTTGGCAGCGGCCATCGGGAGAACTGTCGTAGCCTGAGCACCGAATCTGATTGGCATTAGTGTACTTTTCTTGACCGCCTCCGGGCTTAAGGATGTCATCCGTACCTTTCTCTTTCGGCAATATTTACAGGCTATGGCCGTACGTTGTCGGGGTGCAGCAGCAGGCGCCGGTGGGGGGTAGGGAGAGGCATAGTACCCTGCGTGTGGATGCGCATACACTGGTGGAAGGCGGTACGCATCCGGTTGCATTGGTGGCGGGGGTTGTCCCAGATCAGGCCTCGGAGGATATGCATACGTTGGGTGCGCAGGATCCTTTTTTTTTTTTTAAATGTCAGCTGAATAGTTGACTCTACGGGAACGGCAACTTACTGGATAATGAGGATAAGCACTGTGCTGACCTGGCCACGCTTGGGGAGGAGGGTATGGATGAGCTGCCCTTGGATCCGGATACTGCTGCCTCACCGCATCTGGTGGAGGATATGGGCTGCGGTCATCTCTCGCGGCCGGACGCTGAGGAGAGTGTTGTGAATAGTAGCCACCTTGGATTGCCTCATCCGGAGGAGGGTACTGAGGACGTTGAGCATCCCGGGAATCCGCCATTTGCGCCGCCATGGGTTATCCAAAGATCGTGGGTGGGTGACACAGGTCCAGCGAAATGGTCGACGCGGGCCAGGAAGCAACCGAGGCTAACGGAAAAAGGGCAAGGTAAGGACCGTCGAGGCGTGAATTGAAAGCAAACAGAGACTTGCTCGCAGAGCGGACGAGGAACCTGAAGGGATAAAGGATCGACCTCAGAACCAGCTCGAGGTCGAACAGCGGGAGGGGGAGAGGGTTGTGAGGTGGCGGGCGCAGTCGCAAGCACTGCACTGCGAGGGGTCGAAGTAAGTAGAGGAATAGGTCCTGCAAGGATGTGCGAGGTGACCGGGCTGAGGTATTAATTTGGCCAGAAGGCAGAGGGCACAAAAAAACTTTGTAAGATGGTACGAAGTCGCGGCCTGGCAGAATGGAGAATGGATCAGGTGTTCGCAGGAAGGCGGGAGGGCGTTCGGACGGGAGGGCTGCGTCAGAGCCCGTCGAAGGGAAGGCGATCCAAGAGATGGTGAGAAGAGGTGAGAAAAGGTGAGAGACGATGTGAGAGTGGACAGGTCGGTGAAGACGTGACGAGCTGAGGATGACGATGATGGGCAAGGAAGATGCGGTTGATGAAGAATGATTGGAGACGTCGTGGATGTGATGGGGGGTGGAGGGCTCCAAGGGCTGCTTGGGACAAAGTGGCAAGCCGTCACTATAGGCTCTCGACCGCTGCAGGCACAACCGAAGGAGGGAGAGATTTTGGGAAGGGGGCTAGGGCTTCGGGCGGGAGAGTAGCCAAGGTAAATGTATGTAGGCCTGGTGGCCGCTGGCAGCGAGGCAAGCTGCCCGTCGACGTTCGATTTTCTGGAAAGCCCCTAAAGCAACACCGAGTCGCAAGGGCAGTGGGCAAAGAGCAGGGGGGCACTAAGGAAGTGACCCAAGAACGCGGTCCGGAGAAGCGGTATTGAGCCTACTAGCGCTGCAGGGCAGGGATCATCAGGTGCCAGGCGCCAGGTGGAGTTGCTTGGAATGGAGCCCGGCTAGTTAGGCTACTGCTTGGAGGGGGGGGTCGTGGTTAGGGTGGGTGGCTCCGTGGGTTGTTGCGGCGGGCCTTCTCACGATCCCTAGCTGGTAGCTGGTCTGCTGCCACTGGGAAGCCACCAGAACTGCTCCCCTCGTAATCGGAGCCTCCTGGCCCTCCTGCAGGTTCCCTTGATCTGTGTTCGGCAAGTGCCTTTTTGGCTCGCTCGGCCTCTTCGGTTGCCTGACGGAAATCCCTGGTTGGATGCGGCTGCTGACCCAGCCCAGGTGCGTAGAGGAATAGGTTCTGTACTTGTCGAGATGGTCGAAATGCTGCAAGGGGGGATGGGTGTGTTGTGGAGGGACTGAAATATACCTTGGGAGTATGCAGTCCAGGTGGGTGGCCCAGGCCGGAAGGAGTCAAAGACGGAATCTCCCCCTCTGGTGCCTCCTGTTGGTGTGACCTGTCAACTTCAAGTGACGGGCGTCCAGCGTATGGCGGGGTTACACCTTTCGGGATACCTGGTGCCTGCCCCTCCTCTCCTTGCTTTGCTTTGTTTGACACACGGCTATTAGCGCTCTAGGTGGAGAGTGCGCATGGAAGAATGGTCATGGGTGGTCAGTAATATCGTCTGGATCTTTTCTGTTTTTGCTTGTCACCGACTTGTCGAAACCAAATCGATCGGCCCTCGCTAGCAAGCTTGACAGCGACCTTACTAGGACTGATCCGAGATGATGTATCTGGTCTGCATGCGTCGTTGCAGCAAAAAGAGACTCCTTGGGTGCAGTTTGCACGTTACGGCCAATCGATCCGATTGTTCCACAAGATATCAAGCCCTTGTCGGTCTTTATTGGACAGAGCGTCACCCAGTTGAAACTGGAGTCGAATAAAACAACCTCGATGGTCTGCAGCGCTCGTCACCGGCCGCCAATGCAGGCTCCACTCTCGGAAGATGGCGAGCGTGATGGCAGAGGGAGGTAGATGCAGGTGCAGATGCAGGCGACGAAAAAAAGAAGAGGAATTGGATTCCCAGAGTAGCCTGAAAAAAAGGCTCTTCCGCAGGTCAAAGTTGTGGGAATTGGAAGCCAAGCGAGGACAAATGCCAGTCAGCTTGCTGGAGATGGGGAGGGCGTTTCCGTCAACCCCGTCAACATATGCCAGATGCGTCAGGCTAAAGATGACCTCCGCCGTGACCAAAGTGTAAGTGATGGTGACGCCGCTAGGTTCGTGCCTCGCTGGGATCCTGAGAATGGGCCCTTTTCGTTGGTGAGCAATGTAAGTTCTTTGTTCAGCTCCCAGACGTTTGGTGGGATGGAGGGGGGATTCAGGGCAGGGATAGGTTTGCCGCAACCAGCCGCGATGAATAATTGGCCACTTTGATCACTCGACGCACTCGCTAGTCTCAGACTCGTGGGTGAGGGGACATCCGAAAGCTGCAGTACAATGATCGAATTTGGAGCCTCGATTGGTTCGCATGAGTTCTTTTGATGACTTGCTGCGGGTGGCGACCAAACCGTAAAATCTGGTGTGGTCCTGGTGTTGTGGAGGAGGCAGTGATCCGAGTCGTCGCCGCCGTGGGAAAAGGTTCAACTCGTGATGCGAAATTATTTTTGTGGAGAGGATGGTTTTCTGGGAGGGCAAAAACGTGCGCAAAAATCCGTCGATTACCGTTGGACGCCGTGTGAGCATGCAAAGCAAGCCGTAGACAAAGGCCACCCCAGACGCAAAGGGAATGGAATAGCAACAGGTGTGGGTGAGCAGGTGTGTTGCTGCGTAAGATGGTCCTTGACTGGATCAGCAGCGGGGAGACGGTAAGGATGTGAATACGAGGGCTGCTGGTTGTTGTGGAGGCGATGTCCTCCGTGATGTCGTGTGGTCAGAAGGAGATGTGGCCCAGGAGACACACTCCATACAACGAAAGAGAGCCCGGAAAAGACCTCGTTGGAACAGAAAAGTTGAAGATCGATGTTCTAACTTTCGACGACCCAAGGTCTATTGAACCCTCTTATCTATCAATCGGGCCGTTGCCTCTCGCCGTGACGCTGATGTTGGAACAAGACGAGCTTGCCCGCTTGCGAATCGCTGCAGCAGCTCCCGTCGAGCCCGTCTCCCTTTGCAATCAGAGTTGAACCCGGTGTAGCTCAATCCTTGCTTGACCAGCATACCAGCAGACGCTGACTCGTGGCTTGACCTTTTGGACAAGACCATACCTCCAGGCGTTGGGCGGCAGGCCATACACGGCCAGGCAGACAACACCCTTCCATCCTTGGGTTTTCGTAATTCGAGGAGCGGCCCCTCCAGAGAGCATGCAGCATCATGCAATGCAGACGGGAGGCAAGGGAGACTAGAGAACGCCTATTCTAGGCGCCGTCGATGCAGGCGCAGATGCAGAGCCATCCCCATGCACGATGCACATCTCCTTTGCCTCGGAGCAGCCAGCCGACCTGCTGAGAAGAAGCGCTGGTGATGTCCCCGACATGTCGCTTTGATGTATCGGCTAGTATCTTACAGGGTGGTTACGTACCTCTGCGTAACACCCAATACTCACCCATTCTGCGTAGAAATAGAATATTCAACAGATACATATATATATATATAGATACTCGGGATACACTTACCTATCCGAGTATGCGCTCCAATATCCAAGATCTGGCACGTCCAAATGAGGACCTTACTTACCAGAGGCGCGAGGAATCTCTCGAACTTCGGGGCTTGGTTGAGGTTCAGGGAGCTCTGGGAAAAGAATCCAACTGGGGTGACAAACCGTCGTTTAGTCTCCGTGGTGTGTAAGGCACCGATGATCCCGTCTGTTGTGCAACATCCAAGTAAAAGGCAATATATGACAGGCCCTTAGCTAGAGTATGCAGGTTCAAGGATTTGCATCACCCCCCAAGCCCTGGTCGACTTTTGCCCGGTTGGCTGCTTTCATCTGCCACGCCCCGTCAAAGTGTTTGCTCCAAAGGATTCTCGGGTGACACCAAGATTATGACGGGTATTCTTGAATCATCAAAGTGTTGTCGAGTCCGACCCTTCGCTGTGCGCCAGACTGATAGGCACTCCTGGCTTGCCAATACGGCTAAATTAAGGGATCATAACTACCAAACGTTGGAGAGGGCAGCTCGATGCCATTCCCGAGAAAGCGGTGTGATTGTCGGAATAGTCCACCGCTCGAGTCGATCAGCCAAATTCAAAAATATCTGGATGGAGGATCTGTGGGCAGCAACTAAAAGACGCAGCTATCTGTCATCTGACCTCGTCCAGGCTGTGTATTGCTGCATCATGCAAGACTAGGGACTGGTTGGGTATTTGTTAACTTGTTGGTCTAGTCATGTTGCTGCAACATGCTCTCTTGCCGTAACGGTCCGGACCCTCGCATTCGGGCCTCGATGGCGCTTTCGACGGGCTCCCGCCATTGCAATAAAGTATCGAGCGTAAATCTAGTGGCGATTTTTTGGTCGGGAGGACGAATGAGAAGTCCAGCATACTGCGACCCATTATCTCAGGTACACTCATCATTCGATGTTCTTGACCAAGGCTACACCGGTCAAGCTGCAGGGCGTAAGCCTGCGGATCCGTGTCATGCTGCTGACCTCGCTTGGGACCTAGCGAGGCCCTGAAAAGAAAAAAATCCTCCAAGCTCAAATCTTTTCCATGCGTCCATAACTGTGTTCGAAATAGTGAGACAGACTATGTACTTGTAGTGACGTAGCACCCAGAGGGAAGACCATTGACGGACTAGTCTTCCCCAGGTCATGAAGCAGGCCCGCGGAGAGAGATCCAGATAAAGGACCTTAGCGCCTAAGATTGGTGGCCGGTGAGCGCGGAAGGAAAGTGTTGGAGCGATACGTAGGATGCACAATATTTAGCAAATCGAAATTCGACAGGGGCGCCGAAGGCCTAATACCAAAGGCGAGGGCCACCAGGCTCGGCTCTGCCCTAGGTCCCGTCCCTGCTCAAAGGCTCCCAAATTCCCTCCTCTTTTACAGATCATGCAATGTTCGGATCGACGCCGCAGGATTTTCTTATCTCTCTGAGAATGGGTGTTCGCCATCTGCTGCTGAGAGGATGACAAAGGTGTCAGTGTAGATTATCCGTCTAGCTTGTCACAGCACAAGTCCCTTGTCTTGAGAATCGATGTTAATTTGAGACATGATGAAATCCTCCAGCGATCGATTCAGCAGGTTCCACAATCTTGAAATTCCAATAGCAAAGCAGGGATAGCTTGTGGGGGAGATTTGATCTGCTTGTGGTTTTTATAAATGATGCAGAATGTAGGAGCACCGTCGGGGAATCCTCGAAATACAGCTCCAGATGACCTTGGAGTTTTAGAAGGGCTCTCATTGTCCAGTGCTGTACTTGGTAGCAGGAGACATCGTCTTCGAGTGGGCGACCTGGTGACACGAAAAGCCACCGTCCCCACCGTGTTGGGCAGTGGCGAGATGATGTTGAGAGGCCAGAATCAACCTGCCAAAGGTGCGGCCACAAGGGGACATAATAAAGTACTCCGCACCAGGTTAGTTTTGCGGTGCTGGGGTGTGGTGGTCGATCAACGGGGGTTGGTCCCGAAGGGCAGCTTGCTTGCACCTCTGGACTTGAGTATTCGTTTCCCAAAACTGATAAATGGCCCTGTAACAGCTTCGGCCGCTGCCTCGGTGGTGCAACCGACATGCTGGAAGCGAATGGAGAGTGCAGGAGCCACGCATTCGTGCAAGGATAATAGAGCGAGGAGCGCCCCAACCGAGCAATCGGAATGCATGTGCGACGGGCCGCCATCGACCCTTCCATCGCTTCAGCGTCGTAGGGAGGTAGGCAAAAGCAAATTTCGAGCGACTTCATGCGTGTGCCCGCCTGACCCGTTGACGGCTTCAAGAGGGCCCCCGGACGGTCAATCCGTGATCGTCCCACGTAAAGAGTCGACCACCCCGGCCTGGCGCGGTTAATTTCCTTTTGTTCCCTCTCTTGACCTTGCCAGGGGGTGAGTCATTGATATTTCGCTCCTTTCGCGCATGGCGTCTCTCGGAGAGATGTGGCAAGTGGGTGACCATCCTTCCTGCAAGAATACGTAAGCCTCGGACAACAATGACGGCGGTGGGATAAGAGGGACGACAGGTGAGGTAGACGGGAGTGTTGCCAGCTCATTCAAAGAGAGCTAACATCGATCTAGGTGACGGGATGATTGGAGATACATACCCGTACGCAGGCTCAGGTCGGGTCGAGGTGTTTGAAGTTTTGTTGGGCGGCGGTATCGCTGGTACGCTTCGTGTCGGTTTTGTGTGCGTTTGGTATGCGTTGAACAGGTACCGTGTCTTGTCTGACAGATGGACATTTGCAGACGCCCAAAGCATTCACATGACTTTGGTTTGACGCAGCGGCTCGGCTCTTGACACGGCGGAAAAGAGACGGAGACTGGTGCTACTCCTGGTCAGTGCCTGGTCAGTGCCCGGTCCACAAGTCCAACAGCCCACCGCCATTTCTCCTCCAGACGGTCAGAAAATTACCCAGTACTCCCACTCACCCACTGCTCACTGCTCCATCTCTGTCCAGGGAGCCAGCAGCAATTTCTCTTTTGGTGCTTGGTCTGGTCTGCTGGCCATCGCCCTTGCGCCCATTGCCCCCCTCCCCAGTCACGGGTCCCTGCCCCGTCCGGCCACGACCGGCCGCGCCCAAAGGCAAAAAGTGGGCTTGCGGACTTTTCAGCTGAAGACCTGAGACAAGAACAATGCCACCCATGACCCGAAATGGAAACCAGCGAACTACTCGTACACCAAGTCCAAGGTCCCCAGTCTGTCACTTGCGGTCCCTTGCCACGTCACAGTGACCGCCACCACCACGTTTGCTTGCTCCAGCCTACGGGGCAGGCTATGCTGTCCTTCGCGGCCCTTGTGCTGGCCACCCATGTCACCATTGACCCAAAGCGACAGCGACCCAGATGCGACTCCGGGCTACAACCGTATTTGAGCTGGGTATGAAGGACGCTGCTGCCCAATGATATTGGCTCTCGCTCTCGACAGCTGCTGGGCAGCTACAGAATGTTCATTCTCTCCCATCTCCTCTTGTGCCACTCGTATTTTCAAGAGTGACCTGAACTGAATGTCACCGAGGAATCATGAATGGAACAAAGGTAAGTGGTTTGGTGTAACCAGGGCGTCCAACTGCTTCAAAGTTCTGTACATGCACCAGGCACTCTGTGATTCAAGCAAACGCCGCAGTCCCAAGCTCTAGCCTCCATCAAGCCCTGCTCGAAACCCGTGGCAAGTCTCGCCTCATCACCTCTCTATCCTGACTGTCTCCTCAGTCACTTGCCTCATCATTGCTCGATTCGTCCTCATCTGGCATTACGACACTATTGAGGTATGTGACCTATTGTGCCGAAAGTCAGCGAATGTCCTTTCCGCGTGTTCTGGTCAAAGAGACTGAGAGTTTGTGCCCGACGGATCATGGTGGGGAGCAACTCAAATCTACCGCCTGGCTCACATCGGCCCGGGCTCCTCGCTCCTCGCCCATGCCTGTTGATGTTTTGAGCTGGAGGTGGTTGGCATATGATTGGACACCCAAACAGTTGCAAAGTCTACCGCAGAAGCACTGTCCAGTCCCCGTGCCGGTCATATCAGAATCTCCTCACGGTAGCAACCCTGCAGGCAACCCAGGTTCCCTACGCGCACGAATGGGAGGCAAAGAGGTGGACTCACGAAAGGGACCATTACTCGAATCAACTCGAGGATGGTCTGCAGTCCCTGCTCCCCTATCACCTTTTCGTCTGGGATCCTTTTCCCTAAGGTGAAATTGCGCAATCGAAGGAGCTCGACATTAGGATTGTCTGCTTCGTAGCCCTGTCAAAGAGAAAGCCGTCAGCCGAGTCTAGTCATGCAATCTTCGGCACAGACACTCGGTCTCAAGATGCGGTCCGGCCTGGAGCGTCTCTTCTGGGCAAATGGGGAATGCTGGTGATGAGAACTGCGCGAGCTGCCGCCAACGAGGGACCACCCAAACAATATGGCCTGCAAGGAGGGGCATTTGGTGGCCTTCCGCTCCAGAAGCCCGGCGGCTGCTGCCATTCTTAGTCTTTTCGCGCTCAAACTGCGCCTGCGATACATGTGCATCGGTTCAGATTATGCACACATGCATCACTGGCTCCTGGTGCGCGAAAGGCCTGGAGGCTTCATCCTCAGCTACTGCTGCGAGCATGTTTAGTCCCAGCTCCTTGCGTTGACTGTGATCGAGACCCGAGTCGCGGCATCAGGGGCCTTCAGGTCTGCCGCAGACACGTCAAAGCAGACTATTCTTTTTGATGGGTGGAACATTTGCACAGCCCGGTACCTCTTATCTAATTTGTCGTTCAAGCACGTCTGGCCTTTCGCCTTCACGGGTTTTACCAGAGTAGTGTTTAACGTGGCTAACTGTAACAGCTGAGGAACAGACCTTCGCGAGTCGTTGTCGCACCCCTTTTTCGCGTCCACAGGCGCAGTTTATACAAAAGAAGATGAAACACATACCTTCGGCTTCGTTTTCAACGCATTTTCCTTGTTCTGGTCGGCAAAGGCCTTGATCGCCTTCTTTTCGTCGCTTGCCGTGACACCCAAAACCTCTTTTCGCAACTGGGCCTCTGTGAGGACTCTTCTCAGTTTCTTCGGTTTGCGGTCGATATTCGCTCTCAGGAGAGCCAATGGTTGGGATTCAGGCATCCACAACCCAGAGCCTGTCGCGTCGAGGGCTTAGCGGTCGATTTGACGAATGATGGCTGTCATACCAACGAAACTTCTGCCTCCAGGCTGAATTTGCACATAATAACATGCATAAGGTCCTTTGCGACCGGTTCGAGACCTGTTGGCGATCAACACATGATATAGAGATAGACAACCGAGAGCCTGTACCATGCTGCAGAGAAGTGAGGCTTTGAAAAAGAGTTAGCGACAGGAAATTCAACCTAGAAAAGAGGCATGGAGAGTAACAGACTTTGTACGGAGTCGGATCAGAAGAGAATCGGATGTCTCGATAGATTCTGAAGACCTAACGTCAGGTAGATTAGTGTGAGGGATAGTTGCACGGCTACTTTCGGCACAAACCAGGTCCTTCGGTGGTAACTCAGGGATTGTTTCGTCGATCTCAATAATCCCCTCGGTCAAGGTTTCTACAAAACTTTCCCAGTCTTTCCACGAGGCCCTATAATCGACTTCGTGAACTGTAGAAGCCATTGTCAGTATTAGCGATCTTGAATTCGTCTCAAGGGAACAAGTATAGCGCCGGAAATATGCAAGAATCAGGGGGCAACGAGAGCACTTACTCTTCAGCCATTCTCTGTCGTTATTCTCCTTCAAGTCTTTCAGAAAGGCCATTGTATTTGGGTGAATCTTCCCGTCAACATACTTGATGCCTCCATCATCCCTGGGTTTCGGTTTTTCGATAAAGACCTGCTTGCCGGGTCCCAAGCCCGTCTTCACTCCAGGTCTCCAGAGTTCTTTGCCTTTGTCTAACACAGCATTGGCCGCCGACTGGATACCGGTCGTAATTCCACTGCTTTTCTTACTTGCCTTCTTCTGCCTTCTCTTTCTTTTGTTGTCCTCGTCAGAGTCGTAGTCGTCTTCTGTACCAGACTCCTCGGTCAAGGGCTGCTCCGTTTCTGATGTGTCTTGGTCTTCGTAGCCCGACTCCTCGTCCTCGTCCCCGTCCTCCACAAGGTCGGCATCCTCATCTTCACTGTCCGGGTTCTGGAAGTACTTGCTCTTCGTGGGAGTTGCCTTGCCGTGACTGCGTTCTTTCTCAGCAGACTCCTTCAATCTTTTTGAAGCTCTGCTCCCAGGAGACACCGAGGGAGCGACTTGTGACAATTGGCGTTTGTGAGTTTTTTTGGAGGCGGCAGTTGCCCTTTTCGACGCCCCTGATCTTCGAGCTGGCATGGTTGAATTTAATTTGCGGAGACCAAAAGATTCATCAAAGGAGAAGAGGATGAGATAGTACAGTTATCCAAGACGAGATCTTTTACCAACCGCCGAAGAGTCTGTCCTGCTGAGGGGGGTTCAGCAAAACCATGGCACCAACGCCAGCACCGCTTAAACTGGCCCTGAACGCGTTGGCGTCGAGAACCGTGTCGATGAATGACGTCATCGAGTGTGATTCCTTCAAGTGATGCTTCAACTCGTATCCTTTTCTCTCGCTGTTACAACTTACAACTGTGACCGTTCATCATCGTACTTTGGGGCTGGAGATCGGCAATGCTTCGGCCATTGTATACTCAGTCAACGCCATTTGTCCTCTATTTGACCTTGAGACTCAAATCCGTATAGCTCTAAGCAACCAGCATCCCGCACTACGGAAGAATTGCTTCAACCCCTTCTCGCATTTGACGCATATACCAATTTATACTACATAGCTGTTCAGGGCATCTCCTTTGTTTAACGATCTGACTTTCCCTGCCTCGTATGTTAGCTACTTTCTGGTGGCCATCTTTCAAAGGCAACCTAAGCACTACTGGCCGCTTCGGCAACCGTTTGATATTGATATTGATCAAATCTTCAGCCAAGGGTCGACTCATCCGGACAGATCCGCTTGTTGCAATTGAAAGCGAGGTCAACTCTATAAACCCCCAGCGGTTGAACGACCGTGTTCCGTGTACATAATTGGTTGAGAACGGAATCATCAACTGCCGGTCCTGTTTGAGATCTGAACCAATTGTTTTGTATGTGGATTTCCATGGTCTTCAAAATCAGGCCATTGACTATGGGATCCCTAGTGCAGTCAGTGTCAACCTACAAAACTGATCACACAGGACTCGAGCACGTATCGGCAAGGATTCTAGATTCCTCGGCGACTTTTCCGTTCCGATCCAGCGACTACATTCTCAGCTTACAGTTCGACCGCCCTCCTTGACTTGGCCAACTCATTCAGACTGCGGCTCTGTCTTTCCCGTGAAGTTTTAGATTGCAGATTCCCTTAGAGCAAGACGTTCACACCTTCAGAACACTTAATTACGAGGTAAATCTCCAGGGGACAGGCTGCCCGCTCTGAGCAAATATGTCTCCGTGACCGAAGAAACTCTCCGACCAATCTCAGTTTCAGCCTTGTGCACTTTGTCGCGGCTTCGGAAACATTTTGCACAACACCTTGGACATATAAATTTATGGTGGGCGTGGGCGGTGCTGTCTGAAGTCAAGTGTTCTACGACTCTACAATCCTGATATTTCAGATCTTTTCAAGTCGATCTCATCGTTACAATGGCCGAAGACTCCCACCATCATCAACATCATCATGGCCATCATCACAACCATGGCGATGGTGATGGCGCGCATCATACCGATAATGTGGCGTTCACGGAGGCAAATCGCACACACTGGAAGTATGTCGATAGCATTGTTGCACTATTCTACATCGCCGGTGCCGTTTCATCGCCAGATGATCTCATATACCTACCAGGACATGTTCCATTATAGACCCCAGGCTAACTTGCTCGATCAACAGTGACTTCGCCTCACGATACACATCGGAGCCGTGGCAACGAGATCTTCTCAATAAGGTCACCACATTTATCCATCAGCATATAAACTGGATTAGCGTGGACTTCATCGACCCTGCAACAACCTTTGAGATCTCTTCACCTACATCGAAGACTAAACGACAGGTCCGCGTCCTGGACTATGCATGTGGTCCAGGAACCATCACCCACGCACTCGCCGCGCGCGCAACAGATTACATCGGCATCGATCTGAGCGAGAACATGGTCCAGGCTTATAATGTGCGGTTCAATCCCAACCCAACCAACGCGGTCAACACCTCATCGGCGGACGGAGCGGCCGCACAGGACGATAAACTCGACGAGACGCTCAATGCCCACGCCGTGGTCGGCAACCTTCTAGACCCAAAGGACCCTTCTCCGGCACACCTCTCTTCTCCAGAATTTTTCAACTTCGACCTCGTGGTTGTGGGCCTGGGATACCATCATTTCCAAGACATTCCGCTGGCTACGAAACGGCTCGTTGAGCGGTTGCGGCCAGGTGGGATCTTCCTCATTTTGGATTTCGTCACGCACGCCATGGAGAAAAGTTCGGATCCCGCGCAGCGGCAGCTTCCTACGCACACAGTGGCACATGCTGGGTTCAGCGAGGAGGAATTGCGGAGCTATTTTGAGAGCGCTGGATTGACGGATTTTGCGATTGTGAAGATGGATGGTGAGGTGTTGCTGAGGGGCGAAGCGAAGAGGAGGCCGTTCCTTGCCAGGGGTCAAAAGCTTTAGAGCTGCCACAGGCGATCTCATGAGCCCGGAAGAAATCTAGTCGAATGCTTTCAAATCACTGTATCTCGAGCGTTGAAAGACCCTGATCCAGCTCGTCTGGGTCATTTCCTTGCCTCGCGGTGTTGTCCCTTTCAGTATTTCCCTTGTTCATCATCATCCTTTGCCTCTGGTGCCCCTCCTCTCTTTTCCGTCTTCGTCGCTCCTCTTTGTCTTCCCAGCCAGGACGCCGCGTCTCGGGACCCGGACCCAGACCATCCCTCTCCATCGCGCTGTTCAGCTCGCGTCGAAACCGCTCGCGCCGCTCGACATTCCATTGAAACCGCTCGTTAATCACTCCGGCGCACAGGCTGAGGTACTCTTCGCTGACGACCCTTTGAATCACGTCCCCGTCGGTTTCGCCTTCCTCAGTCACCATGCCCTCCCCCCCATCACCAGCGTGGCAGCCCGGTGGTGGGAACACTACGCCCACGACGGTCTCAAACACCAACCCGGCGGTCCTCACGGCGACCATCACGCCATGCTCATGGCGCTGCTCGGAGCCTTCTTCCAGCACGCCGCGCAGACTCTGCACCCCGCTCTCGCGGAACCCGGCGTTGACTGCCGCTGTGAGCAGAGGGCGGGCATGGCGCAGCGTGGCGCAGAGGATATGTAGGATGAGCGGGGAGAAGGACAGGTGGACCAGACGGAGCGGTTGTCGCGCGGAGGAGGATGTGAATGAGTGCGAGAGCGAGGGTGAGGATGCAGACGACGCCGGGTTGGCCAGTTGGAAGAGTCTGGAAAAGTAAGACGAGGAATCCTGATCATCGGAGCCGTGTGCTGTCGAGAAGCCTGTCGTTGCTCCGTTCGTGCTGGTAGTATTGACTCCGTCTGGAGGGATGGGAGCGGGAAGAGGATCATGCGAGACGTAAAGCCAGCGTCCTCCCCCTTTCCCACCAGGCGATGTGGACGTCGGCGTCGACATCGTCTTAGTCTGCTTCCCCTTGACCTTCGCCTCCGCGCTTGACACCCGCTTCATACCCCCTCCCTCACGCTCACTATCCCGCATCTCCCATTTCTCCCCGACATACTCATCTGCTGCCGCCTCACCTGCTGCCGCCTCGGGTGCATCTCCGCGCTTGTTCGCGCCGCCACGACCACTTCTCCTTCCTCCTGGTCCCTCGACAAATACGGCAACTCTGCCCGCACAGCTGCTCTTTGTCACGAGCCCGTCATACCGATTGATCTCGTCGATCAAGTCGCGGATCTGCGCGTCCACCGTCCCCTTGGGCGAATTGTCCGTGTACGTGCCCTCGGGTTGGTCGAGGTGCGAGAGGATCTGGGACTTTTTGGTCACGAAGGACGCCGGGACCGAGGAGGGGTTCGCCGCGGCCCCGTACGACATTTCAACAGGAGATCGATTGTTTCAGTCAAGTGAGAATGGGCTGGCGGCGCGAATGTCGGACGGGGGGCCATACGCAACAAGATTTGCGTAGTAGATGTAGAAGTGGAAGAAGAAAGTCGTTGGCTGGGCGTGTGGAGGAGGTGTAAAGAAGAATTGCTTTTGTGGAAGATTATACATACTTCACATTCAGTTCCATAGTAAGCACCATCACATTCCACCGACCGCTTTTCTATCTTGTACAGGGATATCACATAGATCTATTTCTATTTCTTTCGTTTAATTATCCAATCGACATATCGAAGTTGAATCCATCGTCGCCAATCGCCAGTCGCTATAGTCGTCATACGTGAGCTAGCGCATAAAACTTCAAAAGACATGATGATCTACAAAAGTCAGCCACAACCCCCCCTCCCCCCCAAAGCACGACCGTCTATGCCACCGGCGCTGCAAGGGCGGTCTTTACTTGGTCTTTGTTCGCGACCGTGGCTGGCTGGGTGAAAGTGTTTGGCCACAAGAAGGCCTTCTCTTCCTTGTGCGGGCTGAGGGCAGTAAACACAGGCACGGCAGCCCGGCTGCTGACCCTCCTCCACATGTTGGCGCGAGGGTTGAAGTTGGATGGCAGACCTCGGCCGTGTGTCTTCTCTTCATCGACCTTAGCAATCTTGATGAGTTCCTTTTGGATGTCGGCGAACGTATCGAAGGGGATGTATGAGAGGCCATGTTCAATGCAGTACTCCTCCAGCTTCAGCCCTCGGCGAGCAAAAAGGACATCGGCTTCACGTGCTGCTGAAAGGTCTGAGACGCCATCACCAACGAAGATGATCATCGGTATTGTGCCATTGTCGCTCTCCAATCGCGCTGCTGCCTTGTACTCGTTTATTGACCGGGCTTTGTCGTGACCGAGCTCAGTGTCGTGTCTCCAAACTGCTTCCCATTTGCTGCCATCATCGGCAATTTTGGCATCGTTGGCCACAATTTCAATATGTTTGCTCATTTCCTCTCCAATGAAGTGATCGAGGACTCTCCGCAATACAGGCTTGAGCCCAGCCGAGATGACATTAAAAGGAATATTGTTGTTGACACAGAACTCGTGGAAGGTCTGGAAGTCAGGGTCGATGTCCAGGGCTGTTTTCATGACCTCGAAGCCGTCTTCGAATGGTACATCTAGTGAGGCGTAGAGCTCGTCTGAGACTTCACGAAATGACCGTTCTCCGGACTCTAGTTGCTTCGCCAGAATTTTCCTCCTTTCTGGGCCACAACCAAAGTTGTCAAAGAGGGTGTGACCGGTATCTTGCATGAAAATGGTGCCGTCAAAGTCTGGAGTCAGTTGTCAGATGAGGTCCAGCATTGCAATGCGCGTATGCGTACCTGAGAAGCAGATGATCTTTCTCTTCGTACCCATGTTGGCTGTATTGGCGCGCAGCATACCTGGCCGAGCCCGCTTAGGCTCGACGGGTGGAGGAGTGATAGCAATGGGTGCCATGGTATAAGGAGTCTATGGTCAGATAAGCTTTCTGAGTAATGTATCTGATGAAGAGGATGAGGGTTAAATGGCTCAAGATCTTCCTTATATCTGTCTAGCGAAGCATTGTTCAGTGGACTCCAAATCTGATGGTATACGTAGGAGGCGCCAGTGGTTGCATGAGACTTGGGCGTAGATTCCTGCAGAAGCACCAACTCTGGTTCTAAAAGCCTGCACATGGATGTCATTCCGTGGCAGTATCGATGTTAATTGCACGGTGACCATCAAAACCTTGATACCCTCAGCAGTTTCGAGGCGATATGCGATGGTTGGCTGTACAGGCGCGACAGATGCGTGTTGACGCCATAACCAGACGCACAAATCTATGGATGTGGCCACAAGGGATGCTGTGGGAACTGGAAAGGATCCAGGAAGCTTGGGAGAATAGTGCGTGGCAAAGCTTTTCAACATATCATAGCGCAGTGTGTCGAGCTGCTAGCGTGGGTTCCATAGCGGCAGGCTGCAGAAAACGCACATGCTTAGTTCGCAGCAGAGGCTCGCTGCGTACCATGGGGACTTCCCTGAAGGTATGGCATTTTGATATGTACGATGACGATATGTCATTGTTCGATTGGCCCGAGAAACCGAACGTGGGAGCGGGCCAGCAGTGGCTGGTGGGATGGTGACGAGGGAGAAGCGGTCAGCAATGGTGAACCCAAGATGCAAGGCCCACAGTTGAATAAGGCTATGACATCGTTCAAGACAACCAGACCAGAAACAGGGAAAGCAACAAGTATGGGTATTCGCGAGTCCGTTGTGTGTGAGAGGGGGAAGAGGAGGAGATGAAGAGCAAGCGACAGCGAGAGAGACAGTTGACAGGCAAACAGACAGAGGGTGTCCAACGAGTAGACGGCAGGCAATCGGATCGGAAAAACAAGTTTCCCCGAAGATCGACGACAGCCACAGCGACCGCTGCCGATGGGAATCTGAAATCTGGAACCTGGAATCTTGAACTCTGGACCTTCATCTCGTGTCCTTCGATCGGCCACCGATTTGCAGTGCTGGGGCGATCATCGCGGCTTTCCCATAAAGCTGCTGCTGCTGCTGCTGCTGCGATGTCTCTTCTTGCCCATCCAGAAGACTTGCTCCAGGACAATTGCAGCTAATGCGAGACAGTAAGAGAAAGCAGAACATGACGCGAAATACACTCGTGGCCGCGAGACGTTCGCATCTGTTGCCATGTCGTGTCCTCAACAGCCATATCTTCTGTGCGTACGCCGCGGTCGCAGTGGTGCATTGACAGAATGGTGAATATTGCAGGCTCTTTCTGTGGTGTTTGTCATCCACAGCTCACGGACACAGGCAGCAAGTGCGCTACGCCCAACTGCCTTGTCCCAGTGACACGAATTGGGGCGGGGTCTGTGGTCTTCCCTCGCCTCTTCTACCGTCAGCAATGCCACTAGTTCAGATACAGCTTCTTCTTTTCAGATTGTATTCCTAATCCTGACCAACCATGATTGAACGAAGACTCCTTATGCTCGAGTCCTACTACACCAAGGACACCAATAGGCAATCATGGCGCATCACGAATCCTCCCGGCCTGCCCTTCTACGACAGCATCAATGATTATGAATTTGTCCGGCCAGCCCATTGCAGGCCTGGAGTGATCGACGAGGTTTCCAAGGTCATATCTCTCATGTCAACATCTGACGAATGGTAATCGTCTGCGTGAAGCTTGGGCAAGGAATGTCTTGACGTTCCTCAGGAAGTTTATCGGCGTCATCAGCAAAGGTCCAGCGGGCGAGATCATCAAAATGGATGGTGAGAACTTCAGAAGAGCGGTGATTGAGAGGATTGCGTGTTCTGCACATGCCTGCAGCAACTGTGGAATGCCGTGCCATCGCAAGTAGGCAGACAACATCCCCCTTCGAGTGCCTTCATTGACAAGAGGTCGTTCTAGTGAGGTATATCTCCCTGTTCGCAGACGCTCGACCAGCTCGACGGCTCCTTCCGCGCCTGCTGGCCGGAACAGTCAACCACCAGCATACAGAGTTTAAGCCTAGATGCGAACACTCCATACCCAGAGCGGCTGCATCGACCCCGTTTGCGGTTTTGTTGAGGTCCGCATTCAGGAGATACATCAGACGCTGGATGAGCACGAATACTGGTGGTGATGAAATCATGTTACATTGCAATGTTCGGTTATCTGAGAGAAGCACATGAAGTCGATGAAGAGGCTGGATTCATAGGGGGAAAGGACAAAAGTTGTTGAGATTGGTGTTCGAGCGGGCTACATATTGCTGAATTGTTCATGTACGTGTCATTCGTCCGAGGTCTGATCACAAGGATGGTTTGCTCAAGGGCTGAAACTCGCTGCAAGAGCACATGGAGGATCAGCATTATCCCCATACACAAATTTGCAGAATTTCCCGTTCCAATGCTACCCCGTAGGCCTATGTTCTTGGAAGTCCCCGCAACGGCTGAAGCTCCTCGGCAACGCGGTTAGAGACGGCATCAGTACCATTACCAAACGGCGGAGCAAGGGAATGTTAAGTCTGACCTCTCCCACTCTACCTCTCTCGACCAGCATCATCTGTTCACAATCTCAGTCTGTTTCCGTGGAGGCTGCGCGTTCTGAATCTTCTCACTCATCTGTCCACCGCCATGTCGTCCTTCCTCATCCCGAGATCTGTTCACTCAGGGGCTCGCATTGCTCAACGCACTCCCATACGAGTTTCTTCCAAAACTGTAATACGAGCGGCGTCGACCACATCGAAACACCCGGCCAACTTCACGCCTCCCACCACCGAAGAGCTCTACGAACTGCGCGAACGCGTCCAAGAATTTACCCGTCGCGAGATCCCTGAAGAACTGGCCGCGCGGACAGACCGAGAAAATGACTTCCCCCACTTTATGTGGAAGAAACTTGGCGAGGCTGGCTTCCTGGGGCCGACGGCTGACGAGGAGTACGGGGGGCTGGGCATGGGATACCAAGCACACAGTGTGATCATGGAGGAGATCTCGCGGGCGTCGGGGTCCATTGGACTGAGCTACGCGGCTCACTCGCAGCTGTGCGTGAACCAGCTCTCCTTGAACGGGACGAAGGAGCAAAAGCAAAAAGTCTTACCCGGTCTGATCAGCGGGGACAAGGTGGGCGCGCTGGCCATGTCGGAGCACTCGGCGGGCAGCGACGTCGTGGGCATGAAGACCACGGCGAAGGCAGCGGACGGGGGCTACCGCCTGAACGGGACCAAGATGTGGATCACCAACGGGCCCGAGGCCGACTTCATCGTGGTGTACGCGAAGACGGAGCCCGAGAAGAAGAGCAAGGGCATCACGGCGTTCATCGTGGAGAAGACCTTCGAGGGCTTCTCGGTCGCGAGGAAGCTAGACAAGCTGGGCATGAGGGGCTCGAACACGGGCGAACTCGTCTTCGACAACGTCTTTGTGCCCAAGGAGAATGTCTTGGGCGAGGTCAACAAAGGCGTCAGAGTGCTGATGGAGGGCTTGGATCTGGAGAGACTGGTCCTCAGCGCGGGCCCGTTGGGAATCATGCAGGCCTGTCTGGACCTGGTCCTGCCGTACACGCACCAGAGGAAGCAGTTCGACATGCCTATCGCACACAACCAGCTGATTCAAGGGAAGCTGGCCGACATGTATACCAAGCTCCAAGCCGCGCGGGCGTACACCTACACTACGGCGAAGAAGGTCGATGAGGAAGGTGAGATCCGCACGCAGGACTGTGCCGGGGCAATCCTCTACGCGGCCGAGAGGGCCAGCGAATGCGGGCTGGACGCGATCCAGTTGATGGGCGGCAATGGCTACGTCAACGAAATCCCCGCTGGGAGATTGTTGAGGGATGCAAAACTGTACGAGATCGGTGCCGGGACCAGCGAGATCAGGAGGATGGTCATTGGAAGGGCGTTCAACAAGGAGTATGCTGATCAGAGCATCTGAGAGTCAGTCCAGATGTCACGCTTTTCTTGTTTCATCATCACGCAGGCTCATTATCCCAGACGACCCACCGCAAGCTATCCAAAAGCAAGGCGACTCTGACCCTTCTCAACCTTGGAGGTGCGCCCTCGACTACTACTCGCAGCGCCGCGCTTCGACTTGGTATTGACCTGGCCGGGTGGACGACTATTTGTCGGGCCTGTCACGGAGAGCGTATCCTCGGCTTGAAGGTCTTTGGCAAAATGCCAGTCTTCATGCTCACCTCGCTCGGTTTCGTTGATCGACTTCTGGCAAGACTGACAGAAGTAAGTGGTGATATCTTGTTGGTATAATGGAGGTGGAGGATGGCTGTTTCCTCGGAGTTTCTTCTCTTCGTCGCCACCCTGTCCGCCGATGTCCTCCTCCACGATATGAGCTTGGGGTTCAGCTTCACCTTCCTCGGTGCTCTCGCCTTTGGAAAAGAAGCGGGCAATGCTAGGAGGACCTTCGTCCAGCTTTCGCCGCTTCTCAGGCCGGCCTTCATCAAAATCCGGTGTTGCAGTGTGACTGCGGTGTGGGACATCCATGGCAGCCCTGGCTTCATCCCCTCTTAGGAGGAACGTGTCGATACCTTTATTCCCTGACACCCCCTCTTCGAAACCCCCAACGCTTAGCGACAGATTCGCGCACGGCCACGCTCTCCCGTCAACAACGACCTGTCCAAGCAAGGTTTTTGCAAGTTCGAAAAGGGCCATCTCGTCGATCTTCTTGCCTCCTGGTATGGGCAGCTGTTTTGATCTCGTCTGTCCGCCTTGCCGGTGATGCAGAGTAATGGTCTTGGGTCTCCTCTTGTTCTCAAGCACGCCTTCTTCAACTAAGCGAGCATAGATGTCTGCTACAAAGATCCTTAGCCATTTATTTGCCTGCTCCGTCGTATTGATAGTAGGTCTGAAGGATTTGGCAGACAGCATTGATTTGATCTGCGTGCGCGAACTGACTTCGCTGTTGTCCTCCCCACGGATAGTTCCGTAGAGCCACGTTCCGGTGTCGTCTCCCAGCTTGGACTTGAGCTGTTCGAGAGGAATCTTTAGTAGATCCGTGACGTCGTCCACGTTGAACGTGTCCACGACGTGATCACCGAGTTTGCCGCCCAGATTCCGGATTTTTGTGAATTTGAAAGCCGACAGGAAATGCTGCACCGCCCGGTTGCGGACAATGGTCTGTTGATTGGGCTTTTTGTATCCAGCTCCGAGCTTGGCCATCATCTTATTGCGCGCGATGCCGGCCGAGCAGGTGTACTTCAGCCTCTCTCGAATTGTCTTCCGCACGTCCCGGACGATCTCGGAGCCTATGTTCATGACAATGTCGTCCCAGTCCGGATCGTCGTCCTCCGTCTCTGTGGAATCAAGATCCACCAGTGCGTCTGCCTCCCAGTTCAGAGCTGTGGACGGCGGCAAGGGAAGATTCTCCGTCGGATCATCGTAGGGCGCGTACTGGAGTTCGGGATACCTTTCCAACAGGATCTGGTGGATTTGAGCCGACAGGTCCAGAAAGACCTCATCGATGCTAGCCTTCTCCACACGTTGGATTGGCGGAGGAGGCAGGATCTCCTTGATGAGGGCCAGGCTTTTCCTCGATTCCAGACGGTACGGATCTAGCGAAACCTTGTCCGTCTGGATGTGTTTTGCGGCGTCGTCGCGGTATGCCCACTTGTCGTCGCCTTCGCGCCACGTCGCGACATGTTGGATCACAATCTGCGGACACTTAGACCTTGCCTCGGTGACTGTGGCGTGCCGGTTCAAGCCAAACTCCCGGGCGGGATAGTTGATGGCGATGAGCCCCTGCCACTGCTGTACAGCCAGCGGTTGGGTCTCGGAGACGCCCAGTCGCACCATCTCACACTGGGCGTAGAAGGCGTCGTAGTCGATCAGGGCGATGCATCTCAACGGGCACGAGGTTGAAGATTGGCTGAGGAGATGGAGATGTTTGAATGTAAACCGCGACTTCTTCCTGGCGCCGGCGCGGGTGATGGGCGACGAAGGCACAAAAGGCTGCGATGAAGACATGGGATAGGGATTTGGGAGAGTACGGCCGGGGTTCTGGAGATGAGGGCGTTATTACTTCATTATGGCAGCCATCATCTCGTCGCCTTGGGGTATGGTTGACTATTGAGCTGAATGGTTGCAACTTTGGAGCTCTGCGTGCATTGCCGAGTTGAAGGCGAGATGTGGTCGCGCGGTGGGCGAACTGAATTCACGCGTTGCTGTCATTCATGATGCAACCACTATAGGTACCAAGAAGTACCTAGCGAGCTAGCGGGTACAAGTAATATTAGTCTGACACAAACAAAAACCGTCTGACAGTGAGAACTTGTGCACCCACCAATCTATCTTCCCCACGTGACTGGGCCCTCGCCCTTTTGTTCACCGTGCGATGATACATTTGGGGTCCCAACGCCAGATGTAGGAGTCGAACAATATAGGTGTAGTATTGACCATGACATTGCTAGATATATCCATACTTGCAAAGGAGGGAGGACATGGACGGAGCAGGAGGAAACGAGCTTATATCATGTCATGAAAACGGGACTGTGATCCCCTGAGACAATGTTGGATGAATGTTAAGACAATGAGTGATTCAGTGTAGATATCGCTGGTCAAAGTCGTAAGTGCCAATCCAATAGAACAGTAGTCACCGGCAAGTATTTTCGTCTAACCGCCCTCTAGGCTTTGATAGGAACGCCTTCAGCCCAGCCCCCTTTCTCTCCTAGTCCGTACAATTTCCAGCTTTGAGATAGAAAGGCATTTCAATCGAGGCGTCTGTAGTTTGGATTTGTCGTCATAAAACTTCAGATCAAGCTCCGTCTTGTTCTCCCATACAGCCAGTGTGAACGGATCCATTTCGAGACTTTGCCATAAAATCTTATGGGCACGCAACCTGCATGTCTTGACTCCAGCCTATTTCCCCAGGCAGTGAGGACTATGACGAAGCTGCGTGTTGGAGAAGAACTGCCGAAGTCATCAACAATTGTAGCAAAGAATCTGTGGATCGGGCCATTGAAGTGAGAAAATTAGCGAAAATCCAAGAGAAGGAAGACGTCTCCGATATGGAGGCTTGTAATATTATCGAAAACCGAGGGTTATACAACCAGGTCGTGACTGGGGAACAAGTCTAGTTGGCCCGGCAGCAATCCAGCCTTGTATAACGGGTACTAACGAAGCCCGAAATAAAGCTCTCGCATCTTCACTTCGACATTGGTGATGTTCAATTACGGTTACCTCTCGTATGCCCCTAAAGCCCCCTGTGGGCTCGACGGATAAAGATGGTCAAATACTGCTATTATGGCGCTTCAGAGAACGACCATAAGGTAGTACAATAGCTTTTGGTCGAGAATAGGAGTGACCACACGGCACACGAGAAAGGAGGGCGCTCCTAGTAGTGTATGGATTGCCTATTGCAGTGAAAGAAAGCTTCAATTCCTACCAGTAAAGGAGCAGGGAGAAGGAATTTCACGGAACCGGCAGGCTCATTTTTTCCCCCCGATTTCTCCTTCACAGCATTCATTAAAAGACAGAATAGAAAAGGACCATCGACCTTAGTTGTCCGAAATTCTCCTTCCACTGTTTCGAGAGGCCTCAGGAGCCTCTGTAATTTCAGTTGTCCACGACTTGTTTGCTTTTGTCCAGAGTCCGCGCTGTGGCCTTTTTTGTGGCATATACGGCCTGTGACGGAAGCCTCTGCAGTCATTTTAGACTTTTCACAACCAACGAGATTGAAGACAATATTGTACTTTGGAGCGATGAGCGGATGCTATTAATGTGTCACCGCTCTCTGCACTGCCTTTCTCAGCGTTGGGCGATAGCAGGTCTGAGGGAGTCTATAGGCGCCTCTTCATTCATTTTTTTGGTCGGCGGTTTGGGTGGCAGTGTCCGAGACTCGCGCCTGGCGGGGAGGCAGAGGGCCATATTTGGTCCCCATGTACTGGGTACCGAGTATCTCAATAGGCTGCCACGGATGTCTCAGGGACGCTCATGAAGGATCAGCCCAAGCATCATTTAAACCTCAGGTTAAAGCGGCCTTTGCTCTCCCTCTAGGTTCAAACCGATATAGTAATTAGGGGGGGGGTTTCCCGGTCTCGAGTAATCTACTGTATATGCAGGTAGAACCGCCACCTTATGGAGTACCTATTGCTGGGTACCTATGGACGAGAAGGCGGCTAGGCGGCTAGGTAAGTTTCGCTTAGGAGGTCGGAGGCTTGGGAACGCTGGGGGAACACGACAGCCTAGAAGCCCTAGTACTGGTACCTAGGTGCCTATTGATGTAGACTGGGCTACCACCCTACTTCAACCACCTCCAACCTACTGTGAATTCTCATCTCTTTTTCACTGCTCAATGGAATCCACCACCTTACCATCCACAAATCCGAGACAGTCTGATGCACCGCGGGATTTTCCTGCTACTCCGATGATGAGCTTGCGAGCTTCGCGCCCCTGGGGGACTCGTCGTCTCTAAGCGAATGTCTGCTGCCTGGCGAGAGGGAGCTTTCGCTCACTTGAAGTAGCCCGTGCTCAACGTCCTCTCCATGTGTTGAGAGCCATTGAGCCGCTTGTCCTCAGCCCCTAGTGTTGGAACAAAATATCCGCTCGGCAACACTGCGTTTCAGGAAGCATTGTGAATCAACATGAGGCCAGCATTGAGCACGCTTTGGGGAGGCTTCCTCACAGGGCTAATTGGTCACAGTTCTGCATTCTTGATTCATCCATATCCTACCGGTGTCAAGGCAACAGGAGCTTTCAACTGGACTGAGATCCCTCCTTCAAGAGAGCTTCAATATCACAAATGCTATGGCTCCTTTGAATGCGCCAGGCTAGAGGTCCCCCTGGACTGGTCCAACCTCTCAAATCCCCGCTCGATCGTTCTGGCAGTCACAAGGCTGCCTGCTGTGGTGGATGTCGGAGATGAATCTTTCGGAGGTACAGTTATCATTAATCCTGGAGGCCCTAGTGGTTCCGGTGTGGCAACTGTGCTTTGGTCTGGCAAGAGCATCCAAAACGTCCTTGACGGTGACAAGCATTTCGAAATCCTGTCTTTCGATCCCCGTGGCGTACAATTCTCGACGCCCAGTTTGGCCTGTTTTGAAAATGACACCTTGAGATACACACTTGATCTCCTGGGGGCAGGAGCGGGAAGTCTCGAATCAAACCAGTATGCTCTGGATGTCAAATGGGGCATTGACAAAAGCCTTGGACTTCTTTGCGCACAAACGAGCAAAGGCAGGTTCTCTGATGGTTCAACCATTCGTCAGTTCGTGAGCACCGCTTTGGTGGCACATGATATGGTGGAAATCGTTGATCAAGTTGATGCACATCTGCGGAGACAGTTGAGTAGCAGAGGCAGCAATCAGAAAAACCAACAGTCCGTTCTCTCTGCTAAATCAAATGAGGACCCTCCGCTTCTCAACTACTGGGGTTTGTCGTATGGCTCTTACCTGGGTAATACCTTTGCCTCTATGTTTCCGCACCGAATCGGTCGCATGGTCTTGGACGGTGTCGTCGACGCGGACGACTATGCTGCTACAGGATGGACGACTAATCTTCAGGACAATAACAAGACGTGGACCAAGTTCTTTGAGTACTGTTTCGAAGCCGGAACAAAGTGCGCTCTGTCGAATGCCGAGATCACTGGACCTGAAGAGATGCGAACGCAGGTCGAGAACTTTCTTCACGGACTCAAAAACAACCCCATGCCCTTAGTCCAAAACGACAATGCCTACATCCTCACTTACCTCAACATGAAATCCATCATTCATATTCACCTGTATCAACCCATTCAGCTTTGGCCGCTGTTGGCATTGGTTCTAAAAGCTCTGATGGAGCAAGATGTCTATAGCGCTATTTCAGCCTGGAAGTCGTGGAAGAGCTGGTCTTTTCCCGAACTCCCGGACTTTGCACCGCTGCTTCCGAACGCTCCTCACATCCCTATGCTATCGGATGTCTTCATGGCACAAGATCTGCCGCTCCCAACGAACTATCCGTGGCAACTGGAGTCTGGCATCTCCATCCTCTGTGGGGATGGCGACGACATCACATCTCGATCGAAGAGAGACTTTACGGAATACCTGGACCTGCTGCAATCGCAATCTCCACTGATTGGATCTATCTGGGCAGAAATCACCCTTCATTGCGTGCACTGGCCATCGGATGTCCGACCTTCTGCCAAAAATCGATTCACAGGTCCGTTTCAGTCGAACCTTTCTGATTACGACCCTCGCGGAAGTCCATTGTTGCTCATCGGCAACACGGCGGACCCGGTGACCCCGGTACGGAATGCGATCAAGATGGCAGAACGGCATGAGGGCAGTGTCGTTTTCACGCAGGACATGCCGGGACATTGCGCGGGGACTACCAATCCGAGCGTGTGCACGTTTGGGATACTGAAAAGGTTCTTCGCGCACGGCGAACTACCAGATGCTGGACTTGTGTGCCAGGCAGCTGTGAAGCCATGGGATATATGAAGAACGGGGATGAAATGGTCGCTACTGAGGGTTAAAGCAGGGCCGAGAACGCGGGACTTTGGAGGAGCATTCCGATTGGTCATTGCAAGTCTCTTAAATCTCTAGGATACGACACTTGATCGCGGCAATTGGTCTGAAATGATTGATGAGTTACGTGACGGAGTAGACCTTGCATAGGCTGGAAGCCCATCCTGGTATTTAGAGAAGTTTTACTAGCTTCAGAGCTAAACAAAACCCACTACCTAACGACGCTGGCACGTGATATCAAATTTTTGGAGCACGTTTAACGTCTCTTCAATCTTAGAGAGCCCCCCCTCTTCACTTCTCGTCATCACCATCATCTTTATGGTTATCCGGAAAAAGCAGCAGAGGAAAAGGCAGCTTCTGAATCATCACGGCGTTTCGACTCCTGGCAGAGGACTAATGTCTGACGTGAGCAAGTAGCAAGGGCGATAAAGAGGGGTTTCTTCTCTGTCATTTTTCCTCTTGCTTCTCTGTTGCTCTTGGTCGGCTTCTCTATTCCAAGAAGAGAGAATAAAAAGTCCTCAGCTCGCGCGATATTTGAAAGCAGAAAAAGAGGCCGTCTGTTCAGACAAGAAAGGCAAACCCAAGAAGAAAAATATCCGGGGAAAAAAAAAGGGCGATCAAAAATGGTTTCCACGTTCCTGACCCCATCTCGGTTCGCCAAAGAACACGACCTGGCCTCTCTGCACCTGCGGCGCGACCAGTCTCTGCCGGTGGTCCTGTCAACGCAAGTGACCAAGGACGCGGATGAAGGGTACGCCGAGGGCGTGGTGACGAACACACGGTTCGGCTCGTTCCCGCACTCGACCATCATCGGCGTGCCCTGGGGCAGCCAGATCCGGGCAAGCAAGGTTGACACGGGGTCGCGCGGGTGGACCAAGAAGAGTCGCCCGGGCAAGAAGGGCAGAGATGTCGGCGGCGGCGGCGCTGGAGGAGGAGGAGGAGGAGGAGGAGGAGGAGGAGGAGGGAAGAAGCGGAAGGCGGACGAGGCGCTCTTGGAATCAGAAGGAGGAACGGAGGGAGGAAGAGATGACGAGCGTCTAGAAACTCCGCAAGATCCGACGGGAGCGGGAGCAGTGATGGCCAAGGAGGCCGTCGTGGCGGACTCGGGCTTCGTGCACGTCCTCCCGCCCACGGCCGAGAACTGGACCACCTGTCTCCCGCACCGCACCCAGGTTGTCTACACGCCGGACTACAGCTACATCCTGCACCGCATCCGGGCGAGGCCCGGAAGCAGGCTGATCGAGGCGGGCAGCGGGAGCGGGAGTTTCACGCACGCGGCGGCGAGAGCTGTGTTCAGCGGGTATTATCCCGCGAAAGAGCGGAGTCGTCCTGACGACATTGTGGGCGAGGGGGAAAAGGAGGCCGGTCATGGTCCTGCTCCTGCTGCTGCCGTTGCTACGACTGTGCAAGAAGGCGGAAACGAGGGAAATGGAGCGCTGATGACGAGAGGAGACGGCAATGGCGAGAGAGACGGGAAGAACGAGAGATGCGGACGCGTCTTCAGCTACGAGTTCCACCGTGAGCGACACGACAAAATCAAAGCCGAAATGACTCTACACGGGTTAGACACCATTGTCCACGCCATGCATCGAGACGTCTACAAAGATGGCTTTCTAGTCTACGACTCTGAAGAAACTCCCTCCGACGAGAGGACCTCCCCGCGTGCCAACGCCATCTTTCTGGATCTGCCTTGTCCATGGGAGGCTCTGCCTCATTTGACCCGCGAGCCGCTGCACGAAGGCGCACCGAGCGTCCTCGACCCTCACTCCCCTGTCCACATATGCACGTTTAGCCCTTGCATCGAGCAGGCGCAAAAAACAATCTCCGCGCTTCGGAGGTACGATTGGATAGAGATTGAGATGGTGGAGGTGCAACACAAGCGCATCGAAGTTCGACGAGAGTACACGGGACTCGAGTACGACGGCATGCGCTCAAGCAATGTTTTTGCAGCCAATGTTGAGGAGGCGGTATCAAGACTAAAAGAAGTGGAACAAAGGTTGAAGGATTTCCACGCAGGAAAGAACTCGGATGAGTACAAGAAGTCCACAAATATCAATGACCAGCAGCGGGAGAGCGAGGCAGGCAAGCCACCATTCAACGGAGGTCAGCTTGTGCACAGGACAGAGGCCGAATTGAAAACGCACACTTCGTATCTCGTCTTTGCGGTGCTGCCCAGAACATGGTCCGAAGAAGACGAGGCGTCGGCACAGGAGAAGTGGTCAAGACATGTGAAGATCATATCGCATGCGCCCAAGAGCCAGCGCCAGTTGAAGAAGGAGGCGAAACTGAGAGCAAAAGGTCAGACCCAGAACGGCGTTAGAAATAAAACGTCGGCCATACGTGAAGATGCGGTGAAGGAGACTACATAGGGGTCAAATCTAGATGATTGGCCAGCAGATGATGCCAGGGTGATGTTGTCCTGCGAGCATAAGACTGAGTAGTTATGATTTACCCCATCTCAAAGGCCACGGCAGATCCAGTTATGCAAGCGGGAATCAGACACGGCGCCGAAGACCCAGAACACCCACCGAGAGGGGCCGTAAGAGGCATGTCATCATAACAAGCTCGTTTGATGGATTTCCTTCTTTGATAAACGGTCACCCACCCGTTGGCATGATATTCAGCCTGCCACGTGACTGAGGCTGTGTGAGGCCGATAAAAGGTCGACCAATTGCCAGGAAATTGACCCTGTGGTGACATTCAAAGCTGCAAATTTTCCATAGGGTTGACTCTGCAGAAGCTGCATATCTGATCGGGCCTTTAGAAGGGCAAAAAGGTTCGCCTAGAAGCACCGCCTCAGTCGAGGCTCCAGATTGAGCCTTTCCTTCGAGCTGTCGCTAAACCCCTTGCGGAAGGGGTTGCGAACTTGGAACAGTCAGCCAATTTTCGAATGATTTCAAGCATGCCTGCTGCCTGATACTGCTCGCTTAAAGGAGAGCGATGTTATCGGCGCTCTGAAACAACCCACTCAGGGGTGATCGTCTTTATTCAAACCCTGCACGGAGTCCAGGATTCGAACCGGATGGGTCTGTAAGAGCCCTTTGCGCCGGGAAAGGCGCGTATACTCCGTATTCGCCCTCCAAAACAGTGCAAGTTGGCGCATATGAATCGCCGTGGGTCTTGGGCCTCCTTTCCACCTATGGGCCATCCATGGATGGACCAACCCCAACCAGTATAATAAGACATTGAGGAACAGGCCGATCAGAGTGATTTTACCGATAGCCTACAACCCTCTCGTGGTCATTCTGCTCCCACATCTTGGAGAATTTCTTCACTCAACTGAGAAGCCGAATCGCTGGCAATCTGTTAGGGAGGCATTCCTCACATCACACTTGGCAGCATCATGGAAGCGTTGGGAAACTCTATCCCGCACTTGCTGTTCCTCGCTTCTCGATCCGTCAATGGCAGCGAGCCCGGTGACAAGTCTCCCCAAGAATTTGCAAAGCAAGGCCGATACGACTATGTCCCATCTTTCGCGGCAGCGGTCGTTTTCATTGCGCTGTATGCCGTTGCATTGATAACAAATCTGGGCCAGATGTTCTGGCACCGATCTTGGTTTTGGTGGTCGATGAACTTTGCGGTCGCCCGTGAGTCTGCCATTGCGTCGTCAATATGCAGCTGCATGTGTGTTACTGACCTTGACACAGTGGAGTTCATCGGATATGTGACTCGAGCTATTTCCATCAAAAATCTCGAGAACAGGAACACCTTCATCGTCCAGACTGTTATGAGTAAGTCTCGTCCAAAAAGGATACCAGCCTTACGAGAGATTCAAATCCCGTCCCTCCCCGATCCAACTCTTCGTTACTGATAATTAAGTCAGTCCTCGTTGCACCCGCCGTGATGGCGGCCGCCTGTTACATGGCGTTCGGCCGAGTCGTGATGTGGGTGGTCCCTCCGCGCTTTCAGACGGCTCGCCATCTCTGGGTGCCTGCGCGCAGGATCACCCCGGTCTTTGTAGGATCTGATGTCTTCAGCTTCTTCATCCAGGTAATTGGAGGCTCCATGGTGGCCGCAGCAAACACGAAAGAGCACGCAAACACCGGGAAAAACGTGGTTCTGGTCGGACTAGGATTACAACTGGCGTCATTCGGCTTCTTCGTTTTTGCCAGCCTCCGGCTCAGCATTCTGCTGAGGACGACGCTCCGAGACGTTTCACTCCCAAAAGAGCGCAACTGGCAGTTGTTCTTGACGGTGATCAACGTGGCCAATATATTGATTCTGATTCGGACGGTGTTCCGCTTGATTGAATTCGCCTTGGGAACGAGGAATTATCTCACCGATCACGAGTGGTTCTTCTATGCATTTGATTCGGCGCTGATGTTCCTCGTGGCGGCAATCTTCATTGTCGTCCATCCGGGCCATTATTTGCCGTACCTAGGGATCAGAAGAAGGGAACAGCAGTTCTCGAGAAACGCGGACAAGGGACCTTTTGCTAAGCTTGCACGCGGCCACATGACCATGGAACTGTCATAAGATGACTCGCCGCTGGCAGCCAGGACAAGAATGGGTTGGAAGGGGCATGGTGGATGTGACACGGAGAAGTGATGCCGAGATGGGCGTCCTTTCAAAGGCCTGCTTTTTTCTTCAGGGAGGACGGAGGCTTTGGCTGAACAGGGTACCCAGATTGCCAGTTATCGTTGTACTGTAGCTTGGTGACGATGAGCACATCCAATTAATGTCTTGGCTCGGCAAGACGTAGGATGGCCGGCAGCAAAGAAGCGGATACGAGAGGGAGGAAGCACGTGGGTGTGGATAGCGTGGCCTGGTGGATAGCTGGTCTTTGGTTGTGTGTTTGTACCTGGTGGTAGCCAAATGATTGGGGTGTGAGGGCTGGGATCGGCTTTGATCAGCCCGACGTGTTTCTTTCGAATTCGGAGTAGGTAGGCTATCAATTGGTGCCATTCAGTGTTGTGCCTGTTGTCCTTTTCAACCATGGGTGTAGCCACCCGACCAGCGCCTCCGTGCGATGATGGCGGCCACCATTGTCATGCTAAAGCGCCGATCGTCGAAGGAGGAATGGAGAGGAATGGGGGTCGTGGCCGATTTCCGAGTCTCTATTCGAACTTGCGCTAAAGGGGGGGGGGGGGGGGGGGGGGGGGGGGGGGGGGGGCAGCTCGGTGGGTATTAGCGAGGGCGCAGATGAAGGCAGATGGTACCCAGTACTGTATCTGGCCGCGTTCATGGATGCTTGCAGTGATACAACAACAGACGGCGGTGACGGATAATTACCGGGCAGGTTGGTGGGCGCAGGTGGTTTGGGTCGTCCTTGGCAGCATCGGGCAGCACCTGGCAGCACCTGGCAGCAAGCACCCGCCGTGTGCGGTGGTTGATCCGGCTTAAACGGCATCTCTTGTCACTGCTTGGGTGTTTAGAGCTATCTCTCAACTCAACCTGCCCTTCACTTGCCCGTTTTCCTTTTGTTTGCCTCAATTTCTGCTGTATGGACCGGTATTCCACATTCCGCTTTTGTCGCAAACCATGCTCGACCAGGCAGTTTTTGCGAGCAGGTCTGAGGACAGGAGAGAAAAACCACACCCACCCGGGCAACGACCCGGTGTGTACGAGGTGTTAGGTACATGAGATTGGGGCTTCTGACCAGGTCGTGCCCCAGTTGCTCCAGCTTGCGTATTGCAGCTCGCAAGCTCCTGGTGGTCGTGTACCGCAACTGATACGCCTCACTGCAAGCCATCAACGACATTCAAGCCCGCCGATGCCACCATCAAGACACCAAGACCGCCAATCCAAGCAAACAAGCCGCCATGAGCATCACCTCAAGCGTTGGCATCTTCTTGCCCACTACCCATCTCCACCTTTTCCCTCTCGTCGCATCTCATGCCGTTTTGATAGGATCCTGTTTCATTGCGTCTGCTAAGCCTCCTTACGGCAGCATCTTTATCCACATGTGACCAGCTAACCTGTCCAGTGTTGTTGACAAGGAAAATCTCCCGCTGGCAAGCTCGAATGCCCACCAAATGCCCCCCCCCCCCCCCCCCTGAAATTACGCGGACTATTTCCCACAGTGTCGAAATCAACCGCCGATGAATCAATTGCCATATGCGTCGACCCTCTCCGATCCTCAAGTGGCCATGTCGTCAAAACTGTGGCCGGCATCGTGGTTGGCCAAACGACACGCACCGTCGCTGGGTATGGTTGCTAGTCCTCTTCTCCCCCCGTTGACCACGAAGCGCATGTATTTTTCACATATAGTACGTGTTGGCCACCTCTTGTATGTGAAAGACACGGACAATGCTGCGTTCCCCCTGCTCCAATGCTTCTCATGGGGCGTCGGCGCTTCGAGGTGAAGCCCTTTGTCCTCCGGCTTCTGCTCTGGGCCGTGATTGTTGTCGCGGGTGCTGTTGCTCTCTACTTGACCATTTCCTACGCCGCGATCCCGCTCCTTATCTGGTTATCTCCGACCCTGAATCCGACCTTGTATGATCTGGGCTTCTATGGTGGTTCGCCTTCGCAGACATATGTGTCGAATGGCTTGAGCTCGCCGCGGACAAGCATAGGCAAACACGACCCGGATTGCGACAAGGGGTATACCTTTCTCAATTACAATGGAGGCTCCATCCCCAATCCTGGTCCTGCAATACTGGATAGTAATCGTGAACTTATTTGGAAAGGGGAAGGTTTTGCCGTTACGACGAATCTAAAAGTCCAGAGTTACATGGGCCAGCAATACTTGACGTTTTGGTCTGGAAAGAAGGGAGGGACCATGGGCAGAGGCGTCTATCACATGGTGAGTTTGCATTCATGTAAAGCTTCGGTCGATTGATAAAAGATCAGTTGGATAGCTCGTACGATGTCAAACACACAGTTTCAGCTGTTGCGAAGGGAAGCGAGATCGAAGGTGATCTCCACGAGTTCAAAATCACCCCAAACAATACCGCGCTGTTGACGTTCTACAATGTGACTCCGGCCGACCTCTCCTCGCTGGGTAAATGGAAGAACGGATGGCTCGCCGACAGTGGGTTTCAGGAAGTCGACATTGCGACTGGCGAGCTGCTCTTCGAGTGGAAAGCCTCAGACCATTTCCAAGTCAATGAGACTTTCATGACTCATCCATTTGGCGGATACATCAAAAGCATTCCTTTCGACTTCTTCCACATTAACAGCGTCGACAAGGACTCCAAGGGCAACTATCTCATCTCCTCACGCCATACCCATTCGGTCAGCTGCATCAGCCCGGATGGCCAAATCATATGGATTCTTGGCGGCCAACGCAACCAATTCAGGGACCTCTCAGCGGGCGACGCTGTCAACTTCAAGTGGCAGCATGATGCACGTTGGGTCAGCGAAGAAGAAGGTATCATCACGCTTTTCGACAACAAGGAAGGAGGGCCCTTGCATGTCGATGGCCCATACAGCCGAGGCATGATGCTCAAGCTGGATATAGCCAACCGTACCGTAACCCTTCTGCACTCGTATGTGTCTCAATACCAGACACGGACGCCTTCACAGGGCTCGGCGCAATACCTTCCTGACACCAGACACGTGTTCGTGGGCTTTGGCCATTCTCCGGTCTTGAGTGAGTTTTCTCTGGACGGAACTCTGCTGTGCGAGGTCCATTACGGGGCGCCGTGGCTTCACGTCTTCACTACGGCAGTTTCGTACAGAGCTTTCAAATCAGCAGGTTGGATTGGCAAGCCTCGAGAGCCCCCTGCAGCAAAGATCGTGGATGACCTGCTCTATGTTAGTTGGAATGGAGCGACAGAGGTAGAAGCATGGGTGTTGCAGGGAGGTGGCACAGGAGAGCACGAAGAGGAATGGAGCGATCTCGATTTCATTGACAAGGAGTTCTTCGAAGAGAGTTTTGATCTGTCCCAGCTCTCTCAATATTCTCGGTTTCGCGTGGGAGCGCTGGATCGAGAGGGTGAGATCTTGGGATACTCGGATGTCGCTCCACGAGAAAGCTCTGGGAGCTGGTGGGGGTTTGTACTCGCCGTCTTTCTATGGGGAGTGGCATGCAAGGTCGCCTGGATGGGCTACGGGTGGGTCGCTCGACACCGCGGCGCTGGTAGAAGAGGCGTTTCGTGGGTTGTTGGGAAGAAATGGTGACCGGAGGGCTTGGACCTGCATTTTTGCATTGTTCACGGCGTTTCTTGCTTGAGACATACACTCGCAGTTCCATAGAGAAGCTGGGCCTCAAGCCAGACGGTTGTGGCTGGGAAGAGAATGGCATATTGCAACCTTCCTCGCTTGATACATCCAGCAGACATTCGTGCACAGAAGAATCCGTATTTTGTTGCTTCACTTCAAGTCTGAGTCCTCGACCCCTCCGCCTGGTTTACGGGCATTTGACCCGCGATCCATCCTCAAAATTTAAGTGGGCAAAGTGGCTCCGGGGTAGTACTACCTCGTATTGCGTGCGATTTTCCGAGCCTCATTCCAGCCCAGCTGCGTGACTCAGTCCTGCTCAGCGTCCTGCCTGCGCCCAAACAGAGGGAGGTGAGTCAGTGAAGTGAAGTGAGCTGTGCTGCGCTGAGCTGGAGTCTCATGAGCTATTTGAGGCGCTCTTTCTGCTCATCAGCTTGGAGTTTCTGCAACAAATCCTGCAGAATGTCGCAACCTCTCTGGACCATGCCTACGGGCGCAACCCATCAGCCGCAGTTGAAGGTCTACAACTCGTTGACACGATCAAAAGTCCCATTTGTCCCTATACAACCCGGCCATATCTCTTGGTATGCCTGCGGTCCCACGGTCTATGACGACTCCCACCTGGGCCATGCGCGTAACTATGTGACCACGGATATCATTCGACGTATCCTGCGAGACTACTTTGGCTTCAAGATTCGGTTTGTTATGAACACCACAGATATTGATGACAAGATCATTCTAAGAGCGAGGCAACGTCACCTCTATGACGAATACAAGAAGAACCACAGGTACGGAGCGACGGCACGAAATAATCTCTGCAGATGCTAACTGCCATCTAGATACATCGACGACCAAGTCCGGCAAGACGCTCAGCAGGCCTGGCACTACTACATCCAGAAGAACCTGAAACGCATAGCATCCAAGGACCTCATCACCCCCGAGACATTCGACGGAGTTATCGAACACACATATGGAGATGTCCTTGCAGGAGGGAGCCTAGAGCCAGGAACCAAGCCAGGTGACAAAGAGGCCAAGATCAAGATGCACATCAATACCGCTCGAAACGCGGCAAAAGCTCTGATGCAGGATCCAAAGCTCCTGACCCCGCATGAATTTTACAACCGCGTGAACGATATCATGTGCCTCGTCCTGGACGAGCAGTTCGGGAGCACGATCCGCGGAGACGATTATGCCGTGTTCACGAAACTCACAAAAGAATATGAGGCTCGATTTTTCCAGGACATGCACGATCTCAATGTCATAGATCCAGATGACCTTGTGCGAGTCACTGAGCATGGCAAAGAGATTGCGGAGTTTGTCAAGAAGATTGTGGACAACAAAATGGGCTACAGGACGTCAGATGGTTCGGTTTATTTCGATATAAAAGCATTCGAGGCCGCCGGTTACCCGTACGCCAGATTAGAGCCATGGAACAGAAACGACAAGGAACTGCAGGCTGACGGAGAAGGTGCTCTGTCACAAAAAGACGCAACTGCTAAGAGATCGGACGCCGACTTTGCTCTTTGGAAGGCATCAAAGCCCGGTGAGCCAAGCTGGGATAGCGAATGGGGTCCTGGTCGGCCTGGATGGCACATTGAATGCTCGGCGATGGCGTCGGGGAAGCTTGGTCAACAAATGGACATCCATTCCGGCGGGATTGATCTAGCATTTCCTCACCATGACAATGAGCTTGCCCAGAGCGAAGCGTTCTGGGCAAACCATGGTCAATGGGTGAATTATTTCCTGCATATGGGTCATCTATCCATACAAGGATCAAAGATGTCAAAATCGCTGAAAAACTTCACTACCATCCGGGAAGCGCTCCACGTCAGGAAGGATTGGACTGCGAGGAGTCTGCGAATTGTTTTCTTGCTCGGAAATTGGAAAGACGGAATAGAAATTACGGATGACATGGTCACCGAAGGCAGGAATTGGGAAGACCGTGTAGACAACTTCTTCCTCAATGCTATCGAGGCCATCAAGAACACAAAATCCTCAGACGAACGACCAGCCGGCTTGGAAGACGCTGTTCAGGAGGCAGCAGAGAAGGTCCGAACTGCATTACTCGATTCCTTCAACACGCCGATCGCCATGAACACGATATCACAACTAATAAACACATACAACAGCGCCAAGAAGTCCGAATTGACAGCAGCGGATCATCGCCGGGTGGGCCTTTTCGTCACACGTCTAGTGAACATCTTTGGTCTGAATGGCTCCGAGCCAGCAGATACCGAACAGGTGGGCTGGAAAGGTATCGAGATCCCGGACGCCGCAAAAGAGTTCGTCTACCCGCTCGCTAAAATGCGAGACGAACTGCGACAAGCCGCCATTGCTAAATCCATCACTGCCGAGAAAGTCCAGGAAATCGTGACCACTTCGCCCACAAGCCTGGAGGAGCCGGCCTCCAGTGGGAGACCTCGGCCTTCATATGCCCGTGCACTGAGCGAGTTCAGCAGGGCCGCCCTTCAAGCGACTTCTTCGCCGGCTGCCATGGAATCCTCGCCTGATCTCAACAAACAAATCCTCGCACTCTGCGACCGGGTCCGAGACATCGATCTCTGGCAACTGGACATCTACCTCGAAGACCGAGAGAATGCGCCCGCTCTGGTCCGCCCCGTCACCGAAGGCCTCAAAGCGGCCCGGCGCGAAAAGGAAGACAAAGCCCGCCAAAAAGAAGAAGCGAGAAAACAGCGCGAAAGAGAAGCGCAGGAGAAGTTGCAGAAGGCCAAACTCGATCCGAGAGAGATGTTTAAACCACCCCATCAAACGGAGTATTCGGCGTGGGATGACGATGGTGTCCCGACAACGGCCAGGAATGGAACCCCTCTGACGGCGAGCCGGGTGAAGAAGTTGAGGAAGGAGTGGGAGGCACAGCGGAAGGCGCACGAAAAGTACCTGGCCACGCTTCCCACCCCAGTGCCAAATGGTCTAGATTCACCTTCTGCTACTCGCTAGGAACCAGTTAGCAGTCTGAGCCGGCTTCTGGCCGACTTTCAGGCGTAGATCGCTTTCTCGGGGTGTCCCATTTTCTGATAGAGGATTGTATTAAATACCCAATTCTGAGGAGTCATCATCGATGAGACGAACCGCGGCAGGGATGACGACCGGGGGGGGGGGGGCAGAGAGCGCCATGAGAATAAAAAAGGAATTATTTAAAAAAAGTCCCCACCGGAGATTCGAGACTTGCACGAGTTGTAGCTCTTTGAAGCCAGATCGATCACAGCTTCCCTTCTCCCTTCAAGCCCTCATAGAGCGCCATGGCCGCCAAGGTCTTCCCATCTCTCCACGTGACCTTCCACACCTCGTGCAATCTCACAATGCGCAGCGTAATTTTCTCGCCGTGGTCCCTCAAGCCGGTAAACTTGCCCCTTAGAGTCTCGATCTGCGGGCGCGGGAGGGTCTTGCGGGCGAGGAAGATGGGGATGAATTCGTCGGACCCGCCTGGGGAAGGGTAGATGGCCGACTGGAGCTGCTCTTCCGGAGTGTTCTCCTGAGGACCAGGACCAGGGCGAGTGATGGTGGACGACGACGCAAGTTGCGTCATGTCGATGAGCTCGTCGCTCGAGATCTCGAGCCCGGTTTCCTCTTGGATTTCTTTGGCTGCTGCGCCCGCGAACGTGCCGCTGTCGTCGATCATGCCCGCGGGCAGTTCGACGAAGTTGAGCGATCCGGCCGGAATCCGGGGCTGGACCGTCAATATCGCGTACTCTTCTTCTCCTGGCAGGGGCAGCGCCTGGGAGGTCGTTGGGGGCGATTGCTCGGAAGAAAGCGAAGGCAAAGGCAAAGGGGTCAAGATTATCAACATGGCGACGCTCCCGCCTCGCATGAATACCGAGCCGGGCAGGGACTCTCCCTCGTCATTGGTCACGGTGGCCTTGAGCTTGAGGAAGCCGAGGCGGTGGCCGGAAAAAAAGTCGACGGATTGGATCTCGATGGATCTCAGAGAGTATGGGGATTTGTGGAATGGGTGGGTTGCAGCGCTGTACTGTAGTGACAGGCTCCTTTGCAGGGTATTCAGCCAGGTCTTGAAGGCCGGGAAACTGAGGAGTTGGTCCTTGGTGACAGAGGACGGGTGGGTTACTGGGATGCTGGGGGTCGTGTCGGGGAGAGTGAATGTGGTTGTTGGCGTGCTTGTGGTTGACGACATGGTTTTGGATAGAACAGAGGGTTGTGAGAGTGAGAGATGGCGGGAGAGATGCTTCAGCCTTGAGAACATTGGTGGGAGCAACAGACCTGACACAGGACTTCGTGTTCTCGGCGGTTGATGATGGTATGTATGTAGTTGGTGAGTAGGAGGCTGTGAAACTGTCAAGGTGCCCGTATTGAGGGATGGATGTTGCGGCAGACCAATCACAAGAAAATACTGAAGTACTCGGTATGGACTTCGTATTTAGCTCGCTCCTGTAGGTATGTAGTAGCACTAGAGCAAATCTGACGATACGGTATCATTGGTGTCTGACACGCTGGAATGACATTGTAGCCCCAGAAGAGCCATGGTTCCCGAGTGTGGAAATATTAATAGCACTGTCATATTGCACATAATTCCGCTTTTGATTCTTCCCTCTTAGAATTCTTTCTCTTTGCGGTGCATTATAGAGCCACACATATATGGTTCGATCAATCTACCTCCAACCTTCTGTCCTTTATGAATGAGAATCGTCGCTCATGACAAAGACCAAAGCTGCTCCGCTGACGGAGCAAACTGCCACTATCACGCTGCGCAGCCCTCCATATTCATACTTCCACCTCCGTCTCCACGCCATGCCAACACAAGCTGACCAGACGCTGGACGAAATCACACTGCGTTCATATCTCACGGCAGCGCTTCAGCAGTACCTCGGACTCACCGGCACCGCCATCCCCGTCGACGTTTTGAAAGTCGAGGGCCCAAATGCCTGGATCCGTGTCCCCTGCGACGATGAGGTCGCTGTCACGGCCGCGGTGAGTCAGTGGGTCGGGGCCAAGGGCGTAAGTCTCGGCATTGAGGCGAGAGGCTCGTGGTTGGGTGGTGTTGTTGCGAGGGGCCTGGGTAAAGGTTTGTGGAGTTTGGGAGGATGAATGGATGGGACTTGACGCGAAACGAACTTTTGCACCGGCAGGATTTCTAGCATTGATGGACGCCCTGCTGACACGGAAGTTATGTTGTGCCATCTAAGCATCTATTGTTACACCGCTAGCGCTTCTCGCAAAGAGACCTCGTCCGAGTCACTGTCATCATCGAGCTTCTTCGCTGAAAAGACCTCAGTCTTCGATCGGCCTTTCTGACACACCCACCTAAAGGCCTTTCGAACCTCTGCTGCCACGGCGTCAGCGAACCTTCACCAGACGCAAACGAATTCAATACAATCACCTTTTTCCGCCTTAGCTATCTGCTTCAACGCCGCTCTTCGGTCCCTCTTGGCCTGATCTCGGAGAAGTTTCTCTTCTTGCTTCCTACTCTTCTCGGAAGCCTTCCAAGCCGCGAGGCGTTTGTTGTATTCTTGGACTTCGGGGTCGTGCTGGACGGAATACGGAGATACCGACATTACGGTGGTTGAAGGGTGCGAAGCTGCTGTGACTGGGTAGGCCCTGAAGACTGGCTCAAGGAGTCGTGTTGAGGGCCTGATTCGGTTTCATTGTGAGCATGAGAGAGACTTATACCCCCCAAAGAATGGGAGAGGTCAGGTGCCGTGGAGGAGTTCTGTGAGCCGTTATGGGAGAAGACATAAGCATCAGTCTCACGGCGGTGAGATGGCCCTCGAGGTTCGACATCCCGCCAACACTGTCTGGTATTTCTGTCACCGGGACTCGGCCCGAGGAGCAGGTAGTTGTTAATGAGCTGCGGTAGAGAACAGGTTCATCATGCTGCCCAGGTATTCAGCACATTCTGAGCCTTTTTCCGCGCCGCTAATGCTGTTGAAAGGACCTGCAAAAGGACCTACATACGGAGTAGATCTCGCCGATGCCTGCCAAAAACGGGCCATTTGTCGCCGACAGATCCCGTCAAGGTCCCAAAGCGAACATTCGTTCTACCATAATTATCGGAATACTACGCAGTATGTGTCCGTGTTCCTCCCCCTAAGAAAGATGCCAGGGATAATTCAACACGGTCTGGGCTCTGGACTGGAGTTGAGCATGTTCATGCTTGTTGTGGGCAGGACGGGCAAGACGGGGTGGCTGTTGGCACGGCTGGCTGAAGACGCTGGTAGCGGAAGCTTGTGTGGTCTTGGCTCCTTCAGTACCGAAACCTCGGGTCGCCTCAAGTCGCCTCTTCTCACTCAAACGGGACTTTCGCAAATTGCTTCGCATTAAACCTCCGTACTTTTATTACTCCCTTTGGGACCACCAAAGGGGGCCCAGAGTCCAGAACGCCGTCCACTCGCTAGCAACAGTCGAATCTAAGTATTCTTCGACTGGTACAAAGCCACACGGCGTCGCTATCGTGGGTCGTGGGGAGTTTGTTTCTCAGCCGCACAATAGACGGGACTTTTTGCAGCGCGAGACGATGTTGACGGTCGCCAGTTTAAATTCCCCTGGTAGGTACCCCGAAGGTAGGTAGGTCTCTGCAGTGCCTCTTCCAGTGTGACTTTGATCCTTGTCTCCCAGATCTGCTGCCTTGAGCTTTGGGGAGCCATCCATGCCTCAAAATGCCTTCGCTCGACGAATATCTATTGAAGGAGCCCCGGCTCAATGTACGAAGCGGCAATTCCTCCCTGGATGACCTCCCCAAAAAATTTGATAGCCAGAGCCAGAGCCAGAGCCAGAGCCAGCCTGTTCCGCCGTACGTGCTGCCGCCCAAACCGTTGAAACCTCTCCGCAAATATTGCACCATCAGGAACGTCCTCATCACTATCGGTGCTTTTCTGGTATACAGTGGATGCACCGTCGGCGCAGTCGTCCCAGGGCTTATTGCCGGATACCCTTTCTACACACTGCTCGACCTTTATGGCAACCGCCACCTTGCAGAACGCTTGTTTCCTTGCGACCCGTCTCTTTATTCCGGGAGATTCGCCGTCAACATAGCCTGGGGTTCTCTGAGCTACACGACAGTCAAGATCCTGGATGCAGGCCTCAACTTGGTCCTGGGTAGGGGCTCGCAGGTGCTCTTATCATGGCTCTCCTATCATCTCTTCAGCATGGCCATCCTTCGCATCATCCAGGAAAACTGCGTCCCCTTGCAGTTGTACACTGCCATGGCGTTCGACACGACGTCCATCAAGGGAGCCTGGTACCAACTGCGAGCCGTTACAAAGGTGGACACCGTCCGCGCAAAAGTCACCCTTATTTGGCTCGCCGTTGCCGTGGCATATCTCATTGCCCTGCCCACTCTGCTCGACCTGACCACAGGATACATAGTGGAATACAAGACCATGGTTAACGTCACCTCTCCAGGGGACTCAACATATAAGTTGATCGAACTGGACCGCGATCAGCTCAACAGCATCTCATATGACGCATACTGTGCTGCCAACGGTGGTTGTATCGAACATTATCCCGGGGAGTTCACCAAGATTTTAATCTCCGGCCAAAACATGTCTTTCAAGGCATTTGTCGATGACGATTATAACTGGGTAATGCAGGAGCGAAAAGAGCTCCAAAGGCATCCTCCAATGTGTCCCCAGCAGTACCTATCAATGGGGTCTTTCCAGCGGCTATCTTTGGATCGTTTGCTCGGTGACGAGTCTGTGGATCGCAGGCATGTTCGCCGTGTGGATGGACAGTTTCCGCAACGGCGCCCTGTGGCGCAGCGGTCGCGGGTTCGGGCGCTACCGGAACATCATCGACATTGCCGAGCACCTTCAGTCGCACTTTGGCCAGGACCTGTGCGCATACACGCATGAAGAGCTGGAAGAGAAGATCGACCGTCTTGACCCCGTGGGCATAGAGGTTCTGGCAGACGGGGAATTCGCGCACATCCGCCTTAGCCAGAACCCGGGAGGGAAACATTTGTTGTCAACCCCTGGCCTCCACTACGGCGGGATTGAGAGACTGAACAACGGGAAGGTCTCGGCCACGTGGCCGCTGCGCAGCGGAGACCCCTGTAAGGAGTCCGGCTGTGGGTACTACATAGGTGCAGTACGTGGTGATGTGCATTGATTTACGACATTTCGCTTTTTCAGAATGAGGCCCGAGGTCCCCTATGAGGCACATGAATGAATGGATAAAATGAATGACAGACAGACCATCCCATGTAATCCAATCTCTCATCTAGTCCACGTCCCGCAGCCGCGCGGCGGCATTCGACGTATATGCTCTTTGGTGCATGTGTGTAAAGTGTGTATTATATGCAAATATCTATAGGTATGTATAGTACATAAACCCGCCACCAGCACTTGCGCCTCATCACCGTCGTCATCATCATCGTCATCGTTATCGGCGTCTAGAAATTCAACCGATCGGACTATGGTAGTCCGGGGGTGAGTTCATGACCCGGGGAGAGCATACCCGCGCTGGGGAAGGGATGGTCGCTCTTCGCGGAGCAACTTTGAGCTCCCGTGAAGGGTACTTGGTTGCCTCGGTGGCGGGAATTGGAAGAGTGAGAGTGTGTGTTTGTTTGGGTGCCATGTGAGAGATCGCCCGATGATGTGCGAGGTGACGGGTGGAACAAACAGCGTCCCCCCTCTCGCGACGAGTGAATCATTGTGACGTGCTTCAATCTTTGGCGGATTGATGAAGCCGCGAAAACTGTGCGATATGGCAGCAGGCCGCTCCATTGATCGCAAATGCTCTGAGGAAGTAAAGCATTGGTCGACCATTCGACGGCGGTGGTTGCATTATCCAACTGCTTGGCCGGTCTCGTGCGATCCAATTTCTTCGGCGTGCCCTCGAGAGCGGCCGGATGCTTCTGATCTTCGACAGTGCCTCGTAATTATCCTGCATATGACTGATCTTTTGACGATTATTAAGGTAGCCCATCGCCGAGATTCCCTCAAACAGACAATCCATTGGGGGTGTCGCGACGTATGACGAGGCGTCATTCTCACATTCAATCCCCATTTGTCGGTCGGACGCCGACCCGAGACAGGAACAACCGTCGCAGTGCCTTGTCTTCGACATACAAGTTTGTCAAGGGTTTTTTTTTTTTTTTTTTTGCGACCGTGGAGATCATATCACACGCTCGACGTCATCGTTGATGGCGGGAGGCGTTCATCGACATGGAAAAGGGGCCATTTTCTCGACCGCACTACTCTCATGTACGACTGTTGTGCGTTGGAAGGCTGTGGGAGCTCTTCGGTAAACTCGTGGTTTGCGACGACGCGATGGAGCGCGGCGGCACCGGCCACCACGATCCCAGCGACCACGATACAGAGGAAGACCACGAGTCCGTCTGAGACGCTCATTGTGGCCAAATATTGGACCAGAGGCTTTGAGGGTGGCTTGGGGCAGGGACGCCAGCTGGTATTATTTTAAAAGGATTGAAAGGGTACTTGGGGACGAGGAAAGATGAAAGAAGGAACTTCAGGAGACTCACCTGACATGGCTTGGGTATATACAGTAAGTACACAGCCCAGCAGGGAGCCTTCGAACAATCGTGTTTCGGCATCATGTCTCTGCCGTAGGCACCGAATCGAATCGCTGGAGAGGGTTACGACGCACGCCCCTCGAGGATGCCAGGATGCAGTATGCCAACACCCACCTGTGCATAGCGAGGCACCAGAGGATGGGGGTTGGGTGGGCAGGTGGAGCGAGGAACCCAGCGCGCCCGTATCCGAGGGACTTCAGCACAGCCAGGGCCAATGAAACCATCCATCAGGCCAACGCGTCAGCGCTGAGTTTTTCACAATGCCTGCACGCTTTCAGTATGGTGGTCTCAGATTGTGTACAGCTAGACCCAGCAAAATATTGTGCTGTCATGTTCCATCATCTTCTCAATTCGTTCTTTCCCAGTAAGCCGGGCCACCTCGGAGAGCCACCAGTCGCGTCTGATAGAGTAGAGTTCGCTAGTTTCCCAAGGCTGTGCAGGCCCTCGATGACGAAGGAGGCTGCCATGCTTGCGAGGGGTTGATTTAAAAGGAGAGAACTCAGCCTTGTGGAACATGGCGTGATCGTAGATACCAGGATGACGTATCAACCTCCAAAAGGCACCAACAATAGATACCTAGTGGTGGACAACATGGAGTCAGTTCCAGGTTGGATAGAGAATAGTATTCACCCTGCTTAGGAGCTAGCGATTCCGGCTTTATTCTGCCATCGCTGCCCGTCGAGCCGTCACCATAACACATCCTCCGAGAACGTCGCTTTGAAAACATCAACCTATTCGGGAGTGAAAAGACGAGTTGCCATCTCTTCAATGCCTCTGGGCGCCCTTCCCAAGATTTCACCAATCAAGGGATCAACCATCGCTGTCTCCCCCATCGCGATCCCATCCTGGTCTGTTGTTAGCATCAGATTGTCATATAGGGGAATCCATGGTTTTGTCTTTTAGGAGGCTTACATGCCAGCCACTCCAGCTCTCAACAACCCAGAAGTTGTCCTCAGGAACACTCTTCTTCTCAAACTTGTGGTACCGTTCAGCTTCCTGCCTGCCCACAATGTCGACTTTGACTTTTCGCCCGGTGTGCTCCTCAACCAGCTTGCCAACATCGCTGATGCTGGTCGTTCGTGGCCCGGTCAGGTTCAACGTCTGACCGAGATATTTCTCATAATTTTGGAGGATTTTGGCGGTGGCTTCACCCAGGTCGTCCCATGTGACCCAAGAAACAGGGCCGTCGTTGGGAATGACGAATCTGATGTCGCTTGTGTCGCCCTTCTTGAATTTCTGTGGTTGAAACCCAGCGTATAACCACCAGCTTTCTGCATAAATGCCCTCTCTCACAATCACATATTGCAAGCCACTTTGCGTCAAGTATTCAATAGTCTTGATATGCGCTTGCTGAACGCCCGCTATGCTGTCCAGGCCCGTCTTACCACCAAACATCAAGCTTGTGTAAATCACAGTCTTTACACCGGCCTGTTTAGCCGCATTAATGGCGGCTTTATGGTGAAGCCACCTATCGATGCTTGGAGAGGGAAATGAGACCAGGAAAAGAGCGTCGGCACCTTTGAATGTGGCAGCTAGCGAGCCAGGAGACGTGAAATCGCCTGGTCGGATCTCGACACCAGCATCCCGGGCTGCAGGCGACACATTACTTGGGTGGCTTGATGAAATGATCAGCTTTGACGGTGGAATTAGTTTTTGGCGGAGTAGTGTATCGAGGACTCGAGAACCTAGATGTCCTGTACTGCCTGTGAGGACAAGCATCGTAGTTTGCTTGTTCGCGTACTTATCGGGTACCTAACGAGTTTGTCGTGAAATTCACGGACAAATACGAGCAAAATCTTTGACGAGCTGTAACTTCCGCACTGCCGCTCGAAGGTCGTAAGCGTGCGAAATATATAGATCCAACACGTCCCTGATACCACAGAGAGCCAGGAGCGCCAGAGTTTTGCTTGGTAATGACGTTTCCAGGCTTCGGCAGATTTGGTCCGAAACAGATGTGGCAGTTGCTAGAGGAACCCGTCGGAGCGCCGTCCCCCAACTCGTGGGTGAAAAAGCAGCAGGCTGGGCTGTACTCAAGAATGGGTCTTTGCAATCCATGTCTTGTAGGCTCTTGAGGACCAAGCCTTGAGAACCAAGGACTTCTTTGCTGTTCCTTGGGGTTGTTGGGGCTGGCTCACAGCTAGTGCTGTACCCAGTACGGAGTAATATGCACAGCGAGATAGGCCAGACGCAGTCAAGGTGCTGCCCCGCCAAGCCCAAGAAGCACTTAACGCGTCCCGCCCGACGCGCCTGTAGTCATATACAGTGATTTGAGAACTGCGCTGCATGCTGGTTTCATGACAGCACAACCCACTTGAATAACAAGACCGCCATTCTCCGAGATCGCAACTATGTCAGGTCAAGCGGAATCATCATCTGCTGCGGCAAGAAAGGTTCTTAATGCTGCCAGCAGTGGTGCAACGCCTGAATACGAATTGCCATGGTACCCCGATTCCTCACCTTGAAGGAGAACGCAGAACAGGACTGACAGACGTACAGGGTAGAGAAATACAGACCTGTCTATCTCGACGATGTTGTGGGAAACACGGAGATTATTGAACGACTCAAGATCATCGCAAAAGATGGCAACATGCCACATGTCATCATTTCTGGGATGCCTGGAATCGGGAAGACCACCTCCATCCTGTGTCTTGCGCGTACTCTTCTGGGTGATGCATACAAAGAGGCCGTGCTGGAGTTGAACGCAAGCGACGAGAGAGGCATTGATGTTGTACGAAACAGAATCAAAGGATTCGCGCAAAAGAAGGTGACGTTGCCTCCTGGGCGGCACAAACTGGTCATTCTGGATGAAGCAGACAGGTATGGAGGTGACGGCGCCATGGCTACGCAAGTTCTAACACGGAGTCCAGCATGACACCTGGGGCACAACAAGCCCTGCGAAGAACCATGGAAATTTATTCGAACACCACTCGCTTTGCATTTGCCTGCAACCAATCAAACAAGATCATCGAACCTCTGCAATCCAGATGCGCAATCCTGCGGTTTTCTCGCCTCACGGACGCGCAAGTTGTGAAGCGCCTGATGCAAATAATCGAGGCTGAGAAGGTGGAATACTCCGAGGACGGTCTGGCTGCTCTCGTTTTCAGCGCGGAGGGAGACATGCGACAGGCGATTAATAACCTGCAGAGTACGTGGGCAGGATTCGGATTCGTGAGCGGGGACAACGTGTTCCGGGTTGTCGATAGTCCGCATCCAGTCAAGGTACAAGCTATGATTAAGGCATGTTGGGAGGGCAAGATCGACAGCGCAGTTGACTCTTTGAAGGAGCTGTGGTGAGTGGTCATTCTTCATTGTGGAATTGTCCGGCGATCGTGGAGCGCGTCCGCTAACCGGCATGGGGCAACCCTAAAGGGATTTGGGATACTCCTCATACGACATTATAAGCACTATGTTCCGAGTGACGAAAACTATTCCGACGCTTTCAGAGCATTCGAAGCTCGAGTTCATCAAAGAAATTGGCTTCACCCATATGCGCATTCTCGAGGGAGTCCAATCTTTTCTGCAACTGAGCGGGTGTTTGGCGAAATTGTGCAAGATCAACATGAAGCCGGAACTGTTTGAAGTTCCAGCATGAAAAGGAAGAGAAGACAAGTAATTCACGGCCGCACAACGCCTCGGTGTGCCCAGAAAACGTCGCAGACTCCTTCCAGGCGCTTTCGGACGAAGATGAGCGGAGAGTAAAGGGAGATTGCTTGGCAGGCCTGTATCGAGCGTCTTTAGGCTCCGAATCCGCCAATCTTCGCTCAAGGCCTGCGGCGTTCAGCGCTCCAACGGGCAGCCAACACGAGACGGGTGCCCGGGAGTCGGTCTCTAGCCCCCGACTGTCCGATCTGAAGCAAGGAGGAGAGGTCACTCCTGTAGAGGTCATTTCTTCCTTCCCAGGTTCCACGTCATCATCTGCTGATTTTTCCTTTTGAGGAAAGTCGACGACAATCACACTGATTCTCTATGGCTGATTTGATTGCTATGGGCTACGATGCTGAGGGTAGTTCGGGGAGGTTGCGGTAGGACAAGCGGCGTGACGCGTCAGACATATTGGCACGTCAATCGGGCAAGCTGCCACTGAGGTTGAAGAGTGGCCAAAACACCACCGAGAGCAACATACGAGAGTCGAATGACCCCTCGCTGGGATGGAAGTTTGTGAATGTAGCCGGTACCGAGAACAGCCTTTCAGGCCCCATGGCGATGAAAGCGGCGAGGCACTGAGAGTTTTGAGGCTGAGGTGCAGATGAAGGACTGCACAAGCGCATTCTTGAGATTTCCCCAGGTCCGCAAAAATAGCACACGAATCATTCATTCCATCAAGAACATCGAGGATTGAGTTTAGCCCCGATTGGGCTGGAAGCTGGCCCCGACGGACTGATGGGCATGCCAAGCCAATCGATCAGGCCAACCGTGACAGCCCTGGGCGGCCCTGGGAACAATTGGATGTGTCTTGATGTGCCTTGGCTAGGCTGCAAAAGGACTAAAGGACATGCCCTTGGTGACCTGCTACAGAGAAATTTCCCGCCCATGGCCTGCATGACGCGTCTTTCCTCCGACCTCCGTCCCTTGCGCTAAGCAGATTCTAACTGTTAGAGGCTAGCCCTGTCCCTTACCAGCCACCGAGTCCCCATATTTTGCTGCTAAGTTCGGACTCCCAAGCAACCGCTTCCAGCCATGCGGTAAGGCTGTGCTCTCCTCCACTTGGTCCCCCAGCCAGCAAACGCCGAGCAAGCGGTGGTCTGTCCCTCAAGAGTCAGGACGAGGGCCGGGGCCACAGAACAACAAACGCACGGCTCGCCTGAGGCTGGTTGTGGGGGACAAAAATCCCTATATCTTTCCCTTTCCCTGCCTCCTCCCACCGCTCTTGCACTTCTTCAGCGACCTGCCCCAACAGACAATCCATCCTCCTGAACAGAACTTAGTCGTCGACCGATATCCTTGACGAAGAGACGTCATCATATACTCATTCATCGCAAGTCCTCTCTCCAAGCATATCAGATATCCCCAATTCAGGATGAAGTCCTTCGCATCGGCCGTGCCCTTGGCGGCAGCCCTCTTCACCACCTCCACTCTCGCATGGCTCCCATCCTGCTCGGTATGTCCTGCGCGCACTTCCTTCTCGCAAGCGATGCTAGTTCTAACCAATTGCTTAGTGGTCTGACTGCATGGGAAGCTGGGATGGCACATCCTGCAGTGCTTCCAGCGGCTGGGACTGCCTCTGCTCCAATCAAACTGCCATCTCCCAATTGAACACCTGCGTCGCAACCTCCTGCACCAACACCACCGATCAAGAGGGTGAGTAGCTTCTTCCTGCGAGATGAGAATAGAAAGAGGAGCCAGCGAGCTGACAGTTGGACACAGCCATCTACGGTGCCATTGCACAGCTTTGTGCCAACGCAGGAAGCCCAGTTTCTGCCTCTCAAGAAGCCACCTTCAGCGCTACCTCCGGTGGCTCTGCCTGGCCTTCTCAGATCACTGCTGCCCCCGGCTTCGGCCCAGGTGGCGGTTGGAACTCGGCTCAGTGGTCAAGCTGGATCTCTGCTTGCTCCACCGGTTTGCCCTCTGCTCCCAGCGGTTGGAACGGACAAGGTCCATGGGGCGGTCCCGGCATGTGGGGTGGTCACGGAGGTCCTGGTTTCGGGCCCGGTGGCTTCGGTCCTTGGGGCACGAAGGCCAGCGGTGTCAACTGTGATCAATGGACCACATGGACGGCTGGCTGGGGTCCTTTCTCCTCGTGGACCGGTACCTGGTCTGGCTGCAGCACTACGACCAACACTCCTGTCCCTGCGACCATCACCACAACTGTCACCACCGGCGGCTCGACTCAAGTCATCACTGGCACAACTTTCGGTATCCAAGCCGTTGCTGCTGCGGCCACAACCACCTCGAGCTCGGGCAACGCTGCTCCTTCTCTTCGAGGTCTCGGCGCTTGCGGCGCGCTGGTTGCGGCCATCTTTGCCACCATGATCGCTTTGTAATCGATTGCACTTCCAGGAATTGCCTTCTTGACAATGGGCATAGTACATTTTTGATACCACTGCATTGGACACGGAGCAAATGAGTACACTGAGACGGTCAGGGACACGAGATTGATGACTATCACTATTATAAGCCTTCATGATGGATTGTATTGTTAATGGGAGTTGGGAAGTTGGTCCATATCACTTCGACCCATTTAAAAATCGGAAATATTTTGCTCCCAAATATGTGTCGCCCGCATTTTCTTATCCCGTCTAGCCATCCGTCGACCACGTGACTGAGCTGTAAACGTGTTGGGACGAGGCTGATGACTGCCAAGAACTTTGCCCGTTCAACCTGCCAATGCATCCTTCACATTGGCAGTTCGAGTCTTGACTAAATAACACGCAACATGAAAACTGTCTGGTGATCTGATCGTCACTCGAGAGTCGGGGAGCCAGGCAATCACTGTATCGACGAGGCAGCAATCTGAATGAGATGCGGTCCTGCAATTCGTACTTGTACTTGTTACACAGGGTGAATTGTCGCTGCCTGATATAAGTCAGTCACATGCTCCTGCCACGTTGAACGTCTCTGGCCACTACTTCTGCTACATACTAGTCACCACCGAAGCGTCTCTTGGGTATCGCGAAAACTAATTCTTCTCTATCTACTTGTATAGATTTCTTTCATCCGCTTCGTCCTCTAATCCGATCCTCTCCGACTTGACAGAAGAAAACCTACTCCCTCATCCAGCTCCTATCAGCCATGAAAACAATCCATCGCCTGCCTCTGCTCTTGGTCTTTTGGTGCCTCGCCCTTACCAAGGGGACCTGGGCTCAAGACGATGTTGATGCATGCGCCGTAAGTGACTGACGCCTGCTTGGTAAGGGGGGGGGGGGGAAACGATATGCCTTTGATACTAAACTCCTGCAAAGCTCGACTGCGTCGCAAATGTCAATGGCACAAATTGTCAGCGAAGGTAGGATTTTGGTTGTGAGCAATTTTGTGCGATGGGTATCTAACTTAGCGGACAGCGAATGGCCATGCCTATGTGCCAACAACATGTACATCGAGAGACTGAATAACTGTACCGTGGCTTCCTGCAATGCTACTGATCAAGAAAGTCTGTCCAAGCTCCCCAATGTTGCCGCCGCTGTGCTGAGATTTACCTCTTACAGTCACCTTCTCTGCGATCGCTGAGATTTGCGCAATATTCAGCGTGCCTGTGACCGTGAGTCTCCCGGATGCTCTGGGGAAGTTGACGTCGACGTCTCGGCCCTTCTCTTTGATGGCGATGATCTAGAGATCGAGACTTCTGCCTCAGAATTGTACTGAAGAAAGACGCTTACTTGTCGCGAACAATAGATTGGGCCCGAGGCGACTGTTGTTACATCGACATCCAACCCTTTGTTCAGCACAGTGGCGATACCAAATCAATCGACCATGCCTCCTGCAACAACTCCCGCGTCTTCAGGTGCTTCTGTGACGTCGACATCGACAAGCAGTGTAAGTAATTCCATGAGCTCGACCGCAAATTCCCCAACCGCCTCTGGGACTTCCACTAGCCTAGGAGCCTCCCCGTCGCAGTCGTCGAATGATGCGGGTCGGTTCAACTCACCTTCGGAATTTATCTTAATCTTGGGCGTGGGAATTGCAAGCCTCGTGAGCATGGTCTCGCTTTGACGGTGGCAGATCAGTGACAAGGATATTCCAGCCGTGAACTGAGCCGGATTTCTTAGGGAAGCTAGGAGAGTCCATCGGCTTCCAGAAGCGAAATCACTGGCGGTCTTTTATGTGTCCAAGGCGAAGAGCAGCGGTTCATGCAGGGTGACCCGCTTGCACAGGGCAGCCAATGACCAATCTAGCAGATAAAGGAGGCCGCCAGGCTAGCGGCGCCGGGAGGCTGGAGCAGGGAGCATGGAGGCTTTCAGGAAGCGGCTGGCCCTACTTCTTAGGGATTGCCCTGGACACTCTCCAGAGGATCTTCTCCTTTAACCTAATGACAGGTATGACATAATATCGCACGAATTTGTGAATTTGAATTGTTCCGTGGGAGACATCTCTACCTCTCCTGTGGACCTGACACATACGAGTATACCCAGAAATGGTCGGAAATAGAGCCATCCGACCGAATATCCAGTCCCCTGATTCATATCGGACACACCTTTGCATAGAGAAGGGAGGCGGGCAGGAGGTTACCGTGAGGGAGGTCGAGTCGTTGCTCGAGAATCGTTTCCCCTTTTTCTCCCCAAAGTGATGCCCAATTGCCCATCACCCGTTGCGGAAGTCTAAATAACCCAGCAGGCCGCCCCAGGAGTCAGAAAAGGCCATCTTGGGCCGTCTAGCCCCGTTGGCTGCATTACGGGGCGCACGCGGACAGTTGTTGGAGATGGTTGGGCACCATGATCTGCGAGCCCATGTCTTTTTCCCTTTTTCCCAGGGGCTAGAGCGTCTTTTGAGTTGTAGGAAATATCCAACCCTAGCAAGTCAATTGTACGAATATGGAGTGGCGGAAGGGAAGTCCCGGGCGTGGGATGCCGTTTAGCGATCAATAAAAGAAGGGAGAGCGAGGATCGCTTAGGCCAAATGGTGCGAAGTGGCTCAAACCTCGTCAAACCCGCTGGGAAGTGAGAGAAGGTGATTCCGGGAGGCACGGTGGCATGGTGGCACAAAGGCCAATATAATAGGGCAAAAGGATACGGGATAGTCTCGAGTCAGCCCGAGCAGGGCACCGAGAGGAAAGACTGTTTCCCTTGTGTGTGCGTCTCCCTCTCTTTCTCAACGTTTCTCTTTTTCAAAAACGCAGATGAGGGCTCGGCCGCATGAGTGTGTTGCCGGTTCACCCAGGATTCCAGTCGAGGTCGCAGGATGCTGCACAGGCGGACGAGAGCCAGCAGTAGCAGCAGCAGCGGCAGGAGCACCAGTGAAGAGAGTTTGCTGTGGTCCTTGTTCCTGCATAATCGAAGCGCAGCAGAAATTCTAGGGCTCTTGGGGCTCCTTGGACTCCGTGGGTTCCTTTTCCCAGCCAGTGGCCGCCAACCGCAGCCAGCATCAGCACCTGCGCTCCTCCCACCAGAAACACCGCCGTCCATCGCCCCTTTCCACTACCACCACCCATTCACTCCCACACACACACCCACGTCGCTGCTGCTGCTGCTGCTGCTGCTGCTGCTACTGCACCCAGCTCCAGCTCCAGCTTCAGCTCCAACCTCAACTCCAACAACACCGCCACGGAGCCTGCAGCCCTCGATCGCAGCCATCTATCACCGCGGGCGCTTGAAAAACAACCTGTTAGAGATGCACCTGGCCTGACTCCCGAGATCCATCATCCCCATCCTCCTTTTCCAGATCCGCGGCTATTGACCTCATCCTCTGCCGAACCTGCTCCTCCCCCCGACTACCTGCTCTATCAACAGAAGCCTCTCCCCCCTCCACCTGCACCTTCACCGTCACAAGCGCCCAGTTCGAATCGCAGATCCTTCCTCGAAGCGCTGCTCCCGTGGCAGGGCCAAAAACGAACCATTCCTCCCGACAACCGCTCTGCCACTTCGCGCGTCCTCAATCCCATCAACTACGTCCCCCGTCCTACTCCAGTCCGAGTCCAGCCACAACGGCCTCAACTCTCCACCGACGTTGGCGGCGGTGCTCGCGGCACGGGGGAGGTCCATACTCTTCTTTCCCTTCCCGAACAACGTCGCTCACGTCAACATTCTCCCACCGACCCCATTGTTGAACACAGTCCACATCTAACCCCTACTGGCGACAGAACCAGCATAGGCCTGCCTTTTAATCAACAGCGCGGCAACAATTTCCTTCCTGAATCTTCGTCACGAGGTGTTGGGCTGATGGTCGACCTCGAAAAGCAAGAACCTGGCGGCCTCAAGCCGCCTGAACGCACGCACACAGTACCTACGTCTAGATTTAATGCAGATAACACGACGACGACGACGACGCAGCAGCAGCAGCAGCAGCAGCAGCAAGGCTCCTCTGTGCTAGGACAGAGCTATGGCGTCAACCCCCTGGATCAACCTCTACAGCCCCCTCGCCGCATTACCTCTCACAAGTCATTGAAACGAGCACAATCAGCCGCATCAATACACTCCTCTGCATTTGGTGGGAGGACATACACAGACAGCGGCCAACCCCCAAATACAGCATCACTAGAAGATGTCGAAAGAGGAGCACCCAATGGAGATGAAGATAGCGACGTCGCCGAAGAACTGGCCTGGGGCCCTTCCCACCCTTGTTTCCCGCATCGGAATCCCCACGTCCCCGTACACTCACCCGAGTACTTGGCCACACGCATTATCCGCATCCGGCGCGACTGGATGGTGGTGGGCGATCTCGCACCTACGTTCTCAAACATATACCCCGAAATCCTCGACCCATTAATGCAAGAACAAGAATTTCGTTATGTAATCGAACACATCAATCAAACTCTCTGTCAAGCATACGACCCTTTCTCGGCGTGGAACTGGTTTGATGGCATGATGGGTGTACTAACAGGTTGGTTGTGGGAAGACTTTCGACCCTGGGGAATCAAAGGCGCTCTGAGGGGGCTAGAAGAATGGTTGGAGGACTGGAATCATACCGTCGGTGCGCGGGATGGAGTGAAGCTTATTCCCTTGAGGAGGACCGGGTACATGAATCTGGATATCCAGATCCCCGATCCTCAGGTCAGAGTCGTGGGTGAGGATGGGGAGAGTCAAGGCCGGCGACCTAATACAGAAGGGACGGGGACAGGGATTGCGCCACCGCAGAGCGCAACGATCGGCTTGACAGGCACGTCGCCCTAATGTGCTGGTTGCGATATTGCGGATGAGCTGAGGAGGCAAGAGAGATGTGCTGGTGCCACGGAAGGTGTCGAAGGAGAACCTCCTTCTTTCTTTTGTCTTGCTTATGTTATACTTGTGCATATTGGACACATTTCAGGGGGCGTCGTGGCTGCGAATCACAGGATCCAGGGCATCTTAGCCGGGGGTTTTAGCATGGCGTTTTCGATGTCTTTTTGAGCCGCAGGAGCATCGGCAATGGGATTGGAATATAGGAGCGTGTTCCAATAGAGACGCAGCGTTCGATCCCGAAGGGCGAACGGCTGTCAGTTGGTCAGGTTGTATTGTTTACATGTCCCACAAGACTGTCGGTCCAGGCGGAGGGAGGCTCTAAGCAATTCAATCTCTGTATCATTGTGTGTGTACAGCTAGCTGCTCGATGACATGAAAACAAGCTGCAGGTTCATCATTCCTTCTCCCTCATCATCTTCCCCCCGTTTTTCTTCCCTTCTCCCTGTAATATCAAGAAGCGGGTTTCTCCTGAGTGAGCCCTTGAAGGACCTTGAATACTGACAGAGTATGTACATCGAACAGAGGCATATATATACATCCCGTGAAAAGAAGGAGGGAGAGAAGGGAGAGAAGAGGCCCTGGATCTATTGAGAATAGGTACCTCAGGGCAGGTGCATATATACCTATAAACCTATCTCGCCGAGGTATTTTCTGCGTTTGCATAACAGCAAGTAAAAAAAGCAAGCAAGAAAAGACGCCGATTGAAATTGATTCTGGTCCAGTGACATATGCACACGATTGTTAGTCCCAACGCCTTTGCTATCCAATCCTCCTTGCCTCCTTGCCCCTTATCACTCCGTTGGTGTTCGTTCCCAAGCACTATCTTCCCCCCCATCTCCATCACCGTCCATCAACACAGAGTGTCCTTGCGTGCCTGTTCAGTCCGTCCACTCCATTTGGTCTTGATCAGTCTACATCCTCCACCACTGGTCTTCTCCTGCCGACAGCCCTGGTAGTTGGTCGTCCCAGTGTGTTTCCGGTTGTTGCTGTTGTTGTGGCTGTTCGTCTGTCCATGCTTCGACTTGCCCGATCGCCAAGGGATGTTGCTCCGGATGGTTCGGCCACAGGTGGGCGAAGTCTTTATTGTTCGAAGGCTCTGCTTCTCCATGAACGCTGGGCTCTCGTCGTCCGTCGATGCGTGGCTCGTCCTGGCCAACAGCGCAAGGATCCCCTCGTCCCTCATTCTGGCACCCTCCTTCCGCTGCCCTCAAATGCTGCCCTTTTTCAAGGTGGTGATACCTGATCCATTGCATGTGCTCACCACATTGCATGGCGGCATAATCTCCAGCTCCGTAGACTCTCATCCTCTGACGGAGGACTTCTCCGAAAACCTCGAATGCTGCGGACCATTGACCATGCTTTCCCATTGCCAACGCTCTGCAATACAGGAAGTCCGCTCGAGCAGTGGCCCTTTTTGATGGACTCTGTCCCTGGCAGCAGGTTCGAAGTCCCTCTTCGATCCAGAAGTCGCTTTCCGCGTAGTTTCCAAATGTAAAATGAGTCATTGCCAGCTGAGAAAGGCAAAGCAGAAAAGAGGTGAGACTGCTTTCAGTCATGTACTTTCTGCGCCTGCAAAAACACATACTGTAGAGCTCGTTGGCGTGTTTCAGGGCTGAATTCATACTGCCAGACGACACAGAAACATCGCAGAGACATCTGAGCAGCTCTCCCATTCCAGCATAGTCGTGCCCGAGACCCCGTGCCATTATGTCTTTTCCAGACAACATGATCATCTCCGATGTTGCGAGCACACCACCAAAAGACCGAATTAGAGTCCTCAGAAGCAACGATACCGGGTGATCAACACCATACGCATTGCCTGTTTTCTCCACAATCTGACGGCTCACCATCCTGTTCATCGTCGATGTCCAAGACTGTGTACCTTGGCCGCAACTGACTATTATTCTCAGCAAACTCATCGTCACGTATCCACAATCGTATTTTACCATTCCTGGAATCAATTCGAGCGTATCGAGCAAACGACTTTGTATACTGATCAGGGACATATTTTGATCTATGGCCACCAAAGCACTATAGGCTCTTGCAATGAGCTTATCGAGGAATCTCGTAACCTCACCTAAAAAAACAGTATCCAGATTAGGATCTGCACGCTCGACGTGGGTTTGGAAAAGCACCTTAGCATAGTGCAAGGCCTGGTCTTGGGCCCGCAACGGCTCGGGAGAACTGAGGAGGCGCAAGCTAGGAGATCGAGAAGCAAGAGCCAGACCCTGATTGATGTACTGGAAAAGCGTGACGTGCTCGTCTCCGGCGAAAGGTGAGCGACCAGCACCCTGTCTCGTATCCTCAGGTTCAGCCTCATCAGAGTTTCCTCCGACAGATGGGCTTGGAGTGCGATATTCCACACCGTCAGGAGTATGTGGGACCGGGGAAAAGCGTGCTGGATTGAGGCGTGTACGCTTCCAGTAATGTCCGACATTCTCGCGGGAGCGAAGCTGTCCCCGGATCAGGAAAGCTGTGTCCTTTCCCTGTCTTTCCTGTAGTTTTTGGAAGGCAAAGATTATGTCGGATTGCTGCAGTCGAGGTCAGATTTGATTGTCGATCTGCCTGGCACACAAAAGACCCGCTGCCCACCTTGTTCTTCTTGTCGAGCCTCCATTTTTTGATATATGTCTTGTAGTGGCATTCTCTTCAGCAGTTGTCAATTGCCAAGCACTTGTCGAAATGATACAACGCTCACCTAGCATGGAACCCTTGCTGTCCGAGAATCTCCACGATCTCGGGAAGCTTCTTCCTTTGATGTTGATAGAGGTCTGTGAAAGTCGGGCGGATCTCCTCCCATTCTTTACGCGCATGAGGGTGAAATCGTCTCTATTACCTTTGACTGTCGTGCTTACAGCTCATGCCACAGATGCCAAACACAAAAGTCGTTGGACGGTCAGTTCGGCCGGGATGGCCAAGCTCACAGCCTCAGCATTGCAAAAGTCGTTGCAGACAGAGGCTACGCTGGCACTAATGCATGGCTGGGACTGCGTGCAGCATTAGCGGCTCGTATTTCAGGAGAAAGGAAACACGATTGGCCTAAGATCAGACCTTCACGCATCCAACAGGTCAAGGAGGAGAATCCCAGAGGCGACGGTGTGTCCAATCGAAGCCATCACGGACACACCACGCTGCCTGCCGCGGTGATCAATTGATTGATCCATTCTGGCCTTTTACAGAGCAGAAGGCGTCCCCTGTCCTGCTGTGTGGTTGACTCCTCTGCCGGTGATGGGGGGAGCCAGCCTGATGGCAGCAGGTCTGTTGGTCTGTCTCTTCTTAGTCGTCCTTCTCGGGCAAAACGCGCTCTCTATTCCTCAAGAACTCTTCCACAACACCCTGGAAATCGGGTGCAATGTACGGCTCGAAATACTCCCTGAACCAGTTCTTGATCACATTCCACCACCCTGTCTCCTCCATCGGCAGAGCTCCGCCATGCCGCTCCCGCATCCGATATCGTTTGCGCTGCGACTCTACCCCCAAGTCCCGGCAGAGTACGTCAATGTAGCCTCGTGCCTCAAGGATCAATTCTGGCGCCCTTGCGCCACGAAACCCGTAGCGGCGTTCTTGGAAGGCTTGATTGAAGCGTATTTCGGCATCGGCGAGGAGTTTGAGGTCCTCGGCCCCCCGGCCATGCTTTCTCGACTCCCCACGCCTCGGCTTTGATGTTGACGAAGGCGGTGGGATGGTCAATCTGTCGGCGTCAACTCTGTCGAGGAGAGGCATCGGCACTCGAGTGAAGAGATTCTCAAGCCACGCCACAGCCCAAAGCGCGCCAATCTCAGATGTAGCTGCCGTCTGGGCAGACGATATGAAGCCAGCAAAGGCGAGCGTGCGGTCGTCCCTGGCAAGGTGGCTAGACGGGATGATGAAGCGATAGAGACCCCATCGCGTATGCGAAATGGTGCTGGTAGGGGCTTGACGTTGGAAAGGTGTTTGGTTTAACGTCCCCGGGAACAGCTTTCGTATCTTGCCGTCGTAGAATTCAAGGGGTGGCAGAGCCGAGTCACTTGGGGTTATGGGAGACGGTATGGGAACGGCGCCCTTTGTAGATGCCGACAGGATTTTGTTCTTGTTGTTGATTCTGTGTAGGGGCACAGGGAGGCCAATCTCTGCTGCTTCTTCCGGCTCAAAGAAGTCAACGCCGGGCTCCCAGCCTATACTCCATATAATAGCATCAGCTGGGAGACGCCTCTGTCCCCTGTCCTCCTCGTCCACGACAATTTCTCTGCCCTCGCATTTCAGCGGTGTTGCACGATAGACGGTGAGTTTGTCGGGGTTGTCCTCATGTAACGCATCAAAGAACGGATGGCCCTCTACAATCAGACTGAGGTAGGTGGCATAGAAGAACATGGACTTTCCCTTCGGCTGAATTTTCACAGAGTTTCGACTCTTCCCGTAATGGATCTCCCTCGTGATCGCCCAGCTCATCAGATTGAGGAATCCTTGAACGATCCAGGTGCCTAGAATCCAACGTCCAGAGTGGAGAAAGCCGTACCAAAACCCGCCGGTGCTCCAAATCGACGGCGAAAAGATGGGAAACAATCTTGTGACCGCGAGCGCCAGGGGGTTGGGCTTTGCATCGGGATGAGAGATGATCAGAGGCGCGCCCTGATCTGAAGGCCGAATGATCCAGTGGACTCGCTTGTTGGAGGCGAGGAAGACTGAGCATGCTTCAACAGCTGATTTGCAGCCTCCTATCACGACCACATCTTTCACCGTGGTATCTTTGGAGATGTTCTCGTGCACGCGGCCTAGGTCGCGCGAGTGGACAGCTGTACCAGTATAAGCGGAATCAATGATGGGGATCGGCCTAGGCTTTGAATACAGTCCCGAGGCGACGATGAGCTTGTCGCACTCGAGCACTTCGCCGGACGCCATCTCGACAGACCATCCTGGTTGCGATGGCGCTTTTCGCTTGTAGACTTTGACGACGGTCGCGGAAAACCGAATCTTGTCGTACACATCAAACCTGCGAGCGTACGATTCCAGATACGCCTGTTCTCTGGCGGCTGGGATCAGTGAGTTCCACGGATGGTCAGCATCTACCATTGAGAAGTCGGAAAGCTCGTAGTATCCATTAGGGGCCTGGACCGTCAAGCCCGGATAATGACGCTCTGTCGTCCACACGCCGCCTGGGTTCTTTGCTGCGTCGAGGACGATCAGGTCGAGCGGTCGCCCGAGATGGTTGCAGACTTGCAAATAGGTCTTTGCGGCAACAAGGCCAGCGAGGCCAGCGCCGATGACGATGACACGTGTTGGAGCAGACATGAGTAGTGATGTCGTGGCTATGTAGAGTCGTTCTTTGTGCCTCGACTCAACGATAATATGAGATAACCAACACAGACCCGGCTATCCTTGGACGCCTGACGTTTGCCCGGTTGTAGAACAACGTGGCCATGTGCCTTTCCGAGTCAGAGAAAAGAGACCAATGCGATGGTGTCGAGGGTTCTTTGGGTCTTAGCTCAGCTGATGGTTTGCCCGGGAGCATCTTCACACACACGAGCAAAGTACCAGGCTGCAAGGCTGCAACAGCTTTCGGAGTTGTCACAGCTGTTGAATAAGAAAGGTGAGGCACTAGGCTGTCGGAACGCGCGAGCCCCTCTATCCAAATCAACTTGTAGACGCCTACTTATGATTGGCATGCTTCGCGCAGGCGAGGAGCGCAGACGTTCCAGAACTGTCGACGAATCCCGCTGGAAGACGGTCCACACAGCTGCTCGACTTTCCAAGTTTCTGCATGCTACCTCTCAATCCGTCGTCGAACTAGCCATATCGAGGATTTTCGCGAGCTGGCCTCCTGAGTGGAGTAATAGGGACCTTCAGCCACAATCCAAGTCGGCACAGGTATTCACGGCTCTTGTATGGATACAGAGTCGAATTCGATTACCTGAAACAAGATCGTCTGGGTCAAGATCCTAAGTATTCCTTCAATTAGTGGCCGACGGGTGATCATCACCAAGGCTGCAAAGTGACGTCTCTTTCGAAGCGAAACAGGGATCTGGCTTCAACATAGGCCACCGAGGCGAGCGCCTACCGAGAACCATGGCAGCTTGATGCAAGGAAGATTCCTGTCAAGCAGTAAGGGTGCGGGAGACAGGGGCGCACCATCGACCACGTCCATTTTTGCGGACGTATCGAATCGTGAATGTAGATATGTATATCTTCTAGCACTCCCTTGTTCGGGTCTCCTTACTGGGTCTGATTGGGAGACCAGTGGCCAGATTGCTCAGGGGGCTGACGACCACGCTGAAATTCAGGAATCAAATGATGGTCAGAGTGAGGCGCTTCTTGAAGGTAAGGTTGGATATAATGGTCCCTGATGGCTGGACCGTCACTCGATCGCACCATTCGGTGCCACCTCTGATTGGAAACACAACATAGGGAACTGCCTCCAGCCATATTCAGAAGCTTTTGCACTGCTTCATATCCGCCGTCCTCTCTTCACCCAAAGGAAGAGGGTTGAGAAAGCCCGAAACGGTACCGACCAACACGACGGCAGCTATTTTACAGAAGGTTCCTCCTTTACATGCTTCGAGCCATGCAAACAAGATAGTAAGGGCCAACAAAAAGTAGAATTCCGCCCGCCTATTCCCGCACTTTTCCCCGTCGGAATGCTTTTGGCTGTGAGCCAGGATTACCGGTTCTCACAAAATCATAGTCGTACATCATGCAAGTCGAAAAAGTGTCCTGGTCATACAAACTCATGTATCATGACGAAAAGAACGAGGTATAATTCATCAATGTAATGAAATGCCGTTGCCCACAAAGGAAAAAAGGTTTCCGAGTCGTTATATGTCGTAGAGTCGTGGCTGCAGAGATCAAGATGCTGATATTGAGCCTGCTTCAGCTTGGGCTCTCGTTTGATTGTCGTTTGAGTCCACCACGAGGCAGGAGGTCGAGGCAGACTGAGAAGATGCGGACAATCTGCTCTTCCCAGATGCCCATTTCAAAGTCGACGAGTCCATACTGTTCGAGTTGATCGCACATGCTCACCAATTCCTCTACCAAACTCGTCACCGCTTCGGCCGAGAGCACATCCACAGGTTGTCTCTTTGTTCTCAAGGCTTCTTCTGTGATTTCTTTTTGCTTTTGTCCCAGAGCCTCCCAGCATAGATTCAATTCTCGCCAGAAGTCAATGCGCTCCGCATGTCTCGTCTCGTCGTCATGGTGCAGACCTGGAAACCATTAGGATCGTGTCCCATTCCACTTAGCAAAGATTGAGCTTACCCAAAGCAGTCACAGAGTTGACCAGCCACCGAGAGAGAGCAAGCAGTTTCTCGCTGGCTGCTGTTACTCTGCCCGCAATGATCGCATCGAAAGTGGCCCTCAGCTGCTGGTGGTAGTCTCGCAGACCCTGTTCGAGCGCTGCTTGGACGCCGCTCAATACAGCTGGAGCTTCTGGCTCCGCTTGTTCCATGACAGGAAAGTCGACATGCCCCGCAGCATAAGATTGACCTATAGGTGGTCGAGTCACAGCCACATGGCCATAGCTGCTCTGCTCCGGTTGAGAAGTCAGGTACTGAGCCGGGCCGGAACTCAACGTCGCTCCTGCATGCTCGCTCTGCTGCATGTACTGGGGCATCGCAAATTGGCTTGTCATCACCTCGAGTGCCGTCTGTCGCTGCTGGAAAGGGATGCTTTCGTAAAGACCCTGTGGTCCCACTGGCGGAAGCATGGTGGAGGCGGCGTACTGCGAAAACGGCTGGTGCTGTTGTTGGGATGGAGAGGCCTGGACTTGTTGCTGTCTGGATGCCTGCGACAGGTATGCGGGTGAGTATTGCATCTCAACTCCTTGCATCGGGCTACTACTCTGCAGGTGGGAGCTCCCATACTGCGGCTCTTGATATCCATAGCCAGTATAGCCCGAAAGATATGGTCGCGTCATTGAAGGTCTCCCAATATCCGTTCTCGCTGGCGTTGCTGGCTGTGTAAACCTATCGCCTGAGGGTGGACCCATGGCTTCTCCTGGTAGAGGGCGCGATGGCGCATGTGATTGGTATGGTGGTCCATACTGGGTGCGCCGACGGTCATTGCCGTCCATTTAAGGAAAGCAGACTCGTCTGTCGACGCCAGGTTGACAGAAACAGTCTTGCACCTCCTGAAGATAGTGTGCCCTAATGTGATATGGTGGACCTAGAAGGACAGCCTCCTCCTTAACCCACGGATACCTCTCCTTTCCCCCTTGCCTGAATTCGTTCCCTCATGCAACCAATACCAGGCGGACAGAGGCAGGGGGTCGATATCGCAATATCGGCAGAGAGTTTGCGCCGGGTCTCGTGTGATGGCTGCCCGCACAGACGCAGCGAAGTAAGATAATTGAAAGAAAAGATTTGATGCCACCTCTCGAGCCAGGAAGACTTCCAACGAACGACAACAGAAGTGCGAAAATGGTTTCGGATTGCCGCCTGTTCCAAATACTATGTTGAATGGACCAGCGGATGGGGCTCCCTTGGTTGGATATTCGGTCGCTATCCTGTTCTCTCGCTTCGCGCGTCCGAGGCGCAAGTCGTCGAGTCAACCACAAATGAATAGACGGCGATTTCCGCCGCACATGGAGGCGCGAATGGTCTCAGGATATGCTCCAAGTCAACAGCCAAAAGAAAAAGTCTCGCGCAATAGTTTCGTACAGGGTGGATGAGGCGTCGAAGGATAGGTGGGGGGTCAGTGGCGTCAACGGGGTGGATAGAAGGAATATATCGAAATGTTAAGACACGAACGCAAGTACATGGAGGAAAGGATCGTACGAAACATATAAAGGAGCGTTCGGTAGCATAAGGAAGAAGAAGATCCAGGTACCTTGGAGTTGTGGAGGAATGCAATGTATACAAAAAGGCCTGAAGTGCAGCTGCCGTGGCAGGCGAAAGTGCGCACGACTCAAATCAATAATAAACACTCTAACCAAGGAGACTTGGATGGGGAATGGCGCAGATACCGCATGGCAGTATTAGATGGGTCGCTCGTTCCTAGTACGTCAAAGTTAACTCCTCCCAGCGCGGCCGGTGATGTCGTTTTTCAGCAAGTTCCAGCAGAGCAAGCAAGGCGTTTCTTGCCGGGTGTCAAAGAAAAAAGTCTTTTGAAGTGGGCAGCGCCACAGGAGGACAGAGATGCCCACCACGCCTGGGGGCGAATGCAAAGGGTCCGTTTTCGAAGAGGCCAGTCTGTGGGAGACCACCTCTGGGCGTCGGGTTCGAGGCAATTCCCGCCCGGTCAGTTCGGTGCTGTGCTCAGTACTGGGTACCTAGGGCTTCAAAATCAAGCTGTCACCTCTCAGTGGACATTGGCGACACTGCCCAAGGTTCATGGATGATGAGTGATGACACCCTCGCCAGCGTCAGGAATGGGATGACCCTTGGGCGAAACCAGGCGAAAGAAGCATCTGAATGGGCATGACGTCCCCGCCAGTGGATCTGTTCCAGGACCATTGCAAGGGGTTCGCTAAAGGCCGAAGGACGTTCTCATCAAGCGCAAGGGAGCTGAACTAGCCACTGGTCTGACAAGGCTTGCATCTTTAGCCTGCCACTGGCACCCACCTGCCGGAGCGCCAGGCGAGATTTAGAGTGTGGCGCCCAAGGAACATCGAGCAGGGGGTCATGCAACCTGGTTGGACCTCAGTCTTTCATACCGCCCGCATCACACCTGATCCTAGGCGTGAGCATTGGCTGCCCCGTCGTGGCCTGGATTGCGCGCAGGCGGGAGAAGCTCCAGACGATGCTCTAGAAGCAGGCATTAACCAAGACGACGACAAGTCGCCAGTGCTCAACCTCAGCTGCGATGGTATATATCCATTGGGCCGATGAGGTGATGGGCACACTTCTTTCGGGCCGCTGATTGATTCTAAAGTAGTTATTATAAAGGGCCCTCAGGTCCGACTCGGGGATGTGCTGTGTCACACAGGGCCATTGGGCAGCTGTACAACCGCTATTCGACAGCTGGCACCTTCTGTAAGGATTCGAACAATGCTCGGATTTCACCGTGGCTGTGTGCAGACTACTGGGTACTCTGGCAAGATCCCTTGTCCATAACCGAACGCGATGCCTCGGTCAAGGAGGGAGAATGTGATCTCTCAAACGGACGGAGGCGCCGGCGCCCTGTCGCGAAACGAGCCTTCCAGGCAACGGACGGGATATCCCAAAAAATCGCAATGTGTAGTACCGCCGTGGTCAGCATGACTCTGGCTTGGGAATCGTCCCAATAATGAATTCATGTCCAAAGACAGTTGTCCGACATCGATTGAACAAGTCAATAGAGCAATTAAGGTCCCAATGCTTTCTATTCCGATATTAACTTGTTGACAGCGTACCTGACATGCCCTCGATCTAGAGGCGTTGTCGAGCCGAGCCTCATTAGCCAGTCGGATGGCAACAGTGGAAGCAGCGACCCAAAGATCTGGCGAGCTGTCAGCTAGAGCCCATGAAGCGTGAGTGATGTGCCTGTGTCAGAGGTGGCTGCAATGCAAATACCCACGCCTGACCTGTCATATGGCTGATGAAGCCACGTCTGTTATCCATACCGAGTACGCATCCTCCCTTTCGTATCTATGTACCTAGAGTCCATAAAATTGTTGTCTATCCCACCTGGGAATTCAGCAACAATCTCCCGGTCATGCAAACAGCACGCACCAAGGCACCCACTTATTCCCGAGTACTCGTGCTCCAATTTTGTCCTCGGGGCTTGACCTGCATGCTGTATGCGTCTTCGGGGACGCGACGAGGCGGCCTTGGACTCTTACGTCCAATGATATCTTTGACATAATTTCAGATGCATTATTGGCATATCCGTGCGACGGCGGCGGAGTGGGAACAAGGAGTCCTGCAGCATGCATTTGTTTCACACCCGGTTCCTTGGGTGGTTTAGGTTCCCAAAGATCTCCGCAGCCCGACAGCAAAATCAAAAATTTTTATGGAAATTGGTAAGATTGAACGCATTCTGACCTGTGGCCTTGCTACCGAACACAGCCCAAACGGGTTCAGGCACAGCGGTGGTGCTAAGTCCCGATGAGCATCTTAAACTTTCCTCTGGTGGGGTCGTTTGATGTGTACTTGGTAGGTAAGTACTGGGTAAGTGTTGTCGTGCCGCATTGGAGATAGATGATCCTGGAGCGCTCGTTTAGCCTGTGGCTTAGAGGCTCACTAGGCCGCGTTTCAGTTGTCCGTTTCATGTCCATTGTGGCTCGGTCCTTGTCAACATCTCCCGCACTTGTACACAAACACTTGGTTCGCCGTCATGATACGAGCTGCAGCAAGGCCGTCAGGAGGGGCTTTGTTGTGCTCATGCCTCATACCCAAAATGCTAGAACTATGGAGTCTCATATGCGTCTGTGATCTGCGAGCTTTCGATAGTTGTCCGGCCGTTCGGCGGATTCCCCGTGGCGCTTATGCTGAAGTTCGAACACTGCCACCACTGCCCATATAGGTAGGTACTGTAAGATTTTGGACACGCGTTTCAGGTGGAAAACAGGTCCCGACCGACGACCGTTTTTCTGGAAGACGATCTCCGAGGCAGCCTTGGACGTTGAGCCACCTTGACGGCTCCACTGGACCAGGGTGTAACCCATTCATGCTATTTTGCGAAGTTGCGAGCTCGGCTTTGATGGGTGATGGTGAATCGACATGTGCAAGTCCGTATTCCATCAGGCCGAAGTCTTGCAGAGGTATACCAGAATCTCGCTTATGGGCTCACCACGACGGTGTTGCCTGCAGGATACTATATCACAGGCAGCGCCGGAAGATCTGACATCTCGCTTGCATGGGCGCTGAGACGGTTGGCAGATCCTCTGGTGATTGTGAGATTGGCGCAGTCAGAATCAAAAGCGCAACCATCATAACGAGATGACTTGGTGCGACGCGACATGCTGGGACCAAAAATTATCAAGTTGACTCGTGTATCAGAATCAAGGCACGTGAGCAGGACCAATGTCAATGCCAATGCGGCGCCGACGACACAACCTACTCGGTATGTCTGTGTTACTCTGCTACAAGGCTGACTAGGTCTTACAATGCCGATTGAGTGGTTTGGCACCCGATTCCATCGCGCAGCAGGTCGAGCTGTTGTCCCGTGCCACGAAAATTCAAGTCGATATTGGATCTTATTCTCTCAAGGAGCCACGGACCACAAGATCAGTGACCACGAAATTTCGAGCCCACCACCCCTTGCCATCTGCAGGTCATCTAGTCGCACAAGGATCTGACTTGGATCTGGACGGGGATCCGGTATACAAGTGACATTGATACGTTGTAATGTACATAAACAAGTACCACCGGCGTACCTCGTTCCTCACCGTTTGACCCAAGCTGGTCTCTTTCGAGCCTTGAGCCGACCAGGTTTCTTCCGTTCGACACGTCTGGGATCCGAAGTAACACAGCCGGCTGGATTAACAATTAGAGACTGAAAATGAACACAGTTGGAACAAACTTCGCTTACCTCGTCGCAGAGCTGGCTTAAGAGCTGGTTCGTGTACCAGCAGAGCCTTGGCAAGAGCCAATGTGATGGACTCAGCCTGACCAGTAACTCCCCCTCCAGAGACCAATGCGAAAACGTTGTACTTATCCATCCTTTGTGTGATCTTCAGCGCCCACAAGGCGCTCTCTCGGTCGTGCAGCCGTGGGAACGCCTGTACGATACTGCGTCCATTCACCAGCACATCTCCTGTACCTTCCACCAGATACACCTTGGCCGAAGATTCTTTCCTTCTCCCTATGCCAACAGACCTGCCGTACTCATCGATTTTGCCAGGCTTTGCCTTCTGTATCTCTTCTGAACCCGGGCGTCTGAACCGTGACAGTATTTGCTTGACTTCCTTGGGACAGTACCTGGGATGGATCTTGTTCAATCGCGTCAAAAGCACCAGCACCTTTGAGTACTTTGAGGCGGCCACCTGTTCACCAGTCGAGCTTCGGTACTGATTAAGTTTTAGCCAAGCAGGCCGCGGTATCTGGTCTGGAGGAGCTGTCGGCAGTGTTGAATGCTTCTTGACAAGTGATTGTAAGAGTAAAAGGTGATCGTTGAAGACTGGAGAGGCTGTGAAATAGGAGGGCGACCGTGGAAGGATTCGAGCCGGCACAGATGTAGAGTCATCGAGATCTATCTCGGGCGCAGCGCGGATTTGAGCCTCTGCAGCGGAAGATTTGGTCGTAGAGAATCTTTGGTGCTGCACAAGAGGCTGGATCCATTGACGAGGAGCTGTCAATTGGATTTTGTTGTGAATTCGACATTGGCGACACATCCACGAAATGGAGGGGAAGGCCCGCGCTGAAGGGCACGCCATGTTCGATGCGGGATGGTTATCACCTGCTGAAACGAAGACTGCGAGAAATCATGGTTTCCCGATTGATTGTTTGGAAAGACCAAGTCGAATTGAGTTGAACTCTGACTGGAGACAGGTGTTGGAGCTTGCAGTTCGGGCACGCATTGCGCCAAGCTTTTTTGCGAGCCTGCGCCGCAAAAAGCGAATCTGTGACTGACTTTCAAAATTTGTGTCGTGACTGAATTCTGATTGCTTCAGGACAATCTCGCACCAGCAACCTTTCTTCTTCCTTTCCGAGGCATACTGTACACAAACCAACATGTCGTTCGGCAAGCTCTACGGCTACAAGGTAATCTCTGCGCCAATGTGCATTCGCAGAGGGTCAAGTGTTTCTAACCTCCCCCTTAGGAAAACGCCCGCAGCACTGTCCTCCTGGCAGTCGCAAAGGAGAACAAACTGGACATCGAGCTTGTCGAAACCCTGACCCCCATAACTGATCCTGAGTACCTCAAGCTGAACCCTCTGGCACGAATTCCCACCTTCGTTGGCTCCAATGGCTTCATCTTGACCGAGTCCATGGCCATTGCCATCTACTGTCAGTCTTGCCCCGCAATGCCAGGTTTTCTAGCCACTTGTCGCCTTCAAAGATGAGCCATATTATCATATTCAGTTATCCCTGTCTGAATACTTCTTGTTGACCACATTGTACTCTGAGAGACCATAGTCCTAACCCTCCTTTGTGCCCTTTGGCAAACTGTAAACTCCCAGGGGCCCCAACTAATGATCAATCAATAGTCACCTCGCAGAACGACAAGACCACTCTGCTCGGAAAGACCAAGCAAGATTATGCTTCCATTGTGCGCTGGATGTCCTTCTCCAACTGCGAAGTCCTCCCCAACCTCTCTGGCTGGTTCCGCCCTTTGATTGGCAAAGACACCTACAACAAGAAGATGGTTGATGATCACAAGAAGGCTGCTCTTGATGCTATCCATGCCCTTGAACAACACTTCCTCGTCCACACCTTCCTGGTGGGAGAGCGTATCACTCTTGCAGATCTCTACGTGACCTCTCAAATCTCTCGTGGTTTCCAATACGTCCTCGACAAGGAATGGCGTGCAGAGAACCCCAACACTACACGCTGGTTTGAGACTGTCACAAACCAGCCCATCTGGAAGGCCATCGTTGCCGAGCCAATCATGATCGAAGAGGCTGTGAAGTACACCCCTCCCAAGAAGGAACCAAAGCCTGCTAAGGCCCCGGCTGCTGCACCTGAGAAGAAGGCTGAGAAGAAACCCGAGAAGGAGGAAGCAGATGAAGAGGACGAGCCCAAACCAGAGGTCAAAGCTAAGCATCCTCTTGAGGCACTACCTAAGCCAACTCTCATTCTCGATGACTGGAAGAGAAAGTACTCCAATGAGGATACACGTTCCGTCGCGCTGCCTTGGTTCTGGGAGCATTACAAGCCAGAAGAGTACTCGTTGTGGAGGGTCGATTACAAGTACAACGACGAGTTGACAATGACTTTCATGTCTTCAAACCTCATCGGTAAGTCGCCTGTTGCGTGCATAGACATGAACTGTGTACAGTAGCTAACTGAGTCACCAGGTGGATTCTTCAACCGCCTAGAGGCGTCCCGCAAATATCTCTTTGGCGCAGCCTCCGTGTATGGCCAGACCAATGATTCAGTCATCCAAGGTGCCTTCATGGTCCGTGGTGCAGAAGCTTTGCCCGCATTCGACGTTGCCCCCGACTGGGAGAGTTACGAGTTCACCAAGCTTGATCCCAGCAAGCCCGAAGACAAGGAATTCCTGGAGAACCAGTGGGCTTGGGACAAGCCAATTGAGGTCAACGGCAAGACGTACGAGTGGGCCGATGGCAAGGTCTTCAAGTAAGGCTATGCATCGATGATGCCCAGCTCCAAGACGTGCTCCTGATTGAGCGGATGTGATCATGATACCGAAAATGGCAGACCAATGACATGTGGATGTTGTGCATGATACAAATGACAAGCAAAGAAAACCACTTTTCGACTGGAAAGCTTGATGCGCGATCGACAAGCAGATTTTAATGTTTCTTCATCTCCAAACTAGTCAAGGCAGATAGACGCGTCCATTCCGTAGTTCGCGCTTGCTTGTGCTCCGCTGGTCCGATAGAGCAGGCGAAGGAACGTGAATCGAGTACATTTGCACTTCGATACCTGCCAATATCCGCATAATTTCACTCCGCCCATCTCGGACGCCTTGTATTTTCTCCTTTCGATTTTGGGGTAGTTCTGCAATAGCAATTCTCGGTACATCTACAAAGGGGTTGCAGCGTTAGAGTGAATTAAACAATAAACAATGGACGCCCCACTCAACGACGGCTTTCGACAAAAATTCCTCACACCTTGGTCTAACTTGACACACACGTGTATAGACAGGAACAGGACTATGCTGGAGAGGGGACATTTGTCTCTCCGAGAGGATCGTGTCAGTTGCGCCATAGCCTGTTGGACAAATCTACATATATTGAATATTGTCTGAAAGGGGCATGCATGGGAAGAGTCGGCCAAGGCAACATATGCACTCTGAAACTCATGACTTGCGTATTCCAGCCACCATCTCATCTCGTGTTGGGCGGAGACTGTTGCATGGGATCGCGGGCGATGGCGTGGCGTGGGAGCCGAGCAGGACGGGTGGATTGTAACGTCTGGGACAATTGGGAAGTTGGCAATGTGGAAGGATGGAGCCCCCCTGTACAAGGTGATGAGACGAAGCGCCCGTGGCCATGGCAGACCACGGCGCAGAAGGAGGGAAGGGAGAGGCCAACAACAAGCAACGGACGCTGCCACTGACAGGGAGCAAACAAACCACCGCCTCGAGAAACAGGGATGCTGCAAGACGAAGGGGCAAACGAAGTTCTTCTCCTCCAATCCTTTCCACAAGGCTAAAAGAGATAATTGATGAAAAAGGTTGATGGTTTGCATCAGTGGCAGCAGTGCAAGGCCAAAGACACGAAGTGACAGTTGTGAACAAAAAATTGGTATCAAAAGTGCGGAAAGAGTGCAAGGCACTTGAGAACGCACATTTGAAGCAGATATAGAATCTGTTCTTGGCTAAGAATAGTCAGCAGATAAGAATGATTTTGGAGATAATAATATGTTGAAGATAAGAATAGTTTGGTGGTAAGAATATGTGAGGATAGGAATAGTGGGTGGTAAGGAGTGAGTAGGTGGAGGGAAGTATCCAGGTTAGGAGGATAAAGGAGAAGAGGCAAGGCAAGGCACGGGGCAAAGCGACAGGGCAAAGCGGCAGGGCACAAGCGCGAGGCAGGCAAAGGGAAGAAGAAAGAGGAGAAATGAGAGAAGAAAGATGAAAGGGGCAAAGGAAGAAAGGAGGGGTACAAGATGTAGAAGGGGTACAAAACGAAGAGAAGGGAGTATGAGAAGACGGAAGAAAGCATTGAGAATTGCTCAGAGGCAGAGCTGATACTCTATAGACATTCGCCCGCTTTGAGATCAACCCAGTGGAGACATCGAAAAAGACATGGTCCATCAACAGACCTGTTGCCAAATATTGTGTTTCGTCGAGAAAGAATGGTATATGACAGAACCGACCAAAACTCGCGGTAAGCTGAAGGATGAAGTTTGGTATAGCTCAGAACCATTGGGTTCTGGCAAGGCTGGGTTGTTTTGAATCCATATACGAAGTATCTTTTCTCCCATATGGGTCATCCGCTCTCTGGAAAAGTTTGGTTCAAGGGGAGTGTGTGACTTCTCGACTTTGACCTTTTCACATCCGCCACCACTGACGTCCAGTCAACAGTCATGTCGCTTGGTCTTCTCGTTCGTAAAATCAAACATGTTGCCCATGTCGCGGCAAATCGTAGAGCTTGGGAGAATTTTGGTGCCAGGGCGTAAGCACTGTGAACCATCCCCTGTAGTCCCATCTCCTGCCGAGCAATGAATCCTGGACGCAGTGACAGGATGGGATGTCCAGATCAGAAGTTGAAAAATCCCGGGTTAGTCTGGTCCACTGATCTAATGTTGCGCCATTTGAGTTCATCTGTCAACGATCATAGTGTTTCAGCCTTATCAAATGAAGCCAGCCTCGTAGCCTCATGTGACCTTCTCCACAGCAAAGAGTGAAGAGTCCTCCTGTTGCAATTAGTGCTTGAAATACTATTGCATCGCACTTCTGGTTAACAAATCCAGGATACAGCTGTAAGAACACATCTTCCAGTTTGGTGATTAACATAATCACACCATCTGGGTACACAGCTCTGTGTCAAGTCTGTACCCTGGGTTTGGGGCCCTTTCCCGCCTTTAAGAGAGTATACCATCAAGTCACACTCGACTTCAACTTCAATTGGAGTTGAAGCCGAGTCCCTGGCACACTGACAAGTCCAGCAGCAATTTGAGACAACAACAAGCAACAACAATTTTGGACCAAAAAAAAAACCAACCCCGAATGGGGTGAGTTTCTCTACTCGCGAACCGGAACCCTACTGGGGAGCTGGTTCGCGAGTAGAGTTTTTGCACTTTTTGTGCTCAGATTGCTTTTGATTTTATATCGGGGTGCTGTAAGAAAGTGTGTTCGGGGGGGGGGTGAGGTACAAAGCAGGAATACATCCGCCAAGCTGTTGAATAGAATGCACTGCTAGGGAAGCGCAGAAGCGCCAGTACTTCCGACTTCTGGAGGCTTCGGTCCGAGTTTGTGTGGATGCGTTTCAGATGCAATCAACGAAAACAATCGGTTGAAATTCGTATCCAGATGAACAATGTAGCTTGAGTAATGACAGATCTATTCTGCTTCGACGTTTCTATGCGCAGATCATGATCCAGGTTCTATTGGCGTCATGGTGCTGGTTGCAACAGGACGAGAGGTTCGACTTGGTTCAAACTAAAGGTCTCGCTCGTCATCATCGTACTTCGCCTGGTCGAGCAGCTGCGGCTGCCACATCGCCATCAATGTTTCGAACGCCGGTTTCTCCTCGCCGACCCTCCCACAGGCGGACCCAGAAGTCAGGAGGATCCATCGGTCGTTGACCATCATGTAAGCCAGGCCAAACATCGGCGAAAAAGTAATAGACATGGCCAACAATCACACCAAGTATCTCGTCCTTAGGAATGCTGCCATGCATAAACATGTGAAAGGCCATTAACACCCATGGAAGGTAAGGCGCCGTGAAGACAAGGACACCGAGGAAACTCAGCCGGGTATCCGGATTACGTCGTGACCAGATATATACAAGAGTGCTCGAAAGTGCTGAGCCCAGGAATGGGATAGAGGTCGTAAGCGAGCTGAGGGCAAGCAGGGACGTGCAGGCGTATAGTAGCAGCCAGGAGAAGACTGCAGGTGAGGGGCCGGAACCTTGCTCTAACAGTCGAGAGTATCGCTGAAGGAAGAAGACGTGAAAGGCCAGGTCTAGGGACGGTGGACCAAAGTATATGAACGTGGTTAACAACCGCCAGTACTGGGACGATCAGTAGGTGTCCGATTAGTCTGGGGGGACGTTGTGCACATACCTGCGACTTATAGTAAACTGCGCGCCAAGAATAAAACAACTGAAATGGAGTGATGATTTTGCACTGCAGCAGAATGGATGTGATGACTGTTGCGGTCGTCCAGTACCGGGTACATGGCGGCATCTCAAAGAACCATTGTTCGAGAGGAAACTGCCCCAGCTGGCCGAAGCCGTCCTCGCCTCCACCTCCAAGTATGGCAGCCATTATCCAAGGGATCAGATCAAAAAAGGGGAGGATCGTTCGGGAGAAGTCTGAGAGGAACTCGGGGCTCTGGACGATGGTGTAGATAGGAGACAGGACGGATTGAGTCAGGATCGGAGAGCGCAGATCGGAGTAATCATGGTGGAACCTGTCTGGTGGCGGAATTGGAGACAATATAGGAAGGGAAAGGTTCATGTAGTGGTAAAGAGGATAAGGTGGTAGGTGGCCTCTTCACAGGGAATGAGACATGCTCGTAAGGCAACGTAGGAGGCGAGCGTCAAACGGAGGCGTCACTGAGGCAAGCGGAATAAGGTCTGGAATGATGTCGAACCGCGGCGGCTACAAGGGGACGGATGGCGATGGATCGGGCAGGTAAAGCGATACTTCGGCAAACTGCAAGCGGCTCGGCAGCTCGGCGGCTCGCTACTAGTGGGTCTCAGAGCGCGCGGAGAATGCAACTCAATGAGAGCGACGCGACTTTCATGTGCCCGCCGAGCCCGCGCACCTATTCACCTTGGATCTTATGTACTTTCGTTACCGTCGAGTATTGCACGCGAACCACAGGCAGTAAAGCACTGATCCAGCTCAAACAACCCCGTGAACCCCCGAACCCTTCTGGTAATCTGCCTCCCAGCCACTCGATTCCCCACCTTCAATAGATCGCCCTCCATCGATCAATCCAAGCCTTGCTCTCGAGCCGCGTGTTCAGTGATCAATTCTCATCTTTATTGGGCAACTTCGGTAGCCTCAAACCCTCAAGAAGTTCCAATATGGCTCAGACAAAGAATATCCAGCGGCGCTCAGGGCCTACAACACCAAGGAGAGGACAAGCCCAACGGGTGAACCCTTCGCCCAGAACAATAGCAGGCAAGCGCCCTCGCGCGCAACGTAAGTTCCAAGACAGCATATTGACTGTACAGCATCCAATGCTGACGCCAGCCGACAGCTGGCGATCCAGTACCAGTGCGAAGACCCCGACGATATCGACCTGGAACGCTCGCGCTCAGAGAAATCCGAAGATACCAACAATCAACCGACCTCTTAATCCTAAAACTCCCTTTCGCTCGTCTCGTTCGAGAAATCGCACTTAGCATCCTTCCGTACCACGCAGCGCAAGAACTCCGGTGGCAGAGTCAAGCGATCCAGGCTCTGCAGGAAGCAAGCGAAGCATTCCTCGTCCACCTGTTCGAAGATACAAATCTGTGCGCGATACATGCGAAGCGGGTTACGATTATGCAAAAGGACATTCAATTAGCGAGGAGGATTCGAGGCGCTTGGGGCGGTTTAGGTTGATTCCACAGATTGATTCGGCATGACTTTATGATTTACAAAGAGATTGGCATTGTTCGGCGTTCTACTATCGGATATCCCAGTACGGGGAGTGGAGTTGGTCGCCACGGCGAACAGAGTGTCGCAGCATCCTGTATCTGGCTGAGTTTGTCCTCAGTATGAATCGGTTCTTTGATGCGGCAGGCAAAATTTGCATTGGTCCGCGGGATTTCTAGTCAACTCGCGTTGGTGCCATGAACACTTTAGAGGAGCAGATATCCACCAGAAATGAACTTCGCTGTATCCATAATAACTCCATCAATCCTACCCAGTCACACTTGACCCAAGGACACCTTTTGTACTCGTTACGTCTCCGCTGCCCACTGCGCCCTCAGCTCTCCTCTCGCAAGCTTGCCTGCAAGCCACTGCAAGCGCCTTGAAAGCGCTTTCTGCCCTGTGATGGTTATTGCTTCCGTAGACGCACTTCACATGTAAGGTCACGCTGGCAGCTTGGGCAAAACTCTCGAGCCCATGCGTGAGCATTTCCGTACTTAGCTCACCGATCTTCTCTCGGGTGAATCCAAAGTCAATCACGCTGTATGGTCGATTGGAAAGATCGATGACAGCCCACGATAGCGCTTCGTCGAGGGGTGCGTCGCCGCGACCGAAACGGACGAGAGAGGTCCGTTTCCCTAACGCGGCGTTGAACGCGGCGCCGACCGCCAGAAATACGTCCTCGGCCGTGTGATGGTCGTCGATGATTAAGTCGCCGATTGCGCGGATGGCTAAAGACCAGCCCGCATGTTTCGCCAAAGCGTGGAGCATGTGGTCTAGAAATCCAATGCCGGTGGATATGGCTATTTGCTGTGTGGGCGTTATCTGTGTCGCATGGTGTGATGTAGGCAAAGGAACTAGAACCTCCGGATGTGATTGTTTCTGGGCCGCAGGTATCGACGACGAGAAATGTTGGGAGGCTTCGTATGGGAGAAGTGAGCCTCCATCTAGTGAAAGCGAAACCTGAATTTTGGTCTCATTGGTGATGCGCGAGAGCGTGTGAGTGCGTCGCGGCAGTGCCACCGGTATAATTCGTTCCATCGATCCCATGGTGACCTATTTGAATTGGAACTGTGGCAGTTGACGTCCGACTCGGAGAAGGTGTTGGCAAGAAAAGGGCTGATCCATCTGTCCAAATTTTTGGTGTTGGAGAAAACACGAGCGGAAGGTGACGCAGTCACGCAGCGGCTGCCGAGCTTCGAGCCACCAGAGCTAGATCCACTCTTGGAACCTCAACTTCGACATCAATTGAATTCACGATCTCCCAGTGCCGCCGTCTTCCAAAGACTCTCATACGGACTCCCATGTGAGAACAGAAGCTCAAGATGGTGATCAACCCCACGTATCTGGCCCAACGGTCGCGCTCCTGTATGTGCCCAATCGCACATTCCGAGTTTACCTGCGAGATTACTGACCGGACGACAGCCATCAACTGGTCAGATGCACGACGGCGAGTCCTGAAATCCTATCGAGAATGGCTGAGAGCGGTACGCGAATACAATGCCGAACCTGCTGCGCTTGAAACTTGACTGAGGGGTTTTACCCAGGGACCTGAGATCCAGCAGCTTTACTCCCTCAATATGCCCGTTTCGAGGATCCGCACGAAAGTCAGAGAAGAGTTTGAGAAGCACAGACATGTCAACAACGTACAAGCCGTCGACGTGCTGCTCCAACAGAGTCATGCAGAGTTTCAAGTGGGTCAAGATTTCGCAAGAGGGTCAGCATAGCATAGAGATACTGACGAGACTGGGACTCACGCAGGAAATGTTGAACTACTGGAAGCAGTACTCGCACGTCATGAAGTACTTCCGGGTGGATGAAGATGAGAATGCGAGACTGCCGAAGAATTTCATCCAGGGCTTTCTTGAGGTATGCATCAAAGCGATGCCACAGCCGTTGAGGCGATTTCTGTGGGCTAACTCTTTTTCTTTCAGGGCCGAAACTGATGCAGAGACTCACCTCCGCAGCGCCTTAGTGCAATTGTACATAGCTAGAAAGAAAGAGCCAAAAAAGCCGACACTCCAGACGCCTTTCCAATCCACCAGCCTCTATTCCCGAAACAACCAGATTTTTGGTGATAAAATGGTCATGAATTTGAAGCATTGAATTCGTCTCGCGCCTGGGAGAATTTCTCTGATATCACTTCGCAAGCATCGATCATGTCTAACAGTCCCTTTCTGAGTGCGTCGACCGCTGTTGTCTCGGTGTCCTCTAGTTTGTGTCAGTCTTGGGTCTTCAATCCTGTGAGGTGTCACTTACCCCAAGTCTGTATTCGAATGTTCATTTTTGTCTCGGAAGGATGTGGAATGGTATAACCGCAGAATTCAACGTCGGGACTGTCAACGTTAGTCCATGTTATGGTCAAGTGTGCTAATGGTGTGGGATGCCATACTTCTTGTTGACAAAGTAACGCAGAGCATTGCCCAGAGTGTGGTCTTCCCTTTCGACTTGGAATGATGCAGCATGTGACGAGGCACCAGGAAGCTGTAGAACAAAGCATCAGTATCGTAGGTCAAGATCCGAGTTTTTTTCTCTCTTCCACATAATCCCGCCCACGGGGCCAAATTTCCTCGAGACTTACCACAATCAACTTTTTCGCGCTGCCCAACCACAAATCTTCAGCGCGCACACGGTCCGCCCGCTTAGACTCCTCTTCTTCGGACATCTTGCCCCCGCTTAGAGTATTCCGAATAGTGCTTTTCTGTAAAGGCGTGCCGACTGGGGAAAGATGCGAGATATAAAATCTTGGGTCTCGGAAACGGGTCTCGATGCCAAGATTTAGTCACCAATCAGGAATAGATCACGCCGAATTGAATAAAACCAATGGTGCTGGTGGCATGTACTCAGTTCGGAGTCTGTAACTCCATGTGCCTCGGAATACTTGCCTGTATCGGCGGGCGGTATGACAGCCTGCAGCTTCGCAACATCACTATTCGACGACATCATCCTCATCCATAACTTTTTGAAGTGACAGTACGGAGTTTTCGAGCGGAAATCACTTAGCAAAAAGAACCATATCGGTGCTGGGATAAGTGAGACCTGCTGATACCGCTACCATCGATGCAGGTGCGACTCGAGCCTCAGCATTATAGATGAGGCAGTCACGACGATGCAACACTCATCAACTAGATCAGACTTTCGAAGATCGTGACCTCTTTCTTTTGCCCCTGGCTAACATATCAATGGCACTTCTGAAAACAGGGAAACTTTTGTTTAGAAAAAGCAAAAATCATGGAGGTTTTGGGACTTGTACGAAGAGAGCGAATTTTATGGCTGAAGGACCTCTGACCCCGATCATTCAGATAGCTCATCAGGTTCGTGAAATTGCCAAACGGGCGAATAGAGTCCAGGTCGACGCTCCACCGCTCACACCTGCCCGGGCTGTTTCTCCTGAAATCAACGTTCAAGCAGCCTTTAACTCTGCCGCAACGGGAGATCTTGCCTCGGATCGCAAGAACCATGCCTCTCTGGAGGCGGCAACCATCGCTGCGCTGGACAAGACATCGTTTCTAGGGTTCCCGAGCTAGTCGACTTCCAGTGCATGTCGAGGGCTACGTTCTTCCGCGCCGAGTGGACGCTGAGGACCAAACTTGAGTCTTCGTGGCTTGCGTCTGTGAGCGTCACTAGTTGCATGGATACTCGTGCAGCCCTGGCAATGATGCTAGACTATCTAAATAGATTTCAAGCGCCCGTGCGAGGAGTCACCAAAAAGGCAGAGAAGCAGCTTGGCCAGGTCGCACTGCAATCGGACACTGGCGTTTTTGGGGTGCCTGATATGTTGTGAGTGCAGCTCATTGCGAAATATCAACCAGCGGAAGGTAGGACGCAAGATTCCCCTGCATCCGCAAGAAGCCACAGATTTCGTTAATTCTTTTCTCGATGTAGCCCTCATAGAGATGGTCGACTGGAAGACTGCTCGCGGAAGTTACCACTGCTTTCTCTCACGCTGCAACGCGTATCCTGTAACGAGCTTGCTCTTTGACCATGCTGTGAAGCTGGATACTCATCTTGCACGGTATGCTGTGTCGCCTGACAAGCAAATGGAAACAAAAGACAGCCGTTGACAAGTGCAACTTCAACGTCGTGTGTGGCGAGTCGTTCAGCGTAGTGTTATCCAATACCTCCGACACCCGCAAACACACAGGTGGGCCGAGGTGAAGGATCTATTTCCTGGTCATGCAAATGGCGGATAAAGACCCGAACGCGGTGGGAGAGTACACCCTTTTTGGCCAAAATCCTGGGTGGACGAGAATAAAACTCGTCGTAGCCAGAGCGGACAATTTGGCCATATATACAGCAGAGATACGAGCCGAGATTGCGAATGGGCCAGTTGTTGTGGCAAACGAGAACTCGGATCCGGAATCTTTGAGAGTGCCGGATGAGTTTCTCGCGATGTAATCAGAAAATGTAAGGATCACTTAGGTGTCGCTTCCAACAGCCAACTTGACGCAATACCCAAGGCTGTGGGTTACGATAGGGACATATCGATTCAGTCTGCTTTACTCGGTATACCCATCTAGCTTCCTTGCTCAGCTTGCTCAGCCTTACAATGAAAAGTGATTTTCGATCACAGGACAGAAATTCTAAATAAAGGTTGTAGGTGATCGGGAGGAAACCTACGAGGTACAGCTCGGGTTTAGTCACTAATCATATCGGTTCACCAGCGCGGATGGTCGTCCGGATTTCACATCCAGTTTTATAGGGTCGCATTCCGAACATGTGATGACACAAGGAGCAGACGTCGTTTTCTAGAAGTTGTGGGCCAGGAAGCCGCAGATAGAATACCAAGTACGAGATACGAAGGATTGTGACTTGATTGCAAACTCAAGAGGCGCGGATCCTTCGTCGGAGAGCCCGGTCATGAAGCTTGGAATTTGAGCCCGTATTGAAGTTGTGTCTTGCTCTTCATATCGTCAATGCGTCGCGTACGTGCCGGGACGTTTGAACAAGGTGGATAGATTCCGCTTTGATGCTGTGTGCGACAATAGTTAACAGTTGCAAGTCGACGCCCAAATTGGGTATACACAGAAGATGGCGTCAGCAACTATGTAGCGAGCAGAGTGGGACAATAATGATCTTTTATCGAAAGCGAGTTAGCGAATGCCTTTGAAGTGTTTGCGCCACGCGACACACGCGCAATACCCAGTACGCAATGAATCCACTCTTGTGTTGGGCCAAGATGCGCGATATGATAAGTTCTGCACAAAGGAAACGTGATCCTTGTGCCCACGATCCCCTAACCCGAAGGCGAGACAGGAGGCCGCCAGGCGGCCAAAGGAGCCATTAGCCTTGTCCGGGCGTTTCAAGGTATCTCGTCATTCGCTCATCTGGCCACCACGATTGGGCTTCCTCGTGGCGTCAAATAGGGCTAGTTGGAATTGCACAATTCAACACCTGAAACTAGCGAGATGTGAAACCGCAAATGAGAGAAAGACATCAATTATGAAGTGGCTAGACTTCGGAAGAGGAGGTGAAGATTTTGACACAAGTCGGGTAAGGACAATGATCACGGGGATCTTCTTTGCGACAACGATAAATGTGTTCCGGCCAAGGCCATGTTTTAAACAGTGCTGAGGAAGGAGGGCCACTCCAATCTCAGAGCGCATCATTAGGGTCATCGTGGTTGGTGGTGGCTGTTGTTTTTTGTTCAGCTGCTCCAGCAGTCGAACACAGTGCCGCAGCAGGATCGACCACTAGAGGCGTTTCAGGATCCTCCTGTGATTCACCTATGTAGGATATCGCTCGCTCGGCGTAATGGGCTGTTTCTGGTAAAATTACTTACCGTGTGGAGTTCTCGGTAGTCTAATTCTGGATGTATCAGGGTTGGACGGCCATGACAACATTTGAGTTCTAGGTATGGGAATTCGAGGTCCTGCAAGTCCTAGGCTTGGTCTGAAAGCCTAGTCAGCCTAGGAATGCATCTGGAAAATGCAGCCTGAGTAACCTTCGCTTCGACTGGGGGAGCTAGAAGATTTGGCAGGCCTCTACCCAGTAGTACCAGTCGGATGTGGCCTACCTAGGGTGGTAAGTATGTTTGGCGGGCGGTAGGCCGCATGTCTTTCGCTGAGTTGGGCGATGGCCCATCTGCTGGTTGGGGACTTCGATCCGATTGCAACGTGTGACATGCATTCGTCAGAGGCTGATGTTGGACCTAGTGCTGCCCGTGCGAATCCGAACTTCCGGGTCCCTCTTCTCTAAGGCCCTTTGGGACACTCGACTTCCTCTCTTCCGCGTATCAAGATGTGACACTGCGATAACGCACATCGGGGGAGAAAGCGCCTCTCGCGGTTGAGGTCCGTTGTGTCCACTGCTCAAACGCGAATTCTCTGGGGGATCTGTGCATGTCAGGACCAGTGCGACGAGCAAAAGCGGCAGAGGGTTCACCGAACCCCATGACAATATTGACGAAAAGCTTCGGGATATGAAACACGATTTGCCGCACTGTGCGCAAGACGAGAGGCCCCAGCAGCGCGAAGTAGACCTTTAAGCTTAGTCTCTGCACAGAAGAAGGTCGCTTAGCTGTCGCATCCGAGAGGGTTTCCGCGTGTGTTGGCTGACTAGAGGATAAACTAGTGGAGTCCGAAACATGAGCGGGTTGGGACCGAGCCATGAGTAGCAGCAGAATGGAGGGTGAATATCTCGATTTGACGACGGCGAAAGTCAGAGCAAATCGTAGGGCCGTCAGGCTGGTGAATCCCTACCTAGGTACTGGGGAGGGATTCAATTCTGCTCGGCATGCCCTCATAGCTCTCACTTTTGGTGCTGAGTGACAGATGCATACCCCTGGAGGGGCCCCATGGTGTCCATGAAACTGCTGTTTCTTCATGGCTAGCCCCGACTGGGCTTAATGGCCACCATCTTTCTCAGACACATGGCAGGCACCCAAGTACTGGGTAGTCGGAAGAAGCAGCTCTGGCACCTAGCAGGTAAGAACCCCAGTGCCACCGAAGCCACTGAGGGCGATGGGGGCCACTTCTCGTCATGTCCCTGGCTCGGGCGAGGGGGCCTAAGCCCCGTGCAGGCTAGAGGCTAGGATCTCATCTGTTCAAGTTCCCAATTCTGAATCCCTAGGGTGAACCCAACCACAGTCGCGAGACTCGACCAGTGTCTTGTCTCTCGTTTGCGGGTGTCCTTGGGGCCCTCACCAGCCCTTGGGACCCTCCTGCGCGTTCCATTTGCTCCCTTCCCTGCCGTCCCTCTGGTGCTGGTGGTGCCTCCCCCTCCCTGCGCCGCCCGCCTTTTCCCATTTCCATCTTCCAATTGTCCTGCGCTCGTATTCTTTCTTCCCTTTCCCTCTTTCATCCATCGCCTGCATCTGCGAGGCCTGTTTTCAACACGACCTAGCCGCTCGTTGCTTGCTCATCCCGTTCCTTACTATTCCGCCTCTCACAAAACATCTCAAATCGCCTTTCGATCCCTTTCGTCGCTATCACGGTCACTCGCTACACGCAGGGTTGTGCTCGGCTTGCTGTCAAATCGCCGCCATCTATCTCGCGCTGCTTGCTTGCGAGGCCATTCGTTTAGCGTCCAGTTATATTTTTTTGGCCGTTTCCCGACGCCCTGACTATCGAGACAGGCGGGAAGCTCGACGCTACAAATCTTTGATAACTAAAGCGAAAGAGTTGGATCTTTAACTGCTGTCTACGAAGGGCTCTCTGTGCGACTCCAAGTATTTGGCCCCCTTTGCTCGCAGTAGCGGACGGCCAGCCTCGTCATGTCGACTGCTGTAGCTACAGCACCAGTTGCTGCACTCCCACCTCTTGACCGAAATCCGAGCCCAAGAACATATCCGCCATTGGCTCCTTCGAGTCATTCGACTCCAAAGGACAGAAACTCGGATCTAGTAATGGCCTCGGAAATCAACGGCGTCATAAGCAATCCTGAGAGGACGCCTTCGGACGGGAAAAGGTCCCCCAGGTCGTAAGTTCCTCTAACATCCCGAATTCTGCCACACGTTAACTGATTGTCATTCGACCGAGAAGCAGGAGTACCGGAAATCCCAAGATTGTAGTGAAGAAAGAGCCTCCAACCTCACCTTCGCTCCAGGCAAGCACTCGGCATCGCCCGAAAAAGTTGGATTTGAATACAAATACCACCATCTCTACCGGACTGAATTCGCGGCCTTCCGCAACACCATTGACTGCAAGAGATGGCCTGGTCATGCATGACGTCGGTCTGGCCTGTCTGTCGCCTGGTTTTCAAACCCAAGATCCCGCAATGCGAGAACAATTAGAGCGAAGCATTTCGGTCCGTGACCAGCAACGATCAATCATCCAAGCAAGACTTCTGAAATCCGCTCGCGGGGATGCGCCAGATTCGGGAAAGAACAGTGAAGCGGCAGGCCCAACGTCTAGCAAGAGCACCGTGGCCAATTCGAAGAAGAGACCCCCACCAGGTTTATCGATTGTTCCTCCTCCCGCCGAGCGATTTGCCAACGAAAGGGTCATACAGTCTGCGCCACTGAATCAGACCTTCACCGGCCGGCATGACCCCCCTCCAGCATCGCGGCAGGTCAACAATCAACCTCCCAACTTGTCGCACAACTCTCATATTCATCACGTGCCGGCGATTCAGACAACCAACCGGCTGCCCCCTATTGCCGATGTCTTTGGGGCTAACGAGCTCCATCCAGGCCCAGGTCGGCCGCCTTTTCTCCACGCAAGCTCAACTTCATCTCAAAGCCATGGACCTCCCCTTCCATCGCCCGGCTTCCCACCCCAAACAGCCCACCCAGCCTCTCAGCCTCAAGCACACAATTTCGACCGACCCAGGGAGTACCGATCTGCAGAAGAAGCTGTGCATGAGATGACCGGGGGGCGAGAGGATCTCTTGCCGAAAATTGTTCACTATGGTGGCCACCAACCTCCCACGCCCCCTTCACCACATGCTGGACATAAAGACAGCCTTACGCCGCACAAATATCAACCCAGTATGCAATCCACTAGCAGACGGAGAAGCCGCAACGAGTATGAAGAGGGCAGCAGCCCACCACTGGGCCCTGGGCCAGATCGAATTCGTTATAACGGACCGTTTGGAGAAGGAAGGGACAGCCCGGCCACACAAAGAGCGAAAAAGGAGGAATTCCTGAGTTTGTGTTCGAGAGCCTGGGATCTGTTCCACTCCTGAGCTGCAGTCACCGCTCGCCGTCTTTATGCCCCTATCGATACGGAATCATCCCCCCAGCTCTTCTGGGGCGACGGCGCTTCATGGCGTAATGAGACAGTTGACTTTTCTTTTGGGGATCTTGGAAAGCTTCGCTGAGGGAATGTGGGAACTACTTGTGGCGCATTTTGGGGATTTCGGTCGCCTCTTTCGTTGAAATGGACTCTCAAAACGGGGGTAACTGTGTAATGATGAACGAGGACTGGCTGGACTGGGACTATTGCTTAATACCAATTACCGACTTCAGGTAACAACGAATGGGCGGAACGGTTGAATACGGAAGATGTGGTTGGCGCCAAAAGTCTCCCAGATATCAAGGACAGGTTGATGATGATGCTTTTTTTTTTTTTTTTTTTTGCTTACTGGGTATGGCTGGGAAGGACGGACGAATAAGTAGTGCACAGATTCGCTAGGCTTGGAAGATGGGAAATCCAGTCAACTTGTAAGTTGTGACAACTGAAAACCCCTCCTCTCCTTGATGTTGTTTCTTTCAGTGGCTTCTACGTGAGCACTGGAAACGAAACCTAAAATCTAAAAGAGATGTGCATGTCAGATGGCAGGATGACCACAGAGCCTTGCTTGAATACTATTAGTACTCGGTACTCCGTAGTTAATCTTTCTCCAACTCCAACTTGGAGAAGGGTCTGTAACCCCGCCACTGACCACGAGGCTGAACGTTTCTTTCCCCAACGAGAAACTCTCCTGCTTTCATTTATTGCAGAATATTCTCCTTGGGGCTCTCTTTAAAAAAGAAAAACTGTGCTTCCACTTCTAAACTCCCTGTTCGCCTGGATAGAAAGACGGAGATATCCTTTGGTGTCTCGAGGGAAATAGCCAGGGCAAGAGCAAAGATAGGTCTCCTACCACTCCTCCGAAGAACCAGCGGAGGTTGGAGGACGCTGTCCTTTTCGGCAAAGCCATCGTCGTCTGTCGCAAGTCCCAAAGCGGTCCGTCACGCGCAAGGCTCCTTCAAACCTCAATCTACAAGGTTTCTCACCGGCGGAGAGAGAGTGGCTTCTGGTGCCCGTCTCGCCGGCGCACACAACGCCAGCGGCACTCATCACACCTGTAACATATACCATTATACCACTGGCACTTCGGGTCCCAAAGTCTCCTCCACGATGCGCGCCCAAGTCCTAGAACGCTTCAACGCCCCTTACACCTTCACGACCACCCACCCTGAGCCGCCTCCACCCCAGGGACATGAACTCCTCGTACACGTCCGGGCGGCCTCGTACTGCCACACAGACGCGGTCTTCGCGTCCGGCGCTATGCAGCAGGGCTTGCCGCGCGTGGGCTCCCATGAGTTTTCCGGTGTCGTCGAGAAAATCGGTCCCGACGCGGAGAAGATAGCGGAGGCGAAAGGGCTGAAGGTCGGAAGTCTAGTAGGAGTGCCGGGGAGGGCGTTCAACGCGTGTGGCCAGTGCAAGGAGTGTACGGAGAACGGTGGGGACATGAAAGGGTATGGTGTTTGGTGTACACGAGCAGGGAATCTAGGCATGACCAAGGACGGCGGGTTTCAGGAGTGGTGTCTTGTGGATGCCCGGCAGGTCGCCCGTGTCCCTGACGTGGGAAGCATGCGGGCAGCGGATATTGCGCCGCTGATGTGCGCGGGAGTCACGGTTTGGAATGCGCTGGAGACCGCCGGTGTGGATGTTTCTGGCGGGAAGGGGAATGGCGAAGGCAAATACATTGCAATTCTGGGAGCCGGCGGTGGATTAGGACATCTGGGGGTGCAGTTTGCGGCGAAGCTGGGGTGGAATGTAGTCGCCGTGGACACGACGCCCGCAATGGGGATGCTGAAGGAGGTGGTTGAAGGACTTGGGGAGGATGGCAAGAGAGTCACGACGGTGGATGTATCGAAGGAATCGGTTGATGACGCGAAGAAGCGCATCTTTGGCGAGGCTGAAAAGGGGCTGGAGGGTGAGAAGGGTTGCGACTCGTCCATCATCCTCCCTGAATCACAAGCCGCCTTTGACTTTGGAATGAGTGTGCTGAAAAACCACGGCACGTGTGTCTGCGTTAGTTTCCCAAAAGATGGATGGAAATTCAAGCCCGGCGACCTGGTTTTTCGACACATCAAGCTGCTGGGCGTCTTGACTGGGAGGAATCGACAGTTGCAAGCCATGGTGGATTTTGCGGCAAAAACAGGTGTGAGGGCAAAGATCAGGACATACCCGCTGGAGAAGCTGAATGAGTTGGTCGAGGACTATCATCGGGGTGTGGGTGGAAAGTTGGTCGTGGATATGGAGATGAAGCCGTAGTTGTGGATGGTACAACTGCTTGTAGCCGTTGCTATCGCTCACGCCTTACCCTGGGCATGTCTCGCGCTTCCTTGGCCTTCTCCCTCTTCCTTTGCCTTTTCTCTGCCTTGTGCCGCGCTTTCTTGCCTAGACTTTGTAATCTGTCATCCTTAGCGAGCCTCTTAATATCAGCCTCCTTAAGATAGTAAGGCTTCGACTTCTGCCCAGTACGAAGCGCCTCTTTCTCTTTGTCTTTGTGTCTTTTCCGGATCTCATTCTCGCGCTGGTGGGCCTCTGCATTGCGGATCTTTGATTCCAGTGACATGGCTTGTCGCTTCAGATCGGCAACAACGTCAGGATCCTTGGCCTTCTTGATTTCAGCCTTGAGCTGCAGAATTTCATCGGCCTGATATGTGGATAGAAAAGAATAATTCTTGTTCGCCTTTTCCGTAGCGTTTCTGGCCCGATTCGCGGACATGACTGCAGGGTCGAAGCGCGGATCTCGTGCTTTCAAGGAAGGAGAGGGCTCGAATATGATTCTTTTGCGCGAGACTGGCTTCCGTGCTGATTCAACAGCAGGGGCATGTTTTGAAGTTCTTTTGCGTGCGTCCACCTGCGCTTCCTTGGCTCTCTTACGAGTATCAAATGTTTCTGCTCGACTCTCTCCGCCGTCATCTGACAAAGGCTCTTCCAAGCTCTCTGCAAGTTTTCGTTTCCGTGGGTTGAGATTGAACGTTTCCTGGGCTTTTGCTAAAGCACCGAAGCTGATGTCACCCAAGGATGCTTCTTCGCCTGCCTCCGATCCTGATGATAGAGCACTACCCTGAGAACTGTTAGTATGGTAGAGGACTTCGGTGTCTGTAGCTTTGTACCTCATCTTCAGACGGCGAGTCGCTTCCCAGAGCTTCACTCTCCGACGGCGTCTGGCCGATCAAATCCTGATCAGAAACCCCCAGCTCCTCATCCTCTTCGTCTCCGTGTCTCAAATGGATAGGTCGATCTAAGAGCCGTGCTGAAGCCATCATCACCGGCTGAGAGGTGGTGCACCAGCTGCAATGATTCTTGACCGCAGCACACCGCAGCCCCCCACGATGGACTTTTTTGAAAAGGCGCGGAAGTGGACGTCGGGACTCGGGAGATCGACAACCCTAAGTCAGATAGAGTTGAGGACGACGCCATACCCAAAGGGGCACGCTCGCACGCCCATCCCGCTGCGTTGCGAAGTTGAAGTCAGTCTCTGCCTGTCTTTCTGCCAAAACATCCTCACGATTTTGTCCAACCCGCTCTCGGTTTTCCCTCGACGCATTCGGCCTACGCACATTCTGGCGCTGCGCAGAGGGATCGCGCTCTGTTGCAGATCGCATCCAAAAGTCTGCCTGACCTCCAAACACCCACTTCACGTCCCCCAACCCACTAACTCTTCTCTCAGTGGCAGCGCAACCCTCACTCCTTCCCCCCCTCTTTACACCCTCTCTCATCCTCTATCCATACAGCTAGATCGCCCAATATGGGTAAGAGTCGAGGCGCCAGATACCGGCCGAACCATGGTCATCAGCCCGAGCCAGCGGGAGCAACCCCCCAAGACCTTCAGCCGTGGAACGGAGGTGCCCACAATGCCTCCCCGCTAGATCGAGTTGCGCAAATCCGACAAGGTGACTACTATGACTGCTGTAGCCAGGATAGAATTGACATATACAATGCAGTGGACTCGTGGAGATCCTACGGAAATGAAAACGCGAACTTGCAGACTGCCACCAACTTCCAGTCTTTCTATTCATCTTACCATGGTTACGTTGGCGGCCCTCAGCACCAGATTTACCCTCCCGCCCCGCAAGGAGTCAGCGCTGGCTCGTGTGCGTTTCAACCCTCGCATGTCCGACCCTCTCACTCTAATCCATATCAGCCTCTAAGGTCAGTCCATAATTACGCTCGATATCCCACATGTCGAGTTGACAAGCTGTACAGAATATCGGATGGCACACGTGAGAGAGACATTGTGCAGCAGGCCCAAAATGTATTGCCCATGGTTCAGCCACAGACTTCATCTCGATACCAGTTTCGAGAGAGGAAGCCAGCGCAAATTGGCCCATACAGCGTCGCGTCTACCGCAGATACGCCTGTTTCATCTCTTGAAGCTGCGAGTAAACGTGGACATGTTGACACTGTGCCGATTATGAAAGTTTCTCAGCGCGGTAGATGGGTCAGAGACGCCACACCTCCGCCCGCGCCAACAGCGTCCGAGGAGTACAAGAGAAAAGCGGCGCTTGCGCCAGCCATCAGACAAGCACCACAAAAACTTCTAGTTATCCTCGACCTCAACGGCACTCTCCTCGTTAGACCTAATCGTCATCGCCCCAGGAACATAATTGTCAGACCTGGTGTCACCCAGCTACTAGATTACCTATTCCAGAACCATGTTGTCATGGTCTACTCCTCTACGAAGCCCGACAACTGCGCGGCCATGGTAGACCAGTTCTTCCATCACACCCAACGGAGTGCGATGGCAGGCGTCTGGGCTAGAGATAAGTTGGGCTTGAACAAAGTGCAGTACGACAGCAAAGTCCAAGTCTACAAAAAGCTCGAGCCAATCTGGGAAGACAAGAAGATCCGAAAGAAGGCGGAACCCGGTCAGAGATGGGATCAAAGCAACACTGTCCTTGTTGACGACAGCCATCTTAAAGGCCTAGGGCAACCCCGTAATCTGTTGCAGATTCCGGAGTTTCTGAACAATGCACCCAGACAAGGAGGACAAGCGCTCTTGAACTGGCAGCGAGAACAGGAGCAGATCGTTTATTCTATCCAGCAGAAGTTGGAAGAACTCAAGTGGCAGGTCGATGTCTCCCGAACAATTCGAGAGTGGCAGACTGGTAAGCGACAAGCGCCTGGTGTGGTCGACGAGACAGTGGATCAAAAGGCCCTTCAAGGTACTCAGAACCGTGAGCTGTCTCCTACGCCTAGTATCGGTTCTCCTGCGCCGAGGGTTGGGCAGCTTGAATCTTCAATCCCGCGGCAACTTGGAACTCCCGAGGCTTCGACCCTGTCTGATACAGAGAGCTCCGATTCGTACGAGCAAGGTGGAGGGAGTGGAGGTGTCAAAACCGCTGCTGAGGTCACCAATTCTCTTCTGGATGAACTGGAAAAAGAGATTGATCGCAATCTCAATCTCGATCAGGACCGGAGCCGAGGTGCAGACCAGACCATTGGTTCTGCGACCGATGTCACTACTGTCAATAAATCGGGCACCAAAAACCGAGATCAACAGCGAAGTGAGTCACCCATCGATGAGAGTGTCTGGGCTGATATTCTCAGAGGACATGGAGCCGCCGCCGGTCGTGTCGGCGAAAGCGTTCAAAGAACGACGCATGCGAGAAATCCGAGCAGCCGCGAAGAAAAGACGCAAGGAAAGACAGCGAGCGCGGGAAAACGCCAACGCCAACGCAAGAAGAGAGGCCCCCGAAAGGAAGAAAAGGGGTCTCTGAGACATGCCCCGCCAACGCCAGAGAGTATTTGATATCTGAAATAACGATAGGGGTCTCGAAGTGACGATGGCCGATGTCGAGCTTTTCAGTCCCCCATTCTAAAGGTATGTCTAGATGTTGGAGGGGTCTGCGAAGCTTTCAACCGAATGCGATATTGTGTTTCGCCCCGGCGAGAACGGGATGCCTTGTCACACACCGAAAAGCAACCATGCTTCATGGGGCGACGGAGGTTATTCAAGACGCCTTTGACAGAGTGCGGCCTTGGACAAAATGGCTTGATGGCTCCGACCTGTGCCACCACGGTCCTCCACCGCGCATATGCTGCATCTTATCATCATCATCATCATCATCAACAATATCAACACACTCGTGCTTGGACCGGCCTAAAAAAAAAAAGGACGGGTGAGTCATTGCGCAATGCCAGATCGACGTATCATCCCGTGGCGAGTGGACTGTGTCAATACTTAACCTGCTTGCTTGCTTGTGTGCTTCTTTGTTCAGGTAGAAAGCTTGAGGTGAGCGGCGTATCACCGAACTGGACTTTGGGTCCAATTTGCACTGCTCAGCGTGCAAGATCAGAAATGAATGAGGAAACGAGACATTACAAGAAAACTTCCATGTTGCCACGGCTATGAATGTTATTCCCAAATCGCAGATTCATGTGCAAACGTCGCCATCGAAATTCATCAAGCTTCAATGTAGTCAGAACTTCCAGACATCAACCCTTTTTCCACCCTTGATTCCAGTTTTAGTTCCCTGTTACATCAAGATGAGCGCGTTTCTTCCGCCTGACGGGCTAGAGGAGTGCCCACCTGTCTTGTATATCGTAGGCTGACAGACTGGGAGCGAATTCTGGTTCAGCAACCACACCTGTCCCACTACCGTCAAGTACCCTTGACACCATTCGGCAGCTTCTCCCAGCCCGCCTCTGCTTCGACCTTTTTCTGTTGTGCCTCGTTGACGAAGCCATGAATCTCCAGCGCTTGAGCCTCCAAACCCGCCGCAACGTGCATCCACATTGGCTGTCCCCATTTCTTGGTTTGGATACTGGCGGCCCTGGCGCATTTCATGGCTTGCTCATCTACCACACCTTTGTACAGCTGGTCTTGCATGTATATGAGAGCCAAGGCGGTGGTAAGGGCGCTGCCAATTACTTTGCTTTCGTCCATGGATCTTTTTAGAAATTGTTTCTCTGCGAGTCTGTTCGTGGATAGGATGGACTCGAGAAGGGAGAAATGTGCTTTGATGTATCGATTTCCGCAATTCCGAATAGCCGATTCCAAACTCTTAGTTAGGGACGACAAGCGGGTGTGCTGCGGATGGGTTGGGCTATGGATGATCAAGGCGGAATTGATCGCCGCAAGGATGGAGAAATTGCGAGTTATGTCAGAGTCTGCGTAGTAAGAGTTTGATATCTTGTTCGAGGCTTCAGGTCGAGTTGATGTTGGCGTGTGCTGTGAATCGAAGTTGAGAAGAGGTGACTGATAGACCTGAAGCGCGCCTTTCAGATCTCCGGTCCCTTGCAATATGACTCCTCGGAGATACAGAAGACTGTGTTTCATGTTGACCGGGAAGGCGTCGCCAATGTCCTCCGAAATTGCATGGACTTTTGCCAATGAGCTGTTTGCCTCCTCCCAGAGGCCTTTCGAGCATTGCATTGGGATGAGAAGCAACAAGAATTCGGCTTCCAGCAGCCTCTGACAGGTGAACTCTCTTCTTGACTGTCGGTATCCTGTTCTGAGGGAGGGACTTCCCAAAGCTCGAACCAAAGATACGCCGCTTTCCACAAACTTCTGAGCTTTGCCCCCGTCAGCCCCGTTCTTGTAAGCCGAACTCTCTGCTGACAACAAAAACCCCAAAGCCTCTGTTCCCTCCTTTCCCAACCACGAGAAAGGCAGATAATACTTTCCATTTCTTTCGATGACATGTCTGTTTCCATGGAGTTGCATGCCGGCTACTGCCCGCGTGGCGACTGGAACGTAGATCAAGCCATCTTCTCTCCAATTGGGATGGCTTACCGCTTGATACAAGACCTCATGCACGATCTTGCGTTTTCTTTCGGTTTGGGCAATGTCGGCTGCTCGAACGCTGCAGGCAAGGTCAACATACTCCATAAGGATGGTCAGTTGTGGGACTCCTTCGACATCTGGACTCAATTGCAGAGCCCGAGCCTTCGCCAGCGCCATTTGACTGGCTGCGACGGCTTCGTGACTTGAACTGGCTAGATGCAGTAGAGCTTCAAGCGTAGCGGCAAATGCAAGGATTGCACTGTCGGAATTTTGATGAGCCAAGTTCGTGATCTTGTCCAACTGAACGATGGCGCTGTGCATCTCGCCTGGAGCGCTGGAAGCCAACGAAAACATTGCGTGCTGGAAACGAAAGATGTACAACCAGACCGTATGACGATAGGCTTCGATGTCCTCAATTATTCTCTGGATATCTCGCAGTGCAGCTTTGGGTTTCGATTCATAAAGCACCTTGGACAAGAGAAGCTGCATCTCGTACTTCAGATCGATAAATTTGTGTCGCTCGCACAGCTCGATGGCCTTGGCCAAGACCATTTCGGCGTCATCATAGTTCTCGGTCTCCGCATACAGAACCTCCGCATAGCGTAGAGAGACCTGAGCTTCTCTCAAAGGAGGTAGTTTGAAATTGGAGAGAACTGATTCAAGACAGCCGAGAGCGGTGGCTATCAGAGTGTAATATTCTTCGGTCGGAGCAGGCTGCTTGCGGGCGGCTTCGAGGTAGTCGTCGGCAAGGACACATAAAAGAGAAGGGTACTCTGGCTCCGGTTCGTCGGGCTCGGCTGGGGAGTCCCGGTGATTGGGTGCTTTTGTGGCTCGCTGTTTGCGGGTTGCATTGATTTCAACGGCCTGGAGGACACGGGGTTTATTCTGTCGAGGCATATTTGGAGTGATTGGAGTGCTCACGGTCGCTTCATGCCTCTCCTTCTTCTTCGGAGAGGGGGCCGTGGTACTGGCGGATTTTGGCCCGTCAGGAAATTGAGACTGTTGTCCTAGGTATTGCTGAGGCAGCTGCGGCTCATGTTGAGATTGTTGGTAGTGGTTCGGAGTTTTCTGATAGGTGGGGGACTGTTTTTGGACTTGAGATTTGGGTTGTTGGCTTACTCGAGGAGTTTGCTGGCCCGGCCGTGGGTATGCAGAGGAGGAGTGAACGGAATGGCGAGGATTCGAGACTTGGACGGTGTCAGGATCAATTTGGGAAGGTTGCTGGCTTCGGTGCGGTTGCACGGCGGAAGACTGAATGTAATGACCAGAAGGCGGGACTAGGATGGTGTCAGGACCAGGATGGGCCAGTTGCTGTGGCTGAAGCTGAACTGGCTGTTGATAGAATGGCTTTTGGAACTGCTGCAATTGAGGTTGATAGCGCTGATCATATCCTCGGTCGTGAGAGTATTGAGGGTTGTTCCGCAGCAGGACAGGTTGAGGATTAGATGACCGGTAGTGAGGCTGTGCTTGGGGATGTGGAGGATGCTGAGATGGAGACTGGGGGAAGGTATTGGCGTTGGGGCTGTAGAAGAAACCAGGGTTGAGGTCGAAGTTGGTGTGGGTGTTATTGGTGTAGTAGGGGAAGTTGGGATCCATCGTGAAGGTGAAGCGAAGGGAAAGTGAAGATGAAGTCAAGGTGAAGTCAAGGTGAAGGCGGCGGCCGATGGGCGCGAGGTGGCCGTCCGCAGTTTCTCGTCGCCTCTCCCAATCCTCACTTTACAATCAGACAAGAACGTCGTAACAATCGTTTGATTCATCAATTCTTCTTTCCCTCATAAATCCAATGCGATTCTTCCGACGTCTGTCATGAGCTCAGTCTGATGATAGCAAACAGTCCTTGTCCCTCGCGCGCTTAAAGTCGGATGAATCGTGTTGAAGCCTCATCAACCACGTCCTGCGAGACCGATCACCTTCGCATTCGTTTGTTCTTGGTGTCATCGACTGCTCTCGCCCAACATATCGCAGCTCCGAGAGAGGGTCAAGAGACTAAACCACGTGGGAGTTGGTAAAAGAGGATATCTTAAGTACTGTGAGGATGAAAAAAGAAACCTGGCGAGCCACCACAAGGACCTCACTAGCCCTTGCTAGCCTTGAGGCATGAACGACGGATATCGGCATCGTACATCCGGCCACTTGGCTACGCATCATCCACCATAGACCTGGCGACGCCGCCCAATTGTGTCCTGCACACTCATCAACAGATATGTGTCCCTTAAGATACCCACGGCTGTCCTCGGCCCTGTTATGAGATGGAAATAGATCCGACCATTCGTCTGGACTAGAGGAACATGATCACCCACGGCCTGGTGTCGTTGCTGAAGCAGGCAGAAGAACACCCATTTTTCACACTGGTCGGGTTCACTCTCCTCGCGACATTGGCTGTGTTTCCTGCCCGGAGAGTCGGGATGGTCAATCCGAAATACTGGCACTCGACCAAATCCCTGGTATTGAAGACGAAAGACGGTCGATCTACCTCCTTTGCCGATCTGTGCAAATCTCTCATTCCACCATGCCGACTCAATCCGTTTCTCTTCAATGGCCACCTTCAGACCATCTGGACCGTCTTGACCCGACAGTCTGTGCCTATCTACTACAAGCGAAGAATCTTTGAAAATGAAGACCCAGTCTTCACTGGTCAATTTTCGGTGGATTTCGTAACGGCTCCCAATAACGACTCCGACCCGAATCTACCGTCGCGCACCACATACTTTACAGAACAGGAGTTCCGGAATATTGGCTCTCTGGACAGTCGCCCGATGCTGGTGATGCTCCATGGATTGAGCGGAGGCTCCCACGAGCTCTACCTTCGCCACGTCCTAGCGCCCTTGGTTGGAAAGGGAGGATGGGAGGCTTGTGTCGTCATTTCTAGAGGTTGTGCCATGACCAAAATCACCACCAGCGTGCTGTACAACGCGCGCGCAACCTGGGACATAAAGCAGACGGTCAAATGGCTGAGAAAGACTTTCCCCAATCGTCCACTCTTTGGAATGGGATTCTCTCTGGGTGCCAACATCATCACGAATGTGAGTCCTGTCTCCACCATTACGTGCCAGTCCATTATCCCTTCTAATCTGCTCTAGTATCTTGGTGAAGAGGGTAGTGATTGCCCCTTCAAGGCAGCTATTATTCTGTCCAACCCATGGGATCTCGCTGCTGCAAATCTAGCACTGCAGAGAACGTGGTTCCACCGAAACGCCTATTCCGCCAGCATGGGTCAGAGCATGAAGAAGCTTTTCGAGACGCATGTGGATCAGATCTCCCAGAATCCCAGAATTGACGTCGACCTCGTCCGAAAGGTCAAGTATCTTCATGAGTTCGATCGATACGTCCAAGGTCCCACATGGGGTTATCCCACCGAAGGGGCATATTACCGCGATGCATCTTCGGTTGATTCTTTATTGTCCATCAGGATTCCCTTCCTGGCAATCCATGCTGAAGATGATCCGGTAGGTTCTATGCGTTTGCTGTTGTCGAATACAAAGCTGATCGGGGGTAGGTGACCGCAAGTGAGGCGCTGCCGCGGGAAGAAGTACAACAAACCCCGTATGGGGTGCTCTGTACCACTCCGGGCGGGGGCCATTTGAGTTGGTTCGAGCTTGGTGGCAGGCGATGGTTCGAACGAGTGGTGCGTATCCTCCCGGACTGATCGTTTGTGAAGAGATCTTTTCACTGACATGAGGATTCACTCAGACCACAGCATTCTTCCAAAGCATGGCCAACGAGATCGACTTGGACACGATTTCCAAGACAGATGACAATGGCGCTCAACTCGAGGGTCAAATCTCTCGCGGCGAACGGCAGCCGCTACAACCCGTCTTCGAGCCGATGCGGAGAAAGATGCATGTACCAGGATTGTGAAGTTCCCCTTTGACGTCGTCATGGTGTGAATACTAGACACCATCGAGGGCCAGGCATGACATAGAAAACATAGAATCGCGCCTGTTCGACTCTTATCGCTCACGCAAACGAGACCCTCTTCTTCGTCTTGCTCTTGCCCTCTCCATTTTGTTCCCTTTCACTCTCCTTTTCCTGGGGTTTCGCTTTCTTGTTCCCCTTCTTTAACCCTTTCTTGACTCCTTCCAGCTCCTCTCTCTTGCTCTCTTTCCGCTGCTCCATCTCCTTCCTCCTGGCCTCTCTGATCTCCTCCATCTGCCTGGCCTTGATCAACTTACTCTCGATCTGGCCCTCCTTCTCGGCATTCACCATGGCCAATATTGTGCGCATGGACTCTTCGTCGTCAATGTAGATTTTATTCTTCTTCTTCCCGGTCCCTCCTTTTCGCGAGTGGTTGGTGGGGTTTTCGGGCGCCGACACCGGGGTTATCATGTTCAGGGCCGGGAGATTGAGGTCCTTGTCGGTGTATGTCTTTTGCTTGCGCTTGCTTGGCTTTGTGGCCTGTGCAGACGTCTGGGAGTGCACGCCCGGCCTGGTTTTGACCTGCTTTGGCGGTGGGCGTTTTGTGATTTTCGACTTCTTGGAAGAGGGTCCTGCGGTGGCGGATTTGCGGGCTTTGGCATTCCTGTTTGCGGTTGCCTTTGACCGTGAAGGTGGTTTGGGCGCCATTTCTGGGGAGCGGCCCTCTCACTCGACCGTAGCTGAGCTGGAATTGCGACAGACAGCGGGAGAGAAGTCTCAAGGCGCTTGTTTGGGTTTTTGACGCTTGTGAGAAAAGAATTGACCGACGATTGACCGGCCCACTGCAAGACGAGAAGACTACGAGACTGCGAGACTGGTGCCACCGTCCGCAAAATCAACGTCATCATTGGATAGTCAAGTGCGGAGAACGGAAGCAAGAGCTTCATCCCTCACACGACCCTCACAGCCCAGGCACAGCCCAGGCACATCCCTATACTCGCTCTTCAGGACCTTCCCCTGGTACTGGTACATTCGTGTCTATTTTGTGCTTCTTTCGCCAATTCATCTTGTCCTAAACCAGGCTACCCTCGAAGACGAAAGAGGATCTCCCCCACCAAAAGCCACACCAAGTCCTCCACAGACACCCACACACACTTTCTCTCTGTCTTCTCTCCTGCCTACCTATCTTCATCTCGCCCCTGAAAACAATCGACAATGCCGCCTCCCTCACACATAACCGACCCGCTCCCTCCTCCACAACTCACCCAAGTCGCGGCGCAGGGCTTCGCCTCGGGGGCGCTACGATTCGGCACCATCAGCTTCGCGTCGCACTTCCTCCTGAACCGCTACACGCCGCTGTACCGCGGGCTGACGGTGCAGTACAAGGTGTTTCTGCAGATCAGCGCGATGATGCTGGGCGGGTGCATCTTCGCGGAGAAGCGCGTGGGCGAGTTCAACGAGGGGGTAAGGCGGCGGCGCAGGGCGCTGGACCGCAGTCGTCGCGCGTGGGAGGAGGAGATGGAGATCAGGGAGATGGTGGAGCGGCGGATCGCGGCCGAGGAACGGAGTCAGAAGGGCGCGGGTCAGCAGAAGGACGACAGCGTGGGCGGGAAGTAGAGCTCTCCATCTCTACATGGCTTGCTAGGGGGAGGGGAGAAGAAGGTAGGGAGGGAAAGCGGGAAGGAAGGAGGGAGAGACTCTGGGTCATCTGAAGCGGACTGCTCACTCCTCACCATCTTTTTTGAAACTGGAAGGAAATTTCCCCCATGCGACCTTGGGCCTGCACGTCAACATCACCGCCAGCATCTCTACCGAGCGAATGCGGGTCACAGACTCCCCCTTCCCTTCGCCTTCAACAATATAGGGCGACGACGGCTCTCAGCCTGGTATCCCGACGCTCGAGACCTGCTACGGGTGCCGAAAGTCGCATGAAGTTACTCTCGTAAAGTCCACGCGAGTATACCAAGTATCAGTACCTCGTGCTCGGGGCGCCGGTCTCGACCGGGATCATCTCAGCTCACATCCGCATTCACAAACCCCCCTCCCCCCGTGCGCCCTTGGTCCATCCACGCAGAGAAATGCCCACCGCTACGACAGGAGATGCGCGAGCAGCGACCTATGAACGGCTGATCCTGACTTGCGTCGCATTTCCCCCCTTGGGCGTGATCGCTCGATGGAGAATCGGGGGTTGGGTGTTTTCTCCACTTTGTACAACATTATATATATATAGGGGAAGGAAAAGAAAAAGAGGAAACAAGGTCACTTTCTAGCGAGAATCCCACGTAGATTCTGGAACTTTGCACACTCGCCAATCAATCAACTGATCAATCAATCTATGTGTCAATCTATTTATTTATTTATCTATCTATCTGTCTATCTGCCTGTCTGTCCACTATTCTCATCAGCTTCAACGGTGGTCGTCTTCTTCAGCATGCCCTGGCGCTCATGCTCCGAGGCCGGTGGTCCTCCCTCAGCGATGGGGCTCGGACTCTCAGTCTCCGTCTTTTGCGTTACGCGTGTGTACCTCTTCCCGTGCGCGAGGAAGTAAACCACTGCGCCCGCGATGATCGCTAGGAGGGGAACGCCGAGGCCGACGGAGAGGCCGATGATGAGCGGCTTGTGGTCTTTATGGCCGCCGTGGCCTCCTGCAGCAGTGGCGCCAGGGCTGGCTGAGGATGTTGAAGAAGATGGCGGCGGCGGCACGTAGGAGACGGGACGACCTGTCGTTGCGGCTAGGGCTTTGGCGTTGGAGCCGAAGGCGACGGTCTTAATGGGCGCCTGAGTGGTTGCAGGCCAGGTTGCCTCCGAACCAGACGGCACCGAGGTGGTCGACGTCAGCGTCGCCGTGAATGTCTTTGTTGTCTGAAGAGAGACGGGGCAGTTGATCAAGCCGGGCGATATGCAAGCAACTCCAAACGACGTCGTCTCGGTCGTGATTGTCGCGACTGTGAGAGACAGGTCGCCTGTCGCGGCCCTCGCTGTGACGAGTGCAGATGTTCCGCTTGTCGAGCTGCTCCGCCCAGCCGCACAGGCAGAGCCGAGTTCGGTATACCAGATAGGAACTTGTGTCTCGGGCGTTGGTCCCCATGTAGTTTGGTCAAACGCTGCCGATGCGCCAGCGGCCGCACCGAGTGCCATGGTGAACGACTCGACGAGCGCTAGCTTGCAGTTATCATTACTGCTGTCATATGAGACATTGGCCACGAACTCGGCAATGTTGGCAAAGACTCCTGCTTCCAAGCCGGCTGAGGCACCGAGCGTCTGGTTCGCTATTGTGACGGACGTGTCGACACCAAAGGTGATGCCAGCATGAAGACCAACTCGCAGAGCACCTGTGAGCACAAAGCCAGCGCCCTCGACGCTCACCGGGAGGAATTCAAACATTCCACCATCACTGGAAAGCGGCGGTATTAGTAGGAGTTTCTGTCTTTCGGTGAAATACTTCTTACAGTGTGATGCTTTCGACAGTCTTGTTGAACATCTGCAAATTAATGCTAGCTCCATCGACCTTGATGTGCACCCCGCTGCTGATGTCCACTTCTACGGCAGCCGTCAGGATGAGGTCGACAGTAAAGAACGCGCCAATCTCGAGGGAATCGCCCAGACTGAGGCCCGCCGGGGTCTCTGATTTGTATAAATTGATCGTGTAAGTCGATTCGACAGACAGTACAGTGTCAAGCTTCATGTAGAGATCCAGGTTGTCAAAGTTGAATTGTAAACGATAGTCAAAATCCTGGAAGGTGGGAAGCTCGACATTGAAATCGATGTCTGTGTAATTGGCATTGCCATTTACCAGATCCGACAATGCCTGTTCGGCTTCCTGGGTGATGTTCTTGACCAAGTCTACAGCGCTCTCCTCGAGTTCAGTGACATTGAAATCGAGATTCCGGGTGAGTTGACCGGTAACTCGACCGGCGATGTAGCAGGTGGAACAAACAATCTGAACACCGTATTGGGTTTCGAGGGACCCATTCCCGGCTTTGGTCGATACGTCGTCTTCTGCCTCCATAGTGCTGTTAAGCCAGTCAGACATCTCCAGACGAGTGGCTTGCTCAAGGAAATGTGGTTGTTGTCCCTACATGGCAAGTAGCACCGCTCCGTCCCAACTTTTTCCGAGGGTCTCGTCGAAAAGAACCTTTGTTTCTTCTGTTCCAGACGCGGATAGGGCCCGGCGCAGTGACCGCAGGGTCTCGGCCTCTGTCAGGCCCGCAGCATTGTAAGTGTGGAATATGAGGTCTGAGTCTGGATACGCAGAGCTTAAAACAAGGCTGAGTGCCCATACAATGACCGCTAGATAATGATAGACCGACATTTTGCAAGATCGAGGTGGCAAGGCTCAGAACCTCCTCTGGTTTCGTCTGGAAGTAGCATATGTGGAAAGTCGAAGACCTGAGCAGACTCACCTCGAATCTTGCAATGGTCGCCCTTGTTATAGTGAGCATCTCGATGTCTCAGCCTCTGGAAGGCCCTACCCTTGTATATCACGCCGCGGGGCTTTGCCGGAAACCAGAGCAGTCTTGAAGTTGGGAGAGACAGCGCCGCATTTTGGCCCCAACATTGCTTCAAGCATACATATGCAAGTGGCAGTTTGGCGTTCTTTCAATCCCTAGTGCGGGAAATTGAAGCAGCCACAGGTACAAGTGGAGGAGACAGCCACTCAAAGTAGTGATGCAACGTGGAGTGTTCACGACAGGGAGGGGGACCCTCAGCCCGATATCAGTTCTCGCGTGCCATGTGCTTTTGCCATCACAAGCCGAAATGATGTGCACAATGGAGAGCACATCTGCTGTGCGTCGTGAGGTGTCGAAGCCATGGGCAGTCCCACGCGGTCAAGCAATCTGCAGACACATCCGAGAAGATTGCCCGGGTAGCTGCCACTCTGGCATCGACAGCAGCGGCCAGGTGTGGACAAGACGGACAAAGTTCGGCTGTGCTCAGCAACTATTGTTGATGTCTTCAGATGATATCGAATGGGATGCATCCAGTACATGGCTCACCTGAGGCCCGAAGCTTGGGCTTGGAGCTGTGGTGCAGTAGCAGGCAGCTTGTCGCGGCTGCTAGAGGCGAGTGGTTCTTTTGTTCAATGGGAGAAGGCTGTCCATGTCGCTATTCCTGCCCCCCTATCCTTGCTAAGCCGCATGCGAGGTAGTTGAATCCGAAACTGAACATGGGTGACATAATAGCCTCCTTTTGGAGACATGTATGGGGCTGGCCTGGGGGCTGGAGAGGAGGATATCTAATAGAATCGTTACCTTGTAGCACAGGAGGACATGGGGACCTTTGCCTATCTCGAGTTAGCATTGATACCAGGTCGTCTGAGTGTAGTCTGAGCCACTGCTGCAAAGGTCAGTTGCTCGATGACAAAGATAGATATATCACTGGGTACGTAGATGGGGGAGGGGGAGAACAAGCAATAATAAGGTGACATGCAAGTAAACAGAAGTGGTCAAACAGCCCCACGACGGTCTTTCGTCCTTTACCCTGTTGCGGCGTCTGCGTGAACTCGGTACGAGGTACTGGGCACACTGGTCAGGCGCCGCTGGAGTGTCGAGCAGTTGACGCCCAATTTGCCCCACAGCATTGCGAAGGCGCAGTTCGACCGCTGTTTGGTGGTGGCCAGCTTTACAGAGACTGTGTTTGCCGCAGTCGTTGGCGAACTTGGGACGCAGCCCAGCCTCGGACATATACCGACTCGTTGTCTATCAAAATATACCGCGATTAATACAGCTGGCTGCAGGTCTCAACCATCGCTTGTCTAGGAGAATCGTATGACAAGAAGCCATCCGCTGAGGGAGTGGGTGCACATCATATATGTTCATGCATAATATGTTACACAAAGGCGAGAGGATGCTCAACTACCTCGTATATACCTCCCATTATCCCGGATCTCCATCCTGTATGGTAGCTTGTTCTCTCCTTCCCACTATTCACCTACTTGTCCAAAAAAAAAAAAAAAAAAAAAGTCTTATTACAATATCGTAAAGTCTGCCATATATCACCCTAGCCTTGTCCAAAAAGCAGAAAGAGCAGGACACACCAGGGGAAGGCTAATGAATGCATCATGGCGAATCTCATGTCCAATATCCACAGCTCGCTGTCCGCCGTATGCAGCCGTCCGTTTTAACCATCTGGAAATATAGACAGCCCTTTTTTCTTTTTTTCTCCTCGCCTGAACGCCTTCGCTCGCAAAGTTCAACGCAGTTGTATGCCAACCAATGATCGGCCGTATGACTTCGTTGGGCTTCCAAAGACTATGCTCCAGAAGCCGAATGGTGCAGAATCGAGCGTAAAGGATGTTGACTCGCGTTCACATCCACAACAACTGCAACAGGTCATGCATCATGCTGAGCGACCAGCTCATATGTTTGCTTCTTCGATCCCAATCCACCAGTCCACATCCGCCAAAGCGGCATCTTCGCAGCGACAGGGAATCTGAACGCAACAACTCGAGGACTGGCCCTAGCGCTTCTCTTCCTCGCACTCCATATGAGCAGCCTCGAGTAGACGAACCACGTCAAAAAGCCGACGGTGAGGACGAGGAGGAATCCCAGCACCGTCAGCAACATCCAATTCTTGCCCATCCAGAAGATCAACCTTGCGTCTTTGCCATGCCAGCTTGAGCCTTTATACGTCTCGAAAAACGACCACGAATGCTTGTTATACTCGTCCGGCATGAGCACTCGGACCCTACCGATCCAAGTCTGCGGGTCGAGGTGAGCGTGTTCACCCATCCACTTCTTCCAAATCACACTCAGGAACAGCGGACCGGTGGAAGCCATGATGGTAATATACGGTAGGATCCATGACTTGTTGGCCCCCTGAAGGGACTCCATGACCCTCAAGAAGAAAGGATGCTGGGGAATCGAGCCCATGACATCGTTGCTGATCCCTGTCGGCACGGTCCTCCGCACAAAGGCCGTGTAAGACAACAGTGGGTCAAGCCTCCTCTTGCAACCGTCGTCCAGGTCGATGTACACGCCGCCATAGTGTGCCAACACAAAATATCGAATCGCATCGGCGCGTTGAATGTTGTGTCGATACCCGACAAACGTCGATAAAAACCACGGATACTCCTTGGCAATGAAGTCGTGAGATTTTTGGTCCGTCCATAATATGTACTCGTAGTCTGGGTGTAGATCTATACACGACTTCTGGGCCGGAACCCAATGGGCAGGGATGGATTCGTTGATGTATGTCTGATGAATGATCTTGGGGATCAAGTGCGGGCGGGTTTCGAGGAGCGTAGAGTTGGGAGCGGGCAGTTCTGATCTGTGGATGGCGTCCCGCGACGCGTCTTCTATGAGCAAAGAGAGAAGGGTCGAGACCGAGTGTAAGAGGAGGGTCAATACTATGAGGGCAACGAGGAGGAACACGAGTAGACTGCGCCGCATCCTGACAAGGCCCGATGAGGAGGAGGGGGGTCGAGACAGGACTGTCGCAAGCAGTCTCATTCAAGTCGCGCCAGGGCCGTGTGCTTTGTTGAGAATATGATCTGCTAGAGGAGGCACACGAGACACTGCGTGTCTGTCAACGGTTCGCCCCGTGGCTAGAGGTCGGGGCAAATTTAAGGAGTGCAGAGGTCTGGGCGGCGGAGGAGCATTGTTCGCCCGCAGGCGGTATCCGGGACGGAGATCGAGGTCGGGGTTGGAGTTCAAGTACACAATTCCAGGGGGGGTTGTCAAGGAGAGACTATGGAGCAAAGAGTGAACTGTAGGACTAGCGTACGATGATGTCGACCAAGGAAATAAAACGAGGGAAAAGAAGTTGGCTTTGTACGGTACTCAAGGGGAAGGGAGCGAGGGAGGGAGAGGAGGGAGAGAAGTGAGAGGGAAATTCTTCTTGCGGCGGCGTGCCTGGTGCAGGCAAAGCGCAGGCATGATGCGTCTACGAGCCAATCGAGCTTCATCTCGCTCAGGCGAAGATTGTGGCAGTGCCTGCAGCATCCCTTGTCACTCGTCCACTTGCATATTCTCTCCATCAATCACCTCTTCGCTATGACACTCACACACGCAATGCTCGTATTGTCCTCGGTATGTACACTCATCATTTTTCTCCCATCATGATGGCCACCATAAGCACACGTCCCTAGTGAAGCCGAACCTGAGTGTCTTCTGCCTGCGCCCTCCCCCGAGCGATATAATGGCGACCGCCTCGCTTCTCACGCCTTCGTACTCCGTATACCAGAGATTCCCCCCCAAAGCCAGCTAACGGATCTCGGATTGCTCCTCCTCCAATATGCAATCCCACGTTCCTCGTCTCGCACGGATCGCACCAACCACCACTCTCTTCGATCCATTGGTGTGCATACCGAGTATACACTTGGTAGGTCTGCGAACTCGATGTCAACGCCGGTTGTGCATGGACTCTCAGCCTATTAGCTGTGGAAAAAAAGAGTGTACTCTGTAGAGGGAAGGAAACCTGTGATCAAGCAGCAGGACAAGGCGAGGACGACCCTTGCTTCCGCCCACCCCGCGGCGCGCCAAAACTCCATCTCATACGGTACGGAGTAACAAAGAGGCCTTAAGTGCTGACTTCCGGATGATTAACATGCTCTCATCTCAAAACAGTATCTCTTTCGATTCGCCGGTGCCTGAGATGGAATATCAAGGAAGGTTTAGTACTCGCATTCTTCGGCCCCGGAGAAGAGATTTTGATTATTTTGTTGCGCAATAGCTCGCAAGCGAACACGCCCGCGGCCGTAAGGCTCACCAGCATGCACTTCATACAGTCATCTTGGGAGGTTGGCCCAAAGACTCGGTTGTGCATCAGGCATCGCTTCGTACAGAAGCAGTATCAGGCTACGGTCCCCACCCATTCTTCACGCGGTTGGTCAGCTCTCACAACATGTCTGCGCTCCATGATTTGCAGGTTCAGGTGGCATTCCAAGTTGCCCCTGAGGCCAGTGGGCCTAGCGAGGCTGAGGCTGACCCCTTTCTCGTGGGTTTTTTGTGTGCGAAATACCGAATATTTTTGGAAATGCCCCTTTTCCCCAAACCCGAACAAATCTGCATAATGTTCATGTAACCAATATGCAACAGACACTGATCATTGTGCTCTGTTTGTGCCCGGTCCCGTCCTTCATTATTCATTGTACTCCCTTAGCTATGATATGCACCACTGCTTTGCGTCTCCCCTCCCTCCTCCTCGAGAAAACACTATGCTAACCCCAAAGCAAAATTGGTGGGTATCACGAGAAAAGTAAAAATATTGTTGTCAATGAGCCTCCAGCCTAGAGCTTTCCGGTGCCTCTGTCTGTACAAGCTGGTCGCCCTCCAATCTTTTTGTGTTGGTGTGATCCGCCTTTCCCCGACTCAGGGAACATCAATCCTCTGGCATTTGGAATATCATCTGGCTGTTACTGTCTCTTCGTAGTTTCTCATCAATGTAATCCAAGGCATCTGGGTGTGCTGCCGTCGGTGTTCTGTCGAGCTTGACGCGCTGCAAAATCTGCGCCATCGAAGAGTCCCCCGTTGCCGTGGTTTGCCGGCTGTCCTCGTCACCTGCGCCGTCTTCCCATGGCACACCCTGTGCGCGACAATAATTGCGAAATAGGTATTTTTGCATCCTGGTGACTTGTATGTTCCACTTTTCGTCCAAGGTGCTCATCACTGCCGCCACGTCTTGATCGGTAAATGAGGCTGTGGAAGACATGGAGCTACTGTGCCGATGTCCATGTCCTTTCCCATGTGGTTTCCCAGTCAAGGTTCCGGCAAAAGCCTTCTTGATCGCCCCGCCACCACTCTTGGGAACCCTGGGACTGTCCGCACGTTCCATTGTCTCGATCTCGCGGCGCACTTTGTCCATTGACTTCGCTCTGTCATGGTCCATGGTCGACATGTACAGCAACGTGTAATTCTTCTCGAGTGCATTAACAAGCGCCGTGAAGCTTTGCAGGTTGATGTCGTTATGCTCGCAATGAATTTCCACCAATGTGTCGTTCCTCTCTAGTACCTCAGCTAACGTGTTTGCCCCTTGCAGACCCAGCGCCTGATATTCGATGCGCAGGAGCTTCAAAGAAGTGTTCTTTTCCAGCCCTCTCAGTGCAATATTGAGGCCGATGCCGAATCTGGTGGTGTCCAAATGCGCATGTTCGCCGCTGATGTCAAGCTCCTCCAAGGTCCGGTTTGTGGCAAACATCTCCTTCAGCGCCTCACAGGTTTCAACGCTGGCATCGTATGGTAGGGATGCACGTGATATGTCCAAACTTCGTAACGTCGTATTAACTTTCAGAGCGTTGATCAATTCGCGAAAGTGGTTTTCTTTCTCAAAATCCATCATTCGTAAGCTCAGCGAGGATGGCCCGCAGTTTTGAGCAATAGTCCTGAACAGCACGGTATTGCCTGTCTTTAGCCGGTTCTCGTTGGCACTTACGTGCATCATTCTGGTCTGCATGTCGTCACGAGTCATGGAACGGAAGAAGGTCGCAAGATCGTATCCTGTCAAGCCACATTGATTGACGTGTAGCTCTCGGAGGATATCGGACTTTGGTGTTGCCAGATAAGTAGATATCGAGTCGACTGTCTGTTCATTGAGAGTGGTTTGTGACAAATATAAGGCCTCGAGTCTCCAGGCCAAAAGCACCTCGGGCGGAAGTAAAGGCTCTGAACCAGCCGTCTTCTGCACTCGAGTAAGATTCAAGCGCCGAATTCGAGTAAAAGCGCCCATGCCGCGCTGAAACAGCTCCGGACTGAACCGACCTTGGGCCCCTGATATGTCAATGACCTCGACAGTGCTTTCCTGGACAGCCAAAGCGGACAAAAGCACGTCAATGTCGTGGACTGAGAGGCCACACTCGCCAGTTTCAAGGGCTCGAAGATGGCATTTTCTTTCCGATGCTGCGTCAACGAGGTAGTTCAGGTCCGAATCTGCTAGTCGCAGGCCTGTCAGCACAATCCAATCAACATTGGTCAAAGACCTCTTGCACAGTGGCGTAAGGGCCTCCAGAATCCCACAATCCAAGGTCTCCCCATCTCCCGCCAGTGTCTGAGGAGGAATTGTATGCGAGAAGTCTAGCCGTCTCAATCGCCGGCTTTTCAATGCCAGTACTCTGATCTCCTGAGACAGAACGGGCAGATCTTGGTGGCCAGCGATATTGGTAGGATTTCCAGACCGTGTGAACAGACTATCCAAGTCCGATCCGAACCCATCGTAATAGAGACGTAGCGGTAACAGATTGATTCGTGCGAAGGAAATTGATGAGAAGGACTCATTGTAGCGTAAGGCTCGAAACACAGCAAGTAATTCCAAGGCGGAATAAGTGGTACCGTTTGATGGTGGGAGCAATTGAAAGCGTGGTGCATCTTCACAATCATAGTCCACAGCGTAACAGATGCGAGATGTGTCAACATCATAGCCTGCACAGTACGCAATCAATGTCCGATCAAAGCAATCGTGATCCTCTTTTGGAAAATTCGGCGGGATCATCTGATCGTCGATTTCAGGAGGGACGTCGAAGATGAAAGGTTGCCTAAGCCATTCGGGTCGCAGGTATTCCGAAGCAGATCTCAGCCACAGTGCGATTTCACCACCGGAATATGAAGCTAGTTGTACCATGCACGGATTTGCCATAGGTGGTTTGAAGGTCAATTGAAACGCGTCGTCGTCCGCCACGACCCTGATCGAAGTCAAATTGACGATGGCATAGCAACTCATGCCATCCAGCTCGCTGAGAGACGTGCTCGATGATCGTGTGGAAGATTTCTGAAGAGGCACCAGGTGGATTTTGTGCAAGCCAATGACGAGGTAACAGGTTGTTGAGGACCCCAATCTGGTCAAATCTTCAGCTGATGCTCTTCCTGTTGACTTGTTGATAAACCGTTGAACAACTTTGAAGACATGAAAATGCTCAGGATCATAATCTCTCTCCCGCTCCAAAACACGCGCGAGATGCTCTACTGTTCGATCTTGGATCTGCTGCTGGACTAGAGACCTCGCCTGATCACAAGCTGAACGAATGGCAGCAATCCAGAGCTCGGCTTCGCGCATCTCGTTCAATTGTAACTGCATGGCGGACGCTCTTCTTGCGCGTTCATCAAAGTATGCCACTTCCACCACGGGAGAGGGCCGTCCATCGTCGATCTTGTACACCGCCACCACCTGCTCGAGTGGGACGCCTGAGGTGATGTCCGAATATGTTGACATTTGGAGTTCTTGATAGGAACTCACAGACGAAGTTCTTGGGGTGTGCCCCTTGTTGAGGCTGTTGGGGATGCTAGGAAACATTTCGGCGGCTTTAATTTGGCTCCTGAATCGAATGAGGTGTGACTCGGTCAGGACCATGAACTGAGTCCGTTTCCTAAACATGTTGCCTCCACCTGCTTGCACTTCGCCATATTGGAGAACTTTGCTGCCCAAGAGGCCCTTCACATTCATGTCGGATTCTTCCTGGAGAGATGACGCTTTTGAGTCGGACCTCGTTAGAGCAAGCTTTTCTTCTTCATCGAGGGAATGTAACGAGCGCAAGGATCCAAACACCGAGGTTCGATTGGCTTTCTGTAACGTCCTGGGGCGAGGTTTGGGACTGGCCGGATCGGAGTCCACAGGACTGGGCAGGTAGTCACTGGAACGCTTCTCGAGCAACGGGCTTGCGGGTATTTGTATCGTTGGACTGTGATCCGCCTTCTGGCGGAAAATGCTCAGGCTTTTCCTTCTGCGTTTGTCTGCCATTTTGAATAAAGGTGGAAACAAACAGAGGCGGCCAATCGCTCCCACCAAGCAAACACTGCACGACGCAGTTTGTTTCGAAGTCTGTCAGGGCTCAGGAGAATGTCATGGATCTCTCAAGGGACACATGATCACAGGGACTGAGCACTTCCCTCGTGCCAACCCGCCATTCAATGTGCCCACCTCCTCTTTTCAGCGAGATCCCGCCAGCGTCCAGGACATGGCCGCGAACAGTGTTAAGCGCAGCATGTGACTCGGCTTTCCGAAGGAGGAGCAAAGGCAGACTGGGGAAGAGGTAATGTTTCTCGGACTGTGCTTCGTGTCTGGAACTTGGTGACGCTCGGCGAGTGATATCTTTGAAGTGACAAGGTCAAGTCTGGGAGCTCATAGGACGCAGCAGGAGCGGAACAGGATTGACAGGTCGTACAAAGTATTCGGTCCAAGAGGACGATCATAAGATTGTGACGGTTGGGGGGAGGGGGGGAGCTGGGAGATTCAACTGTGTGCTCCGCAGAAGCAGAGAAATCTTTGTCTGGTGATGGAACGGTCAATTCAGCACTCAGCACTCAGCACTCAGAACCCAGGACTATTAAAAATGGACCAGGCGGTGGATCGGCAGTCGGACGTAATGGTTACTTCAACAATAACGGCTCGGTTGTTGACTGATAGACTCGTGGGTGACTCGGAGGGCTTGCGAGGCGGGTCAAATATCCACGGACGAACTGGTGGATGAGACAATGAGACTGGTGGACGCGCCGATGGACTTGATAACACGGACTTTGGTCAGTCCACTCTGTCCACTCACAAGCAGCGTGGACGACAGTTCCTACCTGCCTAGCTTCCTAGGTTTGCCAGGTACCCATCAAGCGCTCTCGCCATGCAGGGCTCTGGTCGGCACCTGGCAATCGAGTGGCCGTGGCGGTGGTGGGAGGCTTGGAGGGTGGGATAAACAGGATAAACCAAGGATATTCGGTAGAGTAGCTAGCGACCAACAAGGTAGGACCAGAGATGTGCCGCGATTGGCGAACACAGCCCGGAATCCATCGAGCAACCTTCTAGCTAAGGTCTGCGGCATTGCGCTGATGGCTCCCGTGATGGAGATTGCCGGACCACGCCACAGCAGCAATTCATCCAGGGTCCCGTCAGCCTTGGGACTTCTGGGCCCCTTTTTTGCATTCTATCGTCGAACAGCGGTGTGAAGAGGTCTCAGGAATGGGGGCGGCTTTCGACATGAAGTGATGGATGGAGACTGAAAAGAAAGAAAGAATATAAAAATATGACGGCTCCCCCCTGTTTGTGCTGCGTGCCTAACATCGTTATTGCTTAGAATATCGATTCGCCGTCCTTCACCATGAGACATGTCTCTCGTCTATTCCCCGTGTACTTGTATTACAACACGGTCAATCCCCACGCTCACGTTTCCCAAAGGGGGGATTGCTTTTTGTAGTATACAGATAGATTATATATCATCGTTCATCCCCGTAAAGTACAACCCGTTTGCGTTGAGCATCAAGCTTGTCCAAATGACGCCGCCATTCTGCTCCGCTGCGACTCATCGATATCAGACGTCGAATGTAGAAACTAGCTGCTTCGTCCGCATCCTGTGGGGCTTCCAGCGTAGCCTTGCGTCGGTTCTTGCACAATGTGTAATGCCGCCGGGCTTCGTGGTCGGATAGCGGCTTTAGTGTATACTGCAGCTTCCAGGTATCTCCTTCCTTGAGGTTTCCAGGTCGGACGACAGGCAGCCCATTAACCAAATTCCGAATGTTCAGCTTCCAGGCCGATAATGGTTTCCGCATGGGAGGTTCTCCAACCGACCCATCGATATTGGGAGGATGACAATCGAACGCCCCTTGGCCTGGCTTCTCCCCTGACTGAGAAACACTGCCTGCAATCGATTTTGACCCCAAAGCCTCACTGATATTCATGCCTAAGATGCTGTCCAGGAATGCAACATTCGCAGCATTCGAGCGATGAGATGGACCTGCGTTCGGATTCGACGCAGTGGACGGCTTCACGGAGGCGTCGGATTCGTTAGCAGTTTCGGCATCGTCAGGTTCGGCTTCAAGCTCAATCTCATCCTCATCCTGAGCGCTCTCGGGCCCTTGCGTCGGTCGTGGATTAAAGAGACGCTCCTCGAATGCTCGGATTTCTTCCTTTTTCAAATTTTGGATCTCGACAATCTCTTCCTCCGTAACAGGCTCCGCAAAAATGTACATGTAGGGAGGGGAGGCAGCCGTAGCCTCCCTGGCCTCAAAGTGGAACCGAAGGGATTGACCTGGGTGCTTCATTGTCGCTTCGTTGAAAATGTCGTTCAAGAGCTGAATGCTGAGCGAGAATTCTTGGTCCCCCAGAATTCGGTTCGCCTGGCCGTGCAGCGCCAGATCAAGTTCCGAAACGGGTACGTATTGAAACCCAAACAGCCGTTCGGTATTATGGTAAGCGACGAAGATGCCGTCCATGCGGCCCATCCGAACCTGGAGGGAGTATTTGAGAAAAGCAGATCTCATCATGTCGTAGTACTCTCGCTCATACGATTCCCATGTGCCGAATCTCTGTTTAATCTGATAGCCCGCACCTACTTCATGGTTGTGGACCATCATCCGGACAGCTGCTACCGCTCGAGTCTTGAGATCAAACATGCCTGTCCCCGGCAGGCGAGGATCGTGCGCGTCGAGTTGAGAACGCAAAAGGAACTCGCCCAGCCCTGAATAGTGATATACCTCGGGCTCGGTGGTGGGCAACTGCGCGTCTTTAGCCGCGTCCGTAGTCCTTCTATATCGCTCGAATTCATCCTTGTCGAGCGTCAGGAGCTTCTCCATAGAGCGGCCAAGACTCATGAGGATATTTGCAGAATCAAATTCTTTGTCTGCGTCCACGGCATATACACCATCTTTGTGGCGGAGGAATATTGCCGTGGGGCCTCGCTGCAGCCTGGTAAAGTGCACACCATCATCCTTAAAGCCTCGGGTCAAATTCTCCAGGTTGAGATTCCGAAAGGCCGAAAGAAGGAAATGGAAATGGGACAGGACTCCCGACATACTTGAAGTGGAACCGATATATCGCTTTGTGTGCGTCAAGGCCACTTCTCGAAGATGACTATCTTCAGATGAAGTGATGTATTTATTCAATGCATCGTAATTGAACTCGGACGCCGGCATAAGGGTTCCGAGATAAGGATCAAAGTTCCATACTCTTGACCGTGGATCCTGTAATTGATAGACGCCCGGATTGAACAGCACACGCGACAAGTCGTGGCTCAGCCTGGGCACATTTGTGGGCTCAGCTGTCAACGGTACCAGTGAGAACGTATCGCCCTTCACCTCTCGCACATTGTCCCCCTTCATGTCGGCAATTTTTGCCTTGTCCTTTTCTCGCGGTACAAGCTCATGTTTCTGGATAGTCTCTTGTTTTACTCTAGGTGCGATTTTCGCTGCACGGATTGTTTCCTCGCCATGATCGTCGGCTGCAGGGACAAGTTCTGTTGGAGAGCTCAGTAGCTCTTTTGGAGTCTCAATAACGAGGGCATGAGGTTCTGGAGCCGTTGCGCCTTTTGTCTTTTCTAGTACTGGAGAGGCCTCTGCATGTTGAGCAACACCATCTGAAACTGCACCACCGTCCAGAAATCCTAGCGTAGTCAATATTCTCGCTGCCTCTTTGGAAAGAGGCTTCTTCCCGCTCCTAAATGGCATGATAACCCCAAGATCACTATCCACCTCTTCGTAGGAGTGTCCAGGGTACGCTGACCGAAGCTTCGATGCCCCACGTTTGAACCCCTTCATTTTGCTCTTGAGGCTCAAACCGTCCAGCACCTGGTCTATGGTCAAGTCCTGGGTCCTCGATGCAACCTCTGGTATCAGGTTTGAAGCGACATGGCGCATTTTTGCCCTAAACATTGACAAAGCATAGAGCTCATCTTTCTGAGCTGCTGTCAACTTCGGAACACGATCTGCTCGTGACAGCAACTGCGCTGGTACAGGCGTCTCCGCCGACAGGCCTTCAGCCCCATCTTTTTGAGCCAACTCTTTCCGGACGCCATGGAGTTTCTTGCCTTTGGCATCCTCGCTATTCCTTTGTATAGACGTGTCATTTTTCTCTAAGCCGCCTGGTGTTATTTTCCGTGCACGGGGACGGTTCCGGAGACGTTGAACTCTGCTGGAGCAGAATGGTCGTGGACTTCGACCAGGTGAGATCTTGAAGGTAGTTCTTGTGCCAATCCAGGCACCGTAGTTGATTTGACATGGTGGACATAGGTAATGCCTCACCGAGCGAGGCAGCATGTGAAAAATATTCCAGCGAGAAGAGGGAGAGGTGACGGTGGGTTCCCCTTTTCTAAAGCGTCGATTTCTGCCGGTGAGACAATTCGGCCAGCGAAGGATACAGAAAAGGAAGAGAGCAAAGAACCGAACCGAGTCTATGAGAGTTTGTTCGTAAAAGAATTAACAGCCGAAGTAAATGCTCAATTGCATGCCTGGGCTGCACTTTTTTCCGGCGGTCCAGGAATCGGCCCTTTTCCAATGCTCCTCCGTAGTATACGAAGTACGGTGGAGCACACGTGTATGGTTTGCACTCCCATCAGTACATGGCCCAAGATGGCTTTGATGGCCTCATTGATTCGCCCAACTCGCCTTCGCTCAATTCCCGAGAGCACCAGGAGCACATGGCCGTCTTCCATGTATTTCAGTCAAACAAATACAAATACACTGGGCTGGTATTAAATTGAATGGAGACTAACAAGAGCCACGCCTGGATTGCCATCAAAAAACTTTTCTTGTCTATTTCACATACCCTTCTCCCGCCCATCTCCGCCAACAGACTTTCAAGACACGTACCCGGTCTTCACCAAGGCAAAATTGTGCCGTCAATATTGAAAAACTTAGCACCGTCAGTGCTAGTCAGTCCGTCGACTATCTGCATGATTTTCTGCACTGAGTCGCTTGTTGGCATGGCACCGGGACCTGCTGTCCTGCCCATGTCGGTATCGACCCAACCCGGATGAATTGCCACCACAGTAAATCCATCTTCGTGGAGTTCGTTGTGGAATTGAACAGCCAACATGTTACCAGCAGCTTTCGAGGTTGCATATGGTCCGCGAAGACCCCATTTCTCGCCGACTTGGCCAGTAAGTGAAGCTGCTGTGGAAGAAATATAAATAATCTTTCGCGTTTTGCGAGCTCGCAGTGCTGGGAGGAATGCATTGATGACTCTGTGAGGGCCGGCGACATTCGTGTCAAGGTACTGAAGGAGTCTGTCAGAAGAGATCTTGGTGAGGAGCTCATCCTCGCCGATGGCACCGTTGACGATCAATGTGTCAGCTTCTTTGACTTTCGCGGCTGCTGCATCGACGGATTTCTGGTTCGTCTGGTCGAATTCGAGAACGTCAACGTTTGCCGAGCCGAAGACGAAAGGCTTGCGCATGGTTGCGACGACATGGTGTTCAGGGTTCTGAGCGAGAGACTTCGCCAGCTCCAGGCCAATACCTCGGCTTGCGCCAATGACAATGGTGGTGTTGGAGCTCATGACGAAGATGTCCGCGGATCAAAGCTTTGGATTTGCTCGAGATATGATGGTGTTGTGTGGTTTTTTTTTTTTTTTTTTTTGGTTTTGTTTTTGGTTTCGAAATCTGTGTTAAAGCTGAACTGGTTGTTGAGAATGAAGAGCTCGATGGAGCGAAGGCAAGAAGTCCAGCTTTATACTCATCTTCATCAGTCGAGAGGGAGCTGTGGTGAAGAGGATACCATTTTCATCTTCACTGCAATTAGTCAATGACTCGTTTACACAGACAAGGCTGAACCACGGCGGAGCGGCGGAAACAGAAAGCCTCCGCAAGGCCGCAGGGGTGCTGAGTCATGGCACGATTCGGTGAGTATCTCACCCATTCAAATACCGCATTTCAGCTCCGGGGCATCTGTTCATTGGTCTGAAATATGCGCTCATGGAGCCCAGAATGCCTCCATGTTTCGAAATGCACGACATATTGCGGACCGAAAGGAAGAACCATATTTCCGGTCATGATCGTGTAGAGTTGTTCCATACTCTAGGCAGCTTAGGCAAAACTCCGCTGTCCTGCCCAAAGCTCGAATGCACTTTTCTCCAGAATCAATGCGGACCAGACTTGGATGAACTCCACGAGTCGAGATTCTCCAAGATGCAAGCCTCTTTTGCTTGTTCCCTGTCCACCAGCTTGCCGATCTTGAAGACGGTTTCGCCCTGAGCTTCCAGAATTTTCCTTACCTCTCCCGAAGCAACGTCAGATACGACAAGGACCATGCCTATCCCGTTGTTGAAGGTTCGACTCATCTCCTCGTTGCTGACATTGCCTGATTCTTGAAGCCATTTGAACACGCCAGGACGGTCCCAGGTAGAGACGTCAATTTCGGCAGTAAGATGATCGGGAAGCATTCTAGGAACATTTTCCAAGAGCCCACCCCCCGTGATATGCGCCATCCCTTTGACCAAATCGCGCTTGACTGCCTGCAACAAGGAAACCACATAAATCCGTGTCGGTGTAAGCAGCGATCTCCCAACTGTGGTTTCAGAGTTCCACGGCGCAGCGTCCGACAAGGCAAGATGCATCTTCTCGACAATGCGGCGGACCAGGGAAAATCCATTCGAATGGAGCCCGCTTGAAGCCAGGCCGAGTAGAACATCACCTTCAACCATACTTCCTACATCGGGTAATATTCTCTTGCCAGCAGGTGTGTCGATTGCTCCCAGAGCGGCACCAACCGCATCATACTCCGTTCCACTCAAGAGACCGGGCATTTCAGCAGTTTCTCCTCCAACAAGAGCGCAGTTAGCAATTTTACAGCCCTCGCAGACACCGCGGATAAAGTCACTCGCAATGTCGATGTCGAGAATACTGCAAGTGTAGCAGTCAAGGAACATAAGCGGCTCTGCTCCTTGCACAACAAGGTCATTAACGTTCATGGCCACCAAGTCGATGCCGACGGTATCGTGGACATTCATCGCATGGGCAATTTTGAGTTTTGTGCCAACTCCATCAATCGCTCCGATGATGATAGGAGAATTTTCGTGGTAGCCAGCTTTGGCAAGATCAAAGGCACCGCCAAACCCACCGATGATGGCATTGGCCCCGGGGCGCGCGGTCGCCTTTACTGCGGGCTTAATCCTGGATACGAGGCTGTTCCCTGCGTCGATAGACACTCCGGCCGATGCATAGGTCATCACAGCTTCTTCTGGCCCTTTCTCCTGTGCCTTTCGTTTGAATGCTCGGTGAGCAATGTCTTTTCTGAAATGCATCCCACTAAATTTGATGGACTCCATCCCTTTGTATGCCTTGGCCACTGCCTCTTCCAACGTATCCGCAGTTGAGGTTGACGCGATCACGCGGCCTCCAGTTGCAATAATCTGTTTTCCATCTTTGACTGTTCCGGCATGAAAGACGAATGTGTCTTCGGGAGTCTGATGTACTGTGACGGGCCTGTTTTTTGCATAAGTACCAGGATAGCCTTCAGCGCACGCGACCACCGTGGCAGCGAACTTGGATTCAATCTTCAGGTCGACACCATCCAACCAATGCTCCGTACAGGCCAGGATGACTTTGGCCAAGTCAGTATCGTCGCTCAGTAGAGGCAACAAGGTCTGTGTTTCCGGGTCTCCTCCCCTCACATTGTATTCCAGGACTTTTGGTCCATTTTTAGTGATCATCAAGCCAGTGAAGAGCATGCCAACAAAGGGCATTCCCTCACGACGCATACAATCGACCGTGGGTTGAACAATTTCCCGGTCAATCTGTGCAATAAGCTCCTTGGAAGCGACCCTTGTTGGCGCATAGCACCCCATGCCTCCAGTGTTGGGCCCTTGATCACCGTCAAAAACACGCTTGTGGTCTTGAGCAGGCGGTAGTGATCGAATAGTGTATCCATCACTGAAAGAGAGAACACTTAGCTCCTCACCCTCCAGAAATTCCTCAATCACAACCTGCGAGCCGGCTGACCCAAATTCTCGGTCAACCATGATCATCTTCAGAGCATCATGCGCCTCCTGTTTTGTCTTGGGAATGATGACGCCCTTTCCGGCGGCAAGCCCATCGGCTTTGATCACGACATCATGGTTGACTGAGTCCAGATATGCGCATGCAGACTCGTAGTCGCTGAAATTCCGGAATGCTGCTGTTGGAATTCCGTGACGTTGCATGAAGTCCTTTGAGAAGGCCTTGGATCCTTCCATTCTCGCAGCGGCCTTGCTGGGGCCAAAGCAGCGGATGCCCACGGCTCGGAAGAATTGTTCAATACCGGCGACCAGAGGAGCTTCAGGGCCAACAACAACCAAGTTCAGACCATGCTTCCTTGCGTGAGCGACGAGCTCTGTAAAGTCGTTGGTGGAGATGTGCACATTGACGATATTGTCGGACTCTGTACCTCCGTTCCCGGGAGCAATGTGGACCACGTCGACCGAAGGCGATCTGGCCAGTTTCCACGCAAGAGCATGCTCTCGGCCGCCCGAACCAACAACAAGGATCCGTAGTCTCTCTGCCATTGCAACGTTCTAAGATTCGAAGATGACTCGGCAAAGGAACAATCAGAGTCCCCGCCCAAGAATTGAATTTGTCACTCTATCATTAAATCACAGAGGCCAGCTCTTGGAACTGAAAATTATCAACCGGAAGAGACAGAAGAAAAAAAAATGGAACTGATGCCAAGACGAAGAAAAACTGCGCGCACCTCCCTCGCTCCGGAAAGGGTGATGTAATGCCGCCCTATTCCCAAGCCCCACTTATTGCTCTCTTCAAGTAATCTTGGCGGACGCCATGCTTTGGACATGTCCTGCACATTTAATAGTCGGAGGGAGAACGTGTCAAAAGCGGCGTCGCTGAATCGACGCTTTCGGCAAGCGGGGCTTGGCCAGTCAGCCTAATGTGCAGTTCGTGATGGTTATCCTTCCCATCTCAACTTTCCACCTGACCATTTACCAAATTGATCCTCCTCGAGCAATGATTTGACTGATAGAGGACACTCTCATCTAAAGCTTCCGCAAATCAGTCCTCGGCCTGTATAGCAGAGTCTACCTCGATGTAACAGGAAGGGTTTGGACTGACATCGTGTGGCAGTGGTACAAGCCGACCCAAACCCATATTCGCGGGTCCCAGCGGCAAGACGACTCCTAGGGCATAAAGAACCCGATTGAGCTGCCCAAGACTAATCGATTCACATTAGGGCTTCGCCCTGCAATGCTCAAATGCTTCATCTGGATCCCTATTATCATCCTGGTTGGCACCGCTTCAATTGTTCGCAATTTCAGCCCACCAACTTTTTTCATTCTGTCTGATTCGTTGAAGTACAGCAGCCATCATTTTCAGTTGTCCATCTACCTTTTCAGCAAGATCATCTGCGAAAAGGTCTAAGATGCCAGCGAGAAGGCTAAATCCATCTTCGTCTGACAAGTTCTTTTCAAGTTCTCTCCAAGACGGAGAGTGCTGTCTCCCGCAATAAAATTGCCGATAGATCCCTTCCGACCTTTGTGAGGATCTCTTCTTGCAGGCTGGCAATATTCTCAGCTCCTTGAATGATACTAGGATCAGTGGCCACGATGAAACGGAGACCCTGTATTCTGAGTCGATATTCCCGTATGTTGTGGGTACATACAAGCATCCTATCCAGGAGATTTCGGTGACTCATCAAGGTCTTTCCTGTTCAACAATCTTGGCAAAGTCTACTGCTCAAAACAAGAGTACGAAAGGGGCATCGATCTCTGCCAAAAGGCAATCGAAATCGACAAGAAGAAGCCGGAAACAGCCAGCAAAACACTGCATCTCCGGCAACTCAACATGACTACAACCTTTGGGCTTCGAGGTGATACGAAGGCTGCGTGGCACCAATTGAACCTCGCCAGAAATATCGCACGCCACGAGTTCGGGTCAAACACTTACTACGTTGCTGTGTATGCTCCCTATTTTCCTAACGTTCTCTCCCGGACGACCAACCTGGCGACTAACGATTCTATAGGAGGTGTGGCGAAAACGCTAGATTGCTTCATATACAACAAAAGGAGTTGGGAAAAGCGGAAGAAGCGTTCAGGCATGCCCTTGACGCCAGCGCGAAACAAAGTCCCGGCCCCGATCCAGACGGGGATTTTGCATTATCGTCTGGCAGTCACAACTCTCAAACAACGACGATTTGAGGTGTCCATGTAAGTCTGCGCTTCTGCGCTTGCATGTCGAAGACGAGGCCGCTCTAACTTTCGATGTAGGAGGCACGGAAGGAGGGCGTTGGAACTGGCTCGGGCGAACGAGACCCGTCCTTGGCGGTAAAGGCGAGATGGTCCGAGTGGCACGCGCTTTGGCTGAAGCTCTCGAGCAAACGGCGCTAGCGGGAGGCGACGGTTCTGCGGAAACGGCTGCATGGAAAGAAGAGGCCAGACGCCTCGGACTAGCTGCAAATGATTTCCGGAGAGAGATTCAGGGCGGTGGTTACGACCGGTTTTCCAGATTCGATCGAAACCTACGATCTCATTTATAGGTGAGATAACGGATGCTGTTGAAACAACCGCTCAAGTAGTGTGCTCAAGTCTTTCCTCTCTTCGATCCCTATGATAGTCCCCTGAATGGTTCGTCGTCACAGGCTTCGCCCTGTTCTCTGGAGTTGTTTCTAGTGTATCATTCGCGCGGGTGGGACAAAAAGGACACTCGAAGACCAGGCGATAAGTACAGCCGCAGAGGCCTAATCACGGCTTTGGCTGAACTAGGAGTGCCTCATGGAGAACAAAATACTTGGCCGCCTCCGATGTAGTAATACAACGTCAATAATGCGGGAAGACCTCAGCCAAGACCGCGACGTGTCTAAAATGTCAGAACCACTGCTGCACCAATTGCCCAGGTCGCTCGAATAGTCGAATGATGGCTACTGAATAGAAGAGACTCTCGCCTGGTGCCTTGGGACCATGTTTGGTATTCCTATTTTCCCGGCTGGATTTTCCAGCAGGACTTGGTCACGAACGTCGCCGTGAATTGAAGTCCTAACTAGTCCTAGGCTGTTCCTATTCTAGAATAGTCTGTAGTTAGGCGATTCTTAATATTAATCTCTCGGTACAAGCTAAGCAATTTAAGCTATATACTCGTTACGCTACATAAAGCTACGGTGAAGGCAGGCGAAGGATAAAGTGGGGTGAGCTACGGTAGGGAGGGCAGGGTACCTAGGTAGGAATGTACCGAGTAAAAAGATATATACATATTCCCAGCCATGCACGGACGCATGGCGCTCAAAAAAGGGGATGCACAATAAATGATAGATAATTTTTGTACAGAACGGTTCTCCACGTACCCGATACCAAGGTATCGGTATGTCTTTCCTGATGACTTGCCAGGGACGGGGAGACCTGATATGTAATAACAACATCATGCTCGTTGTCTGGAATAGGAATCGAAGCCGCTTTTCTGAAAAGGACAGCACTGGACATACGTACCGCTCCAATACTCCGTAGTCCCTGCCTGCCCATCCGTCTGCCGGCCGCTTGTCGCATGTCCCTTTCTATCATCACCCACACACCATCGTTATCCTGCCAACCAACGGGAGGCGAATCGAACAACAAGGTATCCTCCACAAAATTGATCCAGTTTGAAACTACATTATCTTCGCCCCTCTTGGCCTTGGTCCTCCTCGCCTAGACTTCACCATATGAGACATCTCAACAATTACAGCACCAACTTCCCTGGCTCAACTTGCAACACCGTCTTGACCCTCTCCAGAAACGTGCGTGCCCTTTTCTCTTCGCCCACCGGGACTGTCAGACTGAATGCATTCAATGCGCCCTCTGCCGTGCTTAGTGTGCGGCCTGGTGTAGACATTGAAGATGTAGAGAAAGGAGCTGCTCTTTTGGGTGTGGCTTTGCCGGACAGGATGTCGATAATGTCACCTTTTTGGGCCGTGGAGGCTGAAACGCGGTGGGAGCGCGGGAGTGATGTGGTCTGGGATTTACCAAGTGGAATAATGGGAAATGCATCGATTTGCGGGAGATATGCTCCTCTCGACGTAGTCGGTATTGTGTCCAGTCCAAGGACGGCATTGAAGAGGTCATCTGCTGACGGCTTCGCATTCTTGGGTTGAGGCAGATCATCGTTTGCAAGATCAACTGCGCGGGCGAGGAAGGTTGATAGAGGGACCGTCACCCCCAACGTGTCTTTTATGCGTTTTTGGACCTTCAGCACTTCGGCTAGGGAGATGGTGATGCTGACGCTGGTGCTTTGTGGGACGATCTCTTCAGGTAATGCTGCCGGAGTAGGAGCAGCCGCAGCAGCGGTCTTAGGGGTAGTAGGTAAGATCTTGATGTTGCTGAGGTCGAGGTGCGCCATATGTTCGATGCGCTTGGATAGTTTGGCCGAGTAGTCCGACTCAATTGTTCCCAAGTACGCGAGGACGTCACCTTTCAGTAGTCTTCCATTCGGCCCAGTAGCTGGGATTTTGGCAACGTCGTCCTCGGAGATGTGGTTCTCGTGGATTAGAGCTATCACCGAAGGATAGAGCGGGTATTTCGGATTCTGGCCCGGCCCTGTTGGACTAGTTTTCGGTTTGTCCCTGGCCGGCCTCTGGTTTTGGGGTGTGCCCGGCGTCTCCTTTTCTACTCCGGACGCCTCATACTTTGAATCAGCTCCGCCCTTTACGTTATCCGCTTCCGACTGAACGGGCTTCGAGTCGTCCGGAGGGATCTCTAGACTGGAGACGTCATCCCCAGGATCGCCGAGGACAGCTATCCTCATGCCAACTTTAACTGACTTGGAGCCGTCTCCCTGTAAGATCTTGGCCATGACACCATCATCCTGGGCTTCCACGTCCATGGAAGCCTTGTCGGTCTCGATTTCCAGGAGAATGTCCCCTGCTGAGAAAGAGTCTCCCTCTTTGACTTTCCAACTTGAGATGTTGCCTTCGGTCATTGTTGGGGACATGGCGGGCATCATAAAGTTATGGGCTGCGAGGGAGGAGGGCGTGGAGGAAAATACTCTCCGAGCGTGGTGCTGGGAGTGTGAGAAGGAGGAGCATTGGGTCGAGGCGACCTGGCGGGCCAGGAGGCGGACGGACTGGCGACCAGCCATTACGAAGGAAACGTTGCGGATCTCAAGCGGAGTGGAAGACAGCAGGGGCTTTCCAGGTTGCTACTGGGTATTCGGAATATCACCAGAGAAGCGCGAGGCAGCGCTGAAGGAATGGTAAAGACCGACTTGACTGTTTAGAATCGGGCAGAAATGTTGAGGAACGAGCTTGGTCGGAGCCTGTCTGCGGGAATCGCCCCGACAGTCAATAGCGGGTTGCCGCTTTTAGACCGCCAGACCCAACCGCCCAGATGCTCGCCTCGCCGCCTCTCAGCCCACCAGGCTCTTCCCCCCCCTTTGCCCATCCTAATCACAGCAAAGCTGTTCCTCTTCTCACCAGGCACCTAGGATCAACTATCGTACTGCCAGGAAGTCCCGAAATTTCCACCATAGCGAGTTGAAGCAGAGCACAAAGAGACTTTAGACAAACCTATCTAATTCTTGACTGCTGGTGGAATAGGTGACTTCCCTCGCTTTCCATGCTCCATCCTTCCCAATCGGGTCTGTATACGCTCCCTTGTGTCAGCCTGACACCCATCCATATTTTAGACCCGATAATTGCGCCCATTGATGGCCCAGATGGTATTTTCCAAAAAGACCATATCGGTAAACAGACACAAAATGCATGCTTCGAACAAGCTGACTGTCCCGCTCCAAACCCAAGAAGAGACTTTGGCACTATGCCCCTCCTTCGTATTCACAGAATACGAAGCAATACGAAGCTTCCCGCTCCTCCTCCTTGGGGTGCCCCTCGCGCTATGGTGGTCTTGGGTGGTATATGCTGCTTAAGTCATTTACAGATGGCCAAATCGAGAGAGCGCTTTCCGCGAGACGGTGCTGTACCCGGCGTATCAGAGGATCTAGACTGGCCTTTGTAATCTTGGGTGTGCGTCAGTCCGACACGCACCGTCTCCAATGAAATCTGCTTGAGTACACATACCTTCCCTCTGCTTTTGCTGCAGTGGATCGATCATCCCACGTATGCTCCTTTCTGCCTGCGGAACGAATAACCAGGCTGTCTATCCGCCCTTTCGTCTATAAAGGTGAGTCCTCGAGCGGTAAACTGATGTCATAGTTTCCTGCAAGGTCACCTTCACAACGGAACTTACTCTCTGTCTCTTTCTCCAGCATTTTGCCATCATATCATCTACGCGTCAACTATGAAGGGTGTAGTCTTTGCAAATGTCGGCGCGGAGCCCAAGATCGTCGACGATCTTCAGAAGCCGTCTCCAGGTCCAGACCAACTGCTTGTGAAATCAATCTGGATGGCCGTCAACCCCGTGTAAGTGTCGCGATTGATTCAAATTCTTTTGTCGTCTAACCGGATGGCTGTAGTGACAATTTCATGGCTGCCTATGGCCTTCTCGTGGTCGACTGGCCACTTGTGCTCGGCGTTGACGCCGCCGGAATTGTGATCGAGGCAGGAAGTGAGGCGGCATCCAAGGATGGATTCAAAGCAGGTGATCCCGTGTTCGGTTGCACCAGGCTCGGAATGTTGGGATACTCCGCTGGCCAGGAGTACTTCCTGATGGATGCGCCCGTCACCATCCGTAAGCCAAAGAATATCTCCCTGGTTGAGGCCGTCACATTGGGGGTGGGGAGTGAGACTGCTTGCCTGGCCTTGTTTGGCGGTCTCGGTGTCCCTCTCCCTGACCCAAAGGACCTTCCCGGACCCCAGGACGAATGGATCGTCGTCTTGGGAGGCGCCAGCAGTGTCGGCAAAAGTGCAATCCAGTTGGCCAAGGCCTGTGGTTACAAAGTCGTTGCCTCATGCTCGACCAAGTCGGCAGCTGAAGTGAAGAGCCTGGGCGCCATAACATTCGACTACAAGAAGTCTATTGAGGAGCAGGTCAAGGAGGTCGTAGGCGTTACCTCGGGGGACATCTCTCGAATCTTTGATGCTGTCGCAGCAGAAGATCCAGTCACGGCCAAGGAATTGTTCAAGGCATCCAAGAGCAACAAGAGGCTCTTTGCGACAACAAATGATTGGAGTGGGATCGGTGACTTTGAAGGGGTGAAAACCCATGCGGTCAAACTTGGCGGGATCGGTCGACCTGAAGCAGCAGAGTTGAACAAGAACATTGAGGAATACATTCCCGTCATCACTGCATTGATTGAGGCAGGCAAGCTGCTCCCGGCCGAATATGAAGTGATTGGCACTGGTTTCGAGGCTGCTCTCAAGGCATACGACCACCAGCGCTCCGGAGCCGGGGGATCGCGAAAAGTTGTGGTCAAAATCCAAGACGAATAACAAACAGCCGTGCCCCCTCCGGCTACACAGCGAAAAGAGGAAAACTGTTACGTTTCAATCGGATAGACCCGGGTGCTGCTGAGAAGGATGAACTCGTGGTGCGGTACAATATCCAATATCCAGTGTCGGTGTTGAGGTGCAGAAGAGCGGTTAGTCTTGCTGTGCCGCAACTGTAGGGAAGTGGTAACCACCGTCCAAGCAGTGCCTTTACCGAGTCGATCCCACCACCGCTGCCTTAGTGAGGCTTTTAGCCCTGTTTTGGGCACCAATACTGACAATTTCGCCACCCAAGGGCATCTGGGGTAAAGTACTCTGCTGCGACCCTATTGTGCTCTTTGATAGCGCAGAATTTATCTCATAATAGAATGGAACAGTTTCTCTTGTGTGGATGTGAAGGGAAAGGAACCAACACCAGAAGCACCGCACTAGCAGCGAAAGAGTAACAGAACCCCTCTCTCCTGGCCCAAAAACCCACGCAAGAAACAACATTGCCAAAAGAAATGCAGGGGACGTTGCTCTGCTTCCTCGCAGCTGTGCACAGAATTTCTTTTGCCAGGAGTCTCGAGGGTGGTTGGCTCTTTTGGCCGTCCTCCGTCGGAAGTTGTAGGTCAACTTAGGATTGCTAAAGGACGACACAACCCACCGTACAGAGCGGGCCCGCATCGAAAGCCCTAGGAGGGACACACTATGTCTCAGCATCGGTATTTTTTGCATTTTGACAAGCGGGAACCCGTGTGGTGTAGTCGCACGGCCCGTCTCGGAAACAGCGAGCATCTCGGACATTGGTTTGTGTCGAGAACGAAATTCGGGCAGCTGTTGGACTCAGTGCCACCTGAGAACCGGTAGGATGCATTGGACGTTGTGCAGTTATCGTGATCCTGACCTGCGTCAGCGTAGTATCATGGTCTACGACTCAAGAGTGATTTTCCTCGCGGCAGTCGTGGTGAACGGCGTTAGATGGGGAAGATCTTTCCTGTGTAAGTTGGTACAGGGGGTGAGAGTCCATTCCGCCTCATTTCTGGAAGGTTGGGCACCACTTATATACGCAATTCGAGGAAGGATTTGCTGAGGATAGGGAAGGACATGTGGTGACCAGGCGTAGCGAGCGTGATCGCCGACCGCAGGCGCCACCAACGCCATTCCCTGAGCCTTGAGCAATAAATGCGGAGCGAGGTTTGAAGTTTGGCAGGCCTTTCTATTGGCAAGGGGCCCGAAGCACCAATGCACCAAAAGCACCAATTGTGAAGCCAACTTGGGCCGCAGGATGGAGTCAGGCTGTCCAACAGTCCCACTCTTAACCTCAAGGCTGCGTCTTCTGCTTAATGGAGTCTTTCTTCCTGTACTGGGTAAGCCGGCGCCTCACATCCGACCGACGCAAATAGTGGTCAAAAGAACAAGGCCGTGAGCGGACAATGACAAGCCGTGGGCGGCGGTCGTAATCTCCGAGAAAATGCAACTCAGCACCGATGAGGCAAGGGCGTCGAGCTTGGGTCGAGGCCATTGCAGTCCCCGGGCCAGGGGGGATCTGTTATCCGTATCCTAGATCTGCTCCAGTCAAGACTCAACACCCTCCCCCGAAACAAACATGAGGCTTACCTAGTAGCATCGACGCTGTCACTGTCTCAATCACACGACCCAGGGAACCGGATGCCTAGGCTGGGTGTCTGCGTGTTTGCGTTGCTCGAGAAAACCCTGTTTGCTGGTGGCTGGAGGTTGGGGGAAGAGTTGAAGTGGGAGAGAAGAAACCAGCAAACACCTTGCCTCCCACGCTGACTACTGGGTACCCGGGACGATTCCCTCCACGACGACCACCTCCCACACCTTTTTTTCTTCTCTCTCCTTAATAGTGCAGATAGCGAGTACTCGACATCACTCGCTCTACTGATCCCACGTTTCTCAAAAACCCGGGCAAGGGATTTGTCCATCTGTTCGGGCGCCCACGCCTGCCCCCCCCCCCCCCCAACAATCCAACAATCCAACATTATTCCTCTACCCGCGCCTTGTCATACTGAGAGGTCCGTTCCCGGACTCACACCTTTGAGGCGCAAGATTCAGCATCCCTGGGATCTGTCCCACTTCACCAGATCGCCCCCTTTGCAGTTACTCGGGCGTCGTCCTTGTAGACTCAGCGTGTACAATCAAACTTGTCGAAGCCATGCGCCAATGGCAATGAAGATTCGGGGCTCCGGAGCACGAGCTCTGCATGAAGAAGGATTTAGAGGAATGCGATGAAGACGGCGACTGCAATAAGATGGCCGGCGACAAACAAGATGCCAGGGGCGCGTCGGAACAGGTCAGAAACGTCCAGAAATATCAAGCTGCAGCAGCCACCAAAGACGACGTGACCGCTCCGTCCTCGTTGTCGCCCACATCCTCCACCGCCGATTCCAAGATGCCCGGGCGTGCCGAATGCGGTTCGCCCAAATGGGACATCAAAACCGAAGAACGTCATGACCAGCCTCGCTCTACAGACCCAGCCTTGGACGAGCCCTCAGAGACTCGGAAGGAATCTCCCCCAGAAGCCGAACCCTCACCCTGCCAAGCGTCACGATCCTTTACCTGCGATCATTCGTGTGTTGGAGACGAGGATGCTGACGACTCAACCACCATTCCTCCTTGTATAGGCGAAGCTGAAGTTGATGCACTCGTCACTGCCATGCCTCACCCGCCAGTGACGAAAGAAACTTTGGAAGAGCTCGAACTGGTCTACATACAGTCCAATCCCAACCTGCGTATCGATATCAACTACGACCATGACCTCCATTTCACTCCCATCTCGGGGGAGAAGGGAGAGCTCAAGAAGCAGCAAGCGAGAAAGTATTGGGATAGTATGCTGGCTGAACTGAAGATAGTTTCCCAACACGGGCCCTCGGTCTCATGTACCGAGTGTGATAGGAAGCGCTCTTCGAGCTCCGATAAGCGAGTATTCAAGCGAAGGTTGCCTGTCTTGTTTCGGAAGCTGAAAGAATTACTCGTCATCCTGATCCCGGAGAAGGACCAATACCAGATCAGCCAGTATCTTGACGTGCCTCTGCTCCTGCAGGAGCTGTCTCATGGCCTCTTAGACATTGTCCGCTTGGCTCGTTGGCTCGATGGCCTCCTCACGAGCCACTGCGCGCCGGTGAGAGATGTCTGTGCACATGAGATGGCTGAACAAATAGGACAAGGTGCAGAGAACGGGGACTTGCACACTCTCGTTACTGGTATTGAAAAGCTGTTTCAATTTCTGGAGGCAATGAAGTTGGATGTGGCTAATCATCAGATCAGAAGCTTTCGTTACCTCTTGATCGATGATACCGTCTCGTTCCAGCAAGATTATTTCAGGTCCCGTCTCAGACAGGGTGAGCTCAAGGGCGAACAGTCACGAGCATGGTACTGTGATGCCCTCGAACAGCACCGACAATGTCGTCTTGAAGGCGAAACAGCCAGAACACTTCCGACAGCTGCGCTAGTGCATGGGATTCTCGAACTCTGCCTTTGCCACGATTCGGAGGTTCCAGCCACCCTTGCATACGATCACAAGCGCCTGAAGGAGATTCGGATGGACGTCCAGGATACGATTCACCTCGATATTTCTCTGTCAGTCTTCGACCGTTTGCTTCGGGAGCTGCTGGGCCACGGCCCAACCTCCTCATGGCAAGGTATCTTAGAGACCCGTGTAACGGACATGCACATGCTCTTGCAGAACAGAATCATGGATCTCACCGACGGCGACCTTGAATGCACTCCCATGCAAGACATTTGGTTGCGACATGCCAACACGGTTGCTCTTGAGCTGACACGTGCTGCTTTCCTGATCTGGACGGGTTCTACCTTTCCCATACCCGACTCGGTAGTCAACAAGACGACGGTAAGGTTGGTCGCCCAGTTTGAGGCCGAACATCAAAGCCAGCATCATGCAAGGACAATACTACGTAAGCTCGAACGAGCAACAAACGACCACGCGGGCAATTTTCAGAACATGACGGTATTGGCCATCTCGCAAGCACAGAAGCAATGGCAACAAGCTCGGGCTGCGAGGCAAAAATGGCGCTCTCTCCCCGAAATCGAAGATATCGCAAGAAGAGTGGCACATATTGCGGTGGTGCATTGGCGAGTTTGGGCGGATCTTGTTTATTTGGAGTCTTCAGAGGGATACGAAGATGATTTCATTGATGAGATTGATAGCATTTCTAGCGAAGGGGATCAGCATCATATTACGGGCAGTCCGACGGACTATGTACAACACCACACCGAAGGAGGAGAGGAGGAAGAGGGAGAAGAAGACGATACCCATTTTCATTCGACGTGATCCTTCCAGGCGTTGTTGCGTTAACAGGATTATTGGTCAGGCCATGGCCGAGGGAAGCCTCAAGATCTTGGTGCCTACGAAAGACATGACTTTTGTCCTTGATTTTGGGGGAGGAGTCGGAGGATGGAAAAGTTGGTTCCTTGCTGAAGATTTTATACACACCCCCTAGTATGTTTAGTTTGTATTCCCGGGCTTCGATTCTTTCCTTGCGTTGTGTTTGTCCTGGGAGATGTATGCCATTCAAATAACATGGGAAATGAATAGTTTGGGCGAGTTCATTTTCCCGAAATATCAATCAATAGCATAATAGCGGAGAATAGTGTTTGTCTCACTGTCTGTCTCTGCTTTGGAATATCTACATCCTGAGTTTCATTTTTGAGGGGGTTGGGAACAGCTTCGGTGAAAAGGCCGCCGAACTAGCTAATACCCCATTGCCTATTGCTCAGTAAAGGAATTGCTTCTCCACATCTTGATTCTCGCGTTCCTCCCATCACTTCGACTGTCAGAAACAATAACCGACCATTGCCGACTGACGAAGTAAACGTCTGGGTGCCACGCCCTGTGAAGAAGGGTGAAGAAAGGAAAAAGACTCAATTCGGTTGGCTCACATTTGATCTATCCATCCTCGATCAATCAAAGCAAATCGGTTCTGGTTACCGACGACGCCCGTGTCAAAAGACTCAGATAGTGTCGGGGGTGGTCAGGTGCTGTCGACATTTTCCTCTCTTCTCTATTTTATCTTCCTCTCCCTTCTTCTTTTCGGTTCCTGTCATCTTCTGCGAGGACGTTCTGCCCGCTTTTCTTCCTGACATCCCTCCGCGTCTGATATATACATTTTATATCACGCCCTACTATAGTATAGAGAGGCCAGGCCACGACATACCAGGACGACGAGGGAACTGAGTATTTGGGACAGGAGAAAACGGCTGCTGCAGGCAAATTGCGAAGTTATCAGAAAACGGAAACAAAGACTCGCCGACCCGAGGAACTATTCCAGGCAAGCAAAGGAAGAAGTCCAGAAACATGAGTTGCCCCAAGGAACAGGAGCAGCAGTCTTGCGGGTCTTGTGACGGCCACAATCACCATGGTCCAGTGCCGGACATGGAAGATTACAAACTCGAACTGGAGAGCTTGCGCAAGCGGACTCAGGAACTCGAATTGAAGCTGTCCAAGGCTGGAAGTGCTAATACGACCAAGAAGCCCATGAAGCTGCGGTCCGAAAACTGGTTCAACTCGCCCGACAACCCGGAAATGATGGCACTATACACGGACCGATACCTCAACTACGGCCTGACGACGTCTGAGCTCAACACCGGGAAACCCATCATCGGCATAGCTCAGTCCGGCAGCGATCTCGCCCCCTGTAACCGCCACCATCTCGAGTTGTCCAAACGTGTCCGCGAGGGGATTCGCTCCGCTGGTGGTATCGCATTTGAGTTCCCCACCCACCCGATTCAGGAGTCGGCGAGACGACCGACGGCGACTTTGGATAGGAATTTGCTCTACCTAGGCCTTGTGGAGGTCTTGCATGCGTATCCATTGGATGGAGTGGTGCTTCTGACCGGTTGCGACAAGACGACTCCGGCAATGTTGATGGCCGCTGCTACCGTCAACATTCCGGCCATCTGTCTCAATGTCGGTCCCATGCTGAATGGCCGACTCGCCGGCTCGCAGGACAGAATTGGCTCGGGGACGATTCTGTGGAAAGCCAGAGATTTGCATGCGGCGGGGGAGATTGACGATGACATGATGGTGGAGATGATTGCAGCTGGAACACCCTCGGCAGGGCATTGTAATACCATGGGGACGGCGTCCACTATGAATGCTCTGGCTGAAGCTCTTGGCATGGCTCTGCCCGGCTCTTCGGCGATTCCGGCCCCGTATCGTGAGCGCGCACAGTGTGCGTACAGGACCGGTAAGCAAATTGTTGAAATGGTGCACGCCGATCGCAAGCCAAGCGATATCATGACGAGGGAAGCATTTGAAAATACCATTGTCGTGAACAGTGCCATCGGAGGGAGTACGAATGCGCCGATCCATTTGAATGCTGTGGCGAAACATATTGGTGTTCCCCTTGACCTGAATGACTGGGACCGGATTGGATTTGACATCCCTTTGCTGGTGAATGTGCAACCGGCCGGCGAGATGCTGTGCGAGGAGTATTATAAAGCTGGCGGTCTTCAGGCAGTCATGGCCGAGCTTTTGGAGCAAGGTAAACTCCGGCCAAAAGCGCTGAGTTGCAACGGCAAGACTATCGAGGAGAACGTGGAGGGCAAGCATTCTTGGGACAGACGAACCATCAAGACCTACCGCGAACCCCTGAAACAGCGAGCAGGGTTCCTCCACATGACAGGTAATCTGTTTGATTCCGCCATCATGAAGACTTCCGTGATCTCCGACGATTTCCGACGAGAGTTCTTGGAAGATCCAAAGGATCCGAATGCTTTTGAATGTAAGGCTGTGGTGTTTGATGGGCGAGAGGATTTCATCAACCGCATCGATGACCCTAAGACGCCTGTCGATAAGAGGACGATTTTGGTAATGCGTGGTGCTGGACCGCTTGGGTATCGTAAGTACTCCTTGTCCCCTTGACCCAAAAAGACCATATCGATGCCCTGGACTTTTCGTGCTTCGCGGATTCAGCACGAGACAGGCTTTGGCTTTGGATCTGTCTCGATCGACAATGCTAATTTTGATTCTCAGCTGGCGCGGCGGAAGTAGTCAACATGCATGCTCCAGGCCACGTCTTGAAGCAAGGCGTCACCTCTTTGCCGTGCATTGGAGATGGAAGACAATCTGGGACATCAGGATCACCGTCAATTCTGAACGCCAGTCCCGAAGCCGCCGCAGGAGGTAATCTGGCGCTTCTTAGGGACGGAGACGTCTTGAGGGTCGACTTGGACAAGCGCCGTGTCCAGATGTTGATCCCTGAGGATGAGTTGAAGAAGCGACGGCAGGATTTGGAGGCCAAAGGGGGTTATCTGATTCCAGAGTCCCAGACACCCTGGGAGGATATCTTTCGACGCGAGACCGGGCAGCTCAACGACGGGATGGTCCTGAAGAACGCTCCCAAGTATCAGCGCGTAGCGCAGAGATGGCCAGCTCCTCCCCATAATCACTGATAAGCCGGGTACCGACTGCATCAGTAGAACGTGGTTTGCGGATTTACTGGGCCCTATCCAATACCCTTCATCGTATCTCTGGATTAAACCGGGGTCGGAAACCCTCGACTTGATGTTGACGTGGTCGGTCTTTCGCATCTTCCTCTGGTGCATCGCAGTTTTCCTCGAGTGTCACAGTCCCCTCGTGCACGGAGATCACCAGTTCTCCCAGATGACGTCCGGGAGCACCGTTCTCATGACCCTCCAGTGGCCCAGCGCACTTTTTGCCTGCCATTTCTCGAGTTCCTTCGTCTCCCCGCTTCTGAGAACTGCGCCTTCTGTATTGAATTCACTCTGGTCGATTTCATGCTTGGGCACCAGAAACTCCTGTCGAGCACCACTACCCAGGAAATCTGCCGCGACGGGTTTTCGAAATTTAATGGCTCCTTTCCTCTTCCTGCAGAAGAAGACCATGTTCGTGAAGTCGTCCCGCTTGACTCCGGGTGCTGGTGCTTCATCTTCTCTGAAAACTCGGCACGAAGGGAATACAGATATGATCGTCCGGTAGATGAGGGAGGATGTAGGCATGGCGAGATCCCCTGCGTAATTGATAGCTATGACCCCGTCGGGTTTCAGGAGCCTGTGCACGCCTGAGAGGAATTCCGTGGTAAAGAGCTCCACGGGTTCTGCCCCGCCGGTGAAGACGTCGTGGATGATGTAGTCGTACGAGTTTGCCTCAGTCGAGGTTGCGGCCGTGACCGCATGAATGGCGTTGCCAATGTAATAACTATGGTTGTGGGGAAAGTCGAAGTATTTGATAGCGAATTCGTGGACGACCGGATCGAGTTCCATGACAGTTGTATTCACTCCATGATGGATCAAGGCAGATGGTGCCGTTCCGATTCCTAGTCCGATGTTTAAAGCAGTCTTGTGTGGACTAGGAGAGGCGCCCTCCACAAGACGTACAGCTTCAAGCATCACAAAGATGGAATATATCGGGTCTGCAACCTTCCTCTGGACTCTCCTTTGTGGCGGTAACTTCCATTCTCCGCCCAGGAGACTGTGATCGCACCTCATCACTCGAAATCCTCGTTGGTTATCCTCCAACACTGAAATATAGCCTGTTATCGACTCCTTTCGTTCCAGTAATGTATAGTCGTAGAGAGCCAAGGTGTGATTCAGCACCTCCGTGGTTCGTGAAAGTGTGCAATGCGGATTGGCGACCATAGTAAAAGCAACCGCCGGAAGAGAGGGCCACAAGATGCTATTCTGCAGAACCATCCCATACAGCGATGCAACTATCAGCTGCATTCCAATTCGTGAAGTGAGAAAGCCGTGTCCAAGCAGTGACGAGATAAACACCTTGCAGGCTCTGTGGAGGACGGAGAACAACATAAATAGCCCCATTGAAGGCACAGCTTCTCCTAAAGAGGAACGAGATTCGCTGAAGGTGGTGATCTCGTTCAAGTATTGTATCGCATAATAGATAGACAATAACACAAGGGGATAGCAAGTCAGGAGCTCGGTGATCATCGGTCCCAGTGGGTTACCCAGGGTCGAACTGAATCTGAAGAGGAAGAATTGGATGCCAGGAATCCAGAAGCAAAAAGGGGTGATTAACCGTGAGGCCCAAGGGGGGAGGTAGCCTCGAAGAGCGAAGGCAACCATGAAGGAAGCAGTGAGGCCATATCGATGGTACAAAGCAGCTGGTATTTCTCCATATACGGGGGATAGGTTTAATTGGGATATGGGCGCATAAAGGGCCGCAAGCAGGATAAGTTGCAGAGCCCTCTGCACCTTTGCGTCCGTTAATGTTGCGAGGACGGATTTGGGGCTCTTTTCCGTTGAACCTGTGTCTGTCCGTGATGGTGGAGGATGCAGTGTAGCATTGTGAGAAGGCGTCGCGCTCTGTTTCGCGACATTCTTGGACGGTTTAGCTCTCCTGGTCATGGCTATTGCTGTTTCCCCAGGGTACTTGATGAAGAAGAGCGGCTCTTTGAGTTAGTTACGATTGCAAAGCCTCGATGAGTAGCTTGTCAAGTGTTGATAGTGCTGTCGATACCTACATAAGTACCTAGCTCACTAGGTAGAGTTGAAGGAATGCGACGTTTCCAAGAGCGCAGGCCGCTAACTCGATTTGCTACCAGATCTGACAACCAGCCTCACCGAGCCCCTTTTCTCGCCTCAGCCTCCACGGCAATAATACTAGACAGTATTCTCCCGCAATCAGTGATACTAAAGCCTCATTACTAACAGAAGAAATTGACTCTCCAAGAAGTTCGCCGCAAAAGCCAAAGGATTTGCCCGCCTTGCAAACCTTTGCACAAGATCCCACGCGCTGAAATGTCACCTGCCATCAAGTCGCAGAGGCACGTAGATACAACCAGCCCGTTAGTCAGATCCCGGGTATCAAAAGACAAAGAACAAACCTCCATCATATCAACCAAGTTTTGGTCAACCAACAAATGCCTCCGGCTGGAGCCTCCAGTCGCGAGGAAATATACCCTGAAAAACCACATCCGGTGCCGCCACTAGAAATACCTATGGACCGTTCCCCCAAACCGTCCTTGTCATCCCGTCGTGCAGCTCGTTCAGAATCGTCTTATTGTATCCCCATCCCACATTCTCAATTAAGTGTAATTAGGTGTTCACAGCGTCTGGCCGCTGAGCGTAATGAAGTTGGTTTTTCCCTAAGCCAACACAACCAGCCCCATGGCTGAATCGGCTGGATCGCTGCTGAGGAGCCAGTCTCGCTTGTTGAACTTTCTGGCCTCTTTGTCGGCTTCCACGTCGACATCAAGCCCAAGGTCGATCCCACTGTCGTCATGATTACCGGCTCCGCGGTGCTTGACCGGACTGCTTAGGCCAGTGTGAAAGCTAGGCAGGTCTAAAGGGCCGCCGCGTCGTAGTTCGTCAAGTTCTGCGTCTGTTTCATCGTCATCGACCTCCTGATCCGCTTGCGGTTCCAGAATGGCCGCTGGAAGGGTCGGTGAGCTTCCGGGAGCCATTTCCACTTTCGTCAACTTATGCGACTCGGGTCCACCTGAAGCATTGGCGTCCCCGTCACCATCTCCGGCTACCCTCTTTCTCTTTGTGCCACGAAAAAGTGCGTCTGGATGAGGGTGGGCCTCCTTACGCTTCTCTTGCTCTCTCTCGTCTGCGGACTTCTGGCTGTGCGAGTCCATTAGCAATCCTTCCATCTGCGTCATCCAGTCGAGCATCTGTGTGGAGAATGACTCCACAAACCACCACGATTGATAGCTGTGTGCGCCACCCTGTCCCATTTGCATCATGACGCTTCTCCAAAATCTGGTGTGCCAATTGATCATGCACTGGGGGTGATGGCCGTCGAATAGTTGCGGCAATCGCTCCACCCAATTGATCCAACGCTCGAGCAAAGAAGTAGGTTCACCGCTGCGATCCGGGAGCAGAATGCCGTCGCAAGAATCAGTGCTGTCATTGATAAAGGTCGCGTATGCGCTAGCCCGGTCGTCTTCCGCTGCGCGCACCAATGCATCATCAATTGGATCAACGAGAAGTCTCATGTCGTGCTTCAGCATGCCCTGCATCTTCTCGAGACTTTCAGGTGGTGGCATACTATCCTCTAGGAGGCGATCAGGATCAACCATAGACATCAGATCGAGCCACATCTGAGTTCTCTGTTGCGGGTCCTCAAGCATTCGACTCAGTTGTAAGGTAGCTGCGTTCGCGCCCTTGAGCTTCTTCAGCACATGCGCAAATCTGGATGCAGGTACAATCTTCGCAACGATAACGTGAACAGGGCACTTCTCTTCAAAGGCGGAGATGAGGTGGCTGATCAATCTCGACCCGATACGGTCGAACACATTCCACACAACCTCAGGCACGTTCTGTATTGCCAAAGGAGCAATGAACCGGACAATCTGCTTATACATTCGCATATCGCATTCCTGGATCCAAGGAGCCAAGCAGGGCATCGAAAATAGTTTGGAGACTGGGACAGTCATTTTCCCATTGAAAGCTGAGTGGTGGTTGAAGAACGGCTTCTCTTTGCATTTGCGAAAGGCGTCGATCACATCGATGCAGTACGAACGATAGAGATGGAACAAGGCTTTGGCGATGGATGCGTCATAACTCTCTCCTTCAAGGTAAGGATGGATATCGGGAAAGTCAATGGGGGTATCTTGCGACGAAGTAGACGGCTGAGAAAGTGAATTGAGCGTTGGCATTCCCAGGTAAGCCGCCATGCTGGCAGGTAAATCTCGTCGAATTGAAGGAAGCGATACAAGGACGTTCGTAGGCATGGATTTGACGGGGAAACGGATGGTTGGCGTGTTGATGTACTTGCAATCCAGTCGCTCAGTCGCAGACTCTACAGGGGCTGGCATACCATCCCCAGCAACATCAGCTTCCTTTGACAGGAACGCAGCGCTCGGGGCGGGGAAGTCGGCTGTCTCCATTGTTGCTCGTGACATAGGTCGGTCGGTGGGAGGAGTCACGTTGGTCTTGAGAAAATTGTTTGTATCCTGGACTGATCCGCGCCGTTCATGCTGGCCGCCCGACGTTCCGGGTCTTTCGGGCGCGGGAGCATATTGTCGATCATCGTCGTCCACAACTAAGGATAGATCCACGTAGTGATATTTCGATTCGCCCCGTACTCCTAGTCTTCTTGTCTGGACATTTGGAAAAATGATGCGCACAAGTTTCCCGAATGACGCAGGGTTTAGGGTCGGAACTCGCTCGTTGCCACAGCGTTCCGTGTACCTTGTAAATACACGGTCACGGCGTACAGAGTTCGATGATCTTTGACAGTTTTCTTGAAGCCTAGAATTGTAAGCATGAGCGGCAGGCTTGGTCCAAGGATACCTACCAGAGCATAGCAAAGACCTGTTTTGCTTTCTCAGATTTGCCTCCGGCGCCTTCATTCTTTTGAACTTCCACAGCAACTTCTTTGAGACTCTTGCCTTGGTACTGTACCAGCAGTCTCCGCAATTCCTGGTCGTTAGCCACGCTTGACGCCATACCCTTTCGACGTTTGGCCCCACCATTTTCGTTGTTTGAATCCTCTGGCGCGGGAGAGCCTTCAAATTGTTCGGAATGATGGCGCATGTGATGCATATGTTGAGGGCCAACAGGATATTGTGGCAGGCCATGGGGATATTGCATAGGGTAATGCTGCATCTCCTGGAATGCTTGTTGTGACATGGGACGCATCTCATGTTGTGGCATTCCTGTGTTGGGGTCTATTGGTTGTTGGTGAAGCTGCGGTGGGATATTGTGCTGGTAATGCATGAGCATTTCTTCAGGATTATGACCATATATTCCGGCAGCTGGATGAGCGCCATGCTGCATGAAGAAGCTGTTCTGATCTAAAGGCATGCTCGGCTCGTCCGGCTGTTGTTGTGGGTGCTGTTGTTGTGCAGGCGGTCGGAAGGCGCTGCCTACGCCGACAGACTGCAGGCTGGTAGTCGAACCCCTCGATTTTGGACGGTGTTTCTCTCTGTTACTTGCACTGGTCGAATGGGAAGGATCTTGGTGATCTGGAGTTTCCTCCTTGAGGAGGGTTGGCGACTGCGCCATTCCGAACTGTGCGCTGATTAGCACGCCGTCACGAGAAAAACAAACAAGTCAACCTACATATTGCAGCCCCAAACTCTGCAATTTCAGGAGAATGAAGATGCCTGATTGCTAGATGCAGATTTGTCAAAAGAGCACGTCGCTTCGTAATTCAACCGTTCACAATATGGCATTTAGGCGTCGCAGTTGGTGGGATCAGATCTGTGTGCGGAAGATGGCGGACGTGTATCTCGAGTGTCGGGCGGTCGCAGAGACAGGTAGACAGTCTGGAGGTGTCAGTGAAGATGTCACGTTTTGCGGCAGGGAGTCTTGACTGTAATGGATCTCTTCACGCGCAGTGGCTGTCAGTCCATGTCGCTCGCTGGTTTGTGTTGAGAGCAACAGCCCGATCCGAGTTCGACAAAGGTTGTTGCCAGAGAAACAGTTTGCCAAGCCAAACATTGGGTGCCGGTCTGACAGCGGGATGTTGTTACCGTGAGCACCCAATATTGACCCGTCAGACGGGCACATCCTTGACCCTGTCCTCATGGTGCTCATTGGTGCAGCGCGGAATTCCCTTGCCGGCGACCGGCTCGCCGAGCATTGGGCTTACACGTGACAATATCCATATTACGTCAACCGCCAGACGCTGGGATTTGCCGTTTCTGGGTGGATTTACCCAGTAATTACTGCGCAGGTGAGTGAATGAGTTGCAGCTGCCAGGGTCAGGCGGAACTTGGTGACCGCCTACTAGTCCATCAAACGCCCCCGAGAGTGCCTTCGCTGACTAGCTGACTAGGCGCCCCAACACCACCAACTGATGCTCCTCTAGGCTCTGCAGGCGGCTCCAGCAGCTGCAGCCTTAGGACTCTGCTGGACTCTCAAGGTCACCCAACCACCAAACGGACGGACGTCACCTCCTCCTTGCCCTGCTGCCCTGCTTCCCCTGGCTGGTGCTGGGCCTTTAAACTACATCACTCTCCCACTACTGCACCTCTCTTCCCACTCGCACAATTCGTTTCGTTCACACTGAGATATTACCAGCAATCCAGACCTCATCTGCACTCCTCATTTCCCACATCCCAATCCACACCGCAGCAATCTACCTCCCCTGTAGAGATACCAACTGATCATTGTCAAGATGTCGTTCCAAGACAAGGCGCAGCATCAGATCTCGCAGATCGATAAGGAAGTACGTGAGGCACATGTCACCTCCAGGCTCCCAATCTCCCACTCTCTGCTGCTATCCAGCATCACCCCCCATCATCTCAGATGGCTCTCTTATGAGAACACTACAGCCCCTTCATCTCAGAAATACCGGCGAGTGCGAATTGAGCTAACCGATGGTGCCTGCAGCTCTCCAAGTATCCCATGCTCAACAATTTCGAGAAGCAGACCAATGTTCCTAAGGTCTACGCTTTCCTCGGTCTGATCGGCCTCTACTTCTTCCTCGTCTTCTTTAACATTGGAGGCGAGTTCCTCGTCAACTTCGCCGGCTTCATCATTCCGGGATACTACTCTCTCGAAGCTCTGTTCAGTAGCAATAAAGTTGATGATACGCAATGGTTGACGGTACGCTTCTTCCGACCCTTTCCGATATCAGCTATTCTGACCGTGATTCCAGTACTGGGTCGTGTACGCCTTTCTTACTGTTCTTGAGAGCATGGTCAATGCTGTCTACTGGTTCCGTAAGTTGATACGCAGGATAGCCCCCGCCTACGAGATCTACGCTAATCCTCTCCTATCAACAGCCTTCTACTACGTCTTCAAGTTCATCCTAATCTTGTGGATGGCTCTTCCTATGACCAACGGCGCTCAGATCGTCTTCAGATCTCTCCTCCACCCGATCTTCTCCCGTTTCTTCCAACAGCCACCAGCCTCCACCTCTGCCGATGTCCGCGGTAAGGCCGACGCTGCTTTGAAAAGCCAGTAGACGTCTCAGGCAATCTCACCGTGACTTTGTGCGAGAATCAAAAGGGATCGCTGCCTTTTGATGCGACCCGAGCACACAATGACAAGGCTTTTGGTATTATGACAAACGAATGGAACTTTACTGCAGAAATGAGACCCGATGGGAAGCAGAATCACGCGAATTGGTGCTGTGTGGAAGTTGCAGCAGGATGACGGACAAGTTGCTCAGGAAGGCTAATCACACTGTTATGAACTTTCTCAATAGACCTATCAATTATGTCTTGGTGGTGACAATGGCTCTCAAGAGATTCGTCGAGACTAGTTATTGATCGCAGGTAGGAAGGCGTCAATTGAGGTTGAGCCCAATGACATTCTGAAATTACAAAAAAAAAACTCCCTCAAAAAAACAAAGCAACTTTTGTTTGCTCTATAATTTGTATCTCTAAAGAGAATGCATTTGCTGATCTGATGCATTCTAGACCTCTCAAGGCTCAACTCCACCCTCCCACAAACCCTCTCTCCGCACTTTCCTGTTGCTTCGGATTGACAAATATCCTGTAGGGGAACGGATTCTGTTCACTCGTGGTAATGGGGGGAATGTGATCCTTGTCTGTGTTCACAATGGCCACGATCTTCATCGCCGTCTTCTGTAGGGAGGATTCCATTGCACGGCGGACTTTGATGCGATCTGCCATTTAGAGTCAATAGGTTAGCTATTCATGCAGCTCCGTCGCACGGCATACCAAAGGGCGAGAGGGAAAGTCTTACCCGCTTCACTTCTTGGTCTCGCGACAATAACCTGGACGCACCATTCTTCCCAGCAGACTTCCTCCTCGGTTTGCCCTCCACCGCCCAAGCGACCCAGCCAGCCCGTCGTAATTCCCGTTCTTCTCCTTTTGCGATCGTAGAAACGGACTACAATTTCGCCGCGAGAGCCACCTGCCGCGGCCGATGGGCTAGTTGGGCTCGTTGAGAACGGTGGTGTCAACTGAGAGATGAGCAAGTCTGTATGGGATTCGATTGCGGTCGAAATTTCGGGTGGCTCAAGGATTGAAGGGAGCGTGATGGGGAGGGACTGCGCGGAATGCGAGGTGTGAGTGTGAGAGAGGGAGGAGGCATTCGGGGTATAGGGAGAGGGTCGGATCGGTGGGAAGTAGCGGTGGAAAAATATTGTGTGTAGGACTCCTATGTTCAAGAGGCGTGCTTTCAGTCTCATCGCTACTAAGGGAGAGTAGAGGTGTCGTTCCTGATCACGGACTTGGGGCCAAACATAGTCGTACCTTTAACTATGTCCTTTACAAATGTTTGGTCCGCGAATACTTCGAGGATGTATTCGCGATGGCTCTGGTCCATGATCGCAAGCAGCAACCTTGGGGGCGCAAGTATACTGAAATCGACTTCGACTGCAAAATGGTGGGGTTCTTGTAGAGTGGGAGTAGGCTCAGCGGAGTACGAGGTAGGAGAGTAGGAGAGAGCAAGGAGGTGGCAGCCAGCTAAGTGGCGCCTCAGACAGAGCGGTTGCTCAAGACATGGTCGTTTACAAGCTCCAACAAACGTGCCTTGCGCATCGGTGGACTGGTCGCAGCAGAATGACTCTGAAGAAAAACCATGACGAGGTGCGCGAAGAGTCTTTGAGTGTTCCTTCGATGGTGGGGTCCAGCGGGCAGGGAAGGTCATTCTCGGCTAGGAGAGGCACTCAAGGGCAGGCGTTGCGCCCAGCAGCCCGGCTAAAAGGGTCTTTTTAACAGTACAGAACCTAGTCGTCGGTACCTACTTGTACCCGGGAGTGAGCCCTCCTCGCTATTACGTAGGTGCGACATAATACGAGTAAGAGCCTTGCTGACGGGTCGACTGCGCACCATTGGCTCAAGGGCGACCTTCACACCCAGCCGCTCCCAAGTCCCATCTCCGACCAAAAAGCCCATGCGCCTGCTCGGGTACTGGTGCTTCTTTCCAGCCTTCAGCCGAGGCACCGCCACAAGTTTCATCCGATCCATTCGACAAATGTGATCAATTGAGTCAAGAATAAAGCTGCGTCTTGAATCTGCCTGCTCCCTTGCTGTACCTGCTCCTGCTCGGGACGCTCGTTCGGGGCCCTCCATCCCTTTCTCTGTGCCGCTTGCGATCATGTCCTATACAGCGGACAACTTGTACCTGAGATAAGGTGCAGAGATTCCCTCACATTGGTCAAAATGATATCAGCCACACGTCGCTGGCTCAAGCGGCATCGCACTGGTATAGCCATTGGCGCTGGCGTTGTTGGCGCGACATATCTGGCCGCTCAGTATGTCCTTGGAAAGATCAATGAAGCGCGAGAGCGCATGCAGATGGACAGGATCGCAAAGGAGAAGTATGAGAGTTACACCTTCGTTCGCCGAGCAAGCACTGACTATATCTTCTCCAGCATTCGTCGCCGATTCGAGCAGAACCAAACAGACTGTACAATTACAGTCCTCGCCCTCCTACCCACTCTGACCGAGAACATCCTCGAAGATCTCCCAGTCGAACAGTTGACTCATGAGTTGCAACAGAAGAAGGCCGAAAGATTGGCACGTGCCTCAGGCGAAGGGAAATCTGAAGCCTCGAGTATGTACGAGGGCGATACGGCCAGCGTGTCCAGCTTTCAAACGGGGAGTTTTATCCATGCCAGCCAGTTGCAGGGTGATGGGAGTCAATCACTGGGGCCTCGCCGGACAAAGGCTCAACTTTGGAACGAATTGAAGGTGACATCGATCACAAGAGCCTTTACCCTGATATACAGCTTGTCGCTCCTCACGATCCTCACCAGAATCCAATTGAATCTCCTCGGTCGATTAAACTATCTGTCCTCTGTCATCTCACTGGCCCAACCTCCGCCACCCGGGAGAGCGGACTCGATCTCGTTAGAAGACCATGATGACGGAAGCGCAGCGGGCGCCGGGTTCGGGAACGACTTTGAAACTAACAGGAGATATTTGACATTTTCCTGGTTTCTGCTGCAGAAAGGATATGCGCAGATCATGTCCAAAGTCCGAGAAGCAGTGGAGGAAGTATTTGGGGGCATCTCTCCCAGTGAAGGCATAACTGCCGCTAGGCTCAGCGATCTGGTTCTCGCCGTGCGAAAGCGCGTCGAGGGTGGTTCTGAGCAGGAGAGGTATGCAACCAGATGGCTGCCGTACGTGTTGCCGCCTAAGGAGGAGGAAGAAGCAGTGTTGATCGAGTCCGGCGTGATTACTCCACCCGCTACGTCTCCAGGCTCGGACGCTCACGGTCCCGAGAAGGGCGAACATCAAGAAGCGGCAACCCATATCGATACATCGACCGGACCGTTGCGTCAGCTTCTCGACGAGACCGCCGATCTGATTGACTCGCCAACATTCACGAGGATTCATACACTACTTCTCGGGTCCATGTTTTCGCATCTCATCGACACCCGTGTTATTGCGCAACTATATCCACAACCGAGGCAACACTCCCCTTCTTCATCCATATCTAGCGCACTGCAACCGCGCATTCAGGAGCTCGACTCTGCCGTCACAATCGTACCGGGAGAGCCGCGAGTCAAGCTGGCCAATATCCTGGCAATCATCACGCGCCAGGCACATGCGATTGGGAACGGGAACAACCCACCCAACGAATATGTATCTACGGCAGAAGCCGAGGTGAGGGAGCTCGAAGCGTTTGCTGCGGTCATCTATGCCAGCAATTTGGATCAGAGTCTAGAGGAGAATCGCCCGGATACTGGTGATAGTGGGTTGAGAGCAGCGGGCGGAGTTGGCGTTAGTGACGTTGGCGCCGAGCCTGTGGATGAGTTGATTGAGAATAAGTTGGAAAGTGCGTGGATAAAGGTTACGGGCAGCACAAGCTTCTCGTCGCGGTAATGCGGCTCGTGAGGGCGGTTTATGGGCACTCTTGAGAGAACAGGAATGGGATAGCGATGTTCGCACCATAAGGTTACGATGGTTCCTATCGTCGATGTGCTGGACCAAGGAGATCGTTTCGGCATTTCTGGTGGCTACAGAGACGAGATAGAGACGTATCTATGGCTGCGACACGAGGCTGAAATGAGGTTGATAGAGGACGTTCGGAAGTTATCCAGACAGACGCCCAGATCTTTGGGACCCTCATTTCCCACATCCCATCACATACCTCAGGAATCGGCAGTGCATAGCAGATGACACCAGGTTCAATATCACGTTGCGGCCACAAGACTTCCTTTTTGCGTGCTCGTTTGGATTTGACTTGCTTGCTTATGTGGCAACATGTGGCCATCCCCCTGGTCACGGAGCCTGGGTCTTTGCGCCGATTTGCCGACCACCCAAAATTTGTTAACATCTTGTCTTCCTCGTATGCCCACTGTGTCCGCAGTGCGAGAAGCTGCATGCTCCACTCGGCACGAACCCACGTACGGCCTTGACACTCTGTTAGCACTTCTACCTACATACTAAGGCGTCAGGTCCACCGTTGCTAAGGTCGCCTCCCTTCAATATCTCAGGCCTCCTGGCGAGGCTCATGAAGTCGCCGTCGTCATGGATCGACCTATTGGTATGGGTGGACACTTCATGAGTGTATTCAAAGACGACAAGTGGCTTCAATGGCGCATGGTGCCTTTCATCTTGATCTGGGCTGCTTTTGGGGTTTTGTTACTGGTGTGCTATCTACCCCTCTCTCCTCCTCTGCTCCTGGTCCTTGACTGACTGACTTGGGATATTTCAGATATGGATATTCGTAACGCTCTTCGTGCCCAACCCACGCAAACCCCACCCCTCAGAGAAGACATTCACAACGGTGGATAAGACGGGTGATGTGACGGACCCAGAACCGTTGCCGTGCTGGTACGATGAAGTTCTACGAAAACACGTCAAGGCGATGCAGGAAGATCCGGAGAAGGAAATCGACTTGGAGAAGGAGATTGAGCCGGCTGAGTTGTTCGTGACGCTGGTCATTCCCGCGTTTAATGAGGAGGACAGATTGACGGGCATTTTGGAGGAGGCGGTGAATTTCCTCGAGACAGAGTATGGGACATCGTCCACGTCGTTGAAGGCAGACAACGAAGCGGGAGAAGCACAGACTCAGGGACCTCGGCGCAGGAAAGGCAACGGCGATACTACCTCTTCGCCGTCTAAGCAACAACAAGACCGCTTTCAAGGCTGGGAAATCCTCCTCATCGACGACGGTTCCACAGACGACACCATCCTCACCGCCCAAACCTTCTCTCGCAAACATATCCTCCATCCCCACCCCCGCCGTGATTCTGGTCCCTGGACCCATCGCTCCGCGACCGGTGTCAAAATCCCCCCGGGGTCGATCCGGATGGTCTCCCTCGAAGAAAACCGCGGCAAGGGCGGCGCCGTGACGCACGGCATGCGCCATGCCCGAGGTCAATACGTCGTCTTCGCTGACGCGGATGGGGCGTCCAAGTTCTCTGACCTCGAGAAATTAGTGAGGACGTGTCAGGAGATAGAAGACGCCGAGGGCAGGGGGATCGCCGTCGGGTCGAGGGCACACCTGGTCGATTCGGAAGTGGTGGTCAAGCGGTCGAAACTGCGGAACTTCCTCATGCGTTGCTTCCACATGTTGCTGTGGGTGATGTCACCTCCGGCCACGGCCCGGATCAAGGACACGCAGTGCGGCTTCAAGCTCTTTTCGCGGGCGACGTTGCCGTACATTGTCCCGCACATGCACATGGAAGGCTGGATCTTTGATGTTGAAATGCTCATGCTGGCCGAGTTTGCGAATATCCCCGTGGCCGAGGTGGCCGTGGGCTGGAGGGAGGTCACGGGCAGCAAATTGAATCTGGTGAGAGATGCCCTAGGCATGGCGTGGGGACTGGCAATATTGAGGTTTTGCTGGGGGACAGGGATCTTTAGACGGTGATGGATTGGGCATCTTGATGGCTCTATATATGCATTGGGCTTTTTCGCCCCGGGGTCTCTCTCTCTTTCGTGCAGGCTCAAGACATGGAAGAGTGTGTCACAAGCGCAAAATGTTGCATTTGCGCCCTTTGATCCGCCAAATGACGAATTCCTGTCGAAGAAAACCTGGAATCCTCGACGGAATGGGCGGCTTTCGAGAGCAGCCGCTCACTCTACTATATCTATTGCCAACCATGGACGATCTAGAGTGCCTTGGAGACACGGACGTTAGCCAGCCGTCGGCCTGAGAACCTTCCGAGACCGTCCCCATCTTGCCATGCCACCTATGAAGGATCATTCTTGAGCACGTCCTTCCACTTCTTGGCTATCTCCATGCCCTGTGCCAACGTCCCGACACGCGCATCGATCGCAAAGCCCTGGGCCTCCAAGTCTGCAAGCTCATTCCACAAACTATCCAACGGCAGCGTAAAACACTCGATATACTCACTCTCCTCCAGCTCGGGCTTGAGATTCTCTTCTTGATTCCTCGGGTCACGCATGTCCACCTCGACAAAGATCATTTTCGTGTTTGTATTGCAGAAGCCCGGGTCGTTGAACATCAGGATCCCCTCCGCGGCTTTGGCATCAGCAGGGATGGTGGAGATGTAGCCCGTTTCTTCCTTCAGCTCGCGTATAGCGGCGTCGGTGGGGGATTCTCCCGCGTCGATGAGGCCCGAGGGGACCTCGATGGTGACTTTGTCGACGGCGGGACGGAATTGCTTCTGGAGGAGCAACGAGGGCCCCTTGGGGGATTTGGGGTCGTTGAGGATGGCGACGACGCCGACGGCGTCGACTTCCGCGTCCTGGGGTCTCGTCTGTAGTAGCTCCCTGTCAACCTTTCCTGCGTTCTCTCCGGGGAGGAAATCTGTGGGACATAATTGACCTGTCGCTCGGCGGATTCCCAGATCCTTTGCTTGCCCGCAGGGTCCTCATATGTGATTTTCTTCAGGGTGATCCATTTCGCCTCGTCGGTATTCTGGGCTTCTTTCAGCAAAATCAGCCACGGGGCTTTTGGGCATGGTGACACGCTTTGTCGGGACGAGGGAGGGATTGCGACCCTTACCATCGGTTCGACGGAGAGGTTCTTGGCCATTAGCGGCGAGTACGTGGACATTTTGTCTGCCATCTTAGGGGAATACAGACGATTGACGTCCAGCCTGCTATGACTGGCCCGCCGTATCAACAAAGGCACACGAAGAGTCAACATGCCATGGCTGCGGGTGGAAGGAAGAAACTGCGGCCCGCATCGAGTCTTCATGTATGTGAGAGACGAAGCCCAATAGTATGTAAATGACGTATTAATACTAGATAACGATAACGTCCAAACTCGGCAAGCCTCATTCCTCTTCTCTCCTGCCCAGCAAGGCGCGCAGCCTTGTTGGCTATGGACCTCTTTTGAAGCCTGTTTCGTTTCGATAACTACGACTATTAATACCCCTTGTAGCATTCCGTTCACGAGACCCATTCCACCCACTGTGATTTCACTACGAGCTTCTAGGCCGGTGTATACTTTGTTCGCGCCATGCCTGGCAGGGTAGATTTAACGTATCTTGCCGAGAAAAAGAAAAGCATAGCCGTCCAAGAAGATCAAATGCACCGAATGAGAGAGCAAAGTGGAAAGTCATCACCTCTAAGAGGAGTTTCTTCTGCTGCCAGGAGCCATCGTCATCGTTGTCTGGATCAAGAAGTAACTCGATGGATGGACATGCCGTGACTGAATGGTAGACCACATCACCCGCCTGGGAGGTTTGCATATTGTCCTCATAGCGTACCCTCCAACAGAATGATAGAAGGGGGTATTCCAGATCCCGCCCATGTTCCGTCCTGTGCAGATCATGTCCCCGTCCCTACAACAGATCTCCAAATGGCTCAATTGAGCAGTTTTTCCTGTACGAAGGAGCGGTCGCTCAGCATCCTTAACTCGAGCAGGTCTCTCCCTTGCCTGGGCCCCATCCATCAGAGAACCAGGAAAGATCTTGGCACCAGCATTCCCACTGTTTCGACAGACCTTTCTCGCAGGTCTTGGTAACTGCGTCCTGAGTGCACTTGAGACCTTTGTTGCCGCAAGTCATGACGCCGTCTCGAGAGCTACGCGGCAGCAAGTTAGCACATTAAATCTCATCTTTAAAAGCACGTAGATGATGTGTATGTTTCTTACCAATTGCAGTAGTCCGCGCAATATTCACCGGTTACTCCAGGGCAGGTAGGACTAGAGATCGCCATAGAGCCACCCTTGATCTTCTGACATGTTGCAGCACAGAGGTCATCAGCATCGTGATTGTCACCAGCGGTCGCGAAGACGAGGAGGAAGGCGAGGACTGTCACAACGGCTATGGCCTTCATGTTGCCGTGGGAAAGTAGAGATAAAGACGAGTATTTGTGGCTAAACGAGAGCGATCAGCTTATGGTCGCATGTCGTATCACAGGAGGAATGACTTACCAGAGATGCCAGTCAGTTGGATCGTCCAGAAAGCCTCCAAGAGCCAGTGGGGTGCCGAGCTGTTTAAAACAGACTGCAAAGACACTGAAAGAGGAAATGGGATTTATAAAGAGGTTGGATGTCACACGTTTGTAACATTCACGAAATGTCACGACTGAGAGCATGAATGCACTCACACTGTCACTGTGTATTCACATACAGGAGCCAGACAAAGCGGCACCGGATGCAGACGTGAATAAAGTCAGTGCTATAATAAGTGAGCGCGCTGCATTTGGAATATGTCTTTGTCTTTGGACCATAAGCCAAACGCGCAGGTTAGACGAAAACAAACCCATTGATTATTCGAAGCTGTCGTCTTTATCTTCAAACAGTAAGCTGCCAGTGACCTCTGACGTGTGGCAACTAGAGTAAGAACTGTTACGACTTGTACGTTTGCCCGTTATGGAGGTTGACAAGATCATGGGTGTGTGGAGATATAAGCACATCCGCTCACACTGGACACGGGCATTTTGCGGGGGGGATGCTGCTGTTCAAGCACGCAGAACGGAGCACGATGTGTCAGAGACCATGAGGCCGAATACTGCGTACCAGTCTCGCAGTGTAGTGATGATGACGATGTCTCAGCATGGCCACTAATCGCCGTTGAGAGAAAACTCGAAAAGTTGCTCTGGTATTGCCGTAGTTTATCCGAGATCACGTGTAGCCCCTGTGTCTTTCTTTCAACGTCTTCGATGCTTGTTCGGACTTCTTTCTTCTTCATAGCCATGAATGCGAGAGAACCGTCCATTGCACAATATCACAATCTACTGTCGAAGAAACGGAAATGCATACAATCAATAAATGTCCTTGCTTTCTGAGATACCGTGTCGGCGGTCATGACAACTAACCAGGCCTCCGATCGTCCGCCTGCAAATGAGGTGACCACTACTTGAAATACAGTGGCACTGTAGGTAAAATACTTCAAAAGTACTGTTGATACCCCTAGGATACATTGAGGGTCCGCCATGCACATCGATAGGCATGTTGTTTGCCTTTGAAGCGGCTACATACTAGAAACAAGAGTAACTCAGGAGACAAAATACCTAGTATGCCGGGAGGAGGAGGTTCGACACAGCAACCTCAATTTCGTGCCAATGCTGAACACAACCGCCATAACATCCACTCCTAGATTGAGGAAGGAGGAATCATAAGCAACAACATCTAATTGATGGATTGAACGCCGCCGGTTCGCGCTAGCTAAGAGCCTGTTCAGTACAAGAAAAGGTCATTTACTCTACACGCCACAGGTCTGGTCCAAACATATCAATGGACCCACTAAGAATTGTTACCTTATATTTTTATTGTGCTCAATTCTTGTCACACAAAGACCCCCTACCTTCGACTAGGGCGATTACTGAGTCCGATGATTCCTCCTCCACACTCAGTCCAGGCCCTGTCAGGTCGAACTAACACCGGGTTAGCAGGCATCAGGGCCTCGATTCGAATCCGATTCTCCTCCTCCTCCTCCTCCGCCGGCATAATTTGGGTCTTGTCAGGACGAACTAACAATAACGGGTTAGCAGGCAGCAGGACCCCGATTCGACTCCCGCACCGATCGATGCAACTGTATAAAACTTGTAGTATAACCGGCCGAGAAAAACCAACCTCGAAAGGGGCGAGTTTCGCTTATCACAGACCAGAGGTTGACTGTTCTGTGTTAAGTTTTTGCACTTTTCGACACCTAATATTTATTCATTGTATGTGTTTTTGTGTGATCACATGGCACCGACCCCTTACCCCTATCCTCTATGCATCGACATCAGCGTCCCACACACGATGATCATACTGCAGCCCCATTTTTGCCAGCTGCACAGCAATTCTGTTTTTGATCATCCTCACCTCCGCCGAATCCTCCGCAAACTTGGTCCTCACAAGCGTCAGGTTGGCCCAAAGCCGCTCCAATCTTGCTTCATCATTCTGTGCATTGGCCCCGGACCGCTCAAAGTGCCCGCCATACATAATCGCCTCTTGCATCTCGATCTCGTCCTTTGACAGGTCTTTTAGCCCTACGGTCGTGTTGTTCTCCATTTGCCACTGAGTTAACCCATTGACGACTTGTTGATCAGAATAGCTGAGCTGTCGAGGCAGAGGCCAGGGGAGGATTCGCATCTTGATACGATCCCGACGACGGCGATGGTTCAGTGCGCCTTTGCTGGGCCGAACCTTGCCGTGACCAGGATTCAGAAGCATTCGATCAATGAAATCTTGATGGCAGATATCTGGATCCAAGCGACAAATGGCTTCCATTTCCCAACCTTCGATCTCCGTGCTGACCTGTTCAGGCATGATGTTTGAGAATTTCAACGGTCGGTCGAATGCATTTAAGAGAACCCGACCGTAATTGTCCAACTTGGGGCGGAATTCTTGAGGGGCCTTTTTGCGGCGGTTGTTGAGGGGTGTATATGCCCATTCTCCAAGTGGATACAACATGAAGAGGATCTCAGGACGACCAAAGCGCCTGCCGGCTTGCCAATGGCGGTATGGCGGTTGGCGAGTGGTGACATTCTCACCAGTTTGAAGCCAATGGGCATTGACAGCGAACAACAAGTGTGTCTCGTCGACCCTGACGTATTTCTCGCCCTTGATGGTCAAGATATCGACTGCGTATCGAAGACGAGTGTATTCGTCGCCTCGCTTGATCCAAATGACTGGTGGCAACAACAATGGAATGGGACCCACTTGATGCATCTCTTGCTGGTCCTGGGCTTCTCCCGCCGTGCGTGGTTCAAGCTTTCCTATTTCTTCGACCTTGAAACTATGATGGTGCGAGGGTGCAGGAAGCAGAGGCAAATTGACATTTTGTGGGGTTGCAGGCGTGTGGATAAGAGGGCTATCACCACGATAAAGGTGCGAGGCTGGAAGAGGAAGTTCCTCGACCTTGACATCCAGATCTGTACGTCCTGTGAGAAAAACAGCCTATAATGCCGAGAATCAAGGGCCTACCTTCTTCTGGCAACTTGGTCCGCTCATACGACTCTGGATACAGCCCGATTCGCATGTGGACAGCAAGAGAATTGCCCAAACGCACTTTCTTGTTTGGTAAGACTGCTCTGGCATATCCGCGATCGTCAATGACCAGTTGAGGAGCATGTGGCTCTTGTTTGGGACGCTTCTTTGTCGGTGGGACTTGCAAGACTGCTCTCTCGTACCCATGCGGATCGATCTCCAGCCTTGACCTGTCCATTTCTGAGACAACGATGTTGCAATGTTTGTGTCTCAAGGATTGTAGGTCTGGGTCCTTGTCACAGGACCCCCAGAAGCGTCAACGAGTTGGTCCCACGAATCTTTTTCTTTGACCGATTCGTGGTGAGGATTTGTCGTGATATGACTCCTTTACTACGGTGGAAGACGTGACAGATGACTTTCTGAGGGTTCGGAGCCAAGTCTTGTTGTGAAGGTCTGGCCTACACGGTACATTTATCGCCGTGGCAATGAGGATGCAAGCTGGCGGTCAAAAAAAAAATATCAAGGCTTTGGCAGGACGTGGATCAGGACGACAACAATAACGACACGCCCCTCTCAACGGAATGGGCGTAGAAAACCTGATCTTGGAATGGTTTACGAATAACGTCGCCTTTAGCCCTACTCAAGAGATCAATACGCAGGAGGGAGACCTCGAAGCAAACCCACAGATGTCGAGCAGTTCCCATCCAGAGCTGTTGTCCTCCGGCATCGGCCATCGGAATGCTGAAGCATTCACTGACAACGAGCTTGATGAAACACAGATTGAGGGGCATCGTTGCCGCCCTGTCACGGTAGACATGGGATGAAATGTGTGTATTCACCGTTCCCATCCTTGGACGATGATAGCGGGGAAGGTCCTTCCTTGGACAAAGAAGGCCAGCAGATGCTTTTGCAATAGGTTAAGATAATACACCTCAGATCAACGAGCACGCGCACACATGTCCCAGCTCCTGTCTTTGTCCAAAGCCTTTGCGCGCACAAGAGCAAGGGAACCAGCTGATACACATCGTGAATCCCCGTGGGTAACGAACGAGAAGGAAGATCCAAGTCACCGACCCACCCCCAGACCCCCAACAGCATCATGGGGAGCGTTTTAACCAGCGAGAAGGGCCGCGGGGTCCCGGAGAGGTGTGGAAACGACCTACAATACTACCCATTGACACTGATGAAGACACGACAGGTGACGGCGCCACGTCGGATCAGGAAAATACGACAGTTGCCGGCTTCAGCTTTCGTGCTCCGACGGCATATGAAAAAGAGGTGTGTTGAACACAGGGCAGGCCCGTCGATTCGTGAAAAGACAGTTGCCATCTTCCACGTTCGTGCTCCGACGGGATATAAAATTGAGGTTTGTTGAATACAGGGTAAGTCACCGGCCCGCAGAAATAACTGAGTTTGCCGTCGTCAGCGCTCTTCTCTTACGGGAGGGAGGCCACACGGAACGTTACCAGGTGACTTATCCATCCCTGTGATTTCTTCTCCCACAAGGCGTCTCCTGCCCCACAGGATGAGGGCACATCGTTTGTTGGTTCAACGGAATGGTCTGGCTGGACGTGGCGATCATCCACGTGAAAACTCCAAATGCGCAAGCATGCATCCACATATAGAGACATGTGAAAGAGACCCCCAGGGGGCGCGGGAGGGGAGAGAATGTTTAAGAATAGCTTGCTTCCTTGCTGATAGTAGCCTTTCTTCTGGCCTTGGAGACTATATATGCAGCAAGTTGGACGCTCGGCCTTGACCACTGCAGCTTGCTTGGCAGGTACATAGATAGCATAAATACAGAAAAACAGCGGACCAAGAAAACAAAGAGAGCAAAATTACTCGTGGAATTTGCATGATATTTGGAGTTGACTTTTTATCATTCATATTCATCCAATCGTTTTGACAATACATTACGGGATTTATGTTTTAAAGAGGGCCATTATAGACAACTGGCGGACCTGCAACAGCAACAACAACGACAACAACCGATAGCATCAATCTAGTAGTTGTGCGAAGGCGGGAGATGGCCCGGCCGGTAAGGTACTCTGCCTTCCACGCGTTGATGAAGAGGGACCTCTCGATCCGTGCCGCGATAGCCTCCCTGTCCTCCTTGCGGTTGCGCTGGCGCGGGTGTGTGGCTTTGTCCGGGCAACTCATAGGACTCCTGGGCCGAGGGTACTGAGGGCGCTGAAGGCCCCGAGTGTCCTGAAGGTGCTGACGGTTGTCCGGACCAGTACCCATCTTGGCCCATATTGGCATGTTGGTAGCTTTGGTGCGACATCGGATTGGAGACTTGGTCGTCCGGGAGTTGGTGGATGTTTCTCTGGTCTTCGGGTAGTTCGTTAAGGTTGCCGAAGTAGCCAGCACCAGCCGCGTTAGGAGGTTGTGGTGGGTATTGGCCGCCCGGTGGATATTGGTTGTTACCTTGTGAGTACTCGCTCTGATCGGAAACGGACATGTGGGAAGAACCCTGGTTGGGAGGCGGCGGTGAGCTAGAAGGCTGGTATCTCATGGGTACCACGCCGGGTGGGAGCAGTCGGTCTGGAGATCGAGGAGGAGGAATGGGAGGGGATGGGAGCTCTGACCGCGTGTCGGAGGGGTTCGAGATGTCACGGTACCGTGATGAGACAGCGGCCACGGCTCCCATTCCCGCCGCTGCGCCACCTGCCCCTCCGATGCCGAGCCCTGTCATGCTGGGCAAGGGATCATCTGAATACTGATCGTTTGAGTAGGAATTTCGTTTCCTCCGCCGTCTCATGTACCAGCTGTACCAGCCACCGAAGATGGCGGCCGCTAGAACAACAACACCCACTCCAGCCCCTATCCCAGCTTTGGCACCTGTCGACAGACCTGAGCTGCCGCCGCCGCCGCCGTTTGATGGAAGGAGAGTCGGGGCACTTCCTGGAGTACTTGTGAAGGTTGCTGGTGCCACAAGTGTGGTGACGGGGTTTGTCGCTATCACGATGGATGTGATGGTGGTGTAGCCTAGCTGGCCATTTTGGGTGGTTTGGAGAACCTGGGTGACATACGACGTGGTAGTGGTATAGGAAATTGAAGTGCTCGAAGTGGTTATAACGACTGGTGTTTCACTGGTGCTTGTGGTGCTGGATTCGGACGAGGAAGATGATGTTTCGGAGGTGGATTCCGTGCTCGATGACGAAGTCGAAGGAGTGGTGAATGAAGAGGTTGAAGAGGTTACGGGCACGGGACTCGGAGTGGTTGTTGAAGTGGTGGTCGTGGTGGTCGGGATCGGGGAAGGGGAGGTGGTTGTTGCTGAGGAAGTTCAAGGTTAGCGGGGATCCTATATGGATAATACGCTAATAGGCACGGCGGCGAACCGGATAAAAACGAAGAACAAAAGCAGAGCAAACAGAGACTCACTAGTAGTACTGCTTGGGATCGGCGAAGTGGTAGTCGTAGCGGTGGGGGAGGGGGAAGGCGTCGTTGTTGACGACGTTGTTGGTGGAAGGGAAGAGGACGTTGTGGTAGGGGAAGAGGTGGTAGGAGAAGGGGTGATAGCTAAGGTTGAAGGGGAGGTATAAGCGGAGGTCGACAAGCTAGGGGAAGTAGACAACACGATAGAAGAGGACGAGAGAAGACCACTTGAAGTAGTGCTGGTGGTGGTGGTGGTGGTGGTGGTGGTGGAAAGTGTAGAGGGGGAAATACTTGTCGTGCTAGAGCTTGACAACGTAGAGGGGGGTATACTTGAGGTGCTGCTGGTTGTGGAAAGAGTGGTTGAGGTAGAGCTGGTTGTCGGAGGAGGTAAGGAGGAAGTGCTGGAGGAGGTTGAGGTGATAGGAGGGGTGGTGGAAGAGAACGACGTCGTGAAGCTTGTGGTAGCTGCCACGAAGCAAATGTTATAAGAGCACACTTGCGAGAGCAGTTGATACAAGGTTGAAGCGACAGGATGTTCAACAGCGGAAAGATAGCACTGATCAACTTACTGGAACTGAACGTAGTTGTGGTGGAAGTGACAACAGTCGATGTCGTCGTCGTCGTCGTCGTCGGGGACGATGTCGTCGAATCTGTGGTTGAACTGGGCGGTGTCGAGGTGGTCTCTACGACACTCGAGGTAGAAGACGCCAGGTCAGTCGAAGTAGAACCTGTGTCACTCATGACTGCACAGGGCGGCGATTGCGCCGCACAGAGTGCACTGCGGCGACCGTGGTATCGTCGTTCAGCAGGCGGGGCCGCCTGGGTACAACGGTGAGGCTGACAGAGGAAGAAGAAAAGGACCTGAGAAAGAGCGGGACGGCGAGGTCTTGAAGCCTCGACCAAGGAAAAGCATGGGGCCAAGCTAGAAGCTTTGCAGACCCAGGGCCAGCTGTCGGTGAGGTGTATCTGCACGATCACACCGAAGCGCAGATGTCGTTGGTAGCCTTACCAGGGAAAGCGGGGTTCTTTTTTCAGCTCCCACCACCACGGCCAGATGCGAGGCCATTGGGGTCGAGAAGGGAGTGATCCTGCGGGCCACAAGCGTCTTGGAACTGGCCTTTCGCACGGCTTATGGCCGAACGTGTTAGCGGGCGAGATGCAAGCAGGTGAGAACAAGCAGAATTGTCGGCAAGGCGTGGTGTGTGAGGGGCCAATGGGACAATGGCGGGATGGATGGACACGCTAAGAGAGGCCCAAGACACGGCCATGGGCGCCCTTCTGTGTCGCGGGGTTGATCTTGCAAAAGAAGCCAGAAGCGAGAACTCGAGGCAAAAGGGTCCAATACGAGCAAATTAAGCGAGCCATGTCGGCTGTCAAGCATTTGCCTTGGCTCATGATGACGGTCAATACTGGGTCCGACGAGGAAAGTCGAGGTGAGAGGATGCCGGCGAGCCGGATAAGAGGGGCATTGAGGCATCGAGGGGATGCCTGGGAGCTGAAAATGGAGGAGGCTGGGGATTGAGGCTCTTCGATACTGATTGGGAAGGACCGAGCAAAGGAGAATAAGCTTGCAGATGCAAGGGGAAGAACAGGAAGAAGACCGGCAGAGCAAGAGGGGGATGGAGTGGCCAGTACCCAGTAAGCGATGGTGGCGAGGGATGGAGAAAGAGATAAAATCGAGTTGGAGATGGAGATGGAGAGGGAATTGAACCGTGAGAAAGAGCATTACTATTAGCGACCACTCGCTACTCACACGCAGGTACTTACCCAGTACTTAAGTGCTGTGTTCCCTACCGAGGACTATTACGAGGTACGGAGCCTATCTAATACATTCCTCACCGATCCTTCACTTCCACCTCACCTTGTCCTGCTTGTACACAACAGAAGTCGATGCAACGGCGACCTCCGCCCAACCGTCCACATTCTCTGGTTGACTGCTTCACGTGGCACCATTAACATCCACACGAGGCTGCGGCTGCGACGTCATGTTGACTCACAGACCAATCGTCGGAAAAATGTCTTCAGTTTGCCAACTGCCAACAGTCACACGCCTCCCTTTTCAACCAGTTTGCGCATAAATTCGCACAGCGTTTCCACTAGCAACTCGTAGGTCTGAACTAAACTGAACCGAACGGAATTGAACTGTGCTCTGAATCGTTCCTTTCTGCGTTGATCCGTTGGCTCCAGCTGCTTTCATTCTCTTTCAAGACTTCATCCTCCACCGACTCCGACTCCGACTCCGACGTAAATCACGGTCACACTTACACCAGCCGCCCTTTCCATCTTTGCTTCCAATATTTCGCTGCTCCGGCCCCCGCGGAGTCTGTCTGTTCATCTCTCTCTGTCTCTCAATCAAACTGCCCTCTGATGCCGGCCGCCCAGGAAAACGGTGGGGCGGAACCCGTCGTCTGCGTCTTGTGCGTCGAGAACACGGTCTCCCATTTGTAACGTCAAAAATCCCGGAAGCATTACTGACAGATTTCTTCAAGTTGTGCCTCTTCACCAGGAAAAGACCCCGTCCATCTCCAATCAGCGCGACAACTAGGTCGATCTCTGCATGAGGCCGGCTATAAGCTCGTCTACGGCGGCGGGACCATGGGCATTATGGGCGAATTGGCCAAAACCCTCGTCTCCCTTTCCGGTCCCAAATCAGTGCACGGCATCATTCCTCGAGCATTAATCCGCTCAGAACAAGACCCCTCCATCCGCAGCGAAACAAGTCGGTATGGATCAAGAAAGGTGGAGCGGACCATGTCCTCGGAGGAACTGCGGCGGATCGATAGTATCGAGGACCCAGATAAACACATTGTGCCCGAGTCCGAGTTTGGGAGGACCACCATTGTCCCAGACATGCACACTCGAAAACGCATGATGGCCAATTCGGTGGAAGCGGGGGGCCCCGGTTCAGGCTTCGTGGCCCTGGCTGGCGGATATGGCACCGTGGAAGAGGTCATGGAGATGGTCACCTGGAATCAGTTGGGCATCCATCAAATCCCCATCATTCTGGTCAATATCAATGGCTATTGGAATGGATTGTTGGAATGGGTCAAGACGGCAATAAGAGAAGGGTTTGTGGGCGAAGGAGCTGCCAATATCTTGGTCGAGGTTCAGAGCACAGATCAGGTCATTGACGCGTTGCACGGCTATCAGGTCGCCCCTGGGAGGTATAAGCTGGACTGGTCATAGATCCGAAAATGGAGTATAATGGAAACTCTTCATTCCCACCAATCTTGCCTTGCCGCCTCCGTGGGACTCCCTTGAATTGCCATTGTGGGGGCCTACTCGTACTCCAAACGCCGTGTGATAATACGTACCCATCGCTGCTTTTCCTATGAATCTGTTTCCATGGCATCTCCACCTTCTGTGGCCGTCGACTCCACGCTTGTCTCGAGCAAAGGCCCAATGTCCTGTCCATCGTAGAGCTTGAAGGCCTCCAGTTTCTTCCTGCCGTCTTTCTCCCCCATGCCTATCACGGCCAGACTGGTGTTGTCCACCGTGAGCTCCTTGTCTTGCGCCAGTGACTCCTTCAGTGCCAGCAGGGCATGTTTGATCAACTCGTCACGACTGCAATCCGCAAATTTATCCAAATGTCTCTCGAGGTACGTTCGAGCCATCTGACTTCGCGCTCCAATCGCACAAGCCAGCATCTCCTGGGTCATTCCTGACGGAGAGAACTCGAATAGATGGGGTCCCAGCTCATCCACGCCCGCAACCAACAGCCCCACGCCGTAGGGTCTCTTGCCGTAGTGTTGCGTGTTTGTCTGAGCTCTATCGCCAATCATATCCACAATGCGCTCGACGGGTATGGGACGGCCGTAGGTCATTTTTGAGGCGAGCGACTGTTGCTTCATGAAGTTGGAAAGAACGCGGGCGTCGGAGGCAAGACCGGCAAGCGCCACTCCCAGGTGGTCATCGACACCGACTACCTTTTTCTGATACGAGGACAGTTCTTCTGCATTCCGCTATAGACAGTATGAGCGGCTGATATTTGTCAGGGCAAAGCTCTTTGGGGGTTCAGACCTTGAGGGCCGTGAGGACGACATGTTTCTTGCTGACAACTCCGACAACTACCGATCCCTGCTTGACGGCCTCTTGAGCGTATTCAACCTGGAATATCCGGCCTTGAGGCGAACTGCGAATGAATGAGTATTTCGGGCATGGGAGCAGGATGGTCACTAAGCAGCCTTACAAAGTGACGGAGTCATTGTCGTAGTTATTTCTGAACATCTTGGTTGCAAGTGATGCAGATTAATGGGACCGGAGCGTGAAAAGAGAAATAGAGGCCGAGTTGTGGGAGTTGGAATGTGTTTGGAATAAATCAATGAAACCAGGCACTTGCAGACGCGCAAACTCCAGGTTCTCGCGATTCATTGCGGAGGAGCTTCGGCGCCCAGCCACAGCGACTTCCAAGCATCCCTCACCAGACGGCCGGTCCTTTGACCACCCAACTCATTTCTCCATGAAATTGACATAGCAGTCTCTCCGACAGCAACTATCCGGCTCACTTTTGCTTCGAGACACACACTCTATTCTTCCGACCTCCCTATCCCCGAGTTGCAGTGCTTGCAGTGGCGCAGGCGTCAAGAGAATTACAAACAACAGCCTTTCCACTCAATCTTGCTTCGACCCATGACCATGACGGCCGGGTTGAAAACGATTATTGCGCTCTCCTTTGTATGCATGCCGCATGGTCCCAACATGTTTAACTCACAGCGCATGGCTAATAAGGTACTAGGTCCTTGCCATCGGATTCCTCCTCGTCATCCTCTCCGCGGCGTTGTTCCATAACTTCCTCACCCTCCTCGTTGTCGCAACATATGTGTTGGCGCCCGTACCAAACTGGGTGGCAGGAAGATGTGCCAACGCCGATGACTTTATCGAGAGCAATTCCGGGGCTTGGATAGACCTGGGTCGCTTTGCTACGGGATTTCTCGTGCTTATGGGGATCGGTACGTTTCAACATACGGATGGGGTTTGATCACATACACTGACGAGCATCACACGACAGCCTTGCCGGTACTACTTGCGCATTCTGCTCTTATTCAAGTTCCAGCCATGATTATGTCCATTGTGGGCGGGTTGCTGATATACGGCACCATCATCAGCTTCACCCAGTTTTTCAAGGAGGAACAGGACTTTTAAAACGAAGCGCATACAAGGACTTTGGAGGATCTGGATGCATATTCAAGGCGTCATCAATCGGGTTGGTCTAACAGATACTACTCTACAATGTTGGACGAAAAGATACACAATGGACGTTGCTCTGTCCTACGGATCACGCAAGCGAAATCTGGTACTCGGTATATTTGTATCGATGAGAAGTCGAGGTTCAATCGCAAAATCCTTCCCAATGAGATTGATTGACTGGCCATTCTTTTCTTTCTCTAATTAAAAGTCACTTCCACAATATTCGTGCATCAGTTGAGGAGGCTAAACTTCAGCCCATGCATCGCCGCATGTGTTTCCACGTCACGACTCTGCATGTATCCCTGCGGCCTGCAGTCCTGGACCAGATTTCAGGACTACATGGTCTACCTAGCATTAGCCTTGACCTCCTGGCCATCCTCTCAACTTGGGTCAGACAATGGGCAACTGGCGCCTATCTGGGCGATGAGACTGACGAGGCTCAAAGGCGCAAGGCTCCAGCGGACTCGTCGGAAGAATTCCCCGGGTGGTTCGTTGGTTCTCGGCATCCATCCACCCAGCCTGCGAATTACGAACAGTGGGCCTCGCCATGCGACGCTCAGATTCCTAGCAGCTTTCCACTCCTGCGTCCGCGGGCAGGCAGGACATTCTATCCCATTGTGCTTCTCGACGAACAACCCAAGCATCTGACTAGAAAGTTATACGATTACGAATCATTGCATCGACCCTGTCTGTCCGCTCCCTCCGTTGTTGAAGAATTGCTAGGCCTTTCTACGATGTCGACCTCGCAGCGCCTCTTCCGCTTCTCCAAGCCGGCCTGGCTTAACAGCGCCAACACCAGAACCGCAGGTGTCTACACCGCTGGCGCCCTCGTATGTCCAACTTGCGCCTTTTCTCCTTCTTCCTCCTTTCTGTTCCCAAGGCCTTGACTAATGAATGGCTGGTCAACACAGTTCTCTCTCGGTTTCTTCTTCTTCGTAGACGCCAGCGTCTTCTCCAAATCCCCCCTCAACGGCAGCACCGTGCACATCAACTTCGTCGACTGGATCCCCCTGATCTGCTCCGCACTGGGTATGCTCGTCATCAACTCGATCGAGAAGTCCCGCCTCTCGGCGGACAGCTGGTCGTACAGTGGCAACGGCGTGGCCTGGAAGGCCCGCACCGTCTTGTTTCTGGGCTTCGCCCTGATGGCCGGTGGGCTGGCGGGCAGCGTCACGGTCATGGTCCTCAAGTATCTGTTCAAGGACTACGCGCTGCAGACCATGTACATGGGCGTTGCCAATGTCGTGGCCAACGGGCTCGTGATGCTGAGCTCCGTGGTCTTGTGGGTGAGCCAGAACATGGAGGACGATTATACATATACCTTGCAGCTGTAAGGACTGCTGTCCTGGCGCGACAAGGGAGACAAACGCCGGGACACTGTGTGGGCTGCAGGAAAGGCTACATCCATGCAAGGCTGAGAAACGTGAACGCAAGGCAAGGTCAGAGCAAAGGGCACGGTCACAACGGCAATATGGCGTATCCACATCACGGCGGTCACGGGGGTTAATAAAGTCTGTACTTGTATTGGCAAAACCCAAGGTATCGTTCCTTGTATCTTTGTTCTGTTCTGGGACGGCCCAAGTCCTCTGACTCCTCAGCTATCAAACTTTGGAGGGAACTTGCTGGAATGCACACATGTGCGGCGTGCTTGTCCAAGTTTGCCGCCATCAAGCCGCCACCTGATTCTCTGTGCTGGGACTACTTGTTCTTGCAATAGGCTGAACCGAGATTCCCTCTTAGCGGTGGCGTGATGGGTCATTTACTGGAGGCGACATCTTGCCCCCCAGCGCCCTGGGGTCTTGGAGTCCTGCCGGCCCTCCTCTACTGGTACAGGACCCATGTATTTGTATGTATTGCCACTTGAAATCTCTTCGCCCATGCCCAGAGCTCATTCCCTATCTCTAAGCTTGCCCATAATGGCATCAATCACGTCCATATCCGCCGCCGAGATGTGGTCTGGCCCGACAATATCCTTGGGCAGCCGCTTTACGGCCTGGTTCATGGCGGGTTGGTAGTTTCTGGTGCCCGAGCTAAGTGCGTAGACGGCCTTTTTTCGAACACTCCTGTCCGCGTCATCGAGGGAGACCTGGACGAGCCTCTCGATGCCGTTGAGAGCCAAGAGTCGCTCTTGGGCCTGGACATTGTTCTGGACCGCGGTGCCGATGCACCAGGCCGCCATGCGCCGCAAGTCGGCCGAGTGACTCTCCAGTTGCGCCAGCAGTGGCGTCCAAAGGCCCAGGGGTTCCATGTTGTTGGCATTATCAATGTTTTCGACTAGTTGTTCGAGGTTGTCGAAGGCCGTCATTTTGGCATCGTGCGTGACGTCCGGATCGGAGGAGCCGATGATGGCCATGGCTTCTCGCATCAAGTCGGCGTCGCTTGGGCCGCCCAGTAACGAGCGCAGCACATCAGCTGATAGTCCTCTGGGTTCTCTGACCGGCTGCTCTGGGTTTCGACCAGCATCCGAGTTCTCGATACTCCATTGTAATAGAGAGTTCAGTCCAGGTTCCATGTTTGGGAGTCAACGGTGAGGTATGGACCAATTTTTCAAAAAAGGAGAGACGGGCTCTATCAAGTAATAGTCTTTCAACTCTTTTCTGTGACCAGAGGATACGAATTAATCCAGATTTTCACTAACAAGTAGAATGATTGTTCACAGTCTTCTTATGAGGTTGGGAAAACGGGAGGCCTGGCCAATCACAGGCCAGTACAATCCAGAACCTACTGGAACCCGCTGGGATTTTTCGTGCAGAATCGAGGCGTCCAAGGCTGCGAGAATGAGCTGAAGGGCGCATTGAAGGTGTCATTGGACTGGATCGAGGGCTAGTCGAGGGTCAAAGGCGCCCATCTCTCTTTACCGTCGAGCCCGTGTACTTGGAGCCATTGTTCTCTCTGAAATGTGCAGATAATTCAAGAGGAGGACAGGTTCAATTAAGGGCAGTGACTATTGCCAATGGCGTTGGTGGCTGTGCAGCTGAAACGCTGGCTGATCTACCCCGCGATATGTGGCTGGCAGCCTTTGACGCACAAACACACAAGAATAAATACCGAGCACCCAGGGACTGGTGCCTGGTGGTTGGCACAAGTATGTGGCATGGTGGGTGGGCTGTTTCGCCCCCCAGGACGGACCGGTCCCATCTTTCGTGCACCTCATCCTCGACGGGGTCTCTTACTAACAGCACTTGGTACAGATTGTGCCCTACTTGTACTTTACGCAAAAGATGTGAGAGGCCTATCGATGGTGGGGCTGAAACAGGACTTTGTGCGCTTGGTAGGATCGAGAAGCCCAAGGAAAATGCTGGATCCGTCCTCCCTATCATCAGCCTCCCAAACCCCAAACCCCAAACCCGGCCCGTGTTGTGAGCGTCAAAGCCAGTGCTCAGGGCATTGCTGGGGGCTGATCAGGCCAGCCTTTGCCGGCATTGCAGCTGCCTGTTGCTTGGGAGGCGGCAAGGGGGGGAAGGTGACGAGGCTCTTCCGTCGGTGAGGAAGTCATGTTGCGTGGCCATAGCGCCACTCGTGGAGAAATGGCATGAGCTTGAGAATCTTGGTACCTGCTAGACCCAGCTCGCCAGTTACTTAGTAGAGGTAGTCAGATGAATATCTCATATCCCGCCTCCCCCATTCACGCAAAACCGGTCCAGGAGGCGGTCGACCCAGCCTGTCTCTCTGTCTTCGCCTTCTTCGACCAAAAGATATTTGAGTCTCGCTGCCGCCCCTGCCCCGTCCATCAGAGCAATACAAGTGACAAGTGACAAAATACTTGTGCATCCTCGGTCCTGAACCATAATCAAGGCTTACAACTCCTAGGTAGCTGGCTAGGAATCTTTTCCTTCACCGAAACGCTCAGACTTGACCCGAACTGGTCTTGGCGCCTCGCAGCTGCCCGATTTAGCCCACCGCAGCCCACCGCCCAAACCACAAACCACCGCTACTTCATCTTACCCTCCTCCAGCTTCTCGTCTCCATCTTCATCCCTTCTATCTATCCAATCTCCTTGCTCGTCTCTTCGAAGGGCTTTTCTACCTTCGACACCTCGAGCATTTTCACATTTCACCCGTCCTCACTTCTGTCCATCACCCCTCACCTCGTCCTTCACAATAATCCGTCACAATGGAGGGTAAGTAAGCCAAATTCAGCCCTGCATCAGTTGCTATTGAACACAGTGTTCCATCTCGGACTCCGTACTGATATGTCTTTCTCCGAACAGAAGAAGTTGCTGCGCTCGTCATTGACAATGGGTAAGCGCCCTGTCCTGAACCTGCGTCCGCGCTGCCTGCGGTCACCCACAACATGCCTGCGGACACGCGAGCTCCAATTGCGGGTGCCTCGGAAGAGGAGGATATCAGCGCGATTGTGACCAAGATTACTGACCATGATTTCTTCAGCTCCGGTATGTGCAAAGCTGGCTTTGCTGGCGACGATGCGCCTCGAGCTGTCTTCCGTAAGTGTGCCCTGCCCCGCACTGAACCGGGACGGCAAGAATCTAACAGACGGTGACAGCATCTATCGTCGGTCGACCTCGTCACCATGGTATCATGATCGGTATGGGTCAGAAAGACTCGTACGTCGGCGATGAGGCCCAGTCCAAGCGTGGTATCTTGACCCTGCGATACCCCATCGAACACGGTGTCGTGACAAACTGGGACGACATGGAAAAGATTTGGCACCACACTTTCTACAACGAACTTCGTGTCGCCCCCGAAGAGCACCCCGTGCTCTTGACCGAAGCCCCCATCAACCCCAAATCCAACAGAGAGAAGATGACGCAGATCGTCTTCGAGACTTTCAACGCACCCGCCTTCTACGTTTCCATCCAGGCCGTCCTCTCTCTGTATGCCTCGGGTCGCACAACTGGTATTGTGTTGGACTCTGGCGACGGGGTCACCCACGTCGTCCCCATCTACGAGGGTTTCGCTCTTCCTCACGCCATCTCCCGTGTTGATATGGCTGGTCGTGATTTGACCGACTACCTGATGAAGATCTTGGCTGAGCGCGGTTACACCTTCTCCACCACTGCCGAACGAGAAATCGTCCGAGATATCAAGGAGAAGTTGTGCTACGTCGCCCTCGACTTCGAGCAAGAGATTCAGACCGCTTCCCAGAGCTCTAGCCTGGAGAAGTCTTATGAGCTTCCTGACGGTCAGGTTATCACCATCGGCAACGAGCGATTCCGAGCCCCCGAGGCCCTCTTCCAACCAAGCGTTCTTGGTCTCGAATCCGGCGGTATCCACGTCACTACCTTCAACTCCATCATGAAATGCGACGTTGATGTTCGAAAGGATTTGTACGGCAACATTGTCATGGTAAGTCACAGACTCTGGTTGTCTAATTGGCTCAATGACTAACGGCCCTTCTACAGTCTGGTGGTACTACCATGTACCCAGGTATCTCCGACCGCATGCAGAAGGAAATCACGGCCCTCGCTCCATCGTCCATGAAGGTCAAGATCATTGCTCCTCCTGAGCGCAAATACTCCGTTTGGATCGGCGGTTCCATTTTGGCCTCTCTTTCAACCTTCCAGCAGATGTGGATCTCCAAGCAGGAGTACGATGAAAGCGGCCCTTCCATTGTCCACCGCAAGTGCTTCTAAACTGTCTTCGAGCATCGGGTATGCTTGGACTTGAACGCAACGCAGCAATTTTCTAGAGCGAGCTGTCAACGAGAACAAAGGCATGATGAATTGAATGGCAGGCGGAGCATAGATTGTGGAAACGAAAGGCGACGGGGAGGGACTGGAAGTGCTCCTGCACAGCACAGAGGCGTGTCTGAACATCTTCAGGACACTTGAGTCATTGAAGGGTGTACCGGGACAAAAGTAACATCTTCAATGAGTATCACCATTCCAGATAGTGTCTAGAACGCAATGCCAGCAAGCTTAGGTCTTTCCCATATGTTCGCTGCGATGTGCAAAAGCGGGACCTTGGAGCGATTTAGTGCTTCGTAAGTCCATGTCTCCACGATATCCATTCCGACACACTTTTCCAAAAGGCAAGGACCGGTTCTAATATCGGGCAAAACCCACAATCCGTGCCTTCCCGTCTCTTGAACGCTCCCGCTGGGTCAAACCTTGGGGAGCTCTTTCCGGTACATCAGCACATCCCCGGGCACCTCCTGCACGGTGGCTCCATCTTCGGCGGGCTCCAAGACTTTCCACTCACAAGTAATGCCTTCGTCGCCGAACTTGTTAATGATAACGTCGGCGATACTCTTGAAATTCTCCGTCGCGAGCGCCAATATCGTTGGTCCGGCGCCGGACAAGCAGATACCCAGCAGGCCCCGGTGGGTCTGGGGGGACATGGAGGACAGGATGGACGGTAGGGCCGGGATGAGGCCGGCGCGGTAGGGTTGATGGATCCTGTCTTGCATGGCGGAGTAGATGAGGGACGGGTCGGGCGGGGAGTCGGAGAGGACGGTGGTGAGCAGGGCGATGCGTTGAAGGTTGAAGATCTATGTACACTCCCCGAGTAACAACGCCCCCAAATATCAGTCCTCGTCCGTCTGTTTTGTGTGGTTTTGGTTTTTCCACGATCTCGCACGTAGAGTGGTCTTGGTTGGGAAGAGAGGAAGGATATACATTCTGATGGGGGGGAAAATACTATGTAAAGAAAGACTCGACTCACCATATCCTGTCGGGAATACTCCTTGGGCAACACCTCCCTGGCTTTGGCGGTGCTGACCTCAAAGTCCGGGATGATTGCCAGCGCCTTGATTTCCTTGGCCCAGTTGAATCTCCTGTAGTGGCCGATATTCTCGGGCGGGATGGGCGGTATGAGGCCCGTGTCGATCCCGCCGGCCGGCTGGGGGAGTACTTCTGAGAGCGGGACCTCCTTCCGCGCCATGTCGACGGGGTCGAGCTCGTTGAGATATGTGCCCACGAACCCGCCGTAGAGGGCCGCGGCGACGTTGTCCGGGTGCCGTTCGACCATGAGGCAGAAATCCAGCAGACGCGGCTTGGGGAGGTTCAGGTTGCCCACGACGTTGCCGAGGAGCACGCCGCCGACGACGGCGGCACCTGACGACCCCAGCCCCCGACCGAGCGGGATCGGGTTGTGGATATGCACGTGCGTCTGCGCGGGGAACTCGTGCTGCTCGTGGCAGCGCAGGACGTACAGGGCTGTGCGGGTGAGGAGGTTGTTTGCCGGGTTCAGGTCGATGTCCTCGGCGCCGACGCCCGTGTACGTGACGGTGCAGTTGAGCGGGTTTGTTGAGGGGTCTGCTGGTGCTGAGCGGTCGACGCTCACGCGGATCTCGAGGTACATGGACAGTGCCAGGCCGATGACATCGAATCCTGGGCCTGTACCACACGCGGGGGGAGAGAAAGAGAGGGTCAGAATCGGAATGACAATGAAAAATGAGAATGGGGTTGTAGGATGGGCGAAGGGCAGCGGAACACACAGATACACAACACACCACCACAAACGCAAGGCTGAGCTGAAACTTACCTATGTTGGCTGAGGAACACGGTACCTCTACCTCGCTATTAGCTTGGGTGGCACGAAGGTTCGCTCTGCAAGGCCTGGACTTACTTATGAGATACATGGCGAGTCGCGGTCCGTCCAGGTGGACCTCGAGGGGTTTTGACTAGAACAGTGGCAGTCGTGTGGCAGTGGGTGTACCGAGTAGATATGTCAGAATGCCACTTTGTTTATTCCCCGCTCTGGTCTTTTCCCTCTTGTCACCACATGGCGGTGCAGATAGATGGCCGATACATGCGCTTTCGTGCTCTCCTCGCTGTATGTATGTAATGTGAGTTGTTGCTGAAGTTTTTCCTGGATCCAAAAAGTTGAACGGGATGTGAGCAATGAGCATCTTCCTCCTCACAGTCAACAGGCCAATCGGAGTGAAGCATGGTGCAAAATCCGCCCACCAGAGTCACAGATTTTCCCATTTCCTATAAAGGTTAGTGCTAATACTAAAACTCTCTACCGAGTACCCAGTCAGGCGAACCGTCCTGGACTAGCGCCAGTTGTCTCCAGCGTCGATACCATGTGCTTGTACTGGGTACCAAGTATGTAATACATAACTTGCTCGCGGGGTCCTGGCTCAGGAAGCATCCTGCCTAGCCTTGCCTTGGGTACCAGGCAGCGAATGAAAATCAAACAAGGCTAGCTACGGTCATGGCCCCAAACCGTTCGGAGGCTGGGCTGCGTAAGGAATCTTGAAGGGAAAGGCTCCAAGAGAGTTGTTCATTTGGTAAGCTCATTTTTGATTTTTCAGCCTGTGTTTGTATCTGTGATGGCCTCCTTACAAAATGCTCGGGCTTTTGTGCCTCGATCCTAGAGTACCTCCTGGCGAGTACAACTCTCGACTGTGATAGATTCCTAGTTTCCCAATCCCGTGAAATACCCATGACCTATGATCCGGAGCAACCATGAGCGCCGCGCTTGCAAAATGAAATGAATCCCAACTCGCTCAAGCTGGTTCTGGAGACCAAGGTAGCCCCCACCATCTGCGAAAGATCTCCGTCACAAAGCCCTCCACCATCAGATCGTGGCAAAGTTTTATCATACTCGAGCTCGGCGACGATAGGTCGCTGGCCGGTCCTGGTTCTGATTCTGACATAGCCTTCATGCTCGCTAATAAGAAACATATAATCATCAGCGCCGCCCCGTCCGTTCGTGCAAATTAGCTCAATGGTTGAATCGCGTAAAGCTCTCTGCTGTACAGTGTTTGTCGTGTGGAGGAAACATGTCGTAACAAATTCAAGTCGTGCCAAGTCGACTCCCTCAAGAGGTTTTATCTCGGTGTGAAAGGTTTTCGGTTCGTGTGTGGGTAATGTCGGACATGAAGGCCATCTAGCCCGGACGGCGGACACAAGTTGGTTGCAATGGCTTGGGTGAGTGAGCATATTACCGAATCGCACCCCAGTCGCCCAGTCGCCCAGAAATACCATCGCTATTTCTGCCTTCATTCCCCTTCTTGCCAAACACCCTCCAGAATCGAAGTGTCTCGTCTCCCGCCCCAGTCACGACGGTTGTCCCGTCTGGGCTCGTGCTCAAGTAAAGGACACGAAAGGTATGTCCGGTAAGACTGACAACCTGCTCCATTTTGGGGTACTTCCACACCACGATCTGGTTCTGACTGTAGCCATGCGTACTGACAATTTCGTCACTATTCTTGCTCCAGGCCAAATTGCACACCTGACTTCCTGTGTCAACTTCCTTGATGAGGGACCCGTTTGCGGTGTTCCAAAATTTGATCGACCGATCTGCTGTTCCGCCACCGGAAGCCAATAGGTGATGTTGATGAGGACTCCAAGCAATTGCCTTGACGGCTGCGACGTGGTTCGAGAACCGATACAAGGGCGTATCTGAGAGTTTATCCCAGACGCACAGCTTGTTGTCGTTTCCGCCTGAAGCGAGCTGGCCATCTTCAGTGTTCCAACGCAGACCACAAACTTCTTGCTTGTGGCCTGCCAATCTTCGCAGGTGTTGATCCGGGCTGCGAACATCTCGATGATATATCAAACGATCCCTCGAGCCGGACGTCAAGATGTGTTCATTCCATGCTAGCGCTCCGACTCGTGCCGAGTGACCGGTCATTGTCCGTAGCCTTCTCGATTTTTCGGCATCGTAAATCTGGACGAACCCCTTGTGTGTCCCAATTGCCAGATGTGAACCCCGCTGAATCCACGCCACAGATGTCACCAAATCATTGTCAGGCAACTTGCATAACTGTGTGACTTTGCCAGTCGCACTGTTCCACATGTAAACACATGATCCGAGCCCTACACCAAGAATGTTCGCCGATCCCCAATCCACTAGATTCAGGTAGAAATCATCCGCCAACTCAGGAGCATCCAGCACTTTGTAAGGGACCTTCGCAATTGGCCGAGGTTGTTTCCGTGGTGTTTGTAATATCGACTGCGATGAGTAGTTGATGGGCGATATGGAGTATAGATCCGACCTCGCATTCAGATTTATGATTCCAGGGTGTTTTCCGGCTCGAGATGAGGGAGTGGGATGGCCAGAGCCGATGACCTTCTGTGGGGACTTGTAGGAGAACATATTCTTATGAGGGGTTGTAGGGGTAATGGAGGCAGGAGGCATCGCTGATATGGATGGCTGGCCCGGAGGAGTTTGTCGTCGACCGAACAATTCATCTGGGGACAAAGATCTGTAGTCTTGCGGGACTGAATCACCCATCAGCTCATTGCGCAGCACTTTGGAATATGTTCTGTTCGCTTCTTCGGTCCTCTGAAAGTGTAGTTCGCCATGAGGGGTTTTCTTCTTTGATCTTGAAGGTGTCGCTGGGGAGGCATCATCATGCAACAAGCTGTAGCTCGCTTGTAGGTCCTGCCCATCTCTGTTCGGTATGAATCTAAGAACACACTCAGTTTCGGTACGGCAAGCGACACGGTGTCCAGACGACTCACCGATCTCCATAAATCCGCTGTCTCTTACGACTAGGACTGCGTCCTGGGGTCCTGTCGCGCTGCCTTCCAGCATTCTCGATTTCTTTTAGCCGCCGAGTCAGGGCGTCGGCTTCCATGGCCTCGGTGGCTCGTTGAATGGCGGACATGCCTTCCTCCTTTTCTCCAAAGCGCTTAGAAGATATCGTGGGCGGCGTCTTGGAACCAAGAGGGGTGGGTAATGTCGGAGTATGTGGGCGATCGGATGTATCAACAACCAAGGGAGCTGTCGAGCCGTCGGCCATGGTGAGGTGTAAGTGAGAAGGAGCGACTGAGGCGTTGTTTTTGTCGTGAGATATTGCTGTTCTAGTGAATCGAGAAACTGACGAGGCAGGTAGAGCGAGCGAGGGTAGAGCACAATGGATATCAAAGAAGATACCAAATGCAGTGGTGAGGATGTTGATGGCCTCCGCAACCGCGACCGTTACTGTTTGTCGCCCCAAGCCAATCGTCTATGTGCGCGGATCGCAAAAGAGGGCGTCTGTAGTCTGCCTAGATATCAAGCATCGCGAAGTAGATCGAGAGCAGCACTGTGCAAATGGTGAATGTCGTAGATGGCAATGGGTCGTCACTGAGCCAGGGGATTGTCGTGGTGTTCAGATGCGCAATCTGTGAATTGACTTGACCTTGAGAATGAATGAATGCGGACATTCAGGGAATCAGGGACAAGGACTGGCCAGTCCACGGGCCACCAGTCGCAGCTTCCGCCGCTTCTGGATCCTGCCAAGCGGGTGCCCCCCAAGCGCGTTGCCCAAATCGGGGGGGTTTCCAGGGCTGTTGGGTTAGCTAATGGGGGGAACCTAGGAAGGACCTGCTAGGACCTAGGTGGCACCTAGGGGAGGGGATTTCGCAACGGACCACCCCGGTCTGTCCGTTTATTGAGGCCACCACGCTGAAAGATACGGTGTAGGTACACCGTACATACTTACCCAGTATAGACAAGCCAGCATCCCTACTTACCTAGCTATGCAAGTATACTCCGTATGGCCATCCATCCATGACTTCCCCAGTATGCGTTATCGTGGTGAAGTTCAGCGCCATAGCAAGGCGAGTTGACCGCTGCTACTGGGTACTGGGACTAGCTTCCTGCACGACAATCATAACAAAAACACTTTACGCGGCCACAACAATGACCTTGTACCGGGTACGAGGTAAAGCTGTCAATGTCAACAATCGCGTCTCTTTGTTTTTGGGCGGCAAGGGAGCTCCGTCATCATTGTTATTCTTGTATCATGGGCTCAGACTTCCCCCCTCGGATCTCCCCCTTGTTGTTAAACTGTCCTCAAAGGGGATTTCCCAGGGCTGTTTGAGAAAGGCTTGCGGGCAAGAGATTGATTCGACAAAGAGTCGCGTTTCAGGTGGATAAGAAACAAGAAACCCTGTGGCCCCCTAACCTCAGCGCGGTTCAGTTCGATGCGATTGGCATCTGCAAGGCGTAGAGCCTATCAATCCACTCAGTGAAACCGGGAGCTTGGGCCACTTACTGAGTACATACTGTACTCGCACTTGCGCAGACTCGCACCAGTACCCAGTAAACGCTCCTTTCCCCAGACTCCTGGAATTTAGTTGGATGTGAAGCTGTCACCGCAACAGCCTCGCAACAACCACAAGTCGGGACTTTTCGCATGCTCCAGCGAGTGATCTTTCTAAAAGGTCCGTCAGCCGCCAGATTCTATTCAAATATGGCCTCTGCCAGTGTCAAAGCTGCGGCCACCGATTTCCTTGACTTTGTCAATGCATCCCCAACCCCCTTCCATGCTGTCAAGTCAATCAAGGAACGACTGATCTCGGTGGGGTTCAAGCAGATCAAGGTCCGTCTAGTCCAGCAGCCCTCTCCTTTTCCTTGCTCACCCTGGTCCACAGGAGAAAGAATCATGGTCCTCGACGTGCCGTCCTGGCGGTAAATATTTCCTCACTCGCAATGGATCGACCATTGTCGCCTTCGCGATTGGCAAGAAGTGGAAGCCAGGGAATCCCATTTCGATGGTCGGCGCACATACCGACTCACCATGTCTGCGCATCAAACCCGTGAGCAAAAAGCAAGGCGACGGCTTTCTCCAAGTCGGTGTCGAAACATATGGCGGCGGCCTGTGGCATACTTGGTTCGATCGTGATTTAGGCGTTGCGGGAAGAGTGATGGTCAGGGGGACCGACGGCAACGTCGTGCAAAAGCTGGTTCACATCAAGAAGCCCATCCTTCGCATCCCCACCCTTGCTATTCATCTCGATCGACAAGAGACATTTTCCTTCAATAAAGAAACTCAGCTCTTTCCCATTGCTGGCCTGGTCGCTGCTGAGCTCAAACGCCAGGATAGCCAAAAGGACAAGACGGAGACGGAGGAAGAGGAGCAGAATAAACCATTCACTCCACTGAAAGCCATGACGACGAGACATCACTCTCATATCGTTGAGCTCATTGCCGCCGATGCCGGAGTCTCGGCTGCGGAGGTCGTCGATTTTGAGCTTCTACTCTATGACACACAAAAGGCATGCCTAGGTGGTCTCTCTGACGAGTTCATCTTTTCCGCCAGGCTAGATAATCTAAACCAAAGCTATTGTGCGACAATGGGCTTGATCAACTCTTTGGAGTCTGCATCGACGCTTGACGGCGAGTCCTCTATTCGTCTCATTGCTTGTTTCGATCATGAGGAGATAGGCAGTATGACGGCCCAGGGAGCGTTTTCCATGATGCTGCCAGCCATCATCCGTCGACTCTCTGTTCTGCCATCTTCATCCTTCGCGGAAGACGACTCAGAAGAGTCTTATGACCACGCGAGCGATCCGGAGCTGTCAACTGCTTACGAGCAAACTCTGTCAGCCTCGTTCCTGCTCTCCGCGGACATGGCTCACTCCGTCAATCCTAATTATGGGGCCAAATATGAAACCGATCACCGACCAGAGATGAATCAAGGTCCCGTGATCAAGATCAATGCAAATGCAAGATATGCTACCAATTCGCCAGGTATAGTACTACTCCAGGAGGTTGCGCGAAGAGCGGCCAAAGTCATCGATAGTGATTCAGAGGGTGTGCCGCTGCAGCTATTTGTCGTTCGAAACGATTCCAGCTGTGGAAGCACCATTGGCCCGATGTTGTCTGCTCATCTTGGTGCTCGCACTCTTGATATCGGCAATCCACAGCTTTCGATGCACAGCTGTCGCGAAACTGGAGGTGCGGATGATGTCCATCATGCTATCAGACTATTCAGCAGCTTTTTCCAACATTATTCTGCTTTGGAGAAGACGATCCTGGTCGACTGAGTGGCGTGTGAAGTCCATCGATTTGCAAGGCGAAGACCATGGCTGAATGAAAGGCTAACAGCACGACTGTTCAGCACCTGTGCCAGAGAGACTAGGACACCACGGTCCGCCCATGTTCTGACAACTTGAGGCACGACAGGCCAATGCATACCTAGGCGAAAACGACTCTCGCTTTCAAGGAGCAAGCCGATCTACCTTGAAGTTCTGTTTTTGGTTCTGGACTGGGGACTGTGTCGGTTCCTTTTACGCACTTCGGATGGTGTCGCACAGGCAAATGGATACCTGTCTCTTATCAACAACTGTTCTCAGGATCATGGGCATCAAATACTAGCTTACGAATCTTCCATTACGTCCTCCAACCTCCAAATTCAGGTATATATGGCATTACATAGAATCCTTTAGGCAAAAGGAAGAGGCTACAAGGAAGAAATGCGGGGTTACGGCATCCATCTCCAAATTTGCTCAAACAAATATTTTCCAATGACATAAATTCCATACAAGGCCCGAGTCACCGGTGTGAGCAAGTTTAGTATTCAACCTTCGCTCAACAGATTCCCTTCGCGTTCGTTTCCCGCGACCACCGCCTGTCCTAGACATGACAACGCCTGAATACCTCACAGGCAACAAGGATGCAATCCGCCAATTCATAGACAAGTTCGATGTCCGTGCCCGTTCTTCGTACGCGAAGATCGTTTCAGCCATGTGTCTCAATTCAATTGTTAACCAGAATTGTGCCCTCTAGGTCTTCCTGATCGACTGCGATGGCGTCCTCTGGTCCGGAGACCACTTATTCCCTGACGTTGTGTCGACCTTGGAGATGCTGCGTAACAAGGGCAAGCAGATCGTGTTCGTGACCAACAACTCGACCAAGTCGAGGCAGGACTACCAGAAGAAGCTCCAGGGCATGGGCATCCCTGCAACCGCCGAGGAGGTGTTTGGTTCGTCATACTCGGCCGCGATCTATATCTCACGGATACTGCCTCAAGCGCATCCACACCTCAAGGAGAAGAAGAAGGTCTTTGTGGTGGGTGAAGTTGGCATCGAGACCGAACTCGACTCCGAGGGCATACCGTATTTGGGGGGAACAGACCCTGCCTACAGGCGAGAGGTTACATCTGAGGACTACAAGCTCCTTGCCGCAGGCGATCCCAAAGCATTAGATCCCGAGGTGGGCGTGGTGCTCATGGGCCTGGATTTCCGCTTCAACTATCTCAAGATGTGCTATGCCTACCACTACATTAGACGTGGGGCACTCTTCCTGGCTACAAACACGGACTCGACCTTGCCTTCTGCCGGCTCGTTCTTCCCTGGCGCGGGAACCATCTCGGCGCCTCTGATCAAGATGCTTGGAGGCCAAGAGCCTATGGCATTTGGCAAGCCGAACCAAGCCATGATGGATGCCATTGAGGGTAAGTTCAAATTTGATCGGAGCAAAGTGTGCATGGTGGGTGATCGCGCCGACACGGATATCAAATTCGGACTGGAGGGAAACCTAGGAGGGACCTTGGGCGTATTGACGGGCGTCGCGACGGAGAAGGATTTTCTGGAGGGAGACATCCGGCCAGCATATTACGTGAATGCCTTGAACGATCTTCTGGAGGGCGCATGATTTTCCTTTGCCTGGGATGAGCTGGAGGGATGATAGATTTTCGACACGCTCCCCTGGATTTCGATTTCTTCGAGGAGAGAACATTAGACGCTTGAGGGTAACAGCACATTGGCTTCGGAGTGATAGACTAGATCTTGCAACGCACACGGGTCTTGATTCCCATTGCGCCGGTATATCAATTCAGTTTCAAAGAGTGCAATAGAGTCTTCCCACTCTTGTTAGCCGTCTCCCATCTGTCTCTGTAGCTTCGGCAGCCTCTTCAGTAAAATTGCTTGCTTTCCCAACCCAAGCACCAACATCTTTGTTGCCAAAGTACGCATACTTCTCAACCCATTCGCATCCTTCTAACCACGGCACCGCCTCTCTCATGAAAGCCTCGACCTCCTCGATGCCTGCGTCTCCGTTCCCCATCCTGGAGCATGCAAATTCGTTCACCCACAAGGGCAACCCGTACGTGGCGTGAATGTCCTCCAAGAAGGCCCTCATATCCGCGAAATGCAGCCCGTACCAATGCACCACCAGAAAATCAATCTCGTGTTTCCCGTCCAAGAGGGAAAGGAAAGAGTTCAACCACGGTTTACTCCTGCTCACATCACTGCTCATGCCGGGGCTACCCAGCCTCAGGTTGAATTTCCTCTTCGCGGGCAAGACCACGTCCGTCCACAGCTTGGCCGCTTCCTCAGCGGACAGATTGGCTTGATCTAGAATCTCCGGTTCGTTGAACCCCAGCAACGCGGTGGTCTTGATTCTTCGGTTTTGGATGATGTCCGTCAAGAACGGGTCGAGTTGGTCTCTCGCGTTGGCTGCGGTGCGCACGCAGGGGATCCATTCCAGCTCCGCCGGCACCGAGTCGGGGATCCAGCATTCCCAGTTGAAGATCCAGGAGATTTTGCCCGAGGCGGCGTGGGATTGGTACAGGGCGAAGTGCGTGCTGGGTTGGTCCCAGGGCCATCCTAGGCCACGCTTGCGGCTCCGTGAATTGGCGTTAGATGATGCCAGGTTAGATGAGAGGGATTTGGGCTTTGGTGGAGGAGGGGGAGGTCTGGATTTCTGCATTCTTCCCGTGCTAGAGATTTGTGCTCTGCTTTGGTATCTGGAGGGTTTGAGTCGTGCTGAGTTTGTCTAGGGAACACAGTACATGTGTGGATACAGAGTACATAGTTGGCTAGGCGCTAAGAGGGTATGTTATACACAGCCTTGCCATCTTTCCCGACTGATACCTAGATATCATAACCGGAGAGACAACTATGTAAAACAACCTATCTGTTTCCTCACAGAACTCGCGAAAATTCCTAGTCGTCATTCGGATCTTAAGCCTACCCGTTTCAAGGCTGACTGTAGAAAAGCGCTGGCGATGCGAGGCTTTGCTGCCAGGTACATGGCCCCAACAATGAGACCCAAATAAAAGGCCCAAGTCGCCGCACCAAACACCTGATGACCAATATATATTGCCTTGATGTTGGCGCCTTCATTGAGCTTGGGGAAAGGCCTATCAGGGACTTCAACATCCAGAAAAGCGCACAGCGGACCCCAGCCATCTTTGACGTTGTACTCGAGCAACCGTCCCTGCGGTACCAGCTCACGAACGCGCTGGTTGTGCATTCGATACATGCGAGGCTTTATCGAGCCCCAGTCCCGTTCCAGCCGGATCCTTATCTCCTGACACAAGTCATCCATCCGTCGAAGCAGATGGACCGAGGAAATCAGGCTTCGATAGACGACCCTTCGCGGTCCGGTGCCGAGTTGATGGCCTATGCTCTCGTTCCACGAACGCCACCAGGACTCTTCTGAATCCCGGACGGTTAGGATGAACTTTGCATCTGGGTAAGTTGCGACGACCTCGGGGATCAGATCACACATGGGCGCGTCCATTGTGGACCGATATCCCCGCGTCAAAGCACGGAGCCTCTTCTTCATCTCCTCGCTTGCCGTTTCACTCTCGCGAGGATGCTGACTGAGCCAGTGCATGAATTTGATCACTCTCTCTCTGTGGTCCGGGCGACGGTATATTTCCTGTGAACGAAGTCAGTCAGGCTCTGCAGCATTCGGATTGAAAGAAGGGCTTTTTGGATCCCAAAAACTCACCACTCCATGGTGGACCGGACCAAATCCAAGCATGGTCAGCGCCTCGCGAAGGGATGTTGTCCCTGTTCGAGACAGCCCCAGACCAATCACTTCAAACCCAGCAGTGCTATCTGGGCGCCATTGAGAGTCACCATGTTCGTCAGCACTGATGCCGAAGAATTTGGCGAGGTGACTTTGCGATGAGGCTTCCTTCGCCATGACGGGAGTATTGTGCAAAGCCGAAGGCACAGGGTTCTTGAGCAGCACTTCTTCTTCCCAGCAGGCATCTCTTGGTTCGAGGCGGGTTATATAGTCCCCGGCTCTTGGCCGACTTACCTGCACTGGCCATTGGAGGAGCCACCTGACAAGTTAAGGCCGGCACTTTAAGTGTCTGTTTCCTCCATGCGAACGTCACATCAGTTTGGAGGCCTCTGGTGGCCTGAGATGTTGGAAACGTCCCCAAGGCAACCTTGCTTGAAGATCAACAGGACCCTTGGAGGGATCTCCGCCCCAAACAGGAATTCTTTGGGTAGAATTGGACTCTAGTGAACCCAGGTGTTGAAGCTGAGGGAGATCATAGTACATATGTACCTTGCATGGTGGAGGAGGAAACCAACATCCGGGTCTTGTAGCCGATTCCGGATTTCAGTGGATGTTTTACACAACGACTTCAAGCGCTACTTCCTTCGTGCTTACTGTCCATATTCCCAATTGCACCAACACTCTTCTTCCTCTGCCGAACCCGTCCTAGACCGAATGAATATTCTGCCAGCATCGAACAACTACACACAAACGAATTCTGAAAGGTTGGCCCGGGGGGCCCTGAGCCCCCGTTTTGGGGGGGGGGGGGGGGCTTCTCTTTTCTGAGTCGTATTGCTTAAATCCAAAGCCAGTCCCATGGGTATTCCGTATATCACAACAGGGAGGTCCTGATATCTCCCTTTCCCAATTATCTTGATATAGAAATGTCCAGTGGCATCGACTTTTTATAGTCTTTACCCGACATATTAGTACACTTGTGTTGTACACAGAACAGGAGTGGTTCTACCTGATTGATTGTGTCTTGTCCCTCTGCCTTCTCAGAGACACTCTGCCTGTTTATATACAATTTGGCCTGTGATCTGAAGGCCTTTCCTGAAACCTCCTATTCCGTTGTCATGCTATCGCAGATCAGCGAGAACAACGGTGTTGAGGTAAGTGGCGTATTTGGTGAGACAGCTAACGTCTTAGATGGTTTGCACAGTGGCGATCTTGCAACCCTGTCAACAGTTGCTCTGTCAGCGTCAACCAGAAACGCGTTCTCGATTCCCACAGGCCACTGTGCGTTGTTGCACGTGCATGGCGAACCCTGAAGTGCTCTGTTACGGTATATACGCTGAGTACAAGGAGGATATATATCGTTCGGTGCGTTTATTGATCGATCTATTTCTTACTAGCCTTCTCTTACAAATATTAAGACTACGGCGTTGACGGTGTATCTATAGGTTGAAGTCAACTACCCCTCGTCCGATAGCCTCTCCTCGTCTGATCTTCTCCACTGCCTCAGGTAGCTTGTCAATAGGATATATTGTATGGTCACCAGACAATTTACCGGCCGCAGCACATTGGAGCGCCATGGCAATGTCAGCCCTGCTGCCAACCACCGACCCTCGTACGGCAAGGCCCTGGGTAATGAATTTGGCCGGGGGAGCGGTAATAGTGACATCTGATTTATGCGCTGTGTTTTGGTATTAGTTGTTTTCACTTCAGGAAAGCTCAGAAATAGAGAGAGTGAGAGACATAAAAAACTTACGCAGCCCGATGCACATAACTGTCGCACCCACCCGAGTGCCTGTGTATGATATGGCCATAGGGTACGACGAGCCGGCCGTGACAAAGACACCGTGAGCGCCTACCCCATCGGTGACCTTGATTACTTCTGCCACGGGATCCTGGACCTGCTTAAAGTCGATAAAGACCTTTGCTCCTCGAGAGAGGGCGAACTTTTCCTTTTCAGCACCCGTGTCGACCACAACAGTCCTCAATCCCATTGCCGCTGCCAGTTGAACGCCTTGGATTCCGACCCCGCCGCCTCCGCCAGGAAACACTGCCCAATTGTTGATTTTGAGATTGGCCAGTCTTAAGGCTCGATAGATCGTTCCGCCCGAGCACATGATCGGGGCGGCTGAATAGTCGTCAACACCGTCGGGAATTCTCTGTGTATAGTGCGCCGGCGAGGTTACGTATCTGGTGATGCTTATTTAGTTTTTCCCTTGGTGGTATACGTTCTGACTTCTGGGGAGGATGTACTGTTGATATGTTCTATACCGGTAGAATTAGCACCATATTCCTTTCTGATTCAGCCTTTTCATACTAAAATTCAACGACTCAAATGTCAAACAAAACGATCAATATTAATACATGCTGTGAACACTGTGACACATACCCAGATTTATGAAGACCCAACAGCACTGATTTACGACAATACGTCTCCTTGTCATCTAGACATAAATCACACTCTCCACAGACCGACCATCGCGGCTTCATGCCTGCCCGATCGCCGACCTTCCAGTTATGCACGTTGGAGCCTACCTTGACAACAACACCAGCGCCTTCGTGGCCAGGTGAGCGCACGCCGAAAGACGACATAGGAGGCGTCCCCAGGTCGCCCATGGCGAAATGGAGATCTGAGAAGCATATTCCCGTCGCGTTGAGCTTGATAAGCAGTTCATCCGGGCCTGGGGTATCGGTAGTCGTCAGCTTCTATACCTTTGACGGCAGCGTCTCCGTGGTGATTTAGCATCATACGCCATTGAAGACTTATTCAAACGTAGCCATGCAGACGGACAGGCAGATTATCTTACCAGGTTCAGGGATGGGAACCATCTGGACCTCGATGTGAAAGTCGGGACCCTCGTTGACCACCACCCCGGCCTTGCACTGCGCGGGGATATCAAAGACTGGCTCTTTGGTTGCGCTGCTCATGCCATTGACCTCGGATCGGAATAGATATGCCATGTTGGTGATAACGACAATGAACATGGGCTGACAGAAATGGTAACAATCAAACAATCTCGAGGAGACTATCAGGTGCTACAGATATATCAGATGATGAGGGTGTATAATTTTTGACTCCAATTCCATCATAAAAGTGAATTACATTCCCGGGAAATACATATAGGGTAGTATCCGAGCACCAAGAATCTTGTCACTGGTCCAAAGCAGGCATTGTCAACCATGTAGAGAAGTACGGCATGAATTTAGCGGGTATTCGGACATTGGAAGTCCGAAAAAGCATTAGCTGGGGTTATGAGGGTTCTACCCCCGGACTTGGTTTCTCTGGAGAGCAGCCGAGTCAGATATCGGCTAGGGACTTTATTCGGCTGCATCATACGGTATCGATGTAACAGAATTCAGTGAAGGTTGTCAATTCTTGAAGATCGAATTCCACAAGTAGTATTATGTACCAATGGTATTTTAACGTCACGTGTATGGCTGTTTCTTCTCCATATTTCTATCCAGCTACTGCATCGATGCTCGGTGCAGGGTTGAAGGCTCTCGGTGACTGAGGTAAAAGACTCAGATGAACGGGCAATATAGGGACAATAGGCTTTAGGTCATTCGTTGCCTAGGGGCGAGGCTGTCTATAAAAGGCTTGCATTCGCTTCGAATCTCTTCGCTCTGATCCACCCATAACTACATAGTGCCTCCATCTACAGTCAGACCCGCGCCCGTGATGTAACTGGCAGCGTCGGAAAGGAGAAACAGAGTAGCATTAGCCACCTCATCCGCGGTGCCTTGTCGGCCTAGAGGAACAGTTCCCCCTTTCTGTTTCATGAGACCTTCGTAGTCGCCCTCGTGGTATTCATCAGCTAGTCTCTCGACCAATGGCGTCGCGATCAGGCCAGGGATGACGGCGTTGATCCTGTGTTTGAGTTAGACAAATCCGAAAGAACATAGGCTTGGACATGAGTCCGCCGCCTCAGCTGGGAGCTCGCCGCATACACAAAACTAAATCGTACCTGATTCCCCAGGGTGCGAACTGCACAGCAACACATGTTGCAAAATTTAACAGCGCTGCCTTGGTGGTTACGTATCCAATGTGCGCTTTACCCGTGTAGCCTAAGCCAGCGATCGAGCTGGTTGCGATTATGGAGCCTGACTGTTTATTCTTTCAAACCAAATGTTTGGCGATCCACTCGGGTTCTTTGTTTGTATCCAGAAGAGTGGCTCAGGGGTCGGGTTTTCACCTCCGGCCCTCCCTCAACGCTTCGGCTATGAGTTCCGCTAACCCAAATACTTCGGCTTATGCGTAGTATCTGGCTTGGCGGAGAAACAGCTTTCTAGCCAGGGATGGTCATACATATAGGTTAGAGAAGATGCAGAATGCATCGGAGGCGGATTCAAAGGGACTTTGCTACCGTAGAAAGAAAGCAAAACCATCAAGACAATCGATCACGATGGCGTCCCATGCTGCGGAGGCCCTCCCCATCGGAATGGGCGACGGCGTGGTGATTGACATGCCCAAGAACAAGCTCGTCAATGGCGAGCTGGAACTGTCAGCACCAGTCCTGACAAATGGGTTGAATACCAAACCCCCAATAATCACCAAAACAAAGTCGATACCGCCATTGGTTTCTGAATGCCTAGAATTGGCCTGACATTCCAGGCCTAGATGATTTCGAAGGCCCAAAACTACGCTCGGCCGCACGAAAGAGTCGCCGCGGCTGAAGGGTGGACGGCGGGATGGACAAGCCACGGGATACAGAGTACTTGTCCTTGAATGGTACAGTCGGGAGAGGATGAAGACGAAGCTGCCCCTTGTCTTTTATTTTGTCTTCAGCATATCGCAGGGCAATCGAAGTGGCCAGCCATCCGCCAGCTGAGACACCACCGACGATGACTCGGTTGGGATCGCCACTAAGTGCAGAAATGTTCTCGGATAGCCATTCGAACGGATCCCACGCGTCGTTATGTGCTGTCGGATGCTTATACTCGGGCGTGTGACGATAGTTGACACTGATCACCATGACAGGAGTTGAACAGGCCGCTACGACGCGTGCACAGCTGGAATCTTCGGACTCGACGTTGCCATAGAGGAAGCCGCCGCCATGGAAATGGAGAAAGACCGGCAGCCCTTGTGGCTTTTCCAAATGACGAGGTCGGCAGACTCGAGCTATGATGTTCTGTTGGTCGCGCGTCAAGTTGGAATAGCCGTGCCAAATGACTCTGTCGTTGAGACCTGCCGGCCCGGACAAAGAGAAATTAGTAAATTGAAAAAGAGGATGAGAGAGACCAAGTGTTAAAAAGTGGCTGAGCGCAATTATTCGGGTGTGATGCCTTCAAGGGAGGCATTTACGTAGTTTGTCGCCCTCACAAACTCTTCCCATTCAGGCACAGGGCCTTGATAGATCGAATTATCTACCATTTATACTCCAACTTTGGGGACTGGTAGATTGCTGAGAAAATCCTCACTGCGCTATGTCCATAAGTACCTCGGTGGACGCATATACTCTCAGTATTGCTGCTCCTGGGACTTGGGCTTTCCGCTCGACCAGTGAAAACCCGAGCTAATGGCCTTTAAAGAGACCTTCGTAAAAGAAGCCGGAGCACTTGCCACCAATTGATTGCACTACTTGTAGTTTGGCCAGGCCGGGCCTTGGACAGCCGAGTCCCGAGGTGTCCGAGTGGGGCTTATCGATAAAATCTCAGGTCACGGGTTGCCAAGAAACACGCTTATTTCAACTTGTGCCCGAGACGTGACTGGGCTCAATTCAGAGAACACCAAGTTACTACAACCTTGAACGCTCACTTCCAAGCGCCATGAAGCTCAACTACACGCCAGAATCCGCTGAAGGACTACCAGCCGAGGATGCCAGTATCTATGAACGCGTTAGGCAGCGTCGCGGAGGACGGTTGCTCCCTTTGGATCGTGCCCTACTCCACTCACCACAACTTACCGACGGTTAGTAAACATACAGACCAAAAAAGAAGCCCTGAGATCTACAGGCATGCAATTGAATTGCACGTGCGCCTCTCTCTGCACCTGCAATCCCAATTTGATTTGATTTACGAGTCGCTAACTGATATAACGTCTGGGTGGATTTACAGGCTGGAATTCGCTACTAGGCGCCGTTCGGACAAAAGGATGTTTATCCGACGACCTGCGTGAAATCTGTATCTTGCGTCCCGCGCTGATCAATCGAGCCTGGTTCGAGTGGAATCACCATGCGCCTATTTTTGAGGCCGCCCCTGGAGTCACCGCGGCCCACATAGATGTGTTGAGCCAACTTCATCCTGCTGGTCAAGGAGCCTTGAATGATCGCCAGTGGGCGGTGCTGCGGTACAGCGACGCGATGACCAAAGACGTTTCAGTTCCCGACGAGGTGTTCGACGAGTTGCGTCGGCTCCAGTTCAATGAACAAGAGATTGTCGAAATCACGCTGACGTGCGCCGCTTACAATATGGTGAGCCGCTTCTTGGTGGCCCTGGATGTTGGTGAGGCAAATGGCTCTGTTCCAGCAGTGGTAGCCTCGCACGAATGAGGCCAAAGTACAGGATAGATGGCATGCCAGATTTCAGACTTCAGACGTCATCATATAACATTTAGATGAGAGGAGCAGGGTATTTCACTCCTTACCCTCACGAATGTGGTTTCCACAAATCCCGAGTAGTAACTCAGGTAACTGTGAAGTTTGAGCTGAAATTGCGGGCCTAGACTCGAAATCACAATGTCGATGACTTTCGCTAGAACATAGAAACGAAATCTATTTCTATCAAATTATAGGGTCTTGGATTGCCAGCGTTGCAGAGCCAATTCATCATGTCGAGTTCAGAGTCTCGCACAGAGCTTATGCAGGACAATCTCAATCTCTCAATTGACAACATCAGAACCTCCACTTTCATGCGTCTATATAGCCTGCCAGCCACAGTCGGTGCTGATAATCGCGCCATTGAGATAATCAGCATCATCTGAGCAAGTAAATGCCACTAATTTGCCCAATTTCTCAATATTGACGGTCGCCGGGTTCTGGCCGAGGAGACTGAAAGCCAGCGTCTTGCCTTCCTCATGCACTCCGTTGACATAGGCTGTTCGAATATTGGTCTCCATCAACCCCGGCATGATAATATTCGCGCGAATCCCCTTGGTCGCATAGTGAGCTGCCGTGCTGCGCGTCAAGCCCACCAATGCATGTTTGGCCGTGGTGTACGCTGCCCCTGCAAGGCCGCCGCGCAGGCCATTGATGGAGCCGACATTCAAGATAACTCCGCCTTGTGGTCCTGGCCGTCCGGGACGTAGGAACTCTTGCACTGCAAATTTGGACATGCGCGCCGCGATGGTCAGATCGATGCTGATGATGCGGTCCCAATAGTCGAGCTCCACGTCGCCAATGGGCGTGAACGTGTCCATGACACCGGCATTGTTGATCAGGATGTCGAGTTTGCCGTACTTGTCCACAGCTGCTTTCACCGTGTCTTGTGTTGCAGCGGCTTGCGTCAAGTCGGCGCAAATGTCGTGGACTTCGCCCAGGGTAGACAATTCTGCTTTGGCCTCTTTCAGCATTGTCGCATTGATGTCGATGATAAGTACGGCCGCTCCGGCATTTAACAGAGCTTTGGTAATGGCTTTTCCGAGACCGCCAGCAGCACCAGTCACAATGGCGACTTTTGAGGCCAATAAGTTTGACATGCTGAAGGTTTGGCACTATTGGAATTTGGTAGCGGCGGTAGTGGCACAAATGATCAAGTAACTGGAATGAACATGACAGAACAACTTGCAAGGGTCTAGGAGGAGACATTACTATTTATGTACACCTCTTTTTTTTTTGGCATTCGCTTAAAACCCCAGAATTCGTCGTGAACTACGAATACCTTGCTATGCCATGCCATGCCACCGAGCCCGCGTACTACCACAAACTGCCATCGGAGGTGAGTACCGAGCATCAGAGGTTCTGAACCTTGTTGATGATATAAACACAGCCCATTGGTCTCCACTGGATGCCGAGCAGTGCGGGTTGGGGGGGGTTATAACGGGGCCCCAGAAGGTGGGAAGGTCTTTGAAGCGGAGCTCATCCACCGCTGGGGCCGAGGATTGCTGGGAGAGGGGAGTAGAGGTCCTCGGCTTATAAATGCTGATGCCCGCCACTCGCATCCCCGAAACCCATTCACCCACCGGAACTACCTGCTGCGTGTGTCTGCTCTGGCCTCGTGAGTTGTTGTATGACAATGTCCCAGGTTACAGAAGAACCAGTCTCGTCGATTGGGGTGCAGCCTTGGACAGAGCAGGATCAGGCAATACCCTTACCAGCGTCTCACAATGAGCATCTTAAGGTGCGAAAATTTTGCCGGAGCTGTATGAGGTGTCGTTCCAAGAAGGTAGGCAACCACAGAGTGCCTACACTGTCTCTTGTCCGGGTTCATGAGCCAACCTTTTTCTCACTAGATTAAGTGCAGTGGGGATCGTCCGAAATGCACGTCCTGCTCGACATCAGGCCAGCCATGCGACTACCTAGAGGACGCCCGTCGTACGGTCGGCACCATGAAGGGTGATGTCTCGAATTTACAGCGGGAGATCTCACAGCTCCGAAAACTGGTGGAGGAGTACCGGAAGGGGTCCGAATCGCCCAAAGAGCCTGTTACCCCACGGTTACGGTCAGGCGAATCAAGCCTGAGGAGTGAGTTCGACTTCGCTCAGTCGTCTATCACCTCCATCCCTAACGGCCGCAGCACTTCTGGCATCCTAGAGACATATGCCGCTCCATTGCCATCAGGACGGCCTCAATCGGACTTGGAGGAGAGTGCACAGCGCACCAGTGGACCGTCGCCCTCTGAAGCAAACATCGCTGGCGCCATCTCTAGGGATGGCTACCTCCAAGTCCACGGTGTGACTAGCACGTTCCACCAAGAATCGGTCAGGACTGGTGAAGATGGCGACACCTTGGATGGTGCGGCCAAAAGTAATGAACTTGAATCGGTATCTCACCGCCTGATCGCGTACGCAGCCCTGCAGAAACAACATGAGAACTTTCTGTTTTCAGACCCTCTCCTCTACAACAACCTTGACCTCGATGGAGTATCCCCCGAGACCGCAAAGCATCTTCTGGACATCCATTGGAACAGACAGCATTTCACCTATCTCTTGACCTACCGACCCGCGATCACGGAGAGTTTGCGGACTGGGGGGCCCTATATCAACAAACTCCTCCTCAACGCCATATACTACACAAGCTGTCAGTACAGTGATCGGAAATCGCTGCGTGCCGACCCAGATGATCCTCAGACCATGGGAGCTCAGTTTTACCGCCGCTTCAAGGAATTATTGGTTGACGAGATCGACAAACCCAGTATTCCGACCGCCATCGCCCTGCTGCTCTCAGGACAGTGTCTAGTCGCTTATGGCAAACAAGGAGGAGGCTGGGTCCTTTGCGGCACCGCATACCGCATGATAATCGAACTGGGCTGCCACTTGACTGCTGACCCTCGACGGACGGAGCAAGGCTCTCTAGAGATTGTCGGGACCGAAGTCCGTAAACGACTCTACTGGGGCGCGTTTGTGATTGACAAGTTCCAGTCGCTATATCTCGGGCGAGCGCCGGCGCTGCGCCAGTCCGAAGCACGAGCCTCCAAGGAACTGTTGGATGCTTTTGAAGAGTATGAGCCGTGGTCGCCATACGTAGATTCCAAGTCTGACTCGTTCGACGTGGTCATGTCGCCTCAAGCGCATGCCCCTCGACCAGCTTACGGTGTGAGTTCGTTCAAGGCGCTGCTCCGCCTGGCGGAAATTGCTACTGAGATCATGGACACGTTCTATTCCATGGAGAGCTTGAAGCTAGGTCAGAAAGCCGCGCTGGAGAGACGAGTTGAGTTTTTGCACAAGCTGGATCGGTGGCAGAAGGAGCTCCCGTCCCATCTGCTCTGCGATCCAGAGGGGTCGCACAGTCCGCCTCCACACCAGCTGAATCCCCAGTAAGTCTTACCAAAGGGTTGCATTACCCTTTTAGACCCTGCTTTACCATGCGCTGATCTTGCCTACGTCGCTCTGTTATACCCACTCTACTCTACTCTTCCCTACCCTTCTCTGGCTTAATGTGCCCTGCTTTGATCTGTTTTGCCCTGCTCTGCCAACCCAACACAAAAGACCGCCAGAACTCTAACAAACAAAATAGTACCACATACTGGACCCTAGTGATCCTGGTCTGGCGCCCGTTCATGAGTAACGGCCACCTCTCAGCCTATGCAGACCCAGAATTTCGTTCTGTGGTTGATAAAGAGTGCGCTGCGGCCTCGCTGAAAATCTGGGCCCTGGTCAAAACCTTCAAAAACACCTTCACTCTGCAACGTGCGCCATATATCCTGTGCTACGCAGCATATCACGCCGTACTGGTTTTAATCCACTCGCGCGAAACCCGCGTCAATTTCCCCGATTGTGTGCCCTACTTGTGGTCTGCGCTTGTTGATCTCAAGCATGGCAGCCACGCCGGTCTCACTAGGCCGTTGCAAATGCTGAAATCGAAACTCACGGAGGATGTGGTTGTGCCGTCGGAGTCTTATCCCGCCGAGAATGGCAATGGGCGCGGCGCTGGGGCCTTTTGTGCCGGTGATATAGACATGGTGGGCGATCCAAGCGCAGGCGCAGGACCCGGGGCTGGTATCGGGACCGGGGCTGGGATTGGGATTGCTAATGCAGACTTCCTGCAGACTTTGGACCTTGACGCCTGGAACACGCCGTTCTGGCTGGATCGGGTGGTTGGAAACCAGCTATTACAGGATGACTTTACATTTGGGTTGGGCTCGATGCCATTTTGAACTCTCGGCTCACTTGATTTGTTTTTGTATATCTATTTTAATTTTTCTGGTTGGCATGCCCAACATAGCTGGTAGATCCCAGGCAGCCCAGATGTGCTTCTACAGTCTTCTTCAACATTGAGGTACGACTAGCCGTATCATGCTATTTAGCGCTAGGGCGGGTGTGTTCCACATCTTCATCACTACTTGTTGCCCGCGCTTTCCAATTGGATTCCCCTGGAAATCATTGACTTGACAGCTCCAAAAACCTTTGTTGCCAAAGGCGTCACGATCGAAGCCTGTGTAATCGGCCCGCCCACTTCATCAAACGTGTCGAACTCGTGCAGGATGAGAACAGGCGCTGGTTCTTGGGGTTGCTGAGCTGGTTTGAGTACTGATTGCAGCTGGTACAGAGCCGTGCGCCGGTATCCAGGGTGCTTGGCCATCATGACTGTGTGGTCGACGCGGTAGAAGCTGTAATTGACGGCCAATGTTTAGTATCTGTTGTGCACTGTGCGCATTTGGGTCATGAAATGAAAGAGAAAGGGATGGAATTGGAAAGAACGAAGGTGGAGAAAGAGAGGGACTCCAGACGAACGAGGGAAACAGAAAAGGAAAACGGGTAAGAATGAGCTTTTCGCCAATTCATCTTCTTTGGCGAGGGCTTGGATGACAGAAACGAATACATACTGTAACAGAGCACTTCAGGGTTTGGCGTGCACGTGCAACAACGCACAGAGGCCTGTCCAGCAGATCGGGAATCGAGAACGCGTTTCTGGTTGATACTGACAACAACACCACCAACACCACCCAGAGAGGCAGCGGCTAGGGCTACGAACACCTAGCACAGCGGCAGCATCGAGGAACAGGACAGGACTGATAAAATACTCTCAGGATTTAGGTAGACGGCACCAAAAGCCATGGAATTCATAATACTCTGCTCAATCTGTAAAAAATGAATGGCACACTGCCAGCACTGTAAACTGTTCCGCACCTCCTCTCTGCCAGCCCATTTAGGTTTGACATGTGACTAGACAACTTTTTCACCTTGCCACCGCTCTACCAGCCCAGCACAGCCCATCACAGCACAGCCACCTTGCCTTGTTACAATACTCTTGAAACTCTTTGATATCAGCAGGACTCGCTTCGGCCTGAAGAATGAGCGGCGAAACAGCACCTATATGTTCTAATGTCAGCTAAGTCTCGACTTCAGGCTACTTGAGGCGGCGAGGCCCAAAAAGTGCATGTTTTGCCCGAATAAATTGGAAACATTTTGGACAGCGTAAAACACATTGACAGGTCCGGAGCCCTGCATTTCAATCCACATGCCTCAGGTGGTCAAAGCTGAGACCTTTCACATTCACTGGATTATCGAGACTTCGCTGCATCAACTTGTGGCGCAGACTGGGCAGAATATGACAGCAGCTTCTTTATACCTTCTTCCTGTTGGTCTCCTTGACAAGTAAAACAATAAAACACGCAAACAAAGTCAATGCCAATGCAAACGTCTCACTCAAGGGTCAAAGCCAACTATTGACTTACTCGAAATCCCTAAGCCTCTGGGATCATATGCCTCAAGGAGGGTATACATTCTAATCTCTGTGTCGGCATACTTTGAATCTAAAAGAGTTCCGGCATTCGCATCTTCTGGGTTTGTTCGTGTCTGCGAGGAGATAACCAAATACGTCTTGTCGTCAGGCGAAGGTCGGCCCATAGGATTTTCAATTACTTTGTACAGAAGGCCCGAGTGGTCCCCCTGGCGGAAATGCTGCCATTCAGGCCCTTCTTCATTATGGGGCCGGTAAAGAGCGAATGCGATTTCGGACGTGAAGGCGAACGAGGACATGACTACCAATGGTACAGTCAGGAGGGAGGGAAACAGAGAGAAAAGGACCGATAGATATGGCCGGTAGTTTGGGAGGTGAATTCGACGATTTTGATTTCGAGATTGATTCTTTGTTTTGTAGGGGAAAAGTATCAGTTTCTTCTGTACAAACGGAAATTAAGACCGTGAGAGTCGACGGGTAGCCTTGCGGTCATGATATGCCGAGCCCCGGAGTTCTCAAACCCGGTTCATTTGTCTGTTTTAACACAGTGCTCAGAACTGGCTATCAAGCTCTATCGCTGCATGGCCCCAAGAGGATTGGAACTCGGTAGGGACACCAACTCTTTATATGCGGCGCCAATGCTACTCCCAACACACATAAGATCGCGTAAAACATGGACGTGGAATAAAATGGAAAAGGGGGTTTTAAGTGTAATTGACCGTCAATCACATACGATTGTACTTAAAAGCAACGCATCATCTCACCTGCATCAAGAAGATGCTCAATATACGAGCCAGGATTGTAGATGGGAACAGGGTATTTGTAACCAGCGAGCCCGGCAGTCCCAAGTGGACCTAAAGATAGACCAGGAATCAATCCCCCGGTTACTCCAGCTCTAACTTCTTTTCTTCGGTTGTTTGATGGATATGCCCGGCCACGAAATCCTTTTTGTTGCGATCGAACCCTGGAACCCACCAGCAGAGCAGAATGAGAACTCCCGCAAACCCGGCGCTGGTGTAGATGACGGTACTGTACGATGAAGCTTGTGCATTTCGAAGCGCATCTCTGGCAACAGCTTCGATCTGGCTGTTGAACCCGGGTACTGTCGCGTTGGTCACGGCCGTGATGTTATTAATTCTCGAAAGAAGGGCCGGTACCGATGACTGAGGCAGTCCAGTAGCCAATACAGCATCTTGGACATATCGGGGGACTTTGGACTTGAGCTGATTGTTCAAGATTGTAGAAAACACGGCGGTACCAAATGAGGCACAGAACTGACGGATCGTTCCAGCCAGGCCACCAGCCGCACCGAGCTCTTCCTGGCTTTTGATGGGGAAAGTGACGGCGGTCAGGGCAACGCCTTCGTTGGCGCCTACCATGAAGCAGCCCGCGGCCGCCAGTCCGATGGTGAGATTGAGGTTGCGAGGATCAGTCGCTGCCCCAGCGAGCAGGGGAAGGGCCGCAAAGGCACTGCCAATCGCCCCCACGCGCACGCCAGCGAGCTCGGCAATAACTCCACCAGAGAATTGACCGAGCACGAAACAGAGGATTAGCGTGGTGGTCAGGGTGCTTTGTTGAGAAGGGCTGACGCCGTCGTACAGAGATCGCACTGCCTGTGGCCATACCAGGCTGAAGCCGTAATAGGTTACAGCCCCGATGCCCGTAAGCCATGAGCAGGCTTGGAATCTGGCGTTCTTAAACAAATGCATAGGCAGAAGCGGGTGAACCGTAGAAATGGGAAGAAAGATTTCCCACAACGCAAAACAAACAAATCCAGCACCTCCTCCAACCAAAGAGCCGATTACATGGCCTGAATTCCAGGGATAGAGGCCACCCCCCCAGTCCAAGCCGAGGATGAACAGGATCAGGGACAGCGAATAGATCACCAGACCGATCCAGTCGAATTGGAGGACAATCTCCATAGCACTCTTGCGACGATGCAGCATTTTGAACGTTGGCGGGTGGTAGCAGAGCACCCACAGCAACACGGTCAGTGCATTTAGTCCGATGAGGAAATAGTAGCACCCCCGCCAGTGAGAAGTGGTAGAGAACTATGTCGGAGGATTTTGTTTTAGCGAACAATCTTGGTTTCTTCAGAGTGGCTTGTAACATACTTGAAATTGAAGGGCAACTTTAGCAGCCAGCGGATTGCAAGGCATGCTAAGAATATACACCCCCGATACTGCCAGAAAGCGCCATCTCATGGGCACGATTTCGGAAATGACCCAGAAGAACGAGAGGCCAAATCCTAGGGCAGCACCAAAAAGCGCCTGTGAGACCACAATCTGCGTAATGGACTGTGCCGTGGCGCCCAGAATGGCGGCCAGAAGCCCGAGACACGAGCCTCCGATGAAAAACCAACGTCTCCCAAAAATGTCGCTCAGGCAGCCGACCATCTGGAGGACAACTGCAGATGCGATCACATTGGCGAGAGGGGCGTACTGTCGAGGGCCACGACATAACCATTAGTCAAATGCTTGAGGGTTTGGGGTAGACATGAGTTTTGTCTCACACTGATAGAGTCACTTGGACCAAGGTCGTCGTTGATATAAGAAAGAAGAGGTGCGGTCTGGGCGTAGCCTCCCACCGTGGCGGTAAAGGTGAATGCAGAGGCAGAATAACTGCCCAAAAAGGCTGGACTGATCCAATACTTTTTGGATAGCTGGGCGAAATGGAATCCTCGTGCTTCTGGGGCACGCTCTTCATTGCGCACCATGGCATCGTCAAACTCGAGCGCCGTGTGCTTTTGAACCCCACCAGAACCGTTCTCGAGATGGTCTGGGGATACCTCGACTTCGATTTTGTCCGGCATGGTTTTGTCCTCCATGGTGATGGCGGAGAGCTGGGCCGAAGACATCGACAGAGAGAACCTGGGCAAGCGCAAGTGCAGGAGCAGATGCAGGTGCTTCAAGTACTCGTCGGGGAACGGAAAGGAACTTAGATGAAGAGTCGGGGAGGCACACTCCAGAAACGAAGAGGAAGAAATTCAGTCTTTATACCAGTGAACCCGCAGGTCTATGTTCCGTATAGAATTTGCAACGGGATTGTCTCTGGGGTTTGGTTACCCCGAACCCCGGGGATTTGGCTGGGGAAGGGGGCAAAAGAAAATGGCCCGGGGTACATACGGGGTATACGTCAAGAATTCAGAGACATCCGCCCGGGCCTCAAAGTCCGCAGAGACCAAAGGTCGGATCTTACACCCCGGGGCGAGACCAGGCTTTACCACTTGACGACCAGGTGAAAGGGAGAAAGGGGCACAGAGGAGACTAACTGTATACGAAAACCGCTAGTATTAAAACAAGCATCGACTGTCGCTGCTTTATTGCAGAGTACCATAAACAGCCACCACGATGGACTACCTACCCCACCTATTACCAACCAACTTGAAAGCACTCAAAGTGATAGGCGTGGTGCCTACTTTTCTCTTCAGGTACACAGTATCGCCACCTGAATCGCGACTTGCAATCACATTGAAGATAGGCCAGCAAATAAATGTCCATGACCAGCTAAAACGAAAATGTTTTGTAACAAGGAGATATCCATTTTGCTCTCCTCGACTAATTTAGGATCTTTGGAATCTGTGATTTCTAAACGAGTCAGACCAGTGGTAACCCGTATTTCTTCATCGAGTGTATCTGCCATAAATACAACTACACCTCGTGGAAAACTGTCCATCTCCCGTGACAGCCGACCAGCGAGCCCGAGCCCGAGCCCGAGCCCAAACCCTCCTTTAGCCGTTCGTCATCTCTTTATCTCACTTCAAAATCCTTATAGCCGGTCTCTTTGATCTCGTTCACAATCTTCAAGTACAGCGGAATACCTCCTCCCCAGTTCAGTGGCTCATGCACCTTTCCAGGGATATTAGCTCCGTTCCACCACGAGCGGGTGTGATGTCTGACGCCCGTCTCGCTGAATTGAACCACTGTCTTCTTCCATTCAACCTCCATTTCGGGCCTGACATCGATGCTCTTACATCCATTATCCCGCAGATACACCAACGTCTCCACCAGCCAGTCAGCCTGCAGTTCGATGCAAGTGGGCCCGTTGCTGAATGCCGTCGGCGCCTGGGGTCCAAAGGTGAAGAAGAAATTAGGGAATCCAGCCGAAAGCATGCCCAGATATGTCAGCACACCATCATTCCATTTTGCGCGGAGGAGTCCCCCGCCTCGACCGCGGATGTTGATGTTATTTAGACCGCCGGTGATGCCGTCAAAGCCTGTGGCGACCGCGATCACGTCTAGCTCGTGCAGTGTGCCATCCGATGTGACTAGTCCTGTTGGTTCTAATCGGACGATGGGGTGGGTCTTGATGTCAATGACATTGACGTTGGGCCGCTCGAATTGCTCATAAAAATCAACTTCGAGGGCGAGTCGTTTGCCGCCGAACGGATGAGGGGGTTGCTCAGGGGCAAAGAGCTTTCTGTTTCGAGGGTCCCGGATGCGCTGCAACGTCTTTCGGCGCCAGAAGTTGTACGCCTCGCGGTTTGCGGTAAAATCTTTCATCATGTCCGAGTAGTTGTTCATGAGGAATCGGAAGCCTCCCTGTTTAGCGGAGTGCTAATTAGTTTGTGATTATTTGGTGCATCAGGCGACCGAAAAAGACAAAACAAAACAAATTGTCGGGGATAGTCTATCTTACCATCTTCCATAATTCTTCAAATAATGCGTCTCGCTCCTCCGGCGTCGCATCAAGCATCTTCTCCTTGCGTGGCTGATAGGAAAATCCGCCTTGAGTTTTCCATCGGTTGTCGAATATTTCGGGATATCTCAATTTATCTTCTGCCTGCTGATCCGGAGTCAAAACCACATTGTTCATGGGCAAACATAGGTTGGGCGTGCGCTGGAACATCTTAAGATCGCCTTTCTCACCGATCTGATGGGCCCACTCCTGCGCGATCTGTATCCCCGTGGACCCCGACCCGAGCACGCCAACCCTCTTCCCGTTGACGTCGCATCCTTCCTTGGGCCAGAAGGAACTGTGATGGATGACGCCCTTGAACGTCTCAAGACCCTCCCAGTCCGGAATATATGGCTTGGCGGCAAACCCGATCGACGCAATAAAGTAATTTGCTTCAAACACCTTGCCTGTATCGCACTGGATGGTCCACAGGTTGTGGTGCTCGTCCCATTCGGCGTCTGTCACTTTCGTGGAAAAGTATGTATCTTTCTTGGTCCCGAGCACTCTACCCGCGTGCGCAAAGTATTCGCGCAGTTCTTCCGAGTCGGGATAATGGGATTTCCACACCCAGTCGCGGTATACCTCTGACAGGGACAGTGCGTAGAGGGGGTAGTGTGTGTCCGCCCGTGCTCCGGGGTATCGGTTCCAGTACCACACGCCTCCTAGGTCGGTAGCCATCTCCACGATCTTGACATTGAAGTTCCTCCGGCGCAGGTTGTACAGTAAGTAAATGCCTGCGAAGCCCGCACCGACGATCAACACGTCGAGCTTCTCAGGCTCGGTTATTGAAGAGCTGGCATGGGCTTTGGGGTGTATTCCATTGAATTCATTGGTGATGCCATTCACCCCGCTCATCCCGTTGGGTATGGCAGTGCCGTTCGCCGCTGGCCCTCTCTGTTCGTAATCCTCAATACCTTTACGAAGCTGCATCGTTGCGATACATCTACTCCAAGCGGGCTATCGAATTTGTCAACTTCGGGAAAGGGGAAAGACACAAAGATAAAGACAGGACTAGAGAATGTACAGGTCAAAACGACACCAAAACAAACATTCTAGAAAGTCATGTATAGTTCTGGCTCTAGTTCTATCCTTTGCCAGCCAAGGAAGAGACTTGGACGCCTCTATAGAGTCGGAGAATGCTTCTCCGGTCGCTCTTTGGGTTGGCGTTGAGGGTCCGGGCATGTAACCCGGGACCTTTGATCGGCTTTTGGTTGTAGCTCCTCAACGTCTCAAGATCTAGCCAGAGACAATTCTTATTCATTCCCTACAAACTACCAGCTGGATAGCCTGGTCAGGAGTGAGAGTGCTGGCAGTTCCCTTGATCGAGGAATCCCATCATGAGTGTGGACGAAGGGAGCCGGATTCCTTTCCCGGATCTCTTTTCTTTGCGCGGGAAAACGGCCATTGTAATGGGAGGTTTGTAGGCCATGCTTCGTTTTTCTGCTTGATCCTTCGCTGATGGCCCTTCTGCAATCCATCTACTGTACCTCTCCCAAAGCCTAGAGTGTCCAGCTAACCAATAAAAATCAGCAACGACGGGACTGGGTCCTGAAATGACCCTCGCGATAGCCGAAGCAGGAGCCGATGTAGTTGCTATCCTGTCCTCCTGGGACCCGTCCCCAGGTCAACTCGAAGAGTCGATACAGAAGTCAGGTCGCGAATTTAGCGTCTTTCACAGCGAGGTAAGCGACTCGGCTGACCTGAGACGTTGCTTTCATGACATATGGGGTGCGGGAGTCGAGCCTGATATTCTGCTCAACTGTTCGATCCTGAACCGTCGTGGCCCAATCGAGAATATGAAGGATGAGGATATCGATTTGGTACGTAAATTCTCCCTTTGGTTTTTTTCACAGTAAAACAAAAAAGCTGTACTCATCAAGCATTCCTCGTGGTTAGGTCCTCTTAGTCAATTTGAAAGCTGCATATGTTGCCGCCCAAGAAGTCGGGTCACGCATGATTCAACGTCTGCGTAAAGGGAAGATTATTAATTTTGGATCGGCAGCCGCTCATCTCGCTATGACGGATGTATCGGTATACGCGGCTGCCAAGGCAGGAGTATTGCAAATGACCAAAGCATTTAGCAATGAATGGGCGGCAAAGGGTATTCAGGTACGAACAACATTCAATCGTGCATCGCGCCACGGTGTTACTGTCAACCATATCTAACTACTGTGTCTATTACAGGTCAACAATATTTCTCCTGGGTAGGCCTTGAGTTTCAGTTTATTCTCATTTCTGGCATTTTTGTCCCAGCCATATGGCCTATGACATATCCACGACCCCAGTCTGCTGACTAAATCATGGGCAGATACTCGACCGCTGCGTCGGCCATCTCGCTCTCATCCCAGTACCCGGAGATGGCTTCGTACATTACCAATCGCACACCCGCTGGGCGTTTGGGCACACCTGCAGATTTTCGAGGGGTTGTTGTGTTTCTTTGCAGCGCTGCCTCGGATTTTGTGACCGGGTCCAGCATTTTTGTCGACGGCGGTCTAATGGCTAGATAGTAAGTAGCAGGAGATAATGGGCAAGCAGTAAGTTATAAAATATGTCAAAATAGGCTGTTTGGTGCCAGAAGCAGAGCATTTGTAGCACGGACACCCGCTATAGGCTAGAACCAGGCTAGAACATGTTGTGTTAAACTGGCATATATCATATGGTATGCGTGTTGGCCTCAAAGCAGATGTTTCCGTCAGGACAGGTATTTTCCACCAGCCAAATTTGGCTGTGGAAAGCACAATTGTCGCTTGATAAGCATCCTTCGCGTCACAAGCCTACTGTATTCTACACTACTTCTGAGCCTTGCAGGACTCAGAGCCTATAAAACACGACTTTCCTCCCTGTTGACGCGGAAAAAAGCATTTTCTGCCTTCAACAAGCAATGTCGTCCCTGAAAAATGCATTAGTACCTTTTCTTGTGTTTTTCAGGCGTTCAGAATAGGTACAAATCAGACAGAAAATACTGTTCCTTCGCAAGAAGACAGAGTCAGTGCCAATTTCCAATTCCTCCTTTTCAGGACAACAATACACGCCGCAGTGCAGAGAGACTGAACAGATCGATTGTGATCATGGAAGAACGCATTGACCATATATGATATATCGCCATGGTAGCATAATTGACAGCTACGAATACCAAACGACTAAATTCAATGGTATATACATTTGACAAGCAGAATATTTGGTATTCACAAATCGAGACCAAGTCTACCTCAGGTCTAGATGCACATCCAAACATCTTCAACACATACTTGGGTCTACTCTGCTCACTCCGTTCAGTCTACGCCACTGGAATCAAATTCTCAACTCCCTGAATGTGTTCACTTAGAGGAACCTTCTCGCTGGCAGTCACGACGTGATTCGCGACCGCCGGCACATTTGCCACCGGCTCACCATCAAATTCCAGACCTTGGAGGGTCCCCGCGGCTCTCCAGTCTTCCAGCAGTTCAACAAAAGCCGGAGACCCCAAGCCATAACGACCATTTTGGAGGGTCTTGCGCGATATCTTACCTTCGTCATTGTAATAACTCGGGGTACACTCTCTCAAAAAGTCTTCGCGCAGTTTGCCCAGCTCAATAATGGTATCAATCCACTCCTGTTCGGCTTCTGCTGATGTTTCCACCATGGTGGCCTCTCGCTTGCTGGCCTCCGCAACCACATAAGCAATGTGTTTTGCTTGCTCGTTGAGCATGTGCGAGAAATTGGGCGCCACCGCAGACTGAGTCACGCTCATGATGAAATGGTTCGGAAATCCACGCGTGTAAAGGCCATGAAAGGTCCGGGGTCCATCTTTCCAATGCTCGTGAAGGGCTACCCCATTGCGGCCTTTCATCTGGATGCGCATACGCTGGCTATAGTCGTTTCCAATGTATTCAAATCCTGTGGCGTAGACAATGCAATCGACTTCGTATTCTTTTCCGTCAGCCACCACACCTTTCTCGGTGATTTTCTCGATGCCTTTGCCCTGTGTGTCGACAAGAGTGACATTGGGTCTGTTGAATGTCGGGAGATAGTCGTTATGGAAACCCGGGCGCTTACACATAAAGTTGTACCATGGTTTGAGAGAATTTGCCGTCTCAGGGTCCTCAACGATAGAATCAACCCGCTGTCGCACCTGCTCCATTTTTTTAAAGTCCGCGAGTTGCATTCTCTTTTGCAATTCTTCGGCGGCTTTAACTGGATTAGCAGCTTTTCTATTCTCCTCGACCATTTTTCCCGAGATGGAGATATTGGTGAGGATGTCAGTCCACCCATCGCTCACGAGATCCTCGTCCTGGTGACCGCCCGAGACCAGAATATTGAAATTATTCATCCGTCTCTGTTGCCAGCCCTTGGTCAAGGTTTTGGCCCATTCCGGATCTGTTGGCTGATCAAGTCGGACGTCGACAGAAGAAGGCGTACGTTGAAACACGTAGAGATGCTTCGCCCAGCGGCCGAGCTGTGGAACGGCTTGCAGGGCGGTCGCCCCGGTTCCGATAATAGCCACTCGTTTGTCGCTCAGGCCGGTCAGATTTCCTTGCTGATTGCCTCCCGTGTAGCTGTAGTCCCATCGACTCGTATGAAAGCTGTGGCCTTTGAAGCTGTCGATACCAGACACACCCGGGAACTTCATCTTATGTAGTAAACCGCCGGCCGTGGTTACAAAACGGGCATGGATTTTATCGCCCCGGTTTGTCGAGACTTCCCAGCATTTCATAACCTCATTCCAAATCAGAGTCTCTACTTCGGTCTGAAGGAGTGCCTTGTTGTATAGGCCGTATATCTGCGCAATCCTCCGGCTGTGTTCGTACAGCTCGGGACCTCTTGCATACTTTTCGGTCGGGACGTAGCCGGTTTCATCCAGCAGTGGCATATAGATATAGGCTTCAATGTCACAAGCCGCCCCTGGATATTGATTCCAATACCACGTCCCACCAAAATCGCCGGCCTTGTCGACTATTTTGATGTCGCTGATACCCGCTTCAATTAGACGGACCGCTAAAAGCATTCCGCTGAACCCGGCTCCCACAATTAAGTAGTCAATGTTCTCCTCGATTGGACTCCGTTCCACTCGGGGCGTCCAAATGTCCTCGGCATAGTGCTTGAGAGCGCTCTCATCCACGGACTGGTATTGGTTCAGTCCCTCCGTCCGAAGTCTTTTGTCTCGTTCCTCGCGATATTTGGCTTGCAGGGCGTCTGCATCAAAATTGCCCTCTGCATCGAGCCAGTTGGGGAGCTTGTTGACAGTGGTTGATGCCATGGTGTGTGATTTGAACTCTAACAATTCGTACCTGCAAGAAACTCACCCACATGAAGGCGCATGTGACATAGGTTGTTGAGTTAATCTGCATAATATCTCTAAGCAATTTGTCTGTTGTAAGCTGACCTTTCGGACAAGATATCCTCCTAGTATCCAGATAGAGAGTGGCCCGGCATTGAGGTTCGAAAGTGTCAACTCCGAGTCCCCCTGAGAAACCGAAGACCTGCTTTAGCTACTCGTTGTGCTGCATTGAGTCAGCCTGCGGCCCTCAACCTTCCCCGGAACTCTATGTCCGGGCCTACGTTTCCCCCTTGCGGAGCATAGTACAGCTCCCTACGACTTCATTCTCAAATCCCAAGTGATCAAATGTGGGCGGGATTGATGATCCGGAGATGTCAGATTTTACCGTTGTGAATTGCAAGGAAGAGGCCATGTTGCATAGAAACGGCTAAAACAAAAGTGAAGTGCCATTCTGGTCACTTGCTCAAGTTTGAGCACATCTCGCAGAATTGCGACTTCAGGATCTCATACATGAAACCGAAATGTCTGTGATCAAGCTAAAAGGCGCATCCGCAATTGTGACGGGTGCTGGCTCAGGTATGCGAGTCTTTTTGATCTGTTGATTCTCGCCCCAACATCATCGAGAATTCGAAATAATATTTCCACAGATTAGAAGCTAATTGAGTCGTTGGAACTCAGGTATCAGCTTTGAATATACAAAGCTTCTCTACGCGCAAGGATGCAGCGTTTTGATTGCAGACATAGGTCTGCGCCCCGAAGCTGAAGCATTTGTCGAATCGGCTGCAACAGATGATCAAAAAGCAAAAGTGATATTTCATCGGACCGATGTCACGGATTGGGTTCAACTGGAAATAATCTTCGATATAGCTGAGAAAGAATTTGGAAAGAGCCCAGATATTATCTGCGCAGGGGCTGGTATCTATGAACCTGTAAGTTCGTCTCTCATGTTTCTAGTTGGAGGTTGGTCTCGAAGTTGACTGTTTCGACAGCCATCATTAGGCTTCTGGGCCGATAAGGATCCTGCATCTCACTACAAAATCCTCGACATCGATCTACTCCATCCAATCAAAATCACACGTATCGCCATCAGGCAAATGTTGAAGGCTGCCAGAAAAGGAATAATCCTGCACATATCCAGTGTCGCTTGTGAAACGGCCAGCTTGGTCACCCCTCTTTACTCTGTGGCAAAACATGGAGTGGCTGCTTTTGTTCGGGGGCAGGCAGGCTTGGAAGAGCTCTACGGGATCCGGGTCGTTTGTATTGCGCCTGGGTAAGCGACTTTTGTACCAACTTATGACTGACATACATGCTAAGATCTATTCTATAATAGGTCTATCAAAACGCCTCTCATGCTTTCGGATCCACAGGTTCGACATTGGCTAGACCTGGAGAAAGACTACATGCTTGAACCCTCGGTTCTTGCTGATGCCATGTATGCCGTGACCGTGAACAAGAACAACAGATATCCAGCCGGCACCATCTTGGAAGTCACGGACGATGAAGAGGAGAAATGGCGCCCGATCCCCTTATACAACAACCCAGGACCTCAGGGACGAGCGACTGGGGCCAGCAAGAAGGATTTGGCCATCAACGAAATTAAAGGTATATTGGCCTCTGAGGCGGGTTCGTCGTAGTACAAGTGGTCTTAGAGCATGGCGATACACAAAACTATTGTGTCTAGTACCACATACTCATGCTCTCTCGATACCATTTCCACCCGGTTGGCTCTTTGCGGCTCTCAACTCTGGCACATAGTGTCTCAGGAACAGCCACCTACTTTGCTTGTCCCATCCCATCTGCTTCCACCGATTAAATGTCCTTGGAAACTCATCCAACACGCCCTTCAATGCCTCATCGTGCGAATAGACCACGAAGATGTTGCTGTCACAGTCCAATCTCTGTAGTTTTGAAATCGTGTCCAGTGCATCAGGTATACTATGATTGTGCACCGTGACAAAGAGGCTTTGGTCTGGGGTTCTTCCACGTTCCGCTTGCAAGTGCTCTACCCAGACGCCTGGACACGCAGTCATTCCTCCTAACATGTGGGTATGACTGGGGAAAGGAATCGATTCAGGCACCGGAACATATTTTGACGGTCGAAGCTCGCCGGTGTCGTGAACTGCATCGGCGCCCAAACAGACAAAAGTGTCCGGGTCAGCAGTGGTGCGCACCAATGCCATGATGTGCCCGACCGCATGACCTGGTGCATCTAGTAAATAAAGCGATCCATCTTCAAAGTAGTCATGAGCTTTGAAGCCGCTCAGCCGTGTGCCGCCTTGCTGGTCAAAGTTAATCTCCACGATCTCTTTTCCTCTTAATCGCCAAATCTCGTGTAAGTAAACGGCCTTCAAGGAACAAAGGATAAAAAGGCGAAGGAGAGGGCAGGGACTAACCGGTAATCAGACTCCGAGATGGGAGAATCTTTGCGTGCCGGTGCGCCCGGCATATACGCTTTCTGAAATCCCGGCCCAACCACGAGTTTGACACTATCTGGAAAGCAAGACGGGTCACCGGTATGGTCCCAGTGCTGATGACTTTGGGTTCAAGCAATTCAGTAACACGAAACGTTAACGAGACGGAACGGCCCTGGCTTTGGCTTTGGCTTTCACCACGCCAGGCGTATAAGTGGACAAGTGAAAGTATCTTGGTGGAACTTACCTCCAAATAATGGCCTCAATGTCCTGGACTCGATAGCCATGTTCTGCGAGAATTTCAGGCACATCCTTGGTGGCGTTCACCTCAAAGCTTGCTTTTGCCAGGCTGGCTGTCACAAAGGGAGCCAGGTTTTGACGATCTTTGCGAAGGCCCAAATCAAACAGGACCTTTCGTCCTGTCAAGTTTTCCACCAAGAACGAGTACACGGGCATACAGGGTAGTTTGCTGACACCCTCTACCGGCGGCCCAACTAGGTAATGTACGTCGATGTGGTCAATTGTACAGGTGGTGTCGATGAGACTGACGGATGCGGTTCGGCCGCTGGGAATAGTCAAGGGAGGGAGGCTCTCAATCTGAATCATCTTGATTCTATACTCTGAAGAAACAAACATATAACAGGCTCAAAGTATCTAGTTGACAGATACTGTTGATGGTAGAGTCAAACGAATTCCCATCTCATAGAGTAGTTCTCGAAGTACCACCTGGTTTGTAAATCCAAAAAATGAATCAGGATTGGCGCTCAGGTTTACTATTCTACCGAGACTCATGGATGCGGGGGTCTGGTGTTGAGAATGGTGAGAGTTACAACCGTGCAACCGGCGGTACATGTCCGCAAAACTGCTAGTAATTCTTGCATAGCATTGACCAGGGAGCCGTGTTTACTACTCGGAAGTATCAGATTATAGGCATCACCAGCTCCCAGTTTACTCTGCAGGCACACCTAGACATGCTCTCCAGGCTCAGACGGACATACATATATCTTCCAGGTCCAAGGTCTCCTGAGACTATGTAATAAAGGACAGAGAGTCTCTCACGCTTTAAAATTAACTATTTTCAAGTGCGTGTGAAGCAACAGTGGTGTGAAAGGTACCTAGGTAGGTAAGAAACACAAATCTCATATGGGCCTTTGATTCGAGTCACACCTTCGGCATCGAGGACTACTGTCGAAATCATCAAGCACTAAGTACAAGGTATTATTGACAGATTAAGGACGAAAAGTGTAAGTTTGCCCCGGACAACTTTACAAGAATGTTTTATTGTCTACCTCAGTAAGCTCGTTTTCACTTGCCGCTCTACCGGAGTCTTTTGATCTTTTCCCACTGTAGGCGCGGATAAACCGGCTCTCCTCAAGTCTAGGTCGTCCTATATATACGCTCCGGCTTCTCAAAACCCTACCGCCAATCAACCCCTCTCCCTAACTCCTTAATCTTTGATTTCTTCGTACCAACCAAGCCGGTGAATATTACTTTTTTTCCGACCACGCAAAGTTAATCCTTACCACTTCCGCCATATCTAATCGACTTCATTATTGTTGTACACAGAATAAGAGTGGATCTATCTGCTTAATTGTGTTCTGTCTCCCTGGATATTTAGAGAGACTCTGTTTATTTATATACACTTTAACCTATGATCTGAAGGCCATTCCTGAAACCTCCTATTCCGTCGTTATGCTCTCGCAGAACGGCGAGAACAGCGATATTGGGGTAAATGGCGCAGTTGGTGAGACAGCTAGCGTTTCAGGTGGTTTGCCACAGTGGCTATCTTGCAAGCCTGTCAACTGCCAGCTACTAGTAAGCATTCCCTCCTACGGAAATAGACATCGCACGGTGGTGTTGATTTAAATGAGAAAGAAGGAAAGTCCAGCGGATTAAATATCAGGTATTTCACCTCACTGGTGGATATGTATCTGGCTAGAACATGCTGAGCGGGTTGTAGCTTGGTATGGCTGACCCGCTCCGTTGCTCAGTGACTCGGCGTGGAGCACCTCAGGTGAAAGTAATGGAATAATATCCGTTTCCGGGGAAGCTCCTCTATCGAATCTTCCTAGACATGACCCACGATGTTTTTATATAATCCGTATCCCATGTGTTTCAATGTAGGAAAGTCCCATGGCAGCCCTGATACTATGAACAGACAAGCACTCTTTTCCATGGCCAGCAGGAACTCACGCCTAAGCGACGATGCAACGCTACAGATTGTTACGAGGCTCACTCGTAAGCCCTGGAGACGGCTAATGGGGTCTTGCGGTAAGCAGAAGAACATGGAAGCGAAGCAGGAAATGAGTCACGTGCTCTGCGCCCACGCACTAAGGCACAAGCGGGGCATTTAGCAAGTAACGGGTATACAGTCGCTTGTTGAACGAAGTTAACTAAGAAGCGCTATAGAAGTGGGCGGGAAGCCACAACTATATAGTAACAAAGGTTTCCTAAAGCAGTAACACATCAGTGCATTGCTGCATTGTTGCATCGGAGTGTAGCACCAACAACGCAGTGCCTTCCTCTTTTTGTCATCACGCGATTGTCCAGCCTTGCCAACGAGGCTGATTCTATCGGTAAACCTTCCTTCTTCCCATCTCTTTGAGCCGCACAGGAGGCCTGTTATTCAATAGTGGCTCCAGTATCAATCCGACCTAACATTCACGTACGGCACCAGCATCGACGACGATCCACTCCGACAACGTATCTAAGACGACTCCATGGCGGACGACCTCCCACGGAAGAGGCGGCGAGCCTTCAGAGCGTGTCAGCCGTGCAGGCAATTGAAAAGGAAATGTGACGGTGGGAAGCCCTGCTCAACCTGCGTGCGCTTCCGACACGAGTGCCTCTCTCAGGAATTTGAAGCAGACGCAGATGTGACTCGTCCCAAGAAAGATGGCTCTGTCGGTGGTACTGTTACACCCGCCATCAATGTTGGTAGTCTAAGCAATGGCCCACCAGAGGCATCGCCTGCCGACAATGTGTGCTATCTTGGCCAGACTGATCACAGCATCCTTGACCCCGAAAGAGGTCGGTAATTCGACATTAGCTCTTCCATCGCGCTCCGCAGGATCATTGGGACGCAATAGGGGCAGCTAATGCACCCAGGCTTCATTCCTTTGCGTGGAACTTAGGGATAGGACCAGAGCCGCCCCTGTCCCACAAGCTCTCGGACATCACACAGCTCATCTCTCTCGACGACGTGTTCCTCTGCTCTGACTATTACTTCACCACAGTCAACCCGATGTTTGATTTTCTCGACCAGAAGGACTTCATACGGCGTGCTTCGTCGAGTTGGAAAGGAGCAACCTCAGCACAGGACTAAGATGCCGTCATCTCTGGTGTCGTCGCACTCGGCTGTTTCTTCTCCCGCACTTCTCAACATGAAGCCGAGACAGCTCTGACTGCCCTCGGCAAAGAGCTACTAGAAAGTGTAGGACTCACTTTACCTCCCACCGTCGACCTGATTGCGGCGTAGATATTACAGGCCATTTATCTCCGAGCCACCTCGCGACCCCACGCGTCGTAGATGGCGAGCAACATCACCATGCACTTGATGCAAGCATTGGGAATTCAGCGAGAACCTTCAACGATTGCCATCACATACCCCCCTATTACAGGAAAAGTCACCGACATTGACGGTCAAGGACAAACCGTCTATCGTCGAAGGGTGTTCTGGGTTGGGAACGCAATCCACACCATCTTTTCCTACGAGTACTCCCGACCCCGGGTCGTCTTGGAAGATGTCAACTATGAGCCAGTTGATTCGGTCGTGAGCCCCAATACAAAGCACCTCCTCTACCTGGCCGAGGTGATCCCCAAAAATACTCGTACTGTAACAAGGCAAGGTGGCTGTGCTGTGATGGACTGTGCTGGGCTGGTAGAGCGGTGGCAGGGTGGAAAGCTGTCTGGTCACATGTCAAACCAAAATGGGCTGGCAGAGAAGGGGGGGTGCGAAACAGTTTACAGTGCTGGCAGAGTGCCATTCTTTACAGACAGAGTATCAAGCAATAAATGGTTTTTCGATGCCGTCTACCTATTCCTAAGTGTTTTATCAGTCCTGTTCCATCTCCTCGATGCCACCGCCGTGCTAGGCGCTCCTTGCCCTAGCCGCTGCCTCTCTGGGTGGTGTTGGTGGTGGTGTTGTCTTGCCAGTGTCAACCAGAAAGGCGTTCTCGATTTCCGACCTTTCAACGTCTCGAAATCCAAGAGCGCCGAGCCAACAACTTCAAATATCCTGTCGATCCGCTCGGCTGCATTGCAATCGATCCAGGAGCATTTAACCAACCGGCCCTCATCAAGCCACTATTCTGTCATCCCATGGTGGTCTCTCATCTCCATTCCGTTCCATTTCATCCTTATTCTTCTCTCAATCGACACGCCGGAATGTCTTGCCCAAGTCTCCCACCTCCTTGCAATCATTCGAGCCGTCGGTGCGGCATTCGACACTCATCTGACACGCGGAGCCCTGCAGAACGCCTGACTGCTGATCCATTTGTCCCAACTTCGGAAGCAAGGCGACATGGAGACCCTGCGAGAAGCACTCGAACAGGACTTGGGGGTTGCAACGACATCCGGTAAAGAGCCAACGTCCTTAGACATGATTTCGGAAATGCCCGAGCTGCCTGCGTCCACCAAGTACGTCCCCGGTTGGCCACAGCAGCCACAATCGGGGCAGACCGGAGGACTTGACACTACTGGGGTATATGGCAGTATCGACGCCACGGCGGGATTCAATGAATTTGGTAGTGGAAGTGCTGGCGATCTGGGGTTCTCTACCATCAATGGCACCTCTGATAGCATATCCATGGATTGGAACGCTATTTTCGACAACTTGGAGTGGATCTTCTACCACCAATCATCATACGAGCTCTTGAGTCGTCCAGAAATGAACCGTCCAGAGCACAGGTAGTTCGCTATTTCTCTTGTCCTGGTTGGCCGAATGGGAGACCTTGCGTTTACCGGGTATTTAACAGCAGCTGCACTCAGTAGCAGTCTTGACGTTGTCAGACCTTGGCCAAGGCTGGAAGTTGAGCTCAAAGCTGATACCAGCGTGCCTGATGCTGTGTGCATGAATCCAGGGGATCATGTCTCCACCGCCACCCAAACATATGGACCGGGAAGATCACCGGACAGCCAATGGCCAAGACATATTTATCCGCCAGCAGCTTGTTGTCGACCAGTTTCAGCAAGAAGGCGTCGGGAAAGTAGATGAAGTGGCGACCAACGTGCACGTTTGAGGCAGCAGTCAGCGAGCCGCCCAATCGGGATTGCAACGGACATTGAAGAATGGGATCCAGCGGAGCAGGTCTACTCAGGGAGTCTCCGGCACATAGCGTTCTCGATGAAACAACCTTCATCAGATATCGAAAGCCTTGCGTTTGAAGTTCTTAACAGTCATGGTTTCTGCCAACATTATCATGAGACACGTCTTCACTGCGATCACCTTGAAATTGGCCTTGTCATTGTATCTACCAGTGGCCCTGAATGGGTCTTGATTCGTACGGCTCCTGCAGGTAGCTCTCCTCTTCCTCGGTGAGCGTCTTGCCCTTCGCATCTAGTGCCTCATCCATTCGCGCTTCAGAGCTGAAACCTATAATAGGGCTGGTCACTCGCTTCTTGATCCAGGCGAGGCTCACAGAGCTCATTTTCCACTCATGTTTCTCCGCGACCTCCTGGACCCGATTGATGATAGCCTCGTCGGCTAGTGTTAGGCCGTCCGAGAACCAGTCGCCATGTTCCTTTTCCCCAGCGGACCTAGTGGTTGTTCCCATGGCAGAGGGAGGGCGCGCCAGGTGACCACGATAAAGCGGTGACCACGGAATCAGCCCAACACCCGTGAGGTTACAGTATTTATTCATCTCTCGTTCCTCCTCTCGATACAGCAGACTATAATGGTTCTGCATAGAGATGAACTTGGTCCAACCATTTCTCTCGGCACAGGCTTGTAACATGGCGAACTGGTAGGCCCACATTGAACTTGCACCAATATAGCGGACTTTTCCCGCCTTGACGAGATCATGCAACGTTTCCATTGTCTCCTCGATAGGCACATTGTCGTCAAATCGGTGAATCTGGAAGAGATCAATGTAGTTGGTCTTCAGTCGATCCAGAGATGCCTGTACTGCGTTGAATATTGCTGACCGAGACAAGCCTTGCCGCTTTGAGTAAAGGCATCGGCTGAACGAAATTGCTTGACTTACCAAAATGATTGACGAAATCCTTACTCTGTGCGAGTTGGTGATGATACTGCGTTGGCTGGGTCTCCGGCTCATCGTCCACCATTCCATGGCATTTGGTCATGAGGACCAATTTATCCCGAGGAATCTTGTATTTCTGGATGGCTTTCCCGACCACCTCTTCAGACATTCCATTTGAATAGACGTTGGCGGTATCCCACTACACGCCGGACCGGTTAGACATCCACCCATGCCACTGGCCAGAGGATGACTTACAGTATTGATACCACGGTCGAACGCCGCTCTCAGAAGTGGAAGTACCTGACCCACTAGTTAGAGAAGACTTGAAAATTTATCCGTATCGGTGAGTCAGCACCTGGTCTTCGTCAAGTACCCATGGTAGCCACTTGGACGAGCCAATGCCCATACATCCGAAGATGGGCACAGATACGCGAAGTCCGCTTTTGCCCAGCTGTTTGTATTCAGCCTTCGAATGCTCCAGGATTTTCCGAATCGCAAGGGGGATTTCTTTTGACGCCATGTTGCGCGACCAGATATATTCATGAAAGTCCACCACGGATCAACCTTGGTGCCTCTCTCTACCACCGGCAGGCCTCGGTGCTAACGCCAATGAACGCCTAATGACAGCAATGTTGGAGTTGTGCCTCCGTCCGCCACATCTCCTTCTCACCCGGCCTTGACTGACCCTACGGCGAAGCCTTCAGATTCCGGTTTCCGAACCCTTTCGAGGGTAGAACTAATTTGCAGCCTCACTTTTCTTGGTCTGCACCTGGAGAAGGTAGGAATGCTCCAGCCTCTAAAATGTGGAGAACCCCAGGGGCCCCGTCGTTCCCGCGACGTTGTTGCTGGTCCCCTAACCACTTCAGAATTTTTTCGGAGCTTGTTCCGGGTCCCGTAGTCACTTCGGCGTCGGCGGAAAAATGTCGAGCCTTTGATTCCGCAAGGCTAGTCTGGCCTGTTGGGTCAAAATGATTGAAGTGGGCGTCATGACGCCGCATCAAGCTAGCACCTGGCGTTCGAGAAGCCTGACTAACACCCACTCTACCCAGCCAACAAATGACGGTTGATACCAAGGAGACAGACCAGACGCCACGATGGCGCCTGTTGCCACAGATCATTGATGACCTTGCCAGAGATGTCCCGGCCCAGATCATCACGTCCATTCCCAAGACGGACGAAGTTGAGGACGGTTTCGTTGATGTGACGGCACGAGAGTTTGCGGATGCTATTGACCGGGCATCATAGTTCTTGGACAAGACTCTCGGGAAGGGCAAGAACTTCGAGACATTGACCTACGTAGGACCTAGCGATCTGCGATATCCCATCCTCGCTCTCGCTGCAAACAAGGCTGGTTACAAGATGTTCTGGACATCGCCCCGGAACAGCCTAGAAGCGCACTGTCAGCTTGTCGAGGCATCGCAATCGACAATCTTCCTCACACTGGCCTATGTAGCCCCAAGCATCCATGCAATCATCGACAAGATGAAGATGCGGCAGATTGTGATTCCAGAGCTGGCAGATTGGTTAGAATCAAAGCAGAAGCCGGTCTACTATCCTTTCACAAGGACGTACGAAGAGTCCTACCTCGACCCCTGCATGATTATCCATACTTCTGGCTCTACACCTACACAGTTTGTCTTCTTATCAAGACTCGACGCCAGCGCTGACTTATTTGTGCAGGAATTCCCAAACCCATAGTTCTCCCATTCGGCTACATGTGCTATCACCAAGCGCACAAGTCGGTGCCTTATGACCAGGGAAGATTGACGATGGACCAATGGCTGAGAAACGAACCTGGACGGATCTTTCATCCATTCCCAATGTTCCACGTACGTATTTCTTCCTCTGATCACACATATCCGGCATGATATCTACGTTGATTTTGCTCACTGATTGATCACAGGGAGGCGGAATTTGCATCTTCTTCCACATGTCTCTATGGTGGGACCAAATCCCTGTGCTGGCTCCTAACAAGCCATTGACACCAGAAATGGCAGACGAATTTCATCGGAGCGGTCGAGTCAATTGCAGCTTTCTCCCTCCCGCCATCATGGAAGGAATCAGCAAGAACCCTGAATTCACGCGGAACCTCAAAAACCTGCGATTCGTCGCGTTCAGCGGAGCGCCTCTGGCATACAGCGTAGGGGACATTATATCCAAATACACCAGGATCATCAACCTCCTTGGCCAGACCGAGACAGCGTCCATGTATCAGCTCTACGTCGAGGACGAAGATTACCTCTACTGCCGCTGGGGCACCATGGGAGGAGTCCAGCTCCAACAACGTGGTGAAGACACGTACGAAGTCGTGGTGGTACGCGACGAGAAGCTGCGTGACTTCCAGCCTGCCTTCATGTCATTTCCACACTTGACTGAAGTAAGGACGAACGATCTGATGCGGAGACACCCCGACCCGAACAAATCCGACTACTGGATCCATTGCGGGCGAGCCGACGACATTGTCGTGTTTGACAACGACGAGAAACTCAACCCCATCTCAATGGAGCACATCATCGCCATGCATCCCAAAGTCCGCACTGCCATGATTGTCGGCGAAGGGCGGTTCCAAGCCGCCGTCATCATCGAGCTCCAGGATACATTTCAACCCACCACTCAACCGGAGCGCGATGAGCTTGGGGAAGAGATTTGGCCCTTTATCGAGCAGGCCAATGTCGACTGCCCAGCTCACGGCCGTCTGGTGAAGCAACTAGTTCTTTTCGCGGACCCGAAGAAGCCATTCCTCCGAACAGGAAAGGAGTCTCTCAAACGACGTGAAACCACGAAGTTGTATCTTGAGGAACTGGACAACGCGTATGCGGCAATAGATGTGATGCCAGACGCAGGATCAGGCCCCATTGCGGCTTGGGGTCTGGAGCAGCTGCAGTCGTATCTCAGAGAAAGAATCGAACAGACGACCCACTTTGGCAGCATCGACGACGACACGGACTTTTTCCGTCTGGGTATGGACTCATTGCAGGTTCTAGAACTCTCTCGAGGCTTCAAGTCGGCGCTTGCAGCAAGCGATCCGGCTCTAGCAAAGTTGATGACGCCGTCGCTGGTCTACACCAATTCGAATCTGCGCAAGCTCTCGTCTGCCATCTTCGCCCTCATACAGAAGTCAAACGGTTATGCTAATCCCCAACTCAACGGCACAACCGCCAACGGCGTGCAGGCAGTTGGCCGAACCGTGGTCATGGACCAAGTCCTCGACCAGTATACCCAGTTCCTCCCACTGGCAGGCTCAAGCAAGAAGCTGAATGCAACGCGGCCCGCCGAAAAGGCCGTGATCCTGACCGGCTCAACAGGTGGCATTGGCTCATATGTCTTAGGAACACTGATGTCGAACCCCTCCGTCACGCGCATTTACTGCCTCAATCGGTCGGCCGACGCATCCAGCCGCCAGCACTCAATCAACAAAGCCCGCGGCCTCCCCACGGACTTTGAATCCAAAGTCAAGTTCCTGCGGACCAACTTCAGCCGCCGCGATCTTGGCCTGAGCCCAGATGTGTTCGACGAGCTGCTGACCTCGGTGACGCACATCATCCACAATGCCTGGGCCGTCAACTTTAACCACAGCCTGTTGACCCTCGCTCCCATCAACGTCGCCGGCGTGCGCCACTTCGTAGATCTGGCTGCCGCTGGCGACCATCGACCACAGTTTCGTATCCAGCCTCGGGTCCGTGGTCCGGTGGAATGCCGCCGGCAACGACGGGCCCGTGCCGGAGCGGATCATCGAGGACATGGAAGTGGCCGAGGAGCTTGGCTACGCCGAGTCCAAGCACGTATCCGAGCGAGTCCTGCACGCCGCGCATCAGACCAGCAAGATTGAGACGTGCATCTTCCGCGTCGGCCAGGTTGCCGGCCCCGTCCACCGCGGCACACAAGGCGAATGGACGCGCGGCGAGTGGTTCCCGACCCTGATCGCCAGCTCGCGCGCAATGGGAGTGCTCCCAAGCGACCTTGATGGCATGAATTCGGTGACCTGGGTGCCCGTGGACATTCTGGCAGAGAGTCTCGTCGAGCTGGCTTTGGGCGACGCGGCACGAAGTGCCGATGACATCCCCGTCTACCACCTGGTCAATCCGGCGAAGTCCACCTGGGAGAGCTTGTGGCCTGTGGCGCAACAGTATTTCCAGAATACCAAAGCTGAAGCAGACCCCGACATCAAAGTCGTCCCCTATCACGAGTGGCTGAAGGTGCTGCAGGAAAATGCTTCCGTGGACCAGAGCCAGGAAGCTATCCAGCGCATCCCAGCCATCAAGATCTTGGACTTCTACGAAAGTCTCGACACGAGTGGCAATGCTGCGAGCGACCCAGAGTTCTCGACACAAAATGCCGTCAAACGTAGCCCGACGCTTCAGAATTGCGGGACGGTCAAAACGGAGTGGATGGAGCTGTGGTTGAAGCAATGGAACTTCTGAGCAGACACCGGTGAGGATTCTAAGGATAGTTGAGTCAACAAATCGAGGCACCTGCGTATTGTGCATGAAGACAAGAGAGAGATATGAATATATGTTTATGGTCAAAGATCCTTGGTGCCCGTTTCTATTTGTGAATCCTACCTGCGTGTCAACTCGGCGCAGTCTCGGTATATGACAAACCCATGCGCATGAACACAGCCTGATAGCCCAACTCCACCATGTTGAACCGGATATCCGGCGACCACCTTTTCTGCAGGTTTAACGTCGCACGATTGAATGCTAGCACAACCCTCAAAACACCGTAGGCCAGATAGAACGGAAACCGAGACTCGTCGACCTCTTTGCCGCCGCATGCGTGATAGTGCTGCAGGAATTTCGACCACTCCATACTCTTCGATACCAACGGCTGGATATACGCCAGGTCCTGCTCTGGGGCGCCAAAGTCTGCCGTTTCCCAGTCCAACAATCCCGTCATGCGGTTATTCTCAGCCAGGACGTTGTGCACATTATAGTCGCCGTGCACCAGAACAGGCGCCCTAGAGTCTTCTGGGATATGCTTGAGCAGCCAGTCGAGTATCCACACGAGATACGCCGACGGGAGATGCTCAAATTCTTGAGAGTACTCGATCCATTGTTCCAGACAATTCTGGTATCTGTCTCGCGTCGTCTGCTTGGCGATATTCGGGTCTTCCCAGGCCTCGAAATAGTCGGAGAAGATCTCCAGCGGAACCGAATGCAGTTTCGCGAGAACTTCAGCCATATGCAGCAGAAGGTCTTCAGAGAACTTAGATCCCCCTGAGGCCAGAAAATTGCTGGGAATGGCACCTGGCAGAAGCTGCATTGTCGCAAATGCCCCGTCAACGCCGTCCGGGCCTGGAATTTGTTTCCCAAACTCATAGACCTTGGGAGCAGGAAAGTCGATCTTGTTGAGGGCTTTGAGCAGAGCGTATTCTCGTTCCAGACCGAATTGCGGATGAACGATCACTGGACATGGGTCTTCTTTCCGAATGATCCGGTCTTCTGTTGTTCCGTCTGGTCGCAGGATTGTGCAGAGATACGTCTGCTTCCCATGGCCACCGGACAGCCTTTCGAACTTCTTGACTTGCAGTCCAGGAATCTTCCCATCGAAGAACCGCTGCAGGTATTCGTGAGAAAGCTCTGGGGCAGGAGGGTCGAGCAGATCCACATGGCTAGGCATCTCAACTGGAATTTTCTGAATGCCTTCAAAGTAGGCAACCTCCCATTCTGCGCCACGTCTCATCAACTTTGCAACCTCCGCGCTTTCTTGAGGCGTTGTTCTCAGCTCCTCCAAAAGTAAGAACAGCTGAGTGGACAGCTTATCGTAGTGCTGTGCGAGGTCATCAAAACAGTTGAGATTCGTTGCAGCGTGACCCAACCCGTTGGTTTGTGGTGCTTCCGACCGGAGAAACTGTTCGATGTCCTTTTTCAACTCATTGCCGCTCTCAATGAGTTTCTGCAGCAGATCTTTCTGTGGACCTTGTCGTCTGTACAGATCTAAAAGCACAGCTTTGATCTCTGACGCCGCAGCCTTGGCTCCTGCAGTGACTAGCTCCGGTTCCAGTGCCGACTCGAACCTTGCCAGCACATTAGCGATATTCTGCTCACTAGAATTGATCTTCATCTGGTCCGCTAGACACAAAATGCAAAATAGAAACCTGGCCAGCAAAATCAACGCTACTGTCCTTACCTATTAGTACTTGCACCCTTGCTTGAATGAACATGAGAGGTGTCCGCCGGAAGGCCAGCGCTAGTACTACGGGACCCGGCTCGCCGGGACAAAAGCTTCCTTGAGAATGTTTTGGCAATCCAACATGATCACTGGGTAAACCAACCATCACCAAGGTGCTGTGACATCCCAGGCTATGTTAGTAACATAAAGTAACAGATAAACATACGACAGCTTTCCATATGATCTTCAACTATATGATTGCGGTGACATGCATGTTGTAGCGGGTCTTTCGGCGTTGAACCTCCGGGGATCCGGCCACAAGGGGACACATTTGAGTTTGAAAAAGACGAGAACACATGGATGAATCGCCAACGTGCCGTGTCGAAGAATGGTAACTGGTCACACATAGTTTGTAGTATGATAAAGAGCGCTCGAAAATAATATATAGTATAGTCATATAGATGAATTGGTCGAAGCAATATTTCTTCCATCGAGGTGTTCTCCCGGGAAGTTACCAGGACTTTCCCTCTTCAACGCTAATGGAACCATCATTGCGGCGGCTTTTGCAACTCTTCTCCAGCAAGCCCAGATTTGGGCCGAGTCGGAGGACATCAGACTGCAGCACAATGAACTTGCCTTTGCTTGAACCACCGATCAGACGCCCAATCGACCCACAGTGTCATTCAGACGATGTTACGTCTGCAGCATCATCCAAATTTCTTGATGGGATCATGCCGACTCTTGGCAAAGCTGCAATTTTCAACCTCTGGTTTATCTGATACGGATGTCAGGCAATTTGAATACCACAAATACATGCTTGTCATGATTGGCGAGTTGTCGCAAATATCGTTCATGATAAAATACCAAAAATTTCTCATCACGATGTTTGTAAGACCGGATTATTCAAGCCATTTCCATTAGCTGATGCCAGGCAGAGTCCGCATTATCGGTGCTGGTGGGCATCTTGGAAGTTATTGGAGGCACCGCGGCGAACGAGGGCAAATAGCTCGTCCAGTCCTCACTGTCCAGGTCTACACTCGCCCAGGGGGGGAGCTGGAAATGATCAGCCAGTTCGTCATCTGGAAGGATCAGAATACGGCAGAGCGGCTTACGTCTGGAAGCCGAAAGTTGCTAATCACACGATCACTGTCTTGAGAGCCCGAGGCCTGATTTCTCTGGTGAAGGCTTAGATCGGTTTTCTGGTTTTTTGTGAGGTTTCCTTTTGCTCGTTGGACCAGGTTCCGAGCATAAGCGACAATCTCTCTGGGGAATGGAAACACGAGGGAAGATGCTGAAACATATTCGAGATATCCAAAATGTCCGACAACAACGTCCATGAGGGAGATGTCTGATATGACAGATGGAAGAGTGGGATTCTTCAACACACATATAAATAAGTTCATAAGCCCCATCAGCGGGTAATAAAATGTTATACTGGACAAGATTAGCTGTGGCTTGGAAAGTGGAAACAGATCTTCTTACGAGACGGGAGACGTTGCATTGACATCGAGACGTTGCGTCGCTGTGATAATACTGCGAGAGGCTTCTGCCACACGAACCAAGCAAAGACGTTGTTGTCGCTGAATGTTTGAGTCTGCCAGATCTCTGTGTCCAGCTCGGACCCAAGGATAGCATAGAGCAGTGTTTATGGCGATCTGTACTGCGTTGTAAGCAAAATGGTAATAAATACCATGGTAGAAGTGGAAGTCGGGTGGCAATTCCAAGTTCTTGAAAGGAGCCGCCTGGCGAAATCCCGCCGGTAGACTTTGATGCCATTTCTCAAGCTGCCGTTGGAGGTCTTCCACAACAGCAACAGTCTCTTTCGGAGACTGTCTCAGAGCCTTGACTGTCCACAGCCGTTTTTGAACCTGCGAACATAATTGGCTGTGTTTGATGATGCCCAAGCAAAATTCTGCCTTGACAGGATTCTCAGATTTGGTGCTTTGAGGAAGAGGACAGCTAATGTCTTCGTCATCAATCGTCTACTGTAGTGTCAACGGCTAGAAGCATCGTGAAAGACTCACACACTCACCGATGGGTGACCTGATCGGAAAGCCAGATGCTTTTCATAAGCGTAAAGAGTCCACCACAGCCAATACCTGTCCATAGTGCTTTCTTCCGAGAGATTCCAGCTCTTGCTGACTTCGAGGTGCATGGCCTTCAACTGGGCTAGCCTGGTCGCGTTCAATACCAGTATAAATTCTAGTGTGGGACTACCCAGAGCTTCTGCAAAGAAAGCCATGATGATTAAAGCCTGAATGGAGGTAAGGTTTGTTTTGGTGTAGAGTAGGTCTGTATGGACAGATAACGCATTCTCGTAGTACTTCCACGACTGTGACCGGGCAGCAAGGAAAGATTGAGGTTGCTGAGGGTCGGAGAGCACATATCGACACCCGGTCGCATATACGGCGTTGCGAAGAGCATACCAAGCCGGGTCGTTGTCGTCGTCATTCAAACTGCTCGCGAAATGTCGGCGAATGCGGGCTTCGAACTGAGGTCGGTGAATGACTCCATAGATGGATTCCAAACTTTCATCAAAGTACGCAGCGATCCACTTCCGAGCAGTCTCAGGGTCAGGCTCCGGCTCGCGTTGGTAGCCCACGCCATGATCCAGAGATTCATTACGCATGACGTCGGACCTATGTCGCCGAGCTATTGATATAATATCTGGAAAACCCATCTCCGTCGAAATCCAGCTCGCAGTTTGCTCGGAGCATATGAAAGCTGACGCTGAGTTACCAGCAGCAACATCATCACCATCATCGCCCAAGGCGGCTGGACATGTTGCTGCAGACTGAGGGCTTGGAGACACCAGGGGTTGTTGATGGCTCTGGACGGAAGCAGCGCGTGCAGCATCAGCACGAGGAAGAGGGCCATTCTGCGTTCGTGGCTGTGGATCGTCTGATGACATAGATGGTCTCGAGTTGATGGGGATGCCGGGAGGGTTGTGACCTATCGGTGGTTGGGTAGGGTGATAGAGTGGTCGTGAGAATGTAGCGGCATCAAACTCCCGCCGACCTGAAGGCGCCGTTACATACGGCACCAGATCCGCGGTGAAATGTGGAGATGGTCCGTCTGGGAAAGATGCAGTAGCTTGCAAGGGACGATCCATCGAAAGATGACCCAAAGAAGAAGTCTGGGGAGCGACGGACGCAAGATCATAGTCAAAGTTCAGGTCATTTTCAAGGCCAGCGTACTGCGGCTGACTTCGCCTGGAATCCGAACTCGGAGCGACGGAACCACGAAAGGGGCGCGGGACTTGCGAAGCAGTCCACAAGGCTTCAAGGCGTTGTAAGCGTTCATCGAGGTCATCGCCCAAATGTTTTCTTTTTCTGCTTCTTCTTTGGGCCTCCGGATACCAGCAATCTTGACGGTGGTCCTTTACAATGTATCAGTGCAAGATCCTAAGTTAGATTGGAGGCCAGAGCGCGAAACTTACCACACAATTCTTGCACGGCGTTTCTCCGCTGCCTACAAGCCGATTAGTTGAACGATCCAGGATGCATCTGCAAAACTCGACGATCACCTACACTTGGCCTTCTTCACGCGGCAATAGGTGCAAGCGAGGGTGCATTTGGGGCCTTCACGAGGTCGAACCATGGCTGGCGGCTGTCGGAGAGGAAGGTCAACCCCCCTGGTGATTCAGCGACTACTGGGTTGGACAAAGAGGGATGAGGAGGAAATTGACAAAACGCGAACCGACTGACGGGGAATCAACGTGAGGGCGACGACCTACAGTAATTCGCAGGTAACTTGAACTCCACGTTCTGCAGGTGCAATAAACTATCTAACCCAATTAAGACGCGGGGTAGCTTTTGCCTGAGTCGGCCGAGGTTCGTGGCATTCGGCCGCTCAGTCCTTTGAAAGAAATGATTGATCATGCGGAGTCACGGTTAAGAAGCAGGAAAGACTGGTCATGGATCACTACCATAGGTAGCATAAGCAGAGGAAGCTTCCCCATTTTTCGCACTAGTTCAGTATCTTAGCAGCGGATGTTTACGCATCTCTATAGAGCATAGGGAGGATGCTTCTGCATCAGTGCACGATGTGGCTGCATCTGTAGAACTATTCTCGTGGTTGAAGAGACATCACCGTCTATCCCTCGCATGAGAAGTGAGAACTTTGAGGTTGCACCGTCCAACAGCCCCAGAACTAATCATCAGCGACATTCTAAACGTGAGTGATACTGTTATACAAAGAGTGAGAGTGGATCTATCTGCTTAATTATGTTCTGTCTCCGTGGCTATTCAGAGAGACTCTGTCTATTTATATACACTTTGGCCTGTGATCTGAAGGCCATTCCTGAAACCTCCTATTCCGTTGCCATGCTGTCGCAGATTGGTTAGAACAACGGTGTTGAGGTAAGTGCCGCAGTTAGTGTGACAGCTAGCGTCTCAGGTGGTTTGCCACAGTGGCTATCTTGTAATCCTGTAAACAGATACATCACAAGCGTCCTGCTGGCTTCAGTAAAGATAATACAAAGAGCAAGTTCGAGATAGATCAAAGTCGACCGGAGCTCTTTTTGAACCCTCCAGCGTATACACACGGAAGCTGGCATCTAGCCACAGCATAGCCATGTGAACACAGCCTCACCGGGAAGAAAATGCTATGGCACCGAGCTTCCCGGAAGCCCGGGGTGACTTGCAGTTCCGGAGTCCGCCTCCACACCACCTGACGGCCTTCACAGCATTCCGAGCAAGGCTTTGGGCCTCATGCATAGAGTTTTTCATCCGTTGTCTTTCAGCCTGACTAACTATCAAGCCCTTGGTGACATCGACCTTCAGAGTCCAGGGGCATCTCTAGTCAAGTGATTCCACAAGCGGAAAGATGGGCAGCATGTCAGAGCATGACTGGGCCCTTGATGGTCTCAGGGTCATCGTAATCGGTGCTGGATTCGGTGGTCTCGCCTCGGCCATTGCCTTGAGCAAGAGGGGAGCATCGGTCACAGTCTACGAATCCTATCCCGACATGACGAAGCAAGGTCTGGCCAACCGCTGCGGCCTTCTGAACGCATAGCGCTAATCAGGCAAATCAGGCGATGTGATCATGATGGGCTCCAACGCAACAGTGCTGCTCAAACGATGGGGCAACGTCCTGCCAGAGATCATGAAGGCTTCTTCGCTGCCTTCCCACATGAACCTGATCACCAAGGAGGGAAAGCTCATTCTGGCCCAGAAACTGCCGTCCGAATTCCACGGAAACCCCAACGTCTATACCGCCAGAGGTGGAGCCCAGGCCGTATTCTACGAATACGCAAAGTCGCTAGGAGTCGACGTTGTCTTCGGAGCCAGAGTTTCTGAAATCTACGAAACAGCCGACGCGGCCGGGATTGTGGCCAACGGAGTCAAGCACGAGGCAGACTGCATCGTGGCGGCGGACGGAGTGCACAGCAAGGCGCGAGGCTTTGTCACAGGCATTCCAGACCGGCCTAAAAAGAGCGGCTTCGCAGTCTACAGATCTTGGTTCCCCATGTCTCGCCTGCTCGAGAATCCTCTGACAAAGCCGCTTGCCGAGTCAGAGAACCCAATCTTCAAAATTTGGATCTCCGAGGACATCCACGCCATCTGTACGACGAACCCGAGTCTACAGAGAGCAACATGCTTCGTCACACACAAGGCAAGTCATATTCATCATCGCAAAAGAGCCAAGCACCAGCTTAACTGACAATCTCGACACATAGGACCTCGCAGACGTAAAGGAAGATTGGAATCTCCCCGGAAACATCGATGACATGCGCCGCTGTGTTGAAGGCTGGGATCCCCAACTCCTTGCGGCCGTTAACTGTATTCCAGAGGACTGCTTGATCGACTACAAACTTCTCTGGAGAGATCCCGTCCGAAAATGGATCTCTGACGGCGGCCGAATCGCTCTCGTCGGCGATGCAGCTCATCCTCATCTTCCGACCTCCGGCACCGGCGGTTCTCAAGCAATTGAGGACGGTACTACCATTGCCGTCTTGCTAGCAAGAACCTGGGCCAACAGAGACATTCCACTAGCGTTCCGAGCCTTTGAGCGTTTAAGGTGAGTCACGCAATTCAAATCAATTGCTGTTGGTAACTGTGTGTTTTGTTCTGACAAACATTCAGATACGAGCGAACGAGCCTCACTCAGCGCATGGGCTGGGAGACGCGCCATGTGTGGCATCAAACCGACTGGGAAGCAGTGGCCAAGAATCCCGAGTTGTTATCGCTTCCCCAACCAGAATGGCTAAATGGCTGCGACGCCGAAAAGTATGCAGAAGATAAATTCGACGCTGTCATTTCTCATCTACAGAAAGGCACGCCATTTGAGTCGACCAACGTACCACCCGGCCATGTTCACGAAGACTGGACTATTGACCAGATGCTTGCGTTTGAGGGCAAGAAGGTCGACAAGGATTTCTACAAGACACGTTGAATAGTTGAATGCCATGTAAATGCAACATCATGCTTGATTCATCTACCAGCATATTCAATCATTCCCACCCCTTCGACCCCGTTGTTTGTTCGGAACCTGCACACATAGCGTTTAGAATGTCCTCCAGCTTGCGGAAGTGAGGGGTCTGTCGACCCTATCTCCTCCTGCTTGGAAATCACAAGCTCTAATTGGCTCGGACTAATTTCGAGCACAATATCCTTCTCGAAACCATTGGCTGTGGATCCTGATTTTCTTTCGATTCCAACAATGTCCTGGGTGGGGGTGGTGCCGTCCCTCTGAATAGAACCAGTGGCTGCGGCAGATGATGTGGAGGACTTGCCAAAAAGGCCGAGGCCTCCAAGGTATGATCCATCTTCGAGGTGGCACCAGAATCCAAGGCATTCCATCGCGGTGTCACTCCATGGACCCCAGAAGTGAGTTCGGCGCCCTGGGCCCTGAAATGATATGCGCTGGCTACCGTACCTAACTGTCCCAGTGGCTTGGCATGGAATCTCATACCCCGGTGTGACGCGTGCGTTGACCGGAACGCCCCATTTGGTAGACCATGACAGATCTAGATCGAGAGGCGAGTCACCGGTCCGTTTAAGTCTAAGTTGAACGAGCTCCAGAGGTTGTTCAATGTTGATCTCAGCCGTGATGTTTGTGTTTCCCGATTTTGTCTCCAAACGAGTCAAGTCGCCCGTGATGGAGGTTTCGACCTCAGTCTGAATTGAGCAGACATCCTGTCCAGCAAGGGAAATTGCAGTGCCCAAGAGCCACTTCAAGCGGCTTGGAGTTCGCCTCAGGTTTATCGACACAGCATTGGCTGCACTTCCACTTGTAGCCTGGAAACTCCACCTCTCACACCAGAACTCGGAAGAAGCGGGCTCGTGTGTAGATTCGTCTGCAGCTTGTGGTAGGAAGCCTTTCCTCCCGTCCGCTTCGATGAGTGCCATGGCATTCAAGTCAATCACATGCTGTGCATAGCGGCTAGCTGCGATTGTGACCAGCTCTTTGCCGCGAGGTGATGCTTCCAGTATCACTCCACAAGTCACGCTCATGACGATTCCGAACGGGGACTGACGGACGAAGTCGTCCCAGCAGGTTTCCCGGTCAATCACGGCTGCATGACTGTGCAGGCAAAGGTGGTCAAAGTAATCATCAAACAATTTTCTTTCGTGCTGACGGCGCGTTTCCTCTTCCAGCGTAAGAGCCATATAATAAGAAGCGTCGCGCATCGCCGAGCCCCAAGATATCGTCTGCCAGTCGACAGCCGCACATCTGTTGCCCGAGAAGATCATATTGTCTAGACGATAGTCGCCATGCACAACGCCGAGTGGTGGCCGAAGATCGTGGTACCACCGTGAGACATGCTTGGCCAGCCACAGACAAACATCCAGATGCTCTGGATTGAGAAGGTGAGAATACTGCTTAACGAACTTGTCAATCGTCTGGAGATAGAGCTTATCGTCGAAGGCTACTGGTTTGTTCAGCCATTCGGAGCCAGCGCAGAATATCCAGTTACCCAACGCCGGACCTTGGATACGGGCTAGAGCGCGCAGGCCTAATTTCGTTTGCTCCGGGGAACAGCCGTGCATCTCGTCGCCAACCCGAGAGCTCTTTATGTCCTCGAGAGCCAGAGTAAAATTTCCGTCGTCACTGAGCAGCGCTGCGTGACAGAAAGGGACGGCATCGCCCAGCAGCCGCGCGTAATGCTGATAGAATGTGACCTCTCTGGCATAAACGCCGAGTTGGTTGGCGCTCGCGCGACTCTTTGCGTTTTCAGTGGCGAATTTGACGATCAAGCTTGAAGGCGTCGTGCTGTTTTCCGATTGATATTTGACCCTGACGGTCTTGCTCATATCACCCTTGCCCACACCCTCCACCGCAGATATAACGACTTTGTGTCCGAACAGCCTTTCCAGCCATTGCTCGTCTATATCCTCGACTCGTCGAACCGGCTGTAGCTTGCTTCCAGTTGCAACTGGCTTCACCATCTGAACATAGATGGTAAGTATTGGCATGAATGTTTATCCAGGTTCAGAAGAGAACTTACGGCACTTTTTCTGTTGATTCCATTCTGTCCATCTCGTTCAAGCATCGCATACAACACGTCCATGGCTGCTGGCTCCTGTAACTACGACCGAGGCACCTCTTCCTTGTATCGTGATAAATTTGCTCAACAAACAGCCGCTCCCATAGCCAAAGACATAGTCAACCTTACAAGAGAACGAGTGACCGGGATCTCACGTGCCAACGGGCCATCCAGTGGAGCAGAAGGGGTCCATGTCTGCACGAACCCGGCGTTCCGAGTGCCGAGCTTCCTAGAGTCAAATGTTGGGGTATTTGAAAAACACTTGATACCGACTCCGATTGCTCCGGTGAATAGAATCCCGGTTTCCGCATACCGGAGAATACCCCAGACACCTGGTACCCACCCCACCAGCAAACGTACAGACATAATTTATGGGGTAATGCTGCTGCTCGTATTCACAATTGGTAGGCATCAGGGCAACCACAGATCCGAGTAATCGATATCTTTCGCCTCAGAGTAAGTGACAATGACAAGTTTCGGCGGCCACGATGCGCATGTCTACGGGGACGAAACCAATGTGAGACAGAAGCCTGGACCGCAGGACAACTGGCAAGAAAGCGTTGTCTTGGCTTGGTGGGATAATAACGTGTCAGTGGGTGGGTTCCAACGTATTGGACATGAGCCAAACAATCCAGAAGGCGCTGCCGTCGAACTCTGGAACAACATCACGGCGCCAAACGGCACTTTTCACAAAGTCGTCAACAACCCCCTCCGCAAAGAAGATTGCCCGGACAATGGAGGCCTAGGTGGAGGAGATGATACGTTGAGCTTCGAGTTCCAGGAGGGAAAGCACATATGGAACTTTGAAGAGCCAGAGCTGTCGGGTCAGCTTGTACACGTGGATGTTGGACCCAACATAGACTCGTTTCCCAAAAAGGAAGGCATCGGGTCAGACCTTGGAGCAGCACACTTTGACATACCCGGTCGAGTGACAGGCTGGCTGAAAGTCAAAGGCCAAGGATACAAAATTGATGGGCTTTCGATCCGCGACCACGGTTGGGGCCCGCGAAGTCTGCCCCCAATGCTATCGCATCGTTGGCTGGTGGGCACCTGTGGTCGACAGTTCAGTTTTATCGCCATCGCTTTCCACAGCATGGCGGCTGAGCATCACATCGGCCGATTCGGTTGGGTGATTCGCAACGGCGAAGTCACGTATGGCGAAAAGGTTGACATGGTGGCCTATGTCGAAGTGGATGGGGCAACCAACAGAGGTGGGCATCTCAAGTATACTTTGACAACAGGCGAGGTCGTGGATATCGAGTGCAAGGCTGTGCCGGCCAAAGCATTTGTGTGCTTCAAGGAGGGTGTTTGCTGCCTCGACCGCATTTGCACATTCACATCTGGCGAGCATAAAGGCTTCATGATGTTTGAAACTTCACACAACATTCAACATGGCACTCGCCGGCCGATCACCTGGCACAACTCTGTCATTGATGATGGATGGACGGATACAGGCGTCATAGATTGAGTAGAATGCAGGTTTTTCTGTGTCAAGTTTTCAAATTTGTCCTGTAAATCCTTTCGTCGAGCCGCCCTGCCTGTTGGTGAAAGCCACAATTACACGTTTAAATCAGGCACACATGAAGGGAATTCAAAAAGATGTTAGAAAGGTACAAGTATAGTGGCCTTGCAGAGACTCGTTCAGATTGAAGGATAGAATCTCCACACTTTAATTTGTCCCCTTCAGAATGTACCAAGCTTGCTCTATACAGCATCGCATGGATGTGTCTCGACAACCTGTCTTCAGTCTGAACGACTATGGTGCTTGAAGAGTAGCTATCCACAATTTACCTATACTCTAGAGCCAACGGGAACAAAAGCGAACTAGCTGTGATCTCGCCACTTCATCCGACGTTGGCTCGCTATGTGCAGCTCACTCATATCTTCGCGGTGCTCTGACGGAACTGAGGTCTTGTCGTTGAATTCAACGTTAGTAGTACTTACATCCTGCAAGTACGCAGTATTCAAGTCCACGGCTACTTTGTCTCCGAATTTCGCAGAGATCTCCTCCAGCGTCAAACCGGCGGTCTGAGTGAGTAAGGTCAGTGCTGAAACTCCAAGTCTGAGAGACTGGCATGACTTACTTCTGGGAAGTATAGCATAATGAAAGTCGTAGACACAAAGTTGATTGCGACAAAGATCAGATAGAATTTATAGCCAATGCTGTCAAACGCAGATGAGGCGGGGGTTGACAGTGCCAGTGCATTGAGGAAATAAGACGTCAACGCGATCGTTGTTCCGTGGCTGCGCAAATGGGTAGGCCAGATCTCACTGGAGTAGACGTAGCCAATACAATCAATCAGGCAGCCGTAGACCGCGATGAAAATAAAGATGAAAACAAGACAAGCCCTCAACCCAGCTGTGTTTCCTGAGTTGACATAGTACCTCTGAAGAGCGGCTTCGATAGATAAAAGGCAACAGGTGGCGTAGCCTCCAGCAGCTGCATACAGGTCAGATTGACATGACAAATTCGAATATTTTCACACTTACTCAGAAGCCGAACTCGGCCAACCTTGTCCATGATGAAACTGTTGACCCAGCCTCCCAGCATTGCGACCGTGAGGTAGACTGTCGAGAGGCCTAGTTGCAACGTAGTACCCATTCCCAGCGTGGAGAAGATAACGGCCAAAAAGTATGCAATAACGACGTTGCCGGTTGCCACTGTCTGAACGAAGATGATGATCGAACAGTAAGCGCGCTTGCGGAGATGTGGAGTGCGGAAGATGTATGCGTAGCCTTTTGGCAGAGGTTCCTCAAGTTCGATTTGTGCCTTTATCTGGACGAACTCGGCATGAGCCAGTTTGGCGTCAGGGTCGTGCTTGGATCTGTGTAGCTTTTGAAGGATTCCCCAGGCCTCATCACGTCTTCCTTGTTTGATCAGCCAGCGAGGTGATTCAGGAATGAACAGCACTGCGCCACAAAGGACGAACGCCCAGAATGTGAGAAACACATACTGAAGCCGCCATTGGTAGGGCTTGTCCAGGAAGCTGAGCCCAAGCCCGGCAAGGGACGAGACGATAAGGCCAATAATAACGCTGATAGGATGCGCACTAGCCAGAAAGCCTCGAGCATGTGGTGGTGCAACTTCACTCATGTAGACCGGCGTGTTGGTCATGAGAATGCCTGTGGAGATCGCACCAAGGACACGAGCAACAAGGAACATGGCAACATTGACACTACCAGCAGCCAAGGCGCTGCTGATAACAGTGGCAACAGCAGCAGCAATAGTGGTCATACGACGTCCATAACGGTTGGAAAGCGGAGCAGAAATAACTGCGCCAATGGCACCACCACCCTGGGTTCTGCACGTTGTTAGGACTCTCATCATAATGCCGACACGCACACGCAAATCATGGCAGAAACTTACGTTCCCAGCATGGCATCTGTGAGCCCAGCCGCATTTTTGCCACCCAAGAACTTTGCGATAAAGGTTGGTTGCGCAAAGGAACTGGAGAGCGCATTCCCGTAGTAACCGAAAACGAAACTGGCAACTCCTGCAACCCATACAACCTGCTCTGCGTTAGCCACAGTTCAAAAACCCCAGGATTGAATGGACTTGCTAGGAAGTTGAATCCTGTAATCTCGTGTCTCACATATGCTTCGTCTGCAGTGGGCAGAGGCTTGGGCCGAGGCTTGTCAATCTTGAACTTGATGGCCATGTTGTTGGGTGTTGCAGCTAGGGTTGGAGACAAGCAGAGTTGCGAGGTTGGCCGAGACAAATTCCGGAGGTCGAGAGGATGAGCTCAAGTTATACTCCCAATGGGCTAGAACGAGGTCCCATGCCTCAGCAATGTACCCGAGGATCCAGAGCTGACTGAATGGTACTTCCGGAGGCGGCGGGAAACTTATTAGACCAAATATCTGAATGTGCATAGGTCGGGAAAGACTTGTAGCACTAGATACAAGTTTCCAGGACGTGGGATCTGACCACTTGGGTGCGTCTGGGGCCCCGGCTTTTTGAGCCCCGTAATCCCGTAAAACTGGGGACCTATTACAATGCGCCCATTTGCCTTGGATCATCGGCTCCCGTGGTCTTGCTTTCGCTAACCTAAGCTCATTGGCCTCTTTCGACCTACGAGTGCCTGGCCTCCCTGTCTTCCAACCCACCCTACCGCCAAGATGTTCAATAGAAGCATTCTGTCGGTTGTGCTGGCGAAGATTTTCCGGCTGCCGCCTCGCCGCACTTCAATCTTCACGCTCTTTTTTGGAGAACGCGGAGACGAAAAACTCTTCGTTGAAATTTCCGTCCGCATCTAAAGTTGACTTGGCTTCCTCCCAGCACCTCCGAATCACCTCGACTCGTTGCTGGTCTCGGGGTGTGAAGTTGCATCTGTAGAGTATCAGCAACGCTCTCTGTGGGTTTGGCAGAGCAGCGTAGCCTGAGACTCACTCAAAAGACTCTGGCCGAACAATGAAACCAGGAGTGACCGCGTCCCGATTGATCGGCTTGAGTTGTCCATTCGCATCACGGACACGGGTCATGTTGAACCCCCATAGGGTCCGCGATAAAGCCAGGAAAAGTCCTCTTTCGGCCACATGAAAGCCGGGACACACCCGTCTGCCGCCGCCAAACGTGAAATGAGGACGTTTGGTGGAATCGGCACTGATCGCATTGCTTTCGATCAAAGTCGATTCGGGGTCGTGTCGTGTGGGATCGAAGTCTCGTGAGTTTTTGAAGGTGTTGTGATTGAGACTCCAGACCTGGAAAAGTCAGCTTGTTGAGACAATCAGCCACCGACGCATCGTGCTGCGTACATTCATCAATACAGTTGCTCCTTTGGGAATCAGCATCCCTTTATAGACATCGTCACGCAGAACTGAGTGAGGGACGGCGCCACTCAGGGTGCTGGGAGCCCCTGTTTTTCCATCAGTCGTGATCGTGGAATTTCATGCCAGACCTTTCACTCACATCTTAGAGTTTCCTCCACGATGCCGCGAATGTACGCCAGGTTCGGCCGGTCATCCCATGTGGGCATGCGCGAGCACCCGACCACTCGATCGAGTTCTCGCTGTGCCTCGGCTTGGACTTCTGGAAACAACAGCATGGCCTGAAATTGCTGTTAGACCTCCCGAACCTCAGATTGTCATAGTACATGCCTTGACGAAGCCAAGCATTGTGTTCCATTGAGTATCCCTTGGGACAGTGAGAAATTGGATCGCCAGTCTTCTAGCGCCTTACTCACGTTGCTGCTCCAAATCCGTGCCCTGCGTTGTGTGCAATTTGTCGTTCCTCAAGTCGGTCGTCGTCCTTGTCGGTCAACATGTCTCGAATAAAACCTGCCAGAGTCAGCAATCTGAAATAGCAAAAAGATGGCGGCAGCATTACTTGGATATTTCTTTCCTTGATCGATCTTGTCCTTCGCGTTTCTCAGAAGGCCGAAGAAAAGTCGGTCCTCAAGCTTTTGTATATCTCTCAGAACTCGCTTGTAGCCACTCATCCAATATGGCATGATCCGGTACCATGGGCGAAGGATGGGGTAGAAATCAACTGGCTGCAGATTCACTGCCACTGACGTGATGTCCATCCACTGAACCTCCTCAGCATTCGATCAGTCGACATCAATCGTCACACGCACCTCGATCAAGTCCTTCACATAGCCAGTGCCAGTGTTTGGAGTTCGCCAACCGTAAAGCAGTGTCGACGCAATGCTGGCAGAGTATCGCTGAAAATGGCCAACCCAATTTCCAGGATCGTCCAAAAGATCGTTTAGCAGCTGAATGCTGTCAAAAAGCTGCAAACATACCAGTCGTCAATCTCTAGGATCTTGCCATCCAGCAAAGTGGGAAAAGAGTGACCCACCTGGTATGGAAGATACGTGTTCGCTGTCTGCACATTCAGACGTACGTGGTACATTTTTCGCTGACGACGCCAGACTTCATCGTTGCTGACGGTTGAATCGTCAGGATCCGATAATCAGTTTGCAATTGGTTCAAGTGATAGACTTACTCGCGCAGAGCAATGTTCAGATTATTACCAAATTCTCGAATATACAGGTCTGGGCGAGCAGAGTAGATGTTGCTTCTCTTCTCGATTAGCTCCTTGACGACGGCAGGATCGTTGATCAAGATCATGTCCTGGCAGCCAAGTTTCAAAGACATGATAGGACCATCTTTCGGGTTATCAGCTTCGAGCCAGACCTCGGTTTCTGATGTTGCGCTTACATTCGAATGCCCATTTTTGAAATTCGAGGTGGAAATTCTTGAGCGGCATTTGAAGTAGATTCCCCAGCACTGGTATCGTTCGTGGTCCTACAGAAAGCGCTTTGTCAGCTCATTTTTAGCATAGGGTGCTGCTGAGACAGTAATCCTCACCAGGAGGATATCCCTTTGGGCGCATTGCTACCTGAGAGAGCCTATATAGCAGAAGCAATCCCAGCAGGCCGAGTGCACCCCAAAGAGGGCGTAACTGATCGATTGCCAACATGCTTGGTACCTGTAGTCGAGTGACCACTGCAGGAGCTTCTTGAATCTGACGATATCTTCTTTGATGTAGACAATCTGTGCAAAGCTGGACATATGACCGTGATGAACATATGAAACTGCTCAATCACAGTCCAGATGCTCCAGCATCCCGAGTATCATCAAACCAATCGGATCTTGCCTAATTTTCACCCGCATCATCTTGTATCCACACCAGGGTATGGTGGGGTCGGACAACCCGTACAGCATCCTTGTAAAGCTCGGACACTAGCATTCCAGAGACATAGGTTGAGATTTTGCCGGCGGTATATTCTGCTTGGACGGACATTGCCGGACAGATGGAAAGCATATCCTTTGAGAAAGAAGCCTATGTTGATCTGGGAGGCCAAAACGGGCATTGCCACGCCTTGGTCGAAAACATTCGTTAGCCCCGCAAGTCAAAGCACAGCCAACAACTCCCCCGACTTGACCGTTGGGCATTCTCCGGAGGCCCTAGATGGCACTCCGGGGTCATAATAGCTGCATATCGTCGAGAGACTCATCCTATTGTAACAAATTGATCATTCTCGATCGGTGGCACTGTTTGTGATAGATCATCGGCAAGCTAGCGACGAATTCAACCATGTTCGGCGATTTTCCAACCAAGAACAAGATTGTAGTTGTTACAGGAGGAGGGTCAGGTGGGTTTTCTGCATTGCAGTCTTCAAACAACTCTCTGACTTTCAGGTTTTGAACAGGCATTGGCCTCGCATACGTGCAACTGGCAGCGAAACGAGATGCCAAGGCAGTCATCATCGCCGATCTTCGGCTTACCGGTGAAGCAAAAGCTCTGACTGAAGCTTCAAGCAAAGTTATCTTTGAGAGATGCGATGTCACGAAATGGAAAGATCTCCAAAATCTGATCGACGTCAGCCTGGCCAGGTTCCGAGATGTGCCAGACATCTACGCTGCCTCAGCTGGAGTGTTTGAACCAGTGAGTCGTCTCTTGCTTCAGATGCTCAGATCCAAATCTAGCACTCTCCGGAGTCGATCTTCTACGAAACCAATATCTTCAGCTAACACAAATCGTGATGCTCTAGCCTTACTCCAACTTCTGGGATGATCCTGAAGGGTTGGATGCCGATAGATATAAGCATATTGACATCAATGTCAACCACCCAGTAAGATTTTCAGTCCGTCATGCTTGTCCGATCTGACCTGGCGCAGATCAAACTCACTCGTCTTGCTATCCGCGCTCTTTTGGGGAGAGACAAGAAAGGAGTCGTGTTAGTAGTTGCATCAATTGCAGGCTATAGTAAACAGTACGCTGGCCCTATCTACGGCGCTTCCAAGCATGCTGTGGTCGGGTTTGTCCGCAGTCTTGGAGATGCCGAGAGCTTGCAAGGCACAAAAGTTGTGGCAGTCTGTCCAGGGTATGTTGGCTCGTGACACTCGTCAGAGAACCGCGTCGTCTAATAGTCTACAGAATCGTTAAAACGCCAATCTGGACTACTGGAACGCCTGGCTCAGGAGAGAGATTCCAAATAAAGGACGAAATCAGTATTACTGCAGAGACTGTAGCAGAGGCCATGCAGGAAGTCATCGAGTCAGGTAAATACCCTGGTGGGACCATTTTTGAGGTCTCAAAGCTGGGAACGAGGACGATCCCAGAATGGAACATCGATCCACCGGGGATGGTCGACGGCAAGATGGCTCGGGGAACCGAGGCACCAGCGGATGCTATTCAGCAAGCACTGGCACCTATCCTGTCGGTGACAGAGAAGGAACGAGGTGCACTGAAGCGTTAGAGATGTAGCTGTTATTGTTGTTGCGACTGAAACCGCAGACGCTCAGAGCTACATACTTTGTTAAATAAGCGTCCGCAGAGATACGTATAACAGAAGATATGAAGCACGGGGTTGTCTCTTGACCATAATTCTCAAACGAGACTCGAAATATCATGGTCATGTCTTTGTCTTCGTGCTACCCAGGTATATGTATCGAGGAGATCCAAGTCAAATCCAATGCACAATTGAAAGCATTTTGCATCAAACGCATTTGTCTCCTACTGGCCTTTCACAATCTTGCTGATCTTCATCTCGATAACCTGAGGTTTTCCTTCTTCCATAATAAATCTACTTGTACCAACGAAGCGGGCGTTCTCCAAGCCTTTCAAGGGCGATGCACCAGTCTAGTATGAGGTTCAGCAACGAGATTCAGATCGAGCAGAGATATCTTGCCTCAAAAGTCACATGTGTAACTGGAATTTATTGTGTCAGTATCTCTCTAGAGAGATGAAATCCACAAAACACTCACAGACTAGCCCAAAATCAACAGTCTTTGCATCCGGGCTGCCCATCAAGATCTTCCCGAATTCCTCGTTGATCTCGATGATGCCGTTATACATATATGAAATGGTCTTTCGCAATGAGGAGCAGAGATTAGCAAAACCTGCCAGCAAGATAAGACAAGACACAGACACCACACACCGCGCCGTCGGCATTTCTAAGCCATTCTTGTCAGCCAACATGCTACCTTCAGAAGATCTGCAAGACAGCGCTTACTTCATTGCCGCTTTCACATCAATCGTGGCGTACGATTGATCAGGGCTGACCCAAAAATGATCCGTACCAAACACGAATTCGGCATCGACGGCGGGAGAGAACCCAGGTTCGCTCTTGAGAGAACCACCCTCGTTGATCAACTGCAGCACCCTCTGAGTTAGTTGCTTGCATCTTTGTTGACGCGTGAGGTGTGCTTACCGCGATAAATTGTTGACCACCCCTGTTAACGTTACCTTGTAGATGTTAATGTCAAAACATGGCTTTCAGAACCTGGTAAGATTTTACCAATGACCACAGGAGGCTTGAACGTAAGCTGGTATACTTCATTAGCAAGTGCTAGGACAGGATTTGCGATTGCAGGAGGTCACTGACCCTCGCCGTCAAGGCTGGTTGGAGTGATGCAAAGCCAGACATTGTTTCAACGCTCAGCAGTGTTGTTACGCACTTCAATACAACAGCACCAAGCTTAGAATTGTTGGCTACAGAACAAATGAAGTGCGTCTCTACAGTTTTACAATATCAGTCGATGACCAAGGATGAACGGACTCGACCAATCGGAACATACTCGAGGGGACGCTGCCGGGGGATTCTGGATTTGGGGGGGATTCTACTCCCGAACCATGCGAGCCAGGTTCAGGTCTTTGTTAGATCTTGTTCGGTCACCGTTTTAAATCTGCATGACGTGCTTTGCAAGGAATGTTCATTGACTGTATTTCACAAGTTCTAATCTATCTAACCCACGAAGTTTCCATCGGGCGAGATCTTGCCTCTCATAAAATGCTGATTTTTCGCGTACCATGCTTCTTGATACGTGCAATACGTCACTCGACCACTAGCTTTGTCCGTCCATTTGTAGACCAGGTCAATGAAGACACCATTGGGCCAGGAAGGCAGGTGTGCTGCGGCAATTGCCTCCCCGTGAAACTCGTATTTCTGTCCGTGATCATCTTCAGCTTCTATGATCTGCTCGGAGGCGGAATAAGTCTTGGGATCCCATCGTAGGATCGTGCGCTTGACTTTCGGAATCTGGCGGATCTCGCCATTCTTGTAGAGCCAGGAGAAGAAATGTATAGGTTTCTCCGGGTCAACTCTAAACTGATCTTTCCACACCTGCGTGCTGTCATAGCCACACTGGTTGAAGACAAGATCCTCCCCGAAACAGATCGGTGACCAGGCCACAGGGGGATATTCGACTTCTTCCTCCGTCCGGACCTGTCTCCAGGATCGATCGCGCACGGAGAAGCAGTCAACCTTAAGATCCTTTCCATTGAGCGTCAGACTGCCTGTACATTTCATATACTGCTCCGAGCCACCAGGCTTCTGCTTTGGGTTGGTATTTACTTCTTCTCCAGGCATGACATGACCTCGGGGAAGCAGAGGTGTAATTGCGACCTGTGTGACGTCGAACTTGGTTTTGCCGTCTTTACTTTCGTATTCAATTCGAGCTTTCCGACCAGGCTCAAGAAATGTGACCTTCAGGCCATTGGCAGTCTTGATGACGTTTCCTTCTTCCACCTTGGGAAATGGCATGGTGTAGAAAAAGTTGCAGTGGTCAATGTCGATGTTCTTTACATTATCGACACCCCGGAATATGCAGACGCCGCCAGAGGTGATGTTGAATACTGGCATAGCACGAATGTAGATGAAACATCCGAGTTTCTCCTCAGGTATATTGAATCCAAAATAATGTGTGTGAATGGTGTGTCCTGCCCATTCCTCGCCATCTCCTGGCCGATCGAACCAAAGGTCACTCTCGAGTGGCTGAGTCGCTGGGGCTGTCATCTTGTGAATGCACCTTGAGACTCTAGATGTGTGAAAGGCTGTGCTTGTGCTTGTGTGAAGCTCGATCAAAAATGACCTCAATGCTATCGCCCAATTGCAGAACTCGCGAATAAATACGGCTCGACATTGCACCCGCTGTTGACCGCGTGCTCAGTATGCTTGAATTGATTGCACAGCTTAGAGGTGCAGGCGAGACTGCGGAGAATAAGAGCTTTCCGAAGCGGCAGGCTTGACGTTTGCCCGGATTCCGCACGTTGCTATTCCGGCCGTGTCTGCCGAACGAATGGAGACGGCGCAATGAGGACCTTTTCTGGGAGCTCTAAGGGATCAATCATAGTGAAAAGTCATTGACGTACCATAACCCGTAAGTGGTGGTGTCTTGCACCGAAAATGACTTAATCTGGGTGGAATGCTGGTGTTTTCGCTATGAGACCCAGCACTTAGAGAACCTAAAAGGCATTACTATAACCTGATTCGCTTGAACAAATTTATTTGACGTCGATCAATGTATGATGCCCATTTTCTATGGATAGATGCTTCCAGCCGTATTGGATTGATAAGTTGGTCCCGTCTGCTAATGTTCATTTGCTCTTGTTGAATTCCACATTGTCAGACAAGCTCTGGCCACTAGTTGTGTCTGCCTGTTTGTTTGCCATGTTGACCGGGAACGAAAAGTGTTCATGGATGTACTTCCAGTGGCCATCAATCTTCCGCAGAACGCTGGTCGCTCTAAAAGTAAAGTCAAAAGGGGTCTTGTCCGACGAGGTGCCCTTGAAATGCTGGATGTAGGTGATGTAGCCAAAGTCTGGCGTTACTGCAAAAATCTCCACGTCTTTGAATGCAACATTTGCATCGGCCAGGTAAGGAGTGATATGGTCGTAGTGCTTTTCAAAGCCAGGGCGATGCAGTTGACCCATCAGATCAAAGTCGGTGCTGTCAGTAAGGTCGTAATACTTCTTTCCAGCGTCGGGATCGTTCACGCAGACAACATTGACAAAGTCCAGGAAGTCCCGCAAATGGTCTAGTAATTCCTGTTCCACATGCTTCAAGGTAGGATCATGATGCTATCGCAGATTTAGAAATAGTCCAGCAATGTCCCATGGGCGAAGGATTGATAGCTTACTTTGCTCACTGGAGAGCACAATGCAGCGTGGACATCGTCAATATTGACAAGCTGTGACTACAGTACTCATGTCAGCCCGCTGTCGGAGGACGTAGAAGGATCGGAATTAGCACCTCTTGCAACCAGGCCGACATGATAGAACTTTGCTTCTTTCTCTGGACTATGCTTTAAAGTGACTTTTGTTGCGTGGCGTGATCAGGTGTTTGGACTGGTACAAAGGAATTCTCTGTCCAAGCCAGACCGAGGCTCAGGTCAGTCAACAAATTAAATTTATTATAGGTGTTCTGATCCTACCAGGCTGCGTTATAGGGTGCAAATCGCTCCGGTATTTCGCACAATCACACATTCGGAGGCAAAGAGTTCAGGCTCCGAGCAGCCGTTCTGACTCGAAGGTGTGAACCACCTCCAATAACCACTTGGCCCTTACAGGTTGAGCACCGCAGAAGCATATAGCAACCAAGTCAGTGTACAAAGCGGCAAATTCATTCGAACGTGAGAGCATCCAAAATGCAGGAAGAAGATTTGCCCACTGGCACTGTCTTGATTGCCGGGGGAGGGCCCGTTGGCCTTCTCGTGGCCCAAGTCCTGGCCCACTATCAAGTCAAATCGGTATTGTTGGAGCGGAACCAGTCTACGACCAAATGGCCAAAGATGGATCTCACGAATTCAAGGTCAATGGAGATATTTCGCAGACTTGGACTTGCCGATGCCTTGAGAGAACAGGGCGTGGCTTCTCATATTCCACAACCTGTCTTGTTCTCCACCGGTCTTCCCGCGGATAGGATAATCACAAAATGGGAACATCCAAGCGCGAGTCTTTCTAGTCATAGAGCTAGCAAGATTGAGATAATGGCTGACTGAGTTTGCAGGTTGATCAAATGCGAGCTCAAATCCGGGAAAAGAATGACGGAACTCAGCCACTCGAGGCATGGCAGCGAGTCTCACAGGTCATCTTTGAGAGGTGGTTGAAGGAAATCTGTGAGAAAAACCCTTTGATAGACCTTCGTTATGGCTGGAAAGTCGAATCTGTGCAGGAATTAGGGGACAGAGTGAAAGTCTCAGCACAAAAAGTGGAGAGCAGAGAGCCCGCTTCCATCATGGTGGACTACGTTGCTGGCTGCGATGGAGCCTCAAGCAATGTCAGACAATCACTCGAGCTTCCAATCGACGGTGGTCCGGTCTCTTCGTGTGTGCTCTTGGTGCATTTCAAATCTCGAGATCTCACTCGACTGCACAAGCAAGGCCAGTTCTGGCACATATTCTTCTTGCAAGGAGCTGGGCTTTTCTCGGGAGCAGTAATTGCTCAGGACGAAGTTGACACCTGGACTACGCATATGTTCCTTCCACTGGACGCCGACGAAACTCAGCTGGACTCACACGAAGCCATTTACAGAACCCTTGGCGGTTCGCACCAACCCTATGAAATCAAAATCGACGAGATTCTTGTTCGCTCGGTGTGGAGACCAAACATTGCGGTTGCTCGCCAGTGGGCCGGGGCCAGCAAGCGAGTGTTCATCGCTGGTGATGCTGCACATCAACTCATACCTACCGGTGGCTATGGAATGAACACCGGTGTGGGCGATGCATACGACCTGGCTTGGAAACTTTCTGCCGTCATCAATGGCTATGCGGGAAAGGGTCTCCTGGATTCATACGAGACGGAACGGCGTCCAGTGGCAATGAGAAACTCTGAGCATTCAGGTGTCCACATGACCGCCCATATCACGGCTTGCTCGCTGCTTGCAGGAAATGACTTAGCTGAGGCGAACTCCGACACTGAAACAGGGAAAGAGATACGTTCCAAAGTACATGAACACTACCAAAACCATATTGGAGAGAACACGGATCTGGGCATCGAGATGGGTTACAGATATCAATCATCGGTCATCATTCCAGAGTCTGATGGTGCTTCCGAGCCGCCTTGGACTCCGTCTGCATATGTGCCCACGACATGGCCAGGGTCAAGGCCGCCTCATCTCTTTTTGGAAAATGGTAAAGCCATTTTCGATGAGCTGCACCCTTCAGCATGGACCTTAGTAACGTTTAACGATCAGCCCTGCGGTGAAGAGTATATCATTCAAGCTGCACAAAATTCGAAAGTGCCAATGAAACATCTGAACTTGTCAGGAGAAAGCAAAGCAAAAGAGCTGTGGGAGAGAGACTTGGTGTTGATCCGACCAGATGAACATGTTGCCTGGAGAGGACAATCTGTCAGTTCATTGGATGCAGCGAAAAATATTTTGGCAACTGTGACAGGAAATCATGCACCAAAGGAGGATTCTAAACCATCATCTGCACCCGTCGATGTAGTTAAGGGACCTAGCAAGGCATTCACTGCGACCACAGGGTTGGCGACGCAAACCAACACTTTTCACTTCGAGAAAATCAGTGAGTTTCAGAGGTAGAACAGCCACACAGGACCCCGAGAGATTTCAAGTATATAGCCTATCTTCGCTCCAGAGATATGAGATATTGAAATTTTACCAGTTGAGACAGCGCGCTTATGAGACAACTCTATGCGATCCCCCTAACACCCTTCGGGTCCCCTACAACTTCGCAGAAGGTGACTCGCTCCCTCTTGCAGCTTGTTCGACCTCCAGAAATTGCTCAAAGAACTTGAGAGACTGTGGATTGGCCACGGTACTTGATGGAGTAATCGAGGTGCCACAGACGATCTGCTTTACAGCAATTTCAACCTTCTTGCCGTTGATTGTATAAGGGATCTCGGGGACCTGGAAGATGTATTTCGGTACGTGGCGCGGAGATCGAGCCGTTCGGATCGCGGATTGTATCTCTTTTTTCATCGCGGTGGTCAAAGGTTTGTTCTGCTGCATCTTGACGAACAAGATGACCGACTCGTCCGCATCTCTTGCTCTTCTCTGGCCCACGCAGATGGTATCTTCGGCATAAGGCAACTTATCGACGACTTCGTAAATTTCCGCCGATCCAAATCGAACACCAGACGGATTCAACACACCATCGCTAGAGCCGTTAGTTATTGGCCTTGACTTCTCTAAGTTTTGTCGAGCACTTACGATCGTCCAAGCATCAAGAATCCTCCAGTATCCGTACTCATCTGGACGAAATCACCCTGATTCCAGACCTTTCTCCCAAAGCGCTCGAAATAAGAGCTCTCATATCGTTTTGCTCCGGTACTGCCCCAGAACATGACAGGTTGGCTGGGGAAAGGCATCGTACAGACGAGCTCTCCCGGCTTTCCAGATGATTTGATTGAATGGAGTTCGGCTTTTGTCACATCTGCAATATCGACCGCCATTCCGAGACTCTCGCATTGGATCTCGCCTGAGTACACTGGAAGTGTTGGAGTTCCACTCACGACTGACATGACATTAGTTTAGGCTTCAGTGAGACGCAGTTGAGAACAAAAGAGCTCCAAACTTACGAGAACAGGCCAAATCTGTTCCGCCACTAGTAGAAGCAAGATGAATATGCGCAGGAAACCCTTCGTCATAGAACCAATTGCAGACATCAGCTGCCAGCGTACTTCCCGTCGAAGTGATAGTACGCAAGCTGGAAAGATCGCAATGATTCTCTAGATGGTTGGAAGAGTCAGATATTGAGCAGATCTCGAGACATCGATAGGCCCTAACTTACTCGGCTTCAGGTTCTCGGCTTTCAAGTCAGAGAGGAAACGCGCGGAAGTACCAAGTAACTTTACTCTGTAGGCTTAGGTGAGCTTGGATAATCGTAATACTGGGTCATTAAACTTACTTGAGCTTCTCAACCAAGCGAAACAGCACCAATTTGTCGGGCAATAATGGTGACCCATCGTACACCACGACACGGCCCTTATATGCCAGACCGCATAAGACCATGGCCCACATAATCCAGCCGGTCTGCAAGATCTCAGTCAACGGACACAAAAACCTCTTGCTTTCTTACCGTGGTATACTGTAGGAGCGTGTCGCCTGGACGGACATCGAAACAAAAGGTGGAGTCTTTTCTCACCTGAAGTAGCAGTCCCTGGACTTAGTTAGTAGGTGGAGCCTTCGAATTTGAAGGGGCATCTGAGACCATAGCACTGTGCACAATACATTTGGGTTGTCCTGTCTAGAAGTATTCAGCTTCTATTTTCTCTAGGTTTCATGCGGTTGAACTTACCGTTCCTGACGAATAGACGATGAAGCCAGGATGGTGGAAAGGAAGTTGTTCAAAGGATAACTTTCTACCCACGCGACGCTGCAGAAACTCGGGATATCCAATGAGGCCAGAGCCCTGCAATATCTTGACAGGCTGATCGGGGTGTTCAATCACAACATATGTGATGAACTCCGGAGTCGTCTGCATACGTGAAGCACACGCCGAATGCTTTTCCATGAGTTTTCTGATCTTCCCATTATAAAGTACCGCACTTTCCGCGAAGACAAGTTTCGGGCGGATCTGCAATAATCGATCGAGGATGCCCTGATCTCCCATGTCCGGTGACGAGGTCGACCACAAAGCTCCGAGAGAAAGTGTTGCGAGACATAAGATCATGGTTTCTGGTCGATTTGAGATCACAGCAGCAACCCTATCGCCGACGCCGATGCCAAATGCCGCCATGGCGTCCGCTGTTTGCTCCACTCTGCGATATAACTCACCCCAAGTGACATGGATCAAATTGATGCCGCCCTCATTGCACGCATGGATTGCAATATCCTTGGGATTGTTGCCCAGAAGCAGATTTGCCGCGAAGTTTGATTTGATGCCAGGGAAGAATTGGGGAGGCGAGTACATTGGTAAATGGCCCTGCAAAGATCCACATCGATTAGGAATACAAGTCCACGGTTCACTGGCTTGCTCTAGCTGATCTCACCAGATATGATGACCGTGGAATCACATCTGCCTTGATATCGAGAAACAAGAACAGATCAACCCAGAAGTCCCCAGCTGACTCTTTGCTCACGGAGTAGGCATGAAGCTCGCCATAGTCGCGAATGGACAGATTGTGCCTCTTGTTGATGAATCGCCGAAATCGATCTGTCTCAGTAGAGTTGAGGTTTTGTGGTTGCCAAAGCAAGCGGCGCTGCGGCGAGATCGCCATTGATCACAAAAGCAATTAGAGAGGATGAGGACTGTACGACAGCTTCGTACGTTTTTCCAGAACGTCTTTTGAGCGAAGAAGAATAAGACTCTAACTTGTTTCTGCACGCCACAATTTGGAATTCAACTCTTTAGAACGCTGGCGGCAATCCTCGGACTCAGGTAGTTTGGAGTTCGGCTGGATTTGCAGCTTCTCCTAGCTAGTAGTGAAACTTGCATAATCAAGGAAGTACTCTCGCGCCGAATGCGCCGAGGATCTTTCGAATTTACAGATAAATATGGTCCGTCGGAGACGATGGAGCATTCTATTTTCCGCTTCACTTGCTTATACTCTGTCCGCAGGCTAGTCTATTCTAATGTGTTAACTACGGTTCCAAGGCTGCCTTCATTGGTGCTGTCTCCTGGAATTATATGTTAGCAGGATGGTTACGAAAAATTCTTGGACTTTGTACGGCCCAAAGTTGATAGAGCGACAGTCGTGGGCTCTGCCCTGGGTTGGCGATCTTGACACGGCCCGTAAATTCTCCGGCCACCTCTTTGCCATTGCGCAGGTTCATAGTAACATGCCCGATGAAGAGAAGGTCGTCCGCTTTTGAATCGCTTACATAGACCTTGTTAATCAAGTGTCTTCGAGCTTTCACAGCGGCCCAAGCACTGTCTCTTGATTCCCTGATTTCTGTTATCGTCATCAATTTTGGTTTCCTGTTAGCGAAGGCCTATTAGTAGCACTTACGTTCTGATCCCACGAAGAAATGACCCCCAAACCCCGATCTTGCATCGCTTGAAAATATTTCATCGGCTAGAATATCGCCAACGGCTGAACTATCGTTGTCCAGCAGATTGAAGAACTTATCGATCAGGCTTTTGACGATATCTAAATCCTCAATCGATGGCCATTCCGTAGACTCGGTGTTGTAGCCCGTCTTTGCTTTATTCGTACCTTGTGAGTGCCACGATGACCGAAACATAAACACTGTCGCAATCATAATAGAGTCAATTGCCCTCTCCCTGCATCGTGGCCTGTTTTGGCTAATTTGATTCTCGGTGTTAGTTGGAGGCGTTGTCCATTCCGAGTAACCGCAGACCGGGCGAGGATCCGGGGAATCTTTGGATTCCGGTTCCGAACCACATATGGGGAAGAGAATGGAATAGGGTAAACGCATTCAATCTACAGCAGCACACGTACGCCTCGTCGCACGAGGCTAACTTTTCAGCGTCTAGACGGTAGGTCAGCACTGGCTTGATGTGCTTGGTCGAGACCTCGAGCGTGTATACTGCTTCGGTCACGTGGATTAACTCGTGCTTCTGCTTCCAGAAACATCGACTAAATGCCCGTCAGTCATTAGATTACAGCAACCTACATCATGACAATGAATGGAAATGAATCTGCAAGCGGCCAGGACCATGATAGCACCTGGGATTTTGTCATTGACAACAATCCAAGTCCCGAGAGTTGTGCGTGGCGCAATAGTGATAGCTTCGAGAATTTCTTCACCGAACCCCCAGTTGAAACTTCACCTTCAAACCCGGATCAACATTTCAGGGCAGAAACCGCGAGCAGTTCCCTATTACTGGCGTATCGTACAGACAATGTCAAAATAAGGGAGCTTGAGGATACACTGCTAAGATCAGGTAAGAAACTGTGTTACCCCTTTGCAGCTATCAGGATTTCCCAGAAACTGACGATTGCAAGTCGCTCTTCCGAATATCGACGCATCGGCCGCATTTTTTGAGGACCAGAAAGAGCGATTCCAAGCCAGCGAAGATAAATCGCAGCAGATATCCGTGAGTACTTATCGGTAATTCTCTGAGCTCGTATGTACGATAATTGTCTAGATGCAAACAGGATGGACTGAATTCGACTCTTCGCTCCAAGCTGAGCTTCTTCAGCTATATTTCCGCACGGTCCATATTCTCTGTCCAGTGGTGAACGAATTCGAATTCTATCACAGAAACTATACTCTTGCGAAAGGCAGGCAACGGACACCGCTTCAGGAGCTTCTCCTGCACGCGATGCTTTTTGCCTCATTCGCCCATGTCAACCAGCTCCAGCTCTCAAAAAGCCCATACAAGTCAGTCATAGAAGGGCAGAAAGCCTTGTTCAACCACGTCAGTCGGTCGTATACAACCGAAAGTGAGCGCCAACCAGGAAATATAGTTCTGATCCAAACCGCCCTCATACTCAGCCACTGGAGTCCTTACGACACGTCCAAAGACGTCAATAATTTTTGGGCCGATCAAGCAATCCAACATGCGGCTAGCGGCAAAAATTTCAACACTGGACGCCCACATGACCGTGTGGTGTGGTGGTGCTGCTTGACAAGAAATCGCATGCTAGCTCTAGCTCTAAGACGTCCTCACAAACTGAAACAGCACGAACCATGCGATTTACCTGTGATCACCGACTTTGGAAGTAGCGTACCTGGTCCAGAGTTTCGCCTGCTCCGAGAGTCGAAGATGTACGCTGGAGAAATCTTCATTGCTCTTTGCAAATTATCCTTGATAATGAACAAAATCGTCCTTCTCAGGCACAGTGTGTCACGCTGGGATGATTGGCGAACGATGGGCGCCCAATCTTCTGGCTTACGACTTGACGACCTGATTGCCATAGATCGGGAGCTTCAAGACTGGCATTCTGCATTCGAACATGCGACTTCACAATTCGATGGTTCGAAGCTCCCGAGACGTCTGAGAGTCTCGGTGCACGTCCTGAGCATTATCTCACAGTAAGTTTCATGTGCTTTCGCCAGGTGGGCGTCAACCTAACGATGATGTGTATCAGGTCTACTCGAGTCTTCCTCTACGAGCACTATCTTGCCCACACTTCCAGTGATGATTCCCTAGGATGGTTGTTGAGAAATGTGTCGATTTCAAAGACCGAAGAGGCCTCGATCGAGGTTGCCGACGAAGTCTCGAGACTAGAAAAGATCTCAGAGCTGGAAGACCTGCCGCTCACACTGTATTGTTCTCTTCTCAGTCGCCTTTCTACCTCCAGCTAACTCTCAAACAGGCCAGCTTGGATCTTACAACCGGCTTGTGTTCTCCTAGCAAGGGGATTTGTACGATCACACGGACATCCTGACGAGGATTGGGGTCCAGCGCCCAAGTTGATCAGTCTGCTTCGTCAAATGAGCTGCCGCTTTCAAGGCGTCCAGCACTCGTCGGCACTGGTTGATGGAGTCACTCATGCGTTTGAAGAAATAGTTCAGCAACATGGAAGCTGCAAGTATGTCGTCCGAAAGCCGTTCCATCGTATATTAAGCTGACCAACTACACAGACCTGACACGCTCAAACAAGACTTACTACAGCATAGTACTGGGGTATTGAGCGCAGGTTTGGCACTTGGTGTAAGTATAGAGCATCGTACATGAGCAGAAGGAACATGCCATGTCGGGCACCAGTGGACAGACTAGACATCTGGTTCAAGCATACATCCCGCAATTCGAAGCTCCTGTAACCAAATAATAAAAAAAAATCCCCCCACATCCGTAACCCATAAGCTTCTCAGCAACAAGTCGCGGTCCAACCTCGACGCGCTTCAATTTTGCTTCATCTTCTCCTGCTGCCAGTCTTCGGATATGATCTTCGGGGTCAAAGTCTGTCCCAATGGGATTCTGTGCAAAGGCCGCGGACTGCATGAAAACGGTGGCCTCGTCGTTGGTCTCGAAGTTGTCTACCTGCGTTTCAATATGGTTGCCATCGGGATCTTGATAATAAATGGACGTCGTTGGGCCGTGATTGACACTCCAGAGGGGTTCAATCCCGTGCTGTTTGCGCTCAGTGTAGGCTTGCAACAGGTCTCGAAGCGTGTCGAAACTGAATGCGATATGCGCAAGTCCGCAGCTGCGGGGATCCTTGGGACCGGTGCCTGGGATGGCCGCAATGGCTATCCGATGATGTTCATCGTCATACGTGAGGAAAGACATTATTTCGTTCTCATGTGAAGCCTCTGCTCCTAAGAAAGCCTTGTAATAATCGACCATCTTCTGGAACTGGTTCGTTATAAGGACGACATGTGCCAATTTCGAGTGTGATTTCACTTTGCCAAACTTACCGGCGCCGTTGATGGATCCCATTTCGACGGATTGATTGCGGGACGTTGAGAGTTGTATATCAGATGGAGCTTTGACGAAATTGTGTTTGCAGCGAGGGGAATAAGAATGTATTCTTCAACTCCTGCACATTATGCGCCGGCCTGGTGGGTAGAACTTGGGAGTCTCCGGGCTCGGATCTGGCACTCAATCCGAAGACCATGGCATCCGGACTGGATAAATCCCGCCAGTCATTCCGGTATGTCATCAGTCAACTGGTACTGAATGAATACTAGTTTTGTGTTTTTTTTTATAGACTTCAAGTATTGAGAGTGTGGTGGTGTTGAGCTGAAATCACTGGCAATTCAAGATGAAGATTGTGCCTGCCTCACAGACATTGTCTCTAATCCTGAAGACGTTCCAAGACACTATAGTCCCTACACTCCAGACAGCCGAGACGAAAGATGCAGCAAATTTGATCCAGACTGCATTGAGCGATCTCCTCCGGCGACAGGGTCCTGGCTTTGATCTCCTGCAAAAATGCTTGGACCTGGGACATAGTCTTCGAATAGAGATCCTCGAGTTCTTGATCGCTCATGGCAAGACCCAGCCTTCGGTGCCTAATGGCATCAGCAATGGCCATGCTGCTGCTCCTGGGGACTTTGAGACTTTGGCTTCTGCGCATAGCAAGCTGACGCACGAGATCGAAACATTATGCATCGAACTGTCATCAATACGAGAACCAGAGACTGGCGACCTGTTACGCAAAGCAGCGCATTGGGAAGCAGAATACTACAAACTCATCTCACAGACGACCGTAGTGCCTTTTGAAGAGTCAGTTAATGGCGCGGAGGAGAACAAAGCACAAGGTCTATCGAGTGAATTCCTTCAGACTCTCATGTCCGAGCGCCACGGGCCGCTGGAGATCGAATCCTTCTCTTCATTGCCTGGAGGATATGGTGGAAAGCAAACGTATTTCACCACAGTTGTTTACGCCGATGGACGTCGAGAAGAACTTGTGATACGCAAAACAGGCCCTGTCCCTCCTGTCACGCATTCAAACTTCAATCTGGAAGAGGAGTACAGTTTTCTCCGCTGTTTGGCAGAAACTGACTTTCCTGCGCCACATCCAATTGAATTGTTCATTAAGGACTCCCGCCTCGATGGAAGCTTTTACACCATGAATCGCTTGCCAGGAAAAGTTCCAGGTACCTGGCTGGGAGGCGGTTCGGAGAAAGTCTCAGAGGAAGTGCTCTTTCAGCTTGCTGAGTTGTTGGCAAAGCTTCACCGGACGCCAACCAAGGTATTCGCGGAGCATGTCGAGAGATATGAAACCCCAGACTCGGTCACCGAGACAATATCAGATCGCTACCGTGGTCTTCTGAAAGCATGGAAGAAATACGCTGCCGAGGTGGAACACTTGCCTTCTCCTTTCACCGAATGGCTGTTTCACTGGTTGGAAAGCCATATACCGCATGACGATCGGTCTCCTGTGCCGATCCACGGAGATTTTTTCGTTCATAACACACTCGTTAACGAAGAAGGTCGGATAACGAGCGTGCTGGACTGGGAATGTGCAGACCTGGCAGCACCTGAGCAGGATATTGCATATGTCCAACCTCATGTCATCAAACATATGGACTGGGATAAGTTCGTTGCTCATTACCTGGCCTCGGGGGGGCAGAAGCTGAATCAAGAGAGCTTTGGGTTCTGTTTCGCATTCGCCATCATGAGAATATTCCTCGCTGGAAACCGATCATCGTTGAATCTGCAACGCGGTATCAATCGGGACCTGAGGTTCGTGATGATGGAGCTCGGTTTCGCCGGAGCATTGATGCAAATGGGTTTGAATTGTACGCAATAGCTCTAAGAGTCCTCGTCTGCAATATACATACGTGTCTTAGATCTTCGTATCACCTAATGTTGTTCCGGTACCGGTCTTGCGGAGATCTCGTGAGGTGAAAATTGATTCTCTATTTCAACTCGCATGTAATATCAACGTGATATCATGAGCCTTGAACTCTGTCCACTCCATGTTCTGAACACTTTGACTGATCCCATACGGTCCAGGGACCGGTCCTCGGAAACATGATGATGGCGGTCCAGAGTCACTAGTACGGGGACGCCGGAGGAGATCCCCCCATCTATAAACAAAAAAATATCCCACTACTCGTCCAGAGCCTAATCAGAATATCGCATCTCTGAATCTAGACAACCCTGCTTTGCTATTTTCAAAATCATTGGAAAAGGAGGAAGCATTATCATGTCAGCAATGAAAGGCAAAGTCTTTGTGGTGTCTGGAGGCGCCAGTGGCATGGGTCTGGCAGCAGTCAAACTCCTCGCATCTCGAGGAGCAAAAGTGAGCGTGGCGGATTGGAACACCGATTTATTAGCAAAGCTACAAAGCGAACTGGGTGTCAGTTCCTCACATTTGCTGACCACCCAGCTGGATGTGAGGAAGCGGGCTGATGTGGACGACTGGATCAAGGCGACCGTGGCGCATTTTGGCAGACTCGATGGAGGAGTGAACTGCGCAGGAGTCTTTGGGCGACATAATGTCTTTGGACCTCTTACAGAAACGGATGACGAGCAGTGGGACGCGGCAGTGGGAGTGAACCTGACAGGTAAGCACGCAGAATCATGTTGCGAATGTGCAGCTTCGAGTTCTTGAAGGTGGCTGACCTGTACAGGGGCCATGTACTGCATTCGAGCTGAACTCCGAAATCTGACCAAAGGAGGAAGCATTGTTTCCATTGCTTCAGTATCCGGGCTCGAAGGACTCCCAAATGCTGCTGCATATACGGCATCCAAGCACGGATTGATTGGCCTGACACGAGCTGTTGCGAAAGAAGTTGCCACCCAAGGTATCAGGATAAACGCAGTCGCGCCAGGGTCTATTCAAACGCCAATGTTAGTGAGGGCGGAAGAGGACAACCACACAAGCCTGCCACCCTATTGTCCAATGGGGCGACATGGCACTCCAGAAGAAGTCGCTAACTTGGTGGTCTGGCTGTTGGGAGAGGAAGCCAGCTTTGTGACAGGCAGCGTCTACACCGTCGACGGAGGATGGCATTGTTGATGATGCGTCGATTGTCGGCCTGTGTAGTGTAGCCTGTGATTTCTGAAGAGTTAGCTTCAAGCAGTCTTGCGGCACTTTGGCTCATTCAATGGTGCTTGTTCCCCAACTCGGTTGACGGTGAAATCGCATGATGCTGTTGTTTGCTTCGAACACGCACGGGGCGATGATTGCAGTCGAAATCAAGGTTTGACACCGGAGACTGGAGATTCATGACCTACAAGGGGACTGTGCGATTAGTCCTCCGTAGATTGCAGCGGTTCTGTGGAGAATCGCACACTACTATCCTCCACCTTTCAAATCTGGGACTCCAGTATGGGGGCGTTGTCGCCTCATCAAGCGGAATCCATAGCTTAGGAATCAGCCACCGATTGACAAAAGTCATTCCGGAACTCTTTATTTGCCCGCGTTGCTGCGGATTGAATTGGAAGCGAACATGTCTCTTCTTGACTTAGTGTCCCCCAAAGGCAACAAACTTCGGATAACGAGCCAGAGTTCATGCTGCATGAATTTCCGTTCCGCATGCGAGCATCGGTAGTGTGTCAATACTGTACTCGTGTCACCACGTTAGAAAACTTTCTCCGAGTCTATTCTACTGTTCTAACAAGAAGACCACCGGCGGCACGATGGAGCGGTTCCTGGCCGCAGGTACCTCGTACCCAGTCTTGCCCAGCGCAGTAGCAAAGCCCGCCGTCAACGCTAAAACGAGGCTTGCGGAGTTCGGGTGTTGTTGTTCCAGGAACCTTATTTTGGCGCCAGAATCCAGAAAATCCATTCAGTTCCGGATTCCGGAGTCAATTGATTGAAAGATTCTCAGGGGTGCAAGCCTCGCTTGGTCTGCCAGGCCTCCTTACTGGTGTTTCCGCGCGGGGGAGGTCCCAGAGGCCCAGTTAGACCGCCTTTTGCCTCTCTATCCGCCATAAACAGGGCCCACTTGACGCCTAACGCACGTTTTGTCCGGGGGCTTCTGCCATTGTCCCCATCCCTCCATCTTCCATGCTGACTTGGCCCAGTAGCCCCTGTGCCAGGCCCACGCAGCCATCATCCCTCTGCTGGGGATGGTGCCTAGGATTTCGCAGTGGTTCTTAATTTCGCCTTCTCTTGCTGGCCTCTCTGTCCGTGGATCTGAAATGCAGGCAAGGATTCTAGCTACGCTTATCAACATCGCAATGGATCCAGATCAAAGCTCCTTGGCGAGCAATTCGGGGATCTAATTGATCTCAAACTAATCCAGATGAACGTGTAAGCATCAAGATAGTTAACTGTAGTTGTTGTTTGAACCCCACCGCCGGGCCTAGTCGCCGCTGAGTCCAGTCCCCAGTGCCACCCCCGCTTCTCCAGCACCCAACATCTACCTGGAGTTTCCTGGGGAGGAGCTTCCAAACTTCCACTTCTTCTCTCTTTATGCCCTGGGAAAATTCTGTTCGCAACCTCCTAGAGAGAGTGGAATGGCTCAAGCGACCATGGTTGGACCCAGACAAGGCCGGAAATGTGGACTCGCATGCGACTCTTGCCGTGTCAAAAAGGCCAGATGTATGTAGACGACCCTTGCATGCAGAATCCTTGTCACTGAACATGTGCCCTTTGCAGGCAGTGGAGAGCGACCATGTAGCAGTTGTCTGGTAAGGCGGTTTCGCACCCCTTAGACAGCCAAGGCTGACTTGAAAAAGCATCGCGGAGAAGAATGTTGGTATCGCGAAACTCAGACCCGAGCAGCAAAACGCAAAGTTCGAGAGAAGATACTAGATGATCGCTTCTCGCGCCTCGAGGCTATGCTGCAAGCTTCAATGGCGGCGCCAAGTCAATTTGCTGAGCCTCCTATCGTGCCTGAAGCCAGTGATCACAGGCCGTCGGAGAGACCCGTCTCAAAGACAGTGGAGGCCGTGGGCGACACTCCCTCAGTGGTGGGAGAAACCCAAGTCCCCATGGACTGCGACTCTGGCATGCGCATTCAGGAACGGACCGTCTCGCCATTCTCAAGAACCCAGAGCATCGGTCTAGTCTCTCAAGTCGTTCCATTCACCCGCCACGAGACTCAGCAAGCCCGTAACTCGCCCTCAGGCTACAATTGCTCCATCATCCCAATAACGATTCAACCAACGTCGGTAACGACCACGAACATGCCAAATGACAAGCTCAGCGATAACGGTGCGCTTTTGTCAAACAACGTCTCATACGGCATGACGGCGCAACAGCCTCAACCTCTCGCTTCTCCGCCCACTACCGCAACTGCTGACGACAACGATGCCTCGTGCGCCAAAGCCAGTCCTGAAATGTGGTTGCCAACTTGTTATCCGTCAATATGCTCAGAACCCGTTATCGACTGGGTCTCTCACGAAATTGGCGTGACGGACTTCATAGCCACCGCTCGACGGCTCATGACAGATGTCTTGAGTAACGAGACTCTGAAAAAGCGAGTGCCACCGCACAGGACACCTGAGCCCGAGCCTGCCTTGGCTTGGACCTGGGTCGCCGCTTTCTTCGACAAAGGACTAGACAGTGTTTTCGGTCTAGTCCATCGCCCTAGCTTTGAAGCACGCCTACGGGCGCATTTCGAATCGGGTGATTACTCGGAGGGCGACTTGGCATGGTACGCATTGCGAAACACCGTGTATGCTACAGGCTGCCGAATCGTAGTCTCTGGAAGCAATTCTCACAATGCTTTCAACGAAGCCCGGACCCAATCTTGGCCTTACTTTGAGAACGCGCTGTCCGCGCACACCGACTTGTTGTTTTCTCGAAGTGACATGACAACCATACAAGCCTTTCTAGCCATGGCATTCTATGCCGAGGGTCTAGGAAGCCCAGCCATCGAGTTCCTCCTGGCTTCAAATGCCATGCGCCTAGCTCAAGCAAAAGGAATGCATCACCAGGTCATGAAAAGCTGGAAGATGCATGAGGAGGATGTGCAGATCCTTTACTGGCTCTGGTGGTGCATCTACTGCTACGACAAATATCTTGCATACCGATCAGGACGTCCCTCGGTACCGCGCCCCTTCACCACTCTGTCGACGTGAAAAAACTAACATGAGCACAGGCTATCGACGATGACGATATAAGCACGCCTATACCGACTTCCGTCCCCGAAGGCAGCACAATCAACCCCCATTTCTTCCAGCACGTTATCCGCCATGCTCAGATCTCCTCGGAGATCTCGAAACGTCTCTACACCGTCAAGGCCAAGAGACAGACGCCGCACGAAACCCTGTTGGTTGTAAAAGACCTGGAAGCCCGACTCCACAAATGGCGAGAGTCGCTGCCATCGTGTTTTCAATCAAGCCCTCCTTTCAAAAACCTCGACCTCCCACCAAACACGCATTTGTTCCATGTGATATATCTCCATTTCTCCTACTACGGATCCTTGATCACAATACACACTGCCTTCTGCTATCCATGGAGCCGGCCCAGCACTGGAGACAACCGCGGCCCCAATCTCCAGGCCCAGAGGCAACAAAGTCTCGAAGTTGTGGCTGATGCATCGCGAAAGATCATCGTCGCCACTCAGAGGCTGGAAGTGAGCGCCGCGTCACCTGTATGGTAAGTCATCCATCCTCCTGTGCGGGCCATCTCTCAAGCGAGTCACCAGCTCACTGAAACTGCAGGCTCACGTTCTACTACCCACTAACGGGGCTCATCAACCTCTTCATCTACATTCTCCAAAACCCCACACAGCCAACTGTCAACGAGGACCTTCCTCTCATGGAAGTGATCGTGGGCCACTTCGGATATCTCGAGTATGCGTCAAACTCGGAACTTTTGTTCCCTTTTCCTCGAGAGATCGTGAGTTACGCCAGAATGGTCGTCAAGCACGCTAGAGAAGGACTCCCGATATCTGGCGCTTTTCGTAAACAATTGTCTTCCATCACTGCCATGGATCCAAGTGAGCAGTCCGCTGATCATGGACCGCAAGATGTTAGTATATGACCTGTCCGCCTTCTTCCTCCGCTCAAGCTGATTCTAGCCTCGTAGTTCACGACAATGGAAATGGATGACTTCGGGCTAGGAGATTGGCTTGAGTTTCTGCCCACGTTAGGCGGTGTATCCTCAATGCCTCCAATGGGATGATTGCGAAATGCCATATCATATCAGATGCTTACTTACAGCGGAAGCGTGTATGATTGAATGAAATCGAGTTTCACTGTATGTATGTGCTTTATCCCATCTAGCTTTGCAGATCATGTTGACACGACATTTATTCACCTAAATAACTCTCCCTACCACTGCAAACTGAATGCAATCACAAGGTCATCTTCTTTCTGGACCATGTCAGACCTGCTGCTTCGGCTTCTTTCCAGGACCGCTCCACGATATCTGCATGCTTCTGGCTTCTTGGTTCAATGTTGCACGGGAACTTGACAGGCACACATAAAAAGCCCTTCTCCGTCTCTGTCGATGGCTCGATCACTTTGCCCTGTGCATCGACTGCCTTCTTCAAGTTGAACGCCCACAGTGTACGAGCCATGTTGATGAAGAGCGAATTCTGAGCTACATGCAGACCGGTGCAGATCCGACGGCCAGCACCGTAAGCATAGTGGTCTCGATCGTTGGGGTCTGAGGCGTTCACACATTCGGCTGTAGATAGAGGGTCATTGATGTAGCGAAGAGGCTCAAAAGCCTCGGGGTCCTGCCAGTGTTGACGGTCAAATTGGATAGCCCTTTGGCGTCAGTTCCATGCGACAAAAGTCAAAGCAATGGACAAACTCACCACCAGTTCAGAACCACGAATGAGCCTTTCGGAATGTAGTAACCCTTGTAGTAGTCGTCTTCTGAGGTCGAATGCACAGCGCCGACTTTTGTGATCGGCCTCCAGCGCAACGTCTCTTTGACCATGGCTCGAATATAGGGCAGATTGGCTTCGTCCTCAAAGGTTGGCACTCTGTCGCTTCCAATGACTCGGTCAAGCTCTTCCTGGGCGGCCTTCACCACATGGGGATTGAGCAAACAAGCCAGAATCCAACTGTTGATGACGGATGAAGTAGACTCGCTCCCGGCTTCGACCATGCTGCCTGCCGCGTACGCAGAGTCGAGTTCGTCGACACCGTTCTTCTCGGGATTGCTGAGGTAGAAGTCCTTGACGAAGCATTCAGGGGCAGTACCGTTCTTTACTTGCTGGACTAGGCCTCGGTACAGATCAAGGTACACCTTGCTGTCATATTCGAACCACTTCCTCCCAGTCTTCCACCAATTCTGAAGAAGAAACTGCGGTAGCACTCTCAACGAGGGCAGTGAATCAACGATCCACACTCCGGGAGAGGACATCTGCACAAAGTGGTCCAGCACGGTGAAAATCTTCTTGATGACAGGATCGTCCCAGTCTGCAACTCGATGGCCATAAGTGATTGTCATGATCAGGCTGTTGGAGTAACGTCTGTTGATGTTGTAGAACTCCCAGTCGTCTTTTCTATGGAGGTACTCATACATGACCTGTTTGGATTCAAAGTCCTGAATGGGAGTGTAAGATTCACTCGTCCTCAGGTTCAATGCGGCATGACTGATTTTGCGGATATTTCTCCATTTCTCGCCGTATGGCATGAAGATCTGACGTCGTTTATCTGAGACACAGTCGAAAGCCATGGGTTGCACGGGTTTCGAAGAGTATTTGGACCCTCTGCGGTCCATCAGCTCTTTGACCACCGTGGGAGAGTTTAGCCAGATGTAGTTCGCAGTGCCGATTTTGGTGTGGACGATCTCTCCGTACTCCTTGGCCCATGCCTGCACATTACCGGGGACTTTGTCCGGATCTGTCATGTCGAGAAGATTGCCGATTAAAGGATACCCTTTGGGACCGGGGGGCAGGGCACTCATCTTCAGGTCGGATGCGAAAAATCGATATGCTCCATAGATAGCCTGTACGATGTTAAGGAAATACTCGAGAGTACCAAGGCGATTCAACTTACAACGAGCCCAACGATTGATAGAATAAGCAATGTTGTGGAGGACAAAGCCCCTTCCAGGGCGGATGGAAGGTTTGGCATCACTGCTAGATCCTATGGCAAGGAACGATAGATCGAAACGTCAAGAATGTCAGTAGGGACAATGATAAACAAGTGTTGTACTTTGGGAGTAAATACCCCAGTGTTTAGCAGAGGCCCCACTAAAAAACAAAACGATCCCTGCAACACGACTGCGGCTTACTGAAGCCGTCAAGCCGTGACTACGGCGTTCCCGCGGAGGATATCAGCTTCCGGGAGCATTGGGAAGCCCCCAGGTCAGCCCCCAGGTCAGCCCCCTAAGATACTTGTTCGTTCCATACCTGCCTGTCTTTGGGCTGCCTCGCTTCCCGATCCACCCCTCATACTATCTGACTCAGGGAGCGCCTCCGGGCTCGCCAAGCCGATCTCAGGATTGCACAGCCACAGCTCTGAATGGCTTAGTCATGACTCAGGTTAAATGGCGAGATGCTCAGGTCTGGAAACGGAAATGGCTTTGGAGAGGTCAAGATTCGCCGCTGAGTATATTGGTAGTATTCAGCGGCGACAATGCACCTGGTCTTGGAACCCGTTTGGGACCGTGGCCTGCTGCTTTACACAGACATCATGTGACCGGCTCAGCTTCGGCTCACCCTCCTCATCCTTCTCATCAGCCGTACTCAGTCCCGTTCCTGGGGCCCGCTGTCATTGGATGCTCACGCCATGCTGCTTAGGTATCTTCCTTTCGAGGATGTGGAAAGTTTACACGACTATTCGCGAGGGTACAGTTTTGGGAACTAAAGGTTCGAAACTAGGACTCCTTGTAAAGACGGTGGATGTAATCTCTCGTAGCTAAGCCCTCCGTGTAAGATGGAGCGTGTCTCACGTGGCAAGGACCTACTCGCTAGCTCCCTGGGAAACTTGGGAGCTAGCTCCTGGGAGTCGAAACCCCTGGAGCGGAGCGGCCTTGGCAGGAGCTAGCTCTTGAGAACACTGGCTCAAATGCGGACGCATGGCTCTGAGCGAACTGGAAGCGGAACAGGTCGCTTCGTAAAGCATATGGTACATCTAACTATGATACACAAGCATCTTCAGCCCTCAATTCCACCGAATCACGACACAAGCGTCACATAGGAACGACCTTCCACGGATCCGCCACGAATTCCAGGGCTGTCTCTCTGAGATGCCAAGGGTTAACATACACCTGCAACCCAATCCTGCTGGAGAACAGGTTGAACACTCTCATGATCAGGTACAGATCTCGCGGGGCCGTCGTCGAGTCATTTGGACAGGCTTTGTCTCGCATGAGCCTGTACTGATTGCTGCTCATGAAGAACGGAGTGTTGCAGGGCCCGGACGTGGTCTTGACTTCGATGTGATAATTCACCACCGGTGTTGACATTAACGTCGCGCCGGACTCAAGCCCAAGCCAGGCGGGATAGGGGAATGTCGTGTTTTCTCGAAGCAACTCCATCAGCCGCGGACAGTTGCCTTCGTACATGATATCCGAGATTTCACGGCCGTGCCACGACGGTTCATCTGCGTATTCGGGGAGGATGTTCACGTAGTGACGAATTGAGCTCTGCCACTTATCGATGCTGAAATTTGTGACTCCGCAGGCTTTGAGGAGCTCAAATACCTAATTCAGTCCAAGTCAGCTACCGTTCATGTGTGAGGATACTTCCCAAGACTTACATATAGTTCTCCCGCCGCGCCCACCCGGGCATTTTCTTCAAATCTGCCGTTCCCCGTATCGCCAAACGCTCGGTAGAACGCTGCGTAGTCAGCTGGTGGGTGGGCAAGTTCATCTAGAGCTTCGTCGATTTCGTCCATCGATAGCGATCCTCCTCTCCTTTGAGGAGATCGCCCGCCTCGCCTTGCTTGGCGGATCACTTCTCGCAAGAGTCTTTTGTACTGTTGATCCCGTGCCACCTCCTCCCAGATTGTGTGGTGAGAACCAGTCGACTGAACGTGGACTGGAGAAGGAATGCTGCTCTCAACTCGGGAATATGGTGCTGTGCTCCTTTGATCGACCCGGGTCACGACCACGTCGTCGTTGTCGTCGTCGTCGTCGTCGTGGTGGTCAGAGGATGCGTCCGTTGGCGATGCAGGCGTCGGCATACTGCTGCTGTTAGGTTCTGTATCACCCAGATCTGGAAATGACACTGTCTGTAGCGATGGCGCAGGTTTTTCGAACCAGGGATACTCCGGCAGGTCCTCATCCTTCATGATGGTATCCAAATCTTTTTTGTTATCATTCAAGATACGATAGACGACCTTGACTGCCCGTTCATTATCGATGGAAAGTACCTTTGCAAGTTCTCGAGGAAGCTCTGTGTGGAAGCAAGAATAAAGGCTATCGTAGTCGCTTGGGACATAGATCGTCAACTTCCCATCAGGGAAGCAGATATCGACCACCGCTCGATCACTCTGAACAGTGACTGATTCATATTCCTCCGGTAGCACGAGCTCTGTCCACATCTCTTCGCAGACGAATACTTCTGCAGCCAACAGTAACTCATGCATCGTCGTTTTCCGGTTGTAATATTCCGAGCTATTGTAGTAGTTGGCACAGCTGATGAACAGTCAGGAAACCTTTTCTTTACGATAAGGCATTGAAACTCACCATGACAAGGCGTATGCCCGGTCTCTGATATAGTGTTCAAGAGCTTGATGGGCAGTTGACTTGTCCACAGTTGTTTTTGACTCCACTAGGCCCGAGAGAAAGCGATCATCCAGATCCAGCAATGTGAACAACGGATACAACGAAGTCATCTCTTCGTGACCAAAGTCAAGGATCTTTGCTTTGTTTTCGAAGAGCTGGCCATATCTCTGATGGTCATTGATGGTGAATGCTTGATCCACGGAAAATAGTTTCAACCCATTGGGGCCACGGACAGGTAGAAAGGCCGTTTTCTCCAAAGTTCTCAGCTGCTCCTCGTTGACCTCTACCTCAGGATCTGAGGCTAACAATTCGCCAATAGTAAGTATGATACGCTTGACCTCGTCAACGTCGGGGGAAGTCTTCTTCGCCGTTCTTCCAAGCTCCTGTAAAAGAACGTTGATATTCATGGTCCTGACTTTCATCTTGTCGACGAAGAATTTTTGAAGCCGAGGGTATACATGGTCCAGTGGCAGACGCCCGGAGATGGCGACAGTACAGTTCCACAAGCACTCTGAAGGCTTCAGCCACTTTTGACCAACATAAATCAGACCGTTACCATTGAACTCTTGCCTAGGACTGCTGTCAGAGGAATCGGTTTCTTTTTTGAGGGACGACCGTACCGAATGGCCTCGATCACGGGCTCAGAGCTTGCCATTGCATCTAGAGCTGCATAGACTTTTGGCGCCTTGCTCTCGGTTAGACGTGATCCCGCTGTTGCTTTCGTTGATAACATCTTGAGTTCGTCGATCAAGTCGTTATAGCTAACATCCCGCATATTCAAAATGGTTTTGAAGAAGCTGGAAGCAGATTGATTAGCTCCGTACAACGGACTCAATACCTGCTTCGCCCGGAGAAAGCTTGGACCTTCCCAAATACAATCAGTTGATCTGTACCAGGCTTCCTCGGTTTTCTTCGAGCGGATCAACGGTCGCTTCGCAAATTCTTGCTGCTCCGAGTCAGTAGATGTCTCTGCATGAATGGAATTGACATACCTGTACAGCTTTGGCGTCTCCGACTGCCGTTGTTTGAGCAATACCGCTGTAGATCTTCTCACACGTCGGTAGCAAGTGGCCCTCTCCAAGATCAGCTAATAGGTACATAGCTCTCAAGTAAAAGTTAGCATTGACTTCACAGATCACTCCAAACTCTTTCAAAAACAACCAAGCCTCGGATTGTTGGGTATCATAATCTCGAGGTAGTTTCAGGAATGGTAGGAGATTGGTTAGGTTGGAGTCTCGGCCCCTATCCATCAATTCATGCGTTGGTAGAATAGTGTCGCAAAGCCTTTGTGCGGAGTCATTCAGACATGGTACCCGAACATTCTTCAGGTCGTTCTTGATTCTGGATGCATCAACACGGTAATCAGACCAATGTGCTTTGAGATTTGCGACAAAGCTGTCGGGATTATCTCGAGCAATCAGCTCCATCAGAGAATGGAGCTTCCATCCAGCGGACACTTCGTGTACCAGATCAGGGAAGCATTTCACCCCCCATCTCTGAAGATAGGATCTCCAGTCTAAACCATGGCGGATATGATTGGAAACTTGGGATTTCAGGTATTGTTTGTCAAGAATCCCGTAACGACATTTATTCAAATCCTCCTTCGGAGTTGCAGCAAGTAGTTTCTCTGCGTGATAGTTATCTTCCGAAGGAAAGAATAAGAAAGGTCCTCGAAGTGGTTTGTTTTCATCGCTCACAAGTATCAGACGAATCTGACTCTGCGTTGACAGGGACGGTTGCTTTCCGAACCAAAAGAGGATTTCGAGATCCATTTTGAACGTGAACACCGTTCCGGTTCTCTTCCCTGACTGGTGCATCTCAAGGATCCTCGCTGTTACAGCATCAGGGTGGCATGAGGTAATTCCGAGACTCGTGTAGAAGCTCGCACGCTCTCCATCTGCAGCCGCCGTCTCGTGAAGTTTCTTAAACCCAAGACGATCAGGTACCTTTATCGACACCGAGTCTTCGTCGACAAGATATGGTAGATATACAGCATCCACATGCAAGGACAAGGGTGAAACCCAGCGATTGTCGTCCAATGGGATGATTCTTAACTGCTCGACATCCTTCTTGATGGTTTTTTTCCTAAGGAGCCGTTGTATGAGAGCAGCGAAGGCCGTGTGCCACGAGTCATCCAGTGGTATGTGATGTATTGGGGTTTCCGCGCTTTGTGAAAGACCAAGTTGTATTCTCTCCAAAATTTGTGTAGCCGAGATTTGCCCCACCCCAAGGTCTTTCAGGATTCTTATATCGCTTGATTCATAATCGTCCGATAAGTAGATATCTTCGTCCGTGTCCGCCACGATTGGCTCGTTGTCGTGGATGAACCAGTCTGGAAGAGTTTTCATGTGCTCAATGCTGTGAAGTTCATCCCGTCGTGACCGTAAAATGGGTGTGTCACTGCACAAGAGCTCGATCCGAATATCATCCCATAAACATTCCCAGAAGCCTTCCATGAGTCTTTGGGGGAGATAGCGCATCCATTTAAACTCCAGAGGGTCGCCAGGGGTAACAACTTTGTCCACCAAACCGACAAACGCCGAAGAGACTCCTTCTTGCAATGCATTATTCCAATCCGTATCAGGAACACTCTCACGATTAGCCGTGAGGATAAAATTTGCGTTTATAAGAAACTGGATTAGTTAGCCTCATACTGCGAAAGGTATCAAAGACACATACAGGGAGCTGTATAATGCGCTGTACTGGAAGATAAGCGAATACATGCTGCCCGTTGGCGGGAATGACGGGCAGGCCATCTGAATCCACCTCAAATGCGACGGTCACATCGCTCTCAGAGCTTATACGATGTGTGTCAGAGGGGAGGTCGCTGACTGTGTTTTGAAACAGCCTGAGCCATGTTGTCGCTGACGTATGGGCGCCAAAATTCCCGGTCACGGTGGTGTTAATGCGTATTTCATCAGATCTCAAATCTCCATCTTTCTCGAAAGTTATTCGATCTGATCGTCCAGCAACGCCATCCACGACGACGACTAACTTCTTCAGCTTGCGTAGCGCAAACATGATTGTTCTGGGTAGTTTTTCAAACTCAGACACGAGGCGTGTGGCGAAGATGTCGCGCTGGTCATAGTACCGAAGTGTTAACCTCGTCCCGACATTCGAAGGTAGAAGAGACGTAACATCCGTCCACACTGGAGTGATCATTCCCACGCCCTCTTCGCCTTGACTGTGCTCAAACCTGAAAGACCAGAGCCCAGATTGGATGTGGACGTAGTCAGCAATGCCAAATACCGATTTGAAACCCAGGCCTTTCTCCCCAGTAGTATCGGCATTGCTGGCTTTGGAGCTTTTACCAGTATCGCAAATAGATTCGACATTCTCGAGTGTGAATCCCAGCTCGTTGGACTCGATGATGAGCTCGGAGGGCTTGATTCGAAACGTAATAGAGGGCTCGATATCATTTGCGTAACAAGAGTCGTCTCCATTTTGGAGCAATTCGTAAATAAGCCTGAATCTGGACGAGTAGAGCTGCTCGGCGACGCTGCTGTTATTAGCAACCAGTCTTTTGAACAGAAGGAAGAAACCGACGTTCTAGTATATCGGGCGTGTAAGGCTCTGTGCTCGGCAGCTCTTCGACGGTAGTCTTCTTGAAAGCTCGAATCTGTCTTGCGAATTTGGCTTTCGTCGTAGTCGTCGATGATACCCTGATCTCTGCGGATTCTATTGATCTCATCTCTTGCTGCAGCGACATTGAGGGGGCGTCCGTTTCCGTTGAAGCCGGGCTTTGGCATGTTTCTTGTGGCAGAGCAGTGAAGACGCAGTGTCGGATGATTACAGAAAGATTCGAAGACACGATTGATGTACTTAACACGTCACGCTGAAGAGTCCATGTCAGGTACACACCAAACACTCACCCCCGTCATCTGCAGGAGTTCGCCGGTCTACACGCCATTGTTTGAGACAAGCGCTGTACTTGCACTCGACCTAATGTGGCGTCTCGCTGACACAAACGTGAAGCGCTTTGGCCCCAATTGAACCCTGCTGGGCAAGTCTTACGTTGCATTAATGTACGTCGAAAAGAAGAGCGTTGTTGGGGCCGCAGAGATTCTAACTTCACGTGTTATACACATGTCCTTTTGCAAGCTAGCACTGCAGTAGAATTCCTCAGAATATGCAGAGTAAACGTTCTGCGCCTCAGGGGTTTGAAACAGTGGGTGTTACAATGCCGTAGCCCCTGATGATAACCCACAAACGTTAACGTTAACAGGGGCCGTCCTGGCCCGCGAGGACTCGTCACAGTATTCAATTGGCGCCTGAGCATACTGAGGATGCGATCATCACGTATGAGGATGAAATTTCGCAGTGAGTTTCTAATGATAAGAGAGTTGGGGTTTAGGATTGTATCAAGGTATTGCACAAGAGAGGGGTGTTCAAGGAGCATGGAATCAGCTGGAGAAGTTTTGAGGACAGGTTTAAGTTCGGCTGCTGCTGGTAGGTGCAGAGTTCCTGCCTTCCTATCTACGGGGGGCTGACGGAGGGCAAAGTCTAGCCCCCTCTGTGTCAGTCTTCGGCAAGAACCACCGAGCTACTTAGGCGGAAGCAACGGCGAACTGCCCCCAGAAGCGCCGAACCTTTATGTACAGTACACGTGCCCGGAAAAGCGAGCAGAACTTCCGCACCTGAACATGTAATCGACATCCCGGCGTGGTGAAACGCCCTACGTGATGAGATGAGCGGGCGGTACTTTGACTTCGTTCTCGTCGTGACCGCCACGCACGCAGGCGGTCAATGATCCATATAAATAACTGTGTTTAGAAGCCTCGGCGCTACTACCTTTACCATCTCTGTATAAAAATAACGCGACATTAACTCTACTAACGCTCGGTTCCTTTAGCTAGGTGAAAAAGCATAGAAATTATCTACTATCTTGTTAGAGCTGCCGCTGTTTACCCAACAAGGTTAGACTCTCAGTAACAGATCCTTATATTAGTATGAACTAAGAGTGAGCAACGTAAGGTATGAGCAGTTAATATTACTAAGAACAGTATAGTCCAGTAAATAACATAAATTAGCTACGAAGAGAGTGTAACTATTGAACTGGGGCGAGGCTACTAGCCATGGGCATCAACTCGTACGGCGGTGGGCATAGCCTCTTCACAGCACGCACACTCAACCAAAGGAAGTTTTCTCTGTTCGTAACTTGATTGATTCCTTGATTGTCCATTCTTATGAATGATAGTCCCCGAGGACTATATAAGAAGAACCCTAGTCTAGTGTCGACGCCCCAGCCAATCATAAAGCTATCCACCACTTCAAACTTCTCCCATTACAGTATGTTGGTATACTCCAGTCCAATATATTAACAAACTAACTCTTTCCTATTCTAGACACCACGTAACCCCTTCAGCCTTACTGCCTAAGGCTGCCTTATTTCGGTTGAGCTTCCTTCCTTATGCATCTCACGTCTTACCCGCGGATCTTTAAGACTGTGTCTAACACTGCGCCCCGCCCCTGCGGTCGTATAAGGCTTATTATAATAATCGTTTTTTAAAGGTCTATACGAGACCTATAGTCACGTAACTAAATTTAATATTTGACTATCTATTTAAGTTATAACGTCAAAGAGTCACGTAACTAGTGTAATGGGAGAAGTTTGAAGTGAGGGATAGCTTTATGATTGGCTGGGGCGTCGACGCTAGACTAAGGTTCTTCTTATATAGTCCTCGGGGACTATCATTCATAGAATAATTAATCAAGTTATGAACGGAAGAACTTCCTTTAGTTAAGTGTACGTGCTGTGAAGAGACTATCCCACCGCCGTACGAGTTAACGCCCATGGCTAATAGCCTCGCCCTAGTTTAGTGGTGCCACCAACAAGATCTTCGACGAATACTTACGGATAGGTGTCTCTCTACGAGCGGTGAGAGAAGATTACGATGAACGACTAAAATAAACTACTTACTGAACTAATAGAACTAAAGAATTATCTATCTATTTATTTATCTATTTATCTAATTAAATCTAAAGAAACTAACTATATATATAGAACCGCTACGTAGAGTATACTATTTAGATTACTAGCTAAGTAAGTCTATCCCGCTATACGGGGCGATTTACGCTAGCTATTTATAAAGACCGCTGCTCGAAGTATCTTTTAGAATTACTAGCTATATATATTTACTACTACTATATAAGGTAAAAACTAACGACTTAACGACTATTTAAATTATCTAGAAGAACTAAGAGAGAAGTATCTTCTAGGAACGTAGAAATATATTTAACTCTAAAAACTTCGAACTTAAGAAGCTTAGAAGAAGTTAAAGAACGCGAATCTACTTAAGAAATAATGAAAATAAGCGATTAAACTAAACTCACTAAAATAGACGAAGTTAAAGCGCTACTAATTAAAAAGTAAATTTAGAATTTTAATAGAAATTATTAATGAAGACGAGAAAAAAGCTTAATAAGAAAGTTAATAAAGAAATAAAAAGAGAAAAAAGAGAAATAACTAAAAATATTAATAAAAATAATAAAAATAATAAAAAATTTAAATTTTTTAGTTTCGCTATTAAGATTTATATTATTTCGATTATAAAAAAAGAAGTAAAAACGATTTAATATTAAAAAAATATCGTCTACGAAAGAATCGAATAATAAAGAAAAGCTAAAGTCTTCTACGATATTAAGTATTAACTTATAAGATCTATCGACGCTGAATTCGACGATATAATCGTTATACGCTTCTTCTACTATAATATTAATAAGAGAAATATCTTAAAGCTTAAATGAAAGTAATAATTTTTTATACTTTAATAGAAAGAACGCTATCTCTTTCTTTAAAAAGTTTAAAGAGCTATATAAATATAACTAAATTATATTAAGCGAAGAATATATTCGTAGATTTATTCGCTTTATATCTAAAGTAGAGAAAGAACGCTATAAAGAGCTTACTAAGTATAACATAATGAATTAAGAAAAGTTTAAAGAGAAGATCTTAAATAAATATAAAGATTAAGACGAAGTATAGTGAATAATAAGTATTTAATATTTTTAAGTACTCGCGAAGTATCGACGAAAGAAATCTTAAAGTCTAGAGTTATATCTTCGCTAATTTCGTAAGACTATAACTTACTTAATTAAAATCGAAGCCGAGACTAATTATACTTATTATCGTCTTCTTTTATTTAGATTATTAAAGACTTATATAGATAAAATTTAAAAGAAATAGAATTTAATAAATCGAAAGTCGAAGAATTCGAACTTTTAAAAATATTAAAATTAAATAAAAGAGTTATAGAATATTAATAATAAAAATAAGAAGTTTATATAAGGAGTACTTAACGAGAAGTTCTAAGAACTAATATACGAAAAGAAGACTTAATTCTTAGTCGTTTAAAAAGAAGAATCGTAAGAATAATATCGTTATAACGACCGTACGAATAGTAAAACGAAGTTTAATAAAAATATTTTATCGTTAATAAATCGATCTTTTATCTCTAAGAGTAATGATTAATCGATGAAGAAATTAATTATTTAATAAGAGCACTAATATTATCGGTTTAGATACGAGATATTATTACTTTAAACTTTCTAACTTAATTAATTAAGATATTAAAGAGTGTTTCTTAAGAAGCGATTTAGTTCTCGCGCGGCTAGTAATTCTAGAATCGTTTAATTCGGTTCGAAGAGAAGTCGTAGTACTACGGCGAATAGTTTAGTTAACGAGATTTAAACTTAAATAATTCTAAAGAAAATTACTTTTTTTATAATTAGCTAGAATATATATTATGAGATAACTCTTAATAAATATACTAAAAAGTTATAAAAGCGTTATATCTTAATCTAAAATATAAAATCGCTCTTAGAAAGTTCCGAGATTAAGATCGCTCTTTATTTACTCTATTAATTTCTACGAGAGAGATAAAGATAGAAAGATTAAAATGAGTTACGCGAGAGATTAATAGGAATTCGAAAATTACGTTCGAATAGTCTTATAATATATAAGACTTTAATTCTACGTTACTAGTAGCGAGATTAAGTATTATTTACGTAGTTAAATCGAGATTTAATTACGTTACTTTAGATAACTTCGAAGATAATTTTCGTATCTTGAATATTATAAATCTAAAAGGAATTCGTATAGATTAACTCTAGAGTAAAGCTTACGTAGATACTTTAGAAAAGCGCTTAGCTTCTTAATAAGACGAATATATATAAGCGAAATATTCTTAAATTAAGACTTATGAATCTTCTATAGAAGAACCGAGACGATATATAACGTAATGAGCGAGATTTAATAAAGAAATTATATATAACGGGATCGTAAATAATTCGTCGAATTTAATTAGCTTAACTAATTAAAGATCGTAGATAATTCGTCGAATTTAATTAGCTCGACTAATTAAAGATTGAGAATTTCTCTATATAATATATAGAATAAGCGATTACGTAATTTAATCTTCTAAGATACCGTAATAGAAAATTTATTAAAGTTTTCTTAGTCTCGTTAGATATTATTACGTTCTTAGATTATAAAAGAGACTACGTACGAATTATCTAGGCCTAGGTCTCTTTAAAAGATATTATTATAAGATCTAAATAGTATCGGAAAGATCGTAAACTACCTATTAAACTAAGAAGTCTTAATTCGAATAGAAAACTTATTATCGATAAAAGAGATTCGGAATAAGTGGTTCTTTCGTAAATATTAGTATTACGACGAAGATAAGTAAGAGCTCGTTCATTAAGACTATACTTTAAGAGGTAGCGGCGTAAAACTTACGTAAGCGAA